TTGTAGCAGCGGCCAGCATCTGCGCGCCAAGGGCGAAACTTAATTATTGATACCTTTAAGACATTTTCACAGCTTAATTTGTACTCACTTTTTTGTGCCGCTCTTTATCTTATACCGCACGTCGAATACATGCCAATGCAGTATGTATTTCTTGGATACTGTGATTACTGCATGTAAATACTTTAAAGTGCTTAATGCCGTGTTATGGTTATTGTGGGGAGTGGAAAGTGGAAACCAAACAATCAGTTTTCGTAAGCCGTACTGTTCGTGAGTGAAAGTGTACAGGACAATACAACCAATACAACTGCACAATAAATTATTATAATGAGCACGCGTAAAGTGAGTGTAAATCATAATTCTTGGCGATATTCCGTTGCCATATTATGTACTCACCAATCAGCAGTGTCCCATAAGGCATTAGCAATATCAACTGATAAACAGAAAAAAAAATAAAAAGCTTTGCCGCAGTCCAGGCAAGCTGGCAACTCTTAAGCTCAAAACAATCTGATTTTTATGGACCTGTGGTACCTACAGTCTGTACGGGTAAACAATCCATAGAGGTTCAGATGACAGCCTGACAGGATTGTTTTCCTTACACCACATGTCCACATACCATCCTTGCATTACTGTTTTCTTTAATGAAATGCGTCGAAGTTTTTCTGTTTGGTTTTTTTGCTGCGTATGTTGTTAATGTCTTATGGTTAGTGGCGTGGACACGGCAGAGTACTGTACTTACATCGTTAATACGGCAACGGAATATCGGCAAAAATTGTGATTTACAGGGTTTTCCTTGGATTAACGAGGATTTGTTTACGTATAAGCAAACTCCCCCTCTCCCTCTGTGAACCACACATAATAACCGCGTAGCGGTACAACAGACTGATTAGTTGTATATATAACAAATATTGGTAGGACGTTACGGCAAGAAACCGGCGAGGTATATCTACGGAATAGGAATATCTACATATGCCAGCGGATCAGCATATAAATCCAATGTGTTAACGCGGCCTCCGTTCAGGGAACAGCTCCACTAGGAGCAAATTTAGATAGTTTTTCTGTTCTCAGACCGCCTGCAACCGATATACATACGGACTTAGTGCACCGTGAAGTTTTGCTGGTTTTGCTTCCCCTAATGCGTGTTTTGCTTTCAGTGTGCAGAGTTTTGACAAATATTTGTTTGACTTGCAATTTAGTAAATGGAACTGCTTTAAGGTCACCACGTAATAGGCGCCCAAGTCTAGACCATAAAATCCAAACAGGCAAAACTCCTTAAGTTTTATTGATGTGTATTCCCCTTGAAAAACCTGAAACAGCTATAATTCGCACTAATTTTACCCCACGTCTAGCTCAACACGGGATCCCACCGGTGCGCGCGAGTGTCTGCAGTACAATACACCTCCGTTCTTTGGTTCTTTATCAGCAAAGGCAGCAGCACCCGCATGTTACCTTGAGGGTTGGACGAGGCACGTATCTATATTATGTTCTCGTACTCGTAATACGGAACTACCTGCCGTTCTGCAACAAAAGTTGTGACTTGCGACTTCGAGTCTGTGGCGCTTTGTAGCTGACTGTCCCATATCCTGGTCACTGCATGGTCACAGTGTAACCAGGATGGCGGACAGTCAGCTACACTGTCACGTTACAATCGAATTCATTAATTTTGTTATTACAGTTTAAAAAATTACATCTACCAGGATACATAATATTATAGCGGCGGCGGCGTCGTACATACAGCAAGCGTATGGATATAGGGGGCAATTAAAGTCTGAGGCAAGGAATTCTTGTAGTCCCTTCTCTCAACCACTGGAGTATGACGTTGCGGCAATACATACATATGGCGCAGTACTTTAGAACATCAAGAAACATGTTTAGCCATAAATATGTAAAACACCAGCCGGGTGAAGGCATCAAGTGCAGGGAGTGTTGCCTCAGCCTTTGAAAGCAGCTACTTTATAAAATTCCATTCTGTCTCGGGTAGGGGTCAATTGGTAATTCGAAAAAAATATCATGTCAGCTTGAAAGGCCTGCCGCGGCCTCTGGGCCTCTTGGCCGACGCCTCTGTGTGTATACTATGCAAGTTGTGCATTTGCAATAAAAAGGCGTACGCAAAACGGTGAAAGACCCCCACAAGGGCATCTGACTGCCTCCTAACTGTAGTCGGTTTGCTCCTGTATTCTAAGGTTATTCTGAGGTTACATACAATACTAATACCGTACTAGTATTCCTATTATTATTACGAATCGCAGCACAAATCCCATGCAGCCTTGCTAGTATTTTATCAACTCTAGCTAGCTGATCTCTAAGACTGAATCTTTTGCTCTTTTAAAAGTTTTACCAGATTAACATGTAGAATCAAGATGATGTTTGAAACTGGAACTGCTTCACTCCTGTGATTTCGTACTGAGAAATTTGCGTACCGAGCGACCTATCTAATACTCCGGCACTACGCTCTAAGAGTCCAACATTTTCTTCAGGTAAGCTTTTAAATGTTTATAGCATGGATTATGGGATGGCAGTAAGTCAGTAACCACAACATACATATTACAAGAATCCATATGAGATATTTCACATTGATTCTAGAGTACGAGGGTACCTAATCAAGTAATGTCGTTCGCATATAACTTACGAAAATAAAAATATGAAATCATTTTTAAAAAATAGGGCATTCATAACTGTATCAGTAGGCTGATGGCCGAGTCAATGCCCACTCTCGGTGGCAGTCAGCATGAGTCAGCGTGCCATTCACTCGGGTGAAAACTTAATTCATTATTAAAAATGGCGCGCATGACGAAACATGGGTTTCGCGCTATCATGTACGCAAATTTTTTAAAAAAACTCAATGCAACCGAATGCCATTCGGAAATGCAATTACTGTTTGAAAGTCAGTGTCCTTCATTGCGCACAGTGGAGCGATGGTTCTGGCGGTTCCGTGCGGACAAATTTGATCTCGACGATGATCGGCGATCGGGAAGACCAGTTTCAGCGAGGACTCCGGAAAAGATTGCCACCGTTAAGCGCCTGGTTGAGAAGGATCCCCATATATCTATTAGAGAGATAGTGGACGAAACCGGGATTAACGAGGCAAGTGTGGACTGCATTTTGCGTGTTGATCTGAATTTGCGCAAAGTAGTGTCGCGTTGGGTACCTCATTTGCTGACTTCTGCCCAGAAGCGTTCGCGTGTGAATTTGGCCGAGTTAATTCTAGAAGATTTATCATCCAAGCGTCAGTATGAAATCTACACTGAAGATGAAAGTTGGTTTGCATACTACGAACCAAAACGGAAGCAGCAAAATAAAACTTGGATCACCAAAGGAAGCGGAAGACCGACAATTGTCAAGCGATCCCGAAGTACTTGGAAAGTTATGTACGCCTTTGTATCGGGCAGGAACGGAATCATTCACAAACGAGCTCTACCTCCTAAAACTACAGTGAATTCTGCGTGGTACTGTGAAAATGTACTTGAACCTTTCTTTGCGAAAATGCGAGAAAAACGACCCCAAAGTGGAACGACCCATGTGATTTGGCATCACGATAACGCCCGTCCACACACCTCAAAATACACAAAAAATTATTTAGCTGCGTCTGGTATGAAAATTCTCCCGCATCCTGCCTACAGCCCTGATTTGGCCCCCCACGATTTCAAAATATTCCCCACTTTGAAAGATAAACTTCGCGGAAAAAAGTTTGGAAGTGATGAAGAACTCGAAGGAAATCTTGATAGTGCCATCTCTTCTCTGGGTCGCCGTTTTTTTGTTTCGATGTTCGATGAGTGGAGGGATAGATGTAGAAAATGTATTAAGGCCAAGGGAGAGTATTTCGAGAAAATAAAGTGAATTGTGCGAACCAGTAAATAAATAAAAAATATACGACATGACTTGATTAGGTACCCTCGTATCTTGCATTTGTGCTTCGGACTGTGATATAGCGTATTCTGTGAGTATGAGGTATGAGTATGAACCTGCAGTGTGATGTTTTACTAACAATTAAACTGTACATGGTTGTTTTATAGGCTACTACGGACCTACGGTACTGCCGGTCAAGCGAGCGCTGTTGTTGTGAACGGCGTATCATTGATCTTTAATTTTTGGGAGAGGGGAGAGTTCCATAAATATGGCTAAAGCCTAAAGGGGATCGGGAGAAGAATTTCTCCATGGCTGTGGGCGAAGAGGTCAGCTATTACTATAATTATGCTTCTGAGCATTTGAAGCTGCAAACTACGCGCTTTGTAAGTATTTTGAATACCTATTGTTAGGGCTTCGCTACAGCTCTGTAAATCTGATGTCAGTTCCGTTTTCGCGCGCTACTTTGGGAATAAGCTTGGCTTTTTGCTTTCCTTGTTTTTTCGTCCTCCTGTGGTGCGCCGGTGACTGGCTGTTTTCGAAATTTAGACCCATATTTCAGAGTTCGGGCTGCTTGCATATCCTGTACTCCATAGTACGGCGCAAATAGATGTAGCCGGATTCAGCGACTCGCTGCTCTCAATTTTAATTGTAAATATTAGCATCGATCCTACAGGCAGCTAAATTCTGGCTTATTAAGAGCCGATGCCTGTTTTAATTGCGAACCGGCATGAGACTGACACGCGAGCCCAAACAGCACCACCGCTTTTTCTATTTATTCTGTGAAAACCTCATCCGTATCCCACGACGGTGCTCTGATTTATTTTCTTTTTTCTAGTGGTTCTCATACTCAGCTTCGTCAAACCGACTACAAATCGTAAAAAATTAATTTTCAGATATGATGTAACTGACAGGCATCAACGTGCTGTGATCAAGAAATTATTATGTGTGTAAAATGCAAACTGCAAAATGCAGGCTGTCATCAGGTGAAGTAGCTGTGGCTGAAACGCCAGCAGAAATCATAATCTAATCTCCTGAACAAGATTGCATTCAGCGCGCTCCGACCAGTTCGCAGTCTGTCAACGCCTCCTTCACGAATAGTTTATCTTTATATCTGAAATGTAAACGCACGAAATATTTCCACTTGTACTGTTTAAACGTTTCCTCATGATTTACTTCTCGATGGCACAGTCATACTCCACCAAGCTGTTTTTACATTACACATCACAGCCAGCATTACGTGTCTCACATCAACAATGGACAGGAGGTCGAGCTTTCTAAACTTCCTCTACAGCGATCAAAGTAACACACGCATAATACGATACGAACACATATTTTGATGCATCTCACGCATGCTATCATCGCGGCAGCGACTCATACCTGATGATGACCAGTCACACGGAGACGGATTATTATGGCTTTTTAATAATTCGACACTGTAGCTACGGTTGCACACCGTAGCTGCTGGCGCTGTCCTAAATCTGTTTGGCGTGTAAAATTGTGTAACGCTTAGTACTCCCCATTTCTGCATCCCTAATACTGGTTGCTTTTCCACGGCTGTGCGAGGGAATAAATAATCTTCATTATCGTCAGAATGGAGAAACAAGAAAGGAAATCCCGACTTATTCTGCTTTTGGCGTTTTTCCTAACGCTAACTGCCATCGGATTATTGGCCGGTAATCGAAACAACAATCCCATCATCTTATAACGATTAATTGGCTGTTGCTAAATCTCCTGTTGTCCGGGCGCTGCCTTGATTAGGTGCCATGAGCTCGGACGAATGGGTTTATGCGGAAATACAGCAGCTGAACAGGTCGCCTAGCCCGTCACCTGAATCCAGCCGAGCCGGTGCTGATGAACCAGGCTACGCCAGCCATGGACTCTTCAAGGGGAAATTTGTTCCACCGGGAAATATCTTGCGGGTGCAACATTCTGTAGATTGTAAGTGTGTTAGTAAACGTTGTGTGGGTGTTCATATTATCATGTTTCCATTTTTTTCGTAAAGTAAAAAGTTGTGTGCGCGTTTTGCCTGACTGCACAACATCCGTTACGATAATTATATATCACCGCCATCGTATCTGTGCACGCACATTTTGGCTACTTTGTACCGTTTATCTTTTATAGTAACCTGTAACGCCTCGACACGAATCTGCCGCTATGACGCTTTTGACCCAAGGGATGGCCATCTATATTATGTGGAGTCGAACTCGTACGCCAGCATAAACCTGGCGGAGTTTTGTGAAAAAACATCTCAAGCTACTGGTACACTTACTTGTTAGTTGATGCAGTGAACAGTGTGTGTTGTTGAGCTTTACCGTTCCGTAGAATGAATGTTGCTGATTGTTTAATTATGAAAAAGCTTCCTGGATCCAAGCGATCCTAGTAAGATATCGTACAAAGCAGACCATGCAGATGACAATCTTGCTCTTTTCCTTCCAGGAATTTTAGAACATCCAGGTGAACCCAGTTTTTGGCTTTGGATCTCCACAGTCATATTTCTCTCCTTGGCTATACTGTTCGCCCTCTTCGCAGCGATCGCAACGCTAGTAAATGGTAACTGCAAAAATTTTAGATTTACCTTTTGAAACGATAGCGAAAATAGCGAGATATCAGACATTTGTAATTTATAACGTGGAACAGGGGCCTGTTGTAGTTTTTCTTAACAACACCGTCGTTTCTTCTTTAAATTACTTTAATTAAGTAGTGAACGCATTTGGTGCATGCATTGTTAAACTGCCGAATTAGACATGCTTTTTTACCTCTTGGAATCTACTTGTGTGCCTGTTAAAAAGCGTTAGTTTATATCTCCAGTTGACTCATTGCAGTCGTTAATACGTACAGTATGCAAACTATTAATTCAAGCGCTCGGGTATATATTAGCAATCGATGTTTTGAACCAGATTTCATTTTCATGGCTGATAATTTGCTTTAGTGATATATGTCCCGATCTCCGACATTGCGGGAATCCAGGGCGTATATGTGTGGAACGCAATTGCAAGTAAGCCCTCTACAGATTTATTGTGAAATGGTTGGACCTGTGGCATGTTTGATACTTAAAAATGTTCTTACCATGTTTACAACAAAATATTGGGAGTAATCGTACACTTTTTCTATGAGTATTCAGTGGAAGCTTTGTTTTGCTTTGCTGTATATATTAATGCTTCGTTTGGTTGTACTTTATGATAACTGTAAGATGTAGGTATAGTAATTTATCGTTAATTGTGCATGCACAAGGGGTAATTAGAGCTGTAGCTAAAAAGCAAACAAAGTAAGATGCAGCCGCATGGTATAATTTTTTTGTATAATCTGTACAATTTTGTTTTTTACTAGGTTTGAGTACCTTGACCACGCTTTGCATCTGGGCTGGCATGTACTACAGCCACCTGCGGTACAACATACTTCCAGTCATTGTTATCGGCTGGGGAGGGACAACATGCGGCCTGGCATATCATGGGAATGCAGTCTGGATAATCCTTGCAGCGCTTCTGATATTCATCTTGAATATTGCTGTCATCCGGTGTCGGAGAGGAGTTAGTTCTGTACGTCATCCTGGAAGAGCGATATACGTTAAAGGGCATGCAAAAGACGGGCACGATACCACATACTACTGAAGCAAACTTGCCAGCCTTTCCACATTCCTATTTACTGTTGCTGACATTGTGTTGTTTTGGGTGGTTTTGATTTCTGATTACCTGTATGTCCATGACATTGTATCAATGATTTGCCATAATATGTTTACTGCGAGATGAAATGTACGAGTTTCCATGTACGATTCCATGTTTTTGTTCTAATGGTTTTCGCACATAAAAGACAGCAGAATTTTAAATTCCGAGACTGTGACTTGTGAGCAACCCAATGTAAAGCACAGCAATGTTCCGAACTTCCGCGCAAGATAATATTCAACAGCTAGGGTAGCGTCTCAGGGCTAATAAATAACTACTGCAATAGTGAATTAGCTGATGTTCATCTGACCCGTTCGATTCTCGACTATTTAAATTCATTTGTAATAGCTAGACTCGAAAGGCACTTTAAATGCGTTCTGTACGATACAGAGCCGGAAGTTCTGTAATTTTTCGATCACACCCCCCTACCTCTGATTGGACGGCCGAGTTAAAGTGTTCTGTATCTAAAAGGAACTCTCCTGGCTCCGTTACGATACAGAACTCGCATTCTTGCTAGGCCAAACTTATTTTTGATGTGGATGCACAGTCCGCTGTACGTCTAAGTCGGAGTAAGTCCTATTTTTAATTTTCAAGTTTTGAGGATGTAATTAACGGGAGTTTAATTTTTTCTATCGAATCAACATTCCAGTTCTGCTTTGTTCACTGATTTTAGCTGCCTCCGACTGTGCATGTTTCAATTTGTATCGTGGCAACAAGCAACTTCGCCATAGCCGTCAGCGCGAGGAATACCTCAGCGTACTTTACATGCAATATGGCCTTTCGCTTTTTCACCAGTCGTTTGATTTCTTAACTTAACAAAACTTCAGATCGCAGAAAAACAGAAAGGAAACTAGCACAAAATTGTTGTGAAAAATGAATAAATCGTTGACCAATTCAACTACGGTAACTGGGCGCTTTTAGAAACCGTGGTCTCGTTGCTCTGTAACGCTCTATAAGATTCAGCGCTGTACCATTGGTAGATTCACTTATACAGAACTCCCGGCTCTGTATCTTACAGAACACATTTAAAGTGCGTTTCGAGTAGTACTAATATCGATTTTTTGTGTACTTAACTGTAAGTACGGTTGATTTAACTTCACTACATTTACTTCTCGCTGTCGGCACATCTGCTGTCCAGTATTGAAATTTATACCTTAAACTATTGTAGAACCCAGTGCTCACGGGCAGACTGGTACGACGCAAACCCTCGAGATCACACAAGGTACTGGTGCTGTAAAAATTTTGAAATTACTTATGCATATTTCAAGATTATGATAACTGACGTAAGTTCTTAAACGCATAGCACAGTGCGAGCACACTAGAGTAGATTTCGGCATAGAAAATTTCTTCTGCACACATGCAACATTTTAAAATAAAAAACGATTGCTTTACTGGACCGGTTTTACTAAATAAACAAAAATAAACAAACAAAATTTAATGCTCTGATGTTACTGCATTTTACTGCCGGAAGTTCTCAAAGTTTATAGATGCAACTACAATAGTGTAGTAAGCTACAGTAAGTGTGCTCAATTACGCACTGGCTACACGAATGCATGTTTCTCGAAGTGGTCAACAGAACTTACAGTGGAGTACTTCGTAAAGGTGGTAAAAGCCGCAGCAAGAGCGCTGCGCATACGGCGGTGGGTATGCGGTACCACCAGTTTGAAGTCCAGCGTAAGGTCATCACGGCGACACGGCCTGTCGCACACGGCAAGGTCGTGATAGCTCCGTTTCGTGGCGTTCCCCACGGCGTGGGCGACGTCCACGCCATGAGGAATTAAGTTATTAACATGTCATATGCCGCGGATGTGTTTCTCGGCCGGCATGCTAGAGCGAAATTCGGAGGAACCTTACATACTGTACTTCCGAACGCAGTTGCGACGGAAGGCATGCAGGGAAGATCGAGGAAAGTGTTTGGCATGCATGGGGTGAGGTACATGTGGACACCGTCCCGATGCCCGACATAACACCATGTGTACATACTACCTAAAAATGATATGCTCATTACAATTATCGCGTTATGTACTTAGTAAAAAACATGCTCTATAAGATGAGCTATATGGTACTTTTTGGGAATTATTTTGAAAATTCGCTAGCCACTTCACGTTAAGTTATTGCATCATTGCATGTGCACAACAGAAAATGCGAAACCGCTTCATTGTTTCTGAAGCCGGTCCCGCGTTATACCTGTAGTTAAAACTTGAACATTGTGAATATATATATATATTACCTTCAACATATTAATTTTGTGAACGTTTGTTCGTTTGTGTTCACGGCCACATTCAGTTCCAGGTCATGTTCACTAAACCAGAATTGACCGATAAAGAAATGCAAAAAGCAAAGCGGCAGAGAAACGACCATCAAATGACATAGACATTTATTTACCTAATGTTTTAACTGGCTCGGAATTGAGGCATGTTGCCAGAACAGCGTTCGAGATTTTGAGAGAATTAAGCCTTTTGTGGAGAGAATAGAATTTGAGACCATCAACGGTTCCAGATTTTCGTGATCCTCAACCGGCATGAAGTTGCACTGCCGAAAGATATGTAAACCATCAGTCACCTTCTTAGCCCTTTTTGTGCGACTTCGAGGTATCCCATGGCGCAAGTAAGCAGACGCTCATCTGTGATCTGGATAACAACTTAGGGAGTAGTATAATCGTCGTTGTTAAACATGAAGGAAACCAATTAAACAATAATTAAAATCTTAGGGAGTTGGGGTTCATTATGTACATTTCGTATTAGCAAAAGTTTTGGGAGACCTGCAAGTTTAGATTGCCGAAAACGAGGTGTTGAGACCACGAAATATGAAATGCCTTAAAAAAATGCCTCGTCGGTCGTCCTCCGCACGGTCGGCAACGATGATATTTTAATTTGGTGTCCGATTTCATGTTTTTCGATTTTGTTATCGTAGCAAACTGTTCCGTTACACTTTACCTTATATTGCGATTGTAATAAAACAATAATTGTACAAATGTACAGCTGCAAGAAAGAACCGGCCAGATTTCCGGTTTAGTCTCTAGACATGCTTTCCCTTCGGCTTTTACTCCATTTTTTGAAAATTTTGTTGAAAATCTTATCAAATTAAAATTAGAATAAATAACTGGTACTACTGGATATTTTGGGTTAATGCCGGGAGGCTAAGCGACAGTAAGGCGGAAGAAGAAGGAAGCATAGGATTATGAAATACATGTCAACGCAGCTATTAGAATACATCATGTTCTGGTGGCAATTCAGGGCTTGCGCGCCGGGATAGGGACTGAGTCGCAATAAAGGTTGTATTTTTAAAAAAAAGTGCAATACTTGATTGTACTTAGTAGTAAAAAAAAAGTACAGCATCTGTCATGGGAACAGTACCAGCGTCGCCGACGAAACTTAGACGAAATGTTCTGTGATTGGGCCGTAGTTGGCGGATAGTTGGTACCTTTAATAAGTATCATGGTACGAGTACAAACTATGCACCAGAACAAACTAGCATTTGTAAAAGAAACACTTCCTCTATGCTATCCTGATCGGGGATCGTACCCATTACACAAATTGCGTTTCCCCGTTGTATTTGCGTAGATATAGTTGGTTGGTTGGTATTCGAATCTTTAATTTTTATAGAAAACTTGTGACTGCCCATGTATTGTATTTCGAAAATTAATAAAATGTGTTCCTTCGTAGTACTATATTCTAGTAGTGTCTAATGTCTACTGTAGTAGTACCATTCCGCAAGGTGGGTAGAACTAGATACCCACCTTGATTTCCGCCAGCCGCCGGCCGGTTCCTGGCTGTCACCGGCGAACGTTATTTAACCAACGACACTAGAGCAAAGAAAACTTATTGCTGATCTACGTTCATTATCTCATAAATTTTATCTATGATTTTGCAGATACGCAGTATTGCAAAGCTGTTAAGCAGCAGCAACAAAATTGGTTTGAATTCTTAAATCTTAGCTTGCAGTCGGTAAAACTGAGTGCTCGATAGCACCGTTGAAAATAGTAGCCCGGAAAATTTTGCAACGTTCGCTCGCACTGTTTTCTCAGAAGCTCCGCTGAATTCAAGAAATAAGAAACTTTTCTTTTTGAATTGCTGTTGCACTGGTTTCCGGTATCAAACCTCAAACGGCACGTTCAAGTATATCATTATGATTATAGTATACCTATGGTGCAATGCCATCTATTCTTTCATTAGTTTCATACCTTTTAGTCTTCCGGATCTTTTTTTGTTAAGAATACTGTAAGTAATTATAATTAAACTGAGCAAAGGCTGGGGCCTCATTTTGCGTAGTCAGCGACTCAGCGCTACTAACTAGAAAGTTTTAGCGGCAGTTTGCAGTAACCCGTGGCGGGAAGCATCTGCGAGCTGCTCGAGGTCATTAAACCACGCCTATTTTTCCGGACAAGTCAGCCATCTTTTCTGCGGATACTCAAGGTTGAGTGAGACACGTCAGAGTCATGTGAGCCAGAATCAAGTTGGCAGCGCAGCGGGCGACATCAGCATTTTTCTATTTTATGATCCGCACGCTTAAGTACCGCAAGGCTAGTTTCAGTGCCGTCGCCAAATGCGGAACGAATTTACTACTATATTCGTCAGAGCGGCCGTTTAATACCATCACTCTACGTAGCATCGGAAACTTGTACCCATGCGAGCCGGTCTTCCTTGACTGCAATGGAGATGGCTGAGCGGCTGATTGTGAGCTTTCGCTGCAGAGTGCAAAGCAAAACAAAATACTGCCGTATGAACTCTGATTTCGTGCAGGGTGCAACAAAATATTATGGCCTTGGCGTATGGCATGCCGTCAGAAGCAAAGGCAGTAGTAAATCGTTTGCAATAAATATAGTAATTATTGCAAATTTGCTACTGTTGTACCGCACGTAGCTGCATTACCCACGAACCAGTTACGGCCACGGGTTAGCTATAAACGCTGTAACATGTAAATTTGTGATGGTCATAATTTGTTACAAGGAGAGTTTTCAAGTCATACTAAACCAGTATGACTTTATGCAGTCGACTTCCATTGTTCATTTGAGCACAATGCGGCATTGTAGGTGACACAATCCGCATTAGGCATTATTTTCTGAAATTCCAACTTCAGGTGACAATTTTAAACAGAAATACGGACATTATACGGTAACTCAACACTTGTCCGGTAACTTGTCAACGACAATTTAAATAAAAATTTGCTGTAAGACAGAGTCCCTCACCACATCTCTATACTTTTTACGCTTATTATTATACCGAAAGACGAAACGTAGTGTACTTCGTGGTAAACAGCACCGAGGATTTACCATAATATTATTGAGACAAGCATTATGAAACGCACATTTTGCAAATGCGCATATTAAAAGGCTTTACATATCTATATAGTATGCGCCAGCCGCCAGTCTATACTATACATATCTATACGCTTATGAGCAGATTTCGTACATCTATGTCAAATCATTGGCCATCATAATTGAATTAACAGGTGCGCCAAATGCTGCATAAATTTAACAACTGATAACAGTTCGCTTCTCCATACATATCCGACTTAATTTTTTTTAAATGAGATACGGTACATGCAGTACTGTACTTGTATCATAGTGCTTGTGCCGGTTCAACGATTGCGGACTACGGCAGCACACTGCGCACGTCTAGGTAAGACTCTGGGCGATAACGAGCACAACGGCTCACCACGACATCTAATATGATCTGCTCATGGGTCGGGTGATAGATAGTACATTAAATTGGTGAGTAATTTGTAAGTTCTACGGTCCTTATTCGTTCTTGGAATCAAACTTCTAAATCAGTTTTGGAAAGATAAAACTGAACATTTAACGAAGTCGATCATTTGTTTAACATTTGGAAAGCAATCGAATCGTGTGTATGATCATCCGTTGTTGTTTTACTCCAGCTGTTTTCCGTTGTGGTTTTAACTCTATCCAGCTCCGTCGTATTCGCATAGCAGTAAGCTATTTATTTGCCTTATCTCCGAATCGCGTTTGTGTCATCGCTTAAAGAAGCAAGCACCCACCTGAAAATTGTAACCGCAGCTGCGTAAAAGGGGACTTTAATACTTGAATTTTGGATAAATGTACTATCATGTGGATGTGATGCATATCGGTTCGGAAACCAATCGTTTGAATGAGCCAGTTGTATCCAGGATGACTCCTGACTAAAAATAATACTTTCGAATCGCGCATGCCAGATTCTTTTTGGAGTTGTTTGGAGAAACTAAAACTGGATATACTTTGCAATTATTCACGGACTTTTAATCAAGCAAACCACTATTCATAATCCCATCAGTTATGCCGAAATTGTTGGTTATTCCAGGTAAAGGCGGTTGTACGTACATGCGTATTTTCGTGTAGGACGTATAGATTATTGTGGAATGGACAGATGATAGAATCGTATACATACTGCTTGGTAAGTATACGAATTGCAGTGGTTGTTGACAGCATGTAATTGTGGGTTTGTCAGTCAGCTGAGTTGACCACTCCCTGTCATATGTAGTTGAAATAGCGTAGTGTTGTACAGGAAATTACATGCGTGAACAGTTACAAGAGACCCTTAATTATTTAACCTAGACACGGTTTGTAATTTCGCATTTTGTTACTCTTTGAGCCTTCTATGTTAGAATTTGAGTACAGTATAGTCACTATAGTGAGTTGATTTGTTAAGTGTTTGGCCTAATGTTTATTCGGTATGTGGGTATGCGTTCAGGATTTTAATGGAACCAAAGTTAACTAATACAGAGTACAGATATACTGTAACAAAAAATAACACGTCCTTTACATTTTAAGAAAACATCATGGCCGGATACTGCCGCTGTTTATTTTTTTTTTAAACGATGACCCTTCTACAACCAGTTGTTTCGTATTTCAGAAAATTCGAAATTTGGTAAACAGAGTGTGGTACAAAGAGCAAAATTTGTGAATCTGGCATTGCTATCATGAATTTTCATTCGTCATTCGTGCAATTGCAATATTATATGATTTTTCGTACAGTCGTACTGCATTATTCTGATAAAAAAATTAAGTTTTCGCCTTTAACTTTAAGTTAGTTCTAACAGAATTTCAGCCGCTGATTTTCTGTTCTGGTAAGAATCTCGGAGATGACTCCTGTACCATAGAATCATAGATTAATATGCATTCGTTTGCACTTCCTCCTGAAAAAATTACGATACGGATCGGATTATGTGTGTAGATGATTTTATCAGATCACTGGTTGCATAAGCGGCTTCCCACTCTTGTCTAGAGTATCGGCAGTTTTTTCATAGCATGTGCGCCATCTTTTTTCTGCGTGTGCCTCCAACAGTTGGTAGTAGTAGACGCGGAGATCAATCGGAACGATCGCTGCTGATCCGCTAATACGACACTACGACAGGTCCACACGACCACACCGTACGTTGCAATCCGCTGCACGTCCGCGACATCTAACCGCGAATGCTGGCTTGATCGTGATAAGTTCAGATAGTAAAAGTTCTACGGTACATACCGTAAGTGTACGCTATAAAGTATAAACGCAGTGTCGAACTTCCGTTGATGATTCGACTTTCCACTTTCGATATCTTACGGCGATGCAGAAATGAAGAGTGCCGCCCTCTGAATTCTGAGTTCGTGTGCGGTTGTGCCATAAGCAAACCTCATGGTCAGTGTATCACGATATACAAGTGCTGTATAATGACACCGGGGCACCCATAAAGAATTAATGAGTATTTTACACAAACTTCTTAAGTACTGTATCTGTTTCATTTCATGCATGTTAAAATTTGCGCCATTAAATAATACGTTACAGTACGTTGTTGTACGTCAGCAGCTAAGAGTTCCTGGTAAATCAAGATATTTTGTTCATTCTTTCCCAGATGGACGTTACAGATGCATAGTCAGTACGCACTGACCACAAACAGTAGTAATTGCAATGGCATGTCGAATAGTTTTTCCATAAACTTTATTTTGCGAAAAACTAACGGCACTGCTTTGGCACTCCAGGTACTTCACTACGTACCGGCATTTTTTAGCTTTGGTTGATTTAACATAGGCACATTCAATGTACCTCTGTTAAATCACTACTTTGCTATACTGTACATAAATACTGCATTTGTATTTTCAACGTGGGAATGTTTCACTTCTTGGAGGCTTGTGCAGGCATCATTTTTTCTGATCCCCATTAAAAACGCTTAGAACTGACTTTTTGTGTGCTAGTATTTTTACATAAGCGAATTAAAGGAAATATTCTGTTGCGTCCACGACTAAAACGTTTACAGAATCTGTGCTCTATAGATATGCTGTCATACAAGAGCACATATACTTTTAATAACAGTCATGAGATTCATAGCAGGATAAATAAAAGCCAAAAAAGCAGCCGATACTGTGTTCTCATGACGAAAGTTGTTTGGCTGCAGCTGGCTTGAGAAAGTTTGCTTGAAAATGTATGTTTTTTGTGCCGTTTTGCGGTTTGTAGCAATTTTGAAGCTTTGCCAGTCATACAATCTACTGAAACTAGGGTAGGCTTCCATTTCCAGGCCCACAGTTTCCTTACGTAGTTGTGGTCGTAAGATTGATTTTGCCGAAATGAACTTTCACAAAGATGACGCACAAAGTTACAAACTACCAGTGAATAGGTACAGTAATGGCAAGTGTTGTCATTACTGTTTATTTTAAAACGGAATGCATTATGCTGACGGGAAAAATACAATTTCCTTCACACGGCATTAGATATTAGAACTGCTGAATAGTCTATTTGCAAGTATGATTGTAATTACAAATACATTATTACCTCTCAGCATAATAAACATTTTTGTGTAGCGCTGTATGATGCATTGATACTTGTTTGACAACATGAACTGAAAATTTCAGTTTTTCACAGTTTCTTGCCTTTTTACAAGTTAAAATTAAAGTTTTTCCTTTTTTGTAGCCGCCTTCTTGTTTTTTGCGCCGGTGATCCTGGCCTTGATTTGCGAGCATTACGACGATGTCCCATGCCAGCGCAATAAAACAGAATGCCGCGTCAAACAGAAAGTGTGCATTGATGAACCCATGTGCTACGCGTTTTGGATACTGCAGAAAATTGTGAGTTGACTCTTTCGTGTACTCGTATTTCCGAAATACAGGAATAGAAAAGTTGACAATTTATTCACTGTAGGACGGTGTGGAGCGCATGATTGTATTGAAGAAAGGATGTTGGAGTGATAACAGTTGCAGTAACCAGTCACGATGTATCAGCCGGCAAAATCCTCGGGTAAACCCTTTCAAAAGGGAAGAAGGGCCAAACTATTTCTGCTGCTGCGAGGGAAACAGCTGTAATTCGCAGCTGTTCATGACGCCCGATAAGTCCACCAATGTGTCGGATCAGATGAAATATCATGAATACCTTCCGCATAAAGAACTGCAGACTGCATCGCGTATAACAGATCTACCGTTTCAAATGCTGAATGAGCCGGAAAACCCTAATCGTTATCAAAGCAACAATTCCAGTTCCGGTGAGATTACAGCCGGCCGACTACCGCATGGTCCTGTCGAGAAAGCCACCACTCTGGATTCTTTTGTGGTCATTGTCATTATTGCCAGCATTTTGTTCGCGCTCATCGTGCTGGGAGTTTTGTTTGTGTGCATACATCGCCGATACCATAATCAGGCGCCTTGGGATGGCAAAAACTCGGGTGTTGACTTGGAAAGTCCGTTACAGATGGCGCCACTAATTGCCAAAGAGTACGAAGATCAAGACGGTTGCGCATTGCTAAAGAAGATCCAGTACCTGGAACGGAAGTCCTTAGGGAGATACGGAGAAGTCTGGAAAGGCAAAATTAACGAGGTATGTATGATTGTGCCTTCCATTATTACTTACAATAATATTAATTTGGTATTCGGAATGATTTTTGTGACACTGATCGCGGATTAATGTACCTATCTTTGACTGCGCCGACATTCTTTGCATAATAGTGAGCGCTTAATGATGGCCGTTTATTAGTTAATTAACTGCTTTATGTGTTATTGGCATATTCGTTTACACTGTCAGCTGATGAAAAGTCTGCTACATTCTGCTTAAATATATTGTATTATTGTTTCCGTCTGCAGTTTATTTAACCAGTTTCAGTGGTTTGATAGGAGTACGTTTCTTATTGTGAATGACGATTTATGCCACTGAATAAATCGAGCTGATTTGACAGGTTATTGTCGCGGTAAAAGTGACCCCTATCGCGGAAATGTCAACATGGAGCAATGAAGTGAACATTTATAAAAAGTTTCTTCTGTCTCCGCATCCCAGCATTCTGCGCTGTCTGATGTCGAGTGATCCGGGGTCTGATCTGGGTCGCTTACTCTTGGTGACCGAATTTCATCCCTTGGGCTCCCTTATGGAAGTACTCAAATGTCGTGTGGTGAGCTTGGATGAAGCGGAAAAGATTATGAGTAGTATGATAGCTGGTATCGCATTTCTCCACGATTCGGATGGGAAACCGGCAATAGCGCACCGGGACTTCAAATCCACTAATGTGCTCATTAAGAGCGACCTCACCGCCTGCCTGGCCGATTTCGGGCTGGCCAGTGCATTCGAGCCCAACGAACGTATTGGCGATAAACATGGACAGGTAAGGAAGGGCGGATGATGCTCGGCTGTAAGAAAATACCGTCGCTCGTCAACGATTTAAATGGGCGTAAAACTAGCGTACTATGAGTGTGGAATGCTGAATGAGGTTTCACGGCTGATAGGTTTTGAAAGTTTGTATTAGAGCATTGCTCAGAGTGCGGTGAAACTGCCGGTAAAGCACCGATATGTAGTCACACGATTGGAACGTTGATTCGGATGACGCTGTATAGGTAGCTTTTCTCGGCATCTTATTTTTAACGAGAAATATTGATATTTTCTTTTCACTGCCCATTGAACCGTGACTGCGGATTACGTTTCCCTGGGGCATAGGTCTTTTCACGTTAATCATGTTACTGCATTAATAATTATCTTTATTTTTGGATATTTGGCTTGACCAATATAATTCATAAGCAAAGTTAAATGCAGTTTTATAACAAGATGAAGTCAAAAGCACTTATGGATTTTTGTAAATACCTGTCAGAAAACCGCCTTCAGGCTGCAGAATGAGCGACGATAACGACTTTGTGTCAAGACATACTGGAACAGGTTCACTAAATTACTCTGCATCGTAAATTTTGAACTACCTTTGTGCAGGGCTGTGGCAAGAAAGGATCGAAGAAATGTACTGCGTCTGTGAACTGTTTACGAAAGTCATTGAAAATCGTGCTTACAGATGTAGGGCAAAATGAGTCCGCTGCTTGTACTTACCAGGTTAATACAAGTAATTACTGTGTAGAATTTAATGACGGTTTTTTTTAATGCATATTTATAACAATTGTTTTATTTGGTAACTTTAAATGAAAAGAATGCCAAATTCTTTATCTGATTTAATTTGAAATTTGTGTTATTATGATTAATATAATGAGTTGGTGGGTGACCACTACACACTTAAATAAGATAACTTGACCTTTACCATAATTTGGTTTTGTGAGCCAGACGAAATTTAAAAAGTCTGGTATGATAATTTACTTGAAGCAATTTAATGGAATGTTTTTGGTTATGTATGCTAGAATGTTTTGGGTTGTAGAAAAAATTTGCATAGGCTAGTCTGATGTGTTCTTCGTGGTAATTCTGTGTGTTAAAATATCGGTCTCCGTGAAAAATAAAGTTCGCGGTCTTGCAGGTTGGCACGCGACGCTATATGGCACCGGAGTTGTTGGAAGGCGCCATTTCGCTGAATGTTGCATCATTCCTACGCGTCGATATTTATGCATGCGGTTTGGTGATGTGGGAAATTTTATCGCGAACCCGATTCACTCCAAATGAGCAAGTCGGAATATACAAGCTGCCGTTCGAAGACGAACTGGGAATTAGTCCGACCAATGAAGCTGTTCAGGGCTCTGTGGTTCATAAGCGCGTACGGCCGGTGCTTAAGGAATCATGGCGGAAGGATTCGGTAGGTGAACATATGTTTGTAGAGTATTGATTAAACTCCGCGTAGTGTATTATCGATCGGTTTCGGGAAATGAAACACACATGACCGATAGCGGTGTTTCTGCCTGAGTTGCGTAATTTCCTACACATTTTTGTTTGCTTTGCATTCACGCTATCCTACTAGGAATTTGCGAAGGAGCGCATCGAGATAATCAACCAGTGTGACACCATGTGCAGAGATAAACTGGTGCCATGGGTTCCCAATACAATGCCTCTATGTGACAAAAATTCGAATTCTCAACCTTGCAGTTGATTATGTGTTATCACTATCAGTTCGAGGGACAACGACACGAAGCTTGTGGTTTCAAACTTTGTTTAGTGAATTACGACGAGAGCGCATAAAGATATCTTTTACTCAATATCAATAAATTATACAAGTATTCTCTTATTGTTAGTCAAACCAAAAATGCAACGTAGTGCATCGTTAAGTGATGAAAAGAGCCTGTGGCACACGACCTTACAATTAGTTTGGGTGTGTGACTGGAATTTATGTACATACGGCTTTTGCTCCGGGTAGGGCAGATGCAGCGCAAACGATGGATATCCGAAAAATATGTTTACGAAATTATTTTAATATGACATTGCTAATGAAGTTACGTTTTACAGAGAACATCTCCAGTATGCGTCACCATTGAGGAGTGCTGGGATGCGGATCCGGAAGCGCGACCCACTGCATCGTGTTTATTGAATCGAGCGAGACAGTTTGCTCACTTGCTCGGTTCGTCGTCGGATGGTGAACTTCCGCCGCGCTACAGCGACCTGTCATTAATATCACCGTCGCTCGCATCGCCCCTACGGGACACCACCGTGGTGGCATGAAACCCGGGAAAGGGGAGAAAATATTATCATGGCGAGCATTATTGAGAAAGCGCACTTTTTGCAGAACCCGAGTGATTGATTTGTATTCAACCGGAATGTATACAGGAGGAGAAGGCATTTTTATCTATATGCACACTGTATATCTCTCTCTTGCTGTCTGTTTCTCCCTTATATTGTTTTTGTGAATCTTGATTGACCCAAATTTGTGGGACCAGACTGCGCCAGACCGCGATGCAGACCGTACGCACACATTAACTACACAGCACCAAGTCATCGTAATTGGCCAGCGTTCTGAACAGTGGCCGATCTTTTGATTGACAAAAGTCGAGCGGAGAGATCCAAGTATGCTGAACCAGAGATGCCTCCCAGTACGTTATATGACACAGCTGATTGACTGGGTTATACTCACTGCGAACTGACCCAGTCCCGCCTGTTTGATGAACCGGCACGGTATTTTGACGAGCTGCCGTACGAAGTGAAGGACAGTGTGTATTTCACTGTACATGAAGAGCTGAAAGAGGGAGACGAGAATGCGGCGGGGGATGCGAGATGTGATCTTTGGACAATCGGAAGTATTGACATCTTTATTTGTCCATTGGGTTGGATACATTGTTGGAGAACGTACACGGATTCCCCTGTATTACGTCGAAACTCTTGACCAAAGTCCGGACTTCTTGTGCCGTATATGTTACCAATGAATTTTTTATACCTCTTCTGTTCCTTTGCGTGGCCAGTATGACTACGTAATGGCAGACAACGCGTCCAAATGTTTAACGAACACACAGGCTTGTTCGTAGATCTGAATTATTTCAAGTTTTAACTTATATTTGTTCATTTTTAGCTTGATTTTTACATAGTTTTAATTGCTTTGTTTTTGACGTTTTGATTGCATGCTTGCGTTTTGATTTTACTTTTCTAATTTATGACATTAGTGATATTTCATGCTATACCCGGTACAGTTTGTATTTTTAAATATATTACAGTTTCAGCTTGTTTTTTTAGCATTTGCAGTGGCTTAGACGTATGCGCTTTTGCGCTCCACATTTTATGTTTGGTTGCTTATATTTGGATTTTGGATGTCTCGCTGTACTACGTCTATACCAGAAGCCCGCTGCTGACTGGTCTTTTTGTGGAGATCGAAGGCCACTATGTCTGCAAAAAAATGGACATCAATTACACTGGAGAATTTTGGAAACTTCAAAATTATTTCGATGAATCCGAAACCTTGCGGTCGGCTAGTGAAACCGGCTTCCAAAGTTCTCTGGTTGCAAAAGTAAAGAAAGCACCGGGTACCACTTTTGCCGAAATGCCCGTATGGATGTTGATCAGCTGATTGTAAAAATTTGTTTTTGCCAAATAACTGGGGTGAATGTTCTTGTCGGGAAATGAATTCGCACATATCTGATTTTTAATGTTGTTTGCAGTTTTTAAGAATATTAACATTATTGATATAGTTTGCAGGCGAACTGTTGGTTTGAATTTTTGGGGATTATGTTATCATGTTTCTTCAGTGAACATTTGTACATAAAATTCATTCTGGAGAATCTGTTTTCATTAACGTAAATGGATTCGCAGTATTTCAACAATCCATATACGTAGATCATCATCGCTTCACTTTTAACTTTGTGCTGAATTCACGATGGGCTAAGAAATCAGATAAGAAATCACGGGAATCGATAAGACAAAGTACGCGTTTACGAAAAACGAGTCGATGTTACAGAGCAGAAAACAAACGGATCGTTATCGACAACGATGAATCACATCTCAACAGCTGGATACACTACCGGGGTCACCCAGACCGGAAGGGCATGGTAAAATAACTTAGAAGCCAAAAACGATAGTGATGGATCTCGTGACAAGAGTGTGGCAAGTTTATCGGCTTGCGATGTTCGCTGAAGTTAAATTTGTAGAACTCTTCACTTGACCACACTTCGACCATTCACAGATTACACCGTAGTTGCTGGACACTTGAGTAAAGCAAGAAAGTGATTGGGTGATTTGCAGGATATGAAAGTGGCGTAAGATAGCTGATAATAACCAGCACTACGTTCGCCGATCACCTTTAAATTAACACATACCGTAAGTAAGATTTTGTTTACCATAACGACCAAACCGGCATATTATATTTTTAAGTATCGGAACGTAGACCGCAGAAAGGTCTTTGGTTTTGTAAACTCATAGCCATCAATCTGTGGCCCCACGGTTTAATATCGCAGCTCACGGTGAATTACGGATTAAATACTAGTATTTCTCCGTATTTGGCTCATCCAGATCTACAGTAAAATTTGCTGCCACCAATTATTGTACATACAACCACGTATGCGATTACACGAGTACGGAAGCACTGCAATTACTGTATAAAAATACCGCATCTCAATTAGGAATTTAATTGTGCGTAAAGAAAAGGTATTTCGCCACTGCATACTAATTTGATTTTGAAATTCACCTAATCGAGGCACTTCGGCGCGGTGAACTCTTTACATTAAGTAGAGATCAAAAAAGATGCAACCTGTAACTAAGCATAACCTTGCGAATATTAGTTTTACTTGAATACCGGCTTTGCAAATCGAAGCAAATAAACTTAACAAAAAATAACCTTAACTCGAAATAAACTTAATTTTATTTGCCGACTAGAACACATGATAAGTGTCTTCGGTTCTTTTATGCTGTACATATATTTTCTTGTCTTCCAAGATTTTAGGTTTCCACTCCATTAACCAACCACGCAGCAAGTAGGCACACGCATTTTTTGCAAATGACCACTACAGTGTAAAAGAACTGCATCCAAGAATGCATTCAAATAATACGAAGCCGTTTTAAAAAATACGCGTACCAGTTGCTCACGCGTAAACAACATGTACAATTCAGCGCAAGCATTCGATTTTAGTTCCGACAATTACTGAATGGGTCAGCTCACCCAGTGGCTTCGTTTGCTGATGGAAAGGCTACTGAATTATCTGTAAAATATTTTTGTGGTTTATATTACTTTCTAGAAATCATCGCGTTCCATGAGTAATAAAGGAGCTCTGAGATTCTGGCCTGCAAAGAGGAAGTCGGCTTTAGATGCGCGTACGGGTGTGGTAGTATTCTTGGCGATCTTAAGTACAATACTTTTTCTAAAAGTCCATACGGACACCTTTTCTATTCACAATCGAATAATACGCCTTATCGGGGTTCGTGCACGAGATGCGACGGTATCCGCTCCAAATAACAAAGAGCAACATAAAAAAGCATGCCAGATGGATTCTCGTTACCTCCAGTCTGAAACCGCTATCCAACCTGATTACTACAATTTGCGCAACTGGACGCTAGGGTGAGTTTCAAAATCGAAAAAACGAAAAAAACGAAAACGAAAATCAATCAGTATTTGTATTATATACCGGATAAAAAATTTTTTTGGTTGCGTATGAGTTGAGGTCGGTCGTTCTTGACAATTTAATATCACAGAAGTTATAAAAAAAACTAGGAAGTACGTATGCGTAAGAAAAATACGTATGCGTAATCTGAGATGCCTGTATACAGATATCGTAGGTTACTAATGGTTTAGCGCGCATTTATTTGATTGTAAGCTGTTGCAAACAGTGGCTGAGTCGTCTTCGACAATCCAGATAATCGTATAAAATACAAATTACTGTATACGAAAAAGAAAAGTATTTGCTGTACACTGCTGGTATCCAGCTAGCCCTATAGAAGTTGCAACTGTTTGCTCCGCGTACTTCTATAAATTACTGGTTCTGGTTTCAGTACATTTTATAATAATTTTCTAAGGCAAGTAAACGACGCAATAATATTGTAAACATTAACCTGTGGTTTGCATTAGGAACGTTCGAAAATGTCTTGCCAATACCACGATTTACTTTTTGGGCGATTCACAGCAGCGGAACTTATTTTCTACTATGTATGTACACTTTACAAATCAGTCGACATTTTTGCGGAAGCCAACTCCTGACAGATATGGCGACGATGCTTCGGCATTTCTCATGGTCAGTTTCAGTATTAGTAAGGTTGCAGATTATGTTCAAGTAAATCTCTCATGTGCAGATCTAGAACTGCCAAGGCTCATTAGCATTCTTCGAAGCCGGATTTTTTAGATTCGAAATATAACGAAAATACTCAACGAGGACAGCATTGCCGCGCTTCAACGGATTGAGCAAGAAGCGTTAGCGAATCCAAAAAAACGTATTGTGGTCATCCAGGGATACACGATGGTAAGGAGTGTACATTTGTTCCGTGCGCGCTCTTCCGAAAATAACCGTATAATTTTTCCTTCAGTGGTATTCTTACTGGAATCGGAATAATTCTGTCTCGCAGTTTGTGAGTAAGTCGCCGTTTGTTTTCCAACGCAGTTTTCCTGGTAAAACTGCAATATTGTAAACAGGACATTGAACTTTGTGCATTTTGCTGTTATTCTTAATTAAGAGGATCTCCATGCTGGACTACCACACATCAAACGAATCGCTTCTTTGGTTTGTTATGCCTGGATGCCTCAGCGTAAGCTTGTTTTAAATATTGATTACCGCACTTTATAAACCTATGCAGTATCTGATGATTATTCACATACTTAAGTTGGTTAAGTAGTTGGCGCTAATTGTAAAATACTTGTAAACGTTCCCGTAATTACAGTGCGTACATACAGTATACAAATATCTGTACAAGTATTGTACATAATTCTACTCTCGTAGACATTTCTCGCTTTGCTCGTCGATCGGTCCCGCATTTACGTGTAGTTTTTATTTTAATACCAAATTAATTATTCAGCTCCTTTAAATACCGACAAAGATTTAAAGTGGGTAACCGCACTACTGGACCACCAAATGCAGCAGATCAACCAGATTGCGCAAAAAAGTCTGGAAGAGACCAGTGCGGTATACTGGAGTAAATCTATGGACGTGGCTGCATCCGATCTGAAGAATTACTACGACTTCGCACATCCTGATTTGGAAATTCTGCTGCGGGTACTTGCCTATTTGTACACCTATTGTTGTACTATAAATTTAGGCGGAAAGGTTCAAAGGATGGCAGCTACTAGGGGGCAGCTATTTGTTAGGATGAAAGTTAGTAACCTCTACATTATTCTACAGTTCAAATGAGGCAGTTCTGGTTTCAGTATGATTAAATACTTACAATTAAAACGTGCTTACTGCTTAGTGATAATTATATAAAGTATGGATGATGTGATGATGTAATATGATGTAATAGATAATTTTTCATGTTCCCCTCTGATTTGTGGTTTTCAGGACTGGCATGACCTCCTGCTTTCTTTCGGATGCCGGTTTGGATAGCACACTCAATGCTGAAATTCTTCTGGTGAACTTTGCTGATAAAACGTCGATTACACTGCCAAAACTCACGTTTTAACATTGTTAATGCTGTTGTTCCATTGCTTTTATTGTGTTCGTGCACGTGGGCACTAGGAGAGGGTAATTAAAGAGAAATCAGTTATGTAACTTATGTTATATCGTAATAAACGATCCTGATTAAAGTTTATTACTCTAACCAGGATCGTTATTAGCTAAAGTGCTACATTACATAGTACGTAGGATTTGAAGAGCTCACTAACGATGACTTCTTCGAACTAGCTGTAAGAACAAGGAATTCCCGGTTGCCAAACTGCATAATTAAACATGGGCCAACCCGAATATTTTTATTGTTAGCTTTGTGTACAGTACTCTTTGTCAGCAGAAGCTACGGTATGTTTTGCTGAACACTGGTGCGGTGAAAATACGTAAATTAAAAAACTATTAATACCTTTAGGGTTATGAGTCATGACGTAAAAATTGTATGTCAGAGCTTGGTCTAGTGTTTATTTCCAAGCAGATGTGCTTATTTGTCATTATTTCTTTAATTTTAATTACGGTAATATTATCATATGTTATTATCATAATAATTATGTTATCGTAGGTTGATAGCGTGTATTAAACGACACACTGCTTAAGGTTAAAGTAAGGCGAATATTTATAAAAACACAAGTACGAACAAAAAGCATTATTTTGTTGCCTAAATATTCATTTCATTGCTCTACGATGCATATATCGTCCACATCCTGCGTACGTCCCCAGCATGGATGTTCCCTCATGAGCTTTATAGACTCGACCAGGTGTTCCGCAACGCAGTGGAAACCATCACCAATGTCCGGATGGACCACCCGACGTGGCTTCAGACCTCACTTCCTGTTCGTTTTGGTGGTTTGGGGATCAGACGCACCGAGAAGCTAGCCCCCTCTGCCTACCTGGCATCGGCTTCTTCGTTGCGCCCACTGATTTCTAGGCTATGCCCGAAGTTAACGGCCATGGATGTGACTGCCGCCACGCATGCTTGGAAGATATTGGCCGATACAAATGAACTCCCGGCCGAACCATTTCGACATGTCCAGAAAGCCTGGGACACGCCCGCGACGCTCCACGCTTTTTCAGACTTGACCACATTGCGGACTACGCCGGATGAAGTCGCTCACCTGAAAGCCGTATCAGTTCCAGAATCCGGCGTTTGGATTCATGCTTTGCCGGCAGCGTGTCTTGGTAATCTATTGGAAAACAATGCCTTCCGTATAAGCGTCGCGTTGCGTCTGGGAGCACCAGTTGTTACTCCCCACGTGTGTGTATGTGGCGGTTTGGTGGACAGTTTGGGCCGGCATGGGCTCCGATGTAAACGCTCAGCTGGAAGACTGCCACGACACGACGGTATAAGCGGGGAGATTACCCGTGGGCTGAAAACGGCCGGATTCCCAGCGAGAATGGAACCAAAAGGTCTGTCTGTGAAAGACAAGAAAAGGCCGGATGTGATCACCCTTGTACCGTGGGAGCGCGGAAAGCCGCTGGCGGTGGATGTTACCTGCGTAGACACCCTGGCGGCCTCGTATATCGACCGTACTTCCGTAAACGTCGGTGCAGCAGCTGAGATCGCGGAGAGGAGGAAACTAACGAAACACGCCTGGCTCCAACCACGGTACGATCTCGTTGCAGCAGCCATCGAAATTTACGGACCTTGGGGAGGCGGAACTAAGAAGCTAGTGGAGAAGGTCGGAAACGGTATAGCGACGTCCACTGGCCAGAAACGGGCGAAAGAGTTTTTTAAGCAGCGAATGTCTATCCAAATACAACGGGGAAACGTATTTGTGTAATGGGTACGATCCCCGATCAGGATAGCATCGAAGAAGTGTTTCTGTTATAATAACCATTTTGTTTTTGGTACTGAGTTTATATCCGATTCCGATACTTATTAAAAGTTTCGCCACTATATATAGCAGAATCAAAAGCTCATGATTTTTATTTAGTTGTATTATTTTTTCCTACACCGCTGAAAAGTGAAAACTACATTATATTTTATTGAAAATTGAACCCTACAACGTTTTGCGCTTTCACAATACACTTGTGCGAACGTGAGGCTACGTAACTACACGTACTGCATCCGCGCATATATGTACACTACGCCGTGCGGTCGCTCGGTGAGATCATTCCTCAGCTCGAAAATTTATCGCTGTTTAGAACGAAATTCAGGACTTCCGTCGCATTTGATTAGAACTTATCGTCGTTTTCGTGGCTTCCCGTAGTTTGTTCTCGCAAAATCGCCTCCTAGCTGATAATCCGGTAAGGATCCACATACGAACTTAGAATTTCCACAAGTTTTTCACTAGACTGTTCATAGTTGGTTTGGCTTTGTCTCGCACACGTGCAGCTGTTCAACACGTGTAGCTCCGACCTATTTGAATTGTGAATCAGCTGATTGATTGTATTTGTACGAACGTAGGAGGTTTCTTTTGTAAGTTTCTTTGCCAAAGATTCATGTTGCCGATTTAACCATTCTTGTCGATAGCTGAATAATTAGTATCGTTTGTATAATTTCGAACATATTCTGAATCCTGAAACAGGGTGATTCCACTTGTGACTTCGTTGGTTGTTCGTCTGCTGCCATCCTAAACAACGGGAAAAATGTCCTTGTATCCGACTTTGGAGGACATGCACGTCGGTGGCCTCATGGAGGTAAGTTAAAACTTAAAAGTACATATTAGAATGTTGGGATCTATCTATAGAGCAGCAGCGTAATGCCAGGATCGAAAGCACTTGACTACCGTCTTTGAATGCGCGGTGTTGCAGTGTTTAGCTGTTGGGGTTGGAGCTGCAGTTTACTGCTCCCAGACTCAACCACGCCATGTTGTTGTTTCTGTATAGCTCCTTAAAAAATTTGTATGGTGATTTATCAGCAATGGTTTTGCACTCGTATCAAAAATTTGCTGCCGTTGTTTTGGGCTAACATGGTTTCCCATTTTGGGTGATATTATTCTTGATTGTTGCACTCCTTCGAACGCTGAAACCCAGATGATTTCATTTACAGGCACAGAAGGCGCACGATCGCGCCCAAGCGCTGGCACAGCAGTCAGCCACGCCCCCGTACAATCCCGCTGCGGCGGGCTTCGCTCCCAGCCCGGGCGCATTCACGGGCGGCATGTACCCCTCCCTGAACGAGTACATGGGACTCAGCCCGGAAATGATCGATCAGGCCTCACGCCTGCAGACTCAGCAGCCTGCTCCCGTTGCTTCACAGGTACGGATATTGTAAACACGCTGTGCAATCTACACGTTGCAGTTTTTGCAGTTTTGGTACGTTTATTATAAAAGGATGTTTACGGTTCTATCCTCTTTAATTAGTAAAAGGAAATTGTTAACTAATACACCAGTCCTTAATTTCGACATTTAATGAGATCTGGAGATAATGATGGTTTGTTTTTCTTTTGTATGGATTCAGAGAATTTTTTTATGGTTGCATTTTTCCTGCTTTTTACGTCTGCCAAATATGCTTGTCTATGTAAAGTATTTCCTCGGTGTGTATTTCGCCGGCAAAAGCATGATGTACAGACAGTACAGTCATAGTGGATGTTCCGTTTGATCAGTATTCTGATCTGTTGCAGGCTGTCGTCAGTCGTCCGGCAGCTGGTCCTTTGATGAGCGGTCCCGTTACGGGTGGTTCCGTTGGTCTGCTGCGCGCCCAGGTTACTCACGGGATTCGTGCGGTCACGTTATGCAAAGATGGCAAAGGCAAGGCGGGCCTGCGCCTGTACTCGGTCAACAATGTAAGCTTTTGTCGCTTCGTAGTAATAGTGCCGACAACATTTCCGCACAAAGTGTATTAACATTGACTACCGGAAAATTAGGGTGTGTTCATCTCGTTTGTTATGGCCAACTCTCCCGCCGCGCTGTGCGGATTGCGCTTTGGGGATCAGATTCTGCAGATGAATGATGAGAACTGTGCCGGGTGGAGCACAGATCATGCGACAAAAAAATTGCAGAAGGCTGCGGGCGATTCCATTCGGCTGGCTGTTCGCGACAGGTATTGTTGTGCTTTGTTGTGAAGCGGTTAACTAACGATGTATACATCTATCCCGTGATTCCCGTCGTAGTGGGTCAGTGAAATAGACGTTGTATTGCACGGCGATTAACGATTAATTTGACTCGCTTGCAGGCCCTTCGAGCGCACCATCACCATGGTGAAAGATAGTGCCAATCGTGTTGGCTTTGGCTTTCGGGATGGCAGAATCGAGAAGATTGTTCGTGAGTCGTCAGCTGCTCGCAATGGTAAGGAAATTTGTAATATGACTGATTGTGGTGCTGTGCTTTACAGCGCAGTCATAAATCGTTAGGATGATTAGCCATTTGTTCTTATCGGTTCTTACGCATGCGTAGGCATACTGACGGATCACAATCTGTTGGAAGTGAACGGCCAAAACGTAATTGGTCTCAAGGACAAGGAGATTTTACAGTTGCTCGAGCAGAGTCCTAATGATGTCACCATCACAATTATGCCGTCTGTTATCTTTCAGCACATTATGAAGAAGTAAGTACTACAGCAGAAAGCGCTCTTCCCACCAGTATCGAGGCTTAACAGCTGTAGTTCGGTAGTTTTGACTAGCTGAAATGTGAAAATTTTCAAAGGATTTTTACCTCATCAGAAAATTTCGACCCATCTGTCAAGTGTAGGTAGGACTGTTAGGCTCTTGTTCTTAAAAGAGCGATTTTACGAACCAGTGTTCATTATGTATTAATGCCTGCTACCCAGCTGAGAATTATAAGGCCTCGGCACTGGAAGCAGTTAAAATGCTGATGATGATGATCCTATGTGACGAGTCGGTGTGACATCTGAGTTATGCTACCGTATGACTTCCACACGTGCTTTTTTTGTATTGAGCTTGAGCTTATGTAAATCAAATAAAGGAATTCTGAAGGTTTCTAGACTAAAATGTTTGGTCAACGCTTTTTGGGTAATGTGAATTAAACTGTAAAACCTAACCTGTAGTCCGGGTATTTATTTGCATAATTATGCTGATAAGAGTGTCAAAATGTTTTGCATATTTGTAATTAAATTCCAAAATTCCCAGCGGAGATTCTTTGAATTTCGTTGCTACGATTAATTCAAGCATACCGCCGTTTCATTCGATCTGCTTCGCAGAACCTACTTTTTTCCCGTTTATCCTCACATAAAGCGCTTGTCGAATGTTTAATGGATATTTGTGCCAGCTTGTCAATTGTTGAGTTGGATTAAGGAAGGGTGTTTGATGGAGGCATATGGTTCGCTGGTGTACATAGTTTAACACTGCCGGTTCTAACGTTACGTATTTTGCAGTATGTCGGGGGATTTAGTTCGTAAATCTATGGATCATTCCGTGCCGTGCATCTAATACCAATAAGCAGCCTCTGCGCTAATCCGCTGGCCATGACAGATCCCGCGTTCCGCATCTTACGTTCTTGACTCGGACATTCAGCCTGTCGACTTTTGCACTGACTGCTTAATTGCCAATCGGTCTCAGTTCACAATTGTTAATGCCAAAGTGATTTTTTTCGTTTTTCGTTACAGTGGTATTTTATAAGTTTTATAAGTTAAGAAAATAGATTCCTATGGTTTTTTGCCATGGTGAAACTAGTCGAATAAAAGGCGAATGAAACCTAAATTAAAAATGTCTTCTCTGGATGGAAAGAACTGATCGCTTTCATGTTTGACATTTAAGTATTGCTTCCCTTTGAAAATGGACGAGGGTGTGAAGTTCTAACGTTTCTCCGACAGTCGGTCCGTCTGCCTGTGGGAAATAACGCAGTATGGGACGGTAGTTTGCTTCGGCGTCTTTGATGGCGTTCAGATGTTCGCTGCATGGTGTCCCGGTAGTCAACACGAGTGGATCACACTAACATCGTTTGACAACCTGCCAGCACGTGGCCTTGACACATTGCATCGATTTATGCGCCTTTCCGGTAATTTGTGTTTTTGTCGTTTTTAGCTACCCGGTAGGGTTTTTACTGAAAACATTTGCACACGGACAGGTGCTGGCCTGCCGCGTCCGCAAGTTTTTTCTGAAAGATTTAGTCTTTATCACTTAGGTTCGGTGCACTGGAAAAGGTCATAGGTAAATTGTCTGCCTCTGCTAACGGCGCGATATGACAAGTGGTAATTCCAAACCCATATTTATGCAACAATATTAGTATTGATCGCTTTACACCTGCGGTAAACCAATTCTGAAATTTTCCAACTGCATGATTGCTCCTTTTCGCATCAAACCATTATAACATCACCAGCAATTTATTCACAATGGTGCAGTCACAGGTTTATACAAAAGAAATAACTCCAATCACCGTACTTAGCAGAATCAGCCTGCAGACACACATTCGCATTATGCCGGTGCTTCGTTGGTGCAACGAGTTGCGTACACCCCCACTTTGCCTTGACTGCCGTTATAAAAATTCTTTGATCGCTACTCATCTGGTGAACAACATACAACGTAATGTCGTAATGGACTATAGCGAACGGTTGGTATTGAATATTTTCCCGCTTCTTAGCCATAATTGTAGGCTTGCAAACATCCATCTGGCATCGCGTGAGCATAATCGTATAATCTGCTTACGGGAGATCCGGTCGACAAAAGGTCACAGTGCTGTTAACTCGGCGGGATGCCGGTCTTTAAGAGCCACTTCGGTGACAGTACTTGCATGCCGGTTTAACCGTGTGTGGTTCAGCACGAAGGCATTATTCCCACACAGACACCTCACCCAAAACAAGAACACATCCTGAAATTCCTTCCGGAAATTCTCATTTAAGAATCCATACAGAATAGGATTGGTTACCGCACTGGACATGGCAAACAGATGCGCGCCGACAAAGATTCTCTGAAATAAGGCCTGATTCTCGGTGTACAGATCACTGCTGAAATCCGCGATAATATTCACCACATTCAACGGCAGCCAGCAGATGGCGAAGATGAGCGCAATTATGCATAGGAGTAAATTGGTTTTACGCTGACGGCGCCGCTGGCGCTTCCGCCGACCGCGAACAATCTCCAGAACTTCCGAATCCTCCTGGGTGGTGGTGTGATGCCCATTAACCGACAGAGTCTGCGGAGTGTCCAACCGCGTGGAGAAACGATGACGCAGTTTCAAGACAATCTGCACGTGCGCGATTCCGATTATGAAGCTGGGCATACAGTACTGGAAGACCATACAGAAGATACTGTACAGTGCCCGTCCGTATGTGATGGGCCAAACCTCCGTACAGCGATAAAACACACGGATATTGGGGATGCCGATCAGGAGACTGGTGCGAAAAATGACGAAGGGCATGGAAAGAGCCATGGAGATTAGCCATATGAAACCGATCATTAGCGCCAATATGATGCGGCGACTGGGTGTCGGGTTGATACTGTACACGATCACTTTGTATCTGCAAAGATTGAAATTATCCACTTGACCTATTCATTACGCAAGCATATATAATTTCCCGTAATCTCCCAAAGGTGTCCGCAATTTCGGCGATAATTATTCACTGCGTTTCGACTATATGTGGCTAGAAATGGTAATCCACAAATGCTGGAAGAACTGCTTTCAAGGTTTTAAAAAGACTCTATATAGGTAACGGATTATTACGACAAAGTTTCAGGAAGATTTTAATTACTATCTCTATAATACAGATGTAAATATATGCAACGCATACTTACATATACCGCACGTTTTTGCACCACTTAGACGTATACCAGCATATCAAGACAAACACAGTTAATATAAACCTGTCACGACTTAATTCAAAATAGAAATCGTCATCGACTAATTTTGTTAAGGTTATCAAATTCCTTAAGTTAATGGGTAACTGCAAGAAAAAAACTGATTTGCGTTACCTTTCTAATGCGATTGCCGTAATGCTGAGTGTAGAAACGTAGACGCTGGTAGCCTGAAGAGCTTGTACAATTTTACACATCACTCCTAGCGTTCCAATAGGATGCCCCAGCACCTCCAGCTAAAAAATTTTGTTGAATAAAGAACATCGCATCTGAAGCACAAGTGTTTTGAAATTCAACGACCAGGTGAACCACGTTGATATCCAACAAACACGTATTTGGTAGAATTTTACATTTATTAAAAATTTGTACCTACATCGAAAATTAGATGTTTAATTATTAGCAATTTTTCTTTTATTTTCGACCTTTATACTTCCGCTGCACATGGGAGCCCAGTTATAGTAGCATTGTCTAGATTCGGCTTCGGCCTATGTGTGGTTTTTATTTTTAATACTGTCAATGGTTTTATTTTTCATACTGTTTTACATAAAAAAAACTACAGGAAAATGTTAATCACCAAATTATTTATTGTATCCTGGAACCATCATCACCTTTTTACGAGAAGTGTGCGTATTATACGGCAATAATCTCATTGCTAGTACTTGCATTGTAATACAGGCGAAGCTACTTTTCGGAATATCTGACTACGCCAGTGAAAACGAATGGCAAAGCAGAAACAAATAAAACGATAATTACCATAAATTGTGGAGAATGAATACACCTTTCTACGGCCACCTGGTCTTTAATCGCTAGCAATCGGGACGTAAAGTCGAAATTATAGCGGGATTGCATGTCATTCCCCGCACACCGCAATACTGCGAAATATCGGAATATATGGTTTTGACATCCTTTATTGGTTCGGTAGAATGGTTTGAATAGTCACATTGTAATTATCCGAAAGTAAGAAAAAAAATCTGTTGACAGCTGCACTGAAGTTCTTTTTGTGTATCTATCGCAGCCGTCGCACACGAATGAAGTAACCTGCCAAAGTGATTAGCCGCTAGACGATTTGATCTGATCTGTTTTTGATTAAAACTTTTAACTGCATAAACTTATGTATACGTATCCTTTGATATATCGAAATAAACAGAAAACCTTTTATGATTAATTTTTGTATGTCTGTGTTTTGAATTGTCAACAAAAACAGCAACTTAGATGCGAAATCTTCAGCCGTAATGATACATGTTTATTGTTGACAAACGGCGTTAAGACACGTTTTTCAAAAAAATTTGTGATTTTCATTAAGATGCATAAAATTGTTTTCTTACAAATAAAATTGTAAATCTAGTTACTTAAACCTCTTTGCTTTATTCTAGTGGTTAAAGATAATATTTGCAACTTGTATACAATTAATTTTGCGCATAATGAAATCCGGGCAGAAACTTACCAAAGTAAGCGGTGTTGTAATGGAGCACAACACAAAATCTGACGCGGCAAGATTGGCAATGAAAACATGGCGCATTATGCGCATCTTTGGTCGGGAAAAAATTGTAAACAGCACCAGTGCATTTCCCAAGGCACCAATAATAGAAACAAAAATATAGCCAACTACGGTAATCAACACTCCGTTCTTGCCCAGTGTTTCATCTGGACCGATCACGTTGGGTATAAGATCATCCAGATCGTAGGTCTTGTTCAGACCAAATATCCGTACATGCTGTCCATCCGGCATTAGTTCCATCATGGCACCGGCTTTCGACAGTGCCTCTTGGGTTAAACCCGGTGAATAGGCACCTGCTGCCGCTTGCCGGGAATGATATGTTTCCGATCCCATGATTAATGCAGGATCACGATCAACAACTCCTTAATATCTGAAGACGACAAAAAAATCATTCTATGATGGATCAGAAATATCATTATTATTAATCAGCACATCTTGTGGAGAAAAAACGGCACAGTTCTTATGGCTGTGGTCTGTTCTAAGTATCATTACGAAATTATCGTAGGAACATACGTATACTGTATAATATATACTCGTACATATATGTATGCAGCGGTGTGCTGTCCATGTGCTTCAGCGGCAGTGTTATACAATACGTACACAAAATGCGTAAATGAAGCCCGCGCCCTTTGCACGGGCATTCCACCTATGGTATACATTTCCGCTTCCAAACCGGGTGACAACATACTCCCCGATGACTGCAGATTCATCGGTGGGTGTAAACCGTTTAAGTGCATATATAGCCTAACGTGTGCGTCTCACCAAATGAAGCTGCACCGGGATTTTTGACTCGACTAGCGCGTATCAATTATGGAAGATCCAGTGTCATGGGAGAGTATCTGTTTCTCACGGATGATTACAATAGGGCTTGTTGGTCGTATCGTCTTGGAAACCCTATCGATGTTCCAGACTAATCAGAGGCGAGCTTGCCGAAATTATTTCCGGATGGTATAATTAATAATTATTCGCCAACGCACAGCGCTTGGCCAGATCCGGCTCATTGGGAGCATCAGCTTTACAGATTCTCCGAAGAACATTAAATTGCTTATTAAAAATTTCTTAAAAACTAACAATTTTTTGGATTTTCTGACGATACGGATACGGCATATTCCAGACACTACGTCGTACTGTACATATGCAACTGATTACTCAAAGGGTCTCAGTCTATGGTCACAGATCGACGCAATATCGATTTGCATGCTTTACACTCTACTGGAGCTATCAGAGGATACATACGAGCCAGTCCTTAATCTAGCGTGCGCACTACTTTGTGCTAATTGTTAAAAATTAACATTTCTTAAAATATCTCAGGTGGTTGCTCGGGCGAAAGGAGTAACTGAGGTCATTCAACACGGAAGATCATTGACATTCCTGATGTGTCTGTGTATGTACAGGAAGACCAAATCACTCTAGGAAAATGTTGTAGATACAGAAAATCGAATGGCTTCACGAAACTTGCTTCCTACAAAATGACGGAATTTGTGCATTATCTCGAAGGATGTCTTGTATATTTATTTGGGTGAACTTCTCTGAGTTTTTAATCATGTGGAGCATGAGTAACTTTGATGACGTACACAATCAGGATAATAATGGTTAATTGCTACACACTTCATATATAATATTGCTCTACAGTAGTTACTCTGCATTGCAGCATACAACGTACTTATAAAGTTTTCAAACAGTAATTTCACTTGTCAGTTTTCAAATTTCTGCAGTAGCGACCAGAAACTTGCCGCTGGTACAAACGAATGCAGACAGACGGGAGCAAAGTAATGCGTCAAAAATCAAAATACTGCATTCGCTTCAGCTAGTAAATGTTTTTAGTGCAGCTTCTGAATGCGCTGAAACGAACACAACTGCATACAGGCATTTTTAATAATAAGTTCATTAAGGTGACCGGAAATGTGGTGGCAAGGTCGACGTGTCCGAAGTCTGTTGAGACAGAAACATTGCTTGCAGCGTCAACCGGCTAATTACTGCCCAAACTCCATTTCCTGTCTTACGGAGCACGCAAGCTTGGACGAATAAACACATCAGCACATCACAAAATCTAATGAACATAACGGGAAAAAATCAATTATGCCAAACAATCTGCAAATTAGATTACAGGAAGTGATGGTGTAATATTTCAAATAATCTATTGAATGCTTGTCAGAGACCGGGCAGGCCCCCAAAAGCCGTTTCTTTCCGTTTTCAAAATATTGCATGCCGAGTCGTTTATTTGACATCTCAGCGTCGACGCTGGTCGACTTAATTCGTGTCTTTTTCTTTCACATATTACACCACTGAACTGGAACTGACTCGTACACATAAAGGGTCAAGAACACTTAGCGTTAGCGCCGCATACAATCACATTAGGCAGATAGTATTTCAACAGACATTATTTATCCCAAACTATCAGCTCAGACGTTCATCTCCGATTGCAGCATTTCTTCTCTATTAAACGCCGCCGCTATGCATTCTTTACAAGCTGGCATCACAGCAGAATCCGGCTGTATTCAGAAAACAAATTAGCATTATTTACTTGCAGTCGGCGTGTGTTATGCAATTTTCTTTCGGTCAATGTGCCGAAATATTTGTTGTGAATGATCCCTGCCAACTTTCTACACGTACATGTGACCTCTACAGTCTGTACTCTCTGGTAAAAATTAACAAAATTTCTCGTTTGCGCCTCGGTGTAAAAACGGTCTAGCTACAAATTATAAAATGTAAACGTCGATTTTGTAGCGCTTTGAGTTTGCTAGCTGCAAGCCCTCAAAAATGGCACTTCGTCGATCGTTTTTCAAAGCTGTAATCCAGGGATTAGGTTGTTCGCTGCCAGCTAAAAGTTCACCGCAGCAACTATATATTTGATTTGCATGACGATTACGCAATACTATGGCAAATGTCTCTTTTTTGTGTACACAGTTTAGTTGATAGTGAGAAGTTGCGATACTGACCGCTCGTCGTTAAACAGTCAGACTATATTGATGTGCGACTCTCACTGCCTTTTGTAGTGGTCGATGTGCATATATAGAGTATATCGAAAGCTTAAAACCAGTAACCAGCGACACCAACATTTGAACACCTTTTGAAAATAATATTTCAGCAGCTCCGTGATGGCCGTGTTGGAAAAGCTTCGCAGATTCTTATTAATTTTACAACTAAAGCTAAGGCATATTAAGTGACGGAAAAAGTGATACTTCTGTGACAAATCGGCATATATTTACATCCACTTAATCGGCAAAAGTGCATGGGATACAGCTAAAATTTTCTGGGACTTGATAGAGATAACTGATGGCCAAAATTACTTAATAATTTTTATAAGCGCTATGCGTTAAGTAAAGATCGCGAATTAAAATGCATGTATTGTATGCTAATTTAAGGCTTGCAGATATTAGCTTTAGTGGTCTTCAAAAGGTGTAATCTGTATTAACGCTGCAGATAAAAGTAAGGTCACAGCAAAATTACCGGTATTTATCTGGTAGCGCTAGAACTGCAACAGCACAATCGGATGTACAATTATTCATGATAATTACGTACGGGGCGCAGGGGTGTCAATGCGTGTCAGCAAACGTTACAGCATGGCAGCAGAGATCTAGAACACATAATTGCTAAGATCACAACAGAATTTCCATAGCGAAATGTGTCAGTTCAGAAATCCAACGAGGTTTCCTATTAATTTCACTTTACGTTTACATATACACGCGGCTTTTTTGATTCCCCGATAGGCTTTTGCGGCAACGTAGTCAACCAAGACGTACGACTGACTAATGAAGAGCTCCAGTAACTTCTTTCCGTCGAATTACCATGATGATCTAATATGACTTCCCAAGAGATCGGCTTAGCAGCCACTCGATCCGATCTTGGGATTTTATGCTGAACCCAAAACTGACCCATATTTTTCCTCGTTGTTGCCGACTACGCTTATAGATTCCTGATTTAAATTTCATTGAAGAAATTTACGATGCAGTGCAAATGTTTCGACTTGCGTTATACCGGAAACAAAAGTGAGGCGGTAAAGATGTTATAAATGACCGCGCATGTCGCCAGTTTATATTATCTTCGCTGACAACAAATTTATCGTATTCCAGATGTGTCTTACATACTCTATAGTCTGGACGCATGCATACGATGCTTGTGGAAGGAATTAAATTCTTAGTACAAACCTCATTTTTGGCTACCACTGTACGGCTGAAATACCGGAGCCATTCTCTGTTCGTTTATTATTTAGGAAACGCAAGCAGAAAAAAAGGAGTCTGGTTTCCGACAACCAAAGTGAGTTGTGGCTTACAGTACGCCGCTTACCATAGTAAAGACCTGAAGCAGTGGTACTATGCATTAAATCTTTATATATTGAGCATAAGCCGTCAGTGCAACAAAAAACAATTGTTATAGCACTGGCGTGCTACAAAAATTAATTTATAATTCAAATGATTTAATTATGTATTGGTCTGTATATAATTATGCTTGTATCGTGCTACTTATTAAAGATGTCGTAATTATGCTTCGGTTATGTGTAAATAATTTATACAAAGCTGATAACTAATGCTATAAATGTTTATAGCACCAAGTAATATAAGCGCCGTTTTAATGCTGATTGAGAACGCCGTCATCACAATCGCGAAGAAACACCAAAAATCGAATATATTTTCGAAGGTCATCAGAAATCATGGTTTAACAACTTATAAGTTTTGCCTTACGCATATTGTTTTAAATTTTTATCAACAATATGTACAATTGGGTTATGCTTTGAAAATTTAACACGAGTAGGACTCCTCATGCGGCGATGATTGCGCAAGATCGCATCCAACTGTATCCATGAATAACAGCAGGACGTCGATGAAAAATGGCAGAGCATGTGGACAGACAAGCGCAATAATTCGATTTTAACAACTACTTGTGGTGTTGACACGGCTACACCGCAATTACATTACTGTAAACGACAGGGAAAAAAGGTCATGAAGCAGCGTTGAACACCTTTTCTTGCAAGGAGTGTGCGAGTAAATAAACACAATTCAAATTTAATCTTATCGATCATGAAGTATGCTCGGCTTTATGTTTTGCATCGAGACAAGCATCGAACGGCAGACACGCAGAGGGAAGGAATAAACCTTGAATACCGCCACTTACCGTCTTTTGGAATCGTAATTAATTCCCGTAAGATTTGTGCGATACATTTCCATCCAAGCAGGACAATTTGGGAGTCATAAAATGCAGCATTACGCAGTTTCTATCTAGACTGACAGCGTTGATCGTAATGCGTAATTAACCGTTTTCAGACGAGTAACCATCCCATACATAACTCGTCCTTATTTCAAAATAATAAAATACTAGTATACAACTTTCGCTCGCGTCGCTAAACAGTAATGCAACGTCAATTTCACGCTGTAATGTCAAAATGCAAATGATGCCGGTTCTACCATGCAGTATGGACTATGCATATGACACAACATCCGCATCGACGGACACAACAGCGAACCGCTTACGAACCGATCCGCCAAAACACATCGTACACTTTCTTCTGTAGACATACAATCATGATGTTCATTCATGCATCTGGGCAGTAAAACGAGGCGAATAGCGCACAACCGTAAGGATAGTCTTTTAACCGGAAACAGCAAGCATCTATTTGAGTATCCGGTAGGGTGGAAATGGTGGGGACCACTGTGCGCGTGCATATATGCACGGGCTGTCAACCCACAACTGCAGAATGGTATACTGTATACGCACGCCGGACTGCCGATATCGATGGTTATATGCCGGCGCACTGCAGTGTGTGCATATGTGTTTGCCTTTGGTAAGTCCACTATGTAAGCTGGATTACGGGCGTTTCCGGTCTAATTAGAATTCATCTTTTGTACCAATCCATTTTAGCCGCAAATAGGCACATAGTGTCGCGACCGGCGGGCGTAGTACACGTCCTGCAGCTGCTGTTGTGTTATGGTGCGACGTAATATTTATCTCGTTTCGTGCCAACTCCACCCCAAACAGCCCGGCGTGTACAGAATCCCGTTCGGCGACGTGGAATGTTGTGGATTCCGGATTCCCAGTGCGTAAATGCTCTACGCGCGCTCCAGCTCTCGTAAATCATGCCATTTCCTTATAGCTTTTCCCCGTTATAAACAGACGTAACTCTAATGGCCAGCCAGCACCGGCGCGTTTGTTTGATCGGGATTGTGTTCCCGCGTAATCAACACGCTTACTTAATACCGGAGAAAAACGCGGCCATAAAATTCCCAACGCACCTTGTGCATTGTTGGTTTTGTGGCCCATCAGATTCATCATTTAAATTTGATGAAATTGATGACAGCGATCTACTAGGTGTCTGTCACCTTCGTTTTAACACCGCGCGCTGATGCATAACCTTTCAGACTTACGGGTAAAAAAATACATAGGGCGACACAAACAATTAACGGTTTCATTGTTCTTATGTGTTTTTAGTCAGGTCGAATAAAAAAACGTGACTGCAGCCTTTTCGTAAGAAACTCTTATCATAATCCGTTTCCGGCTTTTGCAAACGGCAATAATAACTCTTAATCTGCAGCGTGGGACGGTGTAGTGCCGCAAGCAGCCATTTCGAGTTCAGCATGCGCCGGAATTCACATGTACAAAATGTCAGCGTCCACGGAATTGTGGTAACGTGACTGATCATGTAAACTGTCTTTACAAATCAAGTTTCTTTCTTTTGGTACTTGTCATTAATTTTTATGTATAGGTGGTATCGGCGATTCTTCTAAACCAGAAATCGCCTTTAGTACATTTCGTTGCACCCCAATCCGCCCTTACTTTAGTTGATCCTGACAGTGTATTGCAGTAATATGTATGTTCACAAAGTATCGGAATTATAGGTTGTTCAGTTATCATCGGGAAATCACACGCACACCACCTACGCAAAGGCGTCTTCCATCAGCCGTAATTAGTGTGCGAGTATTGGCTTTACTGTGCACTGCACTTGTTTATTTTGCATTTCAATTCCTACCCACATTTCTGTGTTTCCCCCTTTTAATTAAACACATACCTACTGCCTATGAAATTATTAATTACCGCTCTTTCTACACAAATGACGCTTGCAGCAAGACATAACAAGATATCGCATTACGGTAATAAAGAATGCATTGACGTAAAAAGTGTGTTGTTATTCTTACAGCAGTGTATAATTAATCAACGGAATAACAGTGAATAAACAAAATGATTTCACAGTTTCTAGTTTATAAATTATTTTTTCATAAGACAACAATAATGTACGAAGCTGCTATCCTCAGATCTAGACAAGCAAGTATGCGATCGTAGCTTAAGCTGAAATGCATGATTAGTGCTAGCGGTCCATGTTTTCCGTACATCAAATTTCTCAGTTAGAGAATATCAAAGGAAATAAACAAATGGCGGTAGACCTCTTATTCCATGACAACAAAATAAATCAGAGTGTGACTAACCGTCTTTGTTCTTGCCTAAGCATCAAGTTTTATTTTTGCAGTAAAGATTTCGGTATTTTATTGAGCATAATGAACTAAGTTTACATTAGAATTAGAAAGACAATTACACATAAACAGGTTTTGGTGGAATATATCCAGACGATTATATAATTACCGCATTTTTAAGACCGTAATCGAAGATAAACGGGACTGGATTTTTGCTTACGATCAGCATCTTTATCATTTAGTTTTCACACCTCGCACGCAGAATTTTAGATTCTGCATCGAAAAAGCTTGTTCTACCCTGCAATAGACCGAATTTAATTATTGTACAATAATTATCAAAACTCTGACGTCGCACTCCTATCTTTGCGAACGTTGCCGGAAGATAGTTTGCTGTCTTTAATTACTCTTTGCGTTGATAAGATGAAACTCATTTCACGAGATGGGAGAGTCTTCAAAGTGGATGCGAAGCTGGCGGAAATCAGTAGTACGATTAAGAGTCTGATGTCTAATAATCAGCATAACGCTGGCGATCACGCTGACGAGGCTGGAATCCCCATATCGCAGGTGGAAGGACCCATTCTGGAAAAGGTCATTGTGTGGGCCGAATACCACAAAGACGAATCGCCTACAACTTGGAATTTTGAGAACGAAGAAGCGGAAGAATTATTCCGGTTAAAGTATGAAGTCGCTCCGTGGGATAAAGAATACATTAAAGTCGACCAAGGCACAATCTTTGAGATAATGCTGGCAGCGCATTATTTGGACATAAAGGTCAGTGAATGAATATCGAAAACTTTCACTGTACCCGGCTACCCCTACCACGTATTGTATAGAGAGTTGTCAGGTTATTTAAGTACCTAACGTGTGCTTGCATACCGAAAACGGTGTATCGTGTCGGGTGTGGCTAAAGGTCATCTCGTAATCGATTTTGCATCGTTCCCCGGTACGTTATCACTATTTGGACGAATTTCTTGTACCAGAATACAGCGTTACTCGTGTGGCGAAACATGGTTTATTTTATAGAGCGATTAGCGGGCATTATTTTTCTATAATTTGTTTTTTATAACCTTCTTGGTACACTAATGTGTACAAATAAGAACCTATGCAGGGTTTAATCATGCTCTGCTGCAAAACCATTGCTGAGATGCTAAAAGGCAAAGGAGTGGAGGAAATTCGTCGGCAGTTCAATATCAAGAACGATTTTGATCCAGAGGAAGAAGAAGCTTTGAGGAAAGAAACAGATTGGACAGAATGGTCGGAATGGAACTAACATGTGTGATGTAGCAGTGTGCCATACTTCTATGTACTTGCTTAAAGAATGTGTTATTGCAACTGTACGTGGGTTCTAGCTTCGTAATCGTTCTTGTTCTTAATACAGTGCAGATGCCCGCTATTTTATGTTGTATGAAGTGCAAAGGTCTGTTCTTTGGAATTAAGTAAATCTCCTTGGAATTCGAAGCAGAGAACTGAAATGACCGTAATTATAATATAATAATACGCCAAAATACGAAAATATTTGGACTTAGCTACGGTCTACGGCTTACGAGTATATTCACGTATTATATCTGTATTTATTTTTACGAGTACATTCATACATTTTTGTTCGAGATTTTTGATCTTAGTTTACCGTACAAACAAACTACAAGCTGAACTGCTAAAAAATAAGAAAAAAAACAAAACTACAAACTACCTACCTCCGAACGGGGGTAGCTTACATACATGCTGGAGTCTGAAAGTAGAGAAATGCTCCAACATGTTGTTGAATTATGTTATATGTATTGTGGATTCACGATTCTTAATCTTGTAACATGTTTTTAAACTACAAATTGCAAAACTAATTACCTTTATTCGTTTCCTGGCTGAAAGCGCGTGCTTTTCTCATATCCACAATGTCTATGGGGCCACCATCAAATGTGCGGCCCAGTCAGCCATTCCGCATGCCTTCCCTGCCAGTACGACCCTTGAATCCTCCACAGAGACCACTTTTTCCAGGAGGTACAGCACACTCTGTCCCTGCTCAGACATATGCAGTTACTACATTGCAGCTCTTCCATTCTTCGACCATTTGTCGAAGCGCAGCACTGACGCAAGCTGATTGTGTCGTTTTTACCATGTTATCCAGGTGTCAGTCGCGATAACACAGGACGCGTCCAAATTGCTGCGCCTCGCGTGGAGGACTTCGATGACGATGAGGATGATCGCCGACCCAAGCGGCCAGCCGCACCGTCCAGTGGAGCGGGGTTATTCGCTCGACTGCCGAAAGTGGGAGCTGTTGCACCTCCTCCTGAAGAAGCGTACCCTGTGGCCAAACGGAAGAAACCACTGGAGAAACCCAGTGCACCAAGTGGCAGCAGAGTGTGTTCGGTGGATAGCATGTTGGAGGAAGCTGAGATAAAACGGATGCAGGCTATTCAGAGTTTTCTGAAGAAACCCAAATCCGCTGCCAACGATGCCAGACAGCAGGCAGTTGTTCAGCGTGAGCCAGCCGAAAGCGCTGACTATCTTGGATTGAATTCTGGGTACGGGAAAAGTCTCGAGCAAAGTAGTAAGCAGGTTGTTTTTCTCACCGCGTTGATATTTGCGCCGTAGCAGCGCAGCTACGAGTTTTACTTCTGTTTAAAGGCTTTGTAATCTTCACTTGCGGCATGTATATCATGATATGTTTATAGTTTCTGGTGCACCTATAAACCACAATACTTTTTCTTCCATTTTATTCTTTATGACTACTCTATTCGAGTGATCATCTATTGCCTTACTTTGTGAGCACTTTCTGTTACAATATTTTTTATTTTAAATAATAATTGTGTTCATATTGACATTAACTAATGTTATTTAGTTCAGTTTATTTCTGAGCAGACCAGTAATCAGTAATGTGAACTTCGTATTAACAGAAATTTGGAGGATTACGGCGCCGCCGCGGCGGATGATGATCTCCAGTGGGAAGTGGATGCCTCAGCCTATGCCGACGACGATTCATATACTTCTCCACAGGATTATCCATACGAGCCACCCCAGCCGGAGCACAACTTGACCCCATCCGGGATGCACCCGCCGACGGGAACCGTATGGACGGCGAATTACAAATATCAGGACGTACAGAATATTGTCGATCATCCCGCTCCCCGAGCGGCAGCTGCTGCGGCCTCTTCTTACCAGACCGACGAGCAGGTGCACCAGTTGGTGGCACGTTATGAAGGACCGGAATTTCAAGAGTATTTGAAGGCGGGAAATTCCCTTAACATTGTCGATTTTCGGGCGGATGAATTGTTGGGGAATGCGCGAGCGAATGTCATGCGTGGTCTGACAGATAAAGCGCTGAATCCGCCACCGTCCGGACCTGTCCCGGTCAAAGGGAAGGTGAATTCAACGGCAAAGAGAAAGGGACAAATTACCTATCTGGCGGCACAGGCCCAGGCCAGGGAGACGGAGCTGCAGAACGAATGGGCCAAGAATCGGCAGACTCGCCAACAGGCATCGAGGAAGTACGGCTTTTAAGTGCCTGGTATTTGACCGTCTTAAGATTTATCGGTCGCCTGAATTCTTTTTCGATAATCATTCAGATGTTTGACAGTCTAGTAACTGAGTATCTTCTGTGTATCATTAAAAAAAATGGAAAATTGCATGTCAATCTTGTCTGTGTTTTTGTGGAAACACGGAATTTGATGTGCGATGTGGTTGTTACTCTTATTCGTATTCCTTAATTAAGAATAAAAATATTTATCCCGTATTAAGATAGACAAATCCTACATACTTAAGTATTATTTCAGTTTTTGTTACGGACAAAGTCTTATTAATTTTCAATCCTTAAACTGGCTTTGAGTCAATCAGTTTTTAACGTCCGAAGTTTACCGCACCTTCCAGCTCACCATTGTCACGTCCACAGTGTACGTACGTGCACTTTGTAAATCGTACGAAAGAGAGTTTGTTGTGGTTTGATACGATGTAGTGTATTTCGACGTTTTCGTTTTGCTACTGTTTTTTTGGTAGACGCACTCATTAAACAAGTCGTAATAGTTTCGGACTGATAAACTGTTAAAGTCTCCTAGTGTTTGCTCTTTTAAAGCGTGCTTTTTTAAAAGCTGGAAACAATACTTTCAGCTTTCCTTTTTGCAGATTTTGCAAACTGTGCAGCAGGCAAGCTTATAGGATTGCAGATTGTTGCTGCACGGTTACTGCTGTCAAGACTGGATTGTCGCTATCTGTCAAGCAGAGAGTTTTACAGTTTCATTATCAGCAGCTGTCTCGCTCATCGCTGATAACGGGGACGAAGTAAAGATGCCATGAGCATCCCGGATAGTGTGAGAAACTGCGCATGGCTGGTATTCCTCAGGATGTGGCCGCATATTTCCCGCACGCTTCAACTATTATCCGATATGAAGATCACCCTGAATTATCGCCGTATTTTTCTCCTGCTAATCGGTTTGAGCATGTTTCTCTACGCCATACCCGTCCTGTTCCGTCGACTGCGCGGGACACGACCCGCACATTTTGTCCCCTTTCAGTGCCTGCAAGAGCGTCTGGAAGATTTCAAAGACGCCATCCACACTTTCGACGCCAGTCTGCATTACGACGAAGTGGAGAGCAACTACTTTCCCTTCACAGGCAACGGCTATATTGCCCTGGGCGTCGTACAGTCCCTGTCCAAATTACTCATACGGCAGGGACGGTATTTTGAGACAGTGCCATATTATCCGCTGGTCAGCATTACGGTGAATAGTCCGCTGTTGGGACGGAGTTTGGACGAGACGGCGGCGACGGTGATGGACTTCCGCAAGGGAACCGTGCATTTACTACAGAGCTTCGGTGAAGCGTCGCATGTCTGCCTGCAAGTCAGCAGGAAAATTGCCGCGCACCGCAAGATTCCGCACTTATTAGTGGAGACGGTGGATTTCTATAATCCATCAGCGGAGGATATGGAAGTGAAGATCACTCTGCATTCAAATTTACGAGAAATTAAAGAGGCTGTCGTGCTGGACGGAAAGGCACGCGACAGTGAAATCGTCTCAGGGATTGTGGAGAATGCGGGATCCAGTCAGAAAACCGTGATTGCCATCGCCAGACCGAAACTCGCTGATTCCAGAAAGTAAGTGACCAATTGAAGTTGTTTACGTTAACCATTGGATAGACTGCCGTCTCTGGTTCTCTTTATTTGTACTTCCCAAAATAATCACAGAGAGAGAAACTTCATCGTGAAGACATGAACGTAATTGACACGGTATTCTGTTAATTTGTTTAATTTTGCATTTGCAGAATTACGCTGAAAGCGGGCGGACGAATACAGCGGCAGATAGTAACAGTCATAAGTTACGAATCGTTTGTGGACAGTGCCAATACTGCACAGATAAAGAACAATGCAATTGATGAAGTACAGGTAAAATCTAGTACTTTAATAAACTTTCATTATTGTACATCTTTCAGTTGTTAATGACGTGACATACCGGCGATTTCACATCCTTGCTCGGAGCTGGGTATTTGGCTATTTGTCACATATTTGCGTATTTCTATTATTGTAAATCGTGTTTCTGATAAGTTCAAACTTAATTTCCGATTATCACGGACAATCTAGATGGCTGACTGAAATTCACCAGATTTGATATTTTGTGGACTGTGTCACAGGCTTTGTACAATTCCATTATTGGCATCCCTATGGATATGTTATTGAACAGCCACTCGATGGTGTGGGAGGCCTTATGGAAATCTGGTTTTACCATAAGTTATTCCAAGGCTGCCAATGTGTACAATGGAGATAAAATTAACGCGACCGTATACTATGCGCTGTGCTTCGAGAAATCCTCCAGTCAGGAGCTGAAGGACGTCAAATCCAGGGAGCAACTCCTGACCCTCCGACCGACATTGGAGGCACCGAAAAGTGCCGGACACTGCTATGCCACGCACAACACTCTGCAGGCATCTTCCCTGTGGTCCAGCTATCGTTCTGTCGAGGAAATCGTCCGAGTGTCGCATTTGTGGCGGTTGACTCTGATGAAACAAGGATGCGGCAAGTACGAAAAATAATGTAAACAATTACAACTACCAGAAGTCAACTCGTTCAGTTTTTTTTTGTTGACGCCCATTTTTTGAAGGCTTCTTTTCCTGCGATTGCAATTATTTCTGACTTTCTGAATACGTAAATTATACATTAAACTGATTAAAGGTCTCAGACGGTTTATGGTTGTACCATAAGGTTGTAAATAAGGTTGTACCACTACCACGTATCATTGTAAATATGTCTAGTTACTGTATATTTGCTCTGCGGTTTTTCTGTATGGATGTTTATTCTTTTCCGTTATTTATTTTCCAGATAATTTCATTTAATTCAGCTAATTTCAGTAAGTTAGTTTTCCCATGAGCACAGACTTGTTGCTATGTGGACTGTCCGAGACCAAAATTTAATGTATCGTAATTTCATTTGCTCAAATATTCATGTGTTTTTCAGCTTTCTTGCCATGGGAGCGGAAGGTTTTCTACAGGCTTTTATTTTGAGTCTCGGCGGGCTTCGCTTTTTTGGCTACGAGCATCTGGAAATGTGGATGCATCCATCCGAATTGCATCGAAATTACGATTTCCGGCGCATTGCTTATGGAGCGGATGCCCATTTGAATATAGCCATACGTGTGGGAGAAGAAACGGAAAACAAACCAGTTTTACAGGTGACTATACAGCGCATAGCAAAGTTTTTTAGGGGCGAATTTCACAAATAACCGGAGTTCCGGTCACACAGTCCTCGCTTTTGCTTTCCCTTTTTTTTATTTCTGTTCTATTATCTGTTGCTTTATGGCATTTCTCTGATAATTTGGTTGCAACAGGTTTCGGTTGATCGTTCCGATAAAACCTTTTACGCTTGCGATGCGGGATGTTTGGATCCTCCAGTCGCTTTGACCAAAGAAATGCAGGAATTTCCGGTGAAATTAACTGACCCATTGACTGCCATTCTGTATATCACTTCCGATAAAGAGCACATGGAGGAGCTAAAACATACCCTGCATGTAAAAGAAATCAAGGAGTCGGATCCTCATCCTCACCATGTCTTGGCGGAGCACAAACACGGCCACAGTCTAGGAGGACTGCCGGCCTTATTCTGGATAAGCGTGGCGTTATTGGTTGCTGTTTTTCATATATTTTTAATACGACTTGTTGTTAATGAATATTTTAATCAGGATAATAAGTCATATGCGCCGGCGAAAAGGCCGTCACGGTATACTGCTTGATTTGCTTTTTTATATTTTCCCTGTTGTTGCCTGTGTTGATGTTGATCTGTTTGTGATAAATTATTAAACAATTGAATAAAGATACGAATTCAGGATCAGCGCAAGCATACTGTACTCGCACGTTTATTTTAGATTATTTTGGAGATTTTCTGATACTTTTATTCTTGAATTCAATCCAAATGATTTCGTTATCTAAGAGCAAATTTCGCCACCGCGCAAGCTGAGTGCAGGCACAAAAGTGTGCGAGTTCTGCTTTGGTCGATGGAAAAGATTTCGTTATTATAAAAAAAAGTAAAAATTTTGTGCAGTGTAGTAGCGAAAATGAATTTAGAAAAGACCCAGAAAATAATAATCTTGTCAGAAACAATAATCTACTTATGTTCTACTGTAGTACATTTGGGAAACTCCGCCTAGCACCCAAAACTGACCGGTGAGGCGGTGACACGGAGGGGATATCACACGAAGAGTGTCGCAAAGGCAACCGCACAGTTCCGGCGAAACTCGCATCGTCACATTCTTGCCATCTCCAAGCGTATCAGTCAGTGGTTCAGTTTTGAATCTGGAGCACCTGAAAAATCGATTTATTTCTAATTTCTACACTCAACGTGGAATTTCTCGAACCAGTTGTATTCCATTGTTTTTCCTAAATTGACATTATTATTTTTAGAGGATGGCCGACACTGACCGAACACCACCGGCTTCGAATGCTCAAGATGCACCACCAACATATCCCGGACGCAGATCGGGACTGATGGTAAACAGAAGTTTCGCAGTCAGTGTACTGTACTGGTTTTGTGAGAGAGTGGCGCTACGAAATACGCACGTCTTTTTGTCTCCTGGTGGTTTTTAAAAAATCGTAATGTTCGTACTCTTTTGATAATAGTATGTAAAATAAAATTCGATGAAGTACTTGGAAAATGCTGTCTAGCTGCTAGCACTAATGAAATCCGCTGTTCTTTCGCGTCCTTGTTACACCCATTGTCAGTTTGATTTATGGTTCCAGAAAAGATTGCTGCTTGCAGCTTGTTCTTCCCGTGTGGGAATTCGACATTTTTTTACTAACCATCGCAGTAACACCTTACTGTATTACTAATACGGTAATTAGTATAAGTAGTACATTGAAAATTAGAATTGTGGAAAATACTAGCGAATTAATCAGTTAGGATTGGCATAATTGTAGATTTGTACTAATTGATTATGGCGTGCGCCGTGTGGTATAAAACTCATAATTGCTAAATAGTGAATTACTGATATAATTACTTAATGATTATATATTTTGTACAAAGCGCAACGTTGCGGCGTCCTGTCCGGTACTGAAAATTAGGGATCGCCGACATTGTGCTTACGTTGATATAAGTAGTTTATGCAGCCGTAGCAGAATAATTGATCGGTGACGTGGTTTTAATTTTTCGTTGCAGGCAATCGTTTCGGAACGCCCGATTGATTTTCTTTTTGAATTTAACCAGGTGAATTTTCATGAATTTACGTCAATCTGAAATTTTGAGCACCAATGCTATTCGTCTGTAATTGGTGGCAGTTCCATTCTTTACACTATATGGTTGTAAACTTGTCGTGGTTGACGAATTTCATTTGTTTTACAGATTATCTGTCGTAATATTTTCCATCCTGTATTTGACTACCCTCGGGTACGTATCTGGACGTTAGAGAATGGTGAATTTTGTTTAAAGAAAAATGCGTTCTTAAAATAATTAAATTTACGATATTAAAGGTGCGGTGTACTGAATGCTAATGTACTGAATGTACGTGTCATTTCAGAGGAAATGACGCATACTATAAAGCTCTGTTGGCCATGGCCGCCAGCAGTGCGCTGCGCCTGTATCAGCGCACACGCGAACCAGGTAATCGCGGGGCGGAAAGGACCTATGCCCAGTTATTCCAAACCTTGCTGATAGAGGACAGCTGCCATTACCTTATGTACTGCGTGCTGTTCGTGATTGGATCTCCTGTCACCTGTGAGTGAACGTTATCCCCTTTTTAAATGCCAATCTTGCGTATTATAGAATTGTGTATTAGAACACGGTTATATGCTGCAGTTGTCCTGATGCCCATCGCCATATTTGCATGCATTCACTCGATGGCATTCTTCGTCAAACTGGGAAATGTAATGCTGCCGTGTAAACGTAATTGGATTGAAATACCGTGTTTAACAGGAGTGTGTATTGGTTAAATGCAGGAAATTGGAGCCGGTGCGGCCCTGCTGCGGCCTGTCGGTCGCTTGATCGAGACCGAACAGCAGCGAATGTTAATGACGGCTGCCTTGGGAGAGATTCTGATGATGCCCGTGTCGGTTATCATGGTGTTCACGGGAAAAGTTCTCCTGCTCGCTCCCATAATGTATTATCGCTTTCTACAGCTGCGCTATCGTTCGCGACGAAATCCCTACTGCCGGTATGGTAGAGTTACAGTTATTTCTTATTTTCGCTGCGCTTATGATGCTCGTACTGTATTCTTCCAATTTTCTTACAGGCAAGCATTTTTCCAGCTGCGATTAGCGGCAGAGCGCTTGGCCATGCGGTCTCCCGCGGCCATTAGCAACATTATTCTCAAATGTGTTGGGTTCATTTCCCAGTTGGCTCCTCAGATTCCTGCGCAATAAGGGTGTGGTTTATATTCATTTTTCACGGATGGTCGGTATCCTGGACGTGCTGGCGCATAGCCCGACTGTGTGAGTGCACCGCATGCCTTTGTTCAAAATCATCTCATTTCCAGCCGATTCTCTGCTTCGGACGGTGGTACCAACTATCGATCGGTTTTTCTGGCTTTTTGTTACTATCATTCGTTTTTGTTTTGGTTTTGCTAATTCCCGAAGACCTGAGTTTCAGGTTTGACGTTTCCTATTGCAGCTGAAAAGATTAGTCGCTATTAACCTACAGAATGTTGGCATGCTTTTTATCGTGACGTTCATATTACTAATTACGCAAAAGAATGTCTGCTGCATTATTTGCATATCCTATAATGGAATTCGTGATTAAAATCCAGCTTTTTTTTACTGTATTTGCATTCTTGAACGTTGAACGATATGCACTGGCAATGAAACCCCTTGTGCATTAAATTTTGCTGTGAACCTTCTCGTTGTTTGTCGTGCGCAAAGTCGCAGCTAATTGATACAACAAAGTAAAATTACGATACAATCATACAGTATAGTACTAAAAGATATTAAACTCGTATCAAAAGACTGGGCCCAGTGATTCCACGTTGCTTGTAAGTTGTAAGCAATGTACAGATAATAACTGTCAATGCCATATGCAAGCAAACATGTGCGATCTAAAAAATATTATTAAAAACTCTGCTTCTTAAATATAGATATACCTCAAATCCTGCATAATGTGATATCAAATTCAAGACCCGCTTTATACCGAGTTACTCAGTTTTCCACGTAAAGTGTCTTCAATTTTAAACTTTCGTCCAAATTAAATGCAAGGCACAACCAGCAAACACAGATAACATTGTATCAGGGAAAAATAAAACCATTTTTTCCAAAACAAGGAGCCCAACCATGAGCGACAACAGACTGAGTTTTCAACGAGACTTAAAACCTTTATCCCAGGATCTGATGAGTTGACGGGCAAAATGCCAACTGAAGCAGTGGATTTGTAGGGCCAAGAAGAAGAAAATATTCCATAATACCACAACCGGCAAATCCAGAAAGAGATTTTTCGTATGGCGCACTTGCGCATACTCGACCAGTTCCCAGAAATAATAAACAATCCCACCGATCACCGGCAGTATACCCAAGAGAATGTTACCATAAATGAACAAGTTGAGCAGACCGATGCGATTTCGCGGCAACGACGCCAGGGCGAAGCAGGACGGAATAATGGACAACATCCAAATGTACTCCCATAATATCGGCTTCGGCACAGAGAGTTCGGCTAAATCCGGTATGAGAATGTCCAGCCGGTCCAGCGCATCGTCAGCCATCTTCACCACCATCAACAGCCAGAGCGGAAGATGGAAAAACACAAGCGTCCGACGCAGTTTATCCTTGTACTGAATGCTGCAATCGAAAAGAAAACAACGCACTTTCAACCGCTCACTTCATCGTCTGCCAAGGTACATCGGGCACTATAAAAAGCGCACTTGAGTCTCTGCGAAAACAGTGAAGAGATTCTTCGCGTTTCCGGTTGAGATGCGCAGATCGCTACTAATTATAAGTAATTGTCTGAATGGTCAATAAGCGCCGCTATTCAGGGCACTTTACTCATGAAAACAGTAAACAAGTTTTCACAGCCTCTTTTAAAATTTTAATAAAATAATCCTCCAAACTAATAAAATGTCTATTATGAACAGGTTCCGAAACATCTACGGATGGCTGTAAAATATATAATTACAAATTACTCGATACTGACGATGCACCTATATGCACCCATATGTCTCTGAAGATTATCGCGAACTGGTTACTGTAATTAACCCAAAATCGAAAGAAAATGACTGAGGACTCTGAACAATTTTTACAGGTTGTAAAAAAAACTAAAATAGCATACCGTAGCACACATTTTATCACTTTGATAAATACCGCTTTTCTTTACTGACTTCCTAACTTTTTCTTTACTGACTTTACCGATAAAAATTATCCATTACGAACTGTACTGTATCTGTACAGCCATAATATTATTATAATGATAAAATACTTTATAAAGTATCAACCTCAGTCCTTACTACTTATTTAAACAACCACGATTTATCAATTATCAGTAAAAGTTTAAAACTTAGGCACTATTTATTCATGAGGAAGTCATTTCTATGAAGTACAATCGGATCCCAGTTTTATTCGTTCTTAACATGTGCCGCTTCAGCGGACACCCACTGAATCATGAGTCCTGACAATCACCTTAATTGATAAGGGAAGCAAGCTCACCTTAATTGATATCGACGAGGAACGGTTTCTCGATGAGAGAAATCACTCCCATCTGTCCCAATTACTCGAGATCCTTTCGACGCCATCACAATTCATAAGCGAAAAACCTTACAACAAACTGATGTAGCAATCGCTTGTCTTTTCGTATGCTATCGATAAGAAGACGACGAAGTCACAAATGCAATTTCACGAAAAACTACTATACTCTAGTTCAATTCCCAAAATATAAACAAAGGCAAAAGCTTGCAGTCACATCTACAATACTTTTTTACTCCTTTCAGACCTGTGTGAGCAAGACTTAATAGCGAACAGAAAATTAAAACAAATTTATAACAAATTTCTGCAGTATGTCACCGATCGGGATCAAAGTCTGGAATTTTTTATTAGCAAGCCGCAAGGCGCAAGCGGAATGCACATCCTCTGACTAGTAGTACTGTATAAGACATGCGCTTCGCTGAGAACCTGGCTTTTTCACATTGCTTGATCAAAAATATTGAGGGAGCTGTGACACGCCGCTCCGCAGAATCCTGATTTCGTTATATCTTATTATTATATGTTCGTTCTCTTTTTAATTCAGATATTTTTGTATTGTTGTTAAACACAAATAAATATCCAGAAAGAAGGTTTTCGATACGGCGGCACTACTGTACGATATTCAGGGGGATCAGGCATGACTTGGTCGTTCTGCCAGGTGCTTGATCTGGTAGCATTGGCTGTTCTACTAGAATGCAAAACCAACATTATGACGTCATGAAGTACAATACAGCAACAGGCGTGTATAAGTAACTGCAGCCAATCAACATGCTCGACTCTGATCTGACCCGCCCTTGATATTGCGAAACTTTTGTTGGTAACCAATGACAGAATCCTGCTGGTACTTTGAAGCACATAAAAGAGTCTTTGCGATAATTTTAACGATCAGTGTGCGCAGTTTCACGTTGGTAATCGAGAGCAATCGTTTTTCGTGAATCCGTTTCACAAGACAAAGAGCGTTCACAGTTCATACAATTCTGCAAATTCTTTGTTGTCAGTTTTTAATTTTTAAACGGTAGACGTTTAGATTCAATATACAGTATATTGAAAATATTCTACATTTAATTTCTCTGGTCACAGAATATTTTTCCCTGTGTTCCCCGAAGCCTCCAAAACGTTCCCTCTACTGAGGTTGTCTTGCTATATTTGGAGACCTTTTGATCATGGATGACATAAGCGGCGGAGGGACTGGAGTCCCACATAATGCAGATTCTTACATTAACGCACAGAGAACCGCTGGAGCACATCGGAAGCAGAATAGCGAAATAGTAAGTAGCGCGACCAGCGACAGCAGCGCCCCCACACCTAATACCATGATTGCGTCGCCTGCCTCGCATGTGGATGCCGCGGCCAGTCGTCCGGAAATGACCAGCATCGGACGGGGTCGATTTCGTCGGAATGTTGTTGGACATCGTGGTAGTGCGGATAGAAAAGGTAAATACCGCAGTCGCAAAGCAGCCAACCCGCGTCTTAATAACAATGCTGACGCTGATCGCCGCCCAACACCATCCGACGGCTCTGATCAGTCAGAACGAGGCGTACAAAAGTTTCCAAAAACTTTTAACAATAGAAAACGTTTCCAGCGCCAGCGTAAAGATCACAAATGGAAGCCGTATCATTTGTTAACATGGGAAGAGAAGAAAGCGTTAGATGAGCGCGAGACCATACGGGCGGAGCAGCGGCGTAATCAGTTAACCACACTGGGCTTCCCCCAGGCACCGTATAATACCACGCAGTTTTTAATGGAAGATCATAAATCGGAGTATGATAAACAGTTTGACGACGAGACAGCCGGCTTATCATCGGAGGAGAGCAGTCCGGGCGATGCTGATATCGATTCCCTGCCGGCCCTGGATCGCGGCTACGATCAAGAGTATATGCGCGTCTTGACCGCTAATCTCAACGCATTATCGAAGGAACGCCTGATAACCTACGTTCTGCAGATGGAACAGGAGAAGGGCGTACTGGAGCGGCAGGTGCGACTGCTGCAAAAGGAAGTGGATGATTTGACGCCCAAACTGGATGGGACGGAATCGAGCGACGTGGATGCCAAAGAGGAGCGCCGGCTGGCGGTGCCCAGTGATGATGGAAGTGACGCCACTGTCGATTTCCCGGCTACGCACAACATGGAGATAGGGTCTGTGTAAGCAGACGTGGTATTTGCGTTTATATTTAGAGCCACACAAAGTTTTTATTGCTTCGCTGCCGTATTACTTACGTGCAGCATCGGGGCAACACAGACGGCGCTACGGGGTCTTCTGTTACGGTTAATGCTTGTGTGTGTGCTAGGGATCTGTGGATTTTTTTGGCAAATCACGTAGACCTACTTTTAAGGAAATGGTATTAACAGATTGTTGCATATGGGAGTATACTGTACTTGTATGAATTTTTGACATGCCGCTTCTCTTTTCCGCTGTTGTGTTTGAAACATTTATTAATCAACTTATTAATTCAGTTTCCCGTGTTGTATTTGGGCGTACTTTTCATGAGTTTCGTTATGGGAAAAAAATGTCGCTATGGCTACACTTGAAGAAGGTTGGGTTTGTTTTTAATTTGTTTGCTCAGTTTAGTAAGTAACAGCTGCTATCATGAAATCTCAAAAAATTGCACATAGTGTATTTAGTAAGTACTAGTAAATTTTAATCTTATTTTTCAGCTTTAAAATTAATTCGCTGGTCGAAGCAGGATTATTGTTGTGCTGCCCCATGTCCACGATGTGGGGTATTTTTTGTTTTGATTTTGAACAGAAGCTTCAAAAAATAAACAGAAACGCTTGGTACTCGCATACAACATCCAGTTGCATCCTTATCTTTGAGAAAAGAAAAATGCCCATTTTGTGGGCGACTGGAATAAAGATTGAAGTTAACGGTTTCACGCAAAAACTGATCAATAAACAATGTGACCAGACTAATATTATAGTATTAAATCCCTCTGTAGAAGTGAAATCTTAATTCACTGTAGTAAGCTGGTAAAACGATTAAGTTCATATGTTGCGTTGGGTGCCTTTCGTCACACTTTCATCGTAATAAGCTAATGGTGTCCAGTGGTTTCGTTAGAGATTTTGCGCAAAAAATTTGTATTTTGGACTTCATAATATACTGCACAACACCATTCTTTCAACGTATGATTAGCAGTTAACATAGATAATGCTAGTACGAACCTCTGATTAAGCGGTTTATTAAACATCAGAGTGATAAGACAGCGAGTGAAATCTGCTTAAATTCGCCATCTTCTTATAATTAACCATCGCAAGTTCAACTAATTTTTCTAATAAACACTATCAGTATTATAGCAAACATTACTCAGTTTTACTCATTGTTAAGTTTTCCGTCTTTGATACGCTACAAAAGAGTTTTCTGAGAAGTATTTTAAACATACTTCAGAAGGCTGCCCACAAAAAGAACGTTTCTGCATAATTTAGATATTGTGCAGTATTATTATTGTCTTATTACGATTGTAATTGCAGTTCTAGTACAAAAGCTAGTGTAACAGTTTCGGTTTTCTGTGAGAATTTAGAAATCGTAATTTTGGGCATTAAAGGTGTTGCACTCGCAGTCAGTCGCAGATGAGAAATGCGAAGTCAGGGAACAGTGACCTTTCATATATAGTGTTGTCACTGTTGTGCAGGCATATATAGTACAGCAGCAACCTTTCTCTGTGCTTGTTCCCGATTTATGCTTATTACCGTGAGGTGTTCGGTACTGTAATAACAACAGTTTCATGCATGAAATTTTTATAATAAGAATTAAGCGGCTTTAATTCAGGGGGTAAATAGCAAAATACTAATTGTAAACAGTAATGCCTCAATTGACGAGATCTGAATGAATATTCGTACCGTTGCAAAGCTCTGATTGTAAATTGTAATCAGATTTCGTTTTAAAGGGGGTCTGATGTCCTGGTTTGTGTTCCACGTGCATCAGTTCTGTAGGAGCGGTGCGTTTTATTACCATTATTAGTGTTGTATTACATATGGTACTGTAATACTATTATTACTATAGAATATGGAGCTAGCAGCTTCGATTTTGCAATTGCACATCCTGAAAATTTCTAAAACCTTCAGTTGCACCTGCAGTTTGGAACACGTACTCGGACGGCATAGTCACTACTCTACTGGTGCATACCGCAGTATGCGCGTATTGTACAGTACTAATTCTGTATGGATTCTGTATGGTCACCTTGTTTTGATAGTAGAAGCTGTGGATTGTCTTTGTTGGGTTTTTTGTGCGAAGTAGTAAATTTTTAGTTGGTAGCCCATATGAACTTTCCCCCGAATTTCTTTTAATCTATCGTAAATGGACATTTTGTGAAACATTTATTTACACCCTGTCCCAACAACTTATTAAGCATGCAATCACCTCATGTGCTCTACTGTGCACGCTTTTTGTTACGATTAGTAGATCACCACTACAAATGGTACAATCATAGTCGTAAAATTTTAATGTGGTTCTGATCATGTGGATAATCACATGTTTTACGATTGGAGTTTTTACATGGAATGCCCCACTTAATTAATTTTTCACGTAGTACAAACCGGCTTGGGCACTTTTGCTTCGTCTCACAAACGATGATTATCGAATACTATTGTACACGTATTTCTGCATTATTCATTAGGTCATCTTGATACTGATGCACGTTTAATAAACTAGTTACCCTGCGCATCTATACTTATTTTTGCAGATGGCTCTTGTTTAACCACTCGCAAAATAGAGCTACGATTCTCTGATAAACTGCACGGTGCATGGGTTACGGATGGATCGTGTGATATGCTGCTGGTGGAAGTGCAATCGCGGCGTCTCGTGCCTGATAAGGTTCGTTTGTATGTGTGCGGCAGTGTATAAAGAAAAATCTAAGCGTACTGTAATTACTGTACCTAGCGTTTTTCGCCTAGATCTAGGTCTTTTGATGAGGTGCGTATGAAATTTTGTAGTTGCACGGCTGCTGCGGCAATTAGCGGTTTCCATCTCCATTCAGACAGCGATCAATTTTTGCCGTGCTAGCAAGTGCATGTGTATGCAGGAACTGTACAGCGCCAACAAATGTACACATGTGTACAGCCGCCCGCACAAAGACTCGTTGGACGACCTTGAGGGTGACATTAGAAGCGGGGTAGTGGTTGCAAGTTGTGCGATACACTTTGGAGTTTTCAGTCGAGTGGATGCTGTGTCAGCTTACGTATTATGGACGTAAGAACCGCATTATCCGCGTGCACAGGAAGGGAGGAGAGGCTCTAGCTACAACCGGTATGGGACACCATCATCCAACACGCTTTCATCTTTGCATGTTCCAAAATGAATACGAATACTTCTGCTGTACCTTTTCCCTGGAGCTTCCTTTTTTTCATCCAATATTTTACAATATACATCGGCTTTTACACATAGTGTATGGTTATCGTTATTCATAAATAAATTATACTTCAGAGGATACATTATGTGATGGTGTGTAATATTTTATCTTATCAGTCCTACTGGGCAACCCAGAAATTCTTGGTACTAGCTAGCTGACTGAAAATAAATATTCACTGTAATATTTAACATGCATTTTGCAAATTTGCATGCCGCGTGCGTGGTAATTACATATTCTAGGGACGCTTTCGCACAAATCTGAATATGCATCGCGGACACTTGCACTTCGTCATCTGTATGAGTAGTGGCCGACAGAACTGATCATTTCGAAAAGGATACAGTAATGTTTCATTTTTTTAAAACATAGACGCAATGTAAATACACAATCAGTCAAAATTTGTATCTGATGAATTAAGCTGGTATACAAATTTGGGAATATTACAGCCACCGTATCGTTGCACTAATCATACGAAAAAGACTGACAATTATTAAATTTAATTATAGTTCTAGTCGGTTTATAGATGTATAATGTATTAGATTCGTTACGCCGGCAAAAAAAATTATATCAGTGATTATGTTCAAAAGTTTTTCTAGTCTTCGTTACAGAAATGAAACGAAATTAAAACAGCATTGTATATTCATTCCGAGTCTCTGACTCTACGTGGAGCTCCGGTCGAAAGCTCTGCGCAGCGGTGCATATGGAAACACATATGAACAAGATTTAGTTTTTGCGTGTTGTGTAACATCTTATGTATCTTGAAACCGGGGTTACGTTGATTTTGTCGGTGTTGGCCGTCTTTTCGAGTTTCGTTATCCGGAAAGTCAACGAACGTTTCACATTAAAAGATGCATTTGGCCTTGTATGTTATTACTTGAGTTTGCATAGTGAACTGAATGCAGACGAAAAAAAATATCCATTCTAGAGTAGTATTCCGCATTCGCAAAGTAAACTTAACGGTTGCGTTTAAAAATTTATTGCAACAACTGGACAATACGGTGAATAATTCTGGTACAGTATACGTGTAATTACTGTGTCGCTAATATGGTATGCACGAATAACACGATGTCCACGGTAAATGGCGCCAACAGTTAATTAATACAACTGCATTTATTTAGTTTCCTCTCAGATGTTTTCTTCAACTGCAGCTTTGCTCGTTGTTACAAAAATCACAATAGTAGGCAATACTTTTCGAAATAATTATTTTGGGTTTCTTTGTATGTACTGTACTTTCGGTATTGTTAAGCACTATGAAATCGGAAACAATTTTTAAGAGAATCAGGTGTGTTCCTGTTATCAAAAGGAGGAACGTGTCTGTGACTCGGGAAAGCGCAGTGCTTACATGCGAGAAGCAGATTCAACGGAAATACAGTAATGTCGCACTTACTAATGCGGTAGCCTTTATTTAACCTTCAAATTTTAAACCCGGAAAAGATAAAGCCCAATCTAGCCGGCTCACCGCAGTCGGGAGAATTCCCAGAGGGCAAAATGCATATAACCATCTGACATGAGCTATTACAGCATATACGCACACCAATATATTAGCACGGCACCTGCATCTTGAAGCACATAAAAAGACAAGTCGACAAGAATTGCTTACATACTGCCAACTAACAATAAGAATAAAAAGCACGTTGCAAATGTAGAATTACAAACGCACTAGCAGAAGCACAGCGCTAATCAAAAAACAAGAAAATCTTATAATCACCCGCGCGAAGATGGTTTGAAATTGTAATGATGCCGTACCAGTAGCTTTACCGAACAAATTCTCTGTCGATACTTATTACGACTTCAAGCAATAGAGGTACAGAAAATTATTTCAGAATTAAGCTCGTCAAGAACTACTCTACATTTTACTGCTCTACTCTTGTGCAGTTGTGTAATAAACGCGCATGCAGATGACAGAGTTTGCTGAGCAACTGGAGATTGGAATAAATAAAAGCTAATAGCTCTGCACCTTAACTAAAATTCCTTCAACTCATTCACAGTCGGAAATCCAACTCAAAACCAAAATTTGTCCAATTGTGCGTAAACCGGTTTGGTGATTAAATAAATGAGACACAGCAAAAGCGAGCTTTTTCTAGAATGATTACTTCTCGTATAAACAACGGAGTAGTTGAGTCATACTTCTATTGATAAAATCATAAAATTAATTATACATCGGATCGCTTCATGTCGTACACAAGCTAGTGCCCATCAACAAAAATAGAATCATTAAAATGTTTCCTCATGAAAAAGTTTCCTTATTCTACAATTTTAAATTCTCGCATTGTCAATAGTATAGTGAACGTTCGTACTCTGTAGTTACAAATTCAACGAGGATTCGTTCACCGCACGCACAAATATCGTACGCCGGTGCAGTGTTTAGTGTTTACTCTAGTTTTAAATGAAATCGATGTTGACTACAGCCAATGGAATATGCATAAAGCATCCAATTTGACGCTCAACGATCTCCTGCCGGAAGAAATTTTAATTCGTATTTTCAGATTTCTGGATTCCCCGACCCAACAACGCCTGCATTACGTGTGCCGCTTATGGAAACAAATACTGGAATCGCAAGCGGTCATCTCGCAGGTTATGGTGAGCATCGTCGCCGACAAAGACTCCCGTTCAAGGGTACAATCAACCGGATGTGGTCATTATAATTGTACAACTACTGCGCGTTGTTTATCGCGTCTTATTCAGCCCGGCACGAAAAGCCTGATCATTGCCCATAAAGACGCTTCAAAGACACTCTCGACAACAAAGTCATTCCAATCCGCCTACAAACTGTGTCAGCTAACATGCCAAAATACATTTAGCGGAAACTTTCCCCACCGCCTATCGTGCTTGAAGACTGTTGTGATGGATGGAATTAGTGTGCATTTTACCGGTCTACTGCATGTTCTGCCAAAGCTGCCAGCGTCGCTACGTCATTTCACCCTGCGAAATGTTGTGCTGGACCATTTCGCTTTTCTGCCTGATAATCGCAGTGAGTACCGTGGAAAAATCATCCGCAACGGTAAACCGATGTCGGGTATTTGGTTGTACACCATGGAAGTTGTACAAGCCCAAATAAAACTGCCGGTTAAGGATCTGACAGAAGCGAAAACAAAAATCTGGACTGCCATCGAATGCGAAAATGCCATGAAACCGCTAAGTAATGCTGAAATTCAACAACTAGAAACGCTTGCAGCGGATGGAATCAGCAGTAATATGAATCAGCATTTCCGAGAAATACTACAACGACTGGAAGCTACGTTTGTGATTTTTGATGTTGTTAGTTTTGTCAAAGAAAATTTAAAGAACCTACCCACAGTAGTGCTAAGAGAGCTGCATACTGCTGCGTGCCTTTAGTGAACAACTAAACACATTACTGCGCCTACATTAAAACTGCGTAATAAACAAACATCTGCGCTTGCCGCAATAAAGGATTGCTATTGTAAAGTTAGGAAAGCAATACCGTCACTATACATTCAGTATGGAAAAATAGGCTATTCCGAAAAATATTGTTTAGCAATTCGAATGTACTCGTACTGATGTAAAGAAAATAAAAACACTGCAATACGCATGAAACAAGCACACGAACTTTTACAAAAATCATTCTCTTAAATAAAAATGCGCTAAATTCACATGCACGAGAAATAGATAAATATACAGAAGTATATTTCGTTGCACAGCGTACAAATATCTATATACTGCAAGTACAAAAAGATTCGGATCCTTCTCATAATTTTAGGAAAGCGAACTTTTATATTTCATTTAGAACTCAAAAACTAGCTAAAGGCCGTGGATGGCGGTGATTAGATTCAAACTCAACCAGACTTCGTGAGAAAGCTATAATAGCAAACCAACAATTACAGTAGGCTTCACGGTTCGAAATCCATTTACGATTTTGAAATCACACTTGTTGCCTATAATTCGAACTTGCGATAGAAACCCTTAGGGAACGTACGCACATGGTAATTTATATTTGCAGTTTATAATTTTTTCGACAACTGCCTTGTGTTTACAAGCACATTCTTTTGTCCGACGTCTACCACCACGGCGGTAAATAAATAAAAAATTCCAGAAATAAACAGAAAACCAGTTGCAAAATTGGCCACCACCGGAAAGTACGTAAGTAAGCATAACTGAAAAAAACAGACTTACAAGCTATGTTGGAACCTCTTGCGTCTGCAATTTAATCAGCTTGTTACTGGATTCCGCCAGTTCGGCAATCGATACGCGCCCTCGTTGTTTGATAAACTTAGCCACCGCTTGCAATTCTTCCATGGAGATGAAAATAAACTTGCCCCGATCGTCAATAACACCCGTTAACAGGCCGTCAGCTTGCAACTTTTGGACCCGATCGATGCACTCCTGCCGCACAACGAACAGTCATGGTCAATCTGATAACAGCGTCACAATACCTACCTGTGTTTTTAATTTAAAATGAGCTGCCAAATCTTCCAGCAGGACAATCTTATTCTGTTTGATGTATTCGATGAACTCTTGTAAAAGATTTTCCCCTTCCGGTTCAGGCGGTTCTTCACCCTCGGCTTCGATTTGGAAGGATTCCTTCAGTTTGAGATATTCTTCATGTTCTTTCCGTTCGCGTTCTTCGCGCTCTAATCGTTCTTGCTCTAACTACAGAGACAGAAATTCTCAGTTCGACACTGTAAAATATTCTCATTTTATTTGTTACTTACCCGCTCCTCTTCAACCAGTTTTTCTTGTGCCTCTTTGCGCTTCCGCTCCTCTTCTATTCGAGCTTCCCGCTCCTTCTTTTCCTCACGCTCTTGTAATTCAGCCTACAACACCACCTTGTAAGGATACAACGGCAAAAATGATACTAATGAAACAAACAACAAAATTCGCAAACAAAGCCAAATTCCGAAAACCAAAACATATTGCCGTAGCTGATTTAACAAATCTTAAAAAAGTATACGAAAATCGTTAATGAATTAATCAGAATATTATGTAAGAAAAATTCGCTTAGGAAAGGGAGGTGCAAGTAATAACAATAATAACCAGCCAAGTATCTGTAATTCCAATGTTAACAGTAAATTGCCTTATTGTTAGGTAATACAGTGAATTATCTTCACGCTGCATAAAACGTTTTCCTTATTACCCAAGCGATACAAAAACAGAATCAAGCAAATCATAAGGCAAACCATTACACAAGCATCCGATCTGCGCAGAAGTTAGTCAAGGAAAAGATATATTTTGTCTATACCGTATGCGATGCATCTGATCACTGTAAGAATGAGACGATAACGTGGCAAATGATGCGCTGTGCAAAGATTTTGCGTACCTGTCTGTGTGCTCGCTTTTCCGCTTTCAGTTCCAGCTTTCGACGTTTTTTGGCTCCGATATTAGAATCCAGAATGGCTGAGTCTTCCACATCATCTCCTATTTCATCTTCTGATCCAGACTGGTTAAATACTAAACAGAAAAACATCATGAACAAGTGAGAATAACCTCACAACCTAAACTAAATCGTAAGAAAATCCTATAACTGTTTTTCGAGCGTATAATTTTACCAGGGATCCCAACGCTACAACGCAAATAGTATCGCAAAGTGTGGGAACGAAATTACCACTGCTACGTCAACTAAGCGATAATTAACAAAAATTATTACAAAATTATTTTCAAAAACTCCAGATTCGGAAGACAGAAAAAACTCAGTAAAGCCTGGAGAAATGACCCGTTTTTCTTCCATCAGTGAAATAAAAAAAAACCAGCGAAAAAGACACATAGTACTAAAACCACGAACACTGAACACTGCGCAGGACGGATCGAACAGGAAAGCACAAACTTGGACAGAATTAATTATTCATCAAAACCTGTAAAATTCGTTTATGCAGTCCGCTACATCGTTCTCACCTTCTTCGACCCGAGGCCTCTGCGGTCTGGCTCTGTTCCTAACAACCCGTCGGCCACCGGCTCGTCTTCCCTCGTCTTCATTAGGAAGTTCAGGAGGCAGCCGCGGACGCTGCGCAACAGGCTCTGCAAACCATAGCGATCCTGAATTATCACAACGAAAATGTGCGACAACCAAATCACTCGGGCGAGCGGAATAATAATAATCAGTAAAAGTTCTAACGCGAACTCCTTTCTTGACAAAAATCCAATTTCATGATCTTACCTTCTGGAATATCAGGGGAAGTATTACTGTCAGGTTTCTTCTTCCTGGAGAGGAAATAGGCCAAACAGGCAAACACCACGAATCCAATGGCTAACATAATGGACGTTGTGTCCATGACGGGGCTCTGGCTGTGATTGTAATTTGTGCCAACAAAACACAACAGACAACTGGGTCAACTAAACTTGAAACAAGAAGGCACGGATGTGCTTGGTGAGTTCTCAGTTGAATGACTCAAAAACCAAGTTGCGAACCATCCACGACCAGCGAAACCTGAGCAGAGCTCAACAAGTCGACAAGAATCACAAGATCAATGCAGATTACTCGGATATGGAGTTTCCAGTCTACTGTTCAATAAAATCCAAAGATTTCACTCAGTTTCATTTCAAAATACATTACAGATACCGATATAATAACAATGAACTATTAACAATTAAAACTGTCCAACGCGTATACATAAAATAACAAACAACTCATCAATGTATCAGTATGCAAAAATTTTAAAATTCATTAACATCATGTAATTTCTCTAGACAACATCGTCTAGAGTAACCTTTTTGTGTTTTTCGATTTTTCTTGGGAATTTTTGTGGATAAATAGTGAGCCCTGCCATTTCTGGTTCGAACCCAGATTGGCAGGGACAAGTAAAGTTGTTCAGAGGAACTACAGGTACTCTCCAGTGTACGAACTGCCTCGGTTCTCGCAGCATCTTTTCGTGACTGTATTCCTCTCATTATTCCTTACTTAACTTCATACTGCTCGAGTCATACGTCGGAACGCATTCTTGTCTGTCTAATGGAGTCGTCAGGACGCTGGAGCCTTTGCTGCAGGAGCGACGCATGCGCCGTGAGGGGACATTCTGGGGCGTCTGAATGTTGTGCTTCAGTGATCTGGGGCTTGCCTTATAACGCTTCGCGTTTGGCCCTTTAACCAGTGATCTCATCAGCGCGGCATCCGGTCAACCCTAAATCCTGCTTTTATGGTAAATGCGGCCGAAGAACGTAGATCTGTGCTGTGGAGCCTTGTTGACTTCTGCAACTCTCACTGCGCGTTGGATCGTTTCATTTCGTTGTTCATGTCGTTGGGGTATCGTGGAACGAACGTGGATCTTCAGGCTCTGGAGACGGATGGAGAAGCGCGGATGTTTGCGGTCGGATTTTTTGTTGTTACGCCCGAAGCAATCTGGGGCTTGCCCTTACAACGCTCTGCGTTTGGCCCTTAACCAACGAGCTCGTTGGTGTGGCACCTGTGGATTCTGGCTGCTTGTTTCCGTAGTTTTTTCTGTCGGTCTCTGTGTTTGCTAGGTTCGCGACTGTCGTAAAATCATCTTAATTGTCAGTTGTTTTCGCCTATGTTGGTTTGAACATTTTTCATGTACTGGGATGTATAATACAGTACTCATCAGCAGAAACCTGACATGGAGCAAGCTGAGCAAATAGCCATACGAAAAAGCTTTTATACGCCCCGAGGAAGGGGAACTACGACACAAAAATGTAAGTATTCGGGATCGACTACTTACTTACAAACTGGCAACTGCAACAGTGCCGGGGAAAACGGACTGTCAATTTTTTATATGATATAGTTCTTAAATTTATGCAGTACTAGTAGTAATAACATACTTTGTAAGTAATCAGCTCACCTTTACCTTGTGGAATGAAAGAGTACTTTGTCTTTTAACGCGCGGGATGGTAGTAACTTCGGGTGTTGAGATTTATAAGTACTTTTACAATTAAGTACTGTAACTGTAACTGGGAATTCAATATTCAATAAAACGGCAAACGGGTATTCTATTTTTATTGAATATTGAATTCCCAGTATGCAGTACATTTTTCAAAATTTTTCTGGGTCACCGGAAGCTGGACCAACAGCAGGTTACTCAGAAAAAAGTCCTAACAGATATACGAGTACTGTTAACAATTTCTAAACAGACTGTAATACCGCCTGCACTTTGTTAGTTTACCTCCTTTGTGGTGTTACGTACAGAATTACCGTATACAGGGTCTTCGATTCTGAGTATCATAAGTTATTCATAATATATGATTTATTCTGCACGAACTTATTCGCAGAACAAATCATATGTTATGAATAACTTCACGATCATAACTTACAAGTGAACCGGCGCGATGATAAGCTAAGACTTCGGAATACTTAATTTAACTGCTTGTATCAGAGAATTAATTTAGACTAGTGATTATGTGCATTCTAGTAACACGAAAGCGCAATATATTTTGCTGTAAATACCAATACATATCATGCATCATCAGTAATAAATATAATAATATCGGAATACTTAATTTAACCGTTGTATCAGAGAATTAATTTAGACTAGTGATTATGTGCATTCTAGTAACACGAAAGCGCAATTTACTTTGCTGTAAGATACCAACCAATTCATATCATGCATCATCAGAAATAAAATACGTATACTTGTATCAGTTATATCTATATGATTTGTTAATAAAAACAATATGAAAATTTGGTTATTTATTCATTATGCTGCTGCCAGATGTTATGGTCAGAATGATTGGACCCCAGGAAGCTTGTCATGTTCTCCGCCGTGCAGGAACATGGCAGCTTCTCGATGTTGGCCTTCAGTTTCAAATCCAACTGCAGCTGGAACACCAGTATCTGGTAAGTGAGGTACGTCCCCATCAACTGCAAAATATCATGCAACCTCCATAAATTATTTCCGTACTTGTTTAGTTGTCTGCTGTAAAGTTCTAGTTAAATCACTACACTAAAATTACAAAGGTCATGTAATACGGCTGTATTATAACTTACTACTTTATTAAATTTAATGGTCTAACGTGAAAGGATGAATTCGTGATACATACAGCCATAACAGTCGACGAGGTCACCGTCAGCATTTTCCATGCCGAGAATCCTATCGTTGTGCAGGTTAGCTTGCTAAGAAAGGTTTGTAGGTGCAGAGTTTGATTTTCCGTGAGGTCGTTCGTATTCAGCTCGTACAGCCTTTCAGAAGGCGAGTGGGCCTACAGTTTAAATAAAAAAAATCAACACTCGTACAATTACTCAATATACGATTCTTTTAATGTGTAAAAGCTCAGAACTCCGAACGCTCTTACATTCCGGTTAAGCGAGGCTCCAGTAGAATACATCATGAATATCTGCGAAAAAGGTCAAGAGATAGATCAGCAGAAACGTCAGCAGAATGGGCTCCAAAAGCCCCTTTTGTCCGAGATCGTACAGCTGAAAGATTATCAGCAGCACCTGCAGTATATTGGAGGTGAAGGTGGTCAGCACGAAAGCAGCGAAGAGCCTGTCGCCTTCTTCCAGGAGAACGCATAAGGAATTGTGCCGCAAGCGGAACCATTCAATCCACGCCGGTAGTTCGGCTGCTGAAACGGATGACTTCATATCATAATTCAGATGGAAAAAATCGAAATCGATGAGAAACGACACCGCGAGGAACAGATAACACGGGACAACAAAGACAAAGGATAAATACACGGATGCAGCGACGTCAAAAGCCATGACGACGGTCTGGTACACGCCCTCCTCGGGAATAGCGCTCAACAGCAGTAAGCGTAAACCGCGCGTCGGAATCACTAACGCTTCCACTTGCCCGGCTATGACGATCAGCAGATGGACAACCGCAATCACGGACAATGTTTTAATTTTCCGATCAAATTTCTGGGCAAAGTTGTTGCATTTGCAAAGGTCAAACGCGCACCGGTACCGCATTCCGTCCCAGCACATGAAAAACGCCACAATTCCCGCTTTTCGCCAGCAGGCGCGCAGCATAATAACGTGGACAATCAGCAGCTGGGCTATCCACAAGAGAAAGGTCACGGCGTTGACCAGCTGACCCAGGTTATCGTATGTGATGGGAACGCCGGTGAATTTCGCGATAACCCCGCAAATTACGTGTATGCTGAATGCTACCGTGACCAGGAAGATTATAATTGAGTAAATTCGGCAGAACTGCTCCAGACGGTGACGCCATTGATAACCGCGCGATTTCGGTGTAATGTCGCCGGGCGTCACGCTGGTGTTGGCTGGTTGACGAGTATGGATACCGGGATTGATGAAAAACAGGCCGCCGAGGCGCAGGATGTGTAAAAAGGGCCGGCACAACTGGAACAGTTTGTTATGGTGCAGATATTCAGTTTCGTCTACGATTCTATCCAATTTGGTTTCAACAGATTCTGTATTAGCCGGTGCTAATCCCTCGACCGACTGCGAAACCGTCATTCCAGCGGAAAAGATGAAATTATCGTCAGCCATATAAATGTGGTAAAGCAGTAAAATGCAACACGTTACAGAATAATTGTGGCAGTCAAAAACAGCTTATTCTCTCAAATTACACCGAGAAAAGTGGATAAACGACCTTTCTCACCATTTCGGCATCGAAAATGAATTAAGAAAAGGCTGACCAATTTTTGATGGTTCATGAATATGGCTCACATAATGATTTTGTATTATGCGAACAGCGGATTACGAATAAATAGGCGGAGTCGCGGCCTCGTGCAGAAATACAAATAGCATACAGGAAGTGAAGAAGTAGTAATTCCAGGATGGAAGCGGACGTAGGTGGCTCCCGTTACACAACATGTTTAACATTATTTTGCCAAAACTGCTGCGATCAGCAATAATTCTTAAGTGGCTAACCATCAAATTCCCGTTTTCGTGATAAAGCAAAACGGGCGAGCTGTTGGATTCCCGAATAAACAGGATGGTTAAACAAGAAATGCAATTCAAGCAGATTTAGTCCTACTGTGCGACAACGCGGAATCGCAACCAAATACCTATGTACTTCTGTTATCTTTTCATAGCATTATGACACGCGGTGTTAACAAAACTACGATATAAGTATTGCTGAATGTCAAAAAATACAAGACCTTAATCTTTCTCAAGGGTACAAATAACGAAAATACACGAAGAATACAAATTCGTAAAGAGCAGAGTTAGACTAAAAGTAATGTTTATCCCAGCTCGACTTTTCTGTCACAAAATAGCTAAACCATCATCAAGTATGTTGACAGAGATAGTTAATTCACGTAATACTAAAACACAAATTAGAACACCGAGAAAATAAAATAAACGTAATATCAAGAAACTGCCATTCCTTGCTATAGCACCTTCACGCGTCGAGACACTAACGCTTTTTAGGCATCAGAATAAAAAGTCAAAAATCAGAATTATCAAAGAAAAAAATTCCTGCGGACCGTTTTTCTTATCAAACCTGCCCGCATGATAAGAAGAAAAATGCACAACGAAAAATTCACAACAAGTGAGAGAAGGAGCTGATTTTCGAAATCAGAATCCCTTAGAATTACTAGAATTACCGATAAGTTCATCACCGTCGTCATCTTCGCTTCCTTTCCAAGCCACTGGTTCCTCATCAACCAAATGATTCAGTTTCTGCCGGAAAATAGTGAACATACGCTTGAACTCCAATCCGTTACCCTTCGACAGACGGAAATCCATGAGGAGTTTCGATCCGATTTGGACGAACGACAATTTCAGCACTAACGGTATTCGGTAGCGATCATTTCCAGATATCGTGTACTGCAAAAAAAATATAGTATATCGAGAACAGTTTATTAACCTACGAAAAGATACCCTGAATTAACCTTAGCTATCAAATTGCAGTTAATGTACTAACGTCGAGCACCATGCATGAAGTTAAATGATTAACTAAACTAAACGCGTCTGGAATCTACTACTAAATCACAGAAGTTTCGTGCACTACGATGTTATAGAATACAAATTACAGTGCTATTTACCGATCCAGAGGATATGTGCGTGATTGACATATGCATCGGGTCGAGGATTTCCTTCAGTGTATCAACGGCTTCCTGGACGCCACATGATAAGAAGAATCGCGTCATACGTTTCACCAAACGTGCCATGGGATGTTGTTCCTGGAAATTGAAATTAAAACTGCATCGCCGCCATGTTGTACCAATTGCAAAATTGTGACAGTAACATACCTTCAACGCATCGACGCCTTGTGACTGACTTAGTAAGAGATCTTCCAGTTTTACTGGCTGAGACAACATTTTATCCATAACGTCCGCATCGTTAGCACTATCATCGTGGCAATCACTTTTCGGTGGCAGGGTAAGAATATTGATGTCAAATCGAATGCGCTTCGGCGGCGGAGCACGAATCGCTGTACAACAGTAATATCTACATTTTTTTCTTGCAAAATTCTCATTTTTAGCAGCGCAGATTATTACCTCTCTCTGTGAACCCTCTCTTGTACCAGTGGTTGTTCCGAATGTCATCAATCGTGGCTCTAGCTGTCGGTTGTGGGTCCAACATTTTTCGTAAAATCGCTAGATAGATATTATTGTAATAATAAAAACTACAGAAACATAACACATAAAATGTACCAACCTATGCATTCAGTAGGCATTTTGTTCCACGGTGACAGCGTTAACGAAGCCATTTTCCATGAACAGTAGGCCTCGTGCTCGACGTTGGCCGCTTCCCAAGGCAGTTCACCGCTGACCATGGTTACCAAAACAATACCGGCCGACCAAATGTCCAATGGCTGGGCATGGAATTTATCACGATTGTATACCTCCGGCGCAACATACGAAGCAGTCCCACGGCGAGTTGTAATTTCTCGCAGTTTGCCTTTGTCGCGGAACAATGTGGCCAAGCCGAAATCAGAAATTTTTATGACATCTGAAAAAATCATTAAAATACTATCTAATCCAATCCACGGAAGTTGGCTTTACGACCGGAAGATTTCCGCCAAAATCAAAATATTTATCGGCAGGTTGAAAGTCTCTCCACTGACCGTTCTGGTCCAAAAGCAGATTTTCGGGCTTAATATCGCGATGCACAATACCCATTTGATGAAGGTAATCCTACGATAAAAAGAGTTAAACACAAACAATCGCTCCACCTACTCCGCAGTCACTAAAGTACGATGAACACCGACATACCAATCCATTCATAATCTGCACAAACCATTTGTGACACTTATTGCGAGGAACACCAAAGTCTGGCTCTACAACGCAGCAAATTTTAAATCAAAGCAAAACAAAAAGCAACAACAAACAGAACTAGAGCAGTGCGCCACGGACTTACCGATTCTGTCGTACAGTTCACCGCCACACGCATATTCCAGAAAGATGTACGTATTCGCCAACGTTTTCCGTGTAGCAGCAAATTCAATGATATTCTCATGGCGGATATTCTTGTGAATCAAGATCTGAGAAGGAGAAAATTACGATAAACACCCTTTTAATTAGGCAGTTATGGCGAAGTAAACTGTAACATTCAAAAGTACGCTGTACATACTACGCTACGCTCCTTCAATTACCTCTCGCTGAACCAGATCCAACACAGGTCGATTTTCCTCCGTCGATATAGTCTTCTGAATTGGAATAACCTTCATTGCCAAAAGTTTTTGCTGTGCGACGTTCTCCACAAGTTTAACGCTGAAACAATTCAAAAATATTAGAATTTCCTACTAAAGTAGTTTTAAAATCTACCTATACGTCAAATCCGGAGAATAATAATAAAAAAATTGTACTTAAATCATTACTCAAATTTCCCGCTATTTACGTATTAAGAAGTAAGAACCCTGTTTGATCTGCCATAATCGATGATATTAGTAAAACTGGAGTCACGTTATGTAATATGAAGGCGAACTGCAAAATAATTTCTAAATTTGCCTTTTTTTAAAAAATATGAATGCGTCTTTCAAAGGAAAAAATTATTGGTAAACCTAAACTGCAGCTTCCATAAAAACCAACCGTAGGCAGCTACAGAAACTGATAAACTGATCTGAAATTTTCACTGCAACTTACTCGCCATAAGCGCCTTCTCCCAGTGTGGACAGTATGTACCAACTCCCGTGAAGACTGTCGTTTTTATCCGCAGGAATGTGTATCGCAGCGCGATTCTTCGGGATTTCACGTTTACTCGAACTATCCGATTGATCTGACCCGTCCAGAGAGGACTCGGAGGAATGCGACGAGTCCGTCGTGTCTGAGCGTTCAGGCTCATGAGGATCCACAGGGCACTCCGCTTCGTACGCTGGCAGCACGTCCACTTCCTCTTTTGCTTTGCGTGATGCATACGGCTGGTTATCACCGTACAAGGAATCACACGAGTCCTGATCATCCGTCAGACTGGCACAGGTGTCGGGCGCAGTGCGCACGTTGCGAGTTTTATTCGTAGCAGCATTCTCGTCTTGCGTGGCTAGAAGTTCTAGAGCACAAATCCTTCTTACAGCTGCATATGGATACAATCTATGACAGTAGTTTTAAGACTTCCCCAGCTAAATTACTTACCGGTGTAGTTATCCATAATATTGGCCGCCATTGTTGTGAAAAGACGCTCGGGTGAACAGCCAAGCTAAAGAGCTAACTGCAAAATAGAAAGCCTAAGAAACTTTCAATTCTGGAAACCCCAACAAGAAACTTCCAAACACGGATGATATTAAATGCGTACAAACATTCATGAATGAAATGCGTACAACAAAGCAACCTACTCTCGCAAGATGAGTTGTTGACTGCCACCAAGGCGGTTGCGGCTATGGCCTGTCGCATTTTTAAACTGCAGTTCTGATTTTGAGTTCAGTTTCAAAACACAAACTGGCCGTAAGAAAAAAGTTGATTTATTAAACTAATTAAAGAATAGGATTTCATCCATTAGACAGTTTTCTTTTGCGTCGTGCGTTTGTTGGGAATACTTGTGAATAAGATCAACATTAACGATGTCAACAGCAAAGTCAACATCTGACGATGATCTGCGCTGGATTCGTGCTCCAGCATCCAGTAATCCAGAATTCCGACCCAGTGTATTTCCGGAAACGATGTCAACAACAAAACCAAATGTAGACAGTGAACTGCGCTGGGTCCGTGCTCCAGCCTTGGATAATCCCAGCTTCCAACCATACGTGTTTCCGGAAACAATACTAGAAAAAGCGAAGCGCAAAACCCTCGCAAATCCCATCGTTCCTATCGGTACGATTTGGGAAGAAGATTTCAGAATTTCGGGAGTTATAAGCTACATGAACCTTGGAATATCTTTTTAATCTTTTTAATTTCGGTAAACTTGAATGTGAATTTCGATTGAATGCTTATGCTTTGTCCGCTCCTGGATGCTGTTGCTCTCTCTGAAATCAAAAGTTTTTACTTTATTGTATGAACTAGTAATAATATTATTATTAAATTTGTTTGAAATAATTATGTATGAAAGTTTATAAAGTCGTTAGTGGAACATTGTACTGTACTTGCGGTAACTTTACTGGTTCCATATTTTTATATTTACATTGAATGTTACGAGGATAACCATTTGTTTTGTTTTTTTGCAGTTTCAGTGTGTCCCTTTCATTGTATTTTTGCAGCTTTGATGGCTAATGTGCAATAATTACTATCTGTACATTATTCCTGATCATGATAATTATTACAATGATCGTTTTCATGTACGTACGTTAATCGGTAAACCGCACGGAGAATTCTGCTTTACCGAATTTATTTGTGATTTTTTGTTTTACTTGAAATCTTGAATCAGTATTGTGCATTTCTGTTTTCAGGCGTTCTTGCTACTAGTGCTGCTCTTGGATACGGATTAATCAGCATGCGCCGAGGAAATTCGGTGATGTCGCAGTACATGATGCGCGCCAGAGTAGCAGCGCAAGGTAATTAATTGCCTAATCTACTGTTTTCATAATTTGGTTTCTCTTATACGAGAATAAGAATTATTTATATAAGATAGCGTCATGCACCTGAGCTAACGCAAATAGTTATTTACCAGTTTATTTGCGATTTTAGGTTTGACCATTGTCGCGCTGGTGCTCGGTGTATATTGGGGAGCAAAATGAACATTAATTATTGCGTTTCGTCTGGTGGTGTAGATTTTTGTTATACAGTGTGAATTTTTGGAAGTTAATATACAGCTCTCTTATCTGAGTTTGCCTGCACATCCGTAAACTGGAAGATTCGATAAACTCAGTGGTCAATTCTCGACTAACTGGATTAATTTAATTTGGAAACTGGTTGTTTGAGTCTTCCATCTTCTACTTTTTAATGGAGCAGACGTTAATTGTATTGCTTAAACAATAATCTTATACAACAAATACAGTATGGACGGCAAGAAAACCAATAAATATTTAACAAAACGCTCAAAATAATGCATCGATCTGTCACTCACTTGTCTATCTGCGATTGCTCAGGGTCAATGGCACGCCGCAGAATTTGCGCAGAATACTGACCAATGACCACGCGAGACATTTCGCACTGGCGCTTCAAAAGGAATTTTTATTCTGTGAAAGTACGATAAAGTAAATTTTCAATTATGCCATAGTGCTGATCTGTGGTTTGCATGGTTTGCTTCGTATTGTTGTCCAACAGATATATTCGGTCACCGTCATCCTTCTCGCTGTAGTACTTCGGCGCAGAACATGCCGGCAAAATATAGACGTCATCTTTATCGTTTATACCCAAAGCCTGATACAATTCTCGCACACTTCTCGGATTCGGCAGATCCTGTAATTGTAGCAAGTCAAATTTACAGTCTTCGTTCGACAGCCTTCGAATCTAAATTCTTTTCCTCGATCTCGCCAGATCAAGCAAAAAGTAAGCTGTATAATTATGTGGATTTCAAATTTCACTCCAAATGACGGCAATAAAAGCGCCAAATTAAAGACAAATGCATCTCTACCCGTGCGAAACATCACCTGTTTGTTGGCGATAACAACTATTGGCCCGTCATATTCCGCGTCTTTGAAGACAAAACTAAAATAGGCTCGAGCAGATTCCATGGTTGCATCTTCCGCCGTAGCGTCAACAACAAAAATCACCAAATTGGCCATGTGGAGGAATTCTTTGGCGAATACTCTAGTCGTTTCCGCACCTCCCACTGAAAATACCGAACATAAAATATAACCTATTCGAACGATAGAACTGCAATTTTTACGACTGATTATAATGCAAAAACAGACAACACTTCGCGAGGCCAAAATTTCTCCCGTGCACAATCTCCCAAGTGATGCGAAAGACTGCATGCTGCGCAGAACGCCTTAATTTAAAAGCTTCCTTTGTTTGTTTGTCAGTATTGCCACCATGCGGTCAGCTGATCGAAACACAGAGGTTCGGCGAAACAAGGCGCATGCGAAAATCCCAAAAGGCTCGCAATCCATTATTCATAATCCGAGCCGTTGAGTGGGAGCAAGCCTCCAGCTGCGCAAATAGTCTTGACAAAAAGAATTCGATTTTCTTTTATTCTGATTAAATTACACTGCGTCAAGACGTCTACGGGGGTTGTCTTTGATGTCGATAACGGTAGTAACAAGATTTTATGAAACAGGAATCGAGTGTTATCTCATAAAAACGCGTTCGATATGGTGTAAATAGTCTATTACCCATAAACATTCAACCACTATCGTACCTGATCACGTAACCTTCTGCATGCTCCTCTAATAAAATCAAAAACGAGCTAATGCTGGTAAGAAATGTATTACCGGAAACTACCTGCGCACTGCACCACACAAGGGCGAACATAAAAAATTCGTCAATAAAAGTCGTAAACCAAAGCGCCCACTTTAAGCCTTTAGGTGGGACAGCGAAGCTGCGAACAGTATGAACATTCTGTATCATTATGGCAGCTATAAGAGGCTTACAGATTGCTAGAAATATTGAAAAAACTGAGCAGTGCTTTGCGTTTATTCATTAAATTTCGAACTTTGTCAGCGCGTACCTTCGTAATATGTTTGGCGGAGTCCTCTGAGATCAACACTCGTCATTCTGACGCCTAGAGTAGGCTCAGGATCATCTGAGAATTTGCCGGGATTCTTATAATCACGCAGTAGCCGCTGGAGAAAAGCGGTTTTTCCCGCGTCCGATAGGCCCAAAACGACAATGTTGCGTTTCCGCTTATCTGGAGAGATCTAAAACATCAAACGACACATGTCCATTTGCAGCAGTTGACAAACATTTACTGAAATTAATCACAAAAAGGTTTTAAAGTGACGGTACAAGTTTAATATACACCGTCAAAACTTTACAGTATTGCAAGGCAAATAGTAATCGATGTGATTATTTCCTTTATCTTTAATACTTATTACAGGCTACAGCTGACTATAGTACGGTAGTACCTCTGCTAAAGTAATGGGTTTGAGAAGCAAAGTTTTTCTCCGTTGTTGATGCCTCTGGCGTCCGTTGAGAACGCTCAAAACAGGAATGTTTCTGGTCTGTCTCAGCCACATGCATCCTGAGATTATGATAAATCCCGTAGTTCCCAACAGCGGCAAATACGGTGATTTCCAGTCCAGAAAAGTTTCGTTTCGCAGCTCTTGCAGAGCGGATACGGCAAGCGTGCCCAGAGTGATTAACATTTCGCGGCGCACGACCCTAGTGCATCAGCAAGCAAAACGGTCAAGGTCTGATAAAGCAGCAAGCGACAAAAACGTTGGTCTTAAATAACAGATTCAAACAAATACCAATTAATTAACCAAACACAATTACGAGTACGAAACAGACTGTAAATAACTAAACAAAATTAATCGTAACGGTAACTCACCAAACGAAAGATGCTGCGGATGCAGCAGTAGAAATAAGTACACTACAGATTCAAAGGTTTCCTGATTTCCACATGTAATCGCGAAGCAATCCGCAAAACATCCGCTGAGCTTGAGAACTCCACTTTTGGACTAGGATCGTCACTCATTGCTACCACTAATTACGAATAAATCAATCATGATAGGTTAGGTGTAAACTTGTAATAACCCATATACGAGTATAAACGGACGATATCCCATCAATCATCAGCAAAAGAACTGTTGTTTGGACGTATTTTCTATATAAGCCGCAGGCTTTAGGATCAGCTGATCAGTGATCACCGTCAAAATACTCAAAATACGAAATTAAAGACCTGCAGTCTGGAAGAAAACTTATAACTGAGGTACTGTATTAGAATGGGGAATTTTTCTGGCATAACGAGGCTAGAGTAACAGGCGAACGACCACTGATGGGAGGAGAGTCCACCTTGAATCAGGTCTAAGCGCACCAATCAGCGGTTACGCGCGTTGGAAATGGAACTGCCTTGGGACAGCGCGATTCCATTCTTTTTAGGTGGCATTGGATTTTATTCTGATTCGGTTTCTCTGCTCCTTAAAATGTCAAAGACCCGAAGCTCTTCTACAGTTTAGAGGAACTCGTGAACTGCACGATACTCTTCAAGTTTTTCTTCCTCAGAAATCTGAATCAGCTTTTTATAGCTTTATCGCTTGTTATTTTAGTATTTGACGAGGCTGGTGCGAAGTTCGCGGGTGATCTGAACAGTAAAAGCGCGAGTGTTTGTAAGTTTATTAGTACAATACCAGGAACCAGCTATCAAAGATTGGGCATATTGTGACTAGCATCCACTGTCTAACTGTTAAGCGGCAGCCGGAATTGTGTCGGAAATCTGTCACTGCCGCAGTTTAATTGTGCCACTGGAGCTCCTGAGCAGTCCTGAGCGATTTCTCCTTTCTATTTAGATCCTCTGCTGTCTTTCACTAGAAATGGGCAAAGCGCGTTCCAAAGTTAAACGCGTTAAAGCGTACAGCTACACAACTGACAGGAAAAAGCTGTGGAAGAAACGGAAGCAGGTTCCACACATAAAATGGTATGTCCTGGTGAAGACCATTTCTACTTGTTTTGTGTGGTCGAAGCGGTAACTGAGACCGTAACTCGTGCTAAGCTGACGGTTCTCAGTGGCGCTTTTCCGCCTAGCAAGATGAACAGTGCATTCGAGTTTGTTATTGCTGACTGGTTTTGATTTATCCTAAGCGTGAAAACTTGTCACCTACTTTCCGGCTGTTTGCTTACGGCGGGCGCTTATTATTCCTGTACGAGGTACGAACGTTCGTTTTCTTATTTTAGTACTGAAATCAAAGAAGCGTGGAATGCAAAGAAAAGTATCGATCAGAACCTGAGGCACATGGGTCTCGCTGTGGACGCGAATAAAACACTTCAGATTGAGGATACAAAGGTATGTTTTGGGGTTCCACGTGCTGATGCATTACGAATATTGTTATTGGTTATTATGGGGGCAGAAGGACTATTGGTTTCGCTTGCGATGTAACCGACAGCGGTCTCATTTAAACTATTTTCGCGTTTCGCAGTTATCTTTGCATGCTATGCCTTATGGCAGTGCAATGGATAATTATTTTAAATATGTTTTCTGAGGTTTTAAATTATTACCAAGCAGTAGTGGGTAAACCGGTGCAAAATCTGTTTAGGTGAGGTTACTTGGAAAAAACACGAAGAAGAAAGCCGAAAAGGTGGACGGAGATGTCGAAATGGGTGAATCCAGTGTAGCGGAAATTCTTCAGAAAAGTGCGGCAACGCCACAAGAGTCAGGCATGAAATTGTCGGAGCCGGAGGCTGAATTCTGTATGCTGATGATCGAAAAGTATGGACAAGACTATAAGGTAAGCTAAAACCTTCGTGATGCTTGTTTTGAGTTTCGGAGAATGGGGAAAATAGTAAGTACGTTTATTTCTTGCAGGCAATGGCTCGCGATGCAGACAATTATTATCAAGAAACACCCAAACAGATTCGCCGTAAAATTCAGACATTTCGACGTTTCCCCGGTCCTCACGCAAATTTCCTGAAACGCAAAGGATTGTCCCAAATGGACGTTGATGAAACGGAAATATGAGCATTTCATTGTTGTTTTTCTTTCAATACAGCTCTGTAAACCTGAATAATCATTTTTGTCAGATACCGTGGAAACATTACTAAAATTTAAAACCATCGAAAAACTGATGCTAAAGCAAGAACAAACCAGAAAAATCCAAAATTGCAAATAAATATAACACATCTCTCACGAGCTCATTTGAAAATACATTAGCACTCTAACGAATGATTTTAAAATTTATCACACAAATGACATAGGTTCTCGACTGAGTTCACTAATCTATTCTTTCGTAGAACAGAATGTACGCTTTAGCAGAAACAACACTCTGGGCTGAAGTCGGCGATACCCGATCGTCATCAAAACGCAACCACGTATTGTGGTCGGCGTGAAGGACATTAGAGGTGTCTGCAAATGAAAAAAACCAGTTTTGCACAGGCAAATGTTATCTCCAGTTTTCCACCAAATGTTGTCTCTCATACTTACAGTGTCCGCTCTGTAGAGTGCCGGAATGATCCACAACTCCATAGAGACGATATCGCGCCTGTGGTGTTAAGCTGGGCAGCCGGCAGTAAGGCGCTAAATCTAGCTTTTGTTCACAAACGACAAATCTTTCGTCTTTTCGGTCCGATGGTAGATACGGATTTCCGAATCGATTTAACTGCACAAACATCAATTTCGGAAAGCTTCGAAAGAAGAACTGTTGTGTAGCCGGGCGATCCCTCGCACACCGGGGACAGTTCCACTGGCACCGGTTAACGCTGGCATCAGCCTGCATTACCGTGGCAATCAACTTCTACAAAACCAAAACAGCTAGCAACTAGAACATCTATCTACAGCTGACCGCGAACTCCGTGCCATCAAGTTTCTCTCACACTGAGACTGAGCACTTGGCCATCGTCCGCACCCAGGGCAATCATCAGCATCTGGTCGCTATTGAATGTGCAGGATTCATAACGGCATGCCATGCATTTCACCACTGTTTCCCGGATGAACGAAAGCATAGAGTCGATAGGGGTATCGTTTACCAGTTTGTGGCGTCTGGCAGTTTCTTTAGCAAGTAAATCGGGCGGCAGGTTCTCGCTGTTTTCAATCGTCTGAGCTTTAACCCTTTCCTCTCTACTCGCACCGGCTAGTTTGGCTGAATTCGTGTCCCAGTGCAGTAGATCCAACAGTTCCTGTAAAGCTTCAGATCCATCCTGCTGGGCACTCCTAAAAAATGTATTTTACAACATGCACTGATTGTGAGATCAGCAAATATATACGCACCCTTCGAAAACCTTTTTAAAACTAGCCAGTGCACTCTTGAGAAAGACCGGAGCAAAATATTCATAATAACCACTCCACAATGATCGCAAACATTGGATAAACGCCGAGGTCACTACACCTTTCGTACTCCGCGGCAGATCATATGCTTTCATCACCGAATCCATTACCGTCGATGCCGAGCTCAGATACAATTCCCGTACAGGTCCCGAGTGTGCCAAACACTGAATAACTGCATTCATGTAGCACGTATTCCCCATATTGTACAATCCAGTAAAGCCAGGCTTCTGCAAGCCATCAAAACAGTGAACAACCTTATAACTCTACCATAGTTTTCCTTTACCGAGACACTGGCTTTCAAGAATGGTTTATGCCAATCATCTCCAGAGAAGTCAGGGAATTTGAACTGCCTTGGCTGAGTGACGCGTTTGTCTGGCTTCAGAGTTCTGTTGATCTCTGGAATCGGTTTTTCCTGAGTGCCGCCTTCAAGCACAATGGGAATTTCTCTAACAACCGGTGACGGAGCACGCGGCGGAGGAGCGTATCGCTGGCCAGCAGGCAAACCAGGAGAGTGCGGCCGACTTCCTGGAGTCCGGTCAAAGGTATTCGCTGATATTTCTAAGTGAAAATGGAAACATTAGAATACTTAGATTCTAAATGTCGCATGAAAAACGTGCTGATTAATAATGCTGAATCACTAAGGGGAAAATTAAATTCCAATCCGCAAGTCGAGAAAACCATAATGCTCACTGAGTGCATTTCGAATATATAGCCCCACATTTCTCGCTCTAATACGGTACTTGCGAGAACAAATAAAGATAATCAATTACAGTTACCATTAAGGACAGTATTCATGGACTTTGGTGGTAAATTTTCTCGGTCAACTTTCTGAACATCTCTGGATACTGGTTCCACTTTTGGATTTACGCTTTCCGAAGAAACAGTTGGTTTATTTGTTCGTGATACCTCCGGTGTCTTCCGAATTCCGTCTTCTTTCAGCGATTCACTACTTTTTGATTTCGATAAATCCGTTAAATCAGCCGACCCTCTTTTCAGCGTAATATTTGGATGGAACTCCGTTATGCTGAATAACGATTCGTCCTGACCCTTCTTGCCTGGGGGTGCAGGCTCACCTTTGTCGAGCACCACATCGCTTGTTGCACTGACTACCGCCGGTGCGGGGGGATATTGTGCACTCGGCTTCAGTAAGCGGTTTGCAACCGGCGTAGATGGCTCCACACTGGCATGGTCTGTTTTAATAGATCCAGTTCGATTTCGGTCGTCACTCAGTGGTTTAAAAGCAGTAGGTGCAGAAAATGTGCTAGGTGAAACGACGTCGGGAAACGTGGCAAGGTCGGACGACACTCTTTCCTGGTGAACTGACAATTCCGAAGTCACGGTTTTCTTGTAGAACGATCCATACACGCTATTTTCTGTCTCCAAAGATGGGAAGGCTTTCCGTTTTGGAATGGGTGATGCGCGAGGTGACAGCCTGGAAAATATACTGATGGAAGGATATTGCACGCTGTCGAGAGACGGGACTGCTGGTCCATTTAGAACTTTTTTGGACACGTTTGGGTCCGTAGTGCCATGCGGGAACTTCAATAGATAGTCGTAAAAGCCACCATCAAGTAGCAGTGATGGCTGCTTCAGAGGTTCGGCAGAGAACTACAACGCGGATTATACACTATAAATAAACTTCTAAATTCACTATAAATATCAGTTCAACAGTTTCACCTCTGTTAAAATAGTTCTTATATCAGATATCATCTTCGGAACATTTTCAATGTCTCCCATAGCATCCATCAAAACCACGTGGTCAAAAGTGTGCCGCCTTTTCCACAGGTCCTGCATGCGGGGATCAATAACTTCCCCAAGATAACCGGCGTTAATACTTCTGTCGCAACGAATAACTGTAAGTTACTGTGTTCGACAACGGGCACGATCTCGAAATCACGACAAAACGCACCTGTTATTCAGCTTTTCCTCAGGAATATTGATAACTGCATTAAACTTAATCTGGCTGGAGGCAAAGTTTTCACTTTCTCGAATATCCACGAGCAGAACTGAATTTTTGTGATCTTTCAGCAACTGGTGCAACTCTTTCGCGTCGATGGACGACTTGAAATCCGATCGCACTTTCGGCTTAACGTTCTCTTTCTTTGAGATCGCTTCATCGGGAGAAACATGATGGATTACGACACTCGGAGCTTTGGCGGCTGCTTTGACAGCTTGTTTCTCTAAATACCTGTAAAATGTCGAAATCACAACGAAGTGCAAAAAAATATACAGACTGCAAACAATTAATCGTTAGCAATTACGAGTAGGTAATACATGTTTAAGTGTGTTGTTTCGCCAATAAAAATTACAGCAAGAAAACACAAGCATTTTTTATTGTTTAGTAAATTTCATACCGCTCTTGTAAACTGCTGGACAATCTTTCTGATTCCGTCACAACTTCTTTTAAAAGACGAACATTCTTATGCCAATTCTGAAAAATCAGAACATTAGCACAAAGTGTGCAACACACGTCAGTAGAATCATCTTTTACATACCGGATCCGCAAGGAACTGTTCCGACTTTCTCAGAGCAAAGTACAGATCAATGTAGCGCATGGCAAACAAATATGCCTGTTCTTCATCCTTTTCCTTCACAGCAGTGTCAAAAGCCGAGCCCAGTGATTTAAGGCTGTTGAACATCCTGCAAAAGTGCAAATATTCCAGACTTTACAATCAATCATTATATTCTCGAAGGATCGTCAATTTCAGCTAAAAATAAGCATGTTTCTTCATAGGGATCGATTACGAATTTACACAGCTGTCAACACTATACGGGATAGCAACAGGATTTAACGGGACACCTTACCTGGTGGCAGTAGCTTTCTTTTGCAGAGGTTTCGTATTTTTGTTCATCTCTGTTTCCAGTTTCTGTACGGCTGTGTCATCCTTTAGCCTGTTATTTAACGTCTCTAAATCCTCGGCCAGATGTAATTCTTTAGGAAAAATTCGAGCTGTTCGGCTCATTTCTGTGTCTTCTCCTTGGTATCACCTGCCAGATATTATTCAGCAACCTGCAAACGGCGATGGTATGAGTTTTATCAACTGTTGATAATCCTAATTAGTAGTTGAAGCTCCTTTCCGATCACTCACTTTCAGCGTCACAGTCCGATAAGTCCACGAACCAACCGCATTCCAAAAGGAAATTACAAATGCGAGTTCAAAGGACAAAGCAGTTCGCACCGAACAGTACCAACAGCACTGACAAAAGAAAGGTAACACCGTAACAGTGGCGTAAAACAATCACTGAATCAAAGCGGGAATAAGAAAATATGCATTGCATAGAATAAATACCTATGCAAAAAAGAAGACGCTGGGTTTTCTCCAAACAATTATATGCAATAGCAGCAATACGCACTACTTGCGTTTAAGAAGCAAAGTTTCTGGGATAGCTGGCGATGGCAGACTCAAAACGTCATAACAGGAACAACGCAGGATTACGATAGGCAACTGAAGTGTTATCGTGTTATGAAAGCAGTCAGGCACTGATCCGGATCAACATAACTCCAGAGCCAAGATTTATGAAATGAAAGTCTTCACTGTCACAAAAGCGAAGCCTGGATAAATGATGGATCTTCGATCTTCCCATTCAGTATTCAACGTCTTTTAGGTCTTTTCCGCTGCTGGGCTTCTGAGGATTTCTGAGCTTCAAATCTCAGAAGCTAGTGCGTGGCGATTGTTCGCATAAAATCACAACAAAGCCTCAGGAGAACATGGAAATCAGAACCTCTGATTGCCCCTTAAAATTAAGACTGCCTTATTCAAAGCAACTGATTATCACGTATCAAATTAAAAGCTCAAATATATCTTAAATTAGATCATCAGGAAAACGTTAAAATAATCGATGACTGGACTGTTTCTCGTAAAAATTATGTCGATAAGGATAAAACGGGCAACGTTAGTATGGGCCCATTGTAAACTACGTACTGACTAAAGCTCGACTTTGTAGGGGACACTGCGGCGCGACTGCGCGGCGTCAGCATGGGGAGGGCAAAAACAAAAACATCTCGTTACGTGATCTAAGTACCGACCACAAAGGGGTTTTCCAAGAGATTATTCCCGCCTAGTTGCGTAACTCAGATCAGTCAGCTGGGATTCTTTTAGACTTTCAGTTATTTTTCAGGCTCTTAGGAGCTGTCACTTATGGCGTACAAAACGCGCAAAATTAAAATTACGTGAAGTGGTGAGTTATGAGTGGTGAGCTATAGGTAGTGAATAATAACGTTTCATTAATAACTGTTGATTTTAATTAAATCGGTGATCTTTAAGTGGTGATTCAAAATGGTGAATCAATAGTGCTGATTAAATAGTGCTGATTAGATACTGCTGATTTAACAATGATGATAAGACTGGGGTGATTAAAAAGTGGTGATGATAGAGTGGTGATTCAGCAACGTGACTGCCGCCTCGTCAACCGGAAGCCTAATTTCCGGACTTATAATTTTTTCTGAGTTTTTGTAAATTCCCATTCCACCCTACCAGTTCCAATGAGTGAGTGGAATTTAACGTATTTTTTGGAAGTGACAGTTATTTGTACTGGAAAGGCTCTTCTAATGGTACTACAGTATACTTAGTGAATCTGGATTAGTTGGTGATCCATTTAAGAGCAAGTCTCTAATGTTTTTCAGTGTTTACTTCCCACTTTATTTGTTAGAGAAAACCAAGAGAAATTTGAAATGGATCAGTTTTTTGAGTTTGCGTACTCGGTTGTAAGACGTGCGGAGCGTTATCTAACAGTCCAGAATGGGGATCAAGATCAAGATGGGGTTGACGGAGCGCTGACGCAGATGGATTATTTGCTTGGGTAACTTACCCAAACAGCAACGGTTGACAAATCAATTTGTTGGAATTTTGAATGTTTTATTTGTTAGATATACTAGAGATATCTGCGAAAATGTTCCGGAGGAGCGGACGGTGCAAGCGCAAGAGCTTTTTGATGTTTTAATTAACTACTCCAGTCGCTTACGGGATCTACTGCAAGAAGACGAAAACGGGACTGCGTCCGTTTTCCCATCACGCAGCACACCAAAGTAGATGGAAAAATATTCCTTCTGGAGGATGATTTAGCTGAACTGCGGTTCGAGGGATTTACTGTGAATGATATTGCTAAGCTTTATGGAGTTTCTAAGAGGACAGTCACGTACAGATTGGCAGATGCTGGCTTGAATAGGAAAGTAAGTGTATGTGCCAGCATCACGGCACGGTTGGGTGCAGTACTCGTAGATATTTTAGTTCGTTGCAGATTTGCATTGGTGAATTTTACCTTTTTTGATCATTATATACGTAATAAGCAGGCTATGTGTTAATTTAAATTCGTTTGCTTTTTCAGTATTCGGAATTGAGTGATGTGGATTTGGATCGCGTAATTGTGGATATTTTAAATTCGTTCCCGAACGTAGGATATCGTTACATTAACGGCCAGTTAAAATCAGGAGGTTTAACAGTCCAACGCACGAGAATTCTGGCTTCTATGAGAAGACTGGATCCGTATGGCATAGCTAATCGGTTTTTCCATTTTGTCCTCGCCGCATTTATTCAAATGCTGGCCCAAACGCGCTGTGGCACATTGATGGCAATCACAAGTTGGTTCGCTGGGGATTCGTAATACACGGGATTATTGACGGTTACTCTCGAATGGTTATTTCTCTCGTCGTTGCAACGAACAATCGCGCAAGTACAGTGCTGCAGGCCTTCCTCGTTGGCGCTGAAGCTTGGGGAGTGCCGTCCAGAGTGAGAAGCGATTGCGGCGGTAAGGTGTACAATACTGTTTTTGCGCCTTTGTCAGTTTTGCGATTGTTGCTTTTCATCAGTGTTTTTTCTGTGTATGAGTTGACAGTTTTCAGTTCTGACTGATTTTACTATTTTGTATAACTAGGTGAAAATTTCGGAGTTGCACGCTGGATGGAGCATTATATGGGTCCGAACCGCGCCAGTATCATTATGGGACCGTCAGTTCACAATCAGCGGATAGAACGGCTGTGGAGAGACTTGGGTCGCGTTGTGATTAAATTATTTCGATCTATTTTCATTCACATGGAAAATATGCAAATTTTGGATATGACGAGTGCCCGCGACATGATGGTTTTGCACTTAGTATTCACGGAAAGAATACAGAATAAGCTCAATAGCTTCATTTCTTTTTTAATAACCACAAATTGCGCACGGAGGGCGAAAAGTCACCAAGGCAGTTGTTTGTTCTCGGCTGCAATCAGAAGGGACTGAAAGGTTTTCCTCTGGAAGAAATCTTATCGGTCGACAATGCACTGCCTAACGCCGACGTGGATGTCGCAGAAAATTTCCCTCAGTACTTAAGAAATCAAGTTGGCCATTCAAGGATTCTGTCCCGGTGTGCGATAAAATCAGCAGTTTCCTGTTGAAGCTCAGGTAATTCGGGCTAGTATGGATCTGATGCGGGATGATGGATTTCATGGAATTCAGGTTTTTGCGAAGCGAAAGAAATGTTACAACATTATTTTGGTTAATGGTAGACTGACAAATCAGTGTGTCCGAATTTTAGAAAAACCTTAGTACTGCTTTCCGTTGATAATATTACTACCGGCAGTGTTAGAAGCTAGCTAATCTTTCAGAAAGCGAAAGTGAGTTTATTGCTTTAGTAAGTTAGCGTTGTAATTGACTGCTTCTGCTGAATTTAACGTTTTGTAATTGTTGGATGCATTGTTTTCATGGTGAAAACGCAACACGGCTTGGTGAGAATTAAATTTGCGGCAAGCATGTTAACTGAGAAGAAACCGCTGCGGTGACAGAAGAATTTTTAATACAGTACGCCGCCTCGTGAAAATACGTGTACGTTCCGCCGGTTATTAACGACACTTACACGTAAGTCCGATGAAGAGCTGTTCCGTACATGCCCGCTGTCAAAACTTAAGTTACAAAGTATGTGATAGATTGGTGTGCATTATTTTATTGTGTCGGAATTATTATGCGAATTGATCTGGTTTGCTTCTGGTCTCGTTCAGCTGCGTTAAGGAAGTTTGGCATCCTTGCAAGCACGCGGGATCGGTTGACTTGGATAACGCTTCAACAGTCATCTTCCCATGGATATGAAGACCGGCAGAAATTACATCGTTACTTATTGTGGCGTGCAAAAGCACTCGTGCTGTTGGACAGTCGTCCAAAAACGTAATTTTCCGAATGGCACCGGAAGAAGTTCCTAAAGACGTGCTGAATGCTTATAGATCCCAGAGGGGCGGAACATTGGACCTTGGTTTTCCAAAAGCGGGACCAAAAATGTGCGGAAGAGTTTGCTCGCGCCTTCCGTGACGTCAGTCAAAGTTCTGGCATGCGGTTCGGAAATCCGCAGATTATCATGCTAACTGCCGATCAAAACATCACATATGCCCATAGCATTGCTAAAGCCGCGGTCGAAGACAAAGTATAATATTTTGCTCTAGCTTAAAATTTAAACAAGGTTTTCTATGGATATCACACTTCTAAACTTGTTTAATCGCTTCACAGGTCATTGTGAGTTGTACACTGGGAAGAGCAGATCGTTTGCGCGCAATTGTGCAGAAAATCGCTTTGCAAATCAATTGCAAGCTGGGTGGATCCATTTGGCGCATGGCTAAAATGCTGACAAGGTAAGGTTAAATCTGCTGTTATGAAGATAATGACAACAAATTTCGTATTGTTAATTTGTTTTTCAGAAGAAGATCAGATGAGCCTTATGGTGATTGGAGTGGACGCCTATCACGACATCAAACGAAGAAATTATTCGATCGCAGCTTTGGTGACTAGCACGGACGACGATTTTACACACTGGCATAGTCGTTGTAATTTTCAGCCACCAAAAACGGAATTGGCATCAGGGATAAAGTTTTCATTCGCTTGTGCAATGATTTCGTATCGCAAGGGTATGAGCGTTTTAGTAGAACATAACAGATTTGACTTCCTCAGACGTTTTGCAGGAAGACCCGGTCAATGCCGTTGATTTATCAAGACCAGTCCATTTCGGAATCTCACATCCATACTCGGAAACACTGCAGTATTTTTGATGAAAGTACAGTATTGCTGACGGAAGGTCTTGCATTTTTCTCGCTTGCAGTGTATTAAATTCGTGTATTTTGCAGTGTGTTTTCGTGTTAATATTAATTTATGCTTAAAAAAATACCTGTTAAGTATCTCATGGTCAGCGATGGTCAGAAAGTCAGCGCTTACAATACTGTACTGCAGATTACGTTATCCTTTATGTTACCACTGCCGTAAAGTCCAAATAATATTTACATGGCTGTATGCATCGGATTGTCTGAATAAAAAAGTTCAAACTTGTGAATGTTTACTTTTTTGTTATGCTGTTTTTATTGTTGTGCAGGTGTCACATGCAACAGCTGGTCATTCACGGCAACGATCGGCATGAATTCTGGGAATCTGTTTGCATGTCGGATGTTAAAAAGCAACCGGAAAACAGCGGCACATTAAGTTTGTTAACCAACGAGAACGGTGGCATCATTGATGATACGGTGTAGATGAATACCAGTCGCGGACATCTCTTCGCTGTTGTTAACGTCGGTTGTGCGGCAAAAGATCTAGAATATTTAACGAAAAAAGTCTTGGGCTTCCAGAAGAAAGGGAAGGATGCTCAAATTGGCATCGTTACTGTGCAGGAAAGAGCTTTGATTGCTGTTCAAGGTTTGTTGTAACGGAAATCTGTATTCATAATTGCTGTTCGGATTATATAAGTAATTGCTCACGTTCTGTTTCAGCATGACGACGTTTAAAAAACTGTTAAAAGTATGTATTGGCATGGAGTTATCATATTACCGATAAAAACAGACTTTTGTCAGTATTGTACCTATTCGGCATTATGTTAAAGAAAAATGTGCTTTCGATTTCGTTCGTTTGATTCGAAGTTACGGTCACAGTGACACTTAACCTTTGCCGTATATATGTCCTTTTTCAGTGATTAGGACCGGAAATGTCAAGAGTTATTCAGCCCGGCTTAAAGGATTCGGTGGATAGCTTGGAATTCATGCAGACTACGTTTTGTACACTGTACGGATTTGAGGGATGCCGAATTACCAAATGCGGCTACACCGGCGAAGATGGCGTGGAGGCACGTGCTCAGTGCTTACACGATGGACGCTCTAGTGTTCCCATGCATAATTCAAACTTGCTGCAGATATCCTGTCTTTCCAAAGATGCTGCGCCTTTATGTGATATATTGTTAAAGTCGCGTGGTACGTGGTACGTTAAGGGCAGGTACGAATGGCTGGTTTGGAAGCCAGGATTCACTCCGGCTGGAAGCCGATCTGTGTTTGTCCGGAAACGATATTAACGAACAAGCGACACCGGTAGAAGCTGACCTGACCTGGACAGTAGGTAAACCTATTAAAGCAAGCAACGAAATTTCAAAGTATTCCCAAAATTTGTAATTGTTGGAAATATATGCGTTATTGTAGGAAAACGCCGTCGCAAAGAGGGTGGATTTCGGGTGCAGAGAAAATACTTCCCCAAATCAGAGGGGCGCGCAGAAAAACGTGTTGGAATTATTTCCACTGGAGCACCTGCCCGAAGTGTGAAAACTTGCGGCCATATTACGCACGAAATTGTATGGATGCGATTTATCAACTGGCATCGTTTGCATGTCATCGAAACAGTGCCTTTGCAAACTTGGAGTTTGTCCGTAAATGTTTTGTAAATCTGTATGTTCTGTAAGTTTTGTGTTCTGGAAATATTAATGGATGCGAAATCCAGATTTGCTGTGACTTTGTCTTTTTACCTAGAGCTATGCTATTGTCGACGAGAAAGAAGAACAAGTTGGCAAGGTTACTAGTGGATGCCCCGCACCGTCCTTGGGAACAAATATTTCGATGGATTATGTGAACACCTCGCTTTCAAAGCCTGGTACACCTTTGCGAATCAAAGTGCGCAACCAGATTGTGGAGGGAAAAGTTTCGAAAATGCCTTTGCGCAAGCAAATTAGTACCATGACAAAAGACATAAACAGAGCTAAGGTCTGTCGTTACAGTATTATAACGCGCTAAGTAAAAGTATGTAACTGGCTCACCTATGATTCCGTTATGTTTTGGTTTCGCTCGTTCGTTTTTTAGCCTGTGCAAGATAACGGGATCGTCATAACTGCATCATCATAACTGCACTCGTTTTTTTGCTACTAATTGTTAGTTGTTTGAGTAATCCTATGCTCAAAAAACCAAAGCTCCATAGTTGTATTTGACCGGCGGTTAGCTTCGTTTGCCGCATAATGTGTTGAATGCATTGCAAATAAAATTTTATGTGTTTTTACAAAGCGCATGATGTTACTGCAGAAAAATACTTTGCTGAATCCTAAACCGGAACCGTGTGCGACGAATGAATTACTCTGCTGATTTATTTTACTTTTTTCCGCAAAAATCGTTTCACAAGAAAGTTTGTTGTCGAGAACAATACGCGTATGGTAAAAATCGGCAGTGGAACACGACTAATAAGCGGAAGCCTTTGTTTTATGCCGGCCAAAATTTGTAGACAATTGATTTGCGAGCGGCATGGAAGAACTAAGTTACCGCAAGTGGGCTGTCTGTTCTTGTTCCCACCAGCATGCCGCTATAAGCTGCTGTGGCGCCAATGGTTATTTATTCGCAGCTTGCTCGTAGCTGGTCAGTTATTGCCACGCCTTACGCATGGGTTACTGTAAGAACTGTCAAACTTATTTTAAGCGGCAGATTCAGCTTAATTCACATCAGTCGGTTTCTTTTAAAGTGGAGCGTAGAAACATCGAATTTATCTTATTTTCGTTGACAAAACATTTTTTTGTTTTGCGTTTCCTGTGTGTGACTAAAATGGTTGATTTTAGCTATAAATGTGGGGTAAGAGATTGCCCATGTGTGATCCCATTAAAGGCTGACATCGATTTTTCCTGGAGCGGACCGTTGGGCGGGCTTAAATGCAGTGTTTTTGGATGTAATCACGAGTACGGTCTGCATGTTCGCTGTAGTTTATCGGCAGCTGTTAATCTCGAATTGAATTCTTACATGGGAAACTCCGCTAGCCATCGCTCCCTTATAAATGAAAATGCTGCAAGTATCACCGGATCCACAACTACGGCCCAGCACGCTGATATCAGCCCGCAAGGAAGCGGAGCACAAATTGTTCAGCCGCCAGTTTCTGGAAGCAGAGCTCAGGGTTTCACAGGAAATGCGGGGCAGGGTCAATATCAAGCCTTTAGTATGGAACCTTACGGCCTGGCAAGTAGTACAGTACATCCATTGCGAAACTTCCAGCAGCGTGAGTTGCCTTGGAGTACATTTGGCGGTGGACAGCCAGGCATTCCAAGAGCACCGGCACGTGGATCTGTACCACCTGGATTTTCAAGCAATTCGAATGTGGGAATTTTATCTTTGCCGGTCGGCAGTGGCCGGGGCAGCCGGCGAGGCCGTGGCGGGCAGCAGTATGCAGTCAAGCGACCCAGAACGGAGGAATTTCGCTCAATGACCGGTTCAAACCAATTCGGACAGCCAGTGAATCAGAGGCCAGTAGTACACCGTAAATATCCCATGGAGATTTACTTTTTCGTAGCGCCGAAGGAAATCAGATTCCGTCCCAGCGAGTGGGGTAAGTTTTTGAATTTTGTGGGTGTAAGGGTTTCTTATTAGAGAACAATTTAAATCTTAAATATCTGTTTAGTTTTAATTGAAAAATAAAATGTTTGTACTCTAGTTGATTTTTAAGTACGTTTTATGTTTGAAATGTATACGTTTTCCTCATAGCTGATGTTATTTACAGCGAATATCAGATGGAACTAGATTTCATGCGGAAAGCGGGACTAATTCGGCAAGTTGAGTTTGACGTACTGGAAGGTCATCACATCTACGCAAAAATTTCCGAAACGTTTGGGGATTGTCTTGGCAACCAGGAATGGACGTTGTTGAGCCGACTTGATGAGCCGGGAAAGCTGAAGAGTCCGTTTATTTGGCCAACAGATTTGGATATTTTATCTCCATCGTGGGCGGATCAAGACTTGTACGTACAAAGTGAAAAATGTTAAAGCGGTAATTTCGCATAGAATATTCTGCTGGTTTGAACTGTCGCATACGATTTTCAGATACACCGAGAGGGCCGTAAACCAAGCGCGAAGACGCATGTATATCGCTCTAGCTCATGGTACACTGAATATTCCGCGGGAAATCTTTGAGGAATTTGCTGCGGTAAATAGTTTGTATTAACGAAACGATATGACGTATGCCGCTATGATAATATGTGTTTACAGGATCAAGGAAGAACTGTGGAAGAACTGGATTTACGAAACGTTCCAAGTAAAAAATACATCCGAGGTCAAAACTATATTGCTATCGTTACTGAAGAAGACTTTTCCAGCTGGTATCACAAATCCCCGATCGCTTTTGGTCTGCGAGAAACATCCCGTGCTTCTACATCCGCTTTGGGGAGTGCCTCCCGTGCTTCTACACCCGCCTTGGGGAGTGCCGACCGTGCTTCTACGTCCGGCTTCCGTAGTGCATCCAGTGCATCATTCGGCTTCGGGAGTGCATCCAGTGCATCCTCCCGCTTCGGAAGTGCCTCCGTTGCTTCTACATACGGCTTTGGAAGTGTGTCTGCATCAAGGAATTCCTTTCGGGGACGGTTAGACGATACTTCTCCGTCTCCGCCGTCTTCACCGGATTTGCCTCGCCGTCGTCGCGGTCGATTAATGTTCAGCGATAGTGCTTCTGGTCGTCAATTAAACAATAACGTCATCGTACTTGGTGACTCGGATAACAGCGAAGCTGAAGAGGAGAAGAAGAACGTTGTCGCGGCCAGTAGTCCCGCAGTTACAGAACAGGTTATTGGTTTTGAACGATTAAATCGAACAAAAATTTATGCTTTTTATTTTGCAGATTATTGAAGTCGCTGAATTTCCTGAAGTTGACCCAGGCGCAAGTGAAATATCGATTGAAAGCATGAGATCTCGGCTGTGCTTAAAAGTTACCGGTCAGCGACCAATGGTCAAATCCGACTTCGTATTTGTTTGGATTAAAGGAAGCAGCAACGTACAAAATTTTATCGACTTTTACTATGCGCGTGCTGATGGTTTGGCTTATGGCGGAAGAATGGAGGTGGAAATGGATGAGTAAGTGTAATAACTGTGCTTTTCAGTTTGAAGATTTTTTATTTTTGACATGTATATAAGCGCGCTACTGTAACAGACACGGGTGTATCTGTGAGCTGTATTATGTACTGTAGCCGCTAGATGAAGTGAGACCACTGTTAGATCCGGGCGCTGCCTTCCACTCGTCAGGCATTGAGCACGAGCCTTCCTCCCACCGGGCGGCGCACACTTTGCATTGCATTTAGTATTGTGCTGCCTGCCAGGGCACCCAGAAACCACAACAAACCAGATTTATAAATAGAAAACTATTAGAGCTGTGTCATTGTGCTCTTAAAACAAATATCTTTCGTTGCAAAGAATTAAAAATAGCAAAGAACAGTAAAACATGTCAAATGTTGGTAGAAGCAGAGGGAATCAAAACATTTTTGCATGGAGCAAAGTACATATATTGGGCGTGCATTTTTCCGTACACCAGACTCTGTGGTCTCACTTCATCTAGCGGCTACAGTAGTTTACGCGCCGGTATTGAAAACTGTGTTAAAATACGCCGTGTTAAAGATAACATGCACATAAAAGTTTATTCTTGTAGTGCGTCGGATTTTGACGGGCCTTTCAAAGAATGTATCACGGAGCTTTGGAAGGATTCCGCTCGTACAAGATTCCGGATGTTGATATGGAATTATTCGAAGTGACTGATGGGATTACTTTGGTAACCGGAAAAGCTATTACAACAGAAGGCGGCATCTCGGCTTTGCGGGCATTTGGATTTCTTCTGCGTGAAGCAATACTTCATGGGAGTCCGTTTCCTCAGTGGTTTAATAATTCCGCTTTCCGGTACGTTCTGAACTTGCCAGTAGAAGTGAATGATATTTTCCGCTTCAACGTTGGAACCGGCGATACCATCAAGGACATCCTATCGGGCACGGGGCCGATCGTCTGGGCAAATGAAACATCCTTGCAGACTTGGGCAGAGAATCATCCAGCTTTCCGGTAAAATTCGACGAAATTGCCCTATAATATTAAATTTAAGAAAACTGAACAACTAACAACGTCTTTAAATTGTGGATAGCACTGAAGTGTTATATTGCAGACTGTTGCGTTGGTGCAACAAGGACGCCAGAAATTGTGTCGACACATCGCCGAGTATGAACTGTGCGGGAAGCGAGCCTCTAATTTAAAATATCTAAGTGAAGGTTTGCTGGCCGGAACGATGGGAAAGGTATGAATCACTTTTTTCAGTGCGTGTGATTGCTCTTACTTGCAATAAAATCGTTGTAGGAGCTGAGAGAAATACGTGCTCAATGGAAATTCTTCGAGAAAAGCCTTTATCGAGAGTTTGAAGAAGGAGACGATTTGCTGGAAGAGTTTCTGCCGTACAATGAACATGCCGAAGATATTAGCGATGAGCTGATGGCTGAGCAGCTGCAGATTGTGAACTGGTTTGATGAAATTGTCAAACACGACCTTAGCCACCATGAACGACGACAACTGCTCCGTTTTGTTACTTCCGGGTACCGCATTCCGGCCACTCCGAAAATCGCAATTGTTTTTTCCGTTGGACGAGAAGAAGAACGTCGCCCTCAGGCATCTACATGCAGCCATAAGCTTATGCTACCCATCGGATGCGAGTCCAAGGACAAACTGCGGCTGCACCTTCGCGAGTGCATTTTATCTGTAGACAGCGAGATGGCGGGATTTTTCCAGATGAAATGAATAACGTGTAAGGGAAATTTACTTTATTAATGACTATTTGAATTTTTAACACCCTAATTCAACCATAAATCACATAATTAAATTAAATTATTGCTAAATCGCTGTATTTTTTGAGGGATTGTTAAGCGGTAGCTGGGCAGTCGTGTGGAGTGAGAAATTACGGATTTGTTTTCGTTCCTGTTTTGGGTGGAATAATCAACTGAATTTGTATCCGACTTGAATGGATTACGGAATATTGGACTTCATTTAGTTTTGCAACATGCTGTTAATGGCTTTGATAACCGTTAAGTGGAAATCTGTTTGGTTTTATAGGAAATTCTCCAGCACATTTTGCTGGCCGCATAGCATATGAATAGCCGCATGGCATTTGAGTACTAGTTCCTTCGGCAACGGGAATTTTCTTTATGTTCCAGCGTAATTAATTTCAATAATTTGTTATCCTTGTTTTATGTTATGATTGAGAAACTGAACTGATTTTAATTAAACGCGACGTTCGTCAGCCGAAAAATCTGTCACCGACTACTCGGAGCCAACTACAATATTTCCACGCGAGACTTTCAAACTTTTAACCGGTACGCATACTTAAAAACATCTATTATTACTCAAATGTTAAGCGCGCCGCCCACCTGGATCATGATCTGTGCGGCTCATATTAAAACATCTAACAAATAAATTTGACAGAATTAAGTATGTAAAACATAATGATTTCTTTACTACAATTGTTTTTTTATACAATTGTGGTAAAGAAAATCATTATGATAAAGAATCAAATACATCAAGAAAATCTCGAGCTGAACACTTCGATAACTGCGGTAATCGGAAATAGCAATCAATTCCACACGGTGTCCAGTTAATGACCGAGCTTGCTCGCACCTGGCCGCAGTTCCATAGCGTGTCTCAATTCATCGAAAATAACTAACACCAGCGCACCACCAATGCCACGGAACATGTTGGACAGGGCGCCCATAAAGGATGTCGGGAAATCTTAATTTTGGCAATTTTCATCATGGCGTCCAGTGAATTCTTGTAGAAAATTTCCTTGCCTGCCGACTACATCATCACGCGTCGTCGCACGGTATCCCGCGGATACCTAAAGCACAAACAAAAATCAGAAAACGTACTTATAACGGAGCTGAGTTAGAATTACGCCATAAATTCGGCAATCGCCGTGACGGTGAGGCGATCATAAAGTCTAAGCATGATGGGCACTTTGCCTTCTTCGAAGTAAATTTTAAATGTGTCAGATACACCAAAATATGCAGCTCGATAAATAAATATTCCCTGGATGGAAACGTTGAAGCTGCGATACAAGCCGCGAATGCCATCGGTTTGGTAGGTTTTTCTCATACAGTTCCATAAACCAGTGAACTCACGAGTCCCCGCGTTTTTACTGACATCCACTCTAAAAAACAGCTCATTTCATACGTAGTCAGCCAGTCAGCCAGCAATTCCATGCATGTCCGATCTACTGTACTAAACTGTTGAAATCTTTTGCAATACTATTGTACAATATTTGTGTTTACTGTTCAAATTCCAAACTTCTGAGACTAAATTATGGAAATCACATAACATTACACAACAAATGATGTCAATTCCGAAAACACTGTTGAAAACAGAAAGAGGATTGGAACATACGTCTTAATGTAATTAACTCGGAATCAAGTTCTAGACTGTAAGCTGCTATAATTCCATAAATCTATTAATTTTAGAAAAATAATTCAGTTACTCGCAATAACGGATAATCAGCAATTTCGATCCGGTTAAATGGAAACGACGAACTAAACTTTCTCGCAAAGAGCCAGAAAGTATATAGTACTCGTACAAGTACATACCAAGCAGAGTTCGGGCAAAATCAAGGTAAAACCAGCGACTTCATACCAGCTGCACCCCGGCCAGAACCTTGCCCAAGAAGAAGGAGAAAAACTGTTTATCCTTGTCATCGCCCGACAAGAAGATGCGCTCACATTGGCCTTTAAATGCAAAATTCAAGGCTTGCGTGGGGAAATAACGAAAGACGTTGGCCTGATTACCACATCAGAAATTGATTTATTCCCGCTCTTTCAAATACAAATGAAAGCGCCCATCATGCTTTATAGCGCTGCTGCTTTCTATAGTCTTTCTGCACCTGTTTAATGAGCTTGACACGCTCTAACGGGGCTACAGCCGTTTTGAAAATGGCTGCGGCAATTCCCGGTCATAAAATCCTTGATTACTGCTGTCGCATCCATAATGAAGGTATCAGCAACGTCAAATTATCCGAGGAGGAACCAGCGATATGCAGCCCTACGAAAATATAAACGTACGGATGAGCACCTGCGGCCGCTGTCTGTATGCACAAGCAGGTTTACAGTGTCAAGGGGTACAGAGGCTGAACACAGCATTCAAATCAACTTAATTATGACGAAAAACATCGCTAATTACAAACAAAGATGTTGTCCAAGATGGTACTGTTGCAGGAATTGTAGCAAATCAAATACCTCGCAATTCTCATCGCAAGCATGGCAAAGTTTACGATAAACCGTTTATCGTAGGCTTTACGACAATTCGTTTAAACGCAAGAGCACTGGTGGTACTTAAATTTTAATAAAACGACACGTAGCGAAAGCACTTACAATCAAGTGACAACCAGTGGCGAAACGTCTGTAGTCGCGCCTGCCGGCCGACTTTGGATGTCATGAGCACGTCTCACGCCAAGGGTGGGTGATTATGGTTAAAATTTAAAATTTTACGTATATTTATTTACTTTTTTTATTGTATTATAGCTAACCGGGAACAAGAAACCGAAAAAGTTTTTAAATGGTGAAATCAAACGTAGCTGTGTTTGTACTGGGTGGCCGAACAAAATGTCGGTCCGTTCTTTGAAGTGTTGCTGGTCCATCCAGCCTTTAATTGACAGCTTTCTAGTTTCATTTGAAAGAGCAGTGTCCGTTCCATATAAAAAACAGGAGAAACCAATATCATACAAAGCTTTGAATTTTTTACAAATTCTTTTGAAAAATGGGTGAAGTTGGAGGATGTCCGGAAACCAAAACTGAACTTTGTCATTTTGAATTCAAAATTGCCGTTATTCGACGAAGTATTTTCATGGGTGTAACCTTACTATTTCAGGAGGGAAAATGTTTCTTGTTCATCTCCTCGCTTTACAAAGTAAAACATGTGACCTTTGCTGGATGTGTTTGGGCTAAAAGCGGTAAGCACAAAGTACCGCACATACGATTCTCGTGAAATCAGCTAGCCGGTGTTTTAATAACAAATTTCTCTCTGACGCTTCAGAAACTGACAAGGCTTAAACGTATTCCCATAAGAGCAATCATTTAGCTAAATTTATCAGCCGAATCGGCTTATCTGGTTGCAGCCTGTTTTGGAGCAAAAAATTTTCCCTAAAATAAGCGAAAAAATCTGACAAAAAACTTGCAGTTTTCGAAAGGTCTAAAATGCAGGAACTGCATAGCTCATTCAGAGCATGCACCATTTGACCATGCAAACAACCTGTTTTTCTTTTAAAAAGCAGAGAGTGTTCGCTAAGTAAAACAGGTGAAAAAATAAAATTTTGCGTGGTGGAAAAACGTAACACCAGGTTCACAAGTTTGCGAGCGGGACAAATAAATTTCCACACGTTTGTATTAACACTGTTGTTAATCAGCATGTTTTAATTTTCTGAAACAGATTTTACTGTTTCTGGTAGCTAATTAAATTTTCTATCGAACGCCTCTAACTACTTTACGATAGGACAAATGGTTCGCGAGAAACAAACCAAATCAGGAGACCGACATTTTGTACGGCCACCCGGTAAACTGCTTAAGTATTGAGTAATACCCAAACACGAAAATGCCACTGCATATTGCGGTGGTTTCTATTCTCGAAACACCTACTCTATGTACTACGTGTACATTAATTATTAAACGATTTAACAAGCTGTAAGATTAAGAAAGAAAAATGGGACTGCCATTGAAGAACATATTCGTATGATATTTTATTTAACACTACCAAATTAAAACCAAAAGTCCCGAACCGTCGTTTGACGCTTACATCCTTTATACTAAAAGAATAAGAAGTGCTCAAAATTCAACTGCGGGGAGTCAGCCCCAGCCACACACAAGACCAAACTTCGATATCTTGCTATCGTTCGATAGCTCTCATCATGTAGTAGAGCCATCAAAAGTTAGATCTGAGAAAAACAGTTCCAGTTTCATAAAAAATTGAAAAAACGTAACATGCCGAGTCTACGGGAGAAGTGAAGAATCCACCATTGCAGAACCGACCACCTCACCATTGTCTCAAATAAACAGCCAAAACCTTTTTGCTGCCAAGCAGCCACGGGCTTGCACAACGTTTCACTGGAACGAAACTTGAATGTTTATAAATGCGTTTCTAATTTCTCATCGAAATTCAGACTCCGAAAGAAAGGAGGTTTGATGAAAAAAAGCAACGAAGAGTCGAAGCGTATCGCGCAGTTCAAGCATGATCATTAAGACAACTGTCCTCCGCAGAAGTCTGACCAGTTTTAAAGTAGCAGCGCGCCCAAGGGCAGCAGCTGGTGACTGGTGAGCATTGGAAGTACGCATTTCTTTTTGTAAAATCTGTGACAACCAGCAGAAGGCGAAGCAGCCTGGCAGAAAACGTTTTAAAAATGTAATAAAATCAGCAGCAAAACATTATCTACAGAACGATATGAATTACGAAGCCGATTTAAACCGCGCGATTTGCACGGGGTCTGTCATTCGATACACATCTTACATATCAAAGTCAGCAGCAGAGCCAGCAAAGTTTGATTTGAGAAGAGTAGGCAACGGTGGCTCCAGATGTCACGGATCATTAGAGTAGGTTTTCCTTTGCGTCATAAATTTTCAGAAAATCTGATTGTTCTCCAACGTGTGGAATAAGAACCGAAGACAAAGCCGCAGGCGACGCCGAGCTGCGGCGCGAGCGGGGCATCAAGTGAAACATTAATCGTGGCAATTTTTTTGCACGGGATTGCATTCCGCTTTCCCACCATTTCCCATACTGATATTTTCGGTTTAAAGGGCATGGGTGGAAAAATTATTTTTACGGGTGGGATATGCAGAAACCAGAAACGTCAAATGAGCAACATGTGCTCCATAGTTCTGAGTCATAGTGCTGTTTCCGGCATCCGACCTTGGGAATTTACGATTGCTCCAAGTTTGTGACGTGGCCATGAAAAATTATTCGCACATACAATACAACGCATGATACGAAAAGTTAACCGTGATATTTTTCATCAAAAAATAAATAATAATAATCATGATATCCTTATGATTTTAAATCGTTCCTATTCCGTAGCCGGTAGCCTATATATTGCGCGCAATTTGCGCGGGGTCTACTAGTCACTTAATAAACCGTATACGTACTCACCAAAACAAAAGCACACGATTAAAATCAAAAGATGCGACATTTCCATTAATTTAGAGCAAGCCATCTTTAGCTGCTGACATCAAAATTCTTTTTATAAAAAGATGAGGCAAAGCTCATAAGGAAGCAGAAAAAGATCAAGTAGGATAAAAATTACTGTGCAAAAAGATCTCAGAACCTGATTCAAAAAAAAAGTAAACGGAAAAACCGTGGTACTACTCACGCAGCACACTTGACTTTGTGCAAATTATCTTTTATCGGAACAACACTTAAACCATAATTTAATCACAAATTTAGTAAACATAAATACTTATAAAACTGAAAATTGATTTTCAAATTTCGAAAAACTTTAACCTGTTTAATTTTACACAAACCTCAACTTTATCGTTCTTCATTTTCAGCACGCCCACAAAAAAGTCTTTCCTTCAATATCAATCTCGTCCGAATCCACTGCAAGCGTAACGTCCTTGCGCGCAGCAACGCACAAGACAACATCATCGTGTAAAACTTTAACTGTATCGAGTACTATCGACCACGCAAGCTGGCTGCACACCGAAATGCAGCGATTACGAGCAAGATGAAAATCCTTAACTTTTCACAAACCTTTTTAATCTTTTCCACCATTTCAGCGGTGAATTTATCCCAGCCTGACTGCAAGCTGCACACGAAATAAACCGTTTTATATTAGAGACTTTCAGATAATCACATAATTAAATGATTATTAATTTTGGATCAGTGCACTTACGATTAACTTTCCAGGAAAGCAAACTTCAATAGGAACCTCGTCATACACTTCGGCCAACTGGTTCTCTGGAACAGTCGCAGCTCTCGACGCAAACACATCTGCAGGCTGCAAAGTGATATCCACTCGTAGAGACATACTGTGACATCAACGGAAACCCAAAAAATGGGAAGAACAGGAAGAATCAGTTTTAAAAGCTAGACGCATATTCGCAAATCGCAAGTAAGTACTGTAAAGTGTAAAGTGTAAACAGTAAAACTAGCTGCTAGCACAGCTGAATGACAGACACAGATGACTCAGCAGAACCACAAAGGTCGTAATCGCTTTTCCGGTGCACAAGGCGCCAGTTACGTTACTAAGTCACCACATTCAAATCACCACTATTACATCAGGAGTTTAAACTCACCGCTCTTAGCTCCCCGCTCTGAACTCACGCATATAAATTACCAATTAACTCAAAATCACCGCGTTCAAACCATCACTTTCACATCACCATTTTCTAATCAACACTAATCTATCAGCAGTTATTATTCACTAATTATAGATCACCATTCATAACTCACCACTTCACGTAATTTTAATTTTGCGCGTTTTGTACGCCATAGTCACTCCATAGTTTTCCCATTTTCTTGCCGTTGTGTTTCGACTCGCATTTCACAAACACAACCATCTTCGAACTGATAAAAAGTGATAAGTTGATAACTGATAAGGATTGTGATACAGCTGAGCGTACCGTACGCTTCGTCAGTACTCCTACTCGTGTCGTAGTGTAAGTACAGTACTTACTGTCGATTTCACTAGTTCGGTTGCTGACGTACAATCATTGATTTACTTATCAGTTTTATCTGCAGTCGAGCGCACTTCGCTGCAAAGTCTTTGCATGTCCAGACTGCCTGTCAGTGTCAGTCGATTTCGTGAAGTAAATAGAGACCGTCTGAATGTCGCCGTTGTTGTTAAGCGAGATCAACCGTAATTTGTTTAAAATCCTGGGTTAACCGAACGTCGTCTGGGAATCCGATTCAGCCAGTTGTGGTACTGAAGTGGTTCCTGAATCCTGGCCAGTGCCTTAACTATTAGTCTTTAACACCCTGTGGGTGCAATAAGTAAAATTGCATCTGAATAAAATTTGCGAGTAAAACTTTGCTCCTTGGGCCCTTGGCCCTTGAATCTGGAATCTTCGTTTGGGGTTTTCCTGGGAAGTAGGGAGTCATCGTTGACTGCGCATGACCAGCCCATACAACTCAGGTTAACTCGACCGGCAGCCTGTTAAGTGTCAGAAGCAGAAATCAGTGTGATCTTATCGGTATTTCTGTGCATACGTGGATCCGGCATTTTGGGAAGAGTTGAAGGCAGGCTGTGAATTCAGCGCACAACCAAATGGCGTCGAAAGACGAATTGGGATATTTTGCCTTTCTGTTGTTCTCCGTCATCTTTGGATGGATCGTGGGCCGTCTTCCGGCTGGTGCGCCAAGATTATGGCTCTCCAGCGGCATCGGCCTCCTGGCGATCCTGCTTTTTTGCGGCTCCAGCTGCTTGCACACGTTTTTCACCATCGTGGTTAACGCGCTGATAGTCACCAAATTGCGGTAAGTCCGACGAAATTGGAATGCTTGTCTGTTTTGGACGGGTTAACTATTGCGGCGGTGGTCGGGTCTTATAGATTTAGATTATTTTTAATGCTTTATTGCGCACGATATTACCCTTTTTTTAAATTTCTAATTTATATTTGTGATTTATTTACTTTTTAATTGGTGCATTTATATAATTAGTATGTGTATTTGTTTGCAGGGATTGTCATAAATGGTCCTTCGCATTTTGTTTCGGGTATCTTGCCTTCTTCCGCACCGCTGAGCACTTTGGTCTTCCCGAGACTACGGAGTTTTCCAATGCAGTGCAGCTGATCCTTACTCTGAAAGTGAGATATCACACAGCAGATTGCAGAATAAACTTCAGTGTTAAATGTACATGTCTTAGGCTGTCGGTGTTGCCTTTGAAATCAACGATACTCAGCTGCGACGAAAAGGACTTTCGCCCTTCGCTTCGTCGTCGCCGAATTTCTCTCCAACCAATACTTACGCCAACGTTGATCCAGGATTTGTTAATATTATTCATTACTGCCTTTGTTTTATGGGGATCATGACAGGTGCGTATAGAAACGCTGAACATCACTCAAGCAGTCTTGCACGAAGTGTTTTTAGGCCCTTACTTTAAATACAAAACATTCGATGACATGATCAACTCCGATATTTTGAACAAGATGCCACGGGAAAAGTTGGCACTGCAGCGGATGCGCATTTTACCGTTTTATTGTGGATTGTTTTTGACGTTGTCCGCTGTCTTCAACATTTCGGTGAGTACTTTACTTTAGATATCGCATGCATTCCACAAACCGTGCCTGAAAATTCGTTCTTTGTCTTTGTTAGACTCTTTATGACGAAATATTTTATGCGACCACGAATGCACCGTACCGGTTCCTCGTTGTGATGGCCCTGTTTGTGTGGTTCCGTATGAAATTCTATATTGCATGGGTATTGGCGGAATCCGCTTGCATAGCGGCTGGATTGGGTATTTATCCCGCTATTTGTAAGCCTAAACCAGGACACGGGCCAACAGAACCTGAAAAGTACGTGTACCGCGTTGGTAATTGATAATATTATATTACGCTCATCGATGCGTCCTTCGGTTGCGCCGTGTAATGACAGACTGGTAGTCTGTTCAGACTTCAGATTCGAAATCGCATTTTTCTTGTGCTATGCATATCAAGATCAGACCGTATCAAAGCGTTTAGTCCCGTATTCGACGCGCGAAAAAAAGATTGCACGAGACTCATTCTGATTTCGTTTTGTCCTTTTTCTGTCTGGTAGCAAATTTGGTGCTCGTCGCTTTTTGTATAGAAGTAAGCATAAAAGATATTATACGCGATAGCGATTCTGATACTCTATATAAGGAAAACATCATGAATGTCTGTACTCGTACAGTATTATCAAGTGTGGTTAGCGATTTTCTTGTTTCAGTGGTATGTTTTAGCTTTTTAATCTTTTACGATGGTATGATCCTTTACTTTGCACGATTGCACTGGTTTGCTTTCATATCGCAGTACAACGTATTATGCATCTGAACTCATTTCTCTTGCGACATCTTCGGTAACTGTTTGTTTATTAACAATAAGTCCGGCAAGTGGTAGCAAAGGATAGAACTAACTGTACGGCATAGACACTCTGTGTGACATATTTTCTTTCGATTTTAGGATACCAGTGGAAGTTGATGAAGAAACCGAATATAGCTTCGAAACGATATACAATATCGATGAGTATGCCGTGGAATTTGTTCCCACTGTTCGTGAGGCCTTAAAATCCTGGAACATGACTGTCCAGTACTGGTTAGCCTGGCATGTATACCGTCGTGTCCCGATGAAATCCATCCGCACTGTGGTTGTCATGTTTGTATCAGCTTACTGGCATGGTTTACACGGAGGCTACTATCTCAGTCTGTTGACCGTTCCCTTGATGCTCATGGCTGAAAGCTGGATATCACGTTACGATAGCTTTGGGGCCAAATTTGCCAACTGGTTCCTACGGATGCGGGCCTTTGAATACATGTCCGTTGGGTTTATGTGCTTAACGGGAGCCAGAACATGGCGGTACTGGAGCAGTTTATATTTTGCTGGACACATTATTGCCGTCGTTGTCTTCGTCGCCGGGCAGGTTTACCGCAAGATGACCAGAGCCAAGCGGCATGCGGCGGTTAATAATAAAGCGGTGAATGTCGAGGGAGCGACGGGAAAAGCTCACTTTGAATGATTGGATTAGGGTAATCGTTACGTTGTTGTGTTTTGCTGATTCGGCGTAGTTGTTGAATATCTAATTTAAATTGTTAGGGCTGTTTTCCAAGATGCTGGTGATGAATAAGATCTTGTGATGGTGCATGTGAATGTCTGTGGCGGTTTTCTACACGCTGCCTTTCCTTGTCGGTGTGGGATAAACCGGTGACATTGTTTGGCGCATGTAATAAATGGCTTGGGCAAAGAATCCCAACCAGGCCTCTTCGATTTCGGCTGTCCAACGGGAATCGAATATTGGTTTAATCGCATAGATGAATTGCGGTCCGATAAGCTAATCCAAAAGGCCACAAAAGAACTCAATTAGGAGAAGCACAACCGTTGCACATGCGTCGAAATTAGAATTGCGGGTGTAGTACTCTTAATAATTATTCTAAGGAAGCATCTGCCAGTAATAACTGACTATCGGAAACATGTAATTTATTTAACAACAATTCGCTGTTTGGTCTGCTGATGGAACTTTTCTACATAATATATGTTCATACTATAAAATGTTAGTAGCTCTTTGAGCTGAATATTGGTAATATTTAAATCTTTGTTGGAACAGTGCAGAGTATCGTTTACAACAGGTATAAAGATCTAATGAATTCACTACGGTACTACAGATTATAAAATACAGTACGTTTTATTGTTGTCAAAAAATGAAACCGGCATGTCTGGTTAGTAGTTGCTCTGGTGTAAACTGAACGGCTGTTGCAAGAACTGCTTATCAATGACTTGCCATGATATCTACAGAGTACCGATGTTTTGCCAGTAGTGTACGTCAAAATTATGCCAATCTACAGTATGTAATACAAATAAGTTCTAAATACAATTTAAAACACGCCATAGCTCTATAAATTTAAACGGTAAAGCTTCTATTTACGTCACGCATCGTACGACTGATTGTGATGCATGGCATTCACCTTCATAACTGTGACCTACCGGAAGATAGTCAACAGGCGCACCATATTGTACGTGTTTCAGACCCAACTCCAAGCACAGGGCGATGAGTTTTTCCGGTTGTTCTATTCTGGATACACACTTCTCCACAAATCCCATCACCCGCAAACCATGATTGCGGAGCTGCTTGCTGTGTTTCATTTCCTCGGATGTCAGACCTTTGAAGGGCAAAAATATATCCTGCACTTCAGGATGGGTTTCGAAAAGCCTATAAATAATTCAGACCAATGATTAAAAAGATGTGCTTCCAAAGTGCGTACAGGATTTAATATCCCAGTGAAATTTTGAGGCGTTGATTTACGTTTACTTTTAAAATGTCGCAAAACGATTTTACGAACATGAAAGTCGGCTTTATGTACATTTTACGTTTGAAGCTATTAGTAGCAGCCTAGCAGGCTACAGTAAGAGCAATGAGCAACTTGCAATTGCAATTTAATTGCATACGAGTATTTTGTATGTACAACAGTATCTATACAAGTACAAGGACCACAGTGGTACGAGTACGAGTACCGAAATTTAATTAAGCCGATAAGTGTTTTGGACGCCATGAACGCCACTATTTTTACTGACATATTTGAGTTCTAAGACAATTTAAAGTTTTCTTTCGAACTCTAGAATAAATATGACATATACTGTAATGTTGCGCAATGTTTTAATTTGATTCTGTTCAGTCAGTCTGACATAATTTACAATTCTTTTGCTCAGTCGACCGCGCATGGTTGTAATCTAATATTAATTTATCACAAATAAAATAACCAAGCACCTGTACTTAACTTTATTTTATAGCTGAGTCTATAACTATGTTTTTATGCTTATTCAAAAATTCATGTTCATGGTTATGTAGACAGCTTACTCGTAAAAAGGTTTCCAAAAACCTTATGCTCGGTCTGTGACCGGTTGACCATGAATGTGCCTTTCCGGTCCCACTTACCAGTTACCAACGGTGGTCGTCCCAGTACAAAGTGCATCCACTTACCGTAGAAACATCACGACACCGACTTCTGCAACGGCACTGCGAACAGTGGCGAAGGTCTCTTTAATGATGCCCTTTTGCCGTTGCGATAGGGATGGCGGGACATTTTCGTTGACCTGTGTTCCCACTTGCTCCGAACGTTTTCGCGTCCTGGAACTCATGGAAAATGCACTGATACTGCGGTTCATGCGCTCAGCCACGGTCCTGTTGGGCCTATCCGCTGCCGGTCTCTGTCGGCCTTGATTTTGTCCCATGATTGACCGCGTCAGGAAAAAACATCAACGAATAATCTGCGCAAAAGTAAACGCCCAAATGCAGCACTGAATGCCGGGAACTTATTTCACTGGAAATCAATAGTCAATCATCCATCAGGTCAGTTCAAATAAGCTTTAATACATGTAAGAGCATATAATTAAGAGAAATCCGAAGCCGGCACGGTAAATATGGTCATTGAGTATTATGACAAAACCATCCAACGCTACAGTATATTCTTTGCATTAATAAAACCCGCATGTCGCGGTAATCTGGTAAAATGCTAATCTTTCATTCGGGTTAAAATCCCAGACAAATCCAACGGAAAGCTCTCGTTAAGTGCCGAGATGCGGACACAGGAAAAGCCGCTCGTTGTTGAAGATGACGTTAATTTGATCCACTCGAATGCATTACGCGGCAGTACACACACAGAGCGCCGCAGCCCGTGCACGGTCAGTGAGATGACGTTAGTCGTAATTGGCCTTTGATTCCTTTAGTGTTTGTAAACCATCCGGACCGGGAGTAGCTCCTACAGCAGCTAGCCGTACCCGAATGCAGACACCCGGGAACAGGAGGTAAACGTGGTTAAATCAACTGCGCACACATCCAGGCAACAAACTGTACAAGCGCCGGCATCGAATCACTTCCATGTGGTCGTCGCAAAGGAATAGTTCATTTCCGCTGCGGAAGATGCTAGGCTTCCGGCGGGTTATTTGACGAACTGATATGCTTCAAGCCACAGTAAACAAAATCATTCATTTATCTCTTCAATTACTGGTCGCAAACGTCCGAGAAAGTGTACGGCATATATCACCGAGCAGGTTGTTTTTTTGCAACATACGTGTTATTTTGCGTCGACGTGTCTGCATTAATGTAATTTATTGCTCGTTAGCATCACGGATTGGTTTAAAATAGATCTTGCATAAACAATCATCCGCTTATTATGATGTCCATAAATTTCACTCTTCACAGCTTATAATCAGGTTGTGATTGCTCAGCAGTTGAAAGGATGACCAGTAAAAAGATCGTGTCACCATTTAACGGAGTTCTGGCACTGAAATCGCACTCATACCCACATAGGCTGTTTACAACCGTGATCGTAATTTAATTCCCTTTTAACGTCGGTAAACACGTGGTTGTACGAGAAGAAATTAAACAAAGCCTTCTCGAAACTTTGCTTTCGCTTGTAACACGAAGATTCAAACTTAGCAAGAACCATTGCATTTTAAGTAATTCCTCAGACGAAGTTCGACGCCAATACAGCGAAGTATGCCCATTTTAAATTATCGCAATACCGGAGAAAGAAATATACATTGCTAACACAGTAAAATATCAAACGAACAAAACAAGATCGGCCAAAAAATGGAGGCAAAAGCAATAACCGGAAGTACTGCACACCCGGGCATAACACATATCGGCGAACCCTACAGTACTACCCAACAAACAGCGCCGCCTAAAACCATGCCGATAATGACGCCTTTTGCCAGTTTCCACATCTGCCCGAGTAAAGTGGAACGCTCATTTGGATGTCCATGAATACCGTGGAAACGCACGACTTGCTTCGCAGTGTTGTCATTGTTGCTATCCGTCTGCCCAACCATTTCCTGGGAACTCACGTATTTCTGTACAGCGTGAAACTGGTCGTAAAGAAATTGTCTGACGCTACTGCGGCGGGCTTTTCGCATGTCGTCATTTGGAGTCTTCTGCACGATTTCCGGCAGATCTACAATGCAACACGTCAGCGTTTAACTTATGTTTCCATGCGCGAGCAATAAAGGAATCTCAGCACATTCGTTTTAGATTTGTTTAAAACCACATGCACCAATCATGGCCATTCGTCGTCGATCCCGGTATTGAAAAACCAAAAACGTGGAAGTGAAAATCTTCTTCAGATTCACTGGCCATGAATTAGCTAGAACTTTCTCTTAGATTTACATCCATGCCAAAATACCGGGAAGCTCGGGTTGGTTCTCAAATTGATTCCTTTTTGATGTCGGGAACGATGGCACGGATGCGGAACGATGGCGCACCTGTCTGGGTCGAAGCCTGGGCTGCGCGTCGTACTTGAAAGTTTTCAGGTCCTCTAAAAATGGCTTCAAAGTAATTTTCTGTCGGTGAGCGTTTGGCGTATTCACAATCGGATCCGTGAGCGCAGTAGTAAATGTCGGCTCAGTTGCTGTAGTGCGGCCGGGAGAAAACTCGTTACCAAACGTAGTAACAATGAGGATCAACACAACCATTGATGTCAACACTGCAAAAAAAAGCAGTCACTAATAACTGATTACAGGAGTTACTGATTAATACAGTTAGTGAAACTACTGAAATAATTTATGATTAGAGTAACTGAAACAAATTACTGCAAAAGCCGTTTCGAAGACTTTTTTAAATTCGGAAAAGGCTAATTCTAAAACACGTATTGGAAAAAAACGCAATATCTGAATATCACAGTAATGTACGATTACCGCAAACATCCTCGCCATAAACGCATATCACCAGCCACGCGCCACTGACCACTGTCCACATCACAGCATTCGATCTGTAAAAATTTACCATGCCTTTTTCGAGCTTTAAATAAATAAGAAATGCATGAATCAACACCCAACTAAGTTACTATGTACTTACTATCTCTTGATCAAAACGAAAATAGTGGATAACCGCCCCAATATTTAAACAAGTACGAGTACTTCAGAAATACGCGTTCCTTACTGACCGGTGAATGTACGAACATACGAAGCAATGTTCAATCATAGCGATTAGCATCATTTACAACACATCACCTTCGCTGGATTTTGGCTCAAAATTTATGACAAAATCATCCTGGAGTTAAAACTGAATATACCACAGTTAAAACATCGTCCATCAGGGGAGTGTAAGGTTACTGTGCTCACGAACCACGACTAACAAGTAACAACGCACGTTCCTAATTATCTTATCGTGCATCTGTAGTTGTAAACCTGTTTTACACTGACATCGAACACATCGAAGGATGAGCAACAGTTCAAAACTGAACAAACTTCGATGTAATGAATAAAAAAACGCTACTATCGTATCAGGTAAGCTAATTATATTGTGGAAAAAATATTTCATTAACCATACGGCTTACCCCATGAAGTTTGAAGGACTTGCTAGGCTCGGTTTGCCGATATCACCGTTAAAATGAGCGGCAAGGCATTCTACGAGTTGGATAGCGATTCCAACAATTCCTATGATGCTGTGCACACAGTCTCCGTGTTCGCCAAACAGGAATGATTCCAGAAGTTTTGGAATGTGTTTCTGCGTCGGGAGTGCACTGCTGGCTGTCTTTAATGCGCCGTATAAAAGCACCGAGATCGCGAGAATTCTGCTGTTCACAAACATTGGTATGGATTTCGCACAAGCCATGGGTTTAGTCACAACTCAAAAAGCTGGTGTAAATCAGTAAATGGCGCCACTGTAAATAGGTCAGAGTTCTAACTTGGCAGAATGATCCGTCGTTTCTGTAGAAAGTAGTACTTCTAGAAGAAGACTAACTGAATCAATAATGAGAACTTGCTGGTTGTCTGAGGTCTCTAAGTAGGAAGTTCAAGGAATTCAGAAAAGCACAAAAAAACGTGATTATTATAATTAGGCGAGAACAGCCTCAGAACATGTTGGAGAACGGAACAGTAGTGGGCAACTCGGCATAGTGGTGGTAGCGCCGTACACTGGCCGTAACAGTGTAGCCGCAGTGGCAACCTCCACCAGTCGATGGTTACACAAAGTGCACGCCGGAATCATATACACTCCGTGGACAATCTCTCGATTGTGTAGCGGCAGGTACGGGATAAGAAACAGGAATACTGGGATTTAAAATAATTTCGGATTTGTGTATATAAAAGGAATAATAATAGTAGGGGAAAGAATTTTGTGAGTGTATGAAGGACATGAAAGGTTGTGGGTGTTTCTTTACTACAGTTGAGACCTTGAAAATTGCGCGTTTAGTCTGTACCTTTCCATAGGTTTACACAGTCATTTTGGTGGTAGAATTTGTGTTGTTAAGAAAGTTGATTGCTTAATGGAGCGAACTATTATGTTTTGCACTGCTAGTCTTGGATGTGTAGTAACAGGTGGTTTGTATAATATGGGATGTAGGCTGGGACGTACATTAAAAGGTTGTTCGAGAGAATGTTTGGTTTAATTGGTTTGTTGACTGGATTTTTTTAGTTCGGTGGGTGTATTAGAAGTTGAGGAACTTTGTGTTTGAGTTATTATGGATTTGACGAAGTATATGCAGTGAGGAGAATGTTTTTCTTGTTGGTTATTTTCTGATGGCCGGTTTAGATTTTCGGAAGCTTACTGATTCAGGTTGTTGTGTTTTGTTTGGCTTTGGTCTTTTTAGGTTGAGTATAGTTTAGTAAGTTTGCTTTCATAGATAGTTTCTTTTAAGTATTGTTCTTTTTTAATAAAATAATGGAAACTGGTTGTGGTCGCAAGAATACATGCGTGAGCATGTGCGTGATCATAGAGAAAAAACCGCAAAACGGAAACTGATGGTAATTGTAGCAAGAAAGATAATGAAGTAGTGATGATGTTAGACATGAAAATGTGAAGTTAAAAAACAAAAATGTGAACTTAACAGGGTCAGCAAAACACAACAATTCAGGACAAAATCGTAAAGTAATGCTTAAGAAAAGTTACGGACAACCATCACACATTACCATACTCCGCAAATGTCGTTTAGCACGTTTCCTTTACAAAAATTGTCCAATAATTGTCCAAAAATTCTCCAATAATTTTTTCCAAACATACCAGAAAACGCACCACCTTTAGTATTCCGATTACATTTTTGTTTTTTAACTTTTTCATTCTCATATCTAACATCATTACCACTTCCCACATTATCCTCCCTGCTACAATTACCATCAGTTTCGATTTGCATTTCTTTCTATAATCACGCATATACTCATGCATGTATTTCTCACAATCACAACCACCTTCAATTATTTTATTAAAGAAAGAATTCTTAAACGAAAATAATGTATGAAAGAAAACATACTAAACCATACTCAACCTAAAAAGACTTACCAAAGCCAAACAAATGACAGCAACCTGAATCAGTAAGTATCTACAAATCCACACCGGCCACCAAAAAATAACCGACAAGAAAAACATTTTGCTCATTCCATATACTTCGTTCACTACATAATTACTCAAACACAAGATTCCTCAACTTTTTATATACCCACCGAACTAAAAAAATCCAGTCAACAAACCAATTAGACTATACATTTTCTCGAAAAAATTTTTAATGTACCTAACCTACTTCCCATATACAAACCACCTGTTCCTACACATCCAAGACTTACAGAGCAAAACATAATAGTCTGCTCCATTAAGCAATCAACTTTCTCGAAATTTCTTGAATTTTCCACAGTAATCCATCACTATCTACAACCCGCAGCACACTCCACTTCCTGTAACACTTCATTAAACACTCAAATACGAACAACCAGAAAGTCGAATATATTTATACCATACTACAGTAAAAATCCCTTTATCTTGACCCAAATTCAATGTAGACCCTTTCTTCGCTTAACTGGATTAGTACACCCTTTCTTCATTATCACATTTCGTCAAACATATCACCTTTAATATAATTTACAGCCATTTAACGCCCAAGCGTTAAATGACGTTAACGCAGAGCGAGCTCACGTGTCTTGGCAACCATGGTTGCATCCTTCAGAATGCTTCCAGGGCCACTTTGCCACGTACACGCAGTTTCACGGCCAGAAAAATTCGCAAACCTCCCGCCCGCCCGTTTATGCGCATTGTATTGTATCTCAACGGTGTTCGGTGTTTTATCTCGTGTTTTTCTTTCTCATACTGCTTGTACCAATTCGATTTCAATAAAGGGGTGTCCGGCGCGGCTTGTATCATAACCTGGGTGACCGACGGCACCCGTCAGCGTGTCGTCTGGACATCGCTCAGGCTGATCACTTGCCCCGGCATCCTCAGGCGGCAACTTTCGGTCGTGAGCGAGCTCATAAGCGTTAATATATTATTAAATTCTCTATTCAGCACTTTATATTTCTACCCCCTTATGATCTCCACATACAATATGCTCCTGCAATGTACTCGTACATTATGTAGGAGCACATTGCAATATGCTCCTACATATGTAGGAGCACATATATATAGGAGCACATTGCAATGTGCTCCTACATATGTAGGAGCACATTGCAGGAGCATATTGGATTACGTTTGTTTGGGTACTACAATTCCGTTTTTCTCCTCCAAGAACCGATGAAACCGATGCAATGTGCTCCTGCATAATGTACGAGCACATTGCAATGTGCTCCTACATAATGTAGGAGCACATAATGTAACCTAAAAAAGATGCCGAGCCAACAACGCCATCTACAAGTTTCACGCATCGTTACTCGACTCATGTCACATGACTCATGTCACATGACTGTTAGGCCCCACCGCTTCCTTCAACCGGCCGGACCCTTCCGTACTCTACGGGCGCCAAAAATTACTTTTGTTTACACACGGATATCGAAGACCAAAAACCGAAACTACAGTTTCATATATGCCGACTGATTCTAGTCGTATACCGCATATAAGAACCTGTCACGGTTCAATGAACCTGCCGCAAAAGTTAGGTACAACGGCGGCAGCTGCGGCGGCTAGTAGTTTTTGCTACTTTTATTTATGTTTTTATTTTAAAATTTGTTCTGTCCCTGTTGTGACAGTGTTGTCGTTTACTTTTGTGATAGACATTCAATGCTAACTCAAGCATAGTTCTGCCACATCGAAGGAAGCGATCATTAGCAAGTAATGGGACATCGGAATATTTCGCAGCTTCGTGTGTGACGCACGGAACATGGCAGCGCCTGGGACTTATCTCGCAAAACCAAGCAACCGGGAACACCATGCTTTAAAAGCTCCCTATTTTAACGAAAGCGATTCGTTGGTTATCAAGCATTTACCAGAGACATTTAGTGAAGACGATGTCAGAAAATTCCTGGCTGATGCTGGTGCAGTGGAGATCAAATACTTTGGATCTTCTGGCCGTTTGGTACGTCTTTGGAACGTTGATTTGTTTTGTTTGGATGGTAATGACGATGCAGTATTTCCTTCAGCGAAATCTGGCAATTGCAAGATTTGACAATCCGGACCTCGCCGTCGTGGTATGTCACGAAAATCTTGTTCTATTTCGATAATTCGTGCATAAACGATAGAGATATTGTTTTGAGTTAAAACCAGGCATTATTGAAAATTAAGTTATTGTTTCTAGATAATGCAGAAACTTCATCAGATCAAAATGGGCAAACGTCGCTTGGTCGTGGAATTTGCTGATGAGAAGCTGACAAAACATTTGCCCATGGTGAAAGAAAACACGGCACGTTCTTCGGACTATGTTATGACAGGTGAAACCTACTCTAACTATGCGTATGGATGTTCTTGGAGCGTAACAAATTCATTTTCGCATCGACATTAATATTGAATGTTTGATTTTTTGTAGGATCCCAGTCACTTTGAAATATCACTATCCACCACCTAGTCCGTCCATCCTGACCAATGTCATGTACATTATGGCCCAAACACCGGCTTTATACGTGCAAGTTATGCATTTAATGAACAAAATGCACCTGCCAATTCCGTTTGGACCGCTGCTGCCACCACCAAAAATGGTACAAATTTGTTTGAAGTTATTGGAGATGTTAGATATTTTAAAACGAATCCGCGTTTCATTTTGACATTTTCGACGAAATTTGAGAATTTCCTTTGGCTAGCGTGCTTATTGTATATGAAGCCACTTTAATGCAGTTTTTTGTATACGAAGGACCTTTAATTCACACTTACACAAGTTAACCCTAACAAAAAAATTTTGTGTCTTAATTAAATTGTGGAATGAAATTTCTTAGTTTGACAACATTTCTGGCCGTGCTTCGGAAGCTGTTGATGAAATGGTCGCGGTTTCTTCTGATTCCGAATGCGAAACCGAATTAGCATCAACAGTACCACCAAGGTTAACGAAAACGAAAGAAGGTTTACCGAAGCGAAAAAAGATTAAACTCTCTGGACTTCTGGAGACGCACGAGATGGCACCGGTTTCAGCGTTACCTGATCAAGACATATTTGACAACCCTTTTTCCGGCCAAACTCTCGCTGTCCGGCGCATGCATATCGAGCCTCCGACAGCTGAACGATTGGAAGCTGTGGCCCGCAGCAGTGGGGATGACGACGGCGTCTCAGGGGAAGGGTTTGCTATTTTAAAAGCACCCGAAGTTTCTCCCCAACCCGATTGTACAGCTTCGTTTATCAGCGCGCAAGAACTTGATAAATTGCGCTCGAGTGCGGAAGGTAAAAATATTGTTACTTACTGTTTGATTTTTCGCATTTCAGATACTGATTCCAAAAATGTTTTAAAACAGAAAAGTATGTCGCGGTCATTGCTTTTATAATTCAGAGTTCTGAGATGGCACTTCAGCTATATATTTCATAAATAGTGGTATTTGCTGAGCGATTGTGTTGTTTTTAGAACTCCTGAAACTACCGCCGTTTAAAAAGTACGACCCTGGACAACCGTCATCTAAACTGTACTTGAAAAATCTAGCAGAAGCAGTTGAAGAAGAGGTAAGACGATTAGCGGAAGATTCAGTTGGGACATTAAATGAAAAGGGAAAACTATCTTTGTTTACTTTTACAGGATCTGAAATTTATTTTTGGGCGGTATGTGAACTGGAACAACAGAGTGGAAACTGAAAGGTACGCAGTTTGGCTGAGGCAAAATAGGCCATTAGTATTAGCGACGCTGTATAATGTAATGTCACTCACAGTAAAATTTGCATCTCGCGACGCAGTTTGGGTTCCTTTAGCTTCAGTATTCGACTAATGCAAGAAGGACGAATGAAAGGGCAAGCATTTATTACCCTGCCTAATCAAACCAAAGCCGCTGAAGCACTCAAAGAAGTTCATGGATGTCGGATTAAAGAGAAGCCTGTTGTTGTGGTATGGAAAATTTATTTGTTTCCGTTTCTGCTGCAACGTTCTCATCGATTCTACTATTTTAGGTGTTCGGGAGATCTGATAAGTAAAGAGGATTGCCACTTTGCAGCAGACGTTTGCTTCACGTTTGCTTATATGGCGAATGCAGTTTCCGATAAGTGGCTGCTGTGTTCTTTGCTTTTGGCGAGCTTTTGGCTATTGAAGCTATTACAGTTACGAAGTAATACGGACACTGCATGACAAAATTTTTGAGATGCTGAACTGACCCTTCGAAGCAGCCACGTTTTTAATAAGCAGCAGGTGAGCACAGCGAGATGCCAGTTTGTTGGAATATGAAACTCATTTCCCGTCATATACTTTCTTTTTAGTAGTGTTTTTACTAGAAAACGTTGTTTAGTGATTAAACATTTCGGAAGTGATTTCAACGCTATCTGTACAGCATTTTAATATTGAAAATAAAATTTACCAAAAAAATATTCGTAGCATTTGTAATACTTTGTTGATGTTTGATTGAATGCCATCGATTTGCCTGAAATTGCCATTAAGTAAGCACTCTCAGCTCCATATAACTACGATCGACGTTGCTGTTCGGCAGAGAGCCCCTACAGATGGAAACACTCGGCAAGGCGGACGCCCTGGGAATCAGCAGGGTCGGCGGCTCCTGGTGCGAAGGACTGGAATCCTCGGTGCGCTTGAAACAGAAAAGTGTGCGGCGCAACCATTGTCGACATTTCTTGGTGTAGCAGAGATGGACTAGCGGAGTGAAGGCCGTGGAGCTTTTGGCCGTAAAGGCTGCTGTGGCTTCCAGTTGAACCGGGAGAGTGGATGGATCATAAAATGTTTCCCAGGTGGCCACAATGGCGTACGGCGCCCAGCAAACGATCATGCAAACTCCGACGGCAAGCGTCATCTGTGGAAAATATAGGGTACATTGCATGATTTGTTATAATCATATTATGGCTGAAGGGGTTATTAAAGGCAGAGGTAACTGGAGGTTATCCTGATTGCTATATCATCTCGATTTCGGATAATCTGTAGACTTGGTAATTGGGTGAGGCGCGCGGAGCTGATCGAATAAGTACTTATTAACATTTTTAGCAGACCAACAATATGGGCTAATGCAGCTGACAATAAACTTACGGTAAAATTTTGGATCGCAGTCATTGAGCCCCTTTATGTGTCATGAAGTATCAAATGCTACCTAAAAACTGATACTGTAGCGGTACTTTCAATAGAGTAGAGTTTTATTTGTTCTTCAAGATTTAGCTGTGAATTATTTGTATCAGTGTGCGTTCAGAGTATTCCTATGTGGGATGCCAGAGGAAATAAAATGATGATAACTAAGTTATTCGAATGACGGCTAATTTTCTTAATTCTCCTTTTCAACCTTTTTAGTGTGGGGGTGCAGCTTTTTTAGTGAGTTTATGTGTGCGCATTTCGTTCTGACGTTGTGACAAATGTGAGCAGGGAGTGAGTTCTTGTGCCTGTTGCCCCCTAAATTAACCTTGGTAAACAATAAATTTCACCAAGGGCTTCCAAACACCGGCTTGTGTTTCGTGTTCATACGTTTTACATTTCTGTCTTCTCGTTAGTCATCTAAGAAGTCTGCCTAGTCACGCTTAGGTTGTTTCAATATTGTTTGTTTCCAGTGCTTATTTCCGAATATCATGCATTTGGGTCATGGCTTTATCAATTAGTTAGTTGTTTGTTACGCGGAGCGTAAGTTTTAGGATTTCCATTTTTGAGTACGTACGTGTTCTTCCCAGGTTTATGCGAAATGCGTTAACGTTTAGACTAATTTGAAGTAATTTCCCCGTAGGAGTTTGTATGTATAATTGATGGTAAGAATTATACATGAAATTATGTGACAGGGGAACTTCTTGCGTGCATCACTGTTACCGTATAACGTTAGCACTTCGATATTGCTGGAAATAAGAGGGGTAGCGCTGGACATTATGTGTCCCCTCCTAGAAAATAAGACGCACAGCTTTTGCGAACAATCCCAAAAGGGATTCTTATTACAAGAAGCACTGCCTTCAGTTGTTTTAAATTTCAGCTCCTTTATTGGGAATCAGTAAATGATTCGCAAGCACCGGCGTCTAATTTCTTTTAATGTTGCTTAACACGCGGAATGTAAAGATATTCCAGTACATACTCGTTTAAATTATTGTATTCGCGTGGGGCTGCATGCGCACGGATTATCCGTCATGCTTCCCTTGATTAGCTGGAAAAATGATGTTAATTTACCGGCGCACGGTGTTTTTACAAATTGAGTTTACTGAATCACAGAGGGTTGTTTGAATCACAGAGATACAGTTCCTTAGGACTACCGGGCGGGATGCGTGACTTACCATGAGAGTGTCATTCTGGACTTTTGTCCATTTTTTAGCGAATTCCATATTGACGTAGCGGCGTTTCAGGGAGCGCAGATGGCTAATGACTCGATAATAGAAAACCGCGGTAAGAAACACCGGAAGGGCAAATCCCGTGATCATTAGGAACGTGATGTAGAGCACCGAAATTAGAGATTTTGATGACCATTTAATGGTGCAGCTGGATCCATGCTTGCCGAGTCCGTATTCTCCCATACCGACAATCGGCAAAATGCAAAGGAGAAAGGACAGCGTGCAGATGGCTGGAATAATTATCCAAACTGTGCCACAGTGACATTTTTTGCTGCGCTGTCCTTTTCTAGCTGCAATCGTAAGTTCGTAACAATCGGTTCGGAAACCAATAAAGCACGTGTGGGGCGGAAACACACTTACCTGTATGCTTCGATGCCACTGTACTGTGAAGCACGTATGCAATTCCTGGTAAATCGAAAATGGATGCAAGGCCGAGAAACATTGTAATAAAGGCGTATCCAACACACCCTAAAAATTATGTTGTTATTATACCGTACATGATAATCGCAAAATGATTTAAGAATTCGTTTGATTTCTGTTGCATAAAACACCTAATAAGAACCCTTAAGTTATTGCGCATGCACCCGCATTATGCAAATAGCATATGCTGTAGTTTTTCAAACTTACATTTTCGTGGTCAAAATAGCTTTAGATTTGAATCTGTATTTTGTAATAGTAAAGCTCGCCAAATACGATACGCATCGGCACGACGGACTGTATTGTATTGTACGAGTATGTACGTGCAGTACTGTACAAGATATGTGCACAGCTGCATATTGCATACATTTTAAGGTTTTGCACAAACTATAAAAATAATGTTTAATATCGAAAAGCAGAACCCGCGACAAAATATAAAGCATATTCTGTAGAATGCAAACGTGATTTTTGCATTCTACAAACTTAGAAGTGAAGAAGTTATGTCATGTTATGATTTCCTATTATTTTGTTCTTAATTACGTTCCTCCAGACATCCAGGGTAAGCAAACCAGATACTAGAAGTACTGTTAACATTTATTATATCAAAACTGAAAAAATCAGCCAAATCTTCACCAGAAACAAGTTTAAAAAGCCTTGTTGTTACAATAAATTTACAGCGTATACGGATAACAATATATTAATACAACCATTTTAGAACATTTAAGTATGACGCTGATTTTATTTTATATGGTCCCAGTTTACCCTCTTACTGCCAGTGCTCACTAGGAAAACGTAGCTTTCTCAACTGTGCGCAAAATACTTCTCAAGAATAGTATAAGCTTTATGATCCTTTATCGGTTTGCGGTACCTGCATGGCCGAATTTCCACTGGTGGCTGATGAGCGAAACGCCGACCATGGGATACGTTGTCAACGCGAGCAAACCATTGGAAATTGCTAAAAATCCCATCAAGATGTCTAAGGGCAGTATATGACCTTTTTGCCGGGCTATTCCTATCAGAACTACTCCATTGGCATACAATGACAATATCCCTGTAAAAAATAAAACGCTTACTTGAAGCGAGTTGTTTTTCGGCATGAGAACACGATCAGGATTATGGACCTACAAATAAACAACAGATAGGCAGCAACGCCAATATCCGCATTGGATGACAACTGAGATCCGGCGGATATGTCAATGTATCGCGTTGGTTTCAAGGCGAGAGATTCGGTTGATTTCGTTGACGCGTTGAACATTTTCTGTCCCACTATCACTGTTGCAGCATCAAAGCTTTTTCTTAAGTCACCTGTACGAGAAGAATCTAAAATAAAATACATTTTAAATTGCTGCGGTACAAATTGTTACAATTAAGCAACCACATTAAAAAAAGAATAGTCTATACAGCTGTATTTCTGAAGCTTGCTCTCGTACATACTGGGTAAAGCACTAATTCGGGATGTAAGATATCGCGCTGCTCAAATTCTGAAATGCTAAATTCGCAGTTTTAGACCGCGGTTACCGGTATGGGATGATGCGATACCATACACTTACTCGAGCATGGATTAGGGAGCTAGCAGATCACCACCCATCCACTTTGATGGCAGAAAGTACCTCGGGCTCGTGTTATACTAGGTGCAAGGTAGTACTTGTAGTCGTAATCTTATGTAAAAGTATATTATATGAAGTATATTTTATACTCAATCGGCCGTTGTTTAGGCCATAGTTTATTTCATATATTTTCGGAACTCACTACATGCGGATAGATATACAATATATCTATATTCTGTACGCACTCGTACCTATTGCCTAATCACATAATACATCATACCGCAGTAGATATAATACATGTATTGTTAGAATAATAGATCTACGAGTAGAATGTACGGCGATTCTACGCGATATTGTCTGCTGTACCAATGGGTGTATATCTATATATTGTATATCTATACGAGTATGTGTAAATACAATACAAGACCGTACGTATGTATCAGTATAAGAACTATCGTTGCCAAACATTGTTTAATACCTGTGTTCGTAGGGCCACATAAGAAGTATACGATTAGTACTTACGTTCAGTAGGAACTGGAAAGCGGAAACAAAATCTTCCTGGGCATCTGACACCTCTTGGTGACTGGATGATTGGTGACTGGATGATTAACAAGAAACATAAGAACAGGCTCGTAATTAAACGGGAATGATATGATGATCACATGCAGCTGCTCCGTGGCGTTGCGATTGAGTACTTCCCAGATTATGTACAGTACAAACATAAAAAATAGTAGATCTGAACTGTCTGCATGCGACACATCTGTGTTTATTTGTTGATACACTCTTTTAATTAATTCTATTGTAATAATATCAAAACTCTAGAAAGCACAAGCTTTTTGTCCCAACCATCGTTTACAGTTGAAACGAAAACAATCACCACTGCGTTGTAACATCAGCTCTATGAGTGTTTTGCTCTATGAGTGCACACTACTTGCAGACTACAACAGTTCCCGTTTTGTTTTCGATATTCTCCATGGAAATCGCGTTTAATACGATTTCCTCTCCGCTTAGCCACAGTTTGCACGCACTTTTTTAATTAAACTGCCATGGCACACCTTATTTATCTCGGCCCATATGGGCACCTGCCGGCTGCCGCCAATAACAAGCTACAGTACCTGATTGATAACACACATGAATTCCTACAGTGCGCAATCAAAATGACATTTTCAGTCATTTCCTTTGATGTGGTGGATTATTTCGTACTCATATTACAGAAAGAAAACGTTAGTCTAAGACTTTAATTCCTAAGTGAGTACGGTTTGATAAATTATAATGCGTGCCTAGCAAAATAATCTACGCAGCTCGGATTACTGTATAAATAAATAAATTGTCTCTTATGGCTTTAATTGAGAACTGATGTAACTTGTATAAAGTGCTTACTTTGTCATGAATGAGATTTTCTTTGATGATTTTCATAAGTGCATTAATTGTATAGCTTTGGACACGCACAAACGACTGCCAGTAATTTGATCTACGGTAGTTCACCTACGGTAGATGAATCAACTAATTATTTAAAGTTGATGACTGACCGCAGAAAACTGGCTTGCGGAAGTATTGCCTGGCTCCTGCTAATACGAATATAAGCATGTAAAAAACTTAATATGTATTTACTGCAGCCAACGAAAGGTTTTCCCATGTGATAATATCGATGCTGTAGCAGTTTAAGATTCTTAGGACGTTTACTTTTATCCTGCACAAATGCCTAAAGCACACAATACAATACGCTATTACCGGTGTACGAATTGTATACAATAGTACAAACTAGTACAATGTACATAACGGAGACATGCAGTAGTAGCAAGTAGTTCGAAGTACAGCGATCTTATAGTGCATGCAGTAGCCGGTATACATTCGTGTTACGTCAGCTTGAACGTAAAAACCTTAAGAGTTGCCCCAAAACGCAGTTATGTTTAGCAATATCGATCGCTGAATAGCTTACCGACATTTCAGCATGCCCGAATGACTGCTACAAGTCGTTTTACAAATAAGTCAAAGAAACGCCGAAGCATGCGCTCGGCATTGAGATTTGCGACGTTTTCGTCGTCTACATTGACATTACGGTTTCTTGTTCCTAATTCATACCGTTATATAAAATTGTTACAATGACAGATGGCACAGGTAAGAAGCCGAGCAATGCCGATGGAGTGCTGCCGGAAGTGGAGCCACTCGTGCGTAGTGAATATCGGCATATCCGCTCGGCTAGCGGCTACTTCGAGCCACCGTTTCATCATCCCGTTAATTCCACGCCGACCGCCGAAGCTGATACCGTGGTCCAGACGAAAAACGGGAATGCACCGAAAGCGCAAATCGAAGAGGAAACCATGGATGACCATAAGCGCTCTACCAAATCGAATGCCAAAGCGGCGTAAGACATAATTACAGTAGTTTATCGTTGCGAATTTATATGTACTGTAATAAAACACTGGCAGTATTTTTGTATTTTATTAGCTATTCAACTTGCCGGTACTTCAGCTGTCTTTATGCGCTCGTTGTCATCGTACTTTCGGCAGCCTTTCCGCTGGCCGAAATTATATCGCTGGAAATAAGACCTCTGTTTTACGAGGTAAGAATGCGCGAGTGGTAGTTCATTGCAAACTGGTTCCTAAAATTTGTGTGGCATATAGGGTTTAAGAAGATTAATATTGATAAATAATTAAAGAATGCATGGAATCCTCAATCCTAGATTTGTGGCTGTATCTTTGTTGGTACAACGAAAGTGTTCCACAATATGAACATCGCTGTCATCTACCAGCGGCTCGGCGTTCAGTAAAATTGTTCGGGAAATCAGAAAATTGGTTGCAGTAGATCTACTCTAGTGCAAATCTTTGAGCACTCGGCATTTTCCGCTTCTTGAAAATAAGGTTATTAAAGGGGCACTTTTCAACTTTTAGAGTAACGAAACTCAACTTGTGCAACCGATTCACCGAGTAGAAATTTAATTTCAAAATTTTTCCCAGAATCTTGTTAAGTTAGCCTGACATCGGAATTTCCTCTTAATTAGTGAAAATGAAATGGCAGAATTACTATGTACATTATTTAGTCGGTAGGTATTTATGGATTATGAATATACATCAGCATGTTTGTGTTAAGCGTTTTGAGATTTTTGGCTTACGCTGGGGTACGGAGTGAGATTGCGAGTTCGGTTGCTGTTGGCGTTGTTTGTCTGTTTGTGTGCTTTAGCGAACGTGCTGACACATCGTTACTCTCTGACTCGATCAATCATCGTATTGAACGTAATTCAATGAAGCGAAGTTTCATTTTTTTGTGATTGTTAAGGCAACTGTTTAGCACTGTTTGCTACTCATGCGTGATGTCTAGATATGATAAATGTAAAGCAATATAACCTGCGCACGCATACGATTGTTTAAGAAACAAATTTAGACAACATGTTTCGTTCCCTTCCGCTTCCCTGAGTACGGGTGCTCGCATCGTAATCAAATTTTACTTCCGGTTCATCCGCAATAATTAAACGAGCTTACTAAAATAGTCGAAAGGAATATTTGAAGGAAAATTTTTTGGTTAAAATGTTTAAAAAATTAGTGGCATTTCGGTTTTTGAGAACAACGGATTTGGTACTGAAGTATATTAGTTTAACAACAGACTGATAATGTGTAAATATAAGCACGAGTACTTATAGATAGAAAAATGTAGCGCCAACTGCCGCCATGTATAACAAGTTAACAACCTTTTTCGCCGAACATGTGAAACATATAACGCCGCCTTTCTCGTTCACAAATTTATATACACTACCAGATTTATGCATTACGTTGACACATTTATCGCCATAAATCTTGATAATTGGATGTTTGCAGAGTTTTTATTTGTATTTGTACGGAGTATCCCTGCTCTTCCTGATCTTCGCCTATGGCTTTCTCTTCCAAAGCGGTCGCCGGCAGAAAGTCTATCTGATCTCATGGGCCCGGCGCAATACGACATCATCCTCCATTAGCCGACATCATGACAACCAGGAAGATCCTTATTGTGACTTCCTGTCCGACCGGAGCCACGCGTCCAGCAGTGGAAGTTTCTATTTGCGACTGGTGAGTGAAGCGCGCTTGACAGATCATTAAGTGCTCGTGAAAATTCTTTAGCAGGAACCGCCTTTCTCCAAGTGTTTTTACCATCTCAGCAATACACAAATGCATCTAATAAACCGGGAATGTGCACTCAAGTCAGCACGGCTAATTTGCTTAACCGCAATTGCACTCCAGCTTATTTTAAACATTTGAAGACACGCAGTAAAAATACAAAAGGTGTGACAGATAGAGCGTATAGACTTGCCGAAAGGCAATTAGATTATCGTCTTTGAACACACTGTGTCTTGCGGCTTGCACAATTTATTTAATGTAACGCGATTCCAATATAAAAAACATTAACAACTAATAGTAACTCACAATCTTTAAGTATTTAAACTGTTCATACATGTCCATAGTTCTATCCGTTCAGTCATCGGAGAATTACGATGTGCCGTTAATTTTGCTGCGACGTCGATAATTATTAAATATCGAATAATGCAATCGGCACGATTCGAGATTAATTTTTAGAATTTTCTGTAGCAAATTCTTAAACGTATATGAGTGCAATTGCATTTTTTTACGTTTTTCTTGTATGATTGCCAACAGTAGGGGTCGTTTATTTGGTCATGTTGTAATATGTCGGAAAATATTTTAATTTACAAAATATTATACTAAGTAATAAAATACTTGTTCATCATTTTATTTGAAATCGGTGATATCTTCATTGTTTTTAGGGAGCAATGATATTTGGAGTGGGTGCAATGCTATATTCCGTGCTGGAATTCGGACAATATTTTGAGATTCCCTTCGGTTCCCACTGTGATGATATCCTGACGGCCATTACACCGGCAGCCAGATTTGTTTTCTCATTTGCACAACTTTATCTGGTATTTTTGAACAGCAAAGTAGGTGAGAAATTTCTTGTGTATCTTTGTAAACACGATATCTCAATAAGCGGCTATGAATTGTTTCTACAGATTCGAACTGACCGATACAACGTCTTTGCCAGCTTTGGATTTATGCATGTACGTACTACGTATTACACTATACTACCTCGTCAAAAAATTGACCACTATCATTTACATGTACTTACAGTGTAAATTTTAATAAGAAAAAAGAGGCTTTAAAGTGCTGTCACATGTATATTTTGCTGCTGTTTACCAAAATGTTTTAATTATTTCATCTCTTGATTCTGTTGACAGATGAACTGCAGTATGCGTACATATACTATAACAGAAATATTATAATAAGTATAACAGAACTGTTATAATTTGTGCATTTATGTGTGCGATTTCATTAGCGCAGCTGCTCTTGAGTCTTTTGTTAAGTACTAGTATAGATACGAGTATATCGGCCCTTTGAGCCCAGCTATTTGATTATATTCCCCAATATCTTTGCATAAACTTTTTTTTTAAACAGATGTTTGCAACGAACATATCTGTCTGGCTGAGCGTATTAATCGAGGAAACTAAGCATCAATTCGAAATCAGTATCTTTGAGCCGGAAAAGCTGCGTCCGCCGGGCATTGCCGTTGCGGATGTGCCGGAAATGTTCTTCTCCGTGAAGCCGTTCGCTTCATTGCGCGCCAACGTGACCGCACAAGGGAATTTCACCCAAAGCTCTAGGATCAGTGCTGTGCCCAACAAAGTACAACATCGATTACAGAGCTACTTAAGTGGCATCGTGGACTCCTTGGTCAACATTTCTAACGAGTACGAAGCTTCCTGCCGGTCGACGACAACCGTTGGCTCCATTATGCAACAGGTAAATTAGCGGCTTCAGACACTAGGTTATGTCTTAAAATACAATTTTGAAGCTGTAGCACGCTTGCCGCAAGTTTACTACGAATGGAAATATATACGTTGAAAAAATTAGCGGCAAGTGTGAGTTTGCTATATGATGCCGGCACTGCTACAAATGCAGGTTTTGAGATAACTAATTTATTTTTTCTCAAGGCTAGCCCGTTCTTGTATCCGTGTATTGTGGAGAACAGCCTGATTTGTGCGGCTCTGCTGTACATGATGTGGAGCGGATTGAAACATCGCCGGTTCAAGTACAACAGCAGCACCGATGCGGATAATAAAAACAAACACCAGTTCTCCGTAAACTGTCACAATGCGACGCGGGGGCTATTTCTGGGATTGTTAATGGTTGTTATGACTATTATGAGGTAATATAAGGTATTTAGACATGCATGCACTTGTCGGCGATCAATCACTTTAACAAATACAAAAAGATGCTTCTTGGGCGCTTTGCATTATGACTTACTTGCATGTAACAATTTGCATATATTTCAGTTAAGCAATTGATTCTCATTGCGCGGTACCTGTCGCAATATATTTTCGATTTTTGCTATCTTAGTAAATACTCATAATTATTTGTTTCTGTTTCCGTTAAATATATTTGTACGAGGCTCATCGTCTATTTGTTAGGCATTGTAGTACTAGGATACAATAACTTTACAATTTGCAGTATTGACTTGTGAGCGTAACGATTTGCAGTTTGTACTGTTCTGCATGAAACATGCTGACGTCTATATTTTACATAGTAAAATGGTTATAGACGGCAGATACAGTACATGTATGACATAAATTAATAACATTGCGACCATTGCGTGCTTTTGTCCTGCAGTATGGTGCTGTTTTTCGTCTGGATCCGTATGACCGACTACTACACATTAGCCATCTTCCAGGCGTATGTTATGGAGTGCATCCTGTACACGACCTCCACATTAGCGGTTTGCGTTGCCTTCGTGCGCATTAATGCACTCAAGTACAAAAGCCACGGAAGCTCACGGATAGATGACAATCTGCTGATCATCTCCCAAATGGGTGTATACGTATTCCCGGTCTTCGTACTGATTTCCGGTCACCACACCATTATGGATAATCCCACGAAAGAGAATATCAGCGCATTGGTCTGTGCCGGTCTGGAAATAATCCAGTCCACGCTGCAGACGCTCTTCCTGCTGGATGCTACGCGCCGGCGACCCAATAAACAGCGGCACGTAGACGATAAGCCGGGACGGGAAATGGTCACTTTCCTGCTGGTGTGCAATTTCAGTTTCTGGGCCGTTGACTCTCTGGAAGCCTGGCGCCACCAGCTGTATCCCATACAAATTCGTTTCTACGGTATTTGGACGGTAAGAGCAAAAAAGTTGTACAATAAAGAAAGCTCTGTAATTATAATGTTCAAAAGGTCATAAATTGTGGGCTCACTCTGGTTTTCTGTTACGCAGTGGACACTGATCACGCACGTATCCATGCCGCTTCTGATATTCTACCGGTTTCACTCAAGGTACAGTTTTTCAATTTTTTGGCGGCTGAAACTCAAAATTAGCGTTTTGCACCTTTATGTTATACATAAGTACCTACAGTATAAAATTGATATGATATAATATTGCAGATTTTCTGGCTTCAGTACTCAATCGTACGGTAATTATGACTTTTCATGTTGCAGTGTGTGTCTTTCTGAAGTATGGAAAAATGCGTATAAAATAAAATCCCCGGCCATCAAAACCAAAGAAATATAGCTTGAAAAATATTTTTCCGCCACATTTTTTTGTTGTTGTTGATTACTTACTGCATTGTTTCTGCTGTGCCTTTTTCGATTTGTATTTAAACGTTTTGGTTTGAAGTTTTGTGTGAATTGTGTAAAAATATAATTGTACAAAAACACATGATATGATGCTCTTCATTATCCCTAGCACTGTAATTTATGGCAAGGCACATAAGTGAGCTTGACTTATTTATGGATACTGATACTACAGAGCAGTCGGCATTTGTACAATACTGTATTAATTTTACATAACAATAACAACGTATCTTTTGTGCAATCTGTACTGCACAGAAACCTGCAGGGACAAAAACTACAGGTAGTACATCACTGCTTTTGCAAACCTTTTGCAAACCTCATAAGTATACTGTTACACTACTGTAGAGAAAACCATGCCATGCATTTCACACAATTTTTATAAATTGTAGTGCTTGTGAGAACATACGTATTTAAATGTGGTACACTACTCGTACTTCTACCGTATTACGTTTGCTGCAGTATTTAGTGGCCACATGAATCACCCGGTTATTTGCTGTATTTCCGCGGCGCGCATATTGGACTGCTTGTAACCAGAAATGCAACAAATTTCGGTGTAGGGCTATTTTATCTTCGATCTAATCAGGATGTTTGGGTCACCCGAAAGGAATTAACACAATGAAACATTATACGCAAAAGTGCATGGAAACCATTACAATACTTACTGTATGTATGTGAAAATGGGTGCCATTGCGGGATATGTATACGTACAGAACTTAAAATTAGCCTACCTAAATTTCCACGATCCGCTACCGTACTTTCAATTCAGTTCCCGTAGCCTGCCTAGCACACTGATGTCAATTGATAATTTTATGGCAGATGATCAGATATGAACAGTAATTTTATCGTTACTTCCGAAATTTGTTTACGTAATTTCAGCCAAAAGTTGGTACTCTTAAATTAATCTTTTAATCCGAGTACTAGTTGATTGGATTGAATCAGCAGTGTGTTACCAGCGGGTTATTACGAGTGACTGTAGTTTCACAATTTCACAGTAATTATTAGTGTAGTTTTATATCCGTGTATTGTACTCGTAGTTTTCATAAGAAAATGGCAGCCGCCACAGCGTGTATCGAAAAAGGACCTATTTATACTACGATTTACAAAAACATCACCTAGTGAGCTAGGTTTTTAATTATAACCTCTAGACATCATTGGGAGGTTATCACAACCTTGGTCTGAACTCTGAAGTGAATCCTGGAATTGTGGATCGCCGGGCTAGTTGACTCCTCGAATTAATCTGACTTCTTACCTATCATTTGGTAAGATGATACTAACTTGTAAGAGCTGCTTATTTTTGTTCTTTTTCACTGTCACCCACAATACTGCACCGTTACATGATAGTTTTCGTAAAATTCTTCTACACGTTTTTAAGCCTTTTTTATTTATCGTACTTTTAAATTATTTGTACGCTCTATAGAGTCATTTCTTTAATTGTACAAATCACGTATAATAATCTAATTCCCTGTGTTATCTATTCTCTTGCAATCGCGAACGGAATCTGCTGTGTCAGAAACACACCCACCGTTTCCCTCAATCAGTAAATTCGCGTTTTCTCTGGCAACATGGTAACTTTCTGTACCGTTGATACTTCATTTATGGAGAAATTCTTGCATAAAATTAAGCTTTTTGCCGTAGTTTATCTATCCAAAGTATGGCGTTGATATTAAAATTTAAGTCTCGAATGATACGCACTGACAGATATAGCATGCATACGGTATTATATTTGTATTTACGATTACTTGCATGCTCGAAATCTTTATCTCACCAGTCAGTTGTTGTACTCTCTGCAGTATTTTGTAAGTTAAGTACACCTGGCTCGATCATGGCATATTCTAAACAACTCTTTAAATTTTTATGATAAGAAATTAGTTAAATTTCAAACAAACGTCAGATGAGTTTGTTTTAATTAGCCGATTAACTTTTACAGTCATCCGACGTCTTTGCGATCCACAAGTACTGTACAAGTACGGTACAATCATGCGAACGTTCTTCCTGCGACTACCGGTGTCGCTGATTGCGAGGAAGTTCTCTTGTCAGCACAAAATGCTTGACCGATCTTACGTTGCAATGCCGTCCTTGAAACGTTACGGAAGTGAGCAATTTGAAAAAAGTTTCGGATACTGTTCCATACTGGATCCGGCCAACGAGTTGGACCGGAAAGCGAAAATCGTCGATATGCGCTCCGATACGGTGACTCAGCCGACACCGGAAATGCGGGAAGCCATGGCGCACGCCATAGTGGGCGATGACGTGTATTTGGAAGATCCGACAGTGCGATTACTGGAAAGCACCGCGGCGGACATGTTAGGCAAAGAGAGCGCTCTTTTTGTTCCCTCCGGCACCATGGGCAACCTGATCAGTGTGATGATACACTGCCAGGATCGCGGTTCGGAGGTGCTGCTGGGCGATAAATCGCATATTTTCATGTACGAGCAGGGAGGCATTTCGCAGTTCGGGGGTGTACATGCGCGAACACTGAATAATCTGCGCGGTGGAACATTTCTGGTCGACGAAATGGTGTCGAAAATTCGAACGGCCGATGATATTCATTATCCGCGCACGCGATTGCTGTGTTTAGAGAATACGCATAACATGTGTGGAGGAAAAGTGCTGCCGTTGGCTTTTCTGACCAAGGTCACCAAAAGGGCAAAGGAGAATGGCGTACCGGCCATTCACATGGACGGAGCCAGATTGTTTAATGCTGCAGTGGCTTTAAATGTTCCCATAACGAAATTACTGGAGAACATCGATTCTGCCAGCGTGTGTCTTTCAAAAGGTAAGCGCATTAGCGCATACGAGCTTTTGTGATATGAACAAATGAATTCGATTGTAAAAAAAGATGACTTAAAATATTTTTACTGTAATAATAAGAAAAAAACTGTAAACTTTGGCGGTTGTTTCAATTTTTTGTAACAAAACTGAAGACAGAAACTTCTGTATTAATTGCATTTTAAAAAAATGAACCATCAACAGGTTTGTGCGCTCCTGCTGGTTCCTTAATTGTCGGAAGTGACAAATTTATTGCGGAAGCGCGACGACTGCGGAAAGCCTTGGGGGGCGGTATGCGACAAGCGGGAATATTGGCTGCTGCCGGTTTAATCAGTTTAGAAAAAATGACCGCTCGATTAGAGGAAGACCATTCGCGAGCGCAGCGCCTAGCGGAAGCCATTGCCAATTATAAATCGCCTTTCTTCCGCGTCGACGTGCAAGGTGTCCATACCAACATTATCCTCATTGATCTGCAGACCGATCGTCTGCCGCCGTCGAAATTCTGCAAGAGGCTCGTGTCGGCCACGGAACAGGAAGTCAAGGAACTGGGCGAAACTATTTATGTCCGAATGTTTCCTTTCGGTCACAACATCGCCAGAGCGGTGGTGCACAATAATCTCAAAGATGTCGACATTGAAATGGTCATGTCGAAGCTGCAGTATGTGGCTGATGAGCTGCAGGAAACCGAGTTCGTCTATCACTAACGTGATAGTAACGTCAAGTTTTATTTCTGTTCTGTTAATCGAATGTTGGATTCTGCTTTCAGTGTTGAATTTCGACACATTAAGTAATAATAAGTAGTATTAATCAGTGCGCAGATCCTCTTCCAGTAATTTCAGACTCGGTTAGCAGCAGGATCGGCTCTATCAGCCAACTTTTTAAAAATTAGAATTAATACTTCTATTAATAAATAGAAAATCGAATTAAAAAAATGAATTTCCAGCGTGGGAAAAATAATTTCGATAATTCGGAAAGAAAAATCGTGATTGGCTGGCTGCGGATAAGCCCCGCCCCCCAAGCACAACAATAGAATATTAAAATTCAAAATTCAAAATTACGTAATTGGCCTAGTGGCTAACGTACCCCGGCACCACTGGTACCGGGTGCAAACATTCCACTCTTGCTCTTCTTCAGTTTCCAGATCACCGTATTTCAAAACAGCATTTTCTATTTTCGACCTGTATCCTTGAAATTAACACTTGTGACCATGGTTAAATTTCAATGTAAACAGTGTGGAAAAATTATTGCACGTAGAGATGATATGCAACGCCATATCAAAGAAGTTCATAGTAACAAGAACCGCGTGACCTGTGAGAACTGCCGCACCGAAATGCTTCAGCGAGCACTTCCACGCCATCAGCGCAGTAACTGTCCACCAAAAAGAAAACCGCGGGAGCCCCGCCTGAAAGCCGTTGTTCCTACGGGGAAGCGTAAGCCTACGAACCCCACGGCGGTTACACCAGCGACAGCAGCTCAACCTGCATGGAATTCTACAATGCCGCCGTCAACTGGATCAAGTGCGCCACCGGTTTCGCAGGAAAAGCTGTGTTAGTTTCGCGTGCTATTGATGTGAAAAATGTTAACCAGTTGAAATGTGAACGCTGTGGAAAATTTGTGGGATTTATAGAAAAGTCAGTCTCGGTTATTTCTACTGAATGCCATGATTGTCGGCTTGAAGCCGTACATTTGTTGTTCGCACTCAGTGGCGGGAATTGACTGTGAACCAATTAGAATAAAATTAAAAATGTCGTAGGTGTGTGCTTGCATTCGCTTACCCAATGCCATGAGGTAAAAGTAGAGCAAATGTTAAACAATGAAAAAAATCGTGCCCGGTGCACGACTTTTTGTTACAGCTCGGTCACAAATTAATTGGCACAGTATTTATCCTTAAATTTTGTCCATACTGCGTTTTTGTTTACCGCTGTTCTTCGCGTTTTTCCTTTGAAATTTCATCAAAATACTTATTGAACTAAAGAAATTGGAAACCTAAGAAAGCCTAAGAAAACCTAAATAAGTCGCACGACGGCAACATGGATCCCTTTATACCGCAGGACGACTTTGAACGCCGCGTCATAGAGCTGCTATATTTCCGACGGGACGAGCTTATGCAGCTCGAATATTTTCAGTTGGATTTGCAGGAGCAGCTCAACGCTGCGCATGCTGCGCCTGCTGCTATGCAGAATGTGGAGCAAGCGGCCGCGCCGGTCAATGCGGCCGGCGGCGGTGGTGGGGCTGCTGTGGAGGATTGGGGGCCGGAATGGCCACCCGTTGTTGTGGAGGAAGTGCCGATGAATGGGGACGCTGGGGGATGGGGAGCAAATGATGGCCAGCCGGCTCCGGCGGGTGGATGGTGGGATGCCGCTGAGGGCGAGGATGGGATGCCAGAGCAGGCGGAAGAAGAAGAACCGGCCGCCGAAAATGACGCCGATTCTGGCTTGGGTAGTGACGGAGAGGACACGACGGACACAGATGAGGAAGAAAATTAATGTAAGACCACTTTTTAATTATTCCTAAATTTTTAATAGCAGTTAGGCTGGAAAAGTCATTTTATGTGATAGAAATTTAAAGGAAAATAAATGGGAATTTTGTGAAATTTTCAGTATAAAATTTGTAGTCTTCATGTACACGCATACACACATTGAGTTCAATATGTTGCGATAAGTTTTTACAGAGCTCTCTGTTGTTGACACGTTAATTTATTGCAGTTGTATTTCTGGACGGGGTGTTCAGCCATGCCGGCCAGTGAAGCTGATTTCGCGCCGCTCCCGTCGGTGACCATTCGGCCGGCCGATGATACACATCTACCGACAGCCAACACGTGCATCTCACGATTTTATATTCCGTATTACTCTTCCCAGATCATCATGCGAGCCAAACTGCTTTTAGCCATTTAAACCACGAACTTTGGGTTTGTGTGATAGGAAACGCGACTTAGTTGACATAAGATATTGTTTTGTGTTTTTCATATGCAGATGGTTTGGTTCTCCCTGCTGTCTGCTAAAAAATGGATAAATAGTTTTCTGGCTTTACTTTCGTAGCGAATCATTAGATTTTTATGTTGCGTGCAAGCGGTTATGTTTTTTTGTTGATCATGAAATCCAGTTAAATGGTTTGCAAATTTTGGTTACCGCAGTCCGCAGTTAGCGCGAGCTGATTTAAAGATGATGAATCTTATTATATTGTAGTTGGTGAAGTAACAAACTTTTTATTAGAACACAAATACTTTAGTTGTACCGTGTATGTATTTTTAATGCAGCGTACATTAGTGCATTTTTTAAGCTTTGGCCACAAAATATGATTAGGTAATAGGTACGTAGTCATACTAACGATAAGTAGGACTGCTTTCGAAAAGAATAATTGCTGCGAATTTGAGCGTGTCGCATGACCTACCGCACGCACACGCACACCGCATGTACGTAACTGGAAAGCATTACTGTAAGTAAACCCGAAACACTTTGCGGTCGTAATGATTTTACAGGACTGCAGATGTTTGCTGCAAACGTGCATTTGTATTACTAGTAGTTCTATTTTGCGTGCCGTTTGGACTTCTTTGTGTGCAGTGTCTGCTTCGCTGAAGCGATGGCCACTAACTTCAGCAAGCGCGTCCTCATCACTAGCTCCTCCTGTTTACTTGGTTGCGCCGTTCTGGAAGCGTTCATCGCAGTGGGTTGGCAAAGGACCGGGCTCGCATTTCCCGTGCTGATCGACATCCCAATCTGGTTAAGACTGGTATCTGTGCGATCCCATGGCCATCGAAAAGCTGATCGATGATTTGAAGGTCTGCTCCGTGAACGTACTGCTTCTCACGAGTGTGAGCGAACTGTCTGTTCTGTTGGTGAATTAAACAAGCGACGCCGGGGTTTTGCAGCCGAACGTTGTTGTCTGTGCAGCGGAGCGCAGTCCCGATGCCATGGACCAGCAGCCAGCCGAGACTTTCCAGCTCAATGTGCAGTCCACGCAGCATCTGAGCCAGTGTGCCAGTAAGTGTACGCAATTGTCTGCGTTCGTTTGAAGCGATTCATCACAGGTGCGTGATGTGTGTGCGTTAGAGAAAGTGGGCGCTTTCCTTCTCTACATCATCCGGTTGTTGAAAGATACTCCGATGGAAAGACTGGGTACAATGCAGCGACTGGTTCCACGGAAAAGGAGTTTCGTTTGCACATTAATGGCGATGATAAGATGGATCGAAATACCAAATTGGACAAAGTGGATAGCAATGTTCATGACATCGTTTCGCCAACGCTTAGTCCGATGCTCTCCATTCCAGGTATTCTGCATGCCTTAACGTTTTTGGTTAGTTTTTCTAGCTGGTTCATAAATTCATAATTGCATGTGGTTTTTTATCGGATTCATATTAATGCAACGCTGTCAGTTTATAGATTCTTTAATACAGCAGTGGGACATAATTTTGAAATTAACACTTCTTGCTTCAGATGCATTTGTGGACGATTTTGACACTTTTTCGGACGATGAAGGTATTCAAAACCAACCAGACCGAGTGAAATCTCCCCCCAAAGAAAAGTGAAACTGCCACCCATGACGAGAGCATTGCCAACGAAAACCGCAGCGATATTGTTGCATCGATTCGGAGTGATTTCTTGTCGTCCAGCCATTCGGAAACTGGCCAAGCTGATGTGAATCTGCAAGATTTTGATAACATTGTTTATTTAGGTGGATATTATTTTATCGGATATTGCCGTCCACGAGACTTTGATTTGGATCTCCGTTTCCCTTCCAAAAATGCGCAGGAAGTGTCCCCTGTTGAAGATGAATTAGAACATGGAGAACTACTACCTGCAGCCGGTATGAATAATGGGATGTTTTGTTAATACAGGCTAAAAAGTTGAATTGTTTTTAGATGATATTGTGTCGGAAAGCGGCGTGGCTGTTTCCATTGTGGAAGAGATTGATGATCACCCCGCCAATGCAAGTGAAAAAGAGGTTGAAGAAATTAGCAACGATAATTCGGGCGGTGACAAGAAACTGGATGGAAATGATCTGTTTGCTGGTCGTAAAGTTGGGGCGGTGGAAGGTGGAGATTAGGATGCTGCACACGAATCAGCTAGATCCACTTCGTCGTCTAGACATTCTATTATTGGTAAGGTTTTCAGCACCTCAGCAGATATTGTGATATTTTAAGTATCTTGCACAGTTTTTGAAACTGCAAAATCAAACTGAAACTACCGGTGGACGCAATTTTAAGTGTTTTGCACAGTTTTTGAAACTGCAAGGTGTGGTTTCATTTGACGGAATTATTTAAAATCGCCGGCATAATCAGCATCAACTTATTTGTAGACGATCTATTGGGTGTAACACGGTCGATAGTCAACGAATACTCACCGGACGGGAGTGTTTCGCCTCAATTGTCACCTAGACTAAATCTTTCGAACAATGCCTCTCCATCCTTATCACTTAAGCAAGCGTTTAAACCGATTGACATTCCGCTGCCATCGGACGACTGGATGGAAGATAACTTCTTTACCGCCGTCCACTATCCAGTAGTGATGCCAGAAGTGGCTGAAACCGTTATGGAATGAACGGAAAAGCCGCATAAACAAGGTGAATATACACACCAGCACAAAGTGGACAGTTTCTATGCCGCGGTGGACGCATTGTGCCTGATCCATCAACAAGCATCTTCCTCCTCGGATAATTCTTTGCGTGAGATTTGCGCTGACGCCGATCAGAATGAAGAAGAAGCTATGCTGTTTGATAGTATAATTAATGTCTGCGAAGAGAAATTCATTTTCCCGGGGACTCCGATACGGAAGCTGCAACTCTCTAAGGTCAAATTGCCCAGTGATGCAGATCATTTTGTGGCAATTGTATGGAAACCTGTAGAGGATGTGGCGGCTCGAATGGTGCTGCTGGATGTAGCGCTGCATGCTGCCCGAATGGAACAAGATGATGTGGAACAACAGATGGTCTACGATTTGGCCTTCCAGGCTTTGGAGCGCAACGAGGCACAGTGGTGTGATTTCAAGCAGAGTGAGGCGATTCTCAAGGAAAAATGTGTCAGTGTGTTGTGGAACAATTTGTTACTGGTCATTTGAATTGATATGTCTAGTGATGATTAGAGCTTGTATTCCTTGAGCGGATGGTCGTGAGCGTCTGCTCTGCAACGATTTTCCTATGATCTGTGCTAAAATAACCTTAACCGACTACTGTAGTGCACCACAACTGTAAATGCTCAATTAAAAATGGAATAGGCGTAGTACGCTATTGTGGAGAGCGCCGCATTCGACAAATAAATATTAAAATAAAATAGAAAATCCTTATTGGTTTAGTGGCTAAGCGACACAATTTGTACTCGTTTACTCGCATATAAAGAAGATGCTGTAGCAGAATTCCACATTCAATCTCACTAGCTTCGTTCCGCGTATTTTACCTTGCTCTTTTACATTTATTGCTGTATTGTGTTACCATGGATAATAACGCCGACCATCCCGCTCCTGCCGTTAATTTCCAGGATGCAACCGCCCAGGTTGAGGCATACCTGCAGACCCTGGCGCCGACGACGTCCACATTGTATTTTGATCATTTTAAGATGTTGGAAATCCCAGCAACGCCATTGCTTGCCCAGTTCACCAACATCCAGTGAGTTTTATTCACATTAATAATTTTAAAAAAACCCAAATAATTCGGTAAAAATCTTAGAATGAAAAAATACGTAAATAAATGAAAAGCAAATTTATAGATCCATCACTGCGGCCAAGTGTGGCCTTACATCGCTCGCCAATCTCCCCAGTAAAGCGACATTGCAGTCGCTGTACTTGGAGGGCAACGCTCTTTCCGGATCGGCCTTGGAGGCCCTCCGTGACTGTCACTCCCTCCGGCAGCTCCACCTTCCGGACAACCTGTTTGACTCGGCGGATGACTTCCGACCGATCCGAAACCTGCCTTTGGATGTACTGGATGTCGGATACAACCCGATCACCCGCAGTTCGTCCTGTCAGGAAGCACTGGAGCTGCTGTTTCCCAACACCGACATCCAAGTGACCGGACACCTCGTCCAGGAGGATTCCAGCAGCGATGAGGAATCGGAATTATATGTTTCCGATACTGGTAATTATTTTTATTAATGTTCTTAATTACTATCTAACCGTCTTGCGTTCCTTTTTATTTATCAATTATATTTTTTTTACTAGAATTCGAAGAAGAATCCACCAAGGATTCTGAAGAAATGGCAGCCGCCGTCAAGGCGCTGGAAGAAGGTAAACTTGATTTTTAAGCTGAATTATTTTTAATTTGCTTTTAATTCTTTTTATTCGTAGATCCGGATTGGGAAATGGATCATGTGAGCAACTCGTGCTCCGAGGATTCTGCGGATTTGGAAATGTAATTTGTTTGTTGTTTTTCCGCTACTTGTGTTATTTTTCTAGCATTGTTGAATGAAATTAATAAAAATCAGTCGACTGCGGTCTCAATTAACGTTTGACGGATTATTAAGTGCTCGCACATACGTTAGTTCAGTTTACTTTTACAAGTATTTGCATACACACATACAAACTTAACGTTACCACAGCAACGCTCCGTAGCTACTTTACCCATCTAGTTGCTAGTCTACCCAGCCAGTTGCTAGCGTATACGATTTATTACAACCTGCAAAATCAGTTGCTGACTTACACCACTGGAACTCGATCTCATGTAAATTATTTGTAGTTATCTGCTATTACAAACTTGTAATATTTGACTTACACGATTTATTTGTTTGTACTAATCTCTAAAATGTCCGAGTACCTTTCTCCAATGGATTGGGAGGCCTGGGGCCGTAATTTTAATGAAAGTGTGGCGTCCTTTAACGCTGAATTCGATATCGTGGATGAGATCCTGCGGGAAGCTGGTGTGGTTCCCGAAGTGCGCGAGGGATTTGTCGATCCGGATACACAGAAAGAGCAGTTCCTGCCTCGTTACGAGGCCATCTCCCCGCCGCCGCTCGAACCGGATCCTGTTCCCGTTCTTATCCATGTGCCGGAACCCAGCAATACTACCCTGTTTCAACCGCCATGCCAACTGGTGCCAGCGTTCGACCCAGCGCCTCCGATGAACCCATCCCCACTTTCGCTCGGTGAACAAGCATCGCTGCACGAGTTCCTCCAAGTCCGACCTGGCGGCTTGGTTTCGATGTTCGCCAACGTGGACACTGTGACTTTGGCGCAAGCCGGAGCGTTGACGATCAACATCACCCGTGAGAATGGCATCCCGCAGTTCGCGACCTTGCATACCAGCCGTGGGAAGGAGAGGGCCGGCTGTGCCACCACCATGGGCGAGCTGCGTGCAGTGCTGCGCTTTCTCCTCTCCGCCGAGTGCGAAGCCCTGAGCCGCAGTCCGTCGCCACCTGTCCAGAGGAAAGAGCTAGCCAGCCCGTCGTTTCGAAAAGAGTTCTCTCTCACCCTGCACGCCGCCTGGATCTCTGGCAAGCACCTGCAGCTGCGGATTTCGCGCAGGGGCGACAACCATCGCAGCGTAGCCACTCCCAAGATCAGCCAGACTACCCTCCAGCGCCTCCGAGGCAAGAACTGGTACGAGCTCCTCCCGCAGCTCTTCCCGGGATTCTCCCATGGGATCAAACGTAAGGTCACAAGTTCATTCAAGTTCAGTTCATTGTTCAACGTTCATAAAGTTCAATGTTCATTAAAGTTCAGTGTTCATCAAAATTCATTTCCGTTCAGTTCGATGTTCATATTTTCACGTTCATTGTTCACTGAATCTAATTTTTTATGGTAAAAATGTATTTTTATATTGGCTTCAACGGCAAGAACTAACTAAATTATTTCTTCATTTTTTTAGCGCTACCGCAGGAGTTTTGGAACGACTTCCGGGCTTACCTGACCATGGAAGCCGTCCATGCTGCGCGCTCGAAGGACATCGTTGGACCGACGGAAGACCAATTGTTTTCCATGTTAACCGAACTGCATGCTACCAGTTTCTACAGCATTTTAATTGAACTGATGCCTGTGTATTCTGATTGTTCTTTTACATGCTTTGCAAGCACTGAATACGTGCGTCAGCAGTGTCAGGTGTTGAACTTTCCTGTCAACTATTGTGTAGCCTAGCCACTGCGTAGGTTAGCAACAGCAGTGCGTACGTTAGCTCCTATCAGTATTTCAGTTGATGCTCACTTGTTCTGAATAAAATTCAGTTAGCGTGATTTTTGTTCTGAAAGTGTTGCAAATAAATTTTAAAAATGGATTACACATTATCAGATATTGATATGGCTGACTTGATAGCGGATGGTGATTGGGATGATGATGATGGTAATATGCAGTTAGATGATGATACTTTGCGTGATGCCGCGCTATTAGCAGCAGCAGATGACTGGGAGTATGAAGATCCCGTGCCCCAGTGGGGTGGTAGTGCGTGCATAGCTGATAGTGTTGACGTTCGGTGCATCGGTCGTAAATATTCTCGAAAGTTTCGTGTTCATCTTAACACTTTTGATATTCAAGTTTCCGAGTTAAAGGATATTCCACACAGTGATATTCCGCAAACTATTTGGTGTATTCTTGAGTACATTTTGTCTGTTGTTTTAACTGGTGTAAGCGACCATGACGCGGTACGCCTACGTGTAGATTCTCGTCATTTTAATCGCCCTTTGTACACGTCCTTGACGCTACGGTCTGAACTCAGTGTAAAACGTTGGATGGCTGATATTCAGCGCGTTTTGAATAGTCATGAAGAGTTCATCATTGATGATTCCTTCCAAATTTTTGTCCAGCATACGGAAATTCCTGTGGGTCGCTGTCTCAAGGATGTACCTGCATTGCTAATGCGGCGGTTGAAGAAGATGAAGTCCGTGGTGGTTGTGGACGGCAACGATGACCTTTGTATGGCGCGCGCCTTGATGATTGGTAAAGCCTTAGCCGACAACGACCAGAAGCTATTCCGAAGCCTGCGACGTGGTAAGCGAAAGATTACAAAGTTAGCCAAGCAGCTTATCCAGGAAGCCGGTTTACCAGAGCGGCCGTACAGTCTGAGTGATATCCCCGCGTTCGAAAGAGTTCTTACGAAATATCGCATTATTGTGGCTAGTGTTGATCATGCGAACGCGATAGTCCATAAAGGTCATAAGCATAAGAAGACCATAATTCTGCTGCATCATGATGGTCATTTCGATCTTTTGAAATCGTTGCCGGCGTTTTTTAAGCAGAGTTACTGGTGTTTTGACTGTATGAAGGGGTACGATAATCGCATCCATCACCGTTGTAGTGCTTATTGTTCTTTATGCCTTCGTGTTGATTGCCCGCGAGATGCAGTTAATCCGATTGTTTGTGGGGACTGTAATCGTACTTTTCCTGGGCAAGATTGTTTTAATTACCACAAGGTCGGTAGTGCAAAGGGTCGGCATCGACAACGTAAAGCTATCTGTGCGACCGTGAGGCTGTGTGCCCAGTGCCGATGTATTTACTCCAATGCCCGGCGAAAGCCGGACAATCCCCATCGTTGCGGTGAGACCAAATGCAAGACATGCGGTGTGTTTGACCTCCCGGCTGATCATCGCTGCTACATGCGTCCCAAGCCGTTTACGTTGGACCGGAAGACGAAATGCAGCGCCTCCAAGTTTTTGTATTTTGATTTTGAAACTTATGTTTCATCGTCAGGCGACCTTGTGCCCAACTTGGCGGTATGTTTTGACGCTGCATATATTTCATAGTGTAACTACAAAATGCTGTGTTATAATAGGTGGTGCAGAATGACGAGGGGGTTGAATGGATTTTCCCGGACTCTGTTAGCGATATTGGCCAGGACGTTACCGATGACCTTTGCGCATTCCTTTTCCAGGAAAACCACCATGGTTATTACGTCATTGCCCACAATTTTAAGGTATTCTGTCCAGACAGTTCATTTAGATTCACTCTGGTATATCGGACTGCTTTTCATAGGGGTTTGACGGATACTTTATCCTCAACTGGTTGCTGCGTAATGGCATCGTCCCAAAGGTCATCATGAATGGCGGCAAGATTTTGATGTTGGACGTCCCGGCACCGTACAACATCCACTTCCGTGACAGCTACAACTACAATCCGCAAAGTTTGTCCAAATGGCCGGCGACCTTTGGATTGCAGAATGCCAGCAAGGGAACCTTTCCCCACCGATTCAATCGGCCCGAGAACTGGAACCGCGTTGTGCCTTTTCCTTCCAAGGACGAGTACGGTTATGGCAGTATGAAGATGAAGGACCGGATGGATTTTGACCGGTGGTACGATGCGGAGTTTGCGGCCAAGGGCGGAGTTTTTGATTTTCGGAAAGAGTTCGTTCAGTATTGTCAGAATGACGTTACGGTATTGCGTCAGTGTTGCCAGCAGTTTGCCCAGCTCTTCACGGACATTAGTGATGGCCTGAATCCTTTTGTCTCGGCCGCCACCATTGCCGGAGTCTGCAGCGTGTACTGGCGGACCTTCCTGTTGAAGCCGGAGCAGATCGGCCTGATTCCCAACCAGGGCTTCGGACGCAACCGCCCACAGTCCGCCAAGGCCCTTCGTTGGCTACAGTGGATGGAAGCCGAAGGTCAGTGCGAAATTCAGTCAAAGGTCACCGGCTCAGAGCACAAGATCGGCTCGTACTTTGTGGACGGATTTTGTGTCCAGACGAATACGGTTTACGAATTTCACGGCTGTTGGTTCCACGGCTGTCCTCAGTGCTTTGCCGGCAATACCGTGCATCCATACCGCGGCCTAAAGATGTCGGACGTTTACCGGGAAACCATGGACCGCGACCAGTATTTTAAAGATATGGGATACAAGGTAATTGTCGTATGGGAACATGAGTATGACAGGATGCGCGTCACTGACCCCGAATTCAACGATTATGTTCGCACCGTCAACATTCAAGTCGGAATCAATCCGCGGGATGCCTTCTACGGTGGACGCACCAACGCGGTCAAGCTCCATCACAAGGTGGTGGAGGATGAACGGATCTGTTACTACGACGTCTGCAGCGAATATCCGTTCGTCAACAAGACCAAACGGTATCCCACCGGACATCCGATCATCATCACCAAGGATTTTGCGGATCCGCGCAGTTACTTTGGCCTTATGTCTTGCAAGGTGCTGCCGCCCGATGACCTGTACTTGCCCATCCTTCCGTACCGTAGCAAGGACAAGTTGACCTTTCCACTTTGTCGGACCTGTGCCGACCAGCGCATCAACGCCCCTTGTGAGCACGAGCCGCACGAGCGCGCGCTGACTGGCACATGGTGTACACCGGAAATCGCGGCAGCGCTGGACCGTGGTTACGTCATCGCGGAAATCTATGAGGTATGGCACTTTGACCAGCACGAAGACCGCCTCTTTGAAGGATACATCAACAAATTCCTAAAGATCAAGACCGAGGCCAGTGGATGGCCGACGGACGTTACGACCGAAGACCAAAAGACCCAATACATCCAGGAATACCAAGCCAAAGAAGCCATACAGTTGGACAGTGAGAAGGTGCAGGAAAATCCCGGTTTGCGCTCCTTGGCCAAACTGATGCTGAATAGGTAAGTAGGTTACAGGATTCCCACTTCATGAGCAGTATTTATGTTTTGTTGTAGCTTTTGGGGCCGCTTGGGTATGCAGAACAACAAGTTGACCACGGAGTACGTTAGTGACCCGGCCCGTTTTTACGAACTGCTGCTGTCCGGCCAGTACCATGTCCACTCGTGGGATCTTTTTGGAGAAGAAGTCCTGCAGGTCATGTACACCAAGGAGGAAGGCTTCATTGAAGATAATCCTAGCACGAATGTTGTACTTGCTGCGTAAGTACTAGTGACCTCGCACGTTTCTGGCCATGACCTTTCTTGTTTTGACCGTGACCTTTCCCAGTTTCTAACTGACCGCAGGTTTACAACTTGTTGGGCTCGGCTGCATTTACTGCAGTTCATGGAACAGGTCCAGGACCGACTGTTATATTTCGATACCGGTCAGTCAAAGACGTGCTGCGTTATACACGATCCGCAATTGCACTGTTATATTGCAGACTCTATTATCTTCGTGGACCGACCCGACCAGCCCAAGCCGGAAACGGGCAAGTTTTTGGGTGACCTTACGGACGAACTGAAACCCGGACAGTACATTACCGAATTCGTTAGCCTGGGTCCGAAAACATACGCGTACAGGACTAATGATGACGTCAGCATCGTTAAGCTTAAAGGTTTTACTCTCAATGGAGCTACTAGTGAACTGATCAATTTTGAGCGCATGTTGTCGATGTTGGATACTTCAGAAGAAGTGAATGTTAATTATCCTGATTCTATACAGCGCCATAAGCCCAGTTTGACTTTGCGGCAGCGCGACATGTCTAAGAAGTTTCGTATGACCTATGACAAGCGCCGAATTGTTGAGAATTGGAACACTTTACCGTTTGGCTATGTACCAAAGTGAATAAACAATAAAATCTGACGTTTGACGTTTTAATTCATTTTGCAATGGTAATTACAGTAGGTCGACAAAACCGCAGCAAATCAACATTACAAAATCAATTAGTAACTATTAAAGTCAGAACATCAACAGCATTAAATACATATTCCGACTGCCCCATCTCCCACTGGTTGGAAGGAGAACTGCCAATGTAAGGACTGGATTCAGGAGTCTTGTGTTGATCTTTAGTCCGCTTTTGTTGCAGAAATGACTGCCGCGACAAGTCGTAGGAGGGAGTTCACGAAAGGTCAGCCCGTAATGTTGTAGATAGCAGTGGCATTACATGCTGTGTCGTTCACGCAGAGGTCCAACAGCCGAGGGCGGTGGGCAATAACTTTTATAATATTTTCAAGGCAGACGAACGTTATTAGAATAACAATCAACATTAACCACAATAAACCAATACAAAACTTTCCGAGGCGGTTGTCGATGCGCTCGACCAGGTCCAGCCTGGGAATCATGCCCTGTAAATTCGCCATTTTGCTCTCTTAGGCGTTCACTGTTCACTTAAATAATTACAAACTGAACTTGAAATACTCATCTGCTGTGTTGGTAAGACTCTGCGTAGGTTAGCCACCGTGTCGCTCAGCCACTGTGTCGGTTAGCTACCGCGTCGGTTAGCCACCGTGTGGCTTAACCACTATACCACCGGAAACAAACGAAATAAAAGCCGTAATTTTCCTTGATTTCTTTTCCTTTTTAAATAATAAACGAAAATGAGTTTCATGGAAAGTTTTGGCTGTTCCGAGTACGCCACGTACGAAGCGCGATTGGCAACGTATAGTGACTGGTGTCATCCTTGCAGGCTTAACGCGTCGCGCTCGTTGGCAGAGGCAGGGTTCATATATTCGGCCACATGCTTTGCAACGTGTTTCCACTGCAAGCGCACTCTGTCGGACGACTGGGAGGATGGGATGGATGCGTGGAAAAAGCACGTGTACCTCAATCCATTCTGCGGATACGTGAGGGCCATGCGCGGGCGGGCGTGGGTGGACCGTGTGTACGACCTGGCATGGGGAGGAGCCCAGCCTTTGGATTGGTGGACGTAGACATTTAAGTGTTTTCGACCAATTGTGTGCGTTTGAAAGCGCTTTTGTACGTCTAACTGTTGTTTTTTTTTATGCGCAAACATGTATTCAGTGCTTGATAGTGATCCACGTTTTAAGGCATGCTTTGGCTGTTGTGTATGCGGACCGACTATGTCGGGAAAAAGTGAATTTGTGTTTAATTTAATTAAAAACCGAGAGCAGATGATAGACCGACCGCCTGATCGCATTGTGTATTGTTATGGTGAATATCAGAAAGGATTTGATCTGCTACTAGAGGCAGAGCCGGAAGTGGAATTTGTTAAGGGCATAGAAGAAGTACTAGCCAATGATGATTTTTTTAATACTAATCAACACACGCTGCTTATTATTGACGACTTGTCACACGTAATTAACAAGGATATGCGATGTACAAAGTTATTTACGCAAGGCATACATCACAAAAATGTATCCGTGATTTTGATCCTTCAAAATCTCTATAAACAGGGAAAAGCGATGAGAGACATTATGCTAAATTGCCAGTATCTAGTACTGTTTAAGAACGTGCGTGACGTAAATCAGATTAGTACACTGGCTCGTCAGATGGGTCTACCGCACCTGGTGGACGCTTACCGAAAGGTCACTTCGGAGGCGTACCAGCCAATCATTCTGGACTTGAGAAGTAACTGCCCCGACTATTTAAGGGTGCGGTCTCATGTGATGCCGGATCAGTATATGCGGATTTATTTAAGTAAGAACAACAGTACCCTGCCAAAGCCATGTCGGAAAGAGTGAAGACCTTAGCGCCCTACATTATTACTTTACGGAGTCTGAGGCCGAAACAGCGGAAGGTTTTACTAGAGTATGTTAATCGGAACCAGCTGAAAGGGATAGAGGAGATTGCAGTCAATATTATTAAAAATACCATTACCTTGCCGCCGGCTCATCTGGATACCTGTAAACGACACCGAAAGTCCCTGAGGCTCTTGGCACTACGCCGATACCCGATCAAGAAAAAGCGAAAGATCCTGCAGCAGGGCGGATTCATTGGAGCACTTTTACCCGTCATTGCCGGTGTGCTAAGCAGTTTAATCGGCAATGGATGAATTTTTAATTGTACCTAAGCGAATAATGGACGACCGCCTGGCCAATAAAATTCAGTTGAACAAGCAACCTCCGGAGGCGGTAGAAGTGATATCCCTAGACAATTTAGTTGCCAAGATCGTTAACCGTAATGATATAAGCGAGTACGAGAAGGCCAACCAGCTATCTTCAACGTTAGAGCGCTTTCTTGCACTGAAGCCACGTGCGATTCCCGAAGAAAACCCCATCCAAGTGCCCAAGTACGTCGCGCCAAAACCACCCGAGCCGGCTAAAGAGCCCAAACGCAAAGTACCCAGGCGTCAGTTGAGTCCGCCCACTACACCAGCAGAAGTTGACCACCAGGAAATTTTTCATACACCACCATCCGGTCGACTGCGTGCCCGCAAAACAAAAGGAGGGCAAAAAGGCGCAGGCAATCCACGAGCCAAGTGGATAACCTTACCGTAGCATGTCCTCTTTTCTGCCATCAGTTCTACGCCTTTGCCGAGTTTTCCGGATAAATTGTGTCTCAACGTGTTGCAATGAATCAACTCCTGAAAAAATATCTGGACGCAAAAAATCCCGGAAGCTTTGGCGGCGTAGAAAGGTTTTATCAAGCGACAAAGCAACACAAACTGAACCGTGGGAAGGCCCAGGAGCTGTTGGAGGAACTGGATGAGTACACGGTAACAAAGGACCGTTCGAAACGTTTTAAACGCAATCAAATTGTGGTCACGGACCTTCAAATGCAGTATCAAATTGACTTGGCTGATTTTTCTAAATATTACAAAGAGAATGATGGTATAAAATATCTGTTGTTTGCCATAGACTGCTTTTCTAAAAATCTATGTGTGGTTCAAATGAAAAGCAAAAATGCTACGGAAACAAGAAATGCTTTGCAAAAGTGTTTGATGACTTGGGTGAACCGATGCGTGTACAGACTGATAAAGGGCGCGAATTTGTGAATGATATTGTTCAGTCATTTCTGAAATCCAAAAGAGTGGAATTTTTTACATCCGAGAATGAAGATATAAAATGTGCCATGGTGGAGAGAGTAATACGCACTATAAAATCACGCATGGTCCGGCTATTCAGACACCGAGTGTCCACACGCTATACCGATAAGCTCAATGACCTGGTGCATTCGTACAACCGTTCTGTCCACCGCGCTCACGGCATGCGCCCTGTTGATGTCACCGAAGAAAATTCATTGGAAGTATTTAACAAGCTGTACAAAGACACTGTCGCTGAAGAACCCAAGTTTAAAGTGGACGATACGGTTCGTCTAGCTGTTAACAAGGGAAAATTAGACAAAGGATATAATTATAATTTCAAAGAAGAAATATTCACCATTGCCAAAGTCGTACGGCACAAGATTCCTGTATATCGGCTAAAAGATGAGCACGGTGTAATTATTAAAGGGCAATTTTACGAGAAAGAATTATCACGCGTGCGGAATGTAGAGAATAAAGAGCATACTATTGATTTTGTAATCAAACGGCGAAAAGGTAAAGCACTAGTACGGTGGTTGGGATACGGGCCGGAACACGACTCGTGGGTCAGTGAAAAATGTTTGAAGGATCGCCATTCTACTTAACGCTACCCAGCGATGTCAACAGTTTCACCGAAAATACTGCATCGGACTGGACAACACGCCTTAAGCATCCCATATCACTCAAAGGGCGCTGGGAAATGGCTTTGGTGGAATTTCAGTGCAATAATTCTTTATATACTCTGAGTCATGACCAGCATATTATTCTGGATACTGTATATGGCCTGGAGTATACTAGAGTCTGGGATAAAGAGAAAGAGGCCAATACGGATCGGTTAGTAGAAATACTAGGGCGGAGTTCGTATACTGAGGACATAGTAGTGCCCGCTGGTAATTATAAAAATGTGGCGGCAATACTGGAGGTGATCAACAAGAACGCACCAGTGATGAGCATGAAGAGCCCTTATTTCCGCGTCAACGGAAGCCTTCTCAAGAACTTGAGCATTTTGCCAGAAAATAAGTATGTGCAAATGCAACTCGATAGCCATAATAATCAACGGGTCAAAATTACTGTTGGAACACCACGAACAACCGTGTATTTTCCCCCGGAATCCATGGCATTGCAGAAAATACTGGGATTTCGAAAATCACACCTAACAACAGACTTTTGGGATCTCACCCCACAAAAGGCAGATTTTTTGGCTGTTGATGGCGTTGTCGAAACGTTTATAGAAAAATGCAAGGATGAAAATTATTCCGAAACTCGGGAATTTATTGCTGATCAAGCGGCTAATGCCCATTTGCAAAATCAGAATTTATTTGTTTATTGTGATGTGGCTGACTACAGTTTAATTGGCGATACTGCAGCGCAGTTTTTGCGTAATGTACCTATTAGAGGCGGTACGGATCCTCTCGTGGAAGCAAGGTTCGACAAGGCCCATTATGTCCCTGTTATTGCTCAGCATTTTGAGACAGTGCACTTGACATTGGCTGATGACCTGGGAGAAAACGCCAAGTTCGAGAACGGCAAATCGTTGGTGAAATTGCATTTCCGACCGCAGAAGCTGTTTTAAAATGCCTTTAGTACCGTATGTTCCTGACCCACGGCGGTATGAAGACGTTTTCGTGGCGCAGACTGGTGGTAGCCCTCTTCTGCGCTATCGTGGTACTTTGCAGAATGGTTCTGGTTTTGCGCAAGTATTAAAGAATATTATTGCTAAGATTTCTTCATTTGCTAAACCTATTATACGAAGAGCGGCACCGCATGCTAAGGCAGCACTCGAAGCAGCAACACCGCACTTGCAAGAAGCAGCCACCGGAGCTATTAAAGACGTTGCTGCACAAGCCAGCGAAGCTATTAGTAGACGGATGCAGCAAGGCGAAGGTGTGCGGAGAAAGCGTACTCGTAAAGCCCGTAAAACTTCAAAGCGTGCCCGTAGAATTCCCCCGACAAATATTCCTGATTTTCTGTAATCATGGCTATGATGATGATGCCCAATTCGGAGCCAGCAATGCAGTTGGAAAATCAGCTCTTTGCTTTGCCTGCAACATTGACCGACCGATGGCGCACTGAACACGAGAAACTTAATCCTACAACGATATTTACCGAGGATGGGACGGCTGGCGATATTAACTTCTACATTCCTCCTAGTACGGCCGGACTGTTGAGTTTAGGTGACATGGTACTGGAGTTGGAAGTGGCAATAAAGGTCAAGAAAAATAACCAGAATAATTTTGAAATAATCACTGCCGCTGAGGGGGTGGCCCCGGTGAACAATTTTCTGCATTCAATATTCCAATCGGTTCATGTAACGGTGGCTAATCGCCTCATCTCGGACGCGGCAACATTTTATCCGTATCGCGCTTATTTTGAATCATTGTTATTTCATTCTCCGGAAGCGCAATTTTCGCAATTAAGCTCAGCGGGCTATGCGCTGGATTTGCCGGGAAAAATGAACAATCAGACCGATAACACTGGTGAAGTATGGCGGCATGACCTTTTTGGGAAGGGAGAATATGTACAATTATCCGGAAAAATATTTGCCGATTTATTTGACCAAAGCAAACCGCTCTGTACGGGCATTCCTGTCCAAATACGATTAGTTATGAACCGGCCAGAATTTTGCCTACGTGTTTGGGATGCCGATAAAGATACCAAAACATACAAACCATTCATTCGGAATGCTCGGTTATCAGTACGCCGTTATATTCCGGCTCCGGACTTTATGACCGCTGTAGCCGGCCAGTTACTGAATCGCACGGTTAAGTACCACATTGAACGGATTGTCATGCGGGTGGCCGACATTCCGAAGAACACCCAAAGTACTGTAGTGACCAATCTGCAGATTGGTCAAATTCCTAAGGTGGTATTCATTGGTTTCCTGGACAGCGAAGATTTTCACGGCAATTACCAGAAAAATCCATTTAATTTTCACCATTTCGACGTACGGCAGATAAGTGTGGAAGTGGATGGACAAAGTTATCCGACCAAACCATACAATGCTGATTTTGCGAAAAATCAGTCATTGGAATGTTACGATGGGTTGCTGGATGCACTGGGCGCAAAAAACCATCCCACCGGATGCTGGTCGGTCAATCGTAATGGCTATAACGAAGGATACGCTATTTTCGGTTTTGATTTGACACCTGGTCATACGGGGCGTGGACCGTTGACTTTAATCAAACAGGGAAATTTAAGTGTGTCGGTGACCTTTGCAAAGTCACATGCTAAATCGCTGATGATGGTGTGCATGATGGTGTTTGATAGTATTATTGAGTTTAACCAGCATCGTCAATTGATTGCTGACTTCTCAACATGAACTCGGAACAATTATCGGCGGCCATGCGGGCTAACCCTATTACTAGCTCGACATTCCGTGGTGTGTTTGCTGCCGATGAAGTACCAATGGATCTACAGCCTTATCCTGCATCATGTATCGTCAATACGGACCCAGCAAAGCAGCCGGGAGAGCATTGGGTAGCCATATACCAGGACCAAGCCAGTGTCATTGAATTTTTCGACTCGAATGGGAAATTACCGGCGTACTACAGCAACGCACTCAGGCAAAGATTTTCTGGTAGTGTTAGACTAGTGACCCAAGGCGAAGTGTTGCAGTCTGAATTTTCTACTGTGTGTGGACAGTACTGTATGTTTTTATTTTACAGAGGTGCAGTGGTCAGCCATTTGGCTCAATTGTTAAAATGTTTACTGATAATAAGGCGAGCAATGACAAGATGGTTTGCCGAACTGTTAATCATTATTTCCAGCTTAATACAGAAATATGCAATAGCAAATTTCTAGAAAAACAGATTGTTCGTGCATTAATATGAAATAAATAACCAGTAATTACGGCATGCAGCGTTACGCGTTACATCATCATTTTATCCAACTGGGCACGCACTTCCTTACGGAACTGTGCCAAGTAGCCATCAACATCTAAATCAATACACTGACCCACATCAAGCTGATTAAGCAACAACAACACACCATGAATCTGCTTCTTTTCCAGAACGTCCTTTTCGGCAGTGTTCCATTCTTCATCTGTAGCGATTCCGCGCATCGGCGTACGACCAGTCGCATTTTCACGGTGCTCACGAATATTGCGGAACATAATTTCAGCCAATTCCTAATAATTAAATCGGACCAGTGTGAAAACCTGACGGTTTAAAAATAACAAAGTGCAAAAACTGACAGCTCAAAAATTATATGTTGTAAAATACACGCATCGCAAAAATTACACATTGTTAAAAACCGACAATTAAAAATGACAGTGTAAATTGTAACAAGTAAAATTAAAATAATTGTACGTATTCAACTAACCTGTTTCAACGAAACGGAAGCGAGACCAGGCTTGGGATCCGCGGCGACATCGTGAGCTTCGTTGGTGTCCCGGATCTCCTTCAGCAGCGTAAAGTCCACCACCAGTTCCTTGAGTCCTTCGTAGGCCTTCCGACCGAAAGAAATACCGACCTTGGTTGGGTACAAATCTTTGTTAGGCGACAGGTTGAAACGGCGTACAGTGGCCAGGTCCATGTTGTTGTAGCGGCTCCACTGGAAGTACAGGTTGTCGTCCAGGCAGTAGTGAGGAGACAGCTTTCCATTATCGAACAACGGCGGGCACGACGAGACCAAGTCGGCTTTACCAGTCAGCATTAATCCACAGAGGCGCAAAAAGTTGTTGATGGTCATGGCGATGTACTTGTTGGCATCCACAGGTTTAAAGGTGCCATCCGGCTGCTCTTTGAATTCGGCTAGGACCACCTTCGTCCCTCCTCCAACCAGCGAACCAGGGCAAACTTGTCGAACCCGATTTTGTAGACGGGCAGTCCCTGTTCAGTAAAGGCGTAGCGGGCATGCTTGCCGGTAAGAACGGATGCGCTGTTGCTGCTGCTGCTGGCGATGTCGGATTTCTTTTGGCGCTTGATAGGTTCCAGCTGCGTCCGGTCTTTGGAGATCTTCATGGTGATCTTGCGCTTAGGATTCTTTCGGGCCGGGGTCGAGGTCGACGGGATATCAGCAAGAAATTCCATTATTGAAAAATGTTGTTAAAACAAAAGGTCACCAGCGATTTTCAAAGTTAGATCAAAAAGGAAAACAAAACTGAAAACTGTTTTTCAGGGCTCTGGCTGTAGACTGATTTTATACTGATAAGTGGTTAAAGCTCATCCACCAAATCGTTAGGCTAGCACTGTGTAAGTTAGCCACTGCAGTGTGTACGTTAGCCACTGCGTCGGTTAGCTACACCATTGCGTATGTTAGCCACTGCGTCGGCTAGCTACACCATTGTGTAGGTTAGCCACAAGAGCACTGCCAATACACTTCAAATACGAGCTACAGCAAAATCAGTTGTCACATTTGGATTTGATGTTCACTTGTCTTATTAGAGTGCTGTCAAAATGGCTGTTCCCTGTGTTGTTGATGCTAAATATGTTGAGATTCAAAATGTTAAAGTGTTTAAGCATTTTGCTATTATTTGTCCTGAGAAAGGCAAGAGTATGTTCGCGACAGTTTTCCATCCATCTAAGAAATACATTGTTGAAGAATATGGATTACGTAATGTGAACAAGGGTGTTATATTTGGCATGCAATTGTCAGAAAATATCCGCAGCCTGCGTAATACGATCGATACCTGGTACTCTGTTATGTTTGACGATTTCGGTGACGAACACGATTGTGGCCTTCCTCATTGTAAGGGCGAGCGTCAGTACGATGTGCAGTTTTATGCAAAGGGTGCAGACAAGTGTGCCGTCCTAGCCAGCATTCTGAAGCCAGCGACCGTTCTCAACCTGGACGATTTGAAGTGTCCATCGTTTTGCCAGCTGTCCAGTGAACGTCCAGACAAGTGGAATAAGCCTGTTGCGTACGCCAGATGGTTGGAGGGGTACCTGAACCAGAAGACCTGCACGACCTGCATGAGAGAGCGACCGGATACCAAGAAAGAGCTGACCCAAGATGAATGCGAATGCGGAACCGTCCACTGGATCGGTAAGAGTATTTGTACCGTAAGAATCCTTACGAATCGTTAGTCATTTGTACCAGTTGATTTTGCATATACGTAGTAGCAATGGTACTCGTATTAACAGACTGTCAAGGTGACCAATGTTGTGGCGACTGCGGAGCTAAACTGCATCTTGGACCTCGCTCAGTTGGAGAAGACACTGTCGATGGCCCAGTACCTACCGCATAGATTTTCCGGTTTACTCCTCCGGACACTGCATCCCATTAAAGGTCACTGTCAACTATATGCTAATGGCCGGATTACAGTCAACGGCGGCACATCTAGACGGGAGTCCTGCGCTCTCTTGCATTATTTTACTAGTGTATTACGTCAGTATGGTTATCGCTGTATGGTTACAAATTATCGTATTGTTAATGTAATTGGTTCCTTTAACTTTGGTCAGAAGTTAAATCTGGAAAGTATTAGTAATCGCCTGCAGTTATCCTATACTCCTGAATTATTTACTGGTTTGCCTATTCGCTTATCCGCATGCACTGCTGTTCTTTTCATTCGGGAAATGTAATTTTCTGGGCGCAAAGTCTGTGGAGTGCTTGAATGCAGCGTTAACGGAATTAAAATCAAAGCTGTGAACAACCGTCGCTTCGCTCGCCCTGTGTTGGTACCAGTACGATCGTTCACCTAGTACACTGCACTCAAAAGCAACTTACAAATCGATAAGCCAGCTCGTGCTGACTTGGTTGATAGAGATGACTCTAGTACGAAAACGAAGATAATAGTTTTCCCAACTTAGTTCCCAAAGCCAACTTTGAAAAGTTTGTTCTGCAGAACTCAGACCTTTTGGAGAAGCAAAATGCAATGGTAGATTCAAAGTGTTTCCTGTGATGTGATTGGTCCAGCAGCTAACTGGAACCAGCCAATCACGATTTTTCTTTCCGAATTATCGAAATTATTTTTCCCACGCTGGAAATTCATTTTTTTAATTCGATTTTCTATTTATTAATAGAATTATTAATTCTAATTTTTAAAAAGTTGGCTGATAGAGCCGATCCTGCTGCTTCGGTTATTTTTTGAGTGCAGTTTCCGCTTCATCTGTGAAAATCGGAAAGATTTTTTTCTATAAACGCTGATATGTACATGCTTTGTCGTTCGTGCTTCGACAGCGTGAGAACGAACCCAAGACTTCATACAACTGGAAATGGCTGCGGCAATAATTTAGAAATGGTTTACTTTAATAATCGCTTTCCATTATTTACAGCACACACGTTACACAAAAGTTACGAAAGTGTTAAGGCAAATTTGGCAAAGATGGGCATCTAGTTGTCCAGTTACGTACATTATTAATTATTGTAGTTGTTGTCCTCACACAAGCATTGCCACGGTAGACACAAATTGGAGTGTTTATTTATAATTGTATTAAAACCCAAAAAGCCTTCTTAACCCTACCAAATGAGTACAAAAGTTGAAAAACTAGCTGTAAGAAAAATATAAGAAGCTTTAGACTCAGATTTTTGGCAGAAAAAATTTTGAAACCAGCGCGCCAGTAACGTTACTGGCACCGGCACCGTACGATACTACGAGTGCTAGTTTTTGTCTCTGATGACTTCCCATGAGCAGTGGGCACACCACCGCAGCACAATAAAAATTGTCACGTCTGAAAACGGAAAATTTTGATGACACAAGTTGACTCACAAATTACCGAAGTTATTCAAACACATTGGATTGCAGTTGCTGGAATTTGGAGTGCCTTGTGTAGTCAGTAGTCTGAACAAGCTTCATCCTCTTCACACATTCCTCAGGAACACAGTGCAATTCAGTGGAGTCCAGAGCCGGCCTTGAGCCCGCTTGATTCCAGGTTGAAGAGTGCGTCAAGACTCGAAAGATCTGCGATTCTCCAGTATGATAGTCATAATGTGATTCCCGTGGAAAAGCTTTGCTTGTGCCTTGTGGTACCTACTTTATTCGGCATCTTCTGTTGGCCTGGTTCTTCCAGTTCCAGGTGGCCCTTTCTGATACGCATCACTACCTAAACGGTAATTGCAGTTTCGTCTGGATACCTCAAACTCAGAATTGCGTTACTTTACTTAATTTAAGGAAACACGAGAGTACTTTACTTACTGCTGGCATTTGGTAACTGCAGAGAATGAGTCTTTCCAAGTTTGTTCTGAAACGCGATATGCTGACGGTGCTAATGAGCGGGGATATGTCCGCAGTGGTGGATGTTGGAACCTTCACAGTTCCAGCTGGATGCTTATTGCAGGCAAGATCCTTTAACGACGAGACCAACCAGGTAATGGTTTTATTGTATATACCAGACAAATTTATTGCATATACCAGACAAACAGTGCATACAAATTTAAGATGATGTATGTGGCAGGTGGTTTTGGAGTCGCTGGACGAATTCAACGGCGTATCTCAGGGACTGTTCGTGCAGGCGATGGAGAAGGATCTGATTGAGATCAGTTTGTTCACCACGATGCTGCTGCGTGCGGAAAAACAGCATCGTCTGCGTCTGTTGGTATGCCGCGACGAGAATTGGCTGGAAGAAGCCATTCATATCTTCGAAGAATCCGATGTGTTGGTGTCGTGCGGAGCGGCACAACTGCATGGCACAGTGCGCTATGTGGGACCGCTGCAGAAACTTCCGCCGGGCAAGGTCGGCGATGAGAAATGGTTCGGTGTGGAGGTGACGTACAGCAATGTGGATCTGCTGCGCCAACTGGTACCCACCGCCGGTGATGGATCTCCGCATTTCAAGTGTGAAAACGGCCGTGGATTGTACGTAACGATTTGCTCAATACGCCTGGCCGATGTGATAATGGAAGTGCCTTTCGAGGGGAAGAAGCCGTTCTCTGCGCGCACCAGAAAATCGGAGACGCTCAAACAAGTGCAGAACGAAGGTTGGTTGTAGCAGTAAATGGTGGAGTTGCCTAAGACTGATTCGCTAGATTCTATGATTTGCGTTGGATTCAATGCGTAAAACGTCAACATTCATCATATTATGAAGTAAGCTATTTTATTTACTCGTATTTCTTTTTCGAATTGATGTTTTATTTTTATTCTTATATTAAATTTAATTCGTTTTAAAATTTGTATCGGTATTTTGAGAAAAGAGGGTAACTGTTCTCAACAAAATCGTGTATCTGACTTCTTATGCTGTGGTAAAAAACAAAGTGACGGAGAACCGCTCCTTTTGCTGATACTCTTATGCTGTGGTAAAAAACAAAGTGACGGAGAACCGCTCCTTTTGCTATTATGTTACACATTCTAGGTTTTTTACATAACTGGTTTGTTGATTTTTTTTGTATAAATGAATCATATTTGAATTCCAGTATCACGGAAGGGTTTTGGAATGAAGCCAGGATGGTCGAAGGAGTTCGATGTTGCGCCCAAGGCATCAGCAACAGTTCCCGCCATTTCATCCACTGTGATTCCTACCTATGAGATCAACGACCGAGTGGTGTGGATCAAGGATGATAACCGGCACGTCAGGGGCACAGTAAGGTTTATTGGTGAAGTAGGCGGAAGTCGGGGAAGCGGACGGAAGATGGCTTTGGAACTGGTAGGCTTTTGGACTTAGCGCTACAAGAAATAGAACTGCTTATGATATTGTGAAGATCATAAGCAGCTGATCACAACGTTGTAATGGTTTAGGATTCACCGGAAGGCGATGATGATTTCACGGGCATGCATAACGCCATTGCCACCTTCAAAGTTCAGCAGCGGTATGGCGTCTTCAGGGACGAAGAAGACCTGTTAAAACAGTTGATGCGAGAGAACGACTACGGGTACTGCCAAACACCTGCCGCACCAGTCGTCGACAAGGATGGTTCAAAAAAAGCGGAGAAGGTGAAGGATAAAGAACAAGATAAAAAATTGAAAAAAGGCGATCGGGTGGTATGGTATGACAAGGAAGGAGTGGCAGTTCCTGGTGAAGTCAAATTTGTCGGTAATGTGCCAGAGAAGAAGAAAGACAAAAGCGTTGTGGAAAAAGTTGGCGTCCTATTGGCAAGTGTTTTGCTCGATTCAAAATAAGTCGTAGGGCATACTGTCCCGGCGCGACTATTTCCGGTTTTGTTTTCAGGATGTCCCAAAGGGGGATAAAAATTTCGAAGGCAAATCAGCGGACGGAAAACAGTTATTCCCATGCAAGAAGGGCCATGGCATACTTGTTGGGGTCTACGAATTGATGTTGGAAAGTGACTATAAGGCAACACTCCCGGCTTCATATCCGGAAACTCCACAGTCCGCTCGTGAGGAAAACCCTTTTGAGCTTCTTCGAGGAAAAGAATTGGAAGTTGGCGATGAGGTGATGTGGATTGTCAAGGCTGGTGAGGATGGCGATGACGTACAACCGGAACGTGGAACAATCAGATACATTGGCTCGGAGTTTCCTGACAAATACGTTGTTGAATTTGTGAGTTTATTGTTTTCTCAACTTTGGGAAATCTTCTTTTACTAATACAGATCTGTAACTGAAAACGATGTTTTACTACATGTACGAGTATTAATTTTATATCTTCGTTTTACTCCTTTTAAATTGTAATATTAAAGATTTGATTCAGAGGTTTCATGCTGTTAATTCATATTTTTATAGAATCGTATGATGGAACTGGGTAATTTTAGGTGGCAACTAAGCGATTACCTACTAATTAGTATCCATCAAAATGTCTGCTAAATTACGGTGATAAATAGATGAGTTTTGTTTTTCTGTTCAGAGAAACAAAGTGGGACAAGAGAACTGGACAGGCAAACACAGAAAGAAGCAGCTCTTCGAAAGTAAACCGGGACATGCTAGAGTTATGGCGCGCGAGGAACTGATGTTGTATGACGAATTCAAAGCGCGGTTAATGGGAGGAGTAACTGCCCCGAGTGTTCCTGTGGAGAAATCCCCACCTCCTTCATCGCAGCCAGCGCGAGCACCAGAGCCTTCGCCGGATGACTTGGTGACCCATCATCAGTCCCACGGCGACTTCGAATTAGGGGACCGAGTGGCCGTGGTTGAACCGGAGAAGCCGCTGATAATTGGTACGCTGCGCTGGATCGGTGTGGCTAAGCGTATTTCCAATCAGTACATGTACGGAGTTGAAACGGTAAGTCAGTAGCAGGCGGCTACGAGATGAGAACGTAACGCTCTTTAAAATTTGCACTGCATTTTCTTGTAGGACGAGCAAGTTGGTGAACACGATAATATGGCGTTCGGAGGTATTATTGGGGACGCGCAGTCCGGTTACGCCATTGCATTCAACTGCAAACCTGGTTACGGCAAGTTCGCCTCCACAAAGGACGTGAAAAAGTTGAAGGATCTTGAAATTTCGGATCCCAAACGACCGGAAATCAATTTCAGAGTAGGAGATCGTGTGATTTTACTGCGAGAGGGCGGTCCGGTTGGCACTGTGCGATGGAAGGACGTGGATGGACATTATCCTGTTGGATCGGCTGTTGGAGTGCAACTGGTATGGGCTATGAAGCTTATTTTCTTTACTTCGTTATAAAAAATCAACGGCAAATGAGCAGCGACGAATTTCTTTCTAAAACATTATTTCTAGTAGAAGAAATTGTTAGAATACTGGAAAGAATGCGTAAGGGTTTTTTTTTGCTAGGGTTGTGGTTGGTATTGCTGCATTTCTGTTTGTGCAGGATAAGCCGTTAAGCCCCGAAAATGCGTCGGAATACTCAGGTGTATTGAAAAACGGATCGCACACAACTGACCTGCATTGCCCTGCGGGATGTGGAATTTTTGTTGGATGTGATGAAATTGTCCCATGTGATGATGCGGAAGATGTGAAAAACAGTGAAGAGGGTGGTTGGACTGTAGTTGGTGCAAAAAAAGAGCCCCAGCCTAGTGTTGCTCCGGCTGCTCAACTTGTTTCTTCGGTGTCGCCATCGGTGACGCACCCAGTGTTCCCAGGCACTATCTCCAATCCGAAACAGCCACTACTCCCACCCCCAACTCCTGTAGCAGAATTTGTCATCGTAATGAACGGCCGTGTTTTCACGTATTTTGACGGCCAAAAGGTATACGGGACTGTGAAATGGCTAAGCCAAAGCACAAAAGAAGCCGGAGTAATTTGGGTATGTTGTCAACCTATTTATAGACCTTAATAAGATTGGTGTGAAGTATGAACCTATTTATAGGCCTTAATAAGATTCGCTATACCTATGACAAATCTCGTGTAGTTTTGCTTCTCGATCAATGCACTTGTCCTATATTTAAATCCTGCATGCATTGATTGTTTCACCGTTAAATATTGCTGTCTTTAACGATATTTGAGCACTGTAACGAATTTTGGTCTTCTGTTATTATAGGAAACGTATGTGCCTGGAACGCCTGGTGGCATTCATAACGGAATCAAGCTGTTTGACGCCCCTCCTGGTTATGGCTCTACCGTTCTCGTGGATGTACTGCATCCAGTGAAAGAGCAACCCGGAATGCCTTCTACTTTTAACCCGGGATTCATTCCACCTCCGCAGCGCCCGCAATTTCTACCGGGATTACCGATGATGCAGCCTATAGTGCCATTAATGCAGCCAGCATTGTTCCCACCCATTATTCCGCTTCGACCACAAGCTCCTTTATCGCCGCCTCGGGCAGCGTATCCAGTCGCAGGGCAGTTCGTGCCTCCGCGAGCAGGTGTTTTCCCAGCTGCAAATTCTCTGCAGCCGATTTTAATGCAGCCACCGCGACCTTCTTCCAGAACCGAAGTGGAAGAAGCTATTCGGCGGGCCGATGTAAGTTGAAAATATGAATTTATGATGTCCAATGTGCTCCGTTTAAAGATGATATATCCGTTTTATAAAGTCATGTGATTGGACTGTAAGAAGGTATTCGGAATTAAGAACTGTATAATTAGTAAGTTGTATTTGAAATTGAAGATAATGTAAGTTTTTTCACCAGTTTCATGCTGAAACCCTATATGTTCTTGAATGGTAAGGGTAACATGTTTTACAGGAAATGGAAAAGCTGTTATCTGAGCGTCAAAGCCACGTTGAAATCTTTCGCATGCACATGGAAGAGCAATTTAAAGAAGAAGACGTTATGGTTAAAATTGATCCGAAATTTAAAAACACTTCGGGTTTTGTGAAAATTCTCCCCCGAACCGATGAGCCTTATCCTGTTGTCCACATTGCCAACGGGGAATTTGATTTAGTTCGCACTGTTCGAGAAGTTCAGTATTTTCCTCCAGTGTTTATTCATTTTGAAGTTCCGGATCGCTACCCAAATGTTGCCCCTGTTATGAGGGTGGAGTGTAATTATGTGCCACAGGCTAATATTCTGAATATGGTAAACGGTATTTTGGATCAGTGGAGAGTATGCCAAAATGACGGAAATCAAAGTCCATTGTATGAGGCTCTTCGGGTGGTGCGAAATAACGTGATGGCGTTGTTTGGTGTTCCATCTGGAATGACCATCACCAGTCGGGGTGTTTCGGAGTCGGGTTTTTTGGAGCGGGATGTCTTAGGATTGTGCGTGTTCGACAATGATAAGGAAGCGCGGGTCCATTTTGAAAGAATCCATAAATTCAATGACAAAAAGATTAAGGATGTTGAGGAACGCGATAAGGTCAATTGATGAAAAATGTCGAAGATGACTATTACAAATTTGATTTTGTTTACAGTATTGCACTTGAACCATTTTTAGTGACATTGTGTTGGAAGGTAATACTTGGGTTAACCGAATCTGGCTTCACTGACTTCTCAAGCGTGCTTTATATTGCCCTTAAATTTTCCATGTGATGTTGGAAGACTGTCTTTTCTGGCATTCATCGTATCATGTTTCGGTTTTCAGATGTGCAAAGTGGTAAACTGTAAAGAAGTTTGTGTTTTTCATAAAAGTGCAGCTAAAACACGCTGGTGAAGCAGTGAATTATGCCGGATTCTAGAACTCTGAGGCGAAAAAGTTTTTTTATATTTGTAATCCACTAAACTTGATAATTCTTTGATACTTCTTCCGTTTAGTTCACGCACAAAGGTCACGGTTTTTCAAACCCAGATTGATATTTTTTAATCGCTGATGATTTCTCAGTCAAAAGTTACGTTTAGCGGTAGACGCCGGTAGTCAACAACGAACGTTTTTTATCCAAAAACAGGCTGCAACCTTTTTATCTTCAGGTGGAATGCTCCATCTGTGCAGATCGAGTTGCTCAGTTGGAATTGTCCGACTTTTCGGCGGCATGCCCACATTTATTCTGCCGCGGTTGCATTACTAACCATGTGCGGGCCCAAGTGGAGCAGGGGAACACTACTGCCATACGCTGTCCTGGTGACGGGTGCGATGTCCAGACCACGTTACATGAAGTGAGTGGATTAGGAATTTTAGCATTCAGCCGTTTCTCCGCGTTATGCAGCCATGTTGCTTCGGCGGTTTTTTTGTGATACGGAACATGTTTGCACACTAGCGTTAGCATTTTGTTACTACACGTTTCTCAGAGGCTCCATGTTTTTCGCTTTTGTAGCTGGCTGACGTAGTCAGTCGTGACGTTTTTGAAGCATTTGGCGGAAAGCTGCTGGACCAAAGCTTAGCCACCATGAACGATATTATGCGCTGCCCTCACTGTACTCACGCAGTGGTGTTCGAGGCGGAAATGCTGCCCCAGAACGAGCGTTATATCACCTGTCCTGATCCCAAATGCGGGAAGCAGTATTGTCCTTGGTGCCGCGGAAAAGACCATGGCGATCAGCCCTGCATGACCTTTGGTATGTGATTATTAAGTTGTATTTGTTTCGATATTGTGTGCTACGACTCGAATAATTTGATATTATATTGTCTAAAATTTTACGTAATGTAGCCTGCCAAATCTTCGAACTTGAAACTTAGTTTTTTTATAAATTTGCATTTTTTATAAGTTACTGTTTTTGCTATAGAGCAAAAACGCGAGCTACGAAATTCATACGTCAATGGGAGTGCCGAGGAGAAAGCCCGACTGGAACAGCTGCACGGGAAAGACAACATTAAACACGCCATTGAAGATTTTGACGCCGAAGAAACCATCCGTACTAAATGCAAAATTTGTCCAAATTGCAAGACTCCAACTGAAGTGAGTGTTTGCTGACAACTCAGGGTGGTGGGAGCGGTTTTTCTGTTGTCTGCTTCTTGTCCCCGCTTTAGACCGTTCAACAGCAGCTCCCTTGTACGATCCTTGGCACTGTGGTATTCGATTGTAGGCCACAATTGTGGCGTAATATCGTTTAGAGATGCATTTGATTGTTTGTAGAAAGCTGATGGTTGTAATCACATGACCTGTCCCAGATGCCACACCCATTTCTGCTGGCTGTGTGGTCAGCAGATGCCGGAACGGGATCCGTACAGTCACTTTGCAAACGGTCAATGCAACATGTACCAGCAAGGTGGAGTCTTGGGTAACTTTTTGGGTAATATCCGGCCGATGGCTCGACCTCGTGCGGGTTACCAGCAGCTGAACCGTCAGCCACATATATTTCGAGCGGGTTATGCTCGGCCGCAACCCCATAGACAACTGGACGAGCGGTTCATGCGCGACTTCCTAGAACGACATCGGTACCCAGATTTTAATCGGAATATGCAGTTGAATCGTCTGGCGCGTCTCCCGGAGCATGGCCAACAAACAGATCAAGAGCAGATTCAGGAGCAAGCATGGCGTCATCCAGAGCTGTATATATTTGAATAAGACTATGTACGCAAGGGTGACACTTCAGTACGAGTACCATAATGGTTATCTCGTCGTCTTCTACAGTGGTGTTGGAGTTACTGAGTAGCATTTGTTGCAAATCTAATCGAACTACAGTGCCAAGGTCGTTATAATTTGCGCTTAATTTCAAGTGTTTATACGTATTAATGTGTTTATACTATTAATAATAGTTTTTGCATGGTACTGGTAGTCCGCTATCATTAGCTTGATGATTTTATACTAACTTGTACTTTACATATGCCGCAGAAAATATGTACATGCGAAGCATTCATACGAAGTTATTCTTTGACGACCGTATACAGTGCTTCAGTTCGCATGGTAATTTTGCCGAACTTAAGTGAAAAAATGTCAACTTAACTATTGCTGCATTAGATGAGAACTTTGTTTTTTGGAGCTGGTAGCCTGTTGAATAACTGCGCCTGCCTTTGTTGTAGAAAATTGAAGGATGCAACCGGTTGCAGTGTACTCAGTGCAGCACTAATTTCTGTTGGATTTGCGGTGTTCTTTTGGATAAAACGAATCCCTATAGCCACTTTGATCGAGTGGTCGGAGGATGTCCGAAGTTTGATAAAAGATAAGGCCTTTTTGATACAACACACCTTGTCACTTTTTTATCTTTCACTTTGTATATTGCACGCACACTACCGTATTATTTTTGAATTATAAAAGAGTAACAGAGTTCCACGGTAGCTACTGCTCTTTTCCGCTTTTTTATAATCGCTGTTAATAGGTACACTGTATCATTGCACTCTCTGGAATGGGAATATTAGTTTTGTGACTTCTGTCATAATTCGAATGTGGCTAAAGGTCATACTTGCATTCTTCGGCTTTCGTATGTGTGACAGTTCACTGATAAAAATTAATAATTTTGTGATTTTAGTTTTTTTAGATGTCGTCTAATGGTTGGTGAGATTGTGCGGTGTTTTTTGTACTAAACTTCTTATGTGCGAATCATGTTTTTCGGGTTAGCTTCTGCGGTACACAAGTACTTACGAATAAATTACTGAAAACAACAAATGTGATGTATAATAGACACAATAAATAATATAAATTCAATATAGAAGTACACGTTAGCAGAATGTACAGCTGCTCGCATTATGCGACAAAGAAAAACAAATAACAAGTTAACAATCCCTGAATCCACAAGGGCTGATCGATTACTCATATTTACAGATACCACATTTAAAGAACTGCGCTGTTTAAATATACTGATAAGCGCACATGCTGCCGATAACACTTGCGTAACGCTGTTCAAAAGTCGCGGCCGATACTGACTTCTGTCGCGTTGTCTTCTGCGCTGGCAGTGCATCCTCTAATTTCACCTGGGTAATATTTGGCTGAATTTCAAAATCATGCTTCTCTTCTGGCACGGTTATTCGGGCAAGGGTTAAGGAACTTTCCAAACTGGAGTAAACTGCGGAAGCCGAAGGCAAATCTGCGTTCTTGTCTCGCAATAGCTCCGCTAACGCCGGGATAAAATGAGGCATAATTGGCCCGTCAGGAATTTCCAAAAACGATACACCATTCGAGCGACCATAGGAAAACTACATGAAAAAGTTGACGTGTAAAATCAAAAATCAGATACCACAAATTAGGAAATCTAATTCACCGTCGAAAAACAAACGACTACTGATTTAGTAACCCAAACCAAATGCGCCATACACCCAGATTCTCGTTACGGTACCATAAACCCTGTGAGGAAAGCTTGATTTATCTTACTTACTGACAGCGAGATGATTAAAGAAATCATAAGGATCACATGGAATTATGCCCTAACCTCCAGCTTTCTTGATGTAGCATTCGCAAATGTAACAGGGGCGATCAGCGTTGGAGGCACATTGACCAACAACCCACCACTAGGTTGCAATGATTTCTCTTTTGCCAAAGCCGTTACAAACGACTCCACTTCAGCTCCATCCAAAGCCACGATGGATTCCGGACGGGAGTCGATTAAATTTTCCAGGGAGTTTTTGTTAGTCGTATCGATGATCTTTCCAACAGACAAGCAGGTTTCTTTAATCCATTGAATATTCATACCACCTTGCCCATGTTTTTCGCTCTCACTACTGGTATCCAACCTAAAGACAACCATAATTTTTCACCGGAATGTCACTAATCGCAGTGCAGCATAGCCGAGTTAAGACACAGGAGCAAAAAAAACTAGTGCAGTCGGTATATCTGAAAGGATAATGTTAAAAACGATGATAATATTAACTTGTTACTTCAAAAACCATCATTTCACCAACTGCTTACTCATCGATTGATTTGTCCGCACACTGTCCGTCAGTAGGTGGTCTGAGTGGCATTCGAAAAGCAATGCCATGAATGTCCATTGTATCTCGGAAACCGCTTGTCGTGGGCGTGATGTATCCACAACATCTGTCCGCGCCGCTTAATTTCCGACTTAGAAATAAGGCTATCCACTGATGCGATACAACGTAAAAGAACGGGCATTCTCCGCTTGTCAAATTGTCCAACAATTCCAACAGACTAGTAGACCATTCTTTTTGCAAATCAGGCATCACTTTCTGCCAATCAATGCTCGCTTCCCTGCAAAATATAATACATCTGAAAGACGAGGACTTGCGAGTTCGAAACGTTCACGGAACCGTACATCGAAAACACTGCTTGTCGAGGAAACGTTTTCACGCCGTTGAGGAAAGGGAAGATATAATACTGCAGCAGCCGCATGAATCGGCTACCGGCTGCTTGGCCTTCTCCTTTCTGCAACAACAAAAAAAGTTTACGGAAAAAAAAACACGTGGAAAATTATTTTACCATGTACCGTTGGCTTGATCCGTTTCGTCCGATCTTGCGGCGTCAGCGCACTTAACCATTTCAGGTCATTTGAAATGGTTATGCGTAATTTAGTTTTTAGGCTCCAATCGTAATAATCTTTATATGGAACGAAAGCCTGCAATCAGTTCAGTTTAATAACTTTATTTATCAAGAAATAAATGAGCAAGCGCTCTGACGAAAAATAACAATTCTAAAACACCAATGCCTATCTACAGAGTATTAACAATAAGCGCATTTAGGATTTATCACATAAATACACAGTAAACAAATCAACATACATTAAGAAAACTGAAACCTAGCCAGAAGAATGAAATAAAAAATTTCATAAACCTCAAAAACTTAACTACTCTTTATATTTCCATATATGGAATGTGATCTAAAAAATATATTTCCTAACTTTTCCTTAATTTAAAATTAAAGAAAATAGCAACGTATGGCAGACTGTGGTAGTTAGTTAATTCAAACCTCTTTGTAGGCAACAGGCTGATTAACTGACGCGGACTGCACGATGTTACGCGCATGGCCGGGTTCCTGTAAACCGGATGCCAGATACGCAGTTCTGGCGTCTTGTCTTTTCAGGCGATCCACCAGCGAACTGGCTTCGATGACTATACTATACGGCACCGTCGACGGCCCTTCCAACTGCGTAAATTGTGTGCTGTCCGAGGTGGAATCATCGCGATAAAACGGATTGGCCAGCAACGGTTTTTTGTAGGCGCTGCTGCTCTGTGAATTGGGACTGTCAAAACCGCTGTCACTTTCGTCGTCCAGAAGGTGCCGCTTGAACGACAACTTCTCCTCGCAGCGTTTAGCGCGGAACTTGCTCAAAGAGACCTGTGGGCGCAATCCCGATGAAGTGGAGCGTGGCAGTTCCAAACTGCTACGGCTGCTTGCAACGGCGCCCGCCGACCAACTGTTGGATTTGCGCGGAGATGGTGCAACGGTCTTTTTCTCCTAGTTCATGATGCGGATGAAGGGATGATGTGGCGTGCTGAGAAACTATCTAAACTTACCTTGGAGGGGGTCGCCAGCTTACGGCCCGACATGATAGCTTCCGAACATCCAACTCGAAGAGCGTCCTCAAACGGTTTCAAACGTTCATGTAGCGTATCTCAAAAATTAACGACTCACGGCTGTCTCAGACAGTCTGTCTGTAAGTGTAGTGTTTCGAATCGCTGCACTGACATTCACAAATCGCGTGGAAAAGCAATTAACCAGAACTATGAGACTCTTACTTCAAAATAAAACATTTTCAAAAAGAACTTTTACGTAGAAAATCACTGAAAATGGACGTTTTCCTCTAACAGACCAATGATCTAACAAATAAAGTTATAAAAATTCAAATCTTTTTGGGCCTTTTAGTTTTGAATTTTGATTATTGAAGTTTTGATACTTGCAAGGAGAAAGGAGCTGTCGCTCTTTGACTTGAAATGAAAACGCGGCACTACTGGTTACCGCCTGTAGGAGGCAGTTTGGAAGCTTTAAATGGTGCTATGCGAGATAAAATTTTCTCCTGGCGGCCTGACCCGATTTATTTACCCAGATTTTTTGTAGTTGTCGACTTGTCGTCGTCACTGTTTGTGTTGTGGCTTTTTGTCAGACATCAAAGTTGAGACTCACGTCAGGAGGTTTTCGGTTTTCCGTCTGACGTTACAAGATGGGAGTTCCTAAGTTTTATCGCTGGATATCGGAGAGATATCCGTGCTTGAGCTCCTTGGTGAAGGAAGATGAAGTAAGTCGTAAATCAAAATGGCAGCGACCGAGTTCCGGAATCATTTTTCCTTTGTGTTGCCGAATCTTGGGGCGCGATGGACACGGGACTGTTTTATTGTAGATACCAAAATTTGACAACTTTTACCTGGATATGAACGGTATCATCCACCATTGTTCCCATCCGAACGATGCGGATGTCAGCTTTCGCATCAGTGAAGAGGAGATTTTTCACAATATTTTCCATTATATCGAGGTACGGCAGAGCCCGGAATCCCCCATAAAAATTCCATCAAGTCGAAAGTCTGCATAATTTAAATCCATAGGTCCTCTGCACCTTTATTCGTCCTCAAGGCATTTTGTACCTGGCCGTGGACGGTGTGGCGCCGCGCGCAAAAATGAATCAGCAGCGAGGCCGCCGATTTCGGTTCGCCAGTTTGTTGTTGAGTGGTGATTCATGTGGGATCGGCAATGCATGAAAAAACTGTTACAGGTCCGCGAAGGATGCTTATGAACAGGAACTGATCGCTCGTCGCGAAGGAAAACCGCTTCCACCTGGAGAGCGTTTTGATTCCAACTGCATTACGCCAGGTGAGTCGACTCTTGATGTAATAAAAATAAAATCGCGTTTTTTGCTTTTCTAAGTTTATTTTCTACTGGGAAAAGGTTGCACGATTTCTGTATTGGTTTATTATCGTTTTTTTTTAAGGAAAAGATTACAGGATTGATTTGTAATTTAATACATGCAGAATTTGCCTGCCATTGTTGTCATTTCTGGAGATCAGACATAATATTTTTATTTCTGTTTGCCCTGAATGGAGGCACTGAAAATGGGTATACTGCAGTACTTAGGTCGGAAACTCGGAATAATAATTGCAGGTACTGATTTTATGGAACGACTGGACAAGCACCTGCAATACATGATTACCCGAAAGATTTCCCAAGATCCGTCCTGGCGGCATCTGGAAGTTTATTATTCAAGCCATTTGGTACGCCCCGGGTGCAGTTTGCTTTGGCTTACCACAAGATGCAGTTTGTCATTTACAACACTGCAAATTGTAGGTGCCGGGTGAGGGCGAGCACAAGATCTTGGATTTTATTCGCTTTATCAGATCGCAGAAATCGTACAATCCAGATACTCGCCATTGCTTGTATGGACTGGATGCCGACTTAGTAAGATTTCACTTTCGAAAAATATTGAACGCGGTATGCAAAGATCTTTTGCAGGTCATGCTGGGACTATCTGTCCATGAACCGTTTATGTCGCTTCTGCGCGAGGAAGTCAAGTTCGGAAAGACCGCTAAAACGTACGCAGAAAATCGATGGCGATTCAGTATGGTTTTAAGAGTGGTTTGTTTTTTCATCCCAATTTTTATCGGTTTTAGGGAAACGAATCCCGAGAAAATCACTTTCCATTTGCTGCATTTATCGATTCTGAGAGATTATTTAGAGCATGAATTTGAAGGCGTAAAGGTGGGAAACATTTAGACGACTATCTGTTATTGTTATGTGGATATTTGTGCTTTGCAGCCGAATCTGAAATTTCCTTTCGATCTGGAGAAGATTATCGATGACTGGATTTTAATGGGTTTCCTGGTGGGAAACGATTTCATACCTCATCTTCCGGGGTTGCATATCAACAAAAATGCTTTTGACGATATTTATCACGCATATTCCGAGACCCTGCCCAAATTGGATGGGTACATTAACGAAGGGGGTTATTTGAATTTGGAGCGATTCCAAAAGCTGTTGGATGCGTTGGTCTGCATGGACCTGGACCGTGTAGAAAATGAGGTGGACGATATGAGTTGGATGGAAATGAAGCGAGGCGCAATTGTCCATGACGAGCTGCAGACTGCCAGTGGATGGGATGAAGCCGGTCCAGAAGATTTCGATTTTCAAAAAGCTCTTGCTGACAACGACATCGAAGAGGAGGCTGCGGAAGGTTCGTTTGATGGCCATTTCTGATTTTGTTGATATTTTGCTTATATCGTTTTTTTATCTCTTCAGTTGTACGGAACGGTGTGTAGCATACCGTAACCGAGAAAATGTTTATTTATTGTGTATTCGATTCTAGAACTGCAGAAGCAAAAAGTTTTCGAGCACAAAGAGAAATACTACAAAGACAAGCTTCGAATGGCAGAAGTCAACGAGTAAGAAGTCGATTTTCGTTTGTCTCCAGCGAACGCAAAAACACAGTCGATTTTTTAGCCAGACCCTATCTGACATGGCATGCGAATACGTTCGGGCTATCCAGTGGAATCTTCACTATTATTACCATGGCGTTCCGTCTTGGGAATGGTATGTCGAATTGCAAAAAATATGGATAGAAGTATTTATATTTCTACCAGCACTCTGTGTTGACCAACCTCGCATGCAGGTTTTATCCGTACAACTATGCTCCATACGTTTCGGATTTAAAAAATTTCGCGACGCTCAATCCGGAGTATGAGCTGGGTGAACCGTTTAAACCATTCGAGCAGCTGATGGCCGTACTTCCGGAACGAAGCAAAAAGTGCTTACCGGAGTCATTTCATGTAAAATAGAAATTGTTGGAAGCAAATAAGTTTATGTTTGATGGTGTGCCTTTAGTCAGGTAATAATTTCTTGTTTTTGTTTCAGTACTTGTTTTCCGCGAATAGTCCGATTTACGACTTTTACCCGGCTGACTTTGCTACGGATTTAAACGGGAAAGCCAACGAGTGGGAAGCTGTGGTTTTGGTACCATTTATCGATGAGGTAGCTCGTTTGGGACACAGTAAACCTGGATAAAGAAATTTATGCAGTAACATAATTGCAGAAACGTCTGACGGATGCCGTGCGGCCCTTACTGAATCAGCTGCGCCCCGAAGAGAAGCGCCGAAATGTTATTGGAAAAGGTTTTGTGTTCCATCATAGCGGTGAACCCAACGGCCAAGTGTACCCACCTCCGACGAAGAAATTCACTCCCATTAATCCTCTTCGTGCTGTGTAAGCCATTCGGGGATACTCTAATGCCGCAATTTATTCTACGGTTTTCGTTCCTTTTTTTTGAACGCCCTATATTTTTAATGCTCGTTTTTACTCGAACACCGAGCACTATCACTTGTGATTGCGATTTATTTTGTTTGTTGGAAATAGTTCATCAATTTTTCGATCGCCACTTTGACTTTAGTAGTAGGAAGTACTTTCAGAAATATTATGCTGATAATCTGTTTAAATTTCCCTAATGTAATTTGCCGGTGTCTGTAGGATTAGAACTTATAACTACAACTTCCATATTTTGGACCGGAAAAAAATACGCAAAGGTCGCCTGACCAAAGGACAGCTATACCAACCCGGCTTCCCGTCGCTTGGTTTTGTGCCGCATTCAGTAAGGATACAAGTAGATTGTGCATAATGCGAATTATTGTTTGTTTACTATTAATGGTCCCTTGTGCTGTACTTCATTTAGGCATCACTGCAAATAGGCGCTGTAACAGTGTTTCAGCGCCGATCTACGGGAAAAAGTATGGTGTTGACGGTACACAAGGATCCTTCCACAGTACGTTCAACAGTCGTTAAATAGAAGGGCGTCGTTGCTTCTGAATATTGCTTTCTCATACTTAAATAGGAAATCTTTGACACTCGTAGCTAGTCAGATATTCTTAGACTTGAACTACAGTAAATGGGAGGCTGTCTGAACGGATGTGTTTGTTATAGAATTACTTGGAGCGAGGGTACAAGTTCCTTGGCAAGAAAGTATTCGTCAGTTGGCCCCATCACACAATGGCTCTCGTGACCCGCGTAACGGATGGGATGATACAATTTGTCGCTGTTAGTCCAAGGGGATTTTTCGTGGAAAATGGTGGTTCTACTGGAATGCAAGTGAATATGGAAAACGAACAGATGGATCAGTACTCCAAACACAAGAAGGAAATCGAGGCAAAGTTAGTAGAATTATACTTTAAAAGTCGTTAGAGGAAGTGCATGATTACAGCATTTAATTACTGTACAGTGGTGCGCAGCTTCTGTAAGGATCTTAATTGTGTCAAAGTTGCAGATGCAACGACTATATTTTTAGAACTTGTTTAACCGCAGTCGAAAATAGTTGTACGTGTACTATTGCACAGTTTCTTTATAAAAAACCTGTGCTTGTTTTAGATTGAAAAATCGACAAGGCATCCAAATCGACAGTGCCGATGTTTTGTACTATTGTCGCGTTTGTGTTGGGAAGCGTTACGTTTTTCGGAAAGACAGTAAAGTGGCGTATTTGGAGCCTCAGTGGTCTTCCTGGGAGGTCCCGTTTCCTGCCGAATTGGTGGTTCTCGCTCCTCCTGAAACAGAGACGAAAAAAAGATTGTTCGCTGATCAGTTGTTCCCGATGAATTTTCCCGTTTTTGTTTTGGCTTTCCCGTATTATGGCTGCCAGGGAAAGGTAAGAGTTTTCGTGTTTCCACACATACAACTATGTGTCTTGGGACTCTAGTTGGGAGTATTTAAATTTTGAACTTGTAGGTTGTCTCGCATGATCGGGCGGAGAATAAAGTGTTCGTCATCTTCGAGAGGCCAGCGGAACCAATTATGAGCCATGTTTACAATCGGGAAGATGTATGTGTTTTTTATGGCTGAGAAAGGTTAACCAGTATTCTATATAGTAGACGAGAAGTCTGGAGAATCGGAGATGTTGTGTTACTTGTGTATATTCACAGGAACTTTCTACCCAATACGAGCCCGCCTATCAAGCTGCGAGAATACTTAATTTGACTCCACCTATTGTTTCTCGTTTGACTGGAACCGTTTATGCACGCATCAACGCCGGTGATAGCGAAAAAGTCAACATTGGCTTCTCGTTAAAAGCATCTAAAGCCAGTACCGAAGTAGGTCAAACCGAGGGAAAAAAATTTGCATTTGAATTTGGAACTTACTGATATTTTAAATGTGTCTGTACAGGTTCGCGGGTACACCAAACGGGTCGAATCCGACACGAAGCCGGGACAATACAACTGGTTGTATTCAGAGAAAGTGTTGGATTTGTTACACGGTTTTCGACAGCGATTCCCCGAGTTGATTGGTCACTGGATGAAGAATGAGTGCCAGGATCCGATCATGGAGGAGGTTTATCCGGGCCGAGCTGAGGCGAAATTAAAAGAGGTCTCAGATTATCTTAAGACGTTACCGACGTATAAAGTGGCTCAGCAAGCATGTGGTGAAGAAATGCTGGACGATGGAATTATTGCAGCGATACAGGAAAAAGTTGCTTTCGTTAAGAGTCGTTACGGAAATCGACGCGACCGATTTCGGGCATTTATTGCGCCGAAATTTTTGTATAGGGTAAGTCTCGTTTTGCTGATTTGAAGTATCGCACTTTTGATCTTGGTGTAGAAGGTGCCTTAGAGCTTACACAGTACACTGATAGATAAATTATCATTATTTCTTCTGTTATCTTGCGTTTTGAAGGTTGAAAGAATGTAGAGTTACTAGAGTAACACTGTAAACTTTGCCATAGCTAAAACCTTGCGATGTGCGTAGTCTGGTTTTCTGCGTTCTTAAGATTTTTTATGTTTAGCTGTATTTAATCTTTATTTCGGCGTATGGTTTTTATTGTTTAGTACACGGAGGAGGCAGCGGGTGTCCTTCCTGATGACACTGTAATGTGGGAGATGTACGATCGCGTGGTGAACATCAGAGAAGCGGTGGTGCCGCTCGGCCTGCGTGGAACTGTGATCAGTATCACAAAATCTGACTTGGCGGCTAGTGTTTATATTACTGTCCTTTTTGACGAAGCCTTTGCCAGTGGAGATGCTCTAACGTACGTTCAGGAGTTGCCAGCTGCTTCCTTGCTGAATATTACACACGGTGAACGCCGGCAGTGGGAACTGGAGCACCAGTATGGCCCAAGTGTTTACCTTCCAGCTCAGCGAGTCTAGATAGATGGTGATGCTCAACTGTGTTGTGTTGAACTCTTACGTCTCGGGATTTTTGGTATTGTTTTCTGCACAGCCACCACGCATGTTGGGAGCTTGGAAGTTGAAAGAGTGGAACGAAATCGTTTTTGTTGTTTGCCTCATTGTTCTCAGGATCCACCGATGAAAGCTGATTACGTTATCAGTTCTTTAATCTTTTATGTTTTTAATAACTGGGAGAAGGTGGTTCGAGATCGTACTTTAATGAGAAAGCTGCCACCTGTACGAAATTTTACGTGCTTCAAAACAAATCAAGGCAAAGTCGGCGGCTCTCAGTGCATTTTTTTCAGATTTTCTATAGCTAGAATAACTCTAGCACTCACGCATTGCTGCGGGATTTAAAGTTGGTTTTTGTTATTACTGATACGGTACACCGATAACGGCTATAAGCTATAATGGGAAATTTTGAAAATCATATTCACTTAAAGATTTTGTTTGAGCCCTCGAACACCGAACACCGACTACTTTGGTGTTGACTGGCTTTTCCATTTAATACTTGATGCACTATCTTAGCTGCCGTATTCATGCATGGGTCATACCGGCTCACCTTATTAATTAAGTTGATTAAGTACAGTACTCGTATAAGTAATTGCTTGAGTTTTGAGTTCTATATATAACTAGTACTCTGTACAGTGTATGTGTAATGTGAGCGATGCATCTCATGTGAATTGTTTCACTCGTTTGTAATTCGGTTTTGTCATTAATAATTCTTTTGAAACTTAGAACTATTGTGTAAGCAAAAAAAATTTATTTATTGTATTATTATTTAGTAATAACAATCCTTTAACTGGTTGTCGGACAAAACTGCTGCGAATGGCAGTTGCGTGTTGTGTTCTGATGCTACGATTGGACTGCAGATTGCCAGTCCTGGGTCACCGTCGGGAGCACGAATATGTTGTCATCGTATAAATTTAAAATTATACGAGTGCCTAAAGTTATTTCTGTTAAATCTGGTTAATTTTCGTTATATTTATTATTTATTCCAAAGCCGGGAGTGAGCTGTCGTATCCCAACTTCAGGTTTGTGTTGAGAAAGTAAATCTGACACAGTGAAACTGAACAGTCTACAGATACGTTTAATTTGATACTATCTACTCTACAACTGTCGTTCAAGTATAGTAGGTTCCCTTGACTTGGGAAGCTGGGAAACGAACTTGCGTTTCCCAGTGGCCAAGTCCATACAACGTGCTTGCAAATTTTTCGCTCTATGCAGGTGCGTCGGCACACGCATACACCTGGGTGTATAGCGCCAGTATTGTGCAACCTTATTTAGATTCCCCGGTTTGTCAATTTGCGTCGGCGTTTCGGACACACGGTGAACAATAAACACCGATGTTGACACCTATGCATTCCACAGACACTCTTCTTTGAGTGGCTTTTTCAAATCTCGCAAATTGCAGCTATTTATTTTTTATCGGTACGCTTTCAAAGCCGCTATAGATATTTATGAATAGATTTTAATCCGTAACCTCAAGAGACAAGAGTGGAAAGTCGTGAGTGGGAGAATAGCATAGAAGGACCTTGATCAACCTGCCCGATAAGGTCTTGTGAGGACAAGGTAAGTCAACCTAAACCGCAGACACTAAACAGCCACCAGGATATTTTGCTGTTTTCAATATTTGTTTTTTTGTAAAGTTTTGTTTCCCCTATATATCTTGTAAAAAGCCTGGTCTGAGTCTGGTGAATTTCGTGCACTTATTTATGGTTAGCAGCCATTAGTTTTTCTTTTTCTGTTTATCCTTGCTTTTATTGCACGCTCAAGCTGACGGGCCGAATTAGCAAAATTTCGTCACCTCAAACTGGAAGCAATAATAATCACTGCATTTCCTGTGCCTATTAATTAAATATATCAGTATATACTGTACCTATTAATTATTATTATTCAGTTCCCGGAATCGAAATCATTGATCGTAACAAAGGTTTATCTTCAGTTTGTACAAATATCTGCAGTATGAATCCATGCCAGAACTGGGACAGAATGGAACAGCACTGGAAGACTGCGAAATCTTCACAATCTAAGGATCAGGCTGAAAATGCATTCACCAGTCTGTTGAAAACTGAAGGTATAAAAATAATAAAATCTTACTGAATTATTGTAACTTACTGAGGCTTTAAGAGCGTGCATATCAACCCATCGGAAACGTGTAAAGAGATTTTTATTTATACCGGACGTACATTTTCCATTTTGAGTAAGTACTTCTATGAATTTAACCGGTTACTGGTTTCAAGGCGCTGAGCGTAGCGGACCGGCGAGTGACAGCCGCGACGGAAGTTTTCCTGCCTTCTACCAGCCACCCAAGGATTTTTTTACTCAGGACGCCAATCCCTTCGGTCCGTGGGCAAATCCCTATCGCGGCTGCGCGGATGGGATGGGACAGTATCACCCCCCGACTGGAACCTCATCGATGCGCCCACTGCAGCCGGAGACCGCGTATCAAGGCTCGAGCAGCGGGCGTGGCGGATCTTACAATCCGTTTAGCAGTGGCAGTATCTGGTCGACGGGCAGCACCAGCACTGTCATTCAGGGGCCACCCCGTTACGTCTACGATCCGGAGTATGAGGGGCCGCGTCCCGCTCCGCTCCGTCGCCACGGAGGGTTTGATTCCCGCGCCGACGATAAGGAACTGACTGCCATCTACGAAGCATTGTCGAAGCAGCAACTGCGACCGGGTATCAATCCGTGTAAGTGTTCTTTTTGTTGGAACATGATCGTTCGTCACATAGAATGTGAAAAGCGGTATGGAATGGTTGAAAAATTATTGGGAAGTCAATCTATTTTACAGTAAAATTTAGTTTCACTTTACAATTTAAATCGCTGTAGCGCATTAACACGAGGAGAGTTTATGCTTAATTACTGGCCAGATATTCAGAAGTCACGTACTCGTAACTTGGTAAGTGAGCTGAATATTCCAGCGTGTCTATTCTTTCATTTAAATGTGTACGACGTCTTTACCTGCTTGTCAATAATCGTGAATTAAAAATTATTTTAAACAAAAGCAAGCGTTTAATATTTCCGCTCTTTCCGTTGCTTCCAGAACTGGTTATACTGCCTTGTTGAACACCCACCGTACGGAGCTGTCGCACAAATTCGTATGAATTCTTTCTTTACTCGCATTAAGCCGGTTCATGTACTCGTTCCACTACTCCACATATTTCATAATTTCCAGACAATTTACAATTCGGTTAGCACTCCCCATCAGTTGATTACTCCGTGCCTTTTTTTGCAGATGCGGCGTATGCGACTGTGGTGCAGTCAGAACATCAGGCAAATCACGGATATGCGAATGCTGGGAAAAACCGCTCGCCGTATGCCAATCCGTACGCTGATTACGCTCTGCACAACCAGCGACAAGGGAACACCAGCATCACGGAAAACGTGGCGGCCGTTATTGAATGGAATCATTGATGTCTGATGACATACCTCGATGTTGCATGTACATTCTTTTTGATTTTTTTATGGCTTATACTCTTTTTTACTTGTTTAACAATATAGTTGTTATACTCCATTTCAAATTGTTTCAACTGCCTCAGTGCCAATCTTGTCATACCTTTAAGGCCAGCTGGTCACGAATTTTGCATGCCGAAAACTAAAGCATGGATGTGTAGGTAGCGGATGAATTTTAAATTTGTTTTACGATCTACTCAATGTTTTAACGAAAATACTGTTTTTTTTGTTATCACTACGCTGTTGGTTAAAAAACGAATTTTACGCGCTCGGTCTTGTCGTGGCTGCCTTCGAATAGAAATCTTCGATCTCTAACGACAGCTTGATGTTTCCCTCAAGCCATAGACAAAAATTTGCGAACTGGTTTTCATTCCATATAATTACTCGTTCACCAGCTGTAAAAGAGACACTTTCGGTAGAAGGACACAACATTGTGAAATTTGCAACACATAATATATGGGAACAACTCAGTTATTAGTTTAGCAGTTCCCGCCTTACCGGAGAGCTGGGAAGATGTTCCACACCGTGAGACTGTTTTCTGGTCTGGCTGGAATGTGTATAGTTGGATTTATTTTCTGGATGTTTGTGATTGCATTCGTAGACTTTAATACTTCCGAATTTAGAAATCTTGTTCCATCTGCCAACTATCTTTCGACTTCGTACAGCGAAAAAGTTAATTCGGTAATGAAAACACCCAAGGAATTCTTAAGGATAGCTCTGGAAAATGCTATCCATACGGATAGATCGGAGCCCGCCACAACGGTTAACTCCACATCCGGAAAATATATTGATATTTCGCCGTTTCAGTTTATGGATTATTATAGTCAACTTGCCAGCATGAGCGGATGGGTTGCCAATGGAACAGGCTTGACCGTCTCAGAGGTAATGACTATAATCAGAAGATCTGCTATTATCTGTACTAGTGCTTCCAGTCTTTAAAGGCTGAAAGAAAAAAATGTTACTACCGTCTACCAGCAAGAATTGTAAATCAATGTGATAGGAATAAAGCGAAAGCCAAAATGAACTGCTTCATAAAAGTGCAAGGTGCCATTTAATTGAGCGGCATGCTTATATAGCTGAATCAATATCATACGGATAAGTTTGGTATGCACGCAGTACACTCCAGAGAATATTGAGGAAGTCGCAAATGCATATTTAAATACATAGTTTTTAGATGTTTTATGTGATGAACTTTGGAGATCCGTCACATCTGAACTTCACCAAATCCATCACGGCTCCCTATTCGGTTGCGATGTGGACCCAAAACCGATTAGCATTCCGCGCTGATTTACGGACGCTACGCGCCAAAGGATTCTTAGATCCCAATGAGACTATGATTGTCCCTAGTAAGAATCCACCGCCATACGTTACCGTTGACTTACCAGTGGACATGGACGTGCCCAGTTGGATGATGGCCGTGGGGTCACTGTTTGCCAACGCCAAATCGCGCGATGCTATTCCGGTTCTGCTGACCATTAAAGCACACGCCGCTGCGCAGCATTTTGAAAACATCACCATGCAAAAAGTGAGTTACAGCACCCTGACAAGCAACAAAGGCGAAGTCATCGAAATCATCCCCAGGATGTGCCGAACAAAGACACCAAACTACGTCAGTCTTCGCACAAATGGAAAGTGGATGAATCTACGCGATGGAGCATCAGGACGCTACTGACATTCAAACGAGACATTTATAATCAGAGCATAGTTCTATTGGTTGATAAACTGTACGAAATGATGCAGTCTGCGCCCGATGTCCGCGAGTGGGCGCTGCCCTCCGTGGTGGCCGTACATGTCAATCTTGGGAAATCGCCTTCGCCGGTTGCGGATGAACGGCGTCTGCTGCGCGCCGTTCTCCATTACCAGAGACTGCATTCGCCCGTTCTGTTTTATCTATTTTGCAGTGAAGTTGGTTACTGTAAGCAGCTGTTCACCGAACCGAATATTGTATTTGTGGAGAATATCACTTCGGAAGTCAGCGTTGCTTTGACTTCTTTAATGGATTATGTGATTCTCACAGACAGCGTGGAAGGATGGTTAGGTGCGTACCTGGGAGACGCGGTGGAGGTTTCTTATATAAACAACGAGAAAAGCGAAGATTATTACTACACATTGCCGGATTGGAAGCGTTTTTTGTAGTTCAAAATGAACTGCATCTTTTCTCGCAGTATTTCAGTGATCTTGCTGTGTACAAAGCGATACGTTACAGATTTGTATTAATTATAATTTATACACCACTGTATTTCTTGTATTTGGCATACGCTGTGTGTGCACAGTTGTTAACTACTGCAGCTAGCGGATTTTAATTTTTGTCCTAAACGTTCCGTTAATACAAATGTCAAAATTGTCGCATGTGTTACGGAATTGCATTTACAGATTCAATGTATTTAAGCATACTAAATCAGGACAAATCCAAACTTCTGAAGTACAGAGTACACCTATTGACTTTCAACTTCGACAATGTGCGACATTCGGCAACGTTAACGCATAAACCAGTTCATTAGCTGGACAGAGCAAGAGTTTGGCAGACACCATTACCGTATACCCTTGACCTTCAAAGTTCAATGCTTCTAACCGTATGCACAACGGTGATGCAAACCGGTCTGCCACTTCTTCCAAATTTTTGAAGTTTTAGTGCAATAGCCGCCGATGGCTTCTGGTTGTCAAAGAAATCCAATGTTTTTTATTTTGTGAGCTTGTAAGACCGCACATTACGTCTATCGTACTGTACGAGAACACAGTGCATGCATGTTTCCTATACACCCAAACCTAGCTAGCTTTTACTCGATCAAAACATTAAACATGCGATATGGCGACACATCTGTATTTTCCTCTTGCAAGTGAACTGTCTGGAAAATTAAAAAAAACTCGTGGTGTGGATAAAAATCGGAAAAGCGCTTTTTGTTTCAGGAAGAAATAGTGCATTTCGACTTCACGGATCATGAGGACGGTCAATGTCGACAGTGCAGACTGTCTCAGATGTTTGTACTGGAACTAGATTACTCTTTATGACCGGAAATGCGAGAGATTGCTACATGCAGATCTTAGCAATGGGGAGCTCACAAGCAGTCCGGAAGGCACCGCAACTCTGCGGTATTGTGATAATCTCGATCTCGCTGACGTCGCTGATTATTTTGACGTATTCACCGGGAACGTTGAACTTGAATCGTTTTCCTTCTGAAGAAACTGCAAATTCTTCTGAGTTACAATGTGTGCCACCATTGACAGCAGCGGATTCGATTGGCAAGGTTTCTAGACTGACGTATGCCAGCAAAATAAATTCGTCCATGATCGACGAGGCAAGTAAACTGACCGATACGTATAATTTTTAGAGATGGAATAAAACGTACTGCACATCTGAAATGTACGAGTACTGATGTAAATATTTTCAGCATAGCGGAAATATGCACAAATTTGTAATAAATACCTCATCTAATTATTTAGATTCTGATGCAAATAAACGCTGCCGGAGATCCACTCCAAATTACCGACGATTTGTCGTTAAAAAATCAGGGATTCATTCTAAAACTTACAGTGCAACGACTGCGAATGAAAGTGAGCAAACGACTGAAACACGCTTCCTATCATCTTGCCGAGACAAGTCGGATCATGCAGTCGTACGAAAACAAAACTCCGTTGTTCATTTCTTCCAATTTTGATTCGCAAGGTGGACTGGGAAACTGGATGTTCATGATGGCGTCTATGTTCGGCTTATCCAGGACCAACAAGCGAATACCGGTTGTCCTGTACAACTATTCTGCCTTTGACAGACATTTTGCCAATTTCAAGCTGATGCAGATGGATCGCGTGACCTTTGCCGGAAATAGCGGGAAGGCAGCGTGGGAAGCTGCGATGTTAAGAGAAATCGCACCGGGTGTATATACAGACTGGCTCGCGAATGTATCATCGAAGAAAAGAAATATGAACGTTCTTTTGGAAGGTTATTTACAATCATGGAAATATTTTCATGAATACCGCGCTGATATCCAGTCTTTATTTACATTCAGCCAGGACGTATACGTTAAAAGCGTTGAAGCGATAAGCACCGGCTTGCAAAATTTGCATGATGCGTCTCCCGATGAAGTACTGCGACCGCTAACGATGCCGACATTAATAGGGATTCACGTGCGGCGTGGAGATATTCTGAATTTCAACCAGCGAGATCACGGACATCGTCCAGCCACGGATCAGTATTTATTACGTGCGGCTCTACGTTTTCAGCGAATGTTTGCACCGGTAATTTTTGTTGTCGTCAGCAATGACATTCAGTTCTGTAAGAATCTCTTTCCCGAACCAAATTTTGTATTTATCGAAAACACTTCACCGGAAGTTGATATGGCAATCCTTACTTTAATGGACAATCTGATACTAACTGTGGGAAGTTTTGGATGGTGGGGCGCGTATCTAAGTGATGCACGGCAGGTCGTTTACTATCGAAACTGGCCGGAAAGTGGAAGTGATATGGAAAACATGTTTGAACCCGGTGACTATTTTCCTTCGTTTTGGGAAGGGCTGTTGTAAAGCTTCAAGGATGCTCGCTTATGGTAGACGAACATGTACAGGATTTTTGCGGTATATAGTGCAAATCCTTGCTAGCAAAGAAAATAAAAATTAACCAAGGGAAAATCACGTGTATCGTTAAAAAACGTTGATTGTATTGTGTTGTTCGGTGAAACTTCGTTAGTTCTCGCAATATTTTCTAGCTTAAAAGGAGCTTTTGCGATTTAGGAAGTTGTTGTTGTTAACTTGCTATAACATTTATATAAGAATTTAAGCAACAGTGTGCAACAACGTGCAGTGCAGCAGGACGTAACGAGACAGAATTGTTTGTACGATCACAAACCGTGATGTAGGATTACAGTAAGAGTACGGCACAGGTTTGACCAGGACGTCCGTTATGCCTTACATTTAGGGACAGTATCAGAATTCAAAACAATGACTGTCAATGAGAAATTTTTACTGTGCACTCACTGTGCATATTCTTCCGACGATACCTACAAAAGTTCGAATTACGAGTCCTACTTGCAGCACTTCAATTACATAATTGAATTACGGGTAAGGTGCGTACGTACAGTGATTAACTTCTGATCTTTGTGTTGTGCTATCTCCAAAGGCTTTAATTTCGTTGCGCAGACGGTTATTGCTAAATACGAGTACATATCAAGTGAAACCAAAATTATGGTGTTATTGTCAAAACGGCATTATAGCAAAACACAATAATTTTGCGCCTCTTCGGCTTCTAACACATAATTTAAACGTCCACGAGCTTTCAGTTGTACTTCATATTAAATCTGAAGTATTAAAACTAGCCCAAAAAAATTAATTTTTCACAAAAAGATAGTAATTTTACAGTACAACATAATTACATTTATACCATTGTCCGCACGTTTACATTGACCTTACAAGGCACAAATAACTGTCTGAATAATGACGCATAGAAGTACTCATACTCCGAGATTGAATATTGTGATTACATTTTCTTTTTCACATTCAGCAATATAATTGTAGCCTTATGGAGTTAACGAGCAAAGCAAATCTTCAAAAAGAAGAAAAAAGGAAAGCATCTGGAATTTGCTATTTGTGCGTTTATTAGTCAGATCGACAGTATTATGGTGTTTATTCCACGATATCCAGCATGTGTTGTACATCTGCTGGCATCACTTCCGATTCATGAAGCTCAAACAGCAGCAAAATTAACCGAAAACAAATACCAAAAAGCCGAAATACTGCGTACAGAGGGTGATTTCGCAATATGCTTCCACTCTATTCATAAATTTATTATAATATCCGCCGCATTGACTTTATTCTAATATTTGCTCTATCTGAAAGCCCTTCTTCTCTGCCATCAACTCCACACAATAACGCCAGGAAAAAAGTATCTGACATATCAGGGTAATTGAAATACTAGAGAAAGATCGGCGCGCGACTGTTAACAAACCACGAATCGACGCTGCATACTTCTGATACAAAATTCTTTTAAAAATCCCGTTCGTTCCAAAATCCATGGATGTTGAGTCCGGTAAGTTGCTCGGCCACATGCCCTTCGGAATGTTTCGGACGCCGCGAGAAGCTAGCCGCTGGCAGATTTTTTTGGAAGTATGTGCGGGAGCGGAGTCCTGATGCAGTGCCACCTTCCTTTCTTCGCCTGGATAGACACGGGGGAAGTCTTTTTGCACCAATGGCTCCAACACGTTTTGAATGCAGAGATCGGCGGTTATTTTAGGGGTGGGAGGAATGAACCGGATCGCTGTTAGGCCACGAAAAGAAATTCCGGCGATGAACATACCACCTAGTTGTTTTTTAACTTTGCAAAATTTTATCCAATTTTCGGGATTTTTGGATCCTTTAAACTTGTAGCAGATCTTTCTTCGCTTGCCCGTATAATCAAGATAGACTCAAGCTTCGTCGATTAAAATAATGTAGAGTGAATTTCGCTGGTTCAGAAATTTGGCAAATTGGGAACCACGACAAGCACGCTGTTTTGCCTGCTTTTCTGATAGGGCCTGTACTTTGACATTTTTAGGTACTTTCGCTTCAAGATCCTGAAGAACAATTTTCGATATCGTGTACTGGGATGTCCCAAATTTCCTTGCCAGCTGTCTCTGAGACGGTGGATTCGGTATTGAGATAACCCTCTTGACTTCGGCGACGAGAGACTTTGTGGGAACTTTGGGTAGGCACTGATTTTCTAGGCATTTTACAGGCGAACCATTCCCTTCACTCTCGGGCCCATAAAGTTTCAACATCTCATTTACCGTAGTATGAGAAACAGCGATCCCTTTGCTCATCAAACACTCGGCGATTTTTCTGTGGCTTTTACAAATTGTTGATAGAGCCAGCACTCGGCACCTTGTTTTTAAATCGGTTTTTCGTGCCATGTTTATCGCTCGAACTAAACAAATCATTTTGAACAATTAGGCACACTTCATCCCACAAGACTGGCTAGCAAACAGATTAAAAGAATAGAAAGGGAAATTTTCGGGAATTTTTTCCCGTGCTGGAAGCATATTGCGAAATCACCCTCTGTAGGTAGATGAGATCGATCCACAAAATAAATATCCTTATTTAAATTGTTTACTTCATTTGAATTTGTGGTTTGTTTACTGCGACCAGGGAATTCAGAGGAAAGACCGCAGTGTTGCATTAACATCAGCGATGATATTTTTGCGAAACTGCTGATTCTGGGTGCTTTTGGCACGTCCAGCGGCAGGACAGGCATACTTTGACCTTAAACGTCGAAGATTCAAATAATTTACGGGAACGAAGCCTTATCGCGCAGTACTAATTTAGCGTTATAATCAGAAAGTGCCACTGCGTTATTAGTCCATCCACCATAAATTACAGCTGGTACTTTGCCATGGAAAATTGTCCGAATCATTATTTGGAAAACCTATCACGTACCAAAGGTCAGCGAGCACGCCAAAACATAGTGATCTGACGGTACACAGTTCATTCATGTAACACAAGCTAAACGGCCCTGTTACTTCGGAGGGTGGCCATTCGCCCGACACACCAGAACAAACGTTTAGCTGAGCTTGGAGAAATCTACAAACATTCTCAAATTTAAAAAATGCAAGTTTTGAGGAAAATTTTAAAAAATTTTATACCAGATCTTTGATGCATTTCTCGAAAAGCAGGTTGTAAGAATATTGAACTGCCATCTGTTTTTTCTCTTGAACGAGAATGTTTTACTTTAGTAGTAGAAGTAGCTGTAGTGTAGAACATAAAGACACTGCTGCATGTATACTTCTATAGTGTAATGATATGATGAGTATCGGCTTACGGTGTACGATAGGAACCAAATCATCAATGAAGTACAAAAATGACTACAGATGATAAGAACTAAAGTATCTTGCTGACACAATAAGTAAATTTCGCGCGAAACAATATTCTTACATAATTTTGCGAAGATAATGTTTTATGACGATCATTACGTTATGTTAAACATTAATAATCATTGCACACAGCTAGATTTACTGCAGGAAGAGTTCCCTCAGACCAAATAGAATTTAAAAATTGTTCAAATCAGGAGAGAAAAAGGAGGATTCAGTGCAGCGTCATAAGTTTTCTATAAATAAATATTTTTTCAGTTGATGCGATCTTTAAATACAGAGCTCTGCATTAGTCAGCAGCTTTATGTATGGGAAAAGCCCAGAAAACAACCCTGACCTTTGGTCTACTGATGTAGTGATGGCATCGCTTTTGTAAGTTTCTTATTTGATGCAGTGCGTGGAAACTGCAAACCATTGCAAGCAAACAGTATATAAAAAGAAAGAACCAACGTTAGACTTCCAGTTCGTGCAAAGCAAACTACTAATTACTACTTCGGAATTAAGAATAATTTTAATTTTACGAGACATTGCAAAATTATCACTGTCGTGTGCCATTGTGCCATCACAATGAAGTTCTATGTTGGGGTTGTTTTGGCCATTTGCCTGCTCTTACTCGAAGGTATGCCACGACGAATAAATTATTTTCCTTCCGATTCCGTAATTTATAGCTAATGGCGAAAGAACAGTTTTGACCATGTCTTCACTATCACACCAGATTTACTTAACGACGCAACAAAAGCAAATTGTAAACAAATCCAGATAAAAAGAGTTTTTTCATACTAATGCCTTTGTTCCGTTGCAGACGTCCACTCGTCGCACGACGAGCCCGTTCCCGGTACACATTCAAGACCCACCTATGGAACCACAACGCCACACCACCATGCTAAGCGGGAAGCGACAACGGCTTCTTCTCACCAAAACGATACGACACAAAGCCACCATGCCAAACGGGAGGTGACAACGCAAGACCCGCATCAGACACCGACGCATGGTCACCACAAGCGTGAGGCCACCACACAGGACCCGCATCAGACACCGACGCATGGTCATCACAAGCGCGAAGCCACAACGCAGGACCCGCATCAGACACCGACGCATGGTCATCACAAGCGCGAAGCCACCACACAGGACCCGCATCAGACGCCGACGCATGGTCATCATAAGCGCGAAGCCACAACGCAGGACCCGCATCAGACACCGACGCATGGTCATCACAAGCGCGAAGCCACCACACAGGACCCGCATCAGACGCCGACGCATGGTCATCACAAGCGCGAAGCCACAACGCAGGACCCGCATCAGACGCCGACGCATGGTCATCACAAGCGCGAAGCCACAACGCAGGACCCGCATCAGACACCGACGCATGGTCATCACAAGCGCGAAGCCACAACGCAGGACCCGCATCAGACACCGACGCATGGTCATCACAAGCGCGAAGCCACAACGCAGGACCCGCATCAGACACCGACGCATGGTCATCACAAGCGCGAAGCCACAACGCAGGACCCGCATCAGACACCGACGCATGGTCATCACAAGCGCGAAGCCACAACGCAGGACCCGCATCAGACACCGACGCATGGTCATCACAAGCGCGAAGCCACAACGCAGGACCCGCATCAGACACCGACGCATGGTCATCACAAGCGCGAAGCCACAACGCAGGACCCGCATCAGACACCGACGCATGGTCATCACAAGCGCGAAGCCACAACGCAGGACCCGCATCAGACACCGACGCATGGTCATCACAAGCGCGAAGCCACAACGCAGGACCCGCATCAGACACCGACGCATGGTCATCACAAGCGCGAAGCCACAACGCAGGACCCGCATCAGACACCGACGCATGGTCATCACAAGCGCGAAGCCACAACGCAGGACCCGCATCAGACACCGACGCATGGTCATCACAAGCGCGAAGCCACAACGCAGGACCCGCATCAGACACCGACGCATGGTCATCACAAGCGCGAAGCCACCACACAGGACCCGCATCAGACGCCGACGCATGGTCATCACAAGCGCGAAGCCACAACGCAGGACCCGCATCAGACACCGACGCATGGTCATCACAAGCGCGAAGCCACAACGCAGGACCCGCATCAGACACCGACGCATGGTCATCACAAGCGCGAAGCCACCACACAGGACCCGCATCAGACGCCGACGCATGGTCATCACAAGCGCGAAGCCACAACGCAGGACCCACATCAGACGCCGACGCAAGGTCATCACAAGCGTGAGGCGACCTCTACCCTTCACCCCATGCAAGCGCCCGAGGAGACTACTACCGAAGTAGCGACTTCTACAAACGCAACACATAGTGCTTCCAAACGGGAAGTTTCATCGACTACTTCCCAACCCACTCTGAAGCCGTCTTTCCAGCCGGCTGGCACAGATCTGCATCCTTGAACTCCAAAATCAGAAATAATTACAAAGTTTTAGTGAAATCGCATATTATTCAATTGGCTGTGGCAGTCAAGCGTGTAATGTAATGCATAGCTGACGTGTTGTCCATATGTATCTGAACCAGTTAACTGATATCATAATACTCGTATTTCTCTAAACAATGCATTTAACGGTCGTGGTTTAAACGCATACTATTCAGAGATGTATATGTTGATACTGCATTATTGTCTTACGCCTGTAGAAAGCAGTTTATTCATTGGTCGCTGTAACTGGCTCACAAATTAAAGTAACTGAAAATAATTAACGATATTTATTAATTTTATTCATGTGTGTCTTACAATACCGACAACTTAAATTGAGTGACTGGTAAAATTCTCCAAAAGATGCTTGTAGTTTTTTCATTCCAGTAGTTCTTTTACTTGTAGTTCGTCGAAATATGCTAACTGTTGTGCAATAAGCGTTAATAATTACATTCAGTGTGTAGGCTACTCTACTTGATAGTTTTGCGGCACATGACATCGGCAGGAAATTGGATAAATAAGGCTCAAATAAATGCTTTAAACTTTTGTTCAGAACGTTTTTAAAACGGGGCCCAGAAGATTTAATTACATTACAACTGCGCGGGATTTGACGATGTCCAAAACACAATCGCGGTCTATACTTTAGGTTGACCATTGTTTTTTATACTTATATCAAGTTACACCGACCACGACGACCGATTTCCACGGAAAACCAATAATTTAAACCAGTGAGCAGTTTAGATAAATGTCCAAGCTGCCGACTAAATTTGCCTAATATTCAAACATACCGGTACTGTAAGTACGACAGGCTGATTTTTAATTAATTTATGAAAACTGAACTTATTTGAAATTTATCGACCACATTCCTTAGTGTTGGTGCAGTCAATAATCACTCCTGGCGACTGGTATAAAAATAATTGTGCAAATTTTCTAAGTAATTTATATACAATGATATGGCGCATTTGAGAACCGGTTAAAGAGAGCTTCATTTTTTGACGGCAAAGCGACGAGGTAGTACGTAATCAGAAAAGAACTTTTCAGTACTACAGCAGTAATGTACAGCATACAAAAGTAAGCAAAAGAAACAGTACTTGAGCATTGTTGGACGTGACTGTATAATTTGCCTTAGTGCTTGCACGGTACATGACCGCTCGCAAAATTAAACCCATTCAGAAGAAGAAAATAGCTGTATGTCTGCGAAAAAAAGGTATTGTACGGTTCCCAGTACGGTAATTCTTTCTTCCAGGTGGACAAGTACAAGCTGGTAAACCGAGACGCAAAGTACTGACAGAAACTTTGACACACAAATTTCGTTACCTGCCACACATAGGAAAGAGCATGCAATATTTGTTGGTCAGTGTGGAGCGTTTATTTGTCGTCGTCGACCTCTTTTCCCATGCTGCAGCTGCATCGCAATTTACGCGATAAAGGAAAGTTTTTTTCCAAGGTTGACCTTTGATTATATGATCACTATTGAGCAGCATGGAGAATCCGCCACCAACAGAGAACAACCAAAATGGATTTATCCCGGAAGCACAGCCTCTGGTGGTTAAGCCGAAAGTCCAATACAATCCGCGGTCCGTCAGCGGCTATTTTCCTAGTTCGCCTAAAAGTTTCCGATCAGTTGACCACGATCCGGTGCACGCGTCGCATGCGTCCGCCGAAACTCTGGACAGCTGTGTTAGCGATAGCGATTTGGAAGAATCCCAACAACTCGCATCGTAAGTAAATTCCGTATCAACTTTGACGCACTAGCGCGTGTGTACTGATTCTAGTTTTGCTAATATTACTAATATGTGATCCCCCGTCGATGAACTGCGACTGTAATTATTATGTGCAAGCTGTGCAATCTGGATTGTCTTCGTATGACTGCAGGAGTTTCAACTGGAGATTTTTAAGCTGTATATACGCGTTCGTGTTGTTTGTACTTGGTGCTGCCCTTCCGATTTCTGAGATTATTGCTGTGGATATAGGCCCGCTTTTTTATCAGGTAAGCCAAGATGTTACGTTCATGCACTATCTTCAAAATTTATGTTTTAGTGCGTTCCCATAGTTTGGCTAATGACAGCAATTTTTTTGTGGGATTGTGTAAATTTCGGTCGCCGCCAGTACATTAGAGGGCTAAGGGCTTGCCCGAAATTTATAAAACGCTACGACAATCAAACTGACATAAGAAAAACAGTAGTTTCAGCTTCAGAAACTAATATGTTTTTTTCTCGAATTTACTCGTAAAACTGAAACGGATAAGTATAGAATTACTATACTGAGCAGAGGAGAAAGTTGTAAGTATCGAACACGAGCTGTACATGTTTCCATCAATCAAAGTTTGCACTGCTGAATTTTTTATGATAATTGTTTGTACGTCCTACCTAGAGTAGGCTAGATCTGTCATCAAAAGCTACCCTTGCAAAGTATTTATATATTTATAAAAAAATTAAAATTTAATTTTGTGATGACCTACTCGGAAGAAGCTTACTTGAATATTACAGTCCATCTCAGTAGCACACGTATAACTGTCATATTCGGTTTAGTTTTACGATATTGCAGTACACATTACAAAAATTTTATTGTTAGTACGAGTGCTGTAATATCACAGTCAAATTTCTAAGCGTTTCCTGTCAAGCAGAGAGAAGAGCCTTGCTGTGTCCTTTCACGTTCCTAAATGTGGAGACTTAGTTTGCCGGCATTTCTATTGACACATATATGACGCCACAAGGGCGAAATGCAAAACTGGAAACACTTAAAGTGTGTTGTACGAAATAGCCTACGTGGTCAGATGTTACAACTATAAACAGTTTCCAAAAACATTGCTGGTGGCTTTTCTATTCAAATCGTAAACAGATGCACTTTTTTTCCTGAAAGGAAACATTTAGAACAAGAAGAACAAGAAAGCCTGTATTATGTTCTCAATTTTCACTTGAAAGCAAGTCACCGACACCTTTGTTAGCATTTGGCTGATTTAGCATGCTTCGTATACGTTTCCCTAAGATTCAACAGCATTCCCAGGAGAAGAACAGAACCTATACCCTAATGCGGCCTTGGTTAATGTGTTTACATAATTTCTTTTTCAAAAGCTCCAGTTGTTTCTGTATGAGTCCTTTTGTTTTCACTAAAAGCTGACGCTGCAGCGTTTGCGAAAAAAGCCAGTTCCAGTTCATTCTGCAGCCTTGCGTGACCGAGCAAATCCTTCTTTTCGGACTATGGTCGCTCATTAGTAATTGATACAACCGAGGCATTACGAAAGCTACAGGCATAAAATCGACTGCGACGGTGTCAGGATAGTGGAGACGATGTACTGTGTCGCCCGTAGACTTACATTCAACTTTGAATTCTAGAATTCCTTGTACCTTTGTTTATAAGTCTCCAGGGACATCTCAAAAGAAAGAGAATAATTTGTTGTTTCTTCTGATACTAAGTTAGCGCGGATCCGCTGCAAATTAGATGCGATATGAGTGTTTTTATTTAACATGGAAGTCTATGGAAGAAGCCTGCACTTGTGGCTATGCTTGTGGTGCGGATTTACTGTGGACGGCTGCAGTCTTCCGACTAAGTTGCTGACTATCTGTCACTATCAGTATGTGAACACTTTCTGAAATACGAGTCCAGAAATTTATGTTTTCACTTGACTTTGTTTCCTGGACTTTAATCATTAAGAAAACGGCCATGGTTGCAGCTTAACCACTCTTTGAAGACACACCAGTACCTTGGCTCTTGGATCCACCATGTGCGAGGCCAAACTGCTTTTAACTCAACTTTTACCGCTAGAATTTTCGGGGACAGTGACGAAACATCATGTTTTTCAGTTTTAAACAAAAACAAACCATTTAGACGCAAGGAAATTTCGTTCTGCTGGAACGCAAAGAGCGTGCAAGCCTATGGAGTTCGCAAGATCGGTCTCCTCCACCGTGACGTCATCGTACAGGCTGCCAGTTCGATTTTATGCCTTAGAGCTTTCGTAATGCCTCGATACAACTTATACACCATAGTTCGATAAAACAGTTCACTTGAGCAAATAACTTAAGTACGTATTTTTTTATCTTAGTACGTACAGTGAATATAGATGGGGACATGTGCATACACTACTGTACACTGATGCTGAGCAGTTCAGTAAAAGACAACATGTTTTATAATAAGTAAAAATGTAATTTGCAGTCTAAATGATATTTAGCGAACTGCTACTAAAAATTACAACGGTAGTAATTTTCAAATGTTACAGATTAGTACAGGCAGATGCTGTATTTGCATTTATAATCTAATATGGTAGTTCCCAAACTAGAAGCTGTGAAAAATAAATTTTTCTGCGTTGTGTTGCAAAAAAGCACCATACTGCACAAAGAGATAACCATCAACATTCCCTTATTATATTGTACTTATGTCACTCTCTTAAAACTGTTTGCTTTAACAGAGCTTTTATCTATACCTGTACGTTGTGTCCTTGCTGTTCCTGTTGTTTGCTTTCGGATTCTTATTTAACACCGGACGAAGACAAAAACTCAGAGTGATATCATGGTGGCGTATAAGAGTGCGTTCGACGAGAAGACTGGTATCACCAATATTGGGACTGCGGAAAATGTCTACTGGTCGCAATACTCCGGCCAGATTTATACCGCATAATAACTTAACAAAAACTGGGAGTTTTTACCTGCGAGTGGTAAGGCTAAGGTTTACAGCAAGAATATTTTTTGCACAAATTCGTCCACAGTCTGTGTTTTTGTTAGGGAGCGGTGGTTTTCGGTATCGGTACCATGCTTTATTCCTGTTTGGAATTTGGGCAGTATTTTGAACTGCGCGGCCTGGGAACCGACTGCGACGATATATTCTCGGCCATTACACCGGCTTTCCGTTTCATATTTTCCTTTGTGCAGTTGTACTTAATTTTTGTCAATGCCAAGGTTAGTGCGCAACTGTGACACGTGCGCCACTGGGCGGACCACACCTACACGAACCGCCGAAATTTATTCAAAAGAGTAATGTTAATGCTGTGCATTCATGCATTTTAGATAAGGACGGACCGCTACACGAACGTTGCCAGTTTTGGCCTCATGCATGTAAGATGTAAACTTTCAAAACCTCTGTCAACAAAAACTGCGTAGGAGTAATTAACAACAATAGTTTCGGTGACCTTTAAGGCCATTTCGATAATCATCCAATGACTATAAGCAGCGGCCGTGCGCATATATATTTGCCATATTGGCGAGCAGGTTAACGTTTAAAAGTTAACGAAAACTCTGCATAATGCGTGATTTGCACAATATTGTGCAGTGTTGTCTAACAACTGTAAAATGGTAACGCTATCTTTAATATTTTATTTTAATTCTGCCTGCTACGGAGTTGGAATGAACACTGTGCACAGTGCAGCACAGTGTACGGTAATTCTTCATAATAAAATCGCTAAACAGACACGCCTAGAATTGTAAGTAAATTACAGCTATTAAAGTTCTGCATCACTGTACGGAAATATCCCTAGATGGTTGCCACGAACATGTGCATTTGGCTGAGCGTCTTAATAGAAGAGACCAAACACGAACTGGAACACAGCATTTTCGAGCCCGACACCCACCGGCCTACCGGTTTTGCAGTACACCTGAGCCATAGTGTTGGCCATGGCCACGCCGATAGTTCTCACCATTCACCGGCCCATGCCGATGGTCACGCACCACAAACTCGACTGGAAGTATTTATTTCCACTGCTAACGAAGCCATTAAGACAGTTATCAATGAAACAGTTACCGACCGCCATCTTCCGTCATGTCGCGCTCGAACCAGTATGGGGGCTATTCTGCAGCAGGTAAAGAAACAATTCATTCACTCATTTTAAAGCAACTTTCATTTCCGCACACAGGACAACATTCTGTGCGTACTTCTATACCGTGTGTACGTGCACAGCTGCCTAATTCGATCAGCTGGCATTAAACGCTAAGGTGACACTGCATATTGTTAATGCAGCTGTCTTTTTGTAAAGTATAATGAGCGGGGATTTTGTATGCCCATTATGCACATATAAACTTCAATAATGCTCGCAAGAAAATTACACTCAATGGAGGGCGATAAATAATAACTCTTTGGAATTTCGGGGAAGCATTGATTACCATTCGAAACACATTTACATAAATTAAACAACGGTAAATAGCCATGGTGTCAGGCCAGGATCGACCAAAAGCTCAACGCAAGTGCATGTTTTTGTGTATCTTGCTACAATTTTAGCACCTTCCTTTAAATACCTTTAAATATAGGTATATAAATACGTGTACGTTGCTGAAAATTCTCTAAAACGACTGTCGCAACCACGCTTAATTTAATGATATTTAATAGACAAAAGAAAAACCTGCCCGAAGTTTTGTTCAGCATTGTGTATAAATTAATGCACAGCTAGATAACAGATAATAAGTATCTAAAGAAATTAAAAACCATACTCATCTCGCTTACAACTACTAATTGAATGCACTTTAAATATGTCGTTATTAGCTAGATCAAAATTATTATAATCTTTAGGCACTTTTGACCTTGTAGCCTTGCTTCGAAATTGCTATGCTTTGGAAATTTGCACGTAGTTTGCATAGTTTTGTATCTGACAATTAATGCTATGTACAGTTGACAGTACAAATACAGATATGTGCAACTGATATAATACCTTTTTGTATCCATATTACGCGGTCTTACTACTTTATTTTCCCACACATTTTCTTACTTCCCCCTTACAAAACAGCATTTTCCTAGGTTTTTAATCTTTAATAACGTTATTAGGCAATTCCCTTCGTGTTTCCCTGCATAGTGGAGAACAGCCTGATTTGCGCGGCCTTGTTGTTTGTTATGTGGCAAGGCTTAGGACTTCGTAAGAACAACAATACCAATCTCCCAAATCCGGACGGAAGTACCACATCCACACCTCTGTCGATAACGGGCAGAACCAAGCAACAGTATACTGTGGACTGCCGAGGCGCATCTAGAGGATTATTTGCCGGTATACTTGTGGTCATCATAACTATCATAAGGTGCGTAACCGCTGTGTAGGTTTCTTTGGTGCAGGTATCCCACTTTAAAATAAAACAGAATTCAGTTGTTTTGATTTTAAAGTACTGTAATACCATGCATTTTTTCAGTATTGCGCTATTTTTTGTTTGGGTGTGGAGGCCAGAGTTTTATGGACTTGCCGTTTATCAAGCATATTTGGTGGAGATATTTTTATATTCGGTTTCCCTTGCTGCTACTATAGTAGCTTTTGTGCAATTACGACCGCTAAAATTTGATCTGGAAGAAGGGTCTGTGTTGGATGATATCCTGCTCGTGATCTGCCAAATGGGAGTGTACTTTATCTCTGCCTTCGTACTCATATCCAGCCGGCATTCCTTGTTTAAAAACCCGACAAGAGAAGAATTTTGCGCAGCACTGGCAGCATTTCTAGAAATGACACAATCAACGCTCCAGACTCTCTTCATGCTGGATGCTACACGACGGCGACCTTTTCTGCATAAACATGTGCAAGAAAAACCGGGTCGTGAACTGGTGACCTTTTTGCTGGTGTGTAATTTCGCCATGTGGGGAGTCAATGTAATGGAAGCATGGCGCCAACAAATGTATCCTCAGCAGTTGCGATTTTATGGAACCTTTGCGGTATGCTTGTGCAGTATAGTTAACGCATTAAATAATTGCCCAGTTTAAAATAATGGTCACTTTGCTTCAGTGGACGTTGATCACGCATATCTCAATGCCGTTGATCATCTTCTACCGTTTCCATTCGAGGTAAGATCAACATAATTTAACAGGGACTGAAAAGGTCCATGTAAATTATGGATTTTAATTTCAGTGTATGCCTGTCCGAAGTTTGGAAAGCCGCTTACAAATTCAAACATCAGAACGGCCATATGCATGGTGGTCATGCGCACCACCAGATCGTCCACAGACAGATGTCGGTGTGATGTTGGGATTGGACATATTTCTGGATGTGGATTATTGGATAAAACATAGGCTTTGCAGTTACAGATTATACTGTATACGGATACGCCCTGTAGACATATCATTATTATACAACATCTAGACTTACAATGGAGCAAAAATCTCTAAAACAGAGCTGAAGCCTAATGTGAATACGGTTGTGATGTAATTCGCTTTGTACCAGAAAACGAATCAATTAAAATCCATGAAAGTGAAAGCATTGTCTAATGTACACAGGTCAAGCAGTACTGTAAAAAGCTGCACGGCCACAAAAATTCGAAGCGAAATTTGACTTTGTCAGCAAGTCTAATAATACGCATATCAGGCGGTACACGAGGGTAATCTTTACTTTCAAAATTAATGCACAAAATTTTCCAACGTGTCATCCATTTCGTGCAGCCATTTCGTATGGTGAATCCGGGCAGTAGTGTCGGTCATAACGGATCGATGTGTATGATCCCGATATTCCAAAACACCCTCCTTCTCCCGCTTGTGACGCTCCCAGTCTTCAAAGATCCGAATCATTCCGTCGATATCAAACTGCGGGTAATCGGTGGCGTCTAGCAAATCTCGCATATAATCAGCCTGAAAAAACATAAACACACCGGCATCTTTTTCGGCCTGTGTCCATGCCTGCTCCCTACCACTCCACTTTGCCATATCGTTTTCCCTCTCCTCCACCTTCGGTAATTTTATTTTACCCAGAATGACATCACGCGCATACCAGGCTTGCGCGTCAAACAGGGGGAAGGTGAACCACTGATTCTGCATACCGAGATAGATTGATTTGGTATTGTGGTGCCAGAAGATGCCTTTGTACAGTCCCAACGGATACCACACATTGGCGGTCTTCAAGCGAAGATGATCCGACAGGAAAGGGAAATGGTGCTGGTAGCCAGTGCACATGATAATCGCGTCCACATCTGCGCTGGATCCATCGACAAAGTACGCAGTTGCGTCTCGAAGTTCACGGAGGAGAGGCTTCTCGGTGATACCATCCGGCCATTTGAAGCCGAAAGGCCTGCTTCGGTAGCTGATAGTGACCGACTGGCAGCTATACTTGAAGCACTGAATCGCGATGTCTTCGGCAGAATAACTTCGGCCAATAATCAGAACACGCTTCCCAGCAAAGTCTGCTGCATTACGGAAATCGTGAGAATGCACTACTCGGCCTGGGAAGCTATCCATTCCTGAAAAGAATGGCATAATACAATGAATAGTGTCATTTTTGTTCCAACAAAATTTAAAAAAAACTTAGAACATTCTCGTATCACGTATGTATGCAGTATGTATATCAGTATCTAGTACTTATACTATATTATATGATTGCTATGGGCTATGGGTAAAATCTGTCGTACCTGGAAATTCCGGGTAATTTGGAATCGAAAAATGCCCAGTGGCTACCACCACCCAGTCAAACTGTTCGGTGTGCACAATATCGCTTTGTAAATCTTTGACAGTTACAGTAAATTTGTCGCTTTTGTCATCAAATTCCACCCAGCGGACGACGCTGTTAAACTGAATTTACTTTTGCATAACACCCTTTTTCACGCGACTAGTTATGTAATCCCGTAACACGGCGCGGGGCGGACAGGGCGGAATGGGTTTGCCGAAATGGTCGAGAAAAGTATAACCCGGTACAGGTAACTCCAGACATTCTATCGGTGACAGCGACCACAGACCTCTGTACATGCCAGAATGGACTGGCTCGCCGAACTCATCCAGTCCAGTGCGCCAAACGTAATTCCACAGGCCGCCACAGTCGCTCTGTTTTTCATAGCAAACGATTTCCGGTTTCTTTGCACCGGCGCGCTGTGCTTTCTCGAAAGCCCATAACGACGCGAGACCACTGGCACCGGCTCCAATTACAGCCATACTCGACGTCATGATATTGTTCGGGCAAATAAGAAAACCAAAATCTCTAATCATAAACTACGTATGTATCTACGTTCCGCATTCTCCGTGGCGTACACATACCGCACGCTGTACGATGTCCATTTCCGAAAGCATTTATTACCGAAATCCACATCGCACGTAAACACCATGGAGGCAATAATTAAAAGTTATTATTTTAGGATGCACCTTCAAATGTTGTTGTGATAGAACCGCTCTAAACAAAACTTTTTTCGCTTTACAATATTTATACGAGCATGTACAGTACAGTACGAGTAAAGTATTGCATACGTGATACGGTAGGCAACCCTCAACAGCAAAAGCGGCAAAAGATTACAAATATAGATATTTCTATATTTTCTGTTTTTCACATTGGGCTGATATCAGATTTCGGTTAAGTTTTTCCCTCCAGGCAACTTTTTGTTTTTTGACATTCTGCGCAGAAGGAGAGAAACAGAACCAGACTGTTTTAAAAGAACGGTTGTTTTCCTTTCGGTTTCTGCAGTGTTCATATGTGAGATAAGACCGCGCAAGTCTAAACAAAATAAGGAAACAGTTGTTGATTTCAAATGTACTGTCAGGCAGTGTCAGCTATAGAACATTACGCGTAGAAAAACACTTTTAAAATGATGCAAATGTTAAGCTGAGAGTTTTATTTTCGAAATATAATAATAACGAATCTCCTTACATAAATCAAACTTCAAAGTGACCAGAGGTGGTGTAAAATTAGCACTTTCTATAAATAATTATACGAGTAGTCGAGTAAGTATTTATAGCGCCCAGTTACAGTAGATTTTTACACTGTACATTTCTCACAGTGTTCGATTTTTCGATTTAACACAATACCAATAAATTTTTTGTTTGGTAATCGATGATTCGATGTCCAGCTTTCCTTTCAGTTGTCAGTTTATTAGGTACAGTACTTTTATGGGAGCTCACAAGTCAGTCGAATGTTTTCTACGGCATTTTTCGGTAGCACTGTACTTGACTGCGGTCCACAAGCTGCGGTTTTAACCGTCGACCGCTTTCCATCGAACTTATCCATCAGCTTTCCCCCGCGCCTCGTAGCGGTCTGTCACGTTTGCTTGACCCCTCCCCCCTGGTTCGTTAAATCGTAATACATGCAGGTGACCAACCCTCCCCCCTGGGTTCGCCGAGGCGTCACAGCTTGTCACGTTTTTTGGACCCCTCACTCTCTTGTTCGCTGCGTACGTAGTTTATGGATCGCCCTTTACTACAGCCGATAGCGTGAAAATCGTGCCTTCCCAAATCGCAAAATCAAAGCAGTGTTCAGTCTGTGACTTTGCAAACTTTTAAACAGCCATTTTTCCTAGATACGGTATTACAGTGTGTGTATATTAACCCACTCTGAACCGGAACCGATCTATTGCCCGTGCTTCGTACTCGTAAACTGCATGCTCGTACTTTCCATCGCCCTGCCCATCGGGTTTCTGATTGGATCGTAATAAAACCTCACCAATAAGATAGCAAATTTAATGCTCTTTCTAATGGTGTATGGTTAGCCCGAAATACCGCTAAGCCGAACCGTGCAAAGTGTCGTAGACCCTGCTACACATTGCGAAATCCAGCGTTCTTCTGTATTTATCTTTCGAATCGCTGGCTTAAAGTAGAAGTAAACCAAGTTTAAATGATCTTTAATATTAAGTTCTTCAATTTTTTTTCAAGCTTTTTGGAGAGAAATTCCCGAGTTCTTCCGAATCTTCGAAATCGTGACCCACCATTTGAACGTTGTGTTTCTCGGTTAGGTTCTCGAACCATGGCATACTGGCAGACTGCTTTTTACTGTCTCTGCCTGAGCTAAAACGTTAAAATTAGGTTTAAACTTTTATAAAACTGCAGGTGTCTAGCAAATAAAGCTTCTTCTGAATTTTGGGAAGTGGCCAAAGATGACCTAAAATCGTCTGAAAGTTAATAAGTGACGTTAGGGCTACCGCACACCGGGATAAGCTCAAACGGAAGTGAGTTCTAATGGTGCTACTGGCAGTGTGCATTCGGTTACTTTTCTGTTTGGCACGGCTAAATTTAGTGCTTGCCCATAGACCCTATGCTATAGCGTGTATTGGTAGTTTTATCACTTTTGCATCAAATTCGTTATGTTTTCTTGTATTTAGAAGATTCTGAAAAATTCTAGATTTTTTTCTCTACAAAACTCATACACATACGCCCAGAATTACCAAGCTTGCCAAAAGTGGCTTTTCCCTAATACCGTATCTAATTTTTCCTCCTTGCGCTTTGTGACTTTTCAACTCAAAGATTCGAAAATTTGCTTTCCTTTTGTTATTCAGGAAAGGATAATAATTTCTTCGGTGCATCGGTTTGCAGGTGGTTTTGGGATTTCCCATTTCGTATTGGCTTGACTTGCAGAAAACGGTAAGAGTGCGTCTGCGACCTGAGAGTGTGAAAGCTATCTGCTTTAGTAGGTTTTCGTGCTGTTGTCCGGGGTCCGGGTTCTGAAATTTGCTGGTTTTCCATGGAATAGGAAAATATCCTAATTTATTTATGAATGCATAGCTGATTGTGTAAATCATATAGAAGAGTGTAATGAAACATTTGTCATTTGCTTGGTTTTTCGAGCGCAGCATTTGGAAAGTTTGGTTCGATAACAGTAAAAAACAGGGAATTTGTGAGTTATTTCGGTATATTTATATCCCTTTCGACCGTGTATTGTGCAGAAGTTTTCCACCTTTAAAGGGATTCGTGATCGCTGAGTTTTTGTGGTTTGTTGAGATTCAGTGTGTAATTTGGTTACGTACATAATCGTGTGCCAGGATTGTAGATGTGCTTGACAAGTCACAAGTGCTAGCGTTATCGCTTACACGTGGCAAGCCACTACACTGTGAGTGTGTGACTGCAGCACGTTTTTTGTGATTACGTAAGCAGCGTAAACCAGTTCTCGCTAGTTATAAGTTACAAGAGTCATCTTCGGCTTCGCCTCAGATGCTCTTGTGGTCTACAGTCATTTCCTTGAAAAATAATTCTTATTCGTTTATTTTTGAAGCCTGGTTTAGTGTATGTTTTTACATTGTATGATTGTATGACTGTATGATTGTATGACTGTTCATTACTTCAGTTAGCTTAATCTAATCAGGAAACATCATTACATAGCTGATCGGTTCATTTTATGTGAAGCAAAATGGTTAGTAACACGACTAATAATCGGAGAGCGGTCAGCGGTGCTAAGTTTCTAATAATTCTGCTTCGCTACTTCTTAATAACTGATCGATCGTTTTTGATCGAGTACAATAATATCCTTTGTTCAGTAACCAGTAGGTTTGATCGGTAAATACAGTAGTGTGAATTTTTGGAAAATTCCATTCATTCAGTCGGCAGCAAGGAGTTTGTAGTGATAACGAGCAACAGAGATCACGTTGTCCTAATCACCGAACATTAGTAACCGCAACGGCGGGTCCATAATTTCCGTTTACGCAGCAGCCCGGATTAATGGTCCTTAAACACTGATATGACCTGTGGGTTGGCTCTTTCTGAATTTCGATTGTTTCCGGATAACTGTTTCCAAAAACGTTTTTGACAGAGATTTTAAGCATCTAATGGCGTTTGCATTTAAGTTCACGGGATGTCGTTCTACCCGGTACTAGGTAGTCAAACCGTTCTACCCGGTACTAGGTAGTCAAAAATTTTTGTTTATTGGCAATGGCCACCAACAAAACAAAAACTAGCCCTCGCGGTCACACTGTTTGTGGTAGGGGGTGGTAAGGCCGGTGGTAATTGAGGATCTCGGACCATGGCGACCATTCCTTTTATTCAGTAGGATTGGTCGGCGGATAGACATGCCAGCTTCTGCACAATTCTGTTCGTTTGACAGCTGGAGCATTAGCGTTCTGCTGGACAATGATAACGGTTCTGCTCTTATCTGCTCTAAGCCAGTAACGCTAAGATAATATCCCTTCCCTGAAACTTCAGCTTCCATTCACTCTACAGGCCTGATCGACGGTCAGTATGTTTCCTGTAACTCAGTAGGTCTGGTTAGTGGATAGTGTTACTAGTACCTTTGTGCGGTACTGTTCATTCGACAGCTCAAGAACTTTGTTAGCATCGAACAGTGGGTACTGGGCAAGGGTTCCGTTGGGTTCCGTTCTCATATGCCGGTCTGGTCCGTGAGCTTTTCATTGTATAGGAAAACTAACGGTCAGTAAACTTTCGCTTGCAAACTATGGTTAGACACTGCCTGTTTTCTCACTACCACCGAGTGGACGAAGTGCGATTTCGCCTCTACGTAATATGTAAAGGAACTATGCAGGTAAATATGTATAATCTCAAATATCCCAAATTTGCATGAAGACGCGTGAGTACAGTATGAGTAATAAGATCGTTTTACACCGAAACCACTTTTTTGGTACTTAATTTAATTGTAAATTTTATGGTTATTGTAGATCTAAGTGTTTTGTAATGCACAGAGAACAATGTATGAGTACGTGGAAAAGCTAAAAAGTTCCAGTGCAAAAGCGCTTTCCGGTTCCGAAAACCAGGAAAAAATTTCTTCGCTTTAGAGCATTTTGTTGAAACGTGACAAAGTTGAAAATTTTTCGAAGTTTAATTGGAAGTACAGTTTTTTTTATTACAGTTTTTTTTTGCACTACATACTTGCATTTGAGTATTAGCTGCTCCACGCAACAGTGTTTTGTGTAAAAGGTCTTTCAAGGTCACCTTGAACTGATGCCTGTACCGGTACCGGCATCCGAGTGGTCTAGGGCAGATGTTTTTGAAAACAAAATGCATGTGGGACCCTTTTGGGACATGCTGAGTTTAATGGTGAAATCGGTTTTTTAATTTGCTTAGCGGTTTTTTCAAGCCAAGTTCCACGGGGCGGCCGATCATAATATAGATCTATTTCCTTGATAACTGATCAGACTATTTGTTGCGCTTTGGGTACGAGGAGGAGTCAAGCATCTTCGGTAGCGCGTTCGAATGTCAAGACTCTTTGAACACTGTGCGACGGCATGATTCTCTTAACAGCCAACCGTGGAAGGTTGCCCATCTAAGTGCAATGTGACCGTCACCCGTGAATGAGTGCTATGATTGACAGTGGCCAAGTTAAATGTGGACTGCCAGCCTTCCGCAGTTCGCTGTTAAGTGAATCATGCTATTGCACACTCAACGCACAGTGTTCAAAGAGTCTTGACATTCGAACGCGCTACCGAAGATGCTTTACTCCTCCTCGTATTCGACTCTTGTTTACGAGGGATATGCTTGCATGCCTTTCTTTGCAGGGATGGAGCCGAATCCTGGACATAATCAACAGGGTAACCACAACGGTGAGGAAGCACAGGCGCACCATGGTGATTTACATCTTGGTAAGCTAATTGGCATTTGTACTTCACTTCAGTCACGTTTTTTCCGCTTTCTTCGAAATTGATGTTCATGCACGTCTATCAAAAGTACTTGCTTGTGAAAGATGCATTACCAAAACCGGGCTTTGCTTTTGTTGGAGAATGTGTTGCGTTGCATGTGAATGTGTTGTGAGTTAGCGCGTAGCAGACCTGGACAGTTATGCAAAATTAACGTACCGTTAGCGTTACGTTTTACATGGAACATTTCTGCAAGTAAACTGACTAGGGAACATTTTCCCCTTCCAAATTCAAAAAATTCTCATGTTTTGTAAAATGGTAGTGTCTATTGACTATTGTAGTATGCTCAAAAAGATATTTTTATCTGCGATCGTCAAAGGGGCGTGGCCAGACAACAGTTAAAAGTTTGCATGCTATCACATACTACTGTGTAATGCAATGCAGCGCAAGTGTTATTCGTAATTATTATTATGTTAACTTTTTTTTACTGCACACCGTGGACTTTTGGAGCTGTCGAGTAATGATGTAAAAGAAGCCCACGTGCGTCGTGTCGCACCGTTGCTGTCTGTGTGCACACACATCAATTTGTTGTATACAATAAGTTGTGCAAAAAAGCATTTTTCTACTAATAAACAATACGTGCTTTATAACAAATTTTCGAAAATGTACACAAAGGCAGGCCCGAGCCGACGCCCGTTGGCTTCTTATACATCATTACTCGACAGCTGCAAAAGTCCACGGTGCTGGAAAAAAAGTCAACATACTGTAATAATTACGAATAACCAAGTACTTACTACAGTGTTAATATCTATATACTTACTATAGTGTATAGTATATCTAATACAGGTAGACTACCTGTATTAAGTTCTTGGAATAACTTATACTGCACTGCATTACACAGTATTTGATAGTACTGTATGCAAACTTTTAAATGTTGTCTGACCACGCCCCCTTGACGATGGCAGATAAAAATATTTTTTTAAGCATACCACAATAGTACACCACAATTTTACAAAACATGACGATTTTTTGAATTTGGAGGGGGAAAATGTTCCCGGGTGAGTTTCGCATTTTTTACGCGCTACGTTACAGTTGTTAACGAAAAATACAGGTATCTTCAGTAGCGTTACGCTTTTCAAGTTACGCTTTAACGTTACGCTGTAACACGAAAATAGCACGTGTTTCGCTAAATCGTTGGAAATAGCTTCCTAGGTGACCAGGTCTGGTGCGCATCTGTGTGGCGTGATAATTTCCAAAATTTCATTTGATCGCATGGGTCAATTTACATTCACATCCAGCAGTACATTCACAATAATAGCTTCTATACATGTCATGGATGGTGCCTGTTTACTGTTAGTACTGTACCTAACTTTACCTGCTCTGCAGATGTAACGGCTAACCTTGAATATCAGTTGGTTTAAAAAAATTAGAATAAAATAAACTATATGCTAACTGTATGCTTCTAGTAGCAGAATGAAATAAGGCATAGAAGTATTCCAAAGAATCTAAACACGGCATGCCGCATGAAATCAAAACACAACCGGTTCCTTTTGCTTGTGAGCACAGAGTAACGTTGAGTGTGCATCCAGAATTCATCTTTTTTCTTGCATGTTTTCAACATTATAAATCAGCTATGCTTTGCTGTGTGTCTTAACTGTGTCTGAAACCTGAATTAAAAAATATAGCAGTCAAACTAAAAAATCTACTGGAAATACATCTGAAATTTGATTTCTGTTGGCGCGATTCTGTTTTCACAGTTTTTGCTGGACAGTGATGTCGTCAAATCTCCCTTCATCGGCCTGAGTTTCCTTTTACACGAGAGCAGCGGATCCAGAATGTGACAGTTAACTCTGCATTTCTCCAAAATTCTCGACTTTGTCTTTGCATTTCCGCCCATTACAGTTTCATTGGTTCGACTGCCTTATTGATATATTTATATTCCGCAACGTAATTAATCGATCTATTAATCATCCTGATCTGGCCAAAGGTTCCGTGCATCACACATTATTATCGATGTTCCAAAAATGTCGATACGGTAAATTTCATAATTTGACAATGACGCCAACTGGTTCACTTTTAACTTTATGGCCATGTGTCTTTTATAGCAAAGTTTCAAGAAGATCGGGTAATAAGCAGACTTTTGGTACACAACAATGCATTTAACTTTTCACCCATTTTAGTGCGCCATATCCCGGATGTTGCGCGCGCCAACGGTTTTCAGAACAATGTATACAAATCGTTTAGCTTTAGAATGATATAAAGTGTTACAAAAACGTGATTCGAAGTGCGCGAAAACGAAAGGTCTAGTGTGTGTATACCATTTCTGACGCTATGTACCGGGCCATTTTCCTTGACAATTTAACGGTTGCGCAACGGCGTTTGGGAATTGGCGTATGCGCGCCGTGACTGTCTAATGTACATTCATATAATTCAGTTTAATTAATTTCGTGGTTGATTAAGTTTGTCATTATAGTTAACGAGTGGCATTATGAATAGTAAAATAATGTGGGAAAAGGGTTGAATAGGTTTGGGAGCGGAAAATGCAAATACTGAAAAAACCTTTGGAATGCCCTTTGTATACGTCTATGGTACAACCGGTGCGATGTAACAGTATTACTATTTTTCAAATACAATAGCCAAACCTTTATTCGGCTTAAGCTGAATGGAAATTTGCTGTTATGAAATTCTTAGTTAATATTGAATCTGGGATATCGTTTTAAAACAAACGGACTACAAAGGACGCTCCGAAAGTAATTTTCCCTATTTTGCCTCCCTGCCATTTGAAGTAATAGATATGTGATGTATCTTTTGTTGTATAAGCAATTATATAAACTACTTAGAGAAATTAGAAGCAAAAAATTCATTGAAGAACTGGGAAAAGCGTTAAACAGAATAGCCATAACTTCAAGTTGTACCAACAACAATAGAGTTTTATAAGAAGTTTTCGATTTTTTACCGTCTGGCACCTTGAGCAGCTTTGTGGTTTTTCCACCTAGTTATCGAGAGTTAATTTTCTAGAAAAGCATCATGAAGAAGTTACTTGTGTAAGTAGTGTCGTACTTGGAATTAGGAGAGAAAAGAATTCCAAATTTGATTATATTTTGTGCTTTACGAAAACTCTGCAGGAAGACCAAGAGAAATACCAAAAACTGTTAGGGTAGGTAAAACCCGTGGCGAAGTGCCGCAAACTTTGAACGGCTTTCTCAGCAGTTTTTCTCCCTTTGATTGTGGTTAGGTAAAGAAGTTATATTTTACTCCTGTACGTTAATGAAAGACGTTTCTAAAAATATAGTTCATAAGCACTAAAAGCGTTCAAGCAGGGAGACACAAAGTAGGAAAATTTACTTTTGGAGCGTTCTCTGTACAACCTGGCTATGGTCAGTTAACATGGATTGTTATTACTAATAAAACAATGCTACTTTTCAGATTTGGGGAATGCGGCCCCCGCTCCGGTTAACCTGCAAGCCGATGTCCCCCACCTGCAGCACCTCCTAGCCAACGGGGAACAGGCGTTTTTCGCCCTGAATGTGGCGTTGGCGACGTCCGAAACTCGTCGGGGGGAACTGAGGAAACAACTGGAGCAAATAGAAGACCGGGTTTACGATGCGGAGCAGCGCGCCTCCTTCGAAGAAGAAGGTCGGGTGGAGGCGGAGCGTTCGGCTGGGGAAGAGCGTAGCGGTCGGATGGATGCGGAACGTTTGGCGGCGGAAGAGCGCGCTCGTCGATTGGCCACGGAGGAAGAGCTGACAGAACTGCGCGCCGCCATGCGGGACAGAAAGTAAGCAAAGAAAGGAAATGTAACTGTTGCGAACAAATACTTAGTCTTAGTGAACGATGGAATTACTAATTAAACTATTCGCATTTCAACTACAGTTCTTTTTACAAAGAACGTACCAAAAGTAAGATTCCCTGTTTTGCCTTCGTGCCATCTGAAGTAAGACGCAACTAATAGATTTTTGTTACATAAGCAGTTGTGTAAACTACCCAGGAAAATTAGAATCAAATAGTTTGATGAAAAAAGAAAGAAAGGACAAATAGAATCGATTGTATCACTTCTTCGGTTTTTCCTTATTCATTCTTGTGTCACTTCCACCGCAGTCCAATTTGCGACAATAAATTAAGGGTTAATAGCAAATAGTGTGCTTAATATTTCTGTGGTGGCAGACCATCTTGGAAATTCAGGTGTTTGGAAAAAATTCCCTTCTTAATCAACCTGCTCGATTCTTTGCATCAATGAAAAGAACATTTTATGGCTAGTTATGCGCATCTGAGATACCAACGGGCTTCACGCTACACCGGGAACAATAACTTCTTTCATGAAAGTTTGAATTTTTGCCGTGTGAAAGTAGGGCAGCTTTGTGGTTTTTGCACCTAGCCAGCGATAGCTTTGTTTCCCAGAAAACACTATGAACAGTTTCTGTTGTTTATTAATCGAGATTAGAAGAGAGAATGCTTAACTGTTAGACGCTTTGTACGTTAGAAAACGGTAACAACATGTCTGAGAAAAATTACAAAAACTCTCAAGGTAAAATCCGTGGAAAAGTGGTTGATGGGTTTTTTTGGCATTCTTCTCCCTGCGGTAGTTTTTAGACTAAGGTATACAGTATTTTACTTTGGTTCCTTAGTGAAGGACATTTATATTTGTATGGATAGTAAAAGCTAAGACATTATGCTGGGAGATACAAAACAGGGAAACTTACTTTCGGTACGTCCTTTGAACTACTTTTTACTTTCAGACTGCGGCAGCCCTTCTGCTGCTGCTAACGTTTCCGTCTGGCGCCTTACTTGCTTTTTACTTCATTAGTAAAATCCAAAAACGGCTTGATAACCAGTGCTCGCTTTCCCCTCCGCAAAATTTCGTGTTTTGTTTCATAAATAGTATGCACTATGCACTGGGGATAAGTAAATAGTACGTATCTTCATCGGGAGTGGTATATGTACATAATATATATATATAAATGTGGACAGTGTTTTAATGGTTCAGTGCATTTATTTCAATAGCTCGATAACAGTATCATGTCTAGTTACGATTAAACAACATAATTGGACAGTGTTTAATTTTTATGAAAGTTTTCGCGTATTTTTGAACCGTAGATACCGAGTATTGTTGAATCAAGAAGTGCAATCCTGAAAATGATACCGAAACTCGGCGAGCTTTTCTAAAATTTTATGTTGTAAATTGTTAGGCCAGTTGGAAAAATACTGTGTAGTGTGTACTGAGACAGTATGCTTACCACTGAAGTCGAAATCAGCGCACATGTACCAAGATATGAGATTTACATCAGTAAGTAGAAAAAAATGTGCAGTATTTTAATAGATATTTTATTTTCCGGTAAGTTTCACTGTATTTGTGTAATAAAAATCGTCTAAAGTAAATTAATAATCGTCTAAAGTATGGGAGAACGTTCGGTGACGTCTGCGCGCGCACATTGACGATGCCGCCCATCGCACAGTGCACACCTGCGATACGGATCTCCTCTAATTTGGATCGCGGATATGCTGCATCTCATGGTTATGGACTTATCAGTTGGCAGATTATATACGGATTCAGTGTGAGCTGAAGTGAAGTCAGCTGTATCTTCCGAGCATTGAACGGCGTAATTTTTGTTTATAGTTCTACGAGCCAAAAAAAAAACTGTTGAAAGAATTTTAGATTTAAAAATCATGAAAATAATCGTAATGTGTCGGCGCCCTGTGTAAAACGAAATTGAAGCTAATAAGAATTATCCTTTTATCGCTAACGCAGCTGCCGTACAGGCAGGCCAGAGCTCTCGATCGGAGTGGAGACCGGTATCTCATGGTCAGGTGCGTGTGGGCGGCATCTTTGATGTGCGCGCTTAGATGTCACTGAACGTTCTCCCATACTTCTTAGATGGTTAATACACAAAAATAGTAATACTTTTCGGATAATAAGAAATTTATTAAAATACTGCACGTTTTATTCTGCTAGATGATGTAACTCTCATATTTTGGTGAATATGCGCTGATTTCGACTTTGCTGGTTAGTGCTGTATCGTGTAATCATTTAATTTTTTATAAAAGATAATTTGTTTTGAATTTGGAGTCTCCCCAATGTGCCATGGTACGTAGAACTACAATAACTATGTTCTTGCTTTGCGGACAGCTCCAGCAGTCCCCCGGTGGCGTTGCTCATCGGCGGAGTAGTGGGATTTGTGGTTGGATTCTTCTTGTGGAAGCGCAACCAATAAAGTACAGTACATACATCGGATCGGATAAGCTTACTGTATTCGCTCGCACATCTTGGACCACAGAGTGTGTGTACGGGAAAAACGCGCATTCAATATACACACTCTAACCGGGCCAAACGCGCGATTCGCGATTTGATAAATTTCTGATGTCTTACAACATCTGGACTGGAGAACTTCTTGAATAATGAAAAAAATTAGAGCTCTAACAATTTTTATCATGTTTAGGCTCGAAAGCAGCCATTAACATACAGCTTTGGCGTAAGCACGAGTTACAAACGGATTTTGTTGTGGTTTTTGGGGTGCCCCTGGAGGGGGAGGGGTACGTTCCGCGTCAACATTCTTGATGGCGATGAACCACCGAACAATGCGAGCTTTCAGCTACAGAACCTTTTTTTTCCAGAGTGAATTGCCATTTAAATGAAAAGACTTGATTTAATAAACAAAAATTCACAAGAAGAACTGTTCATCTTGAAACCAAATGAGGAATATTTCGTAGTCGTGCATTTTGCCCGGTTAGAGTGTGTATATTGAATGCGTGTTTTTCCCGTACACGGACTCTGTGGTTCAAGATGTGCGAGCGGATACAGTACATTAATTGTAGTAAAAACTTTTGCATTTTTCAGTAGACATTGTATTTATTTTAATTTCCCTTGACAGTAATTTTGATTATCAACTTTGCTTACCTTGACTGTTTTTTCTTCTCTAGTTTGACCTTGATTACCTGCGTATCACTGGATTGATTGGGATTTCCTGGATGTTTTCTGCGGCCTTTATTTATGTTATTATGTTCATGGGATGAGGGTGGAAGGTTCGTGAGTGGTGTGCGGCTTCGTCGTTTTTGATGTACGTTTTTTGCATGCTGGAGCAGTAAACCAATTTATCGGTTTTTATTTTATCGCCTGTAACGTTCTCAGTTTTTGAGTGATAACCCTTCATGATTGTGGAACATACGGCACATCTGTAAAATTGTTGTTTTGGACGCGGCGAGTTTTTCTCCAAGGCGATCGATCTCGTTGTGGAAGAGTACAGTTACAGCTTGAATGTCAGCTGCTGCATTGAGCATTGCTCGTAGTACTGTATTGCTTTTTCTCCTGATTTGAGCACATTCCATTTTATAGTTTTTTGAGTGGGATTTTAAGCATTATGCTGGAACGAAATAAAACTCAGTTGCCGCAAAGTCTGATGCCCTAGCAACGCTCCGGTCTGCCAAAATGCACGCCAACGTGCATTTTCTAACGAAGCTTCATGCAATGTGAAACCAAAATCAGACAAAAAATCTGTGCACAACCAATACACAGAACCCATGCATGTCCTGTACAAAGCTGAACAATTCAATATTAAGTAAATTATCCAACTGCGCCAAAGGGCAGTAAAGGGGCTCTTTGAGCAAGCTTTCCATTCTTCTCGCTTTCGACGTGAAAATATTCAAAACTGTGTGTGCAGGAAAAAACCGCCAGGATTCCAGGGTGGGTTAATCGGCGAGATTCACGGTGAAGAATAAACAAAAACCGCTACAACAGTGCTTCTGCTCTGTATATGAAGGCGCCACGGCATTCCCCAGGTCCGCGATGAACCAGGATTAATGAAGAAGAAAAATATATACAACTCCTTCTGCGATACAAAGCCCATCCATCCATCAATCATCCAGTTGCAGCACACGGGAATATATCATCAAATTAAAATTAACAGTTTAATGCCACTAATCAGGCCGAAATCAGGATGGCAGATGCGCAGCAACGGCCGCCACTAATGCCACACCCTTTCCACTGCCGTCTTTCGAAAGCATAACATTTATGGCGTACCAAGCGATTCACACCCGTAGAACTTAAAAGTCGCGAAACGTAAAACTTAAAAGGCAAAACTAAAAACCGTAAAACTTAAATCTAAATCATTGAACTGTAAACCATGAAATGTGAAATCGTGGTTTTCGTGGACACTTTTCAGAATTCCATTTCCGCATGCCGATTCGATTGTATTCAATGGAATCCATGAAATTATTGGAAGTTTGCTCCAGTATTAAATTTCAGTTAGGTGCAATTTCCATTAAATCTAATGAAAATTCCAGCACGCAAAACGAAAATTCCAAAATCAAGGCCGAATTCCAATAATTACGTAGGATTCCAACAAAATAAATGGAATTGGTATTGTGGAAATGAATTTCGAAAAGTGAAAAGGCGAAGTACGTTTCATGGTTTACAGTTCAAAATTTACAGATTTAAGTTTTACGTTTTAAGTTTTGAAGTTTACGGTTTTGAGTTTCAAGTTTACGTTTCAAGTTTCACGTATATTAATGTGAACAGAAGCAGCATAATAAGCTGCCAGTATGACTGTGAAGAGCTGAGTGAATAAATGACTTTATGAAGACGTGACAATTCTGAGTTTCACGTTTCAAGTTTTATGGTTTTGGGTTTTAAGTTTTGCGTTTTAAGTTAAGTTTTACGGTTTAAGTTTTACGTTGTAAGTACTACGGGTGTGAGTCGTTTGGTACGCCATAAATATTGAACTAAGAAAAGCAAAAACATTCCAGGTAAGCAAACTTCAACGTCGAAATCAAAATTTCGTTGTACTGTGTACAATATCGCAGATGTAAAATAAACGCAATGTATACTGTAAACTGTAAGTATGTTTTTTATGTTTTATATACTAGAACTTTTCCATTAGCAAACTGTCAACTCAAAACGTTTCTGTGAAAAAGCAGAACAGACAAGCAGCTCCAGCTGTTAGCTTAGCAGCCTAAGCCTAAGGGTGCGTCTCCAATTCGAAGCGAATCTAGCTTTGGTACCGTTGCTCAACCGCACGAGGTGGCTGTATGCAGTGGCCACGCCTACAGATACGGTACGCGAAGCCACCTCGCGAGGTGGAGTTGCTGTATCGCAACAAGATTCGCTTCGAATTCGGGACGAGGCCTAAGTTTTTGTACTTTGTACAGTGAGTGCACAATAATATTGTGCAGAAGTGGCGTTTATTTATTTGATTTGTTATTTATTATTGATCATCTGAAGATCTCAGAGTGATACATGCGTAGTTCATGCCACAGTGGACCATCTGAAGTTATAACTTTGTTCACTCGCATTAAATTTTATATGGTGAAATGTGACATTATGACAAAATAAATGCTTCTCTGTTTTCTTCAGGTAACGCACTAGGAGCCCTCAGGAAGCTAACATAGCCGCCTATGACAAATCCTCCATAGGCGGCTATGCTAGCCGTACAGGCTAGCAGTGCATAACCCTGAAAGAAAAACATAAAAAAAATTATTTTGTCTAATACTGTGTATTATTCTGCATTTTTCAAGACTATACATAAAAATTTAAAGCAGGAATGAACAAAGTTATGAATTTTCAAAGATTTACGTTAAAGCAGCCAGTGGCATGGGCCACCGCACGCGTGCTCCTGTTACGTTGTCACTTAACAACTGGAGGGTCCACAGATGGTGCAATGGCTGTAAAATCACGAATAAAATCAAGTAAGACGCCACTTCTCACTTCTGCACAATATTGACGGGAATGCGAAAACAAGCTGCTGTCTGCGGCAAGTTTCAAGTTGCAGCGTTAATTCAGTATCCGCCCAGCTTGTCCAAAGCAGCTTCAATTTTGTAAAAGCAGGAAATTCTACTTAAAAAAAGACATGTGCGTACGAGAACAGCAAAAGGAATCTGCACGGTAAAGTTGTAAATTCAAACGGCGATATTCGTAACTGCAAGACGAAGGTAGCTGAGCAATGACACAAACATAATCTGAATTTCGGACATATTCGGCAACAACCCCCAGCTCTCATACTTTAAAAACGATGTTGCCAAATTTAAAGATTTGGCAACATCACAAGCTGCCTGCCAGAGCCATGCTGCCGAGCACGGCAAGATTCCAAACGGGACGAAAAAGGCTAGCCAATCACAATCGTTCAGTGACGTCATGAATTTTTAATTTTCGCCGACAGCATCAAAAACATTTATCGCCAGCAGCACGCCCTGAGTTTTCGCATTCGCATCATTATTGTGCACTCGTACAGTGAGCAAAATGCTAACGAAAATGCAAGCGATTTACATTTTGTTCAATTCATCCGGGCCGAATTTTCTGATGAGTCGTGCAAGCTTAGGCCCTAAAAAGGCTCGCCCAGAACAATGGGTCTTTAAATTTTGGCAATAAAAGTAAAAGTCCCAGATCTCTCCTTGATGTCCGTGTTAAGTGTTTCGCAAGTACGGACGATTTAACAACTCCAATCGGGAACTTTTCTTGTTGTTTTATTGTTGTGAGGCTGCACTAATCCTGCGATCAGTCAGCGCTCCGATAATGTCGGCCTCAACCAAACGAAAATTGGTAGCCCAGGAGTTCTTGGGAGAACTCGTTCTACCCGATGCAACGAAGCAGCAGGAAATCGTTCAGGTGATTGATTAAGTTGTGTTACCCAGCTTTAATTCAGTGGGATCTTTGTACCAAAACGAGAGTTGTCGGGTTATTTTTATTTATTTTTGTGCGCTTTTGTGATCGGTGATTCTCTTCATCAGGTGATAGGTTCTCGCGGAAACAATCTGCACGAAATTCAGAATGCTGCTGGAGAACGATTTTTAGCCAGCATGCCAACGAAATTCCGGAAAAACATATGGATTAAACGAGGTTTGTGTGAAATGTTAATAGTCGTTTCAGTGAAATTTTTTGGTAGCGAAGTTGCGAAAATTTCTGATGGAGCGGTGTTCACGTAATGATAACTCATACAGTTGGTTGTTTTTTAAACAGGCGATTTTGTACTTGTGGAACCGATTGCAGAGGGCGATCGCGTTAAAGCTGAAATTATAAACATATTACGGACCAAGGAGCAGCTGTGTCATATTAAAGCGAACGGATGCTGGTAAATGCCCAATACTGTTCCTGGGCATTCACGAGATTAATATAAATTATAAACGCTGGTCATGATAGTAGAATCGTTCTCATTATGGATTAATCGGATATGACACTAGCGTTTTTGATAAAGCTCATGTTCGAGGAAAATTGTTATTTGTTGTTGTTATTTGACTCCGTTGGAATTGATCGTGAAATGGTAACTGTGGTTAAACGCTTTAGGCCGTCCGCGTTTGAGCAACCCGTGAAAAACAGTCCCGAAGCTGATCGCGTTGATCCTTCCCCGGCTGCCGAAGACAGTCCGGATGATGATGGAAGTGACATGTCGGATTTGTCGCCTAATATGAATAGAAGACCCCTGCATTCCTACGATTCTGACAAAGAGGATACGTCGGAAGAAAGCGACTGATGGTTGTACTTGTACGGGGCATGTAAATTGGATTGTTTCCTACTTCTTCCTGGGATGTCAACCATACCAGCAGACTCAGCAGTACACCTGTAAGCCGAATACTTAGATGCATGTGCATTCCTTTTCAGCAGTACTTAACAGCTGTGACATTCAATGGCTCACGTAATACTAACTCACAAATGTCACAATGGAAGGAATGCAGGAATTTTCCCTTCTGGTTTTCCGCTGTGATATGCAACTATAGATACTGCAATCAATAGTGCATCCATATCAAGGTTGTTTTTCTTACTTTTTGACAAGTGGGTTCTTCCGCATTTTGTGAACATAAATAATTAAATTATTTTTGGCGAACTGGTACGAAATAAATCAAACAAGGTATTAAACAACAGACAGACATCTGTAAGCGGAGAAATGGTAGTTTAAAAGGAAAATCAAAACAAGCAATAGTTTACTGTGACAGGAAAAACCGAAAAAAAATATAAAAATTCTCGTGTAAGCCCCACACGTTAAGCTTCTCCATTCCCAAGACGCGGATAGATTCCTGACTTGGACGGTGGAATAAGATGTGCCGGAAGTTCTGCAGGAAGCTCATTTCCTTCCAGTTTGATACGGATTAAATGATTAGCCAGCGCCCACTCTTCAATGTCCAGCATTCCATCTTTATCCACATCCGACAACTTCCATATCTTGCCTAATACGGAGTTAGGGAGCTTGGACTTAATCATTTCACCCTTGGCCGCAGCTCCCGTAATTTTCCCATCAACCGGATTGAGCATATAGAACACTTCGTCATATTTGTACTTGTCTTTGTTGACAATCCATTCCGGTGCATCCTGACCGGCGTTCGCTCCCTCACCGTAGCCCACTCCGAATGGAGATTTCGTCAGTCCATCAAAGGCACCTCCCTTGACGGCTGGTTCTGTCGGCTGACGGGATTCTTCCAGACTGATCATGTTCATCAGACCGGATATCTCCTCAGCCAGCATTCGGTCAACATTGCGAATTAGCTTGGGATTTAACTGGTGAAACTTTGTGAAGTCCTGATCACGAAGAGCTTCCTGCATTTTCTGCAGATTAGGGAAATCACCCGGGGAAATGTTGTGCTCTTTGTGAATTTGGGTGTAAACTTGAGCCAAATTGTCAATGAGTTCTTTCTTTTTGCTGTCTTTGCCGAAAACCGCTGGCATTTCTTTGCGCAGCGCGCTGATGATGTAGGCATGCACCTGCAAGCAAACATTTTCTTCGCGTTAGTTTTACGTTTCTGTATTGTCCACATCGTGTACTCTTGAAAACTGAGCGCCAAGGTACCCACTGCGTGTACAAACGCACAGCTAAGCAAAGTGAAGCCGACAACATAAAAACAGCAACAAAATAATACTGGAACAAAATTGAATAAAGCACTTTTTGAATTGACAATTACTTACGTTAAGGTAAAGTACAAAGTCCACTAGGTTACCAACAATACTCTAACCCTTATTGCAAGCACAACTCTTGTGTAGAAATCAGTAGAATTATGTGCTTAGTACAATAGACTGTGTAAGATAAAATTCCACACAGACTATTTCTTACTTACAATCAGCAGAACAACCCCAATCATACGGTATCTACGAACCTTTGCAAGGCGTGCCCGTTTTATCAAATCATTCAGTTTTCTCAAAGCGGCATTTCTTGGTAGACTCTGAATATCTCGGAACAAGTCAACCTCCTCCGCTTCAAAAAGGCGCCGATTAGAGTCATTGTGTAGCGGATGATCCCAAAACGAACCAATGTACACTCGCGCCACTTCCGGTGTGTTAAGCACTTTTCCCAATGACCACATCAGCGCTCCATACACTCGCATTAACTGCTGATGATCAACCATATCGGCTTTGTTCAGTACAATCCGTATTTTATCATCATGGCCACGTAATGCTTCGATAGCGCGACGGAATTCATCGCTGATATCCAGTTTGTGGGCATCAAATAAGAGTATTATTCGGTCCACGCGCTCAGCAAACCACTCCAGTACACCGGTGAATTCATAGCCGCGATCAATGCGCTGTTTCTCGCCACTCAAAATACCTGCGGAAATAAAGAGGGATCATAAAAAGTTAGACAACATATGCGACATGTACAACTCGGAACACAGCGGATAGTGGATGTCTACTCAGTAATACTCAGATTGCGAATCTGTTACTAAAACTATGTCCCTGGAACGGAAACAGAACGCCAAGATTCTTTTATGAACTCACAATAGCGCCTCGGGCGAATATGTTATTCACAACAGATACTTCACAGTTCACACATGAGCAATTCAGAGAGTAGCTCAGTAGCAGAGGAAAAACTCGTGTACTGTGCGGTCTACAATTTTATTACCAATAGAACGGAACCCATCACTACTGTCATAGCCAAAAATTCCACAATTAACCAAAATAAATTCGCAGAAACCATAATATAAATAATTCTGGTAATTTTTAAAACGTTTACACTTTACAGAAGCCAACCAAAACGTAAAAACAAAATTCACCATCACTTATCACTGTTACCAGGTAATACAGCAGCCAGCGAAATATGCAGTACGACAAAACAACAAGAAATAAAACAAGATCTAATTTTATGCCATCGACCTATATTCTGGGGAATGGGGATAACGTAACATCTGATGATCCCTAATTTGCACTCTTCCTGCTTTATTACGAGTACACCTTTCCAGAATTTTACGCGACTACCACAACGTACCAGGAGTATCCACGAACGTCACACTTTCCAGCACTGGACTATTCACCAAAGAGCACTGAAATCGATTGAGGAAGTTGTTGCCAAATTTACTGAGTTTTCTAAACTGTCGTTTAGGATCGACAACCAGCGCATTGCCTGGTATGACTCCGTCCTGATCGCCGTTCATGATGGCAATAAATCCATCTGTTGTCGGTTCGGGACCAATACGCATTCCCGGAAAATCTTGTTCAATCAAATAACGGATAAAAGTTGTTTTTCCGGTTGAATACTGTCCCACCAACAAAATCATGGGCTTGGCATCGAAGTCCGGGTCATCGAGCTGCGGACTGTGGAAGTCATGGAAGCGATAATGTTCTTCCAAGGGGAGGATGTTCTGACGGTACAGTTTCTTCAGGCCGTCCACTACCGTCGAGAACACTTCGGGTTCCTTACCCTTCCCTCCATCGTTTCGCATCCAACGTAACATTTTATCAACAACAAAATTTACTTTAAACGTAAATCAAAATCAGCCAAGAATTCAAGATCCACACAAGGTGCAAGCATTGAATTCGCCTTATTCACAGTAAAACATGTGCAGCTGATGTGACCGCAGAGTATTTTCTTCGATCAGATCATCCAAATGAAAAATCTGGAACAAAATTACAAAACCAGCAAAACTGATACCACATGTGATACAGAGGCGTGCTGCAATAAATCGTATGATTGTTCTCGCTTTCCACGAAGGTAATGGATTCTCAAATAGATCTACCGCAGATGATACACACTCCTAAGAAGTCGGAAGTCAAAAAAGCAAGTTATGCTCAGGTGGAAAATGTCGACGCACACGTCTACGCGAAAGCAAGAATGCGATGGCTCATGTCAATCAAATGACTCATCTGGTCGGCGCGTATGAGGCGGAAGCGGCTGCGCGGACAAGCGGTTCCTTTGCTTAACTCACTCGGAAATATTAAAGATTTATTATATTTTCAACTTATTACTGACATCAACTTGGAAAGTGGCTCAACTAGATCTAGACCAAGATTGTGGTTTATCAGTTTGTCCATATTGTAAACTGAACGTCCTTCCGTTTCTACGAAAATATCGTTATCATAATATTTTCTAACACCACTATCGCACACAAAACATGGTAATAAATAAGTCCTGTTTACACTTTACAGTGCTTAAAAATTCCTTAAATTCTCTAAAGACAAAGGGCATCTGTTTCCAAGGAAGAATTAAAGCGTGCAATATGTTTTGAAAGTCAAGAGACCAGACCAGCTGACCTCTGCAATCCAAAATTAGAAAAAAAGTTGAAATTGTCGCCCGGTGGATCACTGTATGAATGGATGGATTTGCATAGGCTACAGACGTAGACAGTAAGCTGTAAGCACATTAATCAAAACGACAACCGATTTTGTCTTGCAGTAATGATTTTAATCTTTCGCTTAAAAATAACGTATCAATAAAAATTAAAGGCTCAAACTTAAAATGAAGTGCAAAGATTACGGAATGACTTATACCAATCGAACAATTCTGACAGGGGGTACAAAACGTTTTAAGAAAGGGGAGTCAAATTCCAAAAAATTGCCAGTTGACACCCCCTACATTGCGCCGCTGAGCGAATTAGGATCCCGATTACTACGTGTTATAATAATTATGATTTTTAAAAAAATCTTTTCAAGTTGATAAAACCACCAACTGAGCAACAACAGCGCTTTCGCGCCCGTATTTCGTGGTCAATATATAGGAAGGCATAAGATGATAAGGACCGCTTCGTTTGTTTCCGGTTGGCGACCGCCATCGGGCACTAGCTAAAGTCGGGTCTCCGAATATCCAGGGGCAATTCCCGCGCATTTCGCTTGGCTTTCTAATTTTTCTCAGTTTTCAAAAAAAATACGAATACCTGTATTTCGTGTTACCCGGATCAGTCATCTCGAGGTCAACGTAAGACTTATAAAAGCAGCCGAGATTTCCAGGAGTGTATCATCGATTCATCATACATTGTGTGCTTCGTTTTGCGGACGATCTGTAACCCTGGCAAAAGTGCTGCAGTATTTGACAACTGACGATTACGAACCTTTGGGCCTAACTGTAAGGCCCTTACAGTGCTTACACTTTACAGTCCTTATTAGACCTTAGCTGCCGCAGTTTACTTACTCGCCAGGATAACAAATTTCAAGTGTTGTGCCCGCATTCCACTTTTTTGCGCTACCCTCATTATTGTCATATCGGTGACATCCCCTTCTTAATCGCAGATGCCTGCTCACGCACGTCCAGATTGGGTATCCAATCCGTATCGTACCGTGGATCAGATTTTTGGTGAGTTGTGCCAAGGCTGAGATTGTATTTTAGATTGTATACATACAAGTATACAACCATGCTTTGGTTTTCCACTCTTCGGAATTTAGACCTACCTAATCCTAGAACCTAATTTGCTAGTGGCTCGGTGCAGTTTTTGTCCCGCATTTGATGTTGTAAATCTTTTTTTGCAGAAAACAATTCGGAGCTTTACGTCAGCGATCCCGAACGTCTGTGTCGCGATATTGCAGCAGCCTTTCAAGCTAAAACTTTCGACGACCGTAGCGACTACCGATACTTCGTATGTTGTGATAAGCAGGACACTTTTTTGGCTGTTATGAAGATGTTCGTTGTTTGCTAGATTCCGTCTGTGCAGTCGTGGAAATGCCCGCGAGATATTCCGCGCAGGACTTTAGTGCATTTCCGCTGCATGATCCAGAACGAGCAGTCGTCCGCCTATCATCAACCGTTTGTGCAGATCCGTAATTCGACATCAGGAGAAGTACGCACGGTGTGTGGACTATTTAAACATCATGTGGCTCTTGAGGTGAGGCATAAAAATCTGTCACTGTGTAGAATGCTTGTTTGTGTTCTTACTTATTTGCAAAAAGAGTTTTATTTAACAAGTATGCTGACCTTGTGGATTCTAACATAATTTACATAACGTTACATAATTAACTGTTTTATCGAATGACGGTTTCTTTAAATTTTCTAGTGGTGTTTCTAATAGTGAGATTTGTGACTGCAAAAGCCGTTTTGTTAACCATAGAAATTTTTTTACCGTTATATGCAGGAGCACGTATAGGAGATTAATGGCGTTTTATTGACTAGGAAAACCAAATGTGCCTAGCGAACAGCGATCCGCGGAGTTTGTTCCTTGTGCAGTCATTCAAATGTGTTCCTGTTCCGGGGGAAACGCAGTGGGTGCAAGATTTGAATACGCTTCATGACTCTGCTCGCGTTTCCACCAGCGACTGCACCATTATAGCACATGTATGTGACTGCGCACTTTCCCGCAGGGCGAAATAAATTATTATGAAATTCACGAAATAGCACGAACTAGAAGGCCATATAGGCAAATACAACTGTACTTAAATTAACTATAAGTGTATTTTGTATTATATCGCACAGAGTTGAGCTCAAGCCAGTCTAATGTACAGTAAAATTAGTATTGTTCTTCGTTGTAGTTTTTTGGGAGTGCTGCCGACGGTATCAGGATAAACGAAATGTACGATATATTTGGAATTGTCTACGGAGGCAATCCCGATAAAGCACCGGAAGCTGTGGAACCATTACACATGGCCGTGTACTTTGCGAGGAAACGGGCACACAGCCATCCCGAACTCTCGTTCAATACAGCCGGTAACAATGATGCCATTACGTTAATTTATGGTGTATCTCTTATTCATTGTTCTGAATGTGCTGTTGGTCTGCAGTGTGAGATGGCATTGTCGCATTTTTCAGAGCTTAATGGAATCTTGCATGAATTGCGCTATCTTCGACCGACTTTACTGGAATTTCTACGCAGTTTCGTCCAAGGTGACATTGTGGCTGCGGAGTACCTGTTAATTCATCTGCTATCATCAACGTGAGCATTAATTTGGCAGCGATCTGGCAGTAACTGCGTCATCACCACATTTTCGTTCGGTTTGCAGATACGGTTCGCGTGACGGATTGCCGATAGGGAACTGCTCTCTTAATCTGATTAATTTTGCGGATCGGCCAGAATTTGCTGCCAGATTTAAGGCGTTCATCAGCGAAATCATACCAAAGGTCAGCTGGTTGATAAATAATTTGCAGTACGTAATGCGGCATTATATGCAGTGGGAGCGTTTTTGATGAAAATAGAAAGTTAACGTTACATATTTTCATCTATTTTATAGAACAGTACTTTTGTTTTTCGGAATGAAACAGAAGGATTGTACAGGCTAAAATATCAGATGTCTGGTAGTGAAAAGCACGTTCTCCATTTATTGATGTGCCACCTGATGATAATTTCACATAGGCAAGATTTTTCTCTTTGGGCATTGCAACGCTGAACAACGCCCGTATGTGCCCGAAGCTGGATGTCGAATCTTCTGATACAGAACAGGAGTTGCTCCCAGGCATTCTACAATTGACGGGCCACACTCACTTGATTATAGATGAAACAACGATGGATGCGGGAACCCTTAATGATGCTGGTATGTGGATCGATATTTTGGGCATCTGGTAATTTATTGTTTGGCTTGCTTTGTTGCGTATTTGGTTTAACTGAATTCGTTACATCTATGGTACAACTTATTTAAGTATAAATGCTTAGTTAACGTTTGATTACAGGGGTGAAAAATTTGCTGGCTTTGCAAAAATTAGCCACAGAGCAAAAGATGGACATTGATTACTTCACCCAACAAGTTGAATTTGCGATGGATACACCTGTTTTCGTCCTTAGCCATGGCCGTTCGCTTATTGAATGTCGTTACGTGGTGCCGGTGAAACCCGATAATTCCTATACCGAAACAGTCTTATCGGACGATACTGTGAAAGTTATACGGAAATATTTAACTGCCGCCAAATTTGCATCTTACGAAATTGATGAGGACATGCGAAAGGTGAAGTAGTTTTGCCTGTACCGAATATCTTGCTCTGTAATGGTGCATAGCGGCATTGCACGAGTTTTACTGCAGGAAACGGGTTTTCTCACTGGGTGTTGAGCGCCATGAACTGTAATAGTTTTGATTTTTTCAGGAAATTGTCGATGACTTTGTGGAAAAACGGAAAACCGACCGTAATATGTCCGGCATTTTACTTCACAATCAACTGGAGCTGGCGCGCTATGTGTGTATATCGCACGGAGACAAGGCTTTGACATCGGCGCACTGGAATCACGTGCAGATGCTTGAGAAAGAACGGATTGATCGTATGAAGCCCTCCATTAATCCATGATTTCGTGTGGACTGATGGCTTTTACTTTCTGTGTGCTGAGACTTATCTTAGGCGTCTTTAATTATTCATGTTTGCTCATTGTTATGTCGTATTGCTGGACACATGCAGTAGCGATTGCTCTATCCTAAAATTTAATGCATTGCTGTAATTAGCAGGGTCTGACAGCTGTTGATTTCATTGCTTATACAAGACAAATCGGGAAGACAACTGAGTGAACTTTAATTTTTTATTCAAGTTCGCCACAGAGTTGTGACTGACGTTCTAACCATAAGAAAGAATTAAATCGGATTTTATGTTTGAATTTCTCTCGGAGATTTCTTGAGTCTTGATTTGCCGAACAGCTTTAGCGAGACACTAATTATCCCTATGCAGTACTTATATGCCGTAATGCATCATGCACGAGTAGTAATTTTTGTAATTGGTATGCCGAGGGTGGAAGTACTGGCTAATTAATGCCTACTGGATTTGATAATCAAAGCGTTGTTTTTCAACGGAAATTACTTGACGGGAGAAATCTAGCTACGTGATTGTATTGGAACATTTAACAAGCCAGTTGTACCATCAACTTGGTTCTAGTGCGGAAAAGTGCAAGACGGGCCACGGGTTTATTTGGGATTCTCATTGTTCAATGCATTTGTAACCGCATCATGCCAGACACAGGAGATCGATTCCCTGGATGGATGAATGACAAAAGAGAGGCGCCGGAAATAGTGTGCATGTAGGGAATGAGGATGTGTCGTGGAAGACGCAATTGGTGAAAGGTGATACTCGAGCCATACTTACACGCACCATTGTGTGCTAGAATTGTATCTGTATGCTTTACCTGTGACAGCTACAGTTTCACGTCATTGTGGACATTATTCAGTTAACAAAATTATTAATGCATCCCTCAAAAATTTCGGCGGTTAAGAGATCACGGTATGCAGTATTGCAAGGACGAATTCGGGACAGTGCGACATGTAAATTTCTCGTGAAATTCTCGTTATCCGACATATGGCCGCATTTCCAATCTTAATCGTGCTCATTAAGGTACACTGTGCAGTCTATGTGATTCGCCTCCGATCCGAAATACAACTCTTCCGGCGGCGTTTAGACCGGTGCTACGGTACATATTGATGCAAGTATGTTTGTCCGGGACTCCTGGACTACGAGTATACATACAGCACTACGTCATAATCTCATTAGGCAGATCCGCCCATCTGCAATTCACAGTCACAATGCTGGAAGGTGGAAGTATCACGAACTTGTCTGTTTCATTAACCTTCAAGCATACCCGCAGCGTCGGTTGTGAAATTCCATACTTCTATCTGGAGGAATTAAATCTGTACCCGAAGCCGCTTTTGCACTCGATAATCCTGATTCCTCCATATAGTTACAGCAACCAGAGATGGAACATTTGTTTGGAGGCTCATTGTTAATATAATTACATGTGATATCTTGCGTTTCTAAAATTAATTGTATGCGACGTTTGAGTGTATTCATTAAGATTTATTCATTTGACTGCGTGTGCAGACATGAATAACGCAACGGATGCAGTTATGCCATTATGGCAGTATGAATCTCATAATGATACTTTGTGGATTCGTGTGGCTTTCATAATCGTCATGATCGTATTAAGTATCGCTGGTTTTGTGGGCAACGCAATGGTAAGTTTACACTAATAAATTACAAGGTTAGAGCCAAATTAGGAAGTAGCGGTAGTCAAATTAAGGTAGGTACCTATTAAAGCGATGCTGTTTCTTCCGCCTTTAATGAATTTTTCCACAGATAACAAATTCAGTTAATTACTGAGTTTCACATGACCACGGTAAATATTCGTTGTCCGTCAAAGCTGCAAGCGGCTCGAAACGATCGAGATTAATTGATATGCGCTAGCTGTGTAAATGTCTTTGTTTTTAAGCGAATATCATACAACTGTAATAATATAGTACAGATAATCCCACCACGAAAACCTTGAACACGAGTGCCACTATAATATGGATAAACGCTTTGGCTACATTCTACATATATATATATATCTATATGCTATATGAGTCTATAGTGTACGAATACGTGGTATTTTTATTATAAATTGAGGTGCTTTAATGTAGAACGCTTCCCATGAATCCTTGCAGCCGAACATCGAAACTAGTAAACAACACGCTCAATTACATTGATTTAGACTTTAGAGTAGTGCATATTACGGCTATGTGATTGAATAAAACAACCTGATAACAATACTTTTTCTAGATAATCATCACGATATTGCTTGTTCGGGAGCTGCGATCTACTCAAAATGCGTTCCTAGTCAACCTGGCAGTTTCCGATCTTGCACTGATATTGATAGTCGTTCCGTTTAATATCATTAGTAAGTGAAATGGTGGTGGTACGTACTACGTATACCTCAGCAAAATATCTATATAGATATACTCTTAATTGGTGTACTGGCACTGTGGCACATACAGTGAAGTGCCAAAAATTTGTTAGAAAATGAGCCGACAAGACCCGCTGCAAGTATTTTCAATGCAATTACTTCCTGATTATTTATTTCCACAGGTGTGGTCCATGGGAAACTGTTTTGGGCCGATCGCATGCCGCTGTGCATTTTTGTTGCCAGCGTATGTGCACCGGGTTGCTTAACAGCAATATGGTCAAACACGGGAACGGCTTTTAATCGGTACGTCAAGTGGAAGTTGACATTTCTTTTCTAGTAGTTATTTAGATAAACAGTGTTTCTTATTTGCGGTCCTAGTGGTAGATTGCGTTTTAATTTTATGTTCTATGCGTCAACGAATAGGTACTTCTTCATGTGCAAGAACGATATTTACGACCAGCTGTTTTCGCCGCGCAAAACTGTGCTGTGGATACTGGCCATATGGGCGATTTCTTTTCTCATCCATATGCCCAATCATCTTGGATGGGGAGAAAACAGTTATGTTGAACAGTTTTATCTATGCACCCGTGAAACCAATCTGTGGACATATTCCACTTTTTTCGCCGTGGTAGGCATTGTCCTTCCCATCGCCATTAGCTTCTTCGCCTATTTTAACATCTACCTGCTGGTACGCCGCACAAAATCCGCACGTAACATAATTATTAAAATGCGCAATCCAAAACCTCCAACCACATCGGCAGCATGTTCGGCTAGTTGCGGTAGCACACTGGAATCGTCAATCCGCATTCCGCTCGTGTCGCTGAAATCCGATGACGACAAAGCAGTGAAAGCACTGGTGGCCGTTAATGATGCCCTGACCTTACCGGTGAAGCATTGCAACCGGCGTAGTAAAGCATTCTGGCATGAAATCCTCCTGGCACAGACGCTGTTACGCAGCTTCATGCTATTTTTGGTATCCTGGTTGCCGCTAGCGATACTCCTAATGCTGCCCATGGTTCCTATCCCGGCATGGATTCATCTGGGAAGTCTGCTATTAGCGCACGGTAGTACAGCAACAAATGCCATTCTCATCTACAGTTCGGATAAGCGGTTTCGGCACGGCGCTCGGAACTTGTATAACCGATGGAGGGGAATTCGGGAAGGGTTCACCGAGTCTGGCACCGGCACAAGTGCCTCCTTCATATGAACCAACAATTTTTGCACATATAATTGGCATGGATGTATATTCTCGTACTACAATATCCACTTAATTGCCAACGCATGCCGCTCCGTCCGTGGCCAGCATTTGTCTTAAATTACTGGAATCACCCGTTATTAAAATTATATCGACTAGCAAGGTCACTTCTCGACCAGCTTTTCTAAACAACTTTTTAATTTATTGAAATTTTTGTACGTTCCAAAATGTGGCAAACAAAAATATTGTAATTGTCGTATACAGAGTAATAAGTATTCTGTAGTAATAAGTATTCGGTTTGTATCATAAACACTTTCTGCATCTTCTTGGATTTCCTGTTTGTTCCGTCAACTGTAGCGTTTTATATCAGAGTTCATGCCTTTGATTGCAAAGGCATTATTTCTGGAAGAGGAACCGGGGATAGAATATATGTGCGTAAAGACATCATTGTTTTGTAAAAAAATCTGGATGTTAATAGCAAAAATTCCAGTTACTATCTATGTAATTGCAAACTTTATGGCCGGCGGAGGAATGCTTCGAACACCTAAGTGATTATACAGTGACACATGGATAACAGCAAAGACTACTGTACTGTTGGGAACTTGAATGGTCAGAGAGTGTTGAATAGGTGACCTTTTAAAAATGCGTTTGCGATGTGCTTTACATTAGAAAACCAACGGCACCGAAAATTAATCAGCTACAATACATGGTACTCTAACAATAATTATTGTAACAGGTAATTCAGACTGCATTTGTACCTGATAAACGTTAACCAGTGACATTAGCAGTAACAATTATAAAATATTGAACCTGATGATGACAATTGACAGGTGCCGTAAATTGCAGATTGATCGATGAGAGTTGCAAAGCTTAAGTATACTTGTTTTTTATTGCTTTCTGTAGCAAAAATGCAATTAAAAATAAATTAATTATAAACTATCCTTGTACCTAAGAACACAATCTGGCAGGCAAGGCCTCCATTTACGACGTTCCTTGATTTAGGATTGGTTAATATACATATACCAGCTTTTGTAACTGGGAAGACCTTTTGCAGTTTTATCCTAGAGGCATTTAATAAAAATAATTTTTCTGGTACACCGCTTACACGTAATAATTATTTAATTTTGCCCCCTGTACAGACCATGTAGGAAGATCAAACCAAGTTTTATGTCTTTACCGTTTCGCTGGTTATCTCGCCTCTTGGAAATTTCGAAGCAGGTCACCTAAGGGCTTTTACATAAAAGAATTTTGCGGTCTTCTAGATTTTAGTAATCAAAGCGAAGTACACGAATTTACGTCTTAGGTTTCCATTCGCTTTTGCAGCGGCGGTAAAATTGGGTGCATAATTTGCCCAGTGGGCAGTGACTAATGCATTTTCCTTATTTTGAAAGAATAACATGACATATCGAGTATATTAAATCTTGCTATTGTCGCAAGCACAGATGTAAAAAACAATTCCTCCAAGCTGTAAAAGTGCGGTTGAGTCATCTAATGGCTATATTTTGCCGATCATCCGGCAAGAGTGCTGAAGTTTATATAAAGGCTCATTTTCCTTGGCCTTGTAATCATACAAAGCAACCTAATGCTTTAGCGCTGCTTTTTTGCTCGAAATTTTGGTGCGAGTAAGGCAGCACATTAAGTTTCCTCTGAATCTGCAGCCATTTACGTGCAAAATTGTATCAGCAACAGATTCCAGAGGTACTTAATCAGCTGTCGAACACCGCGACAGCCTTTTCGCTAGCTATACAAATATTATGTATGAATAATTTATAGAATATTTTTACTCAAATTTTCACAATGATCGAAGCGCTGTTGGGAAAAGCGTGGAGTGTCCTGACGGCGTATCCCATTCATGCAGTATGGATTGCCTTGCTTTTGATTGGCTGCGCGTGGTATATTTTTGTACGACAAATGGTCACCGGTTTACCACCTGGTCCGCTGGCAATTCCCATAATTGGGAATGCCTGGCTTCTTAACGGAAACGGTAAAGAGAGCGTGCAGACGCGTTTGATGCGGATCGGAAAAAAATACAATGGAATCTTCACCATGTACATAGGACGATAGTAAGTGAATTAGTGAACCATATTACAGTATTAACTGTTAACACTCAACTGAATACCCAGCCGCGCCCATGTAAAAACAGTGCCACCGTCGTCTTATTTAACCAGTGCGTTTGCATATCCCATCGAATTAAATTATTGAATGCATTGATTATGAAAGGTTAAACCAGCTAATATTTGTGCAGTCAAGGCAAGGAGCTTCCAAAGAATTAAATGCCGCAAATTACTGAGATGTTTACATCAGGAAAATTTTAATTTAAGCTTTCTTCGGCGATTCGGTATCACACACCTACAGTCGCAGCCAAAGCTAATTATTTGCTTTTGTTGAAATATTATCTACCGGTTTAATTGCGGCTGCAAATCTTTATACGTGAATATATACATGCATTATACGGTCATAATAGCAATAACGGGCATGATGATTAAAGTATATATGCACGATTTCAAGTAAAGTCTGGTAGGCTAAGTAAAGAAAGATTATGTTTTTATATGCAGTTATTTCCAGCTTATAAGTTTTTTTGCCTGGTTGCAGCCCAGTGATATGGCTGTCCTCGTACAAAACATGCCACGAAGGTTTTGTGGCCAGCGGATGGGACTGCGCCGGACGACCACCCGAGTTGCCAGTGCCGGGTTTGGATCCGAGTGGCAAAGGCTTTCTCAACATGGTCCACGCCGGCATCAATCCCGTCGAATGCGAAGTGCGCGATTTCGTCCGGCACAAACTGAAAGGTTTTGGAGTGCAGATCATGCAGAACCGGATAATTGATGAAATCAATCAAATGATGAAAGAACTCGAAGCCACCGAGGGCACACCTTTCAATCCAACGAAGATAATTGCCCAGACCATTGCCAATATCACCCTCGGCACACTGTTGGGAAAGCGGTTCGATTATGATGACGCGCATAGCCACAGAATGATTGAAATGTTCAGTGAGAGTGTGCGCTTACTCATGCAAATGACACTGGACGATGCGTTTCCCATTCTGAAACTGTTTCCGCGTACGTGTCGCAAAGAGGGCTACACGAAATTTCGCTACTGTACGGAATATTTGAGAGACATTGTTTACAAAAATGTTGAAGTGTGGAATAAGGGCTTCCCGACGAATATCATGGATGTTTGGATGGATCAGAATGCCGCTGTCTCGGGAGATAAGAAAGAGACCTTCGATATTGACCGCTTGCCGATGATCCTGGGACCGCTGTTTGTCGCCAGCTACGATACGAGTACAATGACACTCTCGTGGTACGGTGTGAGGAATAAGAAAATAGTTAAAACATTTTGCGCCAACAAAGAAACGTTATGCTTCATACGGTCATGTATATATTGGTGGTTTTGCATTTTTATAGGATTTTTGCCGTAATGCTGCATAAACCAGAAGTACAGAAAAAAGTCCAGGACGAGATCGATTCGGCGATCGCTTCAGGTGACATAACATTGGAACATCAAGCACTGTTACCGTACACGGAAAGCGTGATGCTGGAAGTAATGCGCATGTGGCCAGTGGCTCCCTTTGCCCTTCCGCACTACACAGATGCAGATGTGCCAGTAGGCGGTTACACGATTCCAAAGGGTAAGAAATTGTTGGCAAAATAATAACGTTTAAAACAAAATTATAATATTAGTACTAATAAGATTGGAAAGTAAATGTCAGCTGGACCACAATAGAAACGCAGAATGTTTACAGCGAGCAAGTACATGTACTGTAGAACAAATAACTATAACACGATGTAAAAGTAGAACGACTGGTACAGCTATACTATGGAGTGTGTAATTACAGCTTACCCATTATGACACATCTATCATGGAAGACTTCGCTTAAATCGTAAAGGCACAGGATATTTCATCGCTGTCGCTTGCCATTTTTTGTATTATTTATTCTTTAGGTACTCGTGTATATCTGCATTCCTTTGCGGTGCATTACGACGAAACAGTATGGAAAGATCCCTATGAATTCCGCCCTGAACGGTTTATCAACAATGGAAAAGTGCACGTGCCTGACTGGTTTGTACCTTTCTCCAAAGGTCGCCGAATGTGCATGGGGGATCAAATTGCTAAAAAACAAGTTTTCGTTATTTTTGCCAATGTGATGCAGAAGCTAACGCTGCTTCCAGCAACACCGGAAAAACTCCCTTCGCTGGATTTCCATACCATTGGTTTTTTCATGCTGCCGAAACCGTACGAAATGAAAATCAAGTTTCGACATAGAAGCTGAATGCGTTCATGGTATCTCAAAGACATTATATGTTTCACATTTTTTAAAATTACATTTGGCTTACTTATAATTAATTGTGCCATTACATAAGTACTTCCTTCTATAAATAAAAAGATAAAAATATTGTGCAACGACTGCTAATTTGATACGGGTTCAGTTATCTACATATGTTCATGCTTATTTCCTTCCCAAAGATGCTTGGTTGTGGGATTTACTTGCTTTGTAAATCTTACAAAGCCCCCAGTGGACCGTGTTATATTCAGCAAACTGTACGGTAATGTACTGCTCTGTAACGGGTGCTCCTGTTGCCGAATCACACCTGAAAAATAACCTGCACTTGGTTCGAAAAATAAACTGAAGAATCTGAAATACGCAAAAACGCAGAAATGTTTTCAAGCGAACAGCGACAGCATCACACAATTTGATCTGCAACAATCACAATCTTGCTCACAACTCACAATTAAGTAAGTACCGTACGAGGTTGTTCAAATTAACATTGGTTAAACTAAACTCAAAATTCCGCAATTACGCTTTTTTAAGTACCGTACGAGTACTGTACTTGAAAAAGCCAGTTATTTAATACTGTATGGAACAGAATTCCAGCATATATAGATATAACTTACGATTAGTTTGTGTCGAACGTACACTATGCTGCAGGTATAAAGGCAACCTTTATTAATCGTACTGCTGTGTAAAGCAGCGAAAGCCAAAAAATATATCGAGCGTCAAACAATCTGGAAGATAATAGGAAAACACTAAAAAACTATCCGCCTTTCTGCAAAAAAGCACATTGTGCAAGTTCACTAAAAAGCGAAGTGAACATTTCAATATCAACAGTCTACGCAGAAAACTACAGAGTACAGACCAATAGGCATAGAATCATGTTAAAAACAAAATGACAAAAGAAATCTAGCTATAACCCATCGTCGATATACAGCAAACTAACTAGCTAGACATATTAAGAATTATTAAGAACTAACTAGCTAGGCAGGAATATTGCGGACAAAGAGAAAGCGCACCCACATATTTAATGAATCTAACGTACCGCCAAAAATCAATCCAAGTCAGACGTGGAGAAAAAATCCCAGAAAAAACAAAAGCGGGTTACATTAACGACAACACGTCGGCATCAAAACAGATAAGGGCAGGTCAGAGAATAACGCTTCCGGACGGGAAAACGGTGAGACAAATTAAATTTAAATGCCTTCTCCTTCCGATTCAGTCGGGTTATGGATAACGCCCGTGAATTTAGACTGGCAAAGCGCCGACCCATCTTCGGGAAAGGAACTTCGACTACGTGTCCCAATTGACTCCCAAACCAAACCGATGCCATGTTCCTCCAGCTGCGGGCTGAAAATATCGGACAGATATAATGCATTCCACTTAATCTCTATTACATTATTTATATACTGATTTGACTACTGTGATCGAACGCAAGTATGCAATAATTTTGAGCGCTTAACTGTTCGTTTATTTACGTGAATATAAATATAAGGTTAGGGCACGGGTACTCAAGTTGCAATTGCGTTGTTGAAATGCGTGCATTTATATGAAAATGTATCTTTCAGTTACTAATATTATCCAGCATGGGTGTAATGCATAATACATATGTGTACCACAATTAATTTATGTCTGCGATGCTATACATATTATATAACTATGGTATATCCCACCGTAATAAAGGAGAAGCTATGAGCGCGGCCGACACATTGTCCATCTGCCCATCGCGCACCACCAGGTATATGCGGTTACTCTCCGGATCATAAATATACTGATCCTCGAAATACGCAGCCCAATGCCCAATGGCAAATGATGTTAGACATACTCGGACTTGGTGAAATTATCTGCCGGCTCGATTTCAGCGAGAGGGTGGTTTGCTGGCTGGCCTTGATTTGCGGGATGGGGCACTGGCTATTAAGTCGTTAATTCGATGGAGAAATTACCAACTGTACAAAGTCGCACAGAAAACAAACAAAATCAATAAGGCTTGATTAGCGGATTACTAAGAGCGGTGAGTGAGTGAGGACAGTTGTTCCCTTTTTGTCTTCCGCTGTGGGTTCCCCTTTGTTCTCTGCTGTTTTCGCGGCTGCTTGCACAAAGTTTTCAGGGGTGTGCACAGCCAAATCCTAAATCATCTTTCGCTCAATTAACACGCTCAATTCTGACTGAAATCGTGCAGCAGATTCCTGATCCCCAGTCAAAGCAGCGGCATCTCTCAACTTCGACAATTCACTTTCAGCATCTTTCATCGTAACATGCCGTCTCGGAAACTTATTGTATTGTTCTGCACAGTAAGCCACATGGGCAGAAGTAGGGTACAGCAGCGCAGTTAGAGCCCGCTGCAAATCCTGCTCTTTTTTCTCCAAAAACGTTTTGGTGGGCCAGGGCGTTTTGTACCGCTCCAGTTCGTTGAACAAAGCAGTATATTCGCATTCTTTCGTTATGCCGTTGGAAACATTCCGCAAAAGAACCTCTTCCTCATGATTACCAAACCTGAATAACACAAAAATAATGAACATTCAAAATGTTTAATTAGCAAAAGCTACTTCAGTAACGAAAATGCAAGTGCGGACACACAGCTCAGTTATCAGAAACATTTAAACAGTAAAAACAGCCAAACTAAAACGATGAACACTTCGCTGCATTTCCTGAATCTGATTTCGCACTGATGGGTGTATTAAATATGAAAAATGTCAAATACTATACAGAAATTCAAGAAATTTTTTACGCTTACTTCACGTTAAGGGTAACTCGGGTATAGAACGGCACAGGAGGATCAGTCAGTATGATGGAATACGGTTTTTTTGATTCTCCAACGCCGACGATCTTGCCAATCTAAACATAAAAAATTTGAAAGCACAATACAGCTTTCTCATTGTTTAAAGCAGTCCGATAACTTGATTGACTGCTTTCATTTCACAGCAATAAATCAAACATAACAACACAGCAATAAATCCATAAAAAATTTAAACTAAATAACTTCAATGCTTTTCATAAGCCTCACATTACCTTGTAATATCCATCAGTAAGCAGATTCTCCTCCGGTATAGTGTCACAATGCGTTGGCACATTATGCAAGACGGAATGGTAGACTCTTACAAAACAACCCTTCACCGTATCTTCGAAAAATGGGAAAAACTGCCAACCAATCAAGCGATCTCGCTTGATAAGAATTTTTTCAACTTCCTGATAATTTGGTTTTCTCTCCACATCCTGATTGTCGACCGAGTCACAACAGCCATCCGAGAGACTGTCCGAAGTGGATGAACTAGTGTTCTTTCTTTCCTCGTCAGATATGGCATGATCTCCGTCCGCTGTCTCACTACCACTTGATGTATCCGCAGCAAAAACCGTCTTTTTGGTGGGAAGAGTCATCCAGCCATTGACAGCCAATACGTCCAAATGTTCGAAGCGATCATGGATGTTCTTTAACTCCATATAGAGCATTTCCCAGAAACCAGCCAAATCCGTCGGGGTAGTCGTTGTATTCCCCATCTCGCACTCATCAAGCAGACCGACGAACTGCTGCATTTTCTTGTCAAGAAAGAGCCGAGACTGTCCGATTGCCAAGTGGATCTGGTCAGCCCCTGCGAGCGAACGACATCACGGTGTTTGTGCACATCATACACATGCTAATCAGCACAACGCACAAACGCACGGACCAACTTACCATCCTCGGTAATGGTCGGGGACGAACTGCCAGGCCCGGACTCCTTCAGCTTTTTCTGCCACTGCTCTGCCAGGCTATTTTCAAATGATACCTCCTGTGCCACAAGATCTCGGAAATACTTGATCTGCTCGTCTTTTGTTCCATCAGGCTTAAATCCAGCCATCCGTAGATTTTCGCTGCCTTGTGGCATGTTGAATTAGAATCTTATTAGATGAAATAGTAGCTACGTTTATAATTCTCAACGAGAAACAACAATACACATATTAAACGGGAACGCTTATGTAACTGATTTACGTAAATCCGCGGATAAATATAAGTCTGCCTAAAACCTAAAACAAAAAGTGAGATTCCGACGAAGGACGCGAAAAGTTCCATAAACAAACGTTACTCCAGATTTCAGAATTTCAAAAGTTACTTTGTTTGTTTACTTACTAAAGACGTAAGTGCAACAGGAAAGGTGGCCGCCACCTCGTCGGATAAACCAACCCCGACTGTAATGCTTGCAGTCCGTATTAAAACAAATCGGTCCATAATTCAAACTGATAATTTCATAATGTTATGATTATTATCCATAGATTCTTTTAAGATCGTTTTATCACTATTGTGCTTTGTGCTACGTATTGCGTCAAAGCTCACTGATGTTTCCATCGTTTTTCATCGTTCATTAAAATTATAATCCTCGGTAGCAGTAGTTCAGGCCGAAGAAATCTTCCAGATCCTGGTCAACCCATCCTTATGATCGTGGTGTTATCGCTAACTAGTTACTACTATAACTAGTACTAGTTAACGTTAACTAGTACTTGAAGTTACAGTACTTTGGATAAACCTTCAGGGCTCCTATCAGACTTGAGCCCTGTTATCGTTATTGAATATTTTTCCATTTGTTTCCCGCGATATCTCCCTCGTTTTCCTCTTTCGTGACTCGCGAGGACTGGGGATCTAGTTGGGGCTAGAGCAGTTGGATTTCGCGAATGTCTAGAACGAATTCACCTACTCCAGTAATTGCTAAAGGTACTGTACTTACTTACTTTAAACCGCAGTATACATGCATGGTCTTGCCATTGCGTAATGTGAAGAGTGAAGACGCATAATAAAATTAAAGCAGATTAACACAAGGTCGGGTCAGTCGTATATGACGATAGACTCAGACCAAACCAGACCATAAAAATGAACATTTTTTTTCATGTTAATACCAATAAATAACAGCGTTCCAAACCGTAGATCATATCCATTTGGACTTAGCTGTCGAAGACCACAGTCACAGTGGCTCGCTCAGCACATCCCCCGTTAACAGCTCTTCCCTCCTCCCCTCGCCCCAGCACACCCTCCGTCCGTCCCCCCTACCTTCTCCCCATCGACGCCGGTCCATGACCGTGCCCATCAACATCGCCGCCCTTCCCTTGACAGCCTCAGGCGGCGACTCCCTGTCCGCCAGTCAGGACATCTCCCCGGGCAGTTCCCACAAGGACATTCCCCCCTTCCCCCTGCCAGTGGTCGCGCAGGCACCCAAGAAGCCCAAGCGCTTTATCGTCTCTAAAATCAGCGAGGCGTCGTTAAAAGACGGCGGCGGGCTGATTCTGCCGGATCGTACGAGTGCGGGCTCGAGTCTAGCGGGCAGTCCGGAAGTGGGACGAGCCCGATCGCCCCTGGTGGCTGGGGTGGCGGGGGAGGAGCGGGTGGTTAGTCCGTCGTCCATGGAGGGATCACTGATCAGCTTAAAACCACAGGCGATGCCTGCTAATGCCCGTCCGGGGTCTCTTGCCTCCGGTGCGACTGAGCGATTGTCGCGCGGATCATCGAAAGATCAGGCAGAATTGGTAAGTTGCTGTCGTTTTTCCTGTTTTTAGAGAATTCGCTATTTTCTGCAGTTTTCTGTGACACGAAGGCAGGAAGATCATGCGAGAGGGTTCACGTTTTTTCGAAATTTTCGTAAGGGCCTCCTGAACCCTTCCGTGGTGGAGAGACTAGTATTTCTTCGATGCGCTGTTTTTGGATGGTTTTTCTATCAGTTTTCCTATAAGTAATATTGCATTAACTCTTGATTTCTTATAATATCATTTGGAACGAAGGTACATAGTGTTGTTTAATTCTTGAGAGGGCTATCTTGTAACACGAGGTGACGGTAGTGGTTTGTGTGAATATCGTACTGATGCTTTGATGAACTTGGGTGTGATTACTCGGTGATTCATCTTTTCGCTGTGTTTGATTGCCTGCAGCAGTTCGTAAGCTAAGAGGCTGCGAAGTCCAAGCATTTTGATTCCTGTCTGATGTTTTTGTTGACGTACTTTGTAGCAGTGCATTGACTGCTCTTTTCGAAAGCTTGTGTTTGTGGGCCGTGGCTAATGTTACTCTTCCATTAATTAACGAAACTGCAGCAAGATCTTTAACGTGTGTGGAATTTAAAATAGAACCTTTCGAATATTTTTTAAGGTTGCTTCTGTTTATACGGCATAATTGAAAAATGTTTCATTATTAAAAACGTGACTAGCATCCCTTTAATTCCCGCCAACTTGTACTGAACTTGGTTTGGTACTTGGTTTGCAGTATTGAAACTATCCGTTGTTGTTATACGAGCGTACGTTATATAATACAATAAATAACTGGGTGTAATAAGCTACTGTAAGTAAGTACATCATTTCGCTACACGTTTTACAGCAAGAAAACGTTTGCATTATGTATGCAGTAGATGGTTACACTACCAAAACATTTTTTTTAAAAGCAGTGTTTTGCTAATACGGGTGTGGATTTGAATGGAATCTGCCTTTTAATACTGTCGTTAAACAATGTCGCAGAAGTTCCAATAAAATTTGTGGAAACTTTTCTGTGAGAAACTGTTTACGTAGACATGGTTCTTCTACCTTGTCTGATTAAAATGTGCACAAATTTCTTATACAGGAAGTAATTTAGCGCCAGTTTACATTTGACATATATACTATCGAATACTCTTCATTGGTATCGAATATGATGGCGCTCTGTACTCTAGATGGAACAAGATGCTCTGAATTTTTAGATTATTGCCGAAATTGATTTCTGAATGAAGGTGTTATTTGTGAGAGTGATTGATAGATACCATTGTGCATTCGATTTCCATTTTAATGTTTTTAACAATGCGGTTATTTGATCATACGGGCAGAACTCCAAAGAAAACAAAGCATTTCTGGAGATGCGTTATCACGCATTTGTGCCTTCGGCAATAATCGCTCTGGTTGCTGTCTATAATTAGCATTATTAACTACTCATACCTAACCTGTTCTAACTGTTCGAGTCTGATCCGAGCCGTAAACACTTGTTGTTTTGCACAGAAAGGTCCTTCCACCAGCTTGTCGCTTGTACTGGGCGGGACTTCTAAAAATCGCAAACCGCATACATAGCATCTTTTCTCGTAATGCCGCCTGTGTACGGCGTAACCGCGTGTTATCATCCAGTCATGTGTAGTCGCAGTCTGATCGTGCCGGGTTGGTTGAAAACATCAAACAAGGGAAAATGTGAAGCTTCATATGTTTATACATTATCCCTGTCATGGCATTCCGGCCGAAAGCATCATTTCGTCGTTTTTCCTTGCAGCCACAGAGTGCTTCCTCGCCGTCATCTGGTGGTCAACCTGACCATGAGCCCTACGTTACACTGGGCGTTTGTGCCATGGTTGGTTGTTTCGAATTTATGTCTTGTATTTTATTGGTATGGCGTTTGATGCAAAATGTTTGTAGGCCAAAAAGGCCAAGTCCAAGTATATGACAGAAATACTACGACGCATAACGCAGGAGTTTGACCAGATTAAGACACTGGTGTTTGATGAGCAGCAAATCTTGCATGATCCGGTGGAAAAATGGCCGGTCGTGGATGCTCTCATTTGCTTCCAGTCGGAAAGATTTCCACTGGACAAAGCCATCAGCTACGCAGATTTGCGGAAACCGTTCGTGGTTAATGATCTTAAAATGCAGCACGTTATTAAAGACAGGTAAGCAGAGTGCGAATCTGATAAAGGTACAATTTGTAATTAATTAATGTGCCTTATTTAGTTGACGTAACTATTAATAACATGACTTACATCTGTATTGAGATTTACGCTTTTTGTTTCGCTAATTTGACTTTAACGTTTTAAAATAAGTGTCTTAAGATAAGTGTCGATGGATTAGCAATCTCGTATGTACAAGTCTGGGTGTGCTTTGCGATATTACTTTTAATAAATGCGTTGGTACAGTTACATTTATTTATATTAAATCATTTGAATGTATGTTAGAATGAATGCTGATGTTCTGATGTTTTGCAAATGCCTTTAATGGTTGGATCTGTTTTAGTCCCTAAAGTAGATGTGTAAAGGTTCGCCTTTTAATGCAGACCGATTTCTTGCGGTTTGTCAGCTTTCTTTAAACAGGCGAAAAGTCTACGAGTTGCTCAAGTCGGAGGGCATTGATGTGCCGCGCTACGCTGTGTTGGATCGGGAAAGCGGAAATCCGGATGATGCGCACATCGAGGAATACGACGATTACGTGGTGGTTAATGGGGTTACCTTCAATAAGCCATTTGTGGAGAAACCCATTTGTGCTGATGATCATAATGTGTACATCTACTATCCCATGGCGGCGGGTGGTGGCAGCCAGAGACTCTTTCGCAAGGTACGGTTCCGGTTACTATTATTCGTGTCTGTCTGTGTTGATTTACTTAATACTTCTCTCATCCAATTTTCCTGTCGACCTTGGTTATACTTCGTCACGGCTGAATGTGAAGCGGAACTGCTTTCACATTTATCCGAGCGAAACCTCTCACTATAATATTATATGCGTTATTATTAATATCTCGTATTAGATTATCAGTTCATTCACGATAATAATCTTACTTTTCAACTGTTTCTGAGAAATTAGTTTTGTGCGATTTTTGCGTTGGTTCAAGAGCAAGTTAATTTATGTTTTTCTGTCGTGTTTTATTTGGCATGGCTGTTAAATACAAACTACAAAGTCACAAGGTGGCGTGCATACTTTCGTGAACCAGTTGCATCCACGTTTAATTGTAGCTGCTGGCTTGCAAATATGGCTTGATTCTGTTGGTGGATGGGAACTTCAGTTGTCTGTTTATTAAGCTTAGTAGTGCCGAATAATCGTTATTCGATATTTTCAAACACTTTCCAATACACTTGTACCGACCGGGTCGCCTTTTGATGCTCGGTATTGCTTGCTGACAAAACGCAGAGGGCCTTTGCCTCGCAATGCCTTTTTATCGTTCCACTGTTGACATGTGATTACATTGTTAGCCGTGGCTGTTTGTGAAATGTCGCTGGTTAAAAAGATGAGGTGTTCAATTTTGCTCTATTCTATCCGGTTAATAGCGACACTTATTGCCCTGGCAATGGTTACAATCGCCGGAATTGATGGACTGTTTTGTTTTTGTGTAGATTGGAAGCCGTAGCAGTGTATATTCATCGGAGAGTAAAGTCCGGAAAACCGGTTCCTATATCTACGAGGAATTCATGCCTACCGACGGCACTGACGTCAAAGTGTACACTGTTGGTCCCGAATACGCGCACGCTGAGGCGCGCAAATCCCCGGCGCTGGATGGCGTCGTGGAGCGAGATAAAGAGGGAAAGGAAATTCGTTTTCCCGTTATACTCAATAACATTGAGAAATTAATTGCCAGACGGGTGTGCATTGCCTTCAAGGTGGGTTCGGGTGAAGTCCGGAAATGAATGGTTCTGTCTGTCAGACAACTTCCAGAGCTCGGTTGTCTATTAATAGCAAGCAAAAAATGGCTAGTTAGCGGGATGCATCTTTAAGTTCCGAATTATGCAAGAAAATTTCCCTTAATTAAAACATTTATCCAAGGATATTCGTACTAGGGCAGTTACGGTGCCATAGCCAGTTGTTTTGCACAGTAATTTTTGCCCTGTGATCTGAATTTATAATTTTGTGTCCGCACAACTTACCCTGTTTTTGGTTTTGTAAATATCTTTTTTTTGGGTTTACAGCAAACCGTTTGCGGTTTTGATCTCCTGCGTGCCAGTGGTCGCTCATATGTCTGTGATGTAAACGGGTTCAGCTTTGTAAAGAACTCTATGATCTACTACAACGATTGTGCGAAAATTGTGGCTAACAATATTCTGCGGCGTTTGGCGCCCCAGCTGCACATCCAGTGGGCGATGCCGTACCAGCTGGGTGACCCTCCCATTGTCACTACGACTTTCGGAAAAGAAATGGAGCTGCGCAGTGTAGTCGCTGTCATCCGGCACGGTGATCGTACTCCAAAGCAGAAGATGAAAATGGAAATCCGCCATCCGGTATTCTTTGAAGTATTCGAGAAGTTTGGGGGAAAATTTGAGACCGATGGGAGAGAAATTAAATTGAAGAAACCCAATCAGTTACAGGAAATATTGGATATTGTAAGGAATCTGTTGGCCAATCGTGCTGATGAGCCTGAAGTCAGGGATAAACGGCTGAAATTGGAGCAGCTGAAGGCTGTACTGGAAATGTATGGGCATTTCAGTGGGATCAACAGGAAAATACAGATTAAGTATCAGCTCATAGACCGCACCGACTCGCCCTGTCGATCTGAAGGTACGAGTACATAACGATTTGTTTATCCAAGTTGTTTTATGCTGCCTTCGGAAACTCTGCCTAGTGGCTCCGTAAAACCGTTGCTCCGAGTTCCTATAAGTTTTATAAGTAGTGTCTATTTTTGCTTGCATCTTAGATACCAGCTGTGCTGATTAATATGAATTAGTATTGAAAGAAACATGTAAACCGTATAAGCGATTATTGGGAACAGTTGAACGTGATATTTTGTGCTTTAGCTCCTGTGATAATCGACCCCGAAACCAGCATCCCTCCTGGAAGCCTAGTTTTGATTATGAAGTGGGGCGGTGAACTGACTCCTCTCGGAAAATACCAGTCTGAGCAGCTGGGGCAGATGTTTCGTTGCATGTACCCTGGATCGGGTGAATTTTCCCGAAAAAAAGGTCATGGATTGCTCCGTTTACATAGTACATTTCGTCATGATCTCAAAATTTATGCATCGGACGAAGGACGAGTGCAAACCACAGCTGCGGCATTTGCCAAGGTAACGCTTGATATTGGTAGCAGATATTTAGTTCAACATGACTTGTGACTGAATTTCTTTGTGTTGTTCTGGTGTTGATTAGGGATTCTTGGCACTGGAAGGCGAATTGACACCCATCTTGGTGCAGATGGTGAAATCTGCTGACACAAACGGTCTACTTGATAATGATTTGGATGCACGTGAGCATGAGAACGCGTAAGTTATTCGCATGCTGTGTGTCTGTGTGCGTGTGCTCCTTTTCTTGTCTTGTTGTTTTTGCGTTTGGTGATGGACTTGCGGTTGCCAGAGCGCGGCGGTGGCGGGTTTCAAGGAAAAATGGTGCACAGCGAGGTGGCAGAACTTGTTTGTTTTAACTCACTGTTTTTACTAACACAATTAGACTATTCCTTAGGGTGTGAAAACGTTTTTTTTGTTCTACGTGTTCCATATGAAGAAAATGCAGGTTTTTATTTTGGTGGTTGAATTTGATCTTTAGGGTAGATTTTACTCCACTGCTGGGCCGGTCGTATACCGCTTATTGCTGTGCTTATAGGTCTGTGCACTGGTGCTGATGATCACATTTGCTGTAGCGATCTGCAGATTGTTTAATGGGGTTTATGTGTTATAGCGTTAAAAAACGGCTGAAAGCCATTATGAAACAGGATCGTGATTTTACGGATGAAGACTGTGAAATTTTAAATCCCACGAACTCTCTGGCGATTAAAGCGTCCATGGACGTCATTAAGAATCCCGTGAAAGCCTGCGAACAGATGCATGAAAGCATCAAAGAACTAAATGCGTTCATTCGGGAAAAAGCCGCTAATTTGGATAGCGACGGTAGGTCTTTTGATAAATGTAGTTTATCCTGTACAGTAGAATTAGTAATTCTCATTTCGATCATATTTATATGCAGTATTTTCACTGACGTCTCATTATTATTCTACCGGGCTACCAATGCCTTCCTTTTCTCGTTTCAAATTTTGCTTGACATGGTTGATTAGTTATGTACATCCCTTGACTAGGTAGATTTTGGATTATTTGAATTCGTAAGTGCGTAAAAATAATCTACAGGAATATTGCTTTTGGACAAATTACATTTCCGTATTGGGGGATGCTTTGATTTGGTAATTATTTCTTGAAATTGTTGAGGGGATTTTGTAAAGGAATAAAAGAATGTATTCAGACGATCGATAGGGATAATGATGTGTGCATGTTGTAGTTCCCACGCTGTACAGCGGTGAGAGTTGGGATTTAATTCAGCGTCGTTGGGGAAAGTTGGAGAAAGACTTCCGGTTGAAGGATGGTAGTTTCGACATAACCAAGATCCCGGATATCTACGACTGCATCAAATTTGATATTCATCACAATCAGTGGATTAGTCGGTCGGCCAATGCCAAGCAGCTGTTCAGTCTGGGTCGCAATTTAGCCAACATCGTTGTGCCGCTAGAGTACGGGATCACGGCCAAAGAAAAGTTGGCGATTGCGCAGGTTGGAATATTGTCTTATCTGATCGAGCTGGCTGTGACGGATGAATAGCGTACAGTTGCGTATGTCCGTAGGGAGTTGCGACTCCGCTGCTGAAAAAGATCAGGGCCGATCTGCAGCGTGTCATTGACTACCAGGATGACCCGGAGAACATCAATCGCTTACATCCGAGGTTAGCTAACTGCTGCGATTAGGAGTAGTTGGTGTCGAAAAGGTTTCGGCCAAGATAAATGATAAAGATTTTAGGCGGTCTTCCGTGGTTTTACTGACAAAGTTTTAATAGTCTACCTCCATTTTACACCCTTATTCGCTAAGAAAGCACCAACAAAATTAAGTAGACGAAAAGATTTTGCGAAGTAACTATACATTTTAGAATGCTTTAACAATTTGTCTTTTTGTTTCACTAATACATTATTATCTACCGAAAATATGGAACGAGCAGTACCTAAATGGAATTCATTATTAGTTCATGCAATTTGTGCACTGGTTGTTCTAGAATTAGAAATATATTTGCAATGTTTTTTACTACTTGTAAAAAATTTAAGCATTGTTTTTGCTGCAGGTTTTCACAGAATGTTGCCTCACCTGGTCGGTTGGTCCGCAGTCGACTGTATTTTACCAGCGAAAGCCATATACATTCGTTGATGAATATGCTGCGGTTTGGCGGGCTTATCGGGGTACACAAGAAAACGATTAAGCGCAGCCGACAGGACTGTTTAATATGATAATCCGAAAACGATTGCAGGGAAATGACGAACAGTGGAGTCGCGCCATGAAATATATTTCGACGGTGTCCGAGTTCAATTTCCTCACGCAGATTGTCATTATGATGTACGAAGATCCTAACAAGGAGCTGCGTTCCGAAGAACGCTTCCATATTGAAATCCACTTCAGCCCGGGAATGATGCTGCGCAATGAGGATGTGGAAGATACGGAGGGTCCGGGATTTCGTACCGTCGGAAGTGTCGGTAAAGTCAGCAAATCGGCATCGGTAAGAAGACCCTTCACTTTGACACATTTTTGTTATGGAAAATTAATTTAGATTGGAATTATCATTATAGTATTTATTGTATTGTTAGAATGAGTCGATCGACTTTTTGGTTACTAAAGCCAGCACCACTACCTTGAAAAATGAACCTAATGATCTACCGTCCTTACCGAAGAAAATCAATTCAAGCTTTGCGACGTCTATGTCTCATTTGGCCGATGGTAAGATTCCTTGTGCAACACGGTGGTTAATGATACACATATCTAAACTTAACTGCTTGGAATGCAGGATGGTTGGATAACTTGGATTCGAATTCCACCATAAATTTCCCCAAAACTCGCTATGATCGGTCGACATTCACCAAAATCAGCGACAGTGGTGTAATTATGAATCGGGTATTTAGTACGGCAGTAATCAAAGGTGTCAGCTCCGCGTCGAGCTTGGATAAAGTGGATGATAAAACAGACAAAAAGGGTAAATATGAACTTTTCGAAAACCTTTTCGGTTTTAATTTTACTGCACTTTTTTTAGTTAATTTTCAACAGGTTGTAAAAATTGTCTACGCTGCTTCTCTTAAAACGAACGCGTCATGCACCTTTACATGCGCCACTTATATACGCAAAGTGCAACAAAATTACTATTAGTTTTTTCATTTGATATGTTAGATGGCGATCAGTGCTTGCATGTGCCGAACGTGCACTCACTGGAAACACTGCACAACGCTTTGCATTTCCATGAACTGGACATGTTCCTGCAAACAGTAACGGAATCGTCCTCCAAACAGACATCCGCAGTGACATCGCCAATTCATACACCTGATCAGCATCCGCTATTGTCGTCCTTATCCCACGAACAGGATGACACCTCCCATAATCGTTTCTGGACCCATCAGGAGTCCTTCAACGCCGACGTGTTAAATCAGGAGAATCAGTTTTCGGCGATGAACAGTCTGGCCAGCAGCGCCGTGACGAGTCCGTACATGAACGGACCAGTGGGCTTCTTCACCACGGCCATCGGGCATTCGGACAACGTGCTGACAACGAAGCACAACAACATCAGCGAGAGTAATCCGGATCATTTGAAAGCGGGGGATAATGCCGGCGACAGGAGTTTCAATTCGTCTAGTCCACGGATTGATTCGCTGGTAATGTCGCCGATCAAGGAGGCGAATCAGGGGATGGGTGCGGGCCCGGGCGGCGGCTGCGACGAAGAGACGGCGCTGCCCCCGCGGAAACTCAGTTTTAGTGCAAATCCTTGATGCCGCATGGCTGCAGATTATTATTTTGTGATAATTTGGTTAGTGAGATTTCACCATTTAAGGTTGTGTTTGTTCGTTTCCTTTCAGTCTCTTTTGAGATGACTATTTATTTATTGTGTGCGTTTTTTATTTTATTTTATTTTTTGTGTTCATTTTGGAACCTCTGTTAAACAGGAAAATGTGCGAGAAACTGAATAAGAAGGCTTCGACGCTTCGAAGTTTGCTGTGTGTTGATTAAAACCAGATAATGCATTTTCGGGATGTGAGACTTACAGTATCTACAGATATAAACAATTATTTTATAGTTATTATTATTTCCTCTGTACATACATAAAACATGTATGCGGACACTAGTTAGAGAGTACAGTTACAATTGCATCGTTATACCTGTTATGGAAATTATTATTGTACCAGTTAGGAAAACATGTTTGTTACGATACCTTTTGTTTTGACTCTCACTAACTTGTTGTTATCGCTTGTACTTCTTTCGCCAAACATTAAATTTAAAAGATAATTATTACAAACCATACATATACAGACAGTACTTACTGTTCTGCAATTTTTGTTTGGTGTTGCAGTAATTATGCATCATGATTTCGAAAATGCTTGAGATCGCTTTTTGCTTGAGATCTAATTCAGTTCTATAATAACGAATCCGTTAAATTGTGTCGGTTTATTTCTGCTGAATCTAAAATACAATTACAAGGCTGGTGTTTTGACCAACGTTAACCGCAGTAGGAGTAAGTACTGATATGCGTCAGCAAATTCACCTGGATTACAACAGGTGCACGAAGTGTACTCTGCCGTGAGACAAAATTACTACGAAATGACTAGAATACAACGGTCATTCTTGGGCTAAAGCAGTAATGTTGATCAGTCATCGAAATATCATTTTTATTAACGAGCTCTTCTTTTTCCATTAAGGACTGCATTTTCTTAAAGGGCTACAGTTACACGTAACCAGTAAAGGCCAAAATAATTTCCGCAGCCGCTGCAAGAGACATGAAAAATTGCATGGACCTGCTTGAAATACTTCGAAAATGACCGAACTCAATGCACCCAGGCGTACAAAAGAACAATCAGAGATCGAAGATCCAGAGTTCCGGAATCCAGTTTCAGTTTGGTACTTGTGTTACACCCTTCTCCTTCAACGTGGCCCTCTTCGTTTCGGGCTAGCTGACGGCGAACTGTCAGAATGAATGCGTTTCCGGAAACTCGTTGAAGGATCATCCGTAGCGCTCATCAATCCCCAATCCTCCTCGCTCATCGTGCCAGAAAGCATCCTGCTGAAGTTAACCAATGGAGATTCCACTTGCTGTTGTTGGCGGTATACCCTCAGTTTTGCAGCCGTGTCGTAGCATTTCACGAACAAATTTGGTGAGGAAACGATGTATTTGTTATACCTTTTATTACGGCACTCCTGTAGAAAAAAGTGAATAAGGAAACAAACAATTTACCAACAAGGAACAAAATACATCCATAAAAAATAACTTTGACGGCAATCCGAAGTCATAGAGCAAAACTATGGTAAAGCTTACGTGGAATAAATGTCCAGGAGCTGCGCAGTTGCAGCAGTAAAACTGTTTGTTTCTCGTCGGTGAAACAATCAAGCCGCTATCCGATGTAATCTAAAAAAACACTAAAAATTGAACCCTATACATGGGAAACTGCAGTACACTGCCTACTATTACCGTAGCATGGTACTGCCGCCAGGTTTCAGTGCAGACCGCGTCTAAATGACCAACAGATTGGCAACGTCGGCATGTCAGACGCAACGCCTTCCAGTGGAAAGGGCATTCATTCTGCAAGTGTTCATAACTGTGGCATATCCCGCACATTATCTGCGGACATCGGTGGTGCTGGACCGGCGTCCTTTCGCCACAACAGCAACATATTTGTGATCTCTAATGCATAGGTAAACCGAAACTTTAACCAAAGAAAGGTTTAAAAGAAGTAAATACCGAAACATGAAATTTATCAGGGAAACATACTTGTCGTTTATCTCTTCTTTGAAGATAAACTCCATTTTCCCGCATTCTGTCGTAACCACTAATGCCCCAGACAGCAATATCGTCTGTAATTTGGCAGATTGTTGACAATTTTCACGGGTACTTTTTATTCGTTGCAGCTGATTTCCTACCTGGCAGAGCAGCCATGATTGCATCCAAACATAAGAAATCGGATGATAAATGTCCAATCCGTGACTTTACTGCGGGTTGCATTGGACCGGATGCCGGTGGGATGCGTGCAGAATGGTTTAGACGTTGTTCAACGCCGATGTCCACAGGAAATCCTGGTTCACCTACAAGAAAATTATTAAGATAAAAAACGAAATAGCTGCCAAGGAAAAGCAACATGTTTCACAAATCAACCTTCCAACGAACTTCATGGTAAATGCAGAGTATTGGTAAATGGTAACCAGCTGAATATTAACTGATTAATTGGTAAGCAACCGAATATGGATTACATACTATAAAAAGTAGTGTTATCATGACAGTAAAAAGCTAGCTGTGAAAGTAAGCAGTAAAAAACCGAAACTGTCTACACTTTACAAAATTATTAGACAGCATCAAAGATCATATCATCGCGGAATAACACAAAATCCCCAACGCAATAAGTGCGTAAATAAACTGTGCTTAAATCACTCACAGAAGGCAAATTACAGTAAACTCGAGGCTCTGGATTCATTGCACAAAAAAATCCGAAATACCTGGTGGGAGGAAATTCGTATGGGCGTCATGACTATTTTCACCACCATCCCACCCGTTTCTGTCGCCAGCGTCCTCGCGTTCCCAATCAGAGAATATCCCACTCAGTACATCTTTCTCCAACGCATTCGACAGCCGCGGTAACCTGTAACGTCTACGAACATTTTCGTGCGCTGAACGATTCCGTGTCGACATATCCCGATCGAACACCGCCGCAATCTCCGCATCCGAATCATCCCAAGCATCCGCATCAGCGGGAATCACGCGGGAGGATACAGGCAGAGAGTCGGTGCTCTCGGATAGAATACTGACGGTGGACTGCTGCGCAGGATGCGATACGCGCGCAAAATGCACGCTATCGCCATTGAGCAAACTGTTTTTCACCGATTCGACCGCAATTTGTGCTGGCCGCGACGGCATCGGAAGCCTCGATGCAGGATGGATTTTTTTCGTTGCTTGATCCTGTGGGTGTATTAATTTTTGGAAAAAACTCGGTGTTTTAGCTGCTTCGGGCGCGGAGTCCACACGCAAGCGTTTTGTTCCGTACTGGGAATTATCTTCATCGTCATAGTCAGCTGTTCGTTTAAATTGCGCATCCGTGCGAGCGAATCGTCTTCCAGCATCATGTAACATATCATAATGCGAATGGACTGCAGGATGGACAGTCTGACGGAGGTAGTGCTCCCGTTGCTCCAGAGGAGGGACGGCACGCAGATAAATATCAGATCCCCGTGCGTCAGGCAAGGCACTGTCCCATGAAGGATAACTCTGCAGCGATTCGGATGACGACATCTGGTGGAAGCTCAACCGTGCTTCGGGACGATGGTACGGCGACAATACGGGACCGGGACGAGGGGGACAGCTCGCCAGATGGCTGTGGCGAAACGGGGATGTGAATGTGATGATGGTGGTCGAAGGGAAGCAAGGGGGGTCGGGGCCCCCGTGGGTGAGGTGCGGGGATTGGCGCCGTCGGAGCCTGATGATGATACAGTGGCGGCTGCAGATGTGGTGGTACAGGCGGCAGTGGATGTCGCATGGGCTGTGGTGGAAACAGCAAAGGCTGCGGGGGATATGGATGAGTGAGTGCGTGAAATGGAAACGACATGGTTTCTCGACTGGAATCATAGGGCTTAAGTTAAGGGGATTATTTAGCACTCTGACAGTTCAGGATCGAACACCAGATAACATCACCACGAAATAACAATAACCGAAAATCAAACCAGAAAAAACATCGGTACTTCGAAGTATAGGTTTTAACTTTTAGAGTTATTTTGTTTTTACGTTAAAAAATAAAAGTTAAACTTGTAGAAGGTCCAGCACTTGTAACGAGTTGTAAGTGCAGCACTCTGCTTATGTAAACAGTATTAAAAGTAAAGTACTGTAGTGTGCGTCTGATCCCGCGACCGTTGTCCGATCGTTAGTTGCCCTTACACACCGATAAAATCTGCTTACAGACGCCCGTTACGGCGGTTGTTACCAACTTCGTTCAATTAACACTTACAGCAGAATGAGCAGATACAAACAAAATTATCGAGAACATTTTATGAAAACAACTTGTCGCGGATTCAATGTGCAGTTTCTAAATGAAAGCCGAAAAACAACTACCGCAGGACAGTTGAGCAAATTTTAAACATTCAATATGCCTGTTTATGCACTCATACAACATTCATCACGTGTGTTAACTCAACACTACTATCCGAACCAGAGAAAACACGTATACTTACACAACCTTTCAAGAGCATCATCTATCCACATAATAAAAAAACCTTCCGAAAAACTGCGCAATATAAACAAAGAAAACCAGCTTCAGAGATTCTAAAACAAGCAAAACTAACCACAGACTGGAGAATCATGAGGCAAATTTTGGAAGCCAACGCTGAAGAGTACTGTTCACTGTAGTACTGGCGGCGCGGATTGGGGGCCGGTGAAGTCATAAAACTAGCACTAGTCCGCAGCGAACGATTCATCTGCTGCTCCGCTAGATGCTGTGCCACAAGGGCCAACCCTGCCTTCTGCTGTTGACGCGCTTCGGGAGTAGGCTGGATCAACTTCACCTTATGGTTAAACTTAATTCCGAGTTGCCGGCAGGCCGAATAAATGGTGGTTTAGGAGAAAAGGAAGGAATTCGAGTGGGTGGGAGCATTTGCTAAAATAGCAAAATGCAAGTTAACAAAATATAATAAGGTAAATACTGTGATGAACTAATTTGAGATTGTGACTGAATTCATTCTTAACATTACGTTTTCAACAATACACCAGAAAAACGATACAGTAATAATTGTTCTCAATAACAATAAACTTGACTGTCGCAGTTATGTATGTCCATTGAAAGTTTTTGGTGCTTAGTTTGTATCCGATGTCAGATACTTATTAAGGGTGATTAGACCATTGAACGCATTGATAAAATGTATTTTTATTCTAATAAGTAATCACAACTGCTAAATTATCCGTAAACCACTAAAGATACTGGTGTACAGTGTACACTTCTCAAAATATCAGCACGTACACTAACGGGGATATTGGAATGAATACTAGGCCGCTTTTTTAACGGTTTGGACACCGCAAACTGCTTTCCATTGACGGCAGACAATGCTGGGCGGCTAAAATCAGGTTTCACGTTCGACACCAAGCCTCCCACTTCACTTCCTGAAAGCATAAAAAAATCAGTTTATCAGTGTGTATCGTTTATCACACCTCGAACTAAACAACCGCTCAAACTTTCTGGTTAGCTTACAAGTGAAGTACGTTCAGCGTATTTTTCAAGATATGAATGTGCAAATCAGATAGGGACACCGACAAAATCACAAAAGTTACAAAGTAAAACCACAAACCTGATTCAAACCGCACATGCTTAGTTGAAACAACACTTTTTTCCGCGCTGTTAAACCACTCCTTGCGCTTCTTCAAGTTGTCAGTTGTCGGCGTGACCAGCAGATTGCCGGGCATACTGGCAACACTAGCATTCAATGCGCTCGTGTCATTCCCCAGTGGCATCGAAACGTTACTGCCTTCATCACTCTTCAACGAGAAACTGGTCATGGAGATTCGGCACTTCTGGCTTTCCACTATTTGCTGTGCGCGGAACATATTCTGCATCTGTGACCGTTTCGGTGATGTTCCCAACGAGATCAGACTTCCATCCATTGTACCACTTCGGACCGATTCACTGTGCTGGCCATCCACAGTCCCGCTCTGTGTACGGATCACAGAAGTGTGTAGTTGTGAGCGTTTCGGAGAACTGGTAAACGACAGCAAATTCGCATCCATCATATCGAATTTGACCGACTCATTGTGCAGACCAGTTTGCAATTCCTTAATTCTCGTATTCAATCCTATCACTAGCTCCTCCATCTCCGTCTCCTTAGCAGAAACCGCATTCTGACTAACTTTTACTTCATCTCGTAGCAGTGCAATCTGGGCATTCAGACTCTCCACTTCCGACTCCAAACTGGTTTTTTCGCAGCTCAGTACTTGCTTGTCCTTTACCAACTGCTCATTTTCCACAATGGTCTGGTCGAACATTTCCTCAATTTTGTCGTATTTCTCCTGTAACGTGCGGTACTTTTCGGGTAGCGGGGTATCATCGTCGTCGTCTTCCATCGACATTGTCCGTTTCATTTCTTCGGCTTGAGCATCCAGCTGTGCTTTAAGGTCCTCGATGATTTTACGCTGACTGTCCACAACCAGACGGACATCATTCACTTCACCTTCAAATTCCTGTGAGATAAGAGCAATGTTCAGGTTCAAATCAAAGCACAAAAGGTCATCGTTTGTACATATAATTCGCGCATTAATATTCAAACCAACTCTTAACTAAGATCTCATTGTTAATCAACAGTGGCTTTAACACCAAGAGGTTCATTCTGCAGTATGACAACTAGGTAAATGCACAAGGAAAAGCCATAAAAAATTCAAATACACCATATTATTTACCGAGAATTTAAAACCCAATAAGCCGTTCAAAACCTTTTTTCATAAAACCTACCACAAGGCGTTTTTCTGCCACTTCCAGACGTTGCAGAGCGCCAGCCTTTTCGGACTCCGCTTTAATTTTGTGAGCCGCAGCCTCTTCCACTAGAGTCAAAACATCCTTAGCCTCCGTAAGCAGCTCCTGAACTTTGGCCTCCCGTAAGACTTTTTCAGCGGTCAAAATGTCCAGCTGAAAATTCACTTGTTGCAGTTCCTCGCACAGCGCTTCATTCACCTCGAAGTCATGATGCGGCGTCTGGACTTCTGCCCGCGGAGATGGAGGTTTAATCAGCTGGCGAACGAAACGACGGGGAGGAGAATTCATATCCAGTGACATATCCGTTTGGGCCAGAGCGAGCGATGGCTCGTCCGTTTGAGTGGACATCTCCTGACCGACCTGCAGTGCAATGACGTCATTCGCTCATGATTCCGAATTGTGAAATTTTCTTGTTGAAACAAATTATCTGAGAAACGGAAAAGCTGCTCGAATTTTTCAGTTCTGTCGGTATTATATTACTAAAACTGGTTCAGCGAAAAAGTACAAAAAAATTACCGAGTTTTGGTTCGAGGTTTACAGTTTTCACAAAGTACCACTACCAACTACCAAGTCGCAAAGATCGCTGCAGTAATCACAAAGAAAACACTTAAAAATAACACAAACTAGATTTTTTACAACGCATTTCACCAACAAGTCAATAATAACGCATGTCTAGTCGTTCAATATAAACGTTACAAACGCGATAACATCGTGGCTACTTCCCTTGAGGTATCATTTTACGAACGTGCGAAACGTAGCAGTATTCAAAACAATACTGCTTCGCTCCGATGCTACCCTAACTGTCCCTAAGCCTCCATGAACAGCTTTAATCAAATTACTTTTACTGCGTACGGATTTGAGATTTTATTCAACTACCCTGTCAAGGTTTCGCATTTTACGACCGGCACACACAAGTGACACAATGTATGTTTGTTAAATATTACAACGAATTTGACGAATCAGAATTCAAACGTACCACTTTGTCGCAGACAGGAGTCACGAGGCTCTGTTCTTCTTGGGAATCGGCTTCATCCTTTTCCGTCTGACAGCCAACGGTGTCGAAAGTCTGACAGTAAAAAAATTGAATCGGAAGATAAGGACGCAATCACGATAAAAATTTCAAAAAAACCAAATTATTATCGTAAAATGAGCTTGAGGAACTAATGCTCCGGTGCTTATCTGAATAAACGGCTTCAATCAGATTTATCTCTTATGGATTTGTAATTTTATTCAGTTATCAAGGTTTCATATTTTACGACAGTCAGTGGTCCGGCACACACAATGGATGAATTTACAATTTTACAGTATGTTAAACAATACAACGAATCTAACGAACCAGTTTCTCGCACACGGGACTTTGTTGCTCTCTGGAATCCGTTTCATCCTGATCCGTCTGACAGCCAACGGTATCGAAAGTCTGTCAAAAAATATAATGGCGACTTAATAAGATATTAGAACCCAACCTGGTCCAACTATGATAAAAGTAAAAACAACAAATTATTCAGCGTAAAAATGTAAAATACCAAAATAAGCCTGAAGAGGTAAAGCGCAGCAAGCTTCACAAACGGTGTGACACGAACTAAACCTGAAACCTGATAATGCATTTACGTACGAGGCAATGCTGGTGCTGAAGTTCTTGGACCTCCAGGATTGGTTCTTCAGGTGCAAGTGCCGTAGAATTTTGGCTGCCATTCGAGAAAGAAATTACTCCGCACTTTCCGTTAACATGCTCTAGAAGCTCCGCAATAAACGCCAGATCCACCAGGAAGATCAGGCCACAGACGTCGCGAGCCAATAAAAGTTTCAGAAATAACCAGCAATGTAGGAGTACCAGTGGTGCAAAACGTTGATTCCACAGAAACTGCAGAAAGCTCTCCATTCTGCAGGCAGCAGGCCGTAAGGGGATCCTCGCCAGTCGCCGTTATGGCGCTATCGATTCAAAAATCTACTCTTTCCGGTTTAGTGGACCCTCAGAACTTCCCGTCTGTAGCATCGTAGACTTTGAGTTTAAAATTTAAGGTAACAGGGAGAATTTGTCCACATCCCCGCTGACAAATCAAATTCGATCAAAATTAGCGCAACCAGTGTAAAGCTGCAACGGTCTTGCGTTATCCTGAACTCTGAAGTCAGTTTAATGAATGGCCGCGCACTAGAGCAACGAGCCTTGAAACCATAGCCTCTCCATTACAGTACAGTAAAATCCAATGGAAGTCACATCACCGCCATAAAGCTTTACAGTATATTAATTTACTAGCGCACAAGCGCACTATCGCAGTACTTGATTAAAATTAAAAATTATTACAACAATAAAAAAAATAAAAATGCTTGTTAATTTTGCGAGCGGGATTTCACACCACAACTCATATATGCATGTTAAACATACATGCATATATGATAAACAACGTAAAAGTAAAAGAAGACACAAACAAAAATGATAGTAGCAGATAACGAAGTGAACACGGTATGTATTGAATCTTGTGATGGTCCGCCATGTTCATTTCAATATTAAAGGGCGTTTCCTGCTGGTGTTACATGTACAGATAGACATCATACATGTAAACTTTTGAACCATTTTGATCACACTGTTCGCACATAACATATCACATAACAACATAAAAGTCTCCATATGTGGGTGCTGCAATTGCATTATTAATTAATTTCGAACGCTGCATCGTACATGCAGTGATGAGAAATTATTGGGATGCAATTCAGCATCGCCACCAAGTGGACATGGGAGGAGAATTCCGATTGACGGGTAGCAGTTTCGTCACAACTAAGATCCCGAATATCTACGACGTATCATATTCATCGCAATCAGTGCATCAGCCGGTCGACCAAGCGGCCTTTCGGTCGGCACCGCAGTTTAGCCAAGCTTACCCTCGTCAGAAAAACCATATACTTTAATGGTAACTTTTGAATTAGACTTAGATATTACAGATGATCTCCTTGTTTTATAATACTTACGAATATGAAACATTTAGATATGGATATAGAACATCATTTTGTATTTATTTCGACATATATCACATAACTGGTACTACATAAAAAAACCAACATCCGAGACATACTTTCTCATGAAAACACCAACATAATCAGACCAAAAAATCAAACTGGATAATGCGTCAGGAGCGTAAACGGTGAACTGACAGAGTGCTAAAAATTTCAAAATGCCAGCATGGACAGCAAAAGCGGCTACTAAATGCATCAACAGCTAATTAAAACCAGGATAACAAGTACAATGATGGATGTCGACATCCACGCATTTCCCGCTAAATTTGCGTTCCGGCCATGGAGCTGCATAGAGCAATAATTCATCTGCCCTGTAAAACATTAAAGATCAGCACGGCTGATTTGCGTACATATGATATGTTTCGTCGCACATTATTTTCCTTCATTCACGTAAGACCATTCGTTATCAACAAAACGCTACCATATGCATAGACTTTTGATACACCACCCACAAAATTGCTGTGCATGTTGACATGCAGTTAGTAAGAAAAATATCTTAAATTAAGCATTAGTGTTTCTGTTACGAAATCATTTGGCCAAAACAAATTTGAGAATCGTCACTTCGACAAGAAAAATTTTAAATTGTTTTTACGAATAAAACTTCAATGATCAGTACAGTGCAGAAACCCCACGCTGATTTACTATCTTTTATTTTTTTAAATATATCATTTAAAAATTAAATAAGAAAAATGCTTGCGAAACGTGGCAAAACGAATTTCAAAAACGTAATAAACTTATCATCAACGCATCCCTAATTACGCAATAACTCATCGTCAAAGCACTTACATGTCGACATGCAATCAGACGACAAAAGAATTAACAAAACAAAATTTTAGTACGTTAAATCTGTCATTGTTGCACATTAATAAAACCTAAAGAAAAATCGTCTGCATTAAAAATATAACTTGATCGGTTTCTTACGTTGCCTAATTTTTTACTCACGTTTTCAGTCCACAAGAAAAAACAAAAGTTATGGTTACAAAAAAAACTACTTATTTCCATAAATCAAAACTCGTTTGGGATCTTCTAGGCAAAATAGCGCTTTATTCTACCCGTCGATTACCTGTTGCTTTACTGCATGTCGTCATGCACAATCGTCCAGCGACGCAGTGCTTCATAAGGACCTGCAAATAAAAAATACACAATGATTCAAAACATTTTATTTTATGATGCTTGGTATGGAAGGCTGTTCGCTTAGCTCTTACCTTAGGACTTCTCCAACATTGGTGTGGGTCCTCACATCAGTGCAGACTGGGTTAAGTGCTGCACCTGCTTTCATAACATGCCGTGCCTGACAAGCTCAACGCACAAAATAGCAATACTTCCAGTGCTTGCATTGACCATTAACGTTCTAATTTGGCTGTCGACAGCCATAAAACCAAAAAAATCGTAGAGGATCAAAACAAAATAACAAATCGTCTGGAAACACCGTGGTAAGACTGCGAGAAAGTCGAAAATCGCCGTTACTAAAACTGGCTGTCGAAATCAATTTGATCGCAACGGCGCTGAACGTGATCTGGGGTTGAACATTGAAATTGCCTTACAGCCAATCAGAAGCAGCATAAAAGTGGCCTGTAGTTAGCGTAGTCTGCAGCAAAAGTATTGCAGTCACCGCGTGTGCAGTTTCGCGTAATTCTTTAAACTTTGTCGTTAAAGCTTTGCTTCCAACTAGTTAATTTGGCGCAGTTTGCTTCAAAAGACTTTTGCTTTTTCGTTTTTGCGACTTTTGTGACTTTTGCTTTGGAGGTAATAATTCTTGTCGGTCGACCGATCTTCTTGTTCTTGCACAGAAACTATGTGTTTCATAACTGATTACGTAACAAGGTTTGCAGAAAAACTTTGATACTCTATAACGGCCACACATGGATCGAAATTGCTTTTTAGGTTATGTGGCGAGGCGACCAATGTCGGTCGACCGACAAAGCTTTCGCTTTAGATTAATTACCTTAACATTGTTATTTGCATCGAACGGTGATAATTTCATATTGGTTAAGAAAATAAAATTTTGCTTTTGCTATCGCCAACATAGACGGCTAACTTAGATACAAATTTTGATGTTCATGTAAAACTTGATTTCTACTCGGCTGCCAAAACTATGCCGAGGATATATTTTGTGATAGATTGCGGAGATGTTCGATTATTTTGATGTACTTTAGAAAATACTTTTTGACGAGGGTTAAGTACTGGATCACAGGAAATTCACAGCCAAAAAGGCACTGTCCATTGTGCAGGTTAGAATGTTGCCTTATCTGATCCGGCGGGTTGTGGTGGATGACGAACGTACGCCTAGTGCGTCCGTAGGGAGCTGCGGCTCCGCTGTTGAAGAAGAGCAGGGCCGATCTTTAGCCCACGTGTCATTGAGATTTGAAGCTGTATCAGGATGACCTGGTTGGTGTACATGACACATCAAACGTCAGTCGTCGATCAAAGTCCGAGTTTTTAAGTCTGAGTAAAGTGATCATGATTGAACAATTCAAAATCAAAACATCTTTGTTGCTGTAATTCTACGAATTACAGCAACAAAACCCCGTGGAACGTGACCAATCCAGTGCTCCAGTGTCCAATCCAGTGTCCATATACAGGCGATGCAGGTCCCTAGCCGCATTGCACGGTAAAATACTAGTAACATGGAGAGGGGTTCCAAATGATACATAATATTACCCATCAAATTTCCGGCAATAATCATATAAGCATAATTTGAATGCTTAAAGTTACGAGTCACGACACGTCACTTGCTTACTATCACCATGCAAATCTGAAAACCTTAAATCGCTAACGCGCCAGAGGTCGACTGCGAGGCTGACTACACGGTCGACCAGTGTCCAGCTGAGAAAGGTCATTAAGGCGTTCCGATGGATTTCGATGTCTTGGGTTTCGGTGCCTTGTAGAGCTCGACTGCTCGATTACAGCACGGCAGTTGGAGAAGGAGGTTACAGAAATATTTCGTCGAGGGTTTTACTGAAGTTTAGTACTAAGAACAGCAACATCGTCCATGTTTTCACCGTTGTAGACAGAGGTCAACGACGCTGCAATATCCGTGCCCGATCAGCATCCGCTGCTATCGTGCTTTACCACTGCGACAGGATGGCAAAACCCCACAATCGCTTCTGGGCCTATAAGGAGTGCATAATGCTAACGTATGGAGCCAGGAAATGAATTTTCACTTTTCAGCAATGAGCAGCCAGCTGGTAACAAGGCCTTGACGAGTTCGTCCATGAACGGTCAGGTGGGCTTCTTCACCAGAGCCATCAGGCATTCGCCATTCGGACTACGTTAACGAAGCACTCCATTAATTTCAGCGAGACAGGAGAGTAATCCGGATTATTTGAAAGCGGGGGATAATGGCAGGAGTTTCGATTCGTCTAGTTCGTGGATTGATTCTCTGGTAATGTCGCCGATCAAGGAGGGGAACAATCAGTGGATGGGTGGGGTAGCGGGTACGACGAGGAGACGGCGTTTCCCCAGCGGAAACTCAGCTTCCGTGGAAATCATTGATTCTGCCAGGTTGCAAATTATTAGTGTATAATTTTGTGCGGAATCGAAGAGGGAGAATTTATAACACTCACTCCTCGATTCGTTTTATATATAATGCCGTTTTTTCTTGTAATCGATGATTTTTTTTAAAAAATTATTTATTGCACGCGTTGTTGTGTTTTTGATTACGTTTCCACAACTAAGTTGAACTAACTGCTTAATGCCAAGCCACTGTTTATGGTTAGTAGCGCGCAGAATGGCGATTTTGGACGCCTTAAAAATGCAGCGAAGACTTTGAAACTTCCCATTGTAAAAATTAATTCGATTACGCATATTTATCGACCAAAAAACTATAGAGTAGTATGCAAAATTTAAAGCTGAAGTATATGCAGTGTATATGTACGTAGTATCGTAATAATGCAATTTCTTCATGGTGTAAAATGCAGATACAAGATTATATGCACGCACATCCGCGTAGCAAATAACAATGCACTTTCCACAGTCACGGTATCCTTAATTATACCTTCTGCCCTATTACAACTGCAATATTACTTAGGAGCCGCAAAGAAATAATGAATTAGATTTAAAAACATTGCTGAGTTTTCTTGACCATTCGATGCATCGTAACTGCGCTATCTCATACTCTCAGATATATTTACGATTTAAAACTAAAAAAGGTTGCTCAGCGCCTGCAACAAATTCGACCCAGAAAGCGTCATTAAAAAACGCAACAAATGTCGGTTTGTCGTGCGCAAGCGAGTATTGATCGGGTATATTGCGCTGCGAGTAATGCTCCGTGTTAGTCAAGTCATATTTCACAACTGTAAATTACACAATTCATGTCGTGTAGATTATGGAGATCGATACGACGCGGACAATACAATGGTAGTCAGAATACATTTATATTATGGAGGATACACAATATACGAATGCGTATGCCGGTACATTATACTCCAGACACGCAATGGATTCGCACTTAAATCGGTCAAGCGTAAATGTCCAATCCCACGCTCAGGTCATTACGTTGGAAAATTTTTCACATTTTTGCACTGCATTTTCCCAGCGTCCACAATGCGGATGCTGGGAAACGATATATTTAGTAGAATATTCTAGCTGCAGAATGGGGGCACATTTGAGGTTGCATGCTGACTGAAAGGGCAACAGCACTTGATGGCGGTAATTTTTTGCCCCGCACACACACTGTTCCACACCTACCGGCGTGGCCCGGATGTGCACATGTGAAAGCCAAATATGCCCTTTTGAATTATTCCATTCCCAGAGAACATATCGTAAAGAAAAGTCAGAAAGTGCCACTTATGAGCGATGATTGGGAAGTTGCATAACCGATAGAAAAAATAAGAAGTCGGGGCAACGCATTAGGTCACGCATTCTATCAGAGTGTTGCCAACGTGAAGGCAACACAGCGAAGATTGTCGCGTACAGTAATCACGACAATAATATGAAATTCTACTATAAAATTACTAATAATAATGTCGTTAAAGTGCATATTTTTTACGGGTGGGCGGCAGACTGAATGACCTCGTCCTTGCCGCACAGAACGATACTCTGCCAGTTGTGTACGCAAGTCGTATTCATCCGTTATTCGTGCCCGTGTCTGCAGGAATTATGGAAATTAACAGTATTGTGCTTAAATTTTTTTTCGGATCAGCTAATGTCCCCAGAGACAACCTATTCACTTTGTCGTGATGTAAAACGGCTGCCCAAAATCATGCATCGTGCACGTGCGACACACCCTTCGCCGTCGCGATACGCTACATACTTATAGCTCATATTAATTTGCCACTGTAAATACTTGTAGTTCAAAATCTCCATTGTCGCAGCGGCTTCGTTCAAACTAATTATAAGTTTCTATTTGAAAAAAGTTCGATTTCGGGAAAAGAAAAGAGTGATGCATGTTGCTTAAAAAATTGGTGTATCTGTAATTTATCAACTACAGCTGAACTAAAGTATTCCTGCATGTGATATGTGTATGAATTTTGCGGGATTTAACAACAGGTGCACAAGGTGTAGGTGGGTTCCACGCAAAAGCGTTAATTAGAAATCTTTTTCTGGAATAGTGCAAGTAATTCGCCTTTGACTTCACGTGCACTTGTTTACCCAAGTGGCTTCGTCATACAGTTATGTAATAATTCAACACTCCCTTAATATGAAATCTAAGAGAACTATTTGCTTGCCTGTGTTTGTTGTATAAGGTTACATATGATGCGACCTTTACAAATTCGCAGCATAAAGTACCTCGGTAGACTGAATCAATACTCAGATAAGATGCGTGTCAGATGAAAAATTACAATAACCTCAATTCAATATTATGGTTTAGTAAATTCAGTTAGTATCTCAGGGCATTGTTGCTATTGCCAAGAATCCCGATGCGAATCAGCATATCATGGATGTTTCTTAATTAAATCAGTTCAGTATCGTACACTTCTGTCCGCCGCGAGCAAATCGCTACAAACGTCAGATACCAAATATTATGTGACCCGCACTAAAGACGTACAACTAACTTATACCGGTGCATGTGATACCAGTACTTCGAATGCTGCCTTATATGGGCTCCCCTTATATTACTCTCCCTTATCTGGGCTCCCGAGCAATATGAGCTACCCTCTACATGGGCGGTTACGTTATTGCTCACCCTTTCGCAGCTGTTATCAGTGTTATGACTGACTGAAAATTTTGATTATTTAAAATACTTAATTTGGCCAGTACTTTTGTAGCATTTTTCAGTTTGTTCATTGGCAAATCCGGTTGAAATTAATGTAAAATATATATAAATAATATATAAAAATATAATTCGGATGTGAAATTTCGGAATTCTTTGATGTGCTCACTGGTAAATCGGACTGAAAGAATTAAAAAAGATTTCTGCTACAAATCTGATAAATTTAATTTGACGGGTATTGCTAACTAGCCGGGAGCCCAGATAAGGGAGAGTAATATAAGGGGAGCCCATATAAGGCAGCATTCGAAGTATGGCATCGAGTGCCGGTGACAGTGCCATAATATTTTTTTAAATTATAACAACCTTGAGCAGAATCTTAGTCAATTAAGGTCTTTATTGTTGAATGAGCTGTTTCCCCTCCCTGGTTCAGTAACGCATAACCGCAACAGGACGCCAATTAAACTTTACCGGTGCATGCCGATCCTTTGCGGCGCCGCTTAAGCAGACATTTACAACATAAAATATTCAAAAACGCTGTGCGAAACTCTTTGGAAAACCCGGCATAAATGAGTGGGTTCAGTGCGGAGTTAAAATAACCCAGCCATACAAAGAACGCATAAATTCGGTGATCCAGTTGGCGGCATCCTTCACAAAACGGCTGCAGTGTATAAATGAGAAAGAATCCGAACCAGCAGGCCACAAATGAGCACAAAATAATCAGCAGGACTTTAAAGACCTTGCGTTCCCGGTCCTTAAAACTGGACAGCCGCGAGAGAGCCGCCTGCCCGTTGACCGTGACACGCCGGCGCAGACCGCGCCCGCGCGGTAACTCGTCCAGTCGCAGGCTGCGTGTCCGATCCAATCCGTTGCCGATTATTGGCGGGGCGGTGGCCGAGGCCATGGGGAAATTAGCAATGGGCGACACGTCATCGAATTTAATCTCAATTAAGGCCGTCGACGACGAGAGATGGGTTTCGGTAATCGAAGCACCGCGGAGGACCATTTGTCGTGCCGTGGCCGGCAGCTGCTGTAGGAGTCCACCCACATCGTGTAGTTCATTGGAGCTGGTGGACGGATAGGACGGCGCAACATTATTAGGTCCATTAAGCACGGGACGGACCGGATTGTGTTTTATACTGGAGTAACTGCATGATTTATGCCGATCGAGGATCTGATTTTTACGGCCAGCCACGGAGAAGATGCGAGCATAACAGAACAAGATAATAGCCAATGGAATCCAGAAGGAGCCGCAGGCCGAATAAACACGATAGATTTCATTGGTGACATAATTGCAGCCTCCCCCGGCTGTTGCATCTTCAAAGATGCCCTGGAGAAACAGCGGCGGCATGCAAATGACCACCGAGACTGTCCATGCTAAAGCTAAAGAACAAGATAGCGAAATTAATATAATTTTCGTCATGCTAAGTGTATACATAATACGTTATGTATAATCTATTGGTCACTGGTACCGATCAAATAAATGGCCACTTTCTTCGTCCGCCGCGCCCCATACCACAATGGCCAGCTGATAGCCATAAACCGTTCCCAACTGATAATCAACAAATTCCAAATGCTGGCAGTACAGAGAAACACATCGGCTGAGATAAATATCCAGCAGACCAAGGTGCCGAAATACCATTCACCACCCGTTACTTCCATGACGGCGCTAATTGGCATGACTAAAAAATGTAATGGTATATCATTATCAGCAGCATTTTTTTTGTCCCAGAAGACGGTCTGCCCTGTCGTGTCTCCGTTACACACGCGGGATGTTATTGTAAACGCATTCGATTTTACCGGTTGTACTGACGCATTCAACCAGAAGCGGAAGTATTTGTTATTTCACAATCATATTGGTAAAATGAGTAAATATTGCGCATGTGGGAATGGTTAAGGTGTCCGTTTTCGATCGACATCTTTGCGTCTGTTTGACAGCAAATGCTGCGTTGTTGGCTTTATAATAACGAGACGGACACAGAATGCATAATTTATTCGCAGTTTTGAATTCCGTTAAAAAAATATTTTGCGCGATAACGTATGTGTCCGCCTACTGTTTTCAAGCTGAATGTTTCTTTAATTTGATGGGAAATTAAATAAATAAGTTTAATGTATATAAATATATAAACAATTCATTGCATGCACATTGATTAAAGTTTTGTGTAATATTAACCGTGCTTGTGTATGAAAGCTGACAGCTGTTAACCTTTAAAATACTACGTATATGTATACACATTTTCTGAAGATTAACCGCTGCATTAATTACGTATTTCATATTTTTTTAGCTTGATTTGTCTTTTTAAATGTTAATCAAGCTGTAGAAAGTCAGAAATCCATACAACAGAGTTGCTGTCGCGCGTCTGCTGGGAAGTAGGAACGTGAATATGTGTACAACTACGTATTTCTTTGTAGCCTGAAGACATTTGTTCACGCATGTTAGCAGAAACGCAGCTAAATTGGAGGCCTCGTTGGTTGGCATTAAAATCCTTTTAGAATCCGTGAGATTAAGGGCTTGTTCCGACCCAATGATTTTTAACTGACTTATAATGCATACCATTTCACACCGTATTTGCTTTGCATTACAAGATTATTTTGAGCCGTACATGGTATTGTGCGCTAAGCAATCTCTTTCTGCGCCTTCGTAATTAAGTGTGCCTTTTTCTGTGTCATGCAGCTTTTGGATATGTTTTCAATATATAGATATTATGATCATGTACATATAATTATCTCTGCGTTTTTTATTAGGCAACAAATTCAAAAGCTGTATCTGGCTAATGCCTTATGCTAATTTGTATGCATAAAAAATATGTGCGCGTATGTAGCACAGCACAATCATTTCCCAAACAAAACATAAATTTGAACCGATCACCTGGGCGTTGACGTCAGTTATTAGCTGTGTCAAAAGAGATATCTACAGGCTAAATTGAATCTTTTGTAGTGCCCAGCATAAAAATGAGTTACCGAAAGGTGACGGTTTACGGCGAGAAGTTTATGAATATTCTCACGTCAGCAAAATAATTCACACCGGAAAACATATTGCAGGAATAGTCTTTATAAACCAGGAATAATGGCTTACCGAAATTAGCGACAAGTAAATCTGCCACGGCCAAAGACACGATGAAGCAGTTGGTGACTGTGCGCAATTTGCGGTTAAGAGCCACGGAAAGTATCACAAGCACCTACACCGGAAATCATGTAAAATTCACAATTTAATCAGCTACAAATCTATGCAATCCCAATGTACGCAAATCCTACTCGTAGATGTATTCATTAAAGTTCGGGGATTGTGTTGTGCTTCTGCTGGGAGATGCGGCGTATGCTCGCCGTGTAGAGTTTCTCCCGGATGAACACTGGATACTGTGTTACGCAACTTCGTACTGAATTCGCCATGCAGCTGGCGAGCAAATGACCTGCCCCGAGTGAGCATCCTAATAAATGCTGGGCATCTTATAATTATAGCAACAAAGATATTCCGCATAAGAGTGACAAGACATTAAACTATTTATCACACTAATAATAATCATACCAAAAGCTCGCCTGCCTGTTAAAGATAACAAGAGTGATCTTAATTAGTGCTTCAGAAATTAAGTTTTATTCTGTCATAATCTACTGTCTTGCTTTTGTAGTTCTGCGAGTTATTATTGCTTAATAAATGGGGATGTGTGCTGCAGTGTGCATTTGCACTGCAATGAAATCTGCCTAATCAGTTGTATTATGACAGTAGTCACAGTACATATCTCAAACACTAAACACTGACCACTATAGTACAAATTAAAATAAGGCAAATTTGAATTTCATTTAGGTAGTGAAGCGTAATGCATGAAACTTCAAAACGCTGTTGTGGTTTTTGAATAATCTGTAGAAATTTTTTAAATAATTATAGTCTCACAAACATAGCATGTTAATGCAGTTCTAACACAAGCAGATACCCCTTCTAACCATACGCGGTTATATGTAAACTGAAACAATTTCTCGGGAATGTGGTTTTAAAATTCTGATGCGTTATCACAGCTTAATATTTCTAATGCGCAGGATTATTAATTACATGTGCGGACCTCTCTACATCAGTTACAGATACCGTAGGTGCATGCATGCAGCGCATGCAAATGGTAACCATAATGTCAAAAGGTTAATATTTCCGGTTATTAATTATTATGAAGCTAAAGATGCACACAACTCCTTACCAAAAATATCAACTATCAACTACCCTAGCACATATCATCAGACTTTCGGATTTACAGTACTTTATGGTTGATAGCGTCTGTGACATTTTACGAGCCTGAAAACAATCTTACATTTCCAACCACGCCAACAATTGTCATTAATCCCAGGAAGATGAGCAGAAACGTGGCACCCAGTGTCCCCAGCTTGTATTCCGGGTTAACCTTTTCGGTCCCATTGTTAGAAAAGTTTCCATCAAAAAGCAGTTTGTCATGATCGGCAATATTCACTGCACCAATAATATTGGTAACCATCGTATGCTAAAACACATCCGCCAACAAATAAAGAAGTGTAGTCTGCATCAGGGATGCCGGCAGCGTATCTGGACATACGTGTGACAGCGGCTCACATCATGCAAATCAATTAATATCATTAAATCCATCCCGACAAGGACAAGAAAAGCATACATGGTGCACTGAAGATTTCCTGACTGCCACTGAACTTGCCATTTTTTATACAATGCTCTGCAGGCAGGATGTGCATGTATAGATATAAAAACTGTTACCGTTCCAAAAAGGTTTACAAAAAGGAAAATTAATCATCGCCAGGATCCAACGGATAATCGTGTTACGCACTGGCAGCACAACCGGTCAGTGGCAGTTTAGTTTTGTGGGTATGGGTATGTGTGACTAAAGAGGACAGTAATTATTCCGTGGCTGGCCGCTTTGCCGGCGCACGCAATCCACACATACACAGCTTCCGCCTAATCTTTGATGGTTGCGCCGACTGCCATACTGTATCGCGGGATAAAAAATCCTACCGTGATGATCATGATCCTGACTTTCAGCGTCCATTGTTAGCCGATGAAAAAAATCCATAGTATTAATGTCGGGGATTTGCGCGGGAGACGACGGGCATTATACGCGATGTGATTAACAAGCATGTTTATCATCACGTACAGGCCATGTCGTATTCCATGCTAAATAAGCCGCTTCCTTTATATAATTGGTAATCTAATTTACTCTGGTCGGCCTCCTCTTGCGGTCGGCGTCTTTTTCGGCTAAAATAGCACTGCAATTGCATCGAATTGAAATGTGAGATAATTAATAAAAACCTCCGGAGCCGAAATCTTATACTCCTTCTCTTTGTCAACCCGCTCCGACTCGATTTCCGTCCTGTTGTATGCCCGTTAGTGCCGGCTACTGTGTACAGTGTCACGCTCCACAACAAGTCAACATCGCGATGTGCGTATAAGTATTGTACGTACTCCTGAACGCCGTCGCCGCTGAAAATAATGATACCGGGTGATACGTATCTCGGTATCAGCACAGCGCGGCATTATTAAACTGTGCTCCGCGCGGCAAAGCTTTCGGAAGGGATTTGCTTCCTAATCAGCTAAACCGTCCTTGGCGAGTAAATGTGTCCGGTTTGATCCATATGTGCTACCGCCCACCCGTCCCGGCATCCTGTGCTGCCTTTTGGGACAGTGTATTTCTTTCCAGATTGTGAATTATGCAGTAGAAAGTGTCGTTGGACTCTTCACGTCGTCCATAGTGATATCATAACAAAACTGCACTCCCAAATTAAACGCTGGGCTGTGTCACCACATGTTGTGAAGTTTCATTTTCCGATGCGTCAATGTTTGTCGCACCAAAGTGACCCCACATCCGCGTGCATGTAAATATCTATATCATGCCTACATAATAATATTTGGTATCTTTGTTTGTTAAAATATGCTAATTGCAGGTAGTCGTACAGTAAATAGTTGCGACGATGTGCGCGGAGGCCGTATGTAATTGTATGTAAACCTGGATCATTGGTCAAACTATCCGTTCCGTTCCCGTGCCTCCGGGTTATTATTCAAAGGCTACACTGCCAAAAAGTGTTCAACAAACTTAATGTAACGTCTATAGACATATACAAGGAATGGTCTCGCTGCCTCCCGCATATAAGAATACATTCATATATTAGTCATATAAATATAAAAATATATTCGTTTGGATTATTCCGCAAAAAATCTGGGTATAAATACAGCTAGTGATATAAATTATGGACTACTGCGCCTGCAGGGCACAAGGAGAGTCTATACCGTGCACTAAATATTGGAATTACAAAGTTTATCGGTCTAGTCAGCCAGCTTAAAGAAGAAATTAACGCTGAAGAATTAGTTTTCGTATTTTGCGATAGTATAACATTTGTTTTTTAATTACCCTAAATAAATTAATACTGTGGTGCCAAGTGAATTCCGAACTATCCCGAAGTACACGTACTTTGATGGGCTGCCCCTGCTCAAAAGCTTACTTGTATCATTTGAATGAAAGGAAGTATATTTAAATTATTGTATCATTGTATTCGATAATAATCTAACAGTAAGTAATACTACTGTGCTCTTGCGTAAAACAAAATTTGGTAAAATTAATATTGTATAAGTATTATTCGGCAGCGACGTCGTTACTTCAGAACGGCTGCTGACCTCCAAATTACGCCATAGACGCTCTATATTTTTATTGCTGTTTATTGAACGTACATTAAGAAATATCACACCATTTAATTTCGAAGCGAACAGATTCGTAGTTGCTGCGCCTTTGAATTGTTTGTGATAGAAATAAAGATACTTTTCAAGTGCGTATAGATAATGGTCGATTGTCAATATTTTGCTGTCTGTTTTTAATTTATCACGCTATATTATGCAGGAGTTAGGCACTCAGAGAAACAACATGCGATACCATTAAGGTATCAAACTCACTATCGTCGACATGCAAAGCGCTTCGAGGGTCCGATGGGAATAAGTTTAATGTCTCCATACCGGTACGATCGCACTCAAAACATCCGCAAATATGTTACTACAAAATATAACAGATTGCGGCTGATCGTGACAGCCAAAACAATAATGGCAAAAGCAGCTACATGGTACTTACAGAAAACTGAAAAACATCATGATCACTATCCAAAAATACGTTGAGTGCGTAGATACACTAGTTTTATTACGGTAATTACTTACGCCCAATAAAAAAAAATATCCTAAAGGGAAATTTTCGGTGCTGTGCAACTAAGTATATCTGAATGCGTGTGCAAACTTGTTCTGTTAAAACGAAATTTGGAGATTAAGTTAAATTATTATATATGCGGATTCGTACAATTTACTGTATGTGTAAACAGTGTAGACGATATATGTAGATTGTGCTGTTCGAATGTAGAATTACTGCACCATATACTCGTATAACAACAATATGGAGAAATTTCTTTTGAACCTGTGGCTACTTTTAATCTTATGCACAGGGTGTTTCGTGCCTAGTGAAGCCCCTGCGCAGTGCATATTTGTCAGTAAATCCTTCAAAGGATCATGCAATGGGGATAAAGTCTGCTCGGATGCTTGCCGGAAAGAAATTAGTCAAGCCAAAGGGACCTGCTCCACCGGCAGATGCAACTGTGATATGTGCGAGCTTCTTATTCAACAGATTCGAGCCAAAGGTCAATTTTCCAACTGACCCTAATTTTATATACTAGTTAGTGGAGCTGGAAGGTTGAACACAACCGATATTGACATGGTACGTTGTTACTGTGGTTCAAAGAAAGTTTTAGAAATTACCGTTCGATTTCCAGTCAAGGCAAATACGGAGTTGCGGACTATCTATGCTTATGCGGTTATGAAATAGGACTGCACAGCCAAAATGGATTACTGTAAACTCTAAAAACTTTAGAAAAATTATACCCACTTTACTCGGGCCAAATCATTTCCTTTTGTGGTTTTCGCTGATCACTTGCTGTTCGCTTCACGCGTCGTATCGTTGTACGTACGAGCTCGAGTAACAAAGACCACGTGGAATAATTTTGCGCTGGTGCTTTTTTATCAGTTTAATTGTTTCGTTAATTAATTGCGGTGTGGCCGGGGCCGGAATTGTGCAATAAAGCGCAGCTACAAAACAGTCCGATGCTGTTACCTATCATCCATACTACGTGGTATACTACCATCCGTACAATATAGAACCTCGAATTTTGAATCCAAACGTGTATTGCTGTAGTCAACATCATTTCAAAATGTTCCGGAAAAGCAAATAGTGTTGTAATCAAGGTACAGTAAATTTGGTACAGATTCGGTATAGAGTCGAAATCCAGAGTCGAAGTCTAGTAGTAATGGTACCGTAGATAAGTACAGTAGGTACTATTTACATCTATAGTAAACGCATGGTAAAATGATGCGTAGCTGTTGAAACAAGTTGGCGGCCAACCGCTTCCGGTTGAATAATTGCTTGTTCCCGGTGTTCCCATTCTGGACTGTGCAACCGCATCGTATCTGCGACATTTATCATATAAGATTGATTCGATCAAAATGTCAGAATGTGATTGTCGGCGCACCATTGAGCACAACCATCTACAATGCAATTATGTACTCGTATTCTCCTATCGAAAGGCATTTTTTTACAATAAGTTAAAGTACTGTACTTTAATGTGCGTCCCAGATACCAGAGTAACAGACTCCACGGGGCACGGCCACACGAGACGAGTTAACCAGAATTACTTACGTCTTACCACCTACGGTACTCTGTATTTGCTTTTCCATATCTACTATTTGATTTTCCAGTCTTTTTTTACAGTCACTTCAGCTTTCCAGCGTCAAGAAATATTTACTAAATATATTGTTTCTTTGATGATATTTTTGGAGATTGGAATTCTGTATTATTGTTGATTGTCATCCCGTTTGTAGCAAGGCAGGGACTTGGAGTAACGCTGCAAGATGAATTAATCGGAACATTAATCACCGTATTTACGATTAATATTTATCCTTAACTCCTGTGTAAACAGTAAACTGCTTCACTACGTGACTACAGTGCTTTTTCTACGAAACACTGAAGTTGGTCTTCGATTCCAACATTAAGTGTTATGTAAGTCAGCCGATCACTACGCAGTCTTCACTATTGGAAAATGGATGATTCCAAACCATCCTTTATATATCCCAGTCACTCCGACGTAAAACACACCATGAACGGACAGTTTGAGCGTGGCGAATCCGATTCCAGTGAAACGGAAAGCGAGGACGAGATGGAATCTGCCAACGAGGGGGAGAGTCCCGTTGTGGCGTATGCGCACCCATCGTTACATCGTCCACATCTACGCAGTCCCTCATCGGAGGAAAGCTCTTCCGTGCATTCTAAACCTCCATCCCTGGCGTCGCACTCGCGTCTCTCCACTCCCATCGAATCCTACTCCGAACAACACGAACGCCGTTCCTCGTCGCGCTCCGTTAAGCGAAAGAAGTTCGCCGATGAGATCGTGGAAGCCAGTCTGCGACCAGCCTATTATCGGCATCGCTCGGGCGAGCATCATCGCAGCAGTCCATCGAAATTGCACCCGGGAATGTCGCCTGCGTCGTCGTATTCCAGTTCGATGGAGAGTCCTCGCCCCGCTCACAGTCGTCTTCCCCATGCTCCGTCAGCGCCGTCCCTTAATCCGCGGGGCAATGATCTCGTCAAAGTGGAAAAGCTGCTGAAACGGAAATCCGAACTGGGGAAGGGCGAGAAGAGGAAAGACGGGACGAAGAAACAGCGAACGGACTCGTCGGGGTTCTTCTATGGTGGAGAATTTCAAATGGCTGAGGAAGCTCCAGAGCGTCATTTCTGGAGCGGTAATGCACGATTTGGCGCTGAAGATCTTCGCGTTAAAGGTATTGAAAATTAATTAAGCAGTCAATCTTACCAGACGCTGTTCTTACTGCTACTTAATTGTTTACGGACAAAATGTACGCTTCACACTGTGCACGCGATTTTTTAAAATAGTTTTTATTTTTTTCATGAATTCACTTGTTTTATTTCTCGTATGCGTTTTCTAAAATTTCTCGTCTTTTTTGCTGTACTGAAATTTAACAGCGATTACGGTTTTCTTGATTATGGGCTGGAATTTGAGAACTTGATAGGTATTAGGTGCAGTGCCACTGAACATTTAATTACAGGAAAATCGTTTTGGAAGTTGTTTTTGCTGTATGAAAATTAAACCCCCAAAAAATAAATGTAGAAAAAAATAAATGTCGTTTTTATGTATTTTATTATTTTGTTATCAGGGAAGGATACTAAATCAGTCTCGAAGCACAGCAGTTCGAAAAAGCCTCGTGTGGATGACGAATCTCGGCGACAGTGGACTGCCATGGACGACTTGAAGCTGATAACTGCGTTGCAGCAACTGTGTGACTTTCAGCTAGTGGCCAAGTATGTTTCTTTCAGCATCAAACTGGACGCCGCTGCGCTGGAACATTACTGGACACAGCTGTTAGACGATCCACGGGTGTGTCGCTTGTCCATAGATGGACTGGATAAAATCCCCTTGGACACCATTCAGCGTATACGGAAAATGAAGTTCCTGACGACGGCCGAAGAGGAGGCCATCAGGAGCGTTACACCAGGCCATGCTAACCTCGAGACATTCGAGAAACTGATACGATCTCACGCTCATATTTTCTTCCCGGGGCGAACGCCTGAAGATTGCCTGGTCACGTGGAAATATTTGTCACAGAGAATCAAGACCGAGTTCGGTGCTGCACCTCCGCTAACAAATCCTGAATTACCAGAGGATCTGGAAGCGGCCCGGCTGCGGAATCGCATCCGAGACGTGCAGACCCGGGCCAGCTGTTTCGGAAAGGAACTTATCAGCCTAACAAATCACTTAAACTATCGATCCAAGCATATTGCTTGCGAAGTGGCCTATCTGAAGGCACTGGGTGAACGAGTGGGCAGTGGCACGCTGCCCGATCAGACACGACCAAAATTTCAACGGGACTTGAAAAGCGCCCTGGCCTGCCTGAGCGGCGTTTGTGTGGATTACGCTATCACGACGGACGAGGTGACGTTTGGATATTCCGATGAGAATGTCACGGTGGATGTTGATCTCAGTCTGGAGGGGAATATCGTTAATCTCCAGCCGCTGCAGGGCACGATCTTTCTGGACGTAGAAGGTAATTTCCACATCGAGAATCAGGGCGCCTTTGAAATCGCCGTCAATGGAATGACATTATTGGCTAATGAGGACGCTGAACTGCGAGACGATTCAACCCTGGAAGTAGGCACGCTGACCTTTCAGTTCTATACCAATCCCGGGGCCATTCGGAAACACGTTGAACGAGCGGTCATGGAGTATACAAATCGTGTCCGGGGTGTACGCAATCATCAGAATACGGCGCCGCAGAATGTGCCGCCTGAAGCGGAAAGCGAGTCGGATGTGGACGACGAAAACGGGATGGAGCAAAATGGGCTGGATAGCAGTCAGTCGGGCAACGATTCCCAGACGGATTCGGACGAAGACGATGATGAACCTGGCCGCTTGACTATGAATATTAACGGTGCAATGAATGCCGTTCACTATGACTGAAGCCTGAATAGATTAATTGTTGATCGCATGGTTGAGACTGGTGTTTTCTGATTTGCATTTTTTGGTTTGCGTTTGTAAACTACTTTCTTAATCTGTTCGAAAATGCAGGTGGCATGTGAATGTTCGGTATCTAGTAATCTACTAGCTGCTGTTATTAATTGTAGAATGTTTAATTATTAAACGTACCTTTCTATTAAATCATGGGTTTGCATGCGAGGTTGCTGTTTTTGACTGCCTTTAAAGTTTAAACTGTTGCACCCGGGACTCTTTTTCGTTGTTTGCAGGTACGAGAGACTACCGCACAAAATTTAAAAACTGAATAATAATTATGATGGCCCAGCTGGCTGCGGAAGCGCACTGTACTACATTGTACTGTACTTACTTACTGTGTTACAAAAGTTCATGTTCTCGGTGCTGAAGTTAAAAGATAGGTTTAAACATCTGCTATTAAGTTTTTGACAAACAACACGACATTAAGTCGAAAATTTTTGGGCCTGGCAAAGAGTGTTTTCCTTTTAAGGAGCTTGATTAAATTATTAGAAAAATTTGCAACTTCTCGTGCCCTTTGGTTACGAGCGCGGTTTTAATAATAACATTAAAAAGAGTCAAAACTTTTGGAAATAGTGTGATCATAAAAAAATATTCAGACATATGGCCCCCCAATTCTGCGTAGCTGATGATCGCCCCAGTCTATGGCTGGGTGCCCACGAGACGTCTCTAAATCTGGTTCTGGCGAGTACGCAGTGAATTAGCGATTTCGAGGTGCGAAGAGAACTAGCGGTTACGCATTGGATTAGCGATTTCGCGATACGAAATGAACTAGCGACTACGCGCAGTGACCTAGGAGATCATGTTTCGAATTCGATATCAGATATTGCTGTGAAAATTCTGCCTTAAAAGCGAAATCGCTGGCAGAGGCCCTAACAAGGCCATAAAAAATCAAAGAAAGGGGATGTTCGGGAAGGGTAGAACTAGTAACTAAATACCATGAACTAAGATATCGGCAAGTTATCACGGTATAGGACTATAGATAGGTACGGTGTTGGCTGGCGGCCACCAGGTTTCTATAATTAGAAGTTCGCTTTGTATGTATTCCCGTCATTATGCGAATACGTTTCTACTTGCCTTGTGGTTTCCGTTAGTCTGAAATAGTAAAGCACCGAAACTAAACGTGACTGCAAACCAGTCAAACTGAGTTTTGTACTTTCTACATGAAATTCCTCTTATTTGATCTGTGGTGTGTCTACGTACTTCCAATTTTGTCCGAATGTTCTTTGTGTTTCACAGCAAAAAGTAACGAATTCTATTTCTCGATGGTCAAATTGTCCAGTATAACTTTTTTATTCACTGTAAAACTGCTGTAACATTCCGTGATTTTCGACACTTAATATCACTACTACAACAATCCCAATTCGAACAAACACATGAACAACCGGACTATCACCAAAAACTTCTCGGCACCTGGAGTTCATCACAGTCTGGTAATCTCAGTTAGCACAACGGATATTTTTTTAAGTATCGTAATAAGCTAGCATCAATCCCATTGCTAACAACTGATACTGATCACCAACTGTAAGTGTAACTAAAGGGATACTTAGTTGTGACCAGAATAAATTACTCGACGCTCAAGGCCTCTGGAACGTACATATTCCTGAGAAAACGTTTGACCTTTGGACCGAAATACGAACAATGCTTCTGCCGTGGCGACTTAGTAAATAAACGTAAGGTTTCTTATATTTCTTCCATAGAATGTAAACTTCTCCCGAGATCTGCTGCTTCCATTGTGATCTTCTTTACCACCCACTCCATAGCCTGCCGGCCTTTGCTGGCATTGGCGGCTATTGTATTGGACATAGCCTCTTCCAGCTTGCCCACCAAAGGTAATCCATTAATACTGATTTGTGCTTCCTGGGTCAGTAATGTCTTGGAGGGATCCGAGGGGTGGGGCGTATACTCCAGCCGCTCCACAACTGAGATAAATTTACCCAGAGAAACATTCTGAGATTCTAAAACCATGCTTTGTGCTGCGGGATGGACCACAGATTTCTCCGTGGAATAACAATAGTCGGAGATGTTGATGATGGACTTCACCCATTTTGGGAAGGCCCATTTCGTTGTAAAAACGCGATGTGTAGTGAGGGCACCATCCGGTGCGACTTCACGGTCGATAACATCGATCGCTACAATGTTCTGACTGTTGGGATTAGGGTACTTCCGCCAGGCGGCCTGGGTTATGGTGCTCCATGGGTGATCGAACACGTGCTGCGACTGCCAGATCTTCATATTGATTTGCCGGATATAACTAACTCGGCCTGGCTCTGACGGAATCGCCTAACAATAAGAATGAAAAAAGTTCAAGTCAGTGACGCGAATCATATTGGCAATTAACTGAAGATCATAAGCGGACACATATTACTAAATGATAACAACTATTACATTATTTATGATATACAAACTTTTATCATTACATTATACGAACACATAAATGTAATATACCAATATAGAGCTTAAATGCTCGAAGTCCACAATGTATTCAAGCTTCTGCACATGCGAGAATATGACTCGTACTACTGCATAAAAACTAAAAATAGTACTGTACTTACTACAAATACGAGTATACAATCACATAAATATAGATATATTGCAAAAATATCAGCTGAATACCACAGAAATTTCTATCCGGAAGCACATTAAATTTCATGAAATTAAAGCACTCGTCATATAAAGCAAATGATTCGAGCAGCAGTTGATGGTAAGTCCATATATTAAAAGGTAAAACCCATTTTTATTTAACACCCACCTGTGGTATGCTGGGTGGTATTAAATTTCCCTCCGGTACACAGGGAAGAAACCAATCAGTAATAAAACCTTAAAGGCTCAATCTCCAAGTCCTCCAGTCCTTCTGACAGATAATATCGGGCAGTCGGTCGTGAGCCTAAAAGATTGATTTCTGATGCCGCGCGGACCATGGTAAGAAACTTTGTTCATGGTGAATCAGGGATCACAAATTGCAAATATTTATATAACTCGTACTGATTAGTGACCACTGACCACATAACAAAATCTTACAAGTACTTAACTTTGCCGCTTCTATACGATAATTATAAGTTAGGTACAGTATTCTTTTGATACAAAAATTCTGTGTTCATTTAAAGCATTTTATACAGTATATTTATCGAAATTATGCTGAAATTTAAAATACGAGTACACTTCATTACGATAAAATATGACAAAATAATTACTGTACAGCACGCTTCACACCGAAACTCAAAAGATCTACTGCATGGCAAGTTAAGCACATTAACCATACTTGAACTATTACCGACAGACGACAGCGATTCAGCTTACAAGTTAAAACAATCTTAAAACAAGATGAGGTTGCTAGTTGCTACCGAAACCGCCGGCGGTATTGGTACTCATAAAGCCAATGCTCGAAACTTACTCATAAAGCCAATGCTCGAAAATTTAATAGTGCTGCCGAATCCACCGAATAATTATATCTTTCTTTACCTACTCGGGTACGATTTGGAAGTTCGCACCGAAAATTAGCTAAAAACATGAATATTAAGGCAATAATTCGGAATGTTTGCGGGCCATCAAATTAATATCGTTTCCCAAGAATCTAATACACATTGCACAGTTACATATCAATAAACTGCACAGAACCCAATGTCATTACACTGTCACACAGCTTTGAATTGCGTCATCTGCATCAGGCATGGGGCTATAGTAAATAGTACTGTAAGAACTATATTGAACTAGTAACTGCAAATGAGAATTTTGAGTGCATGTAAGTTGAAGTAAATTGCAAGTCCATTACACTGTGATTCCATTATCAAACCAGGTCTTTTAGAAGAAAATAATATTACAACATTGACAACAATTTTTAGTTATTGCACTATCGGGCCCAGATAACGCAAAGAATTATCGTACATTCGTACTTCGAGTTTCGGAAGCAACTGTCGAAATCTAGGATACGGAAAACATACCGATATGACAAACTTTGAAAACGTAGAAGACTCAAGACGCTTTACGTACCTTCAGGATAATCACGCTTCCTTCCTCGCTATCGCCTAGCCAGCGGCTGCCGAATAATTTCCCGAAACGCCCAGTTATCCAGATTCCCGCTATTCCCGTTGATACACCCACGGTTATTCAGGATTAAACTAAAGTACTGTACTCTTAAAGACTAGGTTGTCTAAATACGAAGGGAAGGAAGGAAGTATGGAAAACTATAGCGCCAGATAAAAAACGGTGGAAATGGCTGCAGCCGCTAAGCAATAGGAGTTTTACTTTTGCTGAACTAACTTGTAAATTCTAAACTCAAAACTTGCCAAGCGTTCTAGAAGCGTGAGCAGTCTTTCACCGTTCGCGCTATTCTAGTCTGTAGGTCTATGTCAGCTGTAAAATGCGAGCGTACGCAAGTTCGGCTGCTGGCCAGTCTGGCACGAGTCAGCTGAGTGAGCCAACGAATCATGCGTCTGGAGCCACATGCGTCAGCGTACGCGACGAGGGTTTTATAGGGTTGTAGCACGGTCCCTCTAAGTATATTGTCGATGCACAAACTGTGTTAGGCGCCGGCCCAAGGCCCGAAACTGCTCTGTTTGAGTGTCCCTGTACCCCTTGCCGAGCGTAAAACGCTTGCAAAGCGAAAAAAACCGAAACCACAACTTTGCTGTGTGCAGGGGTTCTCTGTACCTCTCTTGAGCTGCCGATCTCAGAACCCAGCAAATTGGGATTCCGAATATTAACAGAATTAGAAGAATAATTGTTTAAATGATTCTATTAAAAGTAATAATAATTTTTAGTATTATTTCTCGTGCTCTGGACTTGAAAAGTATTTAACTTACGTTGTAATTTAATTTTTTCGCTAATTAGACCATAGCTGACTGCAAAAGTTATCTTTCCCATGCAGTGCGATTGGAGCTGAACGATCTGACATGCCAAATGCGTAGTTTCAAATTTGGCGATCTTCTCGTGAAAGTTCATTTTGTTCATATTTGATTGTTATTTCTTTCGAAACTGATAATTTTGACTGATAATTTAATTTGCTCCTTCTTATTTCCTTCTGAAAGCTACAGATTAAGGAGAAACCAAGTGATCAGCGTACGGCAGGTTATCTGCATGGGGTGGGACAATACGTAAATGGGTGTGTCCACCAATGGCAGTCTTTAGCAATGCGGATTGGCTAGAGCATGTATCAAGGCGGATTGGCTGTACTGAGCTACGGAGATAGCTAATAGAGTAATCCTAGCGTAACTTTCACACTTCCTGTAAGTCACACGCACTCGGACCCTGTAAGTCGCACGCTCCGCCCCTCTGTTAAAGATACGTTTGCGTAGGGCGTGAGATTACGTCATCATACTACCCGCCTGGCGTAGCTGGGTTTTGGGGCCGCTTTCGATTTTAGCACAGGTCGTACAAGGCTTGTACTTTCTGTGGTTGTAGTTTCTGAACGGCGCAACAAACGCTCAGTAATGTCCGTCACGTGTGGTAAAACAGCGACATTCGAGAAATAAGACAGTCGAGTAAATGCCAAAAAAACGAAGACATACGTGGGAATTTTAACGTGCCAAAAGCACGGCAACAAAGCCGGTTCTTTGTTTCGCTTTTCGAACTTCCGGTGAATGTTTTTTCAGATATTTATTTACACTGCAGCTCACGCTGGAACAGTGGAACATCAGAATTACACGCATCGCTTGAGTACTAGTAGTTAATTACGTTTCTGATAATGAATAATAATGATTATTAGTGAGGCCATTCGGTAAAAATTAAAATATAGAAATATTAGATAGATGTGTAGGTGCGAGTCCATGCGAAGCATGCCTTTGCGCCTATATAATTAAATGCCGATCACTGGCGATCAGTTAAATAAACTACTCAAGACATGAGTTGAAAGTTTGTGACATTCCAGGCGCTCAATTTCCGGTTCTTAAGCCGACACGGCGTGGTTGGAGCGGCACTATATGGTTACAGCCATTATTGCCTGAGCAGTGGAACACGTGAGAACCAACAATAAGCCACAACTACAAGCAATTTTGACAGCTCGAAATATTAAGTAGGCTCTTTTTCAGTTGTAGCTTATTACACTATACCATTCACGCTTATTACACTATACCATTCACGGTAGCCGGTAGATTCTGTCAATGGCGCCGTCAAGTACTTCCCGTGCAAGTCTCGAAGACCTTTGCATCCAAAGTACTTTACGTTGGCAAGTGAACTGCAATGCCGGTATCGGTTGGCAGTTCCAAAGGTCGCGATCTGAATGAATCTAAATTTAAGTCACTGAGCGCATTAGCTCCATAGTCCGTACTTTTGCTGCACGCGCACTTGTGTAAAAGAAACTTTTGCTCTTCAGCACATGCCACCGTAGGCAAGAAATGGCTGGTGGCTGCTCGCCAAGTTGGCATTAAGCGCAGATCTGCAATTAGCTGATGTGAACATAGCCGCAGGAATGCGAAGTCCGACCATGATAGGTTCATGAACTTAATGCCTAATCAGCAGTCTACTTCAATACTGTCTTCTGTGTCTTAATTATAGCAACTCTCTTCTATGATTTTTAACTTCAAAATTATGGCAACTGGCTTTTGCTCCGTTATGCGAAGTCCGCTATACGAAGCCTACCTGCGCAGATTAGCGCACACTTTCCACTCGAAAACCCTAAGAAATCGTTTCCTGCAAAAAAACGTTTAGCCCAAATTTCTGCAATACAATACACTGCAGCATTTTATTAAAGCGCAGATCTGCAATTAGCTGATGTGAACATAGCCGCAGGAATGCGAAGTCCGACCATGATAGGTTCATGAACTTAATGCCTAATCAGCAGTCTACTTCAATACTGTCTTCTGTGTCTTAATTATAGCAACTCTCTTCTATGATTTTTAACTTCAAAATTATGGCAACTGGCTTTTGCTCCGTTATGCGAAGTCCGCTATACGAAGCCTACCTGCGCAGATTAGCGCACACTTTCCACTCGAAAACCCTAAGAAATCGTTTCCTGCAAAAAAACGTTTAGCCCAAATTTCTGCAATACAATACACTGCAGCATTTTATTAAATTACGCTTAACCCTGCGTCCATTAATTTTTTAGTAGAGAAATGTAAAATAAAAACACCAGATGTAGAAGTATAGTTGAAGCAAGACGAAAATACAACTTTGTAAAAAATTATCTGTACAGCCGGAACAGGCACAAAGATTAATTTTCACACAAATTTCAACAAGTAACAATTCAAAAGCAAACTGCGAATGTAAACCGAGATTTAGATAAGAAGGCACCATTGTCCGTGTTAGTCTGTATTACATCAGCTGTAAACACTTACAGTAACAAGCGAATACCTTTTGTAAGGTCATAACAAGGGATCACCGGTTGCATTCACAAAAAGCCAAGTTTATACGGTACTTGTAATCTAGACATAACTTCCACTTGGCAATGAACTGCTCCAATTGTATCATGCGAACAGCAGCAGGGAGCTTATCGCAGGTTTCAGCTCTCCAACTTCCTTAACTGCACACTTTCTTGGTCGAAACGGAAGTTCCCCGAGTTTCCGTAACTACACGGCAGTTTTTTCCTTTCACTTTAGCCTCAGCCTGAGCTTTAGCTTTAGGCTTGGTGTTGCCACATGATTTCGCACTGGCGGATCCCTGCGCACGCGCATGCTTTCCTATCATGGGAAAGAAAGGTTTAAATTAACTCGCCATGTTTGACCATCAAAACGACGACGTTAGTCTGTCTTGGACAGACCAAAATAAATCGGTAACGTCAGTCCGCACCTGTAGCTTGAGCATGCGCCCGTGCGTGAGCGAACTGATGAGCCATGTGGTGAGCCGTGTGCGGATTACCGCCGAACATGCTGTCAAAGTTGGGAACATGAAAGTCCATGTCCATGTGCGGAAAGGCACTGCCACCGCCGCCGAACATACTGGGACCTCCCATCTTGTTGTGGCCAAATGCGTTGCCGAAATGATTTTTCAGATGGTCACTCGGATTTGGTGACTCATCACTGTCTTCCCACAGATCATCGAAGGAGAAAGATTCGAAGCCAGGCCCGCCAAAATTAAACCTACCATAAAATCCCGTAGCGTGAAAAAAATTAACAGTACTACTTGCTATCTTATACGTAGAAACGACAAAGAGAAAAATGGACACACACCTGTTGTTTTTTGGAGCCTTCTGACCACCTCGGAAGTTATTTCTGTGGAGATCAAATTGGCGGAAGAATTCTTTAGTATCAAAATTGAAATTGTTAGGACCAGAACTGGAAGAATGGAATGTGAAGGTGTGGCTGCCCTGTCCGTGTCCCGGACCGAATCCCGTGTGAGCATGGCCGCTGTCCGGTCCAGGCTGCGGATAACTGGACATCATGTCGTACTCTTTACGCTTTTTCGGATCGGACAACGTCTCATAGGCTACAAGCAGAGCAGCATAATTTACACCAGAAAACTGACGCGGGTATTTTCTTATCTGTCCAGATTTAGTATCACTAACTGGTAAATCTTATAAGAAAAACTTTACAGAAAATATTGTTACAACCGGACAAGGTTCGTAAAATTACGATTCTTGCATAAAAAGCCCACTCTTATCTGTATACAGAAAAACACAAACACTCGAACTGCAAGTATTGCAAACTTATAAAGCATACGAGTAGTATGTAAATCATGTCCCAAAACCCGAAAAAATAATTAACAAAAGCGAAAAATGCTAAGAAATATGATAAAGTACAGCATAAGCTAAAAGTCACAAGGCAAAAACGAAAAACTGACGGTAAAGCCGCAAAAGGAAAAACAGACTGCAAATCAGCAAATCAGCAACAAAAGATCAAGATCATAAGCTCATAACGGAAAGATCTCATTCTCATTTAAAAAAATACATATGCTAAACATGTGGATATATCTGCGAATTTCCACTACTACCTGTTCGGCACATAATTTGCAGTTTAATACATGTAAAGTAAGTTACAGTATTTATAAATCTATAAAATCGGAGTTTCGAAAATCAGCTGTGATAAACTTGATGATTTATTAATCCGTCTCACCTTGGGCAACCTGGCGAAACTTCTCTTCGGCATCCTCTTCCTTATTCTTATCTGGATGATACTTCAACGCCAACTTCCGAAAGGCCTTCTTAATATCCTTTTCCGTGGCCGTCTTCTCAACACCAAGGACTTTATAATAGCTGACAGGCTTAGCAGCAGTTTTCTTCTGCGCACTCTCACCCATGCTGACCAGCAGAACAACAACAAAAACAAACTGTGCGATTCGCCAACGGTTCCTGAAACGCTGATCCAAAAGGCGTTCGTCCATTTTTCTAACAGCGAGGTTTATAAAGATAGCAAATACTGCAGTCTTTCATTCAGGTCAACAAATTTGCAGTACAATTCAACTCGCTCTATCCGCGGGGAAATAACCAGTGATGTGCGGACACATCAGCACTTCAAAGGTAATTTTTCCCGTTTAGAAAGCGAATATTAATCACGCATCCTTAACATTTTGTGATGCAGAACTGTAACCGTTCGTCAAATTCGTTTAAGTTTCACTTTATACTAATCAGAGCACAACTACTACTTGTAGTAATAAAATATTCAAAGTAAAAATTTTATAACGTAGGCTTCTTGTCAATTTCAAATGAAATATTCAGAAATAATATGAAAATATGCGGCGGCACAGCTTTCTGTTTTTGAATGGTCGGTTAACAGCATGTGCATTGCAAGATGACGTTTACAGTAGCTATGCGTGACGTCACAGGCGCTATAACCTCGACAACGTAAATAAATTTTCGACTCTTCTGCTTGGTGCGTGGAACGGGCTCATCTTGTTCCTGGATAAAGCAGAATGCAGATTCGTTCATTTGTCCATTTATCTGCGAATTGTTTTCGTAACGCAACTTTTATCAAAAAATCTCGCTGTTATTGCTGATACTAGAGTTCTTAATCTGAATATTCTGCTCTTGGAGTGATCGTAGCAAACCGAGCCTGATGAGCGAAGGTGAGTAATGGAATCTAGCTAATTTTCAGTTTTCTGTTTTCAGCTGAAGTTTAATAATGATAGGTGCTTTACTGATTCTGATAATGGGCCTTGGCTGCAATATTATTATCTCTAACCTGATATAATTATATGTTTTTTTAATTATGCCACCAGTCGTTTCGGCAGTAATCTGTGATACCATAGGAAGCAGTTTTCATTAAGACCTCTGCTGGGTGCGACAACAGTGGTTGTGCTGGCTCTTCGTTTACGTTGTAGCTTCGTTTGCTGCTTTCCACCCGAGTGTTAAGTAATCCGTATCTGCCATGTTTTAAAATTTTAAGATTGCACTAACAATTTTAATGCCAGAAAAGGACTTAAAGTTTACAGGAATGGTATGATTAATCATTAATGATATGTGTTTACAGGAGTGAAGGCTATTTCGGCCTTTTGCTGTCAGTCATTAAGTACTGTTGCACAATACTATAATTAATTGTAACCGTAAAGTACTGCGATATTTCAGTAATTTCGTGTTCTTCTTTCACCTTTGTATAATAATGGTTAGATTGCGAAATTGTATGATAAATTGTAATTGAGAAATTGTTGGTTTAGAAAGCTGGCCGCTAGCTTAAAGATTCAATCATTCACGCTAGCGGCTAGCAAATTAATCGTAAGTACTTAGATTGTAGTACAGTAATATAAATTTATGATTATTTTCAGATGTCTGATTCCGAACGCGAGGAACCAGAAAAGAAGCGTCCGCATTCTTCTTCGGACGATGATGCTGCTGATAAAGACGAGCCAATACAGTCTCGCCTGCGAGCCAAAAAAGCCAGAGCGAGTAATATTTACTCCAGTTCTGAAGAAGAAAATTCCGACGAAGAAAGGGTATGCCAGTTCTTTTGAGATTTTTAATAATAAGATTTTACGATTGTTTTTAATTGAAGTAGTTTCTGAGGTTTCTTATTTGTTCAGTTCTTGTTTATAATGTTACAAGTTTCGTTACGGTGTTGAAAATACATTATAGAATGCTCAGTGTTTTGTATTGCTTTTTAGAGAAATAAGTCCAAGTTAAAGAAGAAAAGCCCGACAAAGAAACCCAACGCTGTTTCTGATGATGATGTCGAAGAAGGTTTGAAAATCTGTTTGTGAACAATTTGTAAGTAATGTCTTGAGCCTTCATTCTTGTAACACCTTGTAGGTGAGGTTAGCGATCGCGGCAGCAGTTCGGATGAAATGAAGTACAGCGACGGTTTGGACGATCAGCTGCTCGGCGACGAAGACGATAAGCAGCGATTGGCATCGATGACTGAAAGAGAGCGAGAAGAAGAGATCTTTCGCCGTTTAGAGCATCGCCAAGCCTTACAGCGTCGAGCTGAACTCGAGAAGAAACTCCGCCGCCGAGCCACTGAGGGCGTCAAAGGAAAACCAAATATCAAAGCCGTCGACGAGACGAGTGCGCGCAGTAAAGAGCGTCGTTTGATGGTGGAAGGAAAAAAAGACGTGAAATCCAAAGCTATGGATAAATTTAAACAGGCTCGCGAAGAGAAACGCAAAAAGGACGCTGAACAGGAGAAAAAGAAGGCTGCGTCTAAGCCTTCGAAAGAGAGTGATAGCGAATCCGACGCTGATGATGACGACTTGCCGGATGTCGAGCGGAAGAATGTGGATGCCAGCTCGTCATCGGACAGTGATTCCGATGATTCCTCCGAGAAGTCTGATAAGAAGGATGACGAAAAAAACGCCGATAAGGAGACTATTAACACCTATCAGGATCTGGATAAGATCCGCGTGGAGCGGGACAAACTGGTGGAGTGGATGTATTTGTCCTTCTTCCCAGAAACCATGAAGGGCTGTTTTGTCAAGGTTAATTTTGGTGATGTCGATGCCGATAAAAAACCCATCTATAGGGTAAGAAGTGCATCCGTAGCAGTAAAGCCCTAGCACGGGTCGCTGGTTTTATTCTTGGTAATCGTACAGATTGCCGAGATTGTCGGTGTCGGAGAGAACAAAAAGCCATACGTCGTTTCCGTGGGAGACTCCGCTAAATCGCACCATACCCAGTTGACTCTCCGTGTCAAGTAAGTCTGATATGGACCACGTACTTCAGAAAATGTTAAGGTTATGATGTGGTGGTGTGTTAGTGGTGTAGATGACATAATGCTGCAGGTTACTTTCATGGGTTTGAAGGCTACTTATCTTGTAACATAGTAATTTTGATGGCTTTTTTTAGCTCACTTGATATAATTTGTCCTTTGCGTTTTTTGCTAACCGTGCGTGTATCATCTAAAATTTTAGGGTTGTGGATCGCGAAAAAGATGTACCATTAAATTTCGTATCCAATAGACCAATTGTTGAAACGGAGTTCAACGATTTCTTGAAGCGTTTAAATGACCGCAGTCTGCCGGCTCCCACGAGAGGGCATTTGGAGAAAAAACTCCGAGACTTAGATGCGGCGCGAGCCTATCGCAAAACCGACGAGGATATTACACGCATGGTAGAAATGAAGAAGAAATTTGCCAATCGTCCGCAAAACCTGGCTATGAAGAAAGCCGAACTGGTCAAGCTGAGAAGCGCGGCCCTCTTGTCTCAAGACCATGTCACGGCCTCCCGATACCAGGCTGAACTGGACGAGTTAAACGCCCAGACTCAGCAGTTGGATGCTCCGCGTCTGCAGAACCAGGCGAAAATTGAACAAATTAACCAAAGAAATAAGAATGTCACATTAAAAGCCTTGGGCGATGCAATGAATAGTCAACAGCGGGCTGAAGTGGAACGGTCCACTGACGATCCCTTCACGCGACGTTGGGGCACACCGACCATGGTGCACCGAAAGGGAGCCGCCGGGGCGGCTGCTACAACGGCACCGGGAAGCAATAACAAGGAAGCCGAAGCGGCCAACGGAGGTGGTGCAGCGTCCAGCATTACATCGCCGGAAGCGCCAAATGGAACTGCAACATCGGGCAAAGTGGATCCTTTCAACATGCACAATTTCGATATTGGTAAGTGAAAAAACGGGTTAGAATTTCTCATAATTGTTCCGTTTTGTAACTTGAATCGTTCCTGTTTGTTGTTGTGAAATTGTATTATTTGCTGACAATTAAACAAGAGTCTTTTTCCGTAATCTCTGGAATTGCGTAACAATATATGGCCATGCATCCAGAATTTTCGTTTCATGTTTGCGTTGATAGTGTGTATACAATTTAGGTTGGTTATTTATTTAGTAATTGGGAAGGGTGCAGCATGGTAGTGTGCAGCATAGGGGTTGCCGCCTATTCTGATTTATAAATTGTTGTTAAATTAGATTTATTAGCGTGGTTGTCTAATTTATTTTGTACAAGTTCGTTTGTCTTTGGTTATCTGTTACTTCTTTATACACTTTAAATTCGATTTTCTAAGTCCTCATTATTGGACACAATTTTTTCCCGCAAAAGTCTAGCATTTTCTCCTGTGTTGCTTCGATTTCAAGTCTGTTTTAGCATGTTGTTATTTATTATTTGTTTGCAGGTATCGACATCGATTTGGGAGAATTTCCCGTTGCATCTTTGCCATATCGCCGGAACAAATAGTACCAGGGATTTAAATCCCATTAACTATAACAGCCGTTAGTTATAGTTTAAACGTTTTATGGCTTTAAGGAAAAATAATATAACGGTATCCTTTGTTATGCTATGGCATCGTGCGCATTTCGCACTTGAAGGTTATAAGATTACTACTGTCCTTATGTTTGCGGATGTTAGCATTTTGCTTGACCTACGTTATGTTGATCTGCATAGAACCATTTTTGGGAGTGCTGGCTGGGAAGCGTTGTTGAAATGCGTTTTCTTTTGAAATGCCGACGCTCTCTTTCTTTGGTTTCGTATGAAGTGATAAAAAAATTCCCATTTGAAAACTTGTGTTTACGATTAAAACACGTGCTTGTGTTGATTTACAAATACGTCCCATATGAGCGGCCTTTTGGACGTCCAGTGGAGTCGAGTAGTGCTTGTCGGTCGCTGTAATTGGGAGCGATTTTGGATGCCTGGCGGCTCATGCCCTTGACGGGGCCCAGCTGGGCGACGCCCATGAGGGCCACACGGTTCGTGTGGCCGTGCCGTGTCAGCATGCGGTGTTGGGCTTGAATTTCCGCTTGAAGTTGATTGTATTTATGCAGTTTGATGGCGGTTTTGACCAAAGCGTAGATGGCGTCCAGTACACCGACGATGAAGAGGATCACCGCAAACACGGTTGTGGTGTACTCGAAGCCTTTTATCTGGTTGATGTAGCCGCCGATACAGGATCCCATTGCAACGCTACAATGATCTGTTTAGTTTGGGAAATACAACGATCCGCTGGAGACTGTTTACACTTACCCGAGGCACAATATGATGATCATAATAGTTGAGATTGTGGAGTATGCGGCAAGTTTGTTCATTTTCTTCAGTCTGCAAAAAACAAGGCGATTTGATCCGTAAAAAATCTGTATGCAGGCTAAAAATATTGGTCTACACTCTACATCACTTCGGTAATAATTCATGAAAATCATAGCATGTGCAAACGATGTTTACTCAAACAGTGAGAATGGCTTCTGACTATTCAGTTTATTTTAGCGGCAAAAGCCGGCGGAGAGTGACTGATTACAAATTAACTTTCAAATTTTAAACAATTATAGGAATGTTTAAAATAATTAGTAGATCGACTTAGTAAGATTATTCTTAAAAAGCTTGACATAACTGAAAATATTTGCGGCATCATTCTTACTCTGCGGTTTCCAAGAGAGTGTTGAGGCTGGCTGTGACGACCATACTTATACAGCCGCCGATCACAAGGAAACAAATCACATTCAGCCACAATAAACTACAGCAAAAACAGTTCATTATTTCGCAGGTGCGCGTGAAGGGTGGTGGGTGTTAACGCACTTATTGGGCAGTTTGAAAACTTCACATGGTCCCAAAAAGAGAAAGGTCAACCCCATAACCAATACACCAAAGATGTTAACGCAGTCCAGACCGCACACGTAGTCGTGCGTGATCAGCCACTGCCAAAACGCCATTCCGAAGGCGAATCCCAGCGGAATAACGGCTAAAAGTATGCCCTCCACCGTGAAATTTAAATCATACACCTGTAAACAAAATATTTTATTTACAATTATAAGTTATAACAAGTGCAGTACTTCAGCAGGCCTAGGCTGGCACTCAGCGTGTTTTATGGTGCAGCGCAGCTGAACTTGTATTGCTTACTGCGCTGATATGCGGTTCCAGTGTGGAAAGCAGTGCGCCGAGGGAAAAGATTCCAAAAAAATACATGAGAATGGCAGAGTGCACAGACACCTGTTGAAGGAATCGGCGCTTTTTCTTTCGCGATTCTTGTATAACGGGATCTGGAAAAAAGATCCGAGTGAAATATTTTCCTCGTGTAGGAACGGACATGGGTGAATATAACGAAATTCTTGATAATGTGCAATAGTGGGAGATTGGGAATGCGTACTTATGTATGGACGTGTATCCATGACGCATAAAATAACCAGTCCCACCAAAAAGAAGAGCACACCCAAGAGCAGAAAGGTTGATGCAACATCTGCTATCTAAAAATATAATTCCAATATCATTTGCAACTGACGACGTCATAAAGTAGTTATTAATTCATATTGTAAAAACAACAATTTCAATATATGGGTATAAAAAATAGAAGCTTTCGAACTATTTTTCTGACTGCATGACTACAGTAAATCGGTTCGTAACTTCGCATGCATATTTTCGTGAGTACGGCTTACCGAATACAGAAAACCACCAATTGCTGCACCAATCGTGACGCCGATTCCAATGCACGTTTGAACACTTCCCTGAATACAAACCATACAACATATATATATTCCCTCTATTATATATCTGTTATACATATAACATACATTCCCTCTATTATACAAAAATGCGTTGAAGCATTCAAATGTTAGAAAAATGCTTGTATCACTTACATATGCTCCAGATTCATGTCGGGGGAATTCCAAGAGCGTCTTCGTTATGATGGCCAACTCCAGCGCTGTAAAAGCCAACTGATTAAAAGATTTATATTTGTTCTTTTGTGCAGAGACGATCCGTTACCGGCAAATCCGGCGCCTTCGATCAACTTAAAGATATACGCCATAACTATAAAGCGGCTCCAACTTTCTTCAAAATGTAAACATCTAGAAACAAATATTTTTTTCCACTGCGCGCACCTCATGGACAAAAGTTTTGATTATAATATACACATTTAAGATATGCCAGGATCTGGTAGAATATTTTGCACCACCACGCACCCAAACAGCAAAAACGAAAGCCCGTTCAGAAACATTCCAATGATCAAAACGCTTTTGGTTCCCGTTCTGTTAACCTGAAAAGTCAACGAGGAGAAAATACATACGATGTCGGTATTAAAACTGTATAATTTATACGGAACACAACATACATTGTAGTATATATGCATAAATTTCCGCCTCATAAGCGCAGTGACGCACCATTGCGCCTACCGTTACAGTTTTATTAAAACAATAATACTAATTTTCGACACATACACAGCGTCTCCAAACGGGCCAAAAAGCTATTACTCCCAGTGCCCAGGTGGCGAACAGGGTTCCCGTTGCAGATGATAGCAAGGTATTTGCTTCCACCTAATTATGTCATGGTTAACAGCACTGCGGCAATATGTAATAGGCATATCGAATTAATAAAATCCGGCTTTAAATCAAAATCAGACAACAAATACAAATACAAGTTATGCATTGCGGCAATATATAACAGGCATATCGAATTAATAAAATGCGACTTTAAATCAGAATCAAACAACAAATACAAATACAAATTATGCGTTGCGGCAACATATAATAGGCATATCACATTAATAAAATCCGACTGTAAATCAAAATCAACCGCGAATGTTTACCCTTAAAGCACATACAATCGTTAAAATATTGCCAAAACTACATGTAATTAACTTTTAACCCAGTTAAAAGCTTCCAGGGAAAAAACTTAAAAATCGAAAATAGGAAACAATATTCATTATAAGTAATAAGCCGGATCTTGATGAATGTTTTATTTTTTAACGTCAATTAATTAACATAGGGCTGCAACATAGAACGTCGCTCACAATAGCCGGTAAGGCCAGCGGTTGTATCCCGAAGGTTATATAATAAGTTAACTTGGCTGCCCACAAACAGTAGATGGTCTTGCGCTGTTGCCCGGTCAATCGGCTGAGATTGAGCGACTCAATCTCCCAGTCATCCTCCGGATGCCGGTAGAGGTGGGGCTTCACTTCCGACAGATAGCGACCGCGCAAGCCCGATGAGCCGTGAAAACTGAAGGAGCGCTGCAAATTCATCGAATCATTCATCTCCACCTGCACGGGTTCCGCCACCAGAGACCGACTGGTGGAGTGCTCGGAGGCCAGTCGCCACGAGCTGTTGGAACTGGACAGGCTGTCGTCGGAATTGCGCCGGATGCGGATTAGCGGAGTGGTGGATCGCGGAGCTGCGGTGCTGCTGTGATGGCCTCCCATATTTGCGATGGATTGTTATGGTTATGTACATATATACGTAAATGCCAAGTGACTTAACGAAGAACTTTAATAATTAGCTGATACACAACATACTTTATAAACCGGAGTAAACTGCATGTACGCTTATATGATGTTTGATCGGCATAATTTTAAGGAAGTCCCCCCGTGCATGATGCGATGATTATCTACATTTTCCCAATATTTTTATAAAATATACAACCATTGCGAGGCTTCAGTGGCAGCCGTGCACTGTACGGAAATACGATGGCCCAAGCAAACAATGCGTTTGCTTTGCCCGTGGGTCATTCTCCGGGCTATGCATGAATCACAGATTTGCTTCAATAAAAGCTTCGCTTGCAGTCTGCAGTTAAAAAACGGCTGTATATTTGTTAATTTGAGCCATACAGTTCGGATATAAATTATACAGGCACTCTGTAAGGTATCGTACAGCGGTTTTTAGAACTGTCCTGAACCGGCAAGACCTCATCATATAAAAATTTGGAGCAGTTTTATAAACAGTAGCTTTTGAGTAAAGTGTGTGATGCATTCATATACTTTATCGATGCGTTTTTCACCATTTTTCAGGGGCGTTTTGATACATATCTGCAATTTGGTTAGTTTCGCATGAAATTTAGTAAACAAAAGGCACAGACGCCTATAATTAGACTAAATATGGTAAAACGAGTAAATCCAATACGCAAAACAATTATTGTGCAGTGGAGCAAGCTAGCTAGTGAATGTACTGTAGAATACTTGTCGATCCATCCAAAAAAGGGAAGGTGCAGACATCGGGACATGCGTACATATTTGCAGCACGATTTATATGTTAAAAGATCATTCTTTTTATAGGTAGCCTACTATGTAGTAGACGCATTAAATTTATGGATCATTATCGAAGATAAGGGCGACAAATTAGGAGCAGTGATCATCTTATCATCATTAATATTGCAAAGACTATGTATAAATTGTGTACTGGCATGCAGTATAATAGTGTCGTAATTTTGCACTACTGATGTCATCTCGCCGGAGGTTTGCACTTATTCCTGTTTCGATTATGGTATATTGATTGCATTATACACTCCGGTATAACCGTATAACCCATTGATCTATGGGATAAATTTATGCATAATAATATTCCCCAAATGATAATACCACAGCATGCGTAGCATGCATTGCAATAGTCTCGGCGCCATGTAAACTAGTGTTTCAACAAACAAGTTACTATTGTGAGCGTGGAATATAAACGGAGTGATTACTAATTTCTGGATCTGCAACATTTTTCCTTAGACAAATTTTTGCAAGTAATAATGTGTGAAAATCACTAAAAACAGTCTTTTAGAATGTGCAGTTAGCCATAACCATTTGCTGCCAGCAGAATGACACTAAAATTAAAACAGCAGTACACATCGGAAACGCCACGATCAAACGGTGAAAATGACATGCAGCCTCTTCAAACTTTAACCAGGTAACTTTACGCTTATAATTTGGGACAGTAAATTGCTTTACCAGTATCCAGTTTTATCTCATAAAATTATTCCATAATTGCTACGCAGCTAACGATCTGCTAATTTTTTCATGTGTTTACTTGGCGGCAGGCTTTTGGTGTGACCTGAATTTATGCAGGCCGCAAAATTTTAAAAATACTACTGTTTACCTTTCCGTAATAATAGTAAAAGCTATTAGATGTTTCACCCCATTCTACTTATTACATAACTATGATAATGTGCGATATAGGAGCACAGCGTGATAAATGGCGCGTAAAATAAATTTGTTCATTTTAAATGTTACATGTGCTCGTATCATGCAGCACCTTTTTGCAGGGCTTCGTCCACGCAAGAAAGTGCCGAAACCAGATCTAGAATGAAACATACTATGGAATTATTGGATTTAAACGACAATGTACTGTATCAGATTTGCCGTCCTTTTATTTTGGTTATGCGAATCGGTGGGATATTCTTCCTGCCAACAAAGTTAGAGCGCGTCAAGGATTGCCACTCTAACAACTACATACCTGACGAACCCGACGACTTCGGGGCTGGCCGTCGCACTAACCGAAACAGATCGGAGTTACTATGCCAGATCTACTGCTGTACAGCATTGTGCATTGTTGTGACCTATGGGTGTAAATTCGCGTATAATTTCTATGCCGTTATCACTCCGATGGGAGACAACGTAATGACAACAACCAACTTAGCGACGCTGGTTTTGATGCTTAGCTTTTCTAACTGGCATATCAACATGATCTTCTCCCATTTTATTATGTTGCGCGCATGCTGGAGGAGCTCACTGATCTATGAATTTTTCGTACTGTGGGAAAGGGCACGATATATTTGTCCTGAGGAGAACTGCAACCGATTTTGCACACGCTTCCGCAGCATCAGGAACGTTGTTGTTATGTCCGCGCTTTTCTGTGTATTTGCAAATATGCTCAGCGTTTTTCTTCCTTTATTGATCGCCAGTAAGGATTACGAAGCTGTACGCCAGGTTATCTACGCTGGTTTCGGAACGGATAATATTCCTATTTGTATTTTCCAGCTGATTGGACATTTCTTTGCTAGCTTTATCTACATTTTGCCGGTCTTCTTTTATGTTTTATTATGTCAAGCTGTTGCTCAGGATTTTCAGCATCTGAATCGTGACCTTTCTGATCGCATTGGCGAAGATGGTTCATTCAGTGGCAATTTGGAGTGGTACCGTTTACGACACATACAGCTGTGTCGCCTTGTAGAGCATGGTGACAACGTGTTCTCACTTTTTACTCTGGTATCCATTGCGTCCAGTGTGGCCCAAATGTTCATGCTAGTGTTCGTGACCTTTGAATACGGTAGAAAGGGATTGTTTAGTGTAGTTTCAGGATTGACCGAATTCTTTTGGTTTCTTCTTTATTTGCTGCAGCCGGCGTTGTTGTTTGGTATGGGAATGAAGCTGAACGAAGCGGTAAGCGTATAGTACTTTGTAATATACAGGTTACTTTTAGCTACGGTCAGGTTATGTCTTACTCCTGCAGAAAGGTCGAAGAGAATCATAATTTTAAGGAAATCGAAAACTAAAGCAGAACATTATAGACATTGGTAATGGTGTATCAATTTTTTTCAACCATATATATATAGATGCTAAGAGCGCTAATACGTGTCTTCTTACAGGCGCATTCTCCTCTTTGGGCACTTTACCAGCTTAATCATGAAAAGCTAGCAACATCGGAAGTTCTTCAGTTGCACACCTTCCTCAACAATCTTTCCTGCAATCAAATTGGTTTTACTGCGTGGAAAATGTTTGTAGTGGAAGCACCAGCGTTACTGAGCGTATGTCGAGTTGTTAACACTGAAAACTGTCGTTTCGTTAACTGTATGTATTTCAAAAAGAATAAAGCTAATCGAAGGTTGCTTTATGTTTTTTCCCAAATATTGTGTATTACAGATTCTTGGGATTTACTGTACGTACCAAATTCTACTTTTTCAACTCCAGTTGGATCTAGACGACAAAAGTGACAACAGCACAAAGGGTCACTGAAACTGAACTGGCGGAACCGCTCAAAGATTAGCATGACTGATTGATTGCGCTCCAGAAAAGCCAATTATCAAAAGTAGAATCGGGTAGCGGGAAAGCGGAAAACAAGTATCTTTAAATATCCACCTGTCCAGTATTTTCAAACAATTATTTGTAAAGTTTTTTATCACCCTCTGTGCAATCTATGCGCGCTGTCATTAGTTTTATAGCTAGAGTATATATATATCATTGACTATGCATGGCATGATCTCCCTGTGCAAGTGAGTAAACAACACTAAAAAGACTCTGAGTGCTGCAGTTACAACATGTACATCGAGCTTAAGACGAGAGGTACCCAACATATGGTTAAATTGGTACACCCCCGTGCTACATATTGTTGGAAAGAGCGTTTTGTGATCTACAACCTGACATTGGCAATGTTCATTAAAATTTTAAACTGAAACAGCTATTTTGACGTTAAACAGCAGTACAACAGAAAGTTGCCAAAAGCGCTCCGTTACAGGCAGCAGCTTACTGCTGCCAGCAGTGGCAGATCGAGCCTGCCGGTCAGTCTAGCGGGCAGTGATCGGGTCTGCTAGCGCGTCTTCCAAGTTATCTCTCTCTCCTCGCTCACAAAGAATAAGTAGGTCTTCAAACTGGCAACGGTAGTGATGAAACTGACAAACAAATACTTATTCTTAATATTCTGCACCGCAGGATTTGACCAATGTTGAACCTTGACTGTATGGGCATTTTAAAGCTGAAGTCGAAATTTTTAAAAGAAAGCAATATTCTTATGGGTATGCTTATATTTAACGAAATGGCTGAGCGCCCCGACAAACCGGGCGCATAGAGTTTAGCTGTGCGCCCCGAATGCTCGGGCGCACAGAATCAGGCTCTGCGCCCCGAATTTCCGGGCGCAGAAATATCGGCGATTTGCCGTTTGTCCGAAGCTTTTTTATGTTTTAACTGGCTACTTTTGTTTATTTAACCACTCAATGTTCCTATTGTATTGTCAAAAGCAGAACAGCTTACATATACTGTATCCTCAACCTGTAAATTTGTTTGCTTTATTGCGGACTACTGCAACAACAGCGAAGACGCGTACCTAATAATCAAGCTTTACTTGAGCACGGGATGAAGACACTAGCACCGGAACCGGCGCAAAGACTGCAGGAGAGCAAAAGTTTAAAAATCCTTAGTAGCTTGTTTATCCCATTTTTTATCGCATGATTCATTGAAAAGGTTGCTTAGAACATCACGGAATCAGTCTGGGAGATCCTGGTTTTAAGCAACTTTACCGCATGCTAATACAGTAACACTGGTTTGTCACGTTCTGTTAGTAACATGCCACAGGTCATCTAGGACGGCACGGAACTCCACTCAATGCACAAAACTAATTCCGGTTAACGCAGCGGCGGTAGTTGCACGGCTGGACGACTTGGTTGAACAGTGTCCAGCCGAGAAAAACCATTAGGGTGTGTCTTTTGGATGTACATCCCGATACTGGAGAAGTAATGCAACTCTGATTGACGATGTCGCACAGCGACTGCACTATCGTGTTTAGTACGTACACTTTTTTAGTTCCTGTTGTGTCCACTGCAATAAATCAAATAAATAAATAAAAAATCCAAATAAGATCGCCGATATTTCTGCGCCCGGAAATTCAGGGCGCAAAGCCAAATTCTGTGCGCCCTGAATTTCCGGGCAGAATTTGGCTTTGCGCTGCATCTTTAGCTAGTAATTGTAAGAATTTTCGGCTAGCCATTCAGTCAAGCTCTTCAGTATTTATAAAATAAATACATATTTATTAGATTTTGAGGTTAGTGAATGCCCAAGCTACCGCCAGTATTACAGAGCAACGTAGGTTAATGAATACCCAAGCTACCACCAGTATCACAGAGCCGCTGTTTGAGTGACTTAGTGATTACGGTAAACGGGCTGCGGGCTGGCTTTCAGATATTTAGAAATTACATATAAATTAGACAATTTAGACCGTGAGATACTGAGGTACTCAGATTTCTAGATATTTTTAAAATTCGAAACTTTGGAGGCTCAAAAAATTAGAGGTAACGGCCCCGCTGCGCGGGGCCGAGTCGAAATATTTAGAAATATTAGAAATTCTTGAAATATAAAAGCTTTGGAGCCGGCTTTCGAAAAATTTACAGTTATTTTGAGGTATTCAAACAGATTTAAAAACATCTTAAAGGTTTCCAGAATTAACAAAAAATTATAAGTTTGATGGGATTAACAGTTTTAAATAACTATAGTTTAGGTTGCTAAGTTGCGAAACTTGTATTTGGTCATTCGAGACGTTTCTAGAATTTACTGGAAATTTCTATGAACTTTAAACTGCACGAGTTTTGTTTACAAAACTTTTGAAGAAGAATAGGTTATGCGTGCCTTTTCCCCTAATTTGTAATAGGGGTTTTTTGCCGCATAACAGCATACGGAAATCAATAAAGGTTGATATATACTAAGCACTGAAAGTTTGAAAGGGGTTTTGAAAACGTTCCGGAAACCAAAATTTTTTTCCAAGCTGCAGGTAGGAAGCTTTAGAAGATGCTGGATTTTATAAAATAATCAAAAGCTTCACAAATGGATTCTCGAATTAGGAGATAATTTCCAAAACTAACAACCTTTAAGTACTAACAACCTTTAAGTACTACAGCTTATAAAAATCTTTTTAGACCTTCTCCAAAACTTAATATTTTTTTTAAGATAAAGGTAGGAACGTTTGCGCGATGCTCTATTTTACAAAATTATCAACTTATTGAAAAAATCAATTTTGATTTAGGAGATAATTTCCAAAAAATAAGGACGTAAGGATATATGAATCTATTGATATCTGTAATTCAAGTGGTTTATTCACATTTTATTAACAAAATACGCGATTTAAATAGTTCAAAACATCCATTTTTATGCCTTAATACCAAGCAGGACTTAACAACGTAATAAGTACAGAGGGTCATTCAGCCAAGTGTGGACACTTCGAAAAAAAATTCCTTAAAAATTTCATTTTAAGAGAAATGATACCATAAGCATCTCAATACAACGACTAACTAATATGAATGCTTCCTGCAAATTTCGGTGAAAATCCAGCGTAAAATACTCGCGATATTGTCTGTTAACCAAAAGACTCCGACTTCTATCCCTTGACCAGTCAAAATTTGGCTTTCGATCACCTGGTTTTAAAAGGATCGTCTGTTTTCCAAATCTGCATGGTTTTAATTGTGAAAAACGACGATCCGAATATTTTTTATAGCAAAAACGATTTCATATTCTTGCGCGTTCTTGCGGTAGGACGGTTGGAAAAAACGCGAAAACAGGAAGAGACCCGCAGGAGCCAAGCCCATTGCGCGAACTCTTATGCACGAAACTATAGCTATCCTTTCCATCACTCCATAAACTAAACTTGTAAAACAAGTCTTTCTCTACCGTTTACAATGTTTATTGGTCGAGAAAGACGTCTCACGGATCAGGCCTGGCAGGGAAGAAGAAGTCATCCAGAACCCGAGACGTGCTCCCGGGAGCACTGCTGAGTAAACAAGGACGCAGCTTCCCAATCGAGAAATACTAGTAGTTTCTTCAGAAAAAGGATTGTTCGAAACCCCCGATAGGTTTTCAACGAGTTATGGCGAAAATCCAAATTTTAGATAAATTTTAACTAAAGGGAATCCATTTCCTATAGCTGAACTGGTCAACTGTTGCCAACATGGGGGGGACAAACTTAATTTTTTCCTGAGCTACAGGATTTGGAAATGGTGACTCGGTTGAATTTAAAGTATGGTTGGATGTTGTGGCTACCTGATAAATTTTTTAAAAAAGTAAAATGAGCCTGCGACGGCTAAGGAGAAATTTTCCAAAAAGTGTCCACACTTGGCTGAATAACCCTCTGTACTATCAATTAACAACGTAGAAAGATTCGCGATCTGCTAGCTTGAACAGAAAAGACTACGCGGATGTGATATCTTTTTGTTATTTAATTTTAAAATGTTTCGAATGAAATATGCTCATCAGCGATTTTAAGCCGATGACAACAAAGTCTGCACTCTGCAGTTTGCTTCGGGTGTATTCGCTATCGTAGTTCGGAAAAGACACTGAAAAGAGAAGAAAAGGTTCGAGCAGGATACACAGTACTAGTATTTGCTTTTCGCCACATGGCCCGGTTGGTATGCAATCGGTCACTGTGGTCAAGCAGTCTTCGTGGTCTGACCGGCTACTGGCTACCAGCAGGCTGGCAGCAGAATGCTCTGTGCGTGGCTTTAGTGGTCACTTGCCTGTTGTACTAAACTTTGACGCGAAAGTTATCAAGTCCATGAAGATATTCCTGTTACAGTGTACAATGTCGGCATCAAAGTGAACAGGTAGACAATTACTCGCGCTATCCGTTGCACTAATTTTCATCTCGATGTGACGCCGGGTTCGCCCGGAATTTCGGTTTAAAGTTTTGTTTTTGATAGTTCTACGGCGTTTTTTTCGAATTTTTGAAAACCCTTCCAGCAACGGATAGTCGACATCAAGATCTATCATAAGGCGACATACCGTCCTAACCGGATGAATAGTGAATATTTTTACCAGGGTCGAAGTTAAAAATTAATTTCCTCATTATTTAGTTAATGACCCTACACAACTTCATAAAAAAATTATCAGATGATAGCACAACATCTTGGTGGCATACGGTAATAGTTAAATTAACCGTACATTTACCACCGCGTGCACACAAAAAATTAGCGCAAGGGGACCATATGTTGGGTACCCCTCGTCTTAACAGTTGGCATTCATAAGCGAGTGACCATATCTAACTTTCTAGCCTCCTCGAAAATCTGGAAGCTTTAATACAGTACTATTTGGTTTTTGTTGGGTTTTTGATGATTTAAATTAGTTTCTAATTTTCGAATAATGAGTCAAATATACCAAGATGCCCGATGCCCCATGTTAACACAGACGAAGTATATGGGCCAGTGCACGGTGGCTCTCGTGTGGAATAGCTCATGTAGAAACACTTGAAAATGCATAATTATTGTTTGTACTTCTTGAAATACTCTGTATTAGTATAAGTTGAGAAAACAGTCGTTAGCGCGATTATATTGATTCGGGTTAAACCGACACATCCTGTGTGTTTGCCAACAGGGAGCCGGTTCAGCAGTTTATCCAGACTCCCTTGGACGGATAGACACAGGAAACAGATGATCAGCATGGGTTCGCGTGTTGGCTTAAGCGCCAACTGGTCACCGTAAGATAATATCCCGGCACCAGCATCTGCACAACAACACTCCATTTTTCACGCCGATTATAATTGAATTTTCTCGTCGGCAGTATCACGCCGTTGATACATGATGACAACTTTAAATAATCATGCTCCCATTGCTAATATGTCTCCATCTGATTGCAAAGTCATAGGCGCAAACGGACGTTTGTGGTGTTCTTTGGGGATTAATGCGCTATGATATGTAGATACCGTCAGTGTATAAAATGGAAATTCGATATCATTCCCACAACATTTTTACTAACAGGAACAGTTTCTCGAACGATCGTCTGCTCGCACTTATCGTAACATTCAAGTGGTTAAATATAATTTAATAAGATATTCACTACATTATGATATAGTTTGTTAGTCAAAACATAATTTCTTGGATCGTCGAGAAAGCTTATCTTACACTGTTCATTTGGGGTATTCGTCAAAAATGAGTGCAGAGGATAAAACCTTGTACCATTACTGTCGCCCTCTTCTGTCTCTTATGCGGCTTGGTGGGTTGTTTTATTTACCAGAAAAGCTGCAAATGTCGGCGCGGGTACTTCGTGAGGAGTTGGTTGAAGATGATTATCCCCTGCAGAGAAAGCATTCCCGCCGATATATATTTTTCAAGTGCTGGTGCTGGTTTGCATTCGCATGTACAGTGGCATACTTGGGCAAATTTCTCTGGAATTTCCAGTCTCTTCTGCGGTTAATGGGCAATCCTATCAATGCCAAGAATCTCACTGAATTTGTCTTTCTGTTGACGTTCTTTAATTGGTTTGTGCAGTTTACGTCTTGGCACTTTCTCATGATCCGCGCCTGCAAAAATAAACTCTTTATTAAATTTTTTACGCACTGGGAAATATTACGATTTAATTGTGCGGATAAGAATTGCAACAGTTTTGAAAATTATTTCAAGCCGCGGCGGAATCGGCTGATGTTCTTGACGGTGCTGCTGGTTTTAACCAACATTCAGGCCATTTGGACGCCGGTTTTAGTGGACAACGGCACATTCGATGCGCAGCGGTTTGTAATATACGCTGGATTTCAAGGATACTGGCACGTGGTGGCAACGGGAGTTATGCTGATTGGCCACTTTTTTGCCAGCTTCGTGTACATCACACCGGTGATGTTGCTGGCTTTGTTGGCGTATGCACTTTATGGCGAATTTCGACACTTGACCAGGTTAATTATAATCAAAACAAAAAATTTCTAATCCTTATGTAAAACAAATAAGCATAGGAGCAAATGTGCGGCAACACGTTTACTCATGCGGCTACAAATTTGTAATGCACTTTTGTTCTACAGATACAACCTAAATGTAAATTTGCTAGCTGAAAGCGGCATCAGGCGTTAATTTTGAATAAAATAAAATATAACGCTTAGGCTCAACAACTTTTGATGAACATATATGATTTGACCAAGATACAGAATTAAGGTAAACATTTCATTCAACTGTATATCAAATGATGCTCTACCATGATCTACCGATAAACATTTTATGGAATCAACAAATCTAACGTAGGGAACGAATACTGAAATTTATGAAACTATATACATTATAGAGAAACAGCAATCGTCGTATTTTAACACTGCGCTATAATTTAAAGGAACATGGCAAAGAATATTAACGAAGACGGCGAGCTCGTAGTGCAGTCTGTGGAGTGGTACCGGCAGAAACATGAACGCCTGTGTACACTGGTCAGTTTGGGCGACGACATCTTCTCGACCATCGTTCTGTTGGCTGTATTCGGCAGCGTCATCGAGCTCTTTATGCTGATGTTTGTGGTAGTTGATTACTCGGCAAAAGGGAAATTCACGGTGATTACCGCGGTTAATGAATTGTTTTGGTTTCTGTTCCACGTAACACAACTGGTCGTCGTCATCGGAATGGGCATAAAGGTCAACGCGGCTGTAAGTGCATAACTTATGATGATCCGCGCCGGATTAATGCAGTTTCAGTTCTATTTTTTACTCGTTAATTGTAGTACTCCGCTGATTGTCTTCTTTGCAGGCGCATTCACCCTTAGACATTTTGTACAAGTTGGATAACAACAAACTCCGGCCTGGAGAGGTTCACCATTTGCATACATTCCTTAGTAAACTCAACGGAAATCAGATTGGTTTCACGGCCAGCAGACTGTTTACGATCGATGTGTCTGCCGTACTCAGCGTAAGTAATGATTTTTGCCACATCCAAATGATCGACGGCTTTGGCAGTACGTACAGTACAGCTTTAGTAAAATTTTAAAGCTTTCGAAACCATTTATAGCGCTTCTTTTGCTGCTAATTTAACGCGTTTGCAATTGTAAAATGCATCCTTAAATCGTATTTAATTTCCAGATTGTAGGTATGTACATTACGTACCAGCTCTTATTGTTCCAATTGCAAATGGATCTCACGAGCGCTGACGAAGCAGCTACAACGAACAGCGGAAACACTACGACGAATATAACTTCTGGAAATCTTTAAGCATCTGCTTGTTTTAACCTTACATTAGGTTTTACTAACAACTACAGATATTTTCATAATCTTTGGCGGCTCTTGAGTCTTAGTATATGATGCGTGCAACATGTTGATCAACTTTGTGATCGCTTTTTTGCTCTCTCGAATATTTGTTGATGCAGTTCGTTTATTAGTGAGAGATCCTATTCAGCTTCACTTCGTTTGCTATTATCTAAAAAAACTGAAGATGGCTTTGCGTTACAGTAAGCGTGGTCATGCGTAATTATACAATTATTATACTTTTCAGCGTAAGTGACCTTTACGTCGGGCTAACGCCATTAACGACATGTAAAGTCGTATGGACTGCAGTTAATTTACAGAGTCGAGTAATAAAACTTATATATACATAATATCCGACCACACATTCACGTTATTGTTAATAAAGCTTTATACTGCTGCAGTGTGAAATTTTGATTTCACAAGAAGCTGACCCTTATATGCTGTTTTTTACCAATTTAAAGAAGAGTATACAATATATAACCATATATAATATGTACGTTTTATACCAGAATCAGCATTTCACATGGATTATGCCAAAATATTAGTCCGACTCATCATCATCATCATCATCATCATGGTGACAATTCATTCCATTTTCTTTCCCGTTCTTCATTATATTTTCCCCGCACGACGCCCATAGTGCTTGGTCCAAATCAGCAATTAAATCTTCCACGTCTTCTAGTCCAACGGACAAACGCGCTAAATTCTGGGTTATACCAGCTTTTGCTAGGATTTCTGGATCAATTCCATCGTGAGTCATTACGGCGGGAAAACTGACAATCGATTCACACCCACCTAAACTGGCAGCTAACGTGAATACCTGAAAAATTATAGCAAAAGGTCGCATCTTTACGCAAACAAAAGCACCATTTATTTGATGCTTGTAGTTATGGTGTTATACAACATTAACGCTTGTTTAACAAGTATAATATGACGTCTGCGCACTAATCGGTAGAGTGCAGTTAATATACCTTTAGACACTTGAAAAATTTCCATAAATCCGCTTTATTTCCTTTGACGTAAAAAGATAATACACTGCTGTAGCCTCGACTCTGTTCTCTGAATAAATCATATTGAGGATGTGATCGCAATCCAGGATGGTTGACCTTTTCTACACATGGATGCAAGTCTAGGAAATTGGCAATGATTAACCCACTTCGCATATGCTCCCGCATACGCACCGGTAAAGTTTTCAGACTACGAATCGCGAGGAAGCAATCAAACGGCGATGGTATTGCTCCGAGATTGATTTGGAAAAATCGTAATCGATCATACAATTTCTCATCATTAACTGCCACAGCGCCCATCACCACATCCGTGTGTCCGCACAAATACTTAGTACAGGACTGATGAGAAATGTCCACGCCCAAATCCAAAGGGCGCAAAAAATACGGCGTGGTAAATGTATTATCAGCGGCAATGATGATATCCTTATTGAATTTCTTAACCAATTTTACTAATTCCTGCACATCGACAATGCGCATGACAGGGTTTGATGGCGACTCGATCCATATCAGTTTGGTTTTTAAGGTCAGAGCACTGGTCACTTCATGCAGGTCCAGCATGTCAACATATTTCGTTTTGACGCCATTTCCCGCTGCAACTGAATCAAAGTATGTGGAAGTTCCGCCATACAGATCAATGCCGGCTATGATTTCATCACCACTCTTAAGCAAATGGACGATGCTCGCCAGAGCAGCGGTTCCACTACTAAAGGTCACCGCTGCAAACACAGCCGTTCTTTCAAATTTAAATATTGCAGGCAAGGTGGTACTTTTTAACTACACTTATACGCTTATTCGGCTTACGATTACGTTCCACACAGATAACTTGAATATTTAAAATATTTGGAGAAACCTATAGTCGATTCAGTACTGCGTTATGCATTAAATGTAATTGTCTTCCAAGAAAGTGCATGCCGCGAAAAATATTTGCTATTCACAAAATTTTCGTTCGTGGCTTTTCAAAGTTCAGCGGAGCTGTCTGGTCGTATTTAATGTCTAAGGTGTTGTTTAAAAATTCAAAAGAAGTAACTGATTGTCATCATTATGGGGTTGTGGACCCCAGTGCTTAATGTTTCTTACCATACTGAGCATCTTCTGCGGCGGCGAGGGAACGTTCCAGTGCATCGCGCGTAGGGTTGCCACAACGTGAGTAATCAAATTTTTTGAAAACTCCAGGCTCACTCTGTCGGAATGCTGTCGAACACGCGATATGCGGAGCAAGATCTTCTGTACCTGGAATGCAGTTATTAAAGTGATTAGAATTAAACGGGTATTAAACGGCTATCGAAACAGACATTATGCACTACTTGTTGTGTCAGGTACGTCGCTTTGATTCATTGTGACACTTGTGTGCAAAAATGCGGTGATTTCATCGCTTTACTTGTTTCTCTTAATACAAACGTTTAACGTGTCACGTTCTGTCTATACATTAAAGTAATTACTCCTTGCAATTAAAGTTTTTGAGTGTTTTCGACAGCGAATGATGAATGACCTGCTGCCAAGTCAACTCTGAAGATTATCCTATGCAATGCAATACAGCGTCACCCATAGACTGTCATATCTGTACTGACAGTACAGTACATATCGACAAAATACATACAATACTTCTGTAGATACAAAATATTCATGTATGCTGTGCTGTGTAAAACTTAAATTTGGCATTACAAGGTTAAAAAGATAGTACTTATAATCCAAAATCGCACTGCGATGGCCGAGCATCTTCAGCAGAACCGTACACAGTTAATTATACTCTTGTAGCGCCACTAAAAGTCTTTATAATAATAAGATATTAATACTTATTTAACGAATAAAAATTAATAACTGCGTAATCGTTATTATAGCGTTACATAGCCGATTTTCAGAAGCAAATATTACCCGCGCATGCTATTTTCTCGTAGGTATGTAGTTAAAACTATGTAGTTAAAAATTTCCTCTGCCGCACCAACCTAGGTTATCACAGCCCTTTTCTTCTACTCGCTAAGAACATAAACCTGCCGTATGAGGTATTCCGTATGAGGTATCTTTGAACTGTCTATCTTAACAGAAAACCAAAAGTTATATTTCATTCTACGAAACTCTTCGATTAGTTTTCTGTGACGGTCATAACGCGTAATCAGATGAAGGACCTTCGATGGAGACTTTGATGACCTGATCAAATCTTGCCAATTATCAGGTGGCATTTTAGAATTACGTTTGAATAACTGGAGTGATCCCCTAGCACAAATTTAAAATAATCTGAAAATTATTGTCGTATGCTGTAGTTATACAAATTACGTTATTCTTTCAACTACATGGAACGCCAACATGTTTGAATATTCGGGAAATTATTGACCTTAAGCGAAATTTCGGCAGTTTCGATGCATCACTGTATGCGCTCTATTGCAAATTTACAGTGGAAACTTACCCCATTGGTCTGGCTCATTTCCGGTATGGATAACGTTAGTGGCAAAACTGGGAAACGGCACAAATTTCATCTGAAACCATGATGCATAGTCGTTGCTTAAGCGACGAGCATTCAGCTGCGTGGACGGAAGAGCAGGACCAAGGCTACCCGACCGATAAGGTCGTGCCTTGTTCCGGGGGATTTCTCGGCGTTTACTAATAAACATTGAAACATGCAACAAGTAGAGCAAATGTAACGATTAATCAGTAGTTTACAGAAAACACAGCAATCCACGGCGATCCTTGCATGCACTCACCCCATTAATAATATTGCACGAGAGGACAACGTATGGCGACGTGTATTTTATAACAATTGACGGGGCAATCAATGTTGCTTCCTTAAGGTCATAATAATATAATTGTTATATACGGTAAACAAGTAGGACCATAAGGACACCTGAGTAATAGATTTACAGCGGCACTAATGAAAAACATACACTTACAGATGTCCATCATAATTAAACAATGCAACAGAGCCACTGCAGTATATATACGCGTTTGACATGCGAACCCGTGATCAGTTGAATTGTATTCACAGTGGCCACGAAATGATACAGCAACTGTATCTAGATACTTGAATAATAATTGATAATACGCAAATTGACATGTCATAAAATCAGTAGGTTCACAGAAACAGCTCTTGACGATACAATAAGGCTATACATGGCATTAAAATGCCGAACGGAGATTACTGGCGATATTTTTCATTTCAGTATATCCTTATTTCTGCAATTTTCGGGTCAGAATATTTGACTTTTACTAGGTTAGAATACTGAAGTATTCGCTAGAAGGCTTAACTGCCATAATACTGCCGAAATGACTGTTCATTTACTATGCTTCACTTATGACGGCAATTCAACTGGCAGCGCTTAATTAATGAGGTGTGCGGAGAAAGGTGTATATGGTTTTCGCAACACGGAACACACTTGTCAAAATGACTTCTTCCATACTTCCACTAAAGCGATGGTATGGTAAATGGTTTTCTTTGGGCTTGAATTTTAAAAATTTGCTTATTCACCATGCCAGGGAGCAGCTTCCGTATTGTTAGCAATCTTCGGTTGCCTTATTGAGCTTATTCTAATATTATTGAACTGGTATCGCAAACGGCACATTTGATCGTTCATATCGTAATGACTGAATGCCGGTTTTACATGTACATGCGCATGTACATATCTTGCGCACACGTCTACTTTCCGAAAGACGTCATTCTATTTAATACCAATTAGCATACCGCAGGTAAACCAATGTAAAAAACAACTGAAGTTGAAAAACTAAAGCTAAACAACTAAAGCTCGCACTTCTGTTTCTAAAACCGTCAGCCTTTGCGTACATAATCGATTCAAGAAGTTTATTAAAATTAGTTTTTTCTATCATCAGTGAAAAGGTCACTGTCAACTTGCCACCCGCAGTAAAAACTTAAGCAAATTTGTCATACCATTTCAATGCTCAACATTTTTGACGACATCGAACGGGCACGTGGGTTTCAACTTAACAAATAATTGTTGTCTCACCAAAATTATTTGTCTCACCAAAAACTGCTACGTAATATTGTATAGTTAACGATTTTGTTGTTTACTGAACGTTTCTTTTATGTTGAAGCACTAGCAGCACGTAAGGAATGCTGGATTAATGCAATACGAAACTGCCACAGGGCGCAGTAAGAGTTTTGTACCACAGGACATCCGCATACTGCGTACACACTTAACGGGATGACAATATAATGGCTGTATTAGCAGCAAATACTTGAAGATTGTATTGATGGGGTCGCTGGTCAAACACCTGCACGACTAATATGCCACGGGGTGGTAGACTTAACAATTTTGCTAACTGATTTGTTCTACAAATGATGCAATAAACCATAGGAATAAACTGCCGCGACGATTAAATAAGCACTACAACCTGTACTGCAAAATAAAAAAATAGAGTGCGCATAAACAAATTTTCTCATAAATCAATAACACATGAACTGTAAGTTTTACTTGAGCAATAAATAAAATTCATTTAATGTATCTTTCACTGCAGTTGAAAATATGTACAAGAGACAAACTGTTTACAACATCGACATTTACACGAAAATTTAAACCGATAATATTTTCGAAGGATATCTATCTGTGCAAGAATAAATTCGTCGCAACGACAAATAATTACGCTTTTTAAAAATCTACTTTCGCTGTAAGTAAGGTTCAACAATAAACAGCAAGTAAAAAGTGCACGAATACAGTAAATCAGTACAACATGCAACAAGCGAATTCCAAGGAAAAACCAAGGTGATATCCATGCTTTCATACTGGTTCAGACATCGATCAACAGAGCTGAAAAAAGAAATTGTAGAGCCTATGTTAAGAATAAACATGTTAACATTTATTATCATATTCGTTAATTTTTAAACGCCCACGTACAAGCTAAGCTAGCGCACATAAAGCACGACAAGCATCCGGTGACTAGCGAGCGGAATCCTACGCTGATAATGTCCGATCTTCGCGCTGGCGCCATGGCAGCCTAGGTTCAAATAAAAATTTATTCCGCTTATGTGTTTTGTGTAGTTTTAGAGCACTAACCATTCCTCCAATGGTGATGCCCAGTGATGTAATGTTTGAAAATCCACATAACGCATAAGTGGCCACAACCTCCGATCGCTCCTGTAGTTCGGTCAAATAAGACAAATGTAAGTTTATTTTGTAATTTATGAACCACGACTTTTGGTCGTTTCGGCGCTCGATTCTTTATTCAAATAATCTTACGGTAATTGTCCGGTTTTTAATAAGTTCACCAAGTTTCGTGTAAGCGATAAACTCGTTGAGAATGGTTTTGGTTCCAACAAGAGAGCCAACTTCCGTCACGTCCTCCCAGTCGCATCCCATTGACCACGCCAAGGGAACGAATATATAGCCACAAATAAACTGCAAAACTTCTCACAATAAACATTGGCTAAACATTCCTTCTTACATCCTAATCCTATATCGGTGAAGAAATTAGTGAACTGATACATTCATAATTCATCCAAACATGTTTTTTTGCGACACAGCGGCATTTGTGTCTGCATCATGATCAGTGTCAAAGTCAATTAAAAATATAATAGCTTCCATAAATGTATCTAAACGTCGTCTGTGTGCCGTCGTTATCAAATTACCTCAAACGTCAGACCGTGAATGCCAACCAAACCGCCCAGGTATTCCAGAAGAAAATTGAACATCTTCAGTGCCGCCAGGCACGAGATGAGATTGGCTACAATGTAGCTAATTAATTTGACTGTCTGTTGGGCACCGACAGTGGCCGCTTCAAGAAGGTTTTGTTCAGCACTGCAAAAACACACCGGTCAGACGACAATGGGGTTTTCCTAGCGGGGAAACTTTCATGTCAACTACAGCAGTTTTTACCCTCGATCCATTGCCGTAACGTGATCGAAACCAGTTTTCGAGGGTTCCACTTCCGGGTAGACTAATTTGGCTAGCGCCAGTGAACAAGGAGCCGACATAATGGATGCTGACAGTAAGTGGACAGCTGAAATGATAAAAGGTATTTTAACTATTTTTGAATAGATTTCGTCATTCGGCCTAAAAATTTTATGTCAGGGTAATGGGCTTTACGCTGTCTTTTTTGCATACAAGTATGTCCGAAAGCGTTTACGTACCGCTTACTCCGAAGCTGATGTAAGCAGCCAAAACGGAGCCGGCAACATTGGCGAATCCCCCGACAAACAAAGCGTGGAGTTCGCTCTATTATAAGGATAAGTCATATCACTACGCATAACCATTACGTGTACTTGTGCAAAAGAGGTGTAACTAATCTAAAAGTTAATAAACCAGTGCAAAATGCATGTTACAAAATCGACCTACGTAGTGTTCCGATATAAATATGCAAGCACGTGATAAAGTGAAAACTAAACATATCTGCCAGCACTTGCATGTAGGTTCTAAAGACAATAATATAATATTTGTTTGCTTTGCCAATCCCCAGAATCGAAATGCAAACCATCACCATAGGACCCAATACTATTATAAAATTTTGTTTTATTACTGTTCAGTTTTCCCATGATATCAAATCTACACATACCTTTGTCATGACGTCGAGGTAAGGCCTAACCATTAACGGAGCTTCGGTCTAGACATAAGAAACAAAATTACCGCAGTACGAACATGTAAAGCGTCAACCTACTAAGTCAAATTTTAATCTTCCGTACCATACCGACGAATATATTCGCTGCAGCAGCAAAGGATTCGCAGGCAGTGGTTCCCAGTGTAACCTGATAAAAATTTGCATCCCTTAAGACAGCATTGTTATTGTCAGTTCAACACAATTCACAAAGTTCAGAAATACGTAATAGCTTATATTTTTGTTAATTGTGGCTGGCAATTTTCTGTATACTCACGCGAGTAAAATTTAATTTTCATGTACAATGTACAGATACATACTGGAACATACATATAATAACCACCCAATTTTTACGATGACCCACTGCATCACGCCCAGATAATACAGTGCCGCAATAAGGAAGCCGAAGAACACTATCACAGGACAGACCTAAAGAGAATGCTTCCGAGTCACTCCGGGTCAACCTTTGTCAGTGAACTACGAAAGAAGAGAAAATACTTACCGCAAAGGCAAAAAAATGCTCCCTGAAATTTGCACCGAAGACGAACTCCGAACCGGCATCCGTAAAAGTTATGATAGACTCCACAAGGTCTCCCATCCAAACAAATACAGACCGACCAGCATCCCATCGCAAAACAATTAAACCAAATATCAGCTGAATGGCAATACCCCAAACAACGGTATACCTGTAGCAAAGATGAATCGAAAATGTTACAAATAAATCCGAGACTACGATAGTAAAACCGGCGTTTGTCAGATAGCAATAGCTACTCGTACTTATTTGTGCTACCGAAGCACAATAATATGTGCGGAAAAGTGTCATATAAAAACTGATGATGTACAGGTTGGATTTGTTTCTGTGAATCTCAACGCACCAGTTCACTCGTGCTGGATATTTCGAAATAAGGAATCCAAAAAGGATTATTCCAAATATTCCTGTTAAACTCTGTAAGCGCCGCGGTGACTTCGCGCAATCCACGCCCAGGAAAATAATCACTGCACAGAAAAACAGGACCACCTGGATTCTGCAAGAAACCCAACCGGAGTTTGCATAGAAGTACTGATGTTTTGTCATAATAAATTTTTCCCGGTACAGCAATATGTTATTTGCACCATGATTCCCAAACTTGCTGTGAAGGTGGAAGCAATGGACCTCAAAACTGACCACAGAGCACACTTACATAAGGCACTACTTATTGCACACGATAAACTACTCAACATCTGGTGATTTCTCATGGCACTTTGCTATGTTGCAACGCTCACCTTTTCCGATTTTTCCTGTGTTGTCGTAAATATTTCCGAAGTGGCTTTGTGTAAATAGCAACTCTGCTCCATAATGGCTTGCTGACAAATTTGAAGTAGATTACGCAGACATACACAACCACGGTCAGGATGAAGAGTTTTTTCGCTTTGGAAAAATCGCGAACGCAGGCATATATGAGAAAAGCATTGTAGGCACAGAAAAGAATACTGTAAAGGGCAATGCGAAGAATTCGCCGGTTCACTTTGAAAAAATTCCGAATTTTTTCCTCAGCAGCGGATATAATCTGTACAGGGCCGAACTTTGATTTGGCGGTTTCTGGATCATGCTCAAATTTCTCGGATAAGGGATCTTTGTGCGCAGCCGCTTCATTCTGTTGTAACATGTAACGATAAATAACATTCAAACATAAACCATGTTTATTCAAGAGCAGTTTAGGCGTCAATAAAAAATTATACAAAGTACGTTAGCCCCACCTACAGGTTCAGCGCATAGATCAAAAGTTACACAGCCAGCATTATTAATAACAGTCAATAATAAAACTAAGTTTATCACTGCAATATTTCCCGTGAACGGTTCTACTAATTCTTTTGCAAACTTGTTGCTGACATAAAAAATTACATGGACAAAAAAAGTCAACTACGCTTGTACGGTATGTATATCATGGAGCATATTTCCATCGCTTATTTTTCTATTAATTTATTAAGTTGTTGCTGAAATTCGGTAGTACGTACGAAAAGGTTTGGTAATTAAATATTATAAAAAACGGTAAATACTTTAACCTTCAGCGCTGGACAAACACCGAACACAAAACACGTACAAATCAGATACAACTCCTCTCAACTGCAGCATACCCGGGGTATATTTAAAATTTCCCCCCTAATTCTCTAGTTACTCCGGCATACCATTTGGCTGTCCGTGTCCGGTTTCCGCCCATCGACACTTCCCTTTTCGCCTGTCTCGCCATCATCGTGGGTCGATCTACTCAATGAAACTGCATCACCATCTTGCTTATACGAAGCACGGACACTTTCCTGCGGCGTCCGATGACCGACATTGTCAGAAACACGGACAAACTTGGATGCGTCCGAATCGTCGTATGAATGATTGTCATATCCAGCTGGATGCGATGCAGCGTGCGTTTTCAGCGATACAGGATCGACAACTGGCGGTTCCATTATGGATAGTGCCTACTGGAACTCTACACCACTTGACCACGCTAAACACTCGATAAAGTAAAGGAACATACCGCTTAATTGATGTACAGATCTCCAGGCAAAAACCAATAAAGCTGTGCACAGTTTAAGGGCGCAACCCAGACAGCACGAGCGGATAATAATATCATAATATAACTCGGATTTTTCGGTGGTCAGCGTCTCAACAAAAAGAAAAACTGCACCGGCCAAACACACCTTTTGGCTTTTTGTTATACGCAGATGATTCGCCGTATACAGTAAATTTGAAGAATGCAGATTTATTGGGTCATTCAACTTAACATTGGTTAAACTCAAAATTACGCAGTTCTCATCACTTCAACACATAGTACACTTCATCCAGTCTCTTACCGATACAAAACGTTTCCTGAACACACGCAGCGTTACCTCGCATTAAAGCAACACTGATTCTCTGCTTCAGAAACTGAGTGGACCTTTTCTCCTGTGTCCCGTGATTTGAAATTTGAAGTGATCACAAGTAAACCGTAGTGTAAGTCATACTGTTTTTCGGATAATATTTGTCTTTAGGTTGAAAATTTTTGCGAAAGCATGCTTTTCGGACATAGTCAGCAATAACAACGTAATTCGATCAAAAACGGCAGAATCGGCATTTAGCGGAGAAGCACATAATCCATGCCTGCCAAAAAACCTACCGTACCGCTCCAAGCAAATGTTCGCGACTATGCAGCGCCGCATTTACGTACAGTGGTACACTGCAGCCTGCGGCTGGCTGGCTACTCTGACTCCACTTGCGCTTTTATGGCAGACAAAATACAAATTAAATTTTTATGGCAGACGAAAATGTAAACAAAACATTTTTGGTATATTGCAATCGTAAAATACAATAGTTTTAGTCGTAAGTGCGAACACAAGAATTTTCCGAGAGCATTTTTTGCCTTTCTAGTTTTTCTTCAATATCCTCTGTACAGACAACAGTGTGGGCTTTGTATCCGTTCAGAATCGCGTTGTAGTATTTGTGGGGTTAATCCAGTTCTGGTTTACCGTTTACTTTTCCATTTTAATTTCTTTGCGCATGGAATTATTGTCACTGAAATCGGAATACTGACCGAGTACCGGAGTACGCGTGATTTTTTATTTGGAGTTGTCAAAATCTGTCGCGGACTACTGGGAACTGCAAGCACTAAAGATGTCGGATGCCAGCACGGATGCGGATGCAGCTGTCTTTGCAGTCCGCAAACGTCGACCCAATGCCGCAGCAAAGAGAAAAGTCACCAGCGAGGAGGCAGAGGCAGATCTCGAAGAAGCATCGGTGACGTACGTACGTGAATGCAGGCTTGAACAATATATCATGCTGTTGATGGTGACATTCTGACTGTATGTAGCGCGAATGTGCTGGAAGTTCTGGAGCAGCAGAAATCGAGGAAGAGACCACATGGAATCAAGTAAGGCACGCGTGAGGCTGTGTGTAGGTTTCGCCGTACGCATGGGAGATGGACATTTATTATTGATGGGGACCGATTGTTTTGCAGTATCGAAGACCTTGCTGGAACGGGAGCGGAACGATTAGACAATCAGTCCACTACGGTATTGTTATTTTGTTTATTCCCCCATTGCCGCGTTTTTTCCAACTGATAATTTCATGCAGTTTAGCTGTTTAATTTTGGATGCAAAGTGCTCGTATCGTAATTTGTTTTTCGCTGTAAATTTTCTAAAAAAGAGCCATTTTATGGTAAAAGTTGTTGGAGAAAATTTTCTAATGAAACACAGTATGTAAGTAACTGCAGACTACTGTTGGTTTTATATAGGAAGTGGAGCTTGCCAAGCTGAAGATGCAAACTGGAGGAATGGTCAGCTTGAAAACCGCTAGAGCCATGTAAGGACGCACAAGACTAGTTCCATGTGAATATGTGCTGTTGTATTCCATTAAACTGCAGTCGAGTTGAGTGGCTTGTTTTGCTAAGATCGTGTCGCTGTATTGTCTTGTTTGCAATTTCAGCTGTTAATTAATTTTTTGCGTACTCGATCACGACGATCAGCAAACATTTTGAATACATCCATTTCGATCACTTATCGGCACATTTTTCCTTTTTCTTTCAGGGCTTCTCTACCGAATTTGGAGTCAGGCGGACAGCACATTGATATCGGTACGGAGTTTTCCGCTGAAACTCAAAGGCGAGACGAGGATTACGACATGTAAGCTTTGTTTTATCGGGTTTTCTTTTTTCTGTTTCTCACCTTAATGATTTAACCTGCGCATAAGCAGGATTTATCACGATGGAGTTAATCCAGTCACAAAAGCTTCGGGATTGAAAAAGCTTCGGGATTGAAATTTTGTTAACCAATAGGATGACCTTCATTGAAGAGGAAATTATGAAGCGAAAAATCCGTACTGGCGACCATGAGGAGGAAAAGACAAGTTCTAGCAGTCGGTAATATCGGATGTTGTTGGACGCCGCTGTTTTAGATATTTAATGCCAATTATCCTATGAATGCAGGAAAATCCTACGCCCGGAGGATGCCTTGTTGGTTGTAGCCGAACGCTATCAAACCGACACGAAGCACCGATCAGAAGAAATGTTATCACATCAAATGCTTTCCGGTATACCGGAAGTGGATCTCGGCATTGAGTATGTTGTGGGAACAGTTTTGATTCTTATAACCTGGATCAAAAGACTTTCTTGACCGTCGCGTTTTTAGAGCTAAAATCAGGAATATCGAAGCTACTGAAGAGGCCAAACGGCGACTGATGCAGAAATACCGTGAAGGCAGCCCTGGAGATACCCGATCTAGCAAAGTGCAGAAGGAATCTACCGCAATGAGTTATGTCCAGCATATGCGATGTAATACATGCTTTCCACACGATGGTCGCCGATTCATAAACGTTTGTTAAAATGTTTTGTTTCGCTTCAGTATTTAAGGAAAAAATGTTTCTGCAGATAACTTGGACAATTATGTTGACCAAAGGGAAGCAAAGCCGGATCAAGTGAAAGCTCCCAGTGGAAACAAACCTTTACCAGAACCTGTCAAGCAGCCTTCGTTACCTTCTGCAGGTAAGCATTGTGAACTTAAAATACCAAATCAGTTATGCCTGACCAGAAGAGTCAGAATTTCGGTTGAAAATTAGACAAATATTTATGTTAAATGTGGTCACTAAACATCTCTCCGACTCTCACGTGTATAAATACTACTGAAGGTTGTCCATTTTTAGCACAGTTAATGCTTTGCTTTGGTTTTCAGAAGCGCTTACCGGGTCAGCTAAACCATCTGATGGTCAGTGTTTCGACAGATTTAAGAAAAATTTCATGGAGAAGTTGGAGAAAGATAAGAAATCAAAGCGGGATAAGTGATTTTGTGGGACAAGGAATGTGGGTTTTAACTTCCGCTAAAACTCACAGTGCATCTGGGATGATTATAACCTATTGAGTACGGATTCAGCTTGTGCTACACTGCTTGATTTCTCTAGTACGCCTTTGCAGTATTTGCTTTGTGGGTTTAAAACAAAACCAACATTGTTGAATTTTTAAGCAAAATATTTTAATGGATTATCAATGAAGTTACTTAATTTCATGTCACCCGTGTAATTTTCGTACGCAGGCAGAGATATAATCGAAAATTCGAACAAAATAAAAAAAACGACGGTAATAACTATTATTACCAGCAATTTCAATTAATTATGTAATTAAATGTTGTACAAAACGATCATCATGTACAGATAGCACATGTTGTTAGCAACAAGCACCAAAGTTTAGGTTACAGTTACGAGGAAGACAACAATATTAAAAAGTACATCGCTGGAACACTTATCAATAATCTCCCCTTCCCCTGCCACGACTAGAGCCACGGCCTCGACGTGGTCGTCGTCCTCCACCGCGCTCCCCACCGGCTCCTCTTGGCGGGCCACCTCCACGCGGCCGACGATCTCTTCCTCCCCATCTTTCTCCCGGCCCTCGATAATCCACTCTACACACAGTCGCCATATCCTTATCGCAAAATATGCAGCCAGATCGTTCCGCACCGTCCTTGTCCTCCATCACCAGCGTCCGGCTTTGACATCTGGGACACGGATCCAGTTTCACTCTGATTTTCTTCAAATCTCCCAAGTAGACCTTGAGAGTGCACTGATTACAGGACAATCGGCGCTTCTGTCCTGACGAGGTTTCCAAGACCAGGTTACCGGTATCACATCCGTAGCATGTCCGCACAGCGTTGGTCGTCATCGAATGCGGACAACTGGGATGGGTGCACTTGTTGCACGGGGCATTCTTCGGCATATCCGGAAAGGGCGGATTATTGTAGCAGTATGGACAGAGGGGTGTTCCTCTTGTTGCCGTTGTCCAAAAAATAAGGTCATAACTAAAACACCAATCCACATCGTTAAGGACAATTTTGCTGTTCAGTTATACAGTGTGTAATGTACAATTTCACAGGTTATTTAAAAGCTAAACTGCCGCAGTTAAAAATATTCGATTAAGAGCTTACCCGTCTAACGGGCATTTCAGTTCCTGATGCAGCCCAATGTTTCCCTGGCTCGGTAGAGATAAGGCTTCGTTACAAAAATTACAATACAAACGCGGAGGTTTTGTAGTGATCAGTTTCATAAAACGTTGGCATTTCCCACATCTTCCAAACGGTTTCCCAGACTCATTTAATGTTGTGAAGGAGGAGTGAAATAAACCCTCCATCAACATAATTTTTTCTATAAAATAGCGAAATTTCCCCTTGAAAATCTTCAGGGTATGATCTCGGACGGCAGCGAAATCCGCCTGACCCTGCGCGATTAAATTTAACTGCTTCTCCACGGCGGAACGCATTGTGGACAGCACCAAATCTGGATCAATTTTCTCATATCCGTGAACAAGCATAATACCCAGCGTAGTCGGAATTAATTTCCGACCCGTCGTGCTGACGCCAACATAATTTCTTTGGCATATATTGTTAATGTGGACGGGTATACTGGCGTCAGTTCCGATGCCATGTTCTTCCATCAATTTAATTAATTCGCTTTCAGACAGATAATCCGGCGGACTGGTTTTTCTTTCGATCAACTTCACTTCCTCTACTTTCAAAACCATCTTCTCTTTTATATCCAGCATAGCCGAAGAACCAACGGCCTGCCACGGCAATACTGACGTAAAACCGGGATCAATCAATTTTGTAGCAACAATTCGGAATTCTTCCTGTCCGAGCATAATTGTGGCCGTCGTTTCGGTGTAGACACAATCCGGCATAATGGTGGCTAAAAAGTGACAGCAGATATATTCATACAACCTCCAGCCTTCTCCCAGTGTGGCTTCTGTAGCCGCTTTCGCAGGTGTAATCGGAGGGTGATCACCGACATCAGTGCCTTTTTTCGGCTTTTGAATGCCGATTTTAAAAATACCAGCCACTGTCGAAGCAAATGCAGAACATTTCGATAACTCTTGCGCAACCTGTTTAAGGTCGAAATTTTCTGGATAGGAGGAAGTTTCTGTTCGGGGATAGCTAATATAGCCTTGCGTATACAGCCGTTCAGCGATCTAAAATACAAGCAAATAGCGGCAACATAAGATATTCGTAGTGAGAATAGTGACCGCGAGAAGACTGGCTATACTGTGCCAACGTTTTTAGCCAAAATAGCAACAAAAATTTAACGCGGTATCCTGTTCTCGGTATGTTGAAGGAGAGAATAAATTGACCGAACTTTCGTTTTTATGATATGTAGTAAGTATCCAATGTTTTATCATGTTTCATGGCTGCAAACCTTTATGTACTCGTAGAATTCAATAAAAAATTTTCATGATAAATCTGTTAAGCAATTTATAGTGGGTGGAAAAGCCAGAACGCAGACAATAAAACCGGAATTTTTTTCTGGTCAATAAAACTGTGCGCTTGCAGAAGTTTACCTGCATAGCATGATGCGGGGCCATCCCCAGTCCCGCACTAGCCACCCGAAGTAAACTAACGGTATTCAGTGCATTTGGCCGCTGTTTCCGACACTCCTGGGTCGCCACCGAGACGACTTCCGCCGTTTTCAGATCTTTTAGATTCTTTAAAATCATCTCCGCGACGGGACGGTTGAACATCGCGCTCCTTGCCCAGGACGGCGAGAACTTCTCCCCCGAAGGTGTCACCAATACTGGCTCCGGAAACCAGTATGGCTCGGGCTTGAATTGCTGGATTTCGTCGTGACGTCGCACGCAAAACGCCAGCGTCGGCGTCTGACACGGTCCGAACGATATCGTGGCGCTGTTCAGATCGCCAAATTTCCCATTAAAATGCCTCGTCTGAAAGCGTGTAAATGCACATCCAATACGCAGATCCAATTCCATTCGAGCGTCAACGGATAGTGATTCGTTCTTATTGGGAAACACCAAATTGTTCATAGCGTGCTTGATGTCCTTGCTAGTCAGAGCGCTGAATTTCGCTCGATAAATATTTGGTTCACGCGAGGTCGGCTTATTCATGGCGGCCGTGACCGATTGGATCACTGTATTAATAAAATTAAAATCAAGCCATAAAAATCAATATAGAATTTTCACAGTTAGACAACAAAATTCTCCAGTAGCGTGGTAAAATATCTCCGTCTAATGAAATTCGACTACTGCAGGCGGATATTTAAATAATAACAATAAAAACTGCCTGGTCAAGAAAGCAAACAATCATAGTACATTTCTACAACAAAATATTCAACGAACCTTCAAAGCAAATGTTTTCCCCTTCTTTATCACAATCCAACCACAAGACCAATAAATCAGCGCCCTTGGCTTCTTGATGCAACAATCGCGGGATCGCCAGACTGGGATTGGCTTCAATCTGCTGAACTGGACAATCAAAGAGTTCAGCCGGATCGGTGGCATTCCAGTTGTTGAAACGGCCAGGGAAATCCACTCCCATGACATGCCCGCATGTGCTCGTCATCTTGAAGAATATCGGTTCGCCGCTGTTCGGCCACTGTCCCGTGAATTCGTGCACGGAGCAGGCGCGGTTGAATGCTTTGCGCGAGTTCAGCTTCCCATTGGAGAGGATCTCCGCGATTGTCTGGGCCAAGGACGGCTTTTCTGCAACCATCAATGCGGTCCGCATTCTACTTGACTAGTAACTAGTTGTCTATAATGTGGGAAACGAAACCCTGGAACTGAGTGGAACTGATCAAATATTAATATTATGAAAAGCCAAAGACCGTGCCGTGCCGCACGGAACTGAAATTTATGATTTCCGAAGCGGCAATCCGCAATGAATCCACCAACTACGGAACAGAACTATTTACTGTGCAGAAAAACGAACGATGTCAACAACACAAAACACAAATAAAAAGATGGCAAGAAAAAGATAAGATCTATAAATATTTGGTCCTGACAGGCTCAGTGGCAGCGAGACTGGTGCACGACTTTAAATGGAAACTCCCGCAGGCGGTCGTCAGCAAGCTACCGACCACCCTTGTCCGGCAGTCTTTACAAACCAACAATTTGCATGTGCTCTGCTTGCCACAGGGTCCTCCACACTGCAACGATTTTATCGCATACAGTTTACGCAACGCGCAGTGTTGATTTGTCGATGCTTCATGCGGAGTGGTGTTACGTACTTACTTCACAGAAAGGTTTTCGAAATAGTTTTTCATTGAGGAATCTGGCAGTTGTAACGAAGAACCCATTGAATAATTAGTTTCTCGTCCGTTCTCGACACTGAACATGGATCTGAAGGATCTGAGCTTAGACGCAGCGCGATCCATTGCGTTTTGTCTGAGCGAACCCGCGGAAAAGTATGAGAATGATCCTGAAGTGGAATTCCTGTGGGCCATGAAGGTATGTCTGGCGTTGTGCGGACGTTTACCCACAATTTCTACCTAAAGGACATTGTAGGCGATGGAGCATGCTGAGGTGCACTTCAACTTGGTGTCCTCGGTGGATCCGCGTCGTCTGCGTCTGACTGATCACGACGATCGTCTTTACACGGACTTCAAGAAGTCCTTCCCGGATTTTCACTTGAGTCCGCTGGTGATCGAGGAATTGAAGAGCGATGAAGCCAAGGAAAAATGGCGCACTTTCATGAAGGAGTACGAGAACGACGTGGCTGACTTCAACTACGCGACGCTGTTGCGCATTGGTAAGGGAATGCGAAACAGTATGACTGTATGTCAGTGTATGGTGTGCAATAATTCGGATTTTTTTTATTAGATTCTTTTGGTCTGGCAATTTAAGTAATTTGTTGATTTTTCTCTAGACGCTAATCAGGATTATTCCGAGACTAACACTATCGTGGTGCCGCGCGTTCAGTTCGTGGTGCTGGAAGTGGCGCGCAATCGCGAGGGCTTCAACGATGAACTGCGCGCTAAGTACGGAAAGAAGGAAGCGTGACATACGGGGAACCATCATCGCTCGCCAAATGACATGCACCTTTTTTGCGAATTGATGGACAGCAAATTCTTAATATCACGTTCTGATTAACCTCATCACTGGTATCTGTTAACTGCATCGGTTTCATTTTTAATACGCGAATTTGCTGTTGATTAATAAGTAGCCTCGTGCTGTAGTTGTGGTTTATGGAAAAATTTTCATGCGATCGCTGAGAAGCGAGCGATGATTAGACTGTCATTTCACTTTTTCGCACGTTCCTCGAGCATCATAAATTCATTAATTTTTTGCAAGGATTACACTTATTATTTGTCATAAAGATGTTCATGTTCAAAATATTCGTGTTATAGTAATAGTTGTATGGTGTGCGTTGCTTTCTGTTATATTTTTAATCGTTAATGATAGGTCAAGGAATAACACTCCGCAAGTGTACAGTATTGCGACATCGCACAGTCAATGTTTACCATTCTTTGTTCTGGGAAATGTTTTTCTTCCTTGTGGACGAAAAGTCGGGTAGTTTCTGTCAATAATTTTCAAAGACCAAGAAACATCAAAGCTAAACTCTCTAACAAAAACTTTAAAAAAACAAAAAAGCTTTAAAGGCAAAAGGAATAATACAAGAGAATCAGTTTGAACAGCCTAAACGCTTACGTCCACCATTCGAAAGCCGACGACTTCATTCAGCATCACAGTTGTCAATTCTGCCCACACTAAGAACTTTTCTTCATTTGTGTAGCATATCGCAGATCAGCAGCTTTAATCATTTCGTAGAGCGGGACCAGTATCTGCGGAGGATAGCCTTCTGTTTGGGCTCTTTCAGCAAGCGGCTTCAGTCGCTCTTGTTGAAACTTCTCGATGGTCTTTTTCATTCTGGCCAACTAACATACAACAAAGTTATATGTACAGAGGAGGTGTTAACTTGGAAGTCAACTTTATGATCTGTTGATGAATCCAGTTTAGTACTGTATTTAAATACCTTTTCTCCTAGTGCTCTGTCTGTTACAGGATAACATGCCCAGTAATGTCGTAAGATCTCTGCAAGCGATGCGTATACACCCCGGATTTCTTCTCGAAGCGGTTCCGGAAGATGAGAATCTAAAATTAGATATGTAAGCGCAAAGTTGGAAACGGCGCATTTAAATGTTGAGCTAACTGGACTAAAGACTCCATCCAACTATTAAATAATCTGACCGCTAAATTGCTTTGTTGAAGGCATTAAATCTTGTTGCTATTGCTTTTGGTATAAAAGTTTGTTTAGTTTATTATTAAAAACGTGATCGCTCACCTATTCCGGTTTGCCGGCGATTTTTTTCGTTAGCCACATCATGAAGCGCTTGCATGGCCATTTTTGATGAGATAGCCTGTCCATAGATGAATTTAAACAGTTTAGCAGTTAATCCATATGTGTCGATACACAGATCATAGATAATAAGATAAGTACAACAATTCCACCTTACCATTCTTCGTTTGATAGTCATATCTCTAACATGGGCCTTCAACGATTCGTGCCGCTTTTCAACATGACGCCGGTCCACCGGAAGGGGGCGCTTTTTCGACGGTGCTCGATGGTAGCGGTCAGTTTTTTTCAGATTCAAAGAGGCTCGACTGGGACCAGTGTCGTTCTGAAGGATTTCCAATTCGTTCTGGACCGTGCTCCCGAACTATCCGCATTAAACACAACTTATTCACTACAAAATTGAGAGTAATAACGATATCCTTTACTTTAGGCGGAAGATATGTATCCTCTCGCACATCCATGACATTCACACTGGAACTTCCGGGAGTGGAAGGCTGACTATCAACCGCTGAGAACAGCGTGGATTTTCTCGCCTCGGTTGTGTTTAAAATACGAGTAGAATGCTGGTTGAAACGCTGGATCAGCTGAGCGCTCGAGATACTCACAGATCGCTTCTGATTCTTCGCCGACGCCATTTCGTTAGTATCAGGACGGAACACATTCATACCAAAGCCCTAAATAAGGACAACCCTAACCAAAGCGTCGGTAACTGTCAGAAACAAACAGCATTTACCTCTTCATCGTCTAAAGTGCCATCCGATAAACTTTTTATGTTTGCCGAACTGTCTTCGATCCCTCGCCGCGAACTTTCCAGTAGTTCTGAAATAATGCATCCAAATTTGTAAAATTCGTCGATTAGCAAGTAAACCAATTTCTTATGAATCAAAATAAGACGCTCACCTTTCTCCTCCATTACAGCAGCATCGCCGAAAATATTATCGGATGCACGGTCGACTGCGCGGTCACGGTGAAAGTAATGCGACTGGAAAAAACGCACCCAAAAGTCTTGTTCCGTCAGTTGATCGGGAACTAGCTCGGCATGCCGCTTTTTGACTACACCAAAAAGCAGCAATTAGATTATCCAAAAATAACAATCAGTTCACATCCAGGTAATCCAGATCTGCGTCAAGAGAAGCACGCACCCGCAGGATAAGTCTTAAAAATTGACTGAATAATTTCCGGAGTCAGATTGTAGCGCATGGAATTTGTTCCGTCAACTTTCGGGACAACATCCGCCAAAAAAGCAGCCGAAATGCCGGTATCTTGACCGCTGTTTCCGGTAAGATTTCGCAGCTTCTGCAGTAGAAATCCGGCACAATTTTAAAATCTTCATCAACAATATTCACGAAAAATCGGGAACGAACACAATCATACTATGCATACATCGGCATTATGCGCCCAGAATTCGTCCGCCGTCATAAGGCCGTTTACGACAAGATCTTTATAAAGCTGGAACAAGCGGGGGTTCTCTCTTAGAAGCCTGAAAAATTTTTTGTATGAACTGTGTATCACATACACCACATAACGAAATCATGGCACATGCATGAATTCACAATTTTAAATAATAGCGTTCGTCGAATTAATATCAACTACTTCACTGTGCAACACTAGAACTATTTTTATCTTACTTATTTTTGTCTTCCAGTTCCTTATTAATTTTTCTCTTGAATTTCGGCAAAAGCTGCATCAATAGTTCTTTCACGGAGTTCCGGTCTTTTAGCTGATCTGCTTGTCCCTTTGCATTAATAAAATGGAAATTGAAGCTTTCGTCATTTTGAAGAATAATTTGCAGCTGCACTTTGCTTTTGCCTTCGGCGGAAATCTTTTGCACTGTTAACAAATAATAACAAGATATCCCGTTTAGGACCGACACACTATCTTGCCTGCTATTAGTGCTACTCGTTACTCGTATCCACTGATGCCAATCAAAGTAAGCGAAAACCAAATCCCTATTTTCACTCACTTTTTATATTGGAGTAGTGGTAGGTCTTGTCGAAATTATCCTTTCCTGCGATTTGGAAAGCAAGATTCTGCGATGTCATGTACAGGGAGCCCTTCTGATTCTGATGGCGGACTTGTTCAATCACCAACAGAATCTCTTCGCCATGGCCATTTGATTTGCTAGAGCGAGCCATTTCCGAATGGCTCAGATCTTTTCACACACCAGAGGCAAATGCAGATAGTCTCAGCGCTGTCAGCTCCGAGGATCAGATGTCACGGCGCTGATGATACCTCGAAGAAGTAAACGGATCAAGAATGTTTATGAAATCTCACGTTACCGTTATGAACACTGTTCCGCAACTCGGGAGTTATCACGATGTTATTCCTGAAAGTAAGGAGCAAGGACTACAATTAAGTATGTCCGAATAAAATGCAATAACAATATATCAACTTTCAAACGGCAGGAGGCGAAAAAATCAAAGACAATTTTACGACATTTTACGACAGTCCAAATCTATTTTAAACAACTTAACAAACGTACCAGACTCACCAGACGCGGACAAATCAGATAAACTTAACGCGAGTCGGAAATAGGACCGTACGCGTAGAGCAATTACGTGATCGACTGGTCTTTTAATTTTACGACCGACAAGTAGAAAAACCAAAACTGCAAAAACCATAAATGTTATTAACCCATGGTACTCATAAAAGAACATTTTATTGAGAAGCCGGCATAGATTTGTCAATTCACATGTGTTATCATCGTGGACGACTCGAGCAAACTTTTAACAGCGATCACCTGAGATATGCAATTTTCAGATCACCAAGTTTAGTCGCAAAAGCTGATGAGGTAAGCATAAAAGCACTGAGAAATTGCTGTGGGTTTACCGCAGTCTGATCCGTATTACTATTCCCTAGTAGCGTTAATGATTTGTTGCAGTGTTGCATCGGAATAATCGCGCATGCCTGGAACTTGGGAGAATTGGTTTGACTGATTTTCAGCCTCTTATGGAGACGTGTCCTGATCTCCTGTCTTTTTATTACGTTTTTACTGGTTTATACCATCTTCAGTCTCCCAGCAATGGAGGCTGGCGGAGAAACTGTATTCGGAAAAACTGCGCAGCAGCAGACCGCTGCCGATCCGACCATGGTGCCGCTTTTGCATATGAACGGCATCGACAGCCAGAAGTTAACTCCCGACCATCTGAATGGGTTGGTTTACGAACGCAGCAAATCTCCGGTGTCCGTTTCAGCCCTGAGTAAAACGACGGTTACCTCCGTTGTATCAGCTGCGGAGAACGATATGGATTTCCTGTTGACGAGTCTGGGCGCACCCGGTCGGTATCAGGTGCTTCTCTTTGCTGCCTTAATCTCCTGCATGATCCCGGTTGTGTTTAGCGATCTGTGTGGAGTATTTTATGGAATTTCACCGGTGAATCTTGTGTGCAATGGAAACAATATTTCTGAATCGGAAGCAAGTGATTTTGACGATACAGGAATAAAATATATGAATCACAGTTTATTGCAAGGAAACCTCGCTTTGCTACAGAATCTCAGCTGGTCGCCGCAAAATGACACCTGTGATACATACAGGACAGTGATATCCGAATGCACAAATATTTCCTATGTATTTGAATATCCCTGGGTGTGGACAATTGTTTCCGAATGGAATCTGCTGTGCGATCGGGCATGGCTGGAGAATTTCTCTATAACGATTTATTTTGTTGGCGTCATGATCGGCAGCATTGCATTCGGTAGTTTGGCCGATCGTTTCGGACGGCGCAACTGTATTATTGGCTGTTATCTTGGCTACCTGCCGCTGTCGATCGGGTTAGCGTTTGCACCTTGGTATTGGTTATATGCAGTATTTCGATTCTGGGTGGGATTTTTCATTCAGGGATTGCAGAGCGTTTGTTTTGTTCTGCTCATGGAATTCTGTGCACCGAAATATCGCGAAATTATGGGCGGCCTGGAAGGGATCGTGGCGAATTTTGGTATAATGCTTTTGAGTGGGATTTCGTATTGGTGGGGAAGATGGCAGTATATTCAGATTGCAATCTCGGTCCCTACCTTTTTTGCATTGTGCAAAATTTGCCTGCTTCGTGAAAGTTTACGCTGGCAGATGGTCCATGGAAAAACGAAGAAGCGCGGGAGAGTGTTATCAAAATTTTGCGATGGAATAAAAGCCCACCGGATGGACATTTGGAAGATGTCATTGGTACGATTTTATTTGTTTTTTCGCATCCAAACACTACAGGGAATGTTTCTTTCCGGTAGATGTAATGGTAGCCTAATATTGATGGTTGAAAAAAAAATTGTTTGCGATCGTCGTGTAATTTTGGTGTTGAAAGTCCTGACATTTCGTAGTCTTTGCCGGTTTGGTTTTACTGACTTCGGTTTGTTAAAAATGACAATTTCTTACAGTCTCTGTTTTTTTACAAGATTACTAATATGATTACTAATTGTAAAAAGAGTAAAAAATGAGCAGTTTAACGATTCGGCATTAGTGTAATTTTATCGAGTTTCGTCGACAATTTTTTTGTCCTGTAATATCTTTAGATGGGGAATGCTAATAATTGCTAAGCTCTGCTTGCTAAGGAAAAGTGCATGTTTAAATGTGCGATAATTTTATACATTATTCTCCTTTGCAGATCAAATAAGCGATGCTCTAAAAGCCGAAGAAACTGTCGAAGAACGGTATTCATGGCTAGATTGCTTCCGGACGCCCAATATGCGCAAATACACCATCTTGCAGTGCTTCATGTGGTTTACAGCTCTGTTTGTTTATTACGGAATCTCGTTCGGTATCGGTGATTTGGGCGGCAATATCTACATCAATACATTTGCCTCTTCCTTCGCCGAATTCCCCGCTGCAGCCATCGCAATCTTCACGATGACAAAGTATGGCCGCCGAAGACCGCTGATTGTGTACTACTGTTTGTGCTGTCTGTTTCTGTTGTGGTGCAGCATTTTTGACCTTTGTCGGTAAATCTGATACCAGCAGTGATGCCTGGAATTTGGAGATTTTACGAACTGTCACTGTGTTCGTTGGTCGATTTTTCATTGCGGGAACATTTGGTATTTTGTTCGTCTACGGCAGTGAATTGTTTCCCACTATACTTCGGAATACGGCATTCGGATTATGCCTCGCCTGTCATACGTCCGGTGGAGTGATAGCGCCCCAAGTGCTGCTCTTGGGCGAAGTGATACATACTTCGGTGCTTTTCTTTGTTTTTGCGGCATGTGCTCTGCTTTCGGCGGTGTTTGTGCTACGGTTACCGGAAACCTGGAAAATTAAAATGCCGGATACGATCGAAGAGGTCGAAAACGTTACCGGTGTCCTGGAATGTGATAAAACAAAGCCTTTGTAAGATGACTTCTCTGTTCCTGAATAGTTTTCTTGTGGAAAGAGCTGTTGAGTGTATGTTCCTCTGGTTTAGTTCCTTATCCAATGTCCCAGAACTGATAATATTATTTTTAGCTTGTGCATTAAAATTAATAATTATTGAGTGAGAGTTTACCACGCTATGGGCCACCTAATCCATGTTCATTAGTCTTCTGTCTTTTGAAAGATAATAATCTCTTTTATATAGGAAAAATTGCACCGGCAAATTAAAATAAGTTTGAAATAATTATTATCGGACACGATAAAACTATGTAACAACATTCCAAAAAATCAAACGATCACAAATAGTTAAGTAATTGTTAACACTGCTTGACCGAACCAAAAGATTACTGCTGGGCCGTGCTGGCCAGCTGCTGTATCGCACCTTCTATAAGTACGAGTACGTACCGTGTTGTACATGTGCTATTCCGCACTCTGCAGCTCCAGACTCTTTTGTGTTGGATCGTTAATAGCACTTGCTGTAAATAATAAACGCTTAAACAGTTTGTGAATTCTACAATTTGCAGTCAACTTCGCAGTGATCTTTGATTACTATTTACTGATAATATTTTCATGGTATTTCCTGAAAATTGTTTCCGTTTTTACGTAAATTATTATGGTATGGGTTTGTTTTCGTAGCAGCAGGTTGAATGAGAGAAACTGCGCCATGTAAGCCCTGAGCGCGGTAAATAATTGCCGTACATCTTCGAGAAGCGTCCACATTTTTGTGAATCCTTTCTGTATAATTCCACACCTCCACAATGATCCGATTCACGGATCAGCTGTTTAATTTTAATCACCTGGCTGTTGACGATGCGGAGCTGGAGCCGAAGCGTCCAAAACGTGGCTGCGCGGAGAACCAGCTGGCGCTGGCCAGTATGCGTCTGTCCTTCGGTGAAACGGAGATTAGTCTGCTTCGCCACAAGAAAACGCCTTCGGATAGTATTCCTATTTTCGCACAACGACAGCGTGGAGATGAGTATGAAATGCTGACCAAATACGATAAACTGACTCTGGAACAACTATTCCGGAAAGAATGCTCGCTGTCCGGGGACGCGAAAACTGATACAGCGTCTGCTAGGTTTGTAATTTGTTCATGCGTTTCTGCGGATTTTATGCAAATTGCAGGATGTGCTATGTTTTTAGCAGCGATAAGAAAAATGTGATACTCTCTCCGAACTTCCGTATTCGTACGGGAGGGGTGAGTGCGGAGCGTGATGAAGAGGAGTTCCTCCTGATTCAAGGGAAGACTGTGATACGCGGGAAAGGATTAAACGCTGATTACCAGATTTTGTGCGAGACATACGTCGTAGAAAAGCCTGTTGTTGACGCTGTTTGGTAAGAATTGATGGACATGGGTATTTTTTAATTTCTGTTCCTTTTTCGGATGGCTGCTAGTTCTAGTAGGCTAGAAATCAACAGTTAAAATGTATATTACATTAACATAATATTCGTAAATCTGGCGACTGACATTCGTTAACATTACTAATTTACACAAAAAAATTTTTATTGCATGGCAGACAAACTTGGATTTTCATGGGATTTTGATATGTGAAGATAATTGCTTAATTCAAACTTTTCTCTGGAAGTGATGCTTATTTCCGGTTATTTTTAAGGTGCACTTTTCGCCACCACGATCGACACGTGAAACCGCAGCACGCCACTCTGACGCCACGGTTAGAATCTTTCTCTGCGGTGGAAACGGTTTGTCTCGCTCAACAGAGGAAATTAATCATCCACCGCGACAATGGCGAGCGGTACGCCTTCAACTGCGGTTTTCCCATTCGGAAGCTGTGGAGTTGTCCATTGGGATTGTTAGTGGAGAGGGATCCGAAAATTGCTTCTGATCTAACTGATATCACTGGTTATCCGAGGCTTTTCTCCTTGACTTGCCATCTTGATGAACCGGCACCAATTCTGTTTCTTGGTAAATAAGATATGAAATGACGATCAATAATAACTACGAAATTAGGCAACAGCATTACCAGTTTCGAGATTTTTAAATGACTTTCATGGTTATTAAATGATTTGTACCACTTTCTGTTGTATTTATATTGCAATTACTCAAAAGCGTCGCATTGCATTTCTTACGATATTTCACACGTTTTCGGCTGATTTAGGAGGAGATACGGATCAGTCCGCATCGCTGTTATTGCATCCCGAGTGCGAAATCGTAGGCACCGTGGACGATCTCCCGTTGATTTTAATATTTGATCCCTCGAAGAACACACATTCGTTATGGTTTGCGCGCCTATCGACTGCGGAGGATATTGAACAAGCGTCAGAAACGCTACGGAAGCAGGCTTTAAACGGCAAAGGATTGCATTTCCATCGGACTTCTGATTCCAAGCATCCCCGAAGACTGTCCAGTACGCTTCCGGATGGTACGACTTCCTCTATTGCGACGAAATCTCCTATATCACCAGCAACAGCCTTGGCCAATGGTGGTCCACAGTCTTTCAAAAAGCCTTTCGATCTCTATAAAAAGGCCCTCGTGACGAGTTCCGAGAAATTCTCTCCCAAAACGACTGAAGTTGGCCCGTTAAAGTAAGCCTGCTGCACGCTCTTTGTGAGAGCATCGATCAGTTTTAAGTATTATGTTATGTTATTTTGAGTACTTTTTACGCTAGAATTTATAATAAAAAATTCTGCTTGTTTCCTTTCTTGAAAATGTTGTTAAGAACGTTGGTAAATGGGTATCGTTAGTGTTACCGTGTTTTCATGTTCTTTGTCGCTGTAGCTTGATGACTCCTGGTAGCGGTCCTTCCGGTTCCATGACTGGGATAAGAGATCGCGCTCCTTTCACAATCGGCCCTCTTGCCACCGATATGTTGTCGTCGATTACGTCTGCAACTAAAACCTGTTCAGAAATGTCGATCAGCACTTCCAAATCCTCATTCTGCTTTCCCACCTCACCTGTCGGCTCTCATACCGACCATCTGAATGTCCCCGCGCAAGAGCTGATGGATCTCCGATCACCGGTTGCATCTCTTGCACAGTCAAAAATCATGTCCATGCTATCGAATACAAGTATTCCCGGCGAGCACACCTCAGGATCGTTAACCCGTAAGCATAAGCCCGCTGTGTCGCAGCACAGCTATCTGCGCAAACCGCCCCGGCTATCCCATCCGACGCGAACGGTAACCGACGAGCTGGCCTATCCCAAAGTGGCAATGGTTCACATCTGGTCGGATGCGTCTGAAGGAATACGTCAGTCACTCGGCAAGGATGTTTTTCTATTAGCAAATTGTGGAAACGAGTATTATTTTTGTTACATCCTGCCATCACATAAAGTCCTGCGATGTATCCGGTTGATTAAGGAAGATGATGTGCAGCATCTTCAGCTGAGACTAACGGTGGATACCGAATCCAGTATTCCGGCACTGAGTGCTGTACGTATTGGCTGCAGTGAATTAATGGTCGTTTTGGATCCATCCCAACAGTTGGTGGTGTACAGCACTCCGGATAACCAAATCTATCGTGTGGATTGCCGGTTTGGGGCGGCGGCGGCTGGTAAGATGCTTTTGCCACTGGTAACATTCGAGCCACCGGTGGCGTCCAGTCCGGTGTTGGCGGGTACTACAACCACCGTTCTAAGCCCTAGTTTTTCTCCTGTACCGCATTTGGGCGAAACTCCCCCGATTTTATCTACAAAATCTGCTACTGTGACCCGTTTAATGCCAACGGGAGGGAACAAGTTTGTTATGATTACGGATAACGAATTCAAGGTGTGCCGTGTGGTTTCCAACTTGACGACCGATTTAATCAACCGATGTTGCGCTGTTCTCCGGCTCATCTTACCGCGCGACATTTTCAGCAAAATGAAAGCGGGAATGGAGAAATCGGTATTGCAGATGGAGAATTTTCGACAAGTTGCCGGTCGCTGGGATGGCTTTTTTATCAGCATTTTGCGCAGTGTCGGATGCATCGTTAAAGTGGCCACCTTACCCGATATTGCTGTACATCAGTCTGACTGGGAATTATTGTCATCATCCGCGTTTGCTAAGGTTAAACTGCCTAAGCAGCATGCCATCCGCTCTGAACACAGCGACAGAAGCGGAAATTACGATAGTTGCTCAAAGGAATAACCGAGTCTTGAAGAAGGTTTTGCTGTGCCTTCATCTCGTCTACGATGAATCTCGTTTGTGCTGTCTCTGGAGCTGTGAGCGACAGTGTATGGTTTCTTGGTTGCTTTTACTGGCCAAACTTCTTGAACTACCTCGGTATGTGGAATTTTATCAAGCTTTGCTGAACACTGATCAGGAGAAATCTGGAAGTGTGAAAGTGGAACTGGTTGGAAATGCTGTCTCGGAAAAAATTTTACCCGATAATCCGCCCGATTTGTTCGCCTCTCTGGAAGGGATGCTCCGAAAGCGGCCGCAGAAGTACGGTGAAAGTAAACATTTGATGGAGAGTTTTTGTCAATACTTGATACATTGACTTACAGCTAGTAAACTCAGTCAGCGCTTTTAACAGTAAGGTACGAAATTTAGCAAAACATGTGAAGGGGAATATTGGCGTATTGCGGTTTTTTTGTCGGGAAGTAATGTTGACAACTACAGCGTTCACATGTTGTAGGTATCCAATAATGCAAGGAGTGAACCCGATTGCTAAAGACATCGTACTTCTTGTCTCCAACATGTCGAGCCATACCAAAGATGCATCCGATCGTATCGTGCAGATACTGGAGCGGAATTATCTTTCATCAGAAATGTTTTCTTTATTGCCGCATTCACTTCGAACCGCTCTGCAGCACCGTTTTGCCCAGATGTGCGAAGAAGTCCCGTTTGAATTGACACCCGATCGTCTTTTCGAGATGGCCAGACGAGAAGATGCCCTACTATGCAGGCAAGCCGTAACCGGAAAAGGTTTACGTGACTTCTGCGTGAGCGAAGTTCAACGGAAGGTGCTCAGTAAATCTGATAGCCACGATGCATTCCGCAAGCGGACGACACCGTTGCCTCATAATCTGATTACCAAACGGTTTGCTGGTGATGCGCGATTGAGAGAAGCGGAAAAGTTGTTGACTACTTCGGAGCCCGTAATTGTACCGCTGAACGCCATGCATTCTGCTAATGAGGTGGATTTTCGGACGGCACAGCAGACGTGGCTGAAAAGTTTGCTACCAAGGATTTTGTCATTGCCGGTCGCCCGAGGAATGCTGTGCCTTCGTACGGAATATGCTTATGCTACAGAAAAATTAAGTGCACCGGAAATGGTGTTTTCTGGTGTTGAACGAGGGACAGGACGAAAGATTTCTCTTAAACCCGAAGAATTTACGACTGGATATGATTTCTGGCCTCGTTTTCATAATGGTAAGATAAGAAAAACGTTGGAGCATTTAAAATTATGCGGTGTTAAACTGATTAGGATTGATTATCTTAAACTCTTCGCTAAATTAACATCCACGAAATTAAAAAAGTTAACGGGAAAGCAACCAGCTAGCTGAGAGTCTTGTGTGGTAAGAAAACATTTTATAATAATCTGTGAATACCAGGTATATTGTATTGGCTTTTAGCGGTTGGATTACATTTGATTTGCTTCAAGGTGTTGCCACCGGACTACGCTTACGCTGTTACGATCAAGATGCCATCCGGTTTGACCATCATTGGTTGGCATTTAATGCGGCTCAGTATACCAAACGGGAATCAGTGGATTATGCGGGAATCTTTCTTGGCATGGCCCTGAACGGCGCTGTCGATATCAGAACCGATCCAATGGACCTGCATAATATGCTGGTTCGTTTAGAAGACTCCGTCAGCATTGCTGTTATTCTAGGGATGGCGTGTGTCAACAGAGGCACTCAGGATAAGCGCTACTTCCGAATGATCAGTCTGCATATTGTATCGCTTATTGAAGATCCAAATGTGGAATTGTTGATACCACAAAATATCTATGTGGCATCACTTCTTTCTCTTGGCTTGCTGTACAAAGCATCGGCTAATCGTTTTATCAGTGAACGGCTTTTGGAAGAAATTTGGACAGGACCACCACCTGAAACCGATGGAGTATCGCAGCCGGCGAGCAGCGAGCGGGAATCAGCGTCATTAGCTGCTGCAGCTGGGCTGGGATTCGTGTTGCTCGGTCTGGGAAACGAGAGCGCTCTCGGCCTGGCTGATTTAGAAATACCGCAGCGTCTAAGAACTTATATGGTGTGTAATTGATAGTTGTGGTTGATAATGCCGTTTAGGTAACGGAAAGAATTAACTTTGATTTGCTAAGCCTTCGCATTTTCATAAACCTTCTTCATATTTTTTTAAAAATTATGGTAGCTGTGAATGGAATTTTGTTTTGTCACACCTTTGGAAAGTTTGAAAGAATCTAGAAATTTTCGTGATTAATCTTTAACGATTATGTACTATTATGTTTACTATTTTGCTGATATTTTAAAAATGGATTTTTTTAAAAATTCGTAAATGTGAATACTTTTTGCAGATCGGCGGTTTGCATGGAAAATGCAGCACCCAGTTCAAACGCCCTGAAGTATACCAGTCCTCAACATTTTCAACTCAACGGCGAGAAGACGAACAGTCAATTAATATCCACATTACCGCACCTGGTGCCATTCTGGCCTTGGCAATGATATATCTGAAAACTGAACGGCGCGATATAGCCGATTGGATGGCCATGCCGCAGACTCTGCAGGAACTAGATGAAATTCGACCGGATTTTCTGTTGCTCCGTATCGTAGCCCGTTCTCTGATAATGTGGGAGTCAGTGGAGAACAGTGAAAAATGGATTAGCAGCAACTTCCCACCGTGGATTTTGAAGAATGTCTTTTTAAGCACCACCGATATGGAAGCGCAGGGACTGGATGTGGTCAGTATTACACAGGCCTACTTCTTCATTCTAGCGGGCAGTTGTATGTCGTTGGGATTGAAGTATGCGGGAACGGCGTCGGAAAAGACCAAGACGATTTTCATGACAACGGCGCTTATGATGATTAAGTGGTCGGAGGATAATAATTTAGCACGACAGTGTAGTCAGAGTTTGATGCAGACCTGTCTGACCACGATTGTTGTGGCCTTGGCCAGCGTTATGGCAGGGACGGGAGATCTGGAAGTGTTTCGTTTGCTTAGGTATGCCAGTAGCCTGTAAATTTTGTAAGTATTCTAGTAAAAGGTTGTAAAATTCGTGTCGAGTGCAGTAATTGTTAGTCACTCGCTTCATGAGTATGACAAATATGGAATAGTGAAAAATGCGGGTGTCTGATAGTTCATATTTTATATTGTTAGATACCTTCATGGGAGGAGCGGTGGACCGCGATCACCCATTACATACGGTCACCAAATGGGTGTTCATATGGCGATCGGTTTGTTGTTCCTCGGCTGCGGCATGTACACTTTGGGCACATCGAACGAAGCCATTGCGGCCATGCTTTTGGCATTCTATCCGATGTGGCCTAAGAATCAATCGGACAATCGGTACCATCTACAGGCATTCCGGCATTTGTACGTGCTAGCCGTGGAGAATCGCTTGATGATGACGCGCAGTGTTTATGGTGGTCAGCCGGTCGAGGTTGCCGTGCGCGTGGAGATGAAAGACTCATCCAAAAACATTGTCTCCATGAAGAATCTACTCATGACACCGTGCGTATTACCGGAAATCTCCAGCCTCCGGAGCGTATCGGTGGCGTCTGGTGATTCATGGCTGACATTCACAGGAAAAGATAACTGGGTTCAAATGAAAAAGCTGTTGAATAACGGAGGACTGGCCGTTTATCCGCCAAGCGGACTTCGAAAAAATCACGATGTGCGGTTGTTCTTGATGAATTTTAACGGTGGTGTACTGAATCAGATTGACCGGTTGATGTCGCGCCCGGCGAATGGACACCAGACGATGAAAAAGCTCTTGCAACAGCAGCATTTATATTTCTCTGATCTTGGATTAGCGGGTCTGTTTGAGATTGCTAGTCGAAACTTGATGGGAAATAGTGCCACGAATTTGACCGATGATCAGTGGATTGCATGGATTCTGTACGAATGCGCCGGATACGGCCAGACCGATGCATTTATGGAGATTATGACATTTTCAAAAGAAACCGATACGACGTTACAGCAGATCGCTGCAAGGATTTTATCGGAGAATTCAACCGAAAATGACGAGAAAAACGGGAAGTGGAAAACACGACTGCAGAAGCGAAATTTTCTCCACATTTTGTCGGGAAATGCTGACGCGGTGTGAAGTTTTTCTTTTGTGTTTACTTTATTTTATTTTGTAAATTGTTAAGCCGACATAGTCGGTGTTTTGCCGCACATTCTGCGATGTTTGTCTAACTCGTCTTTGATTCGTTATGAACTTACGAATGATAAACCGACGGAAAAGTTAAAAGTTTTATCAGTCAGACCTCTGTTTTTCATTATTGATTAACCGTGAAAGTAGTTCATCGCTGTCTATGAGGACATCGATAAGAAGACGAAAACAACGATAAAATCACAAACCGCACATAAGTTATCTCGCTTTATCACAGAATGCTAACATTTTACCGCGAATCAGTATTCTATAGAACTATAGTTGAACCAGGCACACTGCAAGGAAAAAATATCAAAGTAAACCTCTGCGCAAGCACTTCCATATCACAAGGGTAAATGCGATCAACCAATCAGCTGCTGATTATGCAATCCAATCCATTACTCTGTGAAAAGCCAAAACAAACAAAGTGTGATATGAGCTACTCGTACCTACTACCTACGCAGAAAGACCTGGATCTACACTGGATGTATACTCGTACTTAAGCAGCCGTGTTAGAAATTTGCAGTTCACATTTGCATTTCGCAAAAACTGTTAGAATTCCATAGCACTTTAAATTTTAATTGTCATAAGATCCAGATTTCTTTCAGTTACGGCAGTCCGAGCGGTCATTTAATCATTTTGATTTAATTCTCAATTCTCACCATGAGCCGTGCCAGTACCGTCGTCAATAAGCTGCTGAAGCTCTCCTTCGACACCTCGTCCCTTCTCTTCAATGAACTACGTTTCCACAATCATACAGCCCATCATCTGGGAGCGTTGTATTTTCTGGGAGAAAATGACAAACGCATCGAGGAGATCTATCACCACGCTATGGTGGAATCATCCGATCCCGATGTGCCGTCGCCGCACACCATCACGCGCGCCAACTGGCGCAGTATCCTGGGCGATCGCCAATTTTGCAAGGCCTATAAAGATTACTTTGAACAGGAGTTGCCGGCGGAAAACTGGCGGGAGAAATTTCTCCAAATTCTGTTGGAAAACGAACCTCATCCATTGATCAACGGAGTGATTGGCGGTGTGGTGCATCCGCTGATTCACATCGGATACGCGCTGGAATTAGACAGCAGACTGGTCGCGGTGGAAGCACTGACACAAGCCGCGGTGTGCTACGATAGTCTGCACGATACTGTCGACAAGCTGCAACGCCCGCAAGCGGGTACGAAATCGCCGATGGAGGTTTTTACAGGCATGCGTGCGGATAATCGGCTGCCGATATTCGAAAAATCGGACATTGATAATATAGAGAACTGCGTGAAAATGTGCAACGATCGCATTCTGCAACATTTCAACCAGTGGAAGATGAACAGCACGCTGGAGAAGACGATCGAGGATTTGTTCGATGTATCACTTTATATTTACGGCGCGACACATCGTCCCAATGAAATTGTCTTCGATTTCTTCCTCTTGCACTTACTGACGGCAATGCATGCCGTTCGGGTGACCTTTCCATATCTGAAAGATCCCAAGATCGCCGAACATCTGCTGCTGCAGTTTTTCTACTTTGCCGGCGTTCTGTATGTTAATCAACGGCGACCGGAAATCAACGAGAAGTTGATTGATGATTACCAGCTGGACGCTACGAAGACGTGGGAATATGTGGTGGATCGTGCGATTAACACCAAATTGTCGGAGGATTCCCATTTGGTGAAAGTCATACACACGCTGCGTTCGGCGGAAAAAGTGTACGGAAGCAAAAACGGGCTGTATCTGAAAGCAGCCGTGAAGACGGTAGACAATTTGGATTTGAATATAAAGCACCCAGAAATAGACATTCCGTTCCCGTGGGTGGTCGCACCGGAGGACCCGCGGCAAGCCAAGATGAATGCACTTCAAAAGCAATAATCTTATCTAATTACATTTTTCGATAATTTACATGCTTCTCCGCGTCTTTTACTCCTATAATTGCAGTTCCTTGTGGTTTGTGGTGATTTTTATTGTGACCGGCGTGGATGTTACATGAGCAAAGTACGCACGCCCAATATCTATATAATTACTCGTACAATATTATTAATTATTGTTATTGACATTTGTTGCTTCTCTTGCATCGTACTTTTGTTATAGTTTGCAGAATACTTTTATGTACGCATTACTAACTAGTGTCATTGTTAATTAAATGGTTTCAGAATGTCTAGAAATGTGTTTCGGTATTGCACATAATAATTTGTTTTTATTCAAACATATTTTGTTTTCGAACAGTGTACAGATTCTAAGAAGTGCGACATTGTCCTTTACTCCTCATACATTAAATAACGGAAAGTGGATCTCTGCTACTTAATATGCCAAATTGATATTGATATCCTGTTAATACTATATTATACAATTTGACACCCATTAAGTATCCTCGTACACACCTGGCTGTGAGAAAATTGGTGGCTTGATATTGTCATGTGGGTTCCAACTTTATTTTGAGTTATTATTTTCGATTTTTCCGCATCTTGTTGCTCGTAGTTATTCTGCGTTCAAACTGTAATAGTGGTCAGCAAAGTCTGGATCAAACACCGGTAATATCGAGTTTTATTCATTACTCTGAACTGCAAATTTTTGGTTTATTTCGACATAAAAAATTTTAATCGATGATCAACATCCAACAGTGGAGCTTCTCATAGCATCGATCAACTTGTTGATGACCTAACTTAATTGTCCTTCAAGATTACATTATGACTGAGCAAAAACAATACCAGAAAATGCTTGCGCTGATGCTAACAGTCAACTAAATCCCCGCCCACGGTTGCAACGAAAAATCGTCAATGTTATCGCATGGTATCCTTTGATTTCTGCAAAAAGTAAATGGCGGTGTTTAAAATCAGTTCTTTGTAGCCGCATATATCACGCAACAGAATCATATTTGCTCTTGTCACTGGCAATTATACTATCAGTACACCGACAAAATGATACAACCGCAATATTTAACCAGGAAAAGCAAAACTTACGTATTGGAAACGGTCAAAAACACTTTCGGTTGTATTGACTGTATTCCGGGAACTGCATTGCACAATATCCGCGACAAAGAAATCTTCCTAATTTCGGCTAGTTGAGCTGTAAAGTAGGCCTTCTTATACTCAGTACTCGCACGAAAACGTCTACCGGCTGAAATAACTAACGTATCTCTCTGTATTTAAATTTTAGCTACGGGTTATGAATAAGTCATTTTTCAGCCATTTATTATTTACGAATAAAATTATTTAAGGACAGTAAAGTATCAAATTAAAGCTCAAAATAATATTATATTCAGACTACATCCTTCGACACATACCGTCGGAAAGAGTGTGAGCGAAGGGTAAATTTCCTTCATACCAGAACCTGTCGGCTACCCGCAGCCGCCAAAATTGTTCCGAAATAATACAACTAAAAGTCGGACCAATAAAAGCATCCCCATTGTGGAATTCCGAAATACCGCCAATATAGAGATCAATATCATCAACAGACCTACACACGAAAATAAACAAACTGACTTCTCAATGTATATGCGGATAAATTTATAAGTATCGGTGGAAAGGGCCATACTTATACACGCTTGCCAGCCGATTGGCCATATCTTCCGGTAATATGTTGAGGGTCTTGAGGTCATTAAAATTGGACGCTGTGGGCAGTCCGCACAGCTTACGGAATTTCATGTAGCCCGGTAAACCATGATCACGTCCCCGCTGCACATTCATGGCTACCAAATCCAATCCAAACGAGCCCGTAGGATTGGTGGAAAACAACTGCTGTGACACGTCGGTGACCACGGTATTCTCGATGACCTTTCCTTGCTGCGTCGCCAGTCCACGGACCATTTCGTCGACGGAATTTTGTTCATAAAGGAAAGCCGATTTAAAGAACGTATCTTGTACACGCTCGGACTTCTTTGTGCTGAAATCTGGGTTGAGACGATTGAATTTCGATGGGACCATGGCGTGTCCGACGCGGAAAGCGGCTGCCGCAAACGAATTGATCAGACCTGCAAAATACGCGCGGAAAATGCTAAATTCAAGAAGTGCAACAGTGGTCGGTTGTAAATATTGTTGCAAAATACACCGTTTAATTGGCCAGCAGGGACTGAAAATTTTTGTTTACCGGGATGTATAGAAATATTATATCCTGAGAATCGCCCAAACGCCTGCGGACGCAGTCCAACTCGGTCCATCATTTCTTCTCCGAGGAGCAGTGGCAGCCATTCCTGAAAGGTCAGTTCAGTTGTCCTTCTGCCGTTCGTTTTTATATGTGCATCTTTATATTTGTTTTTATACATGTTTTTATATATGCATCGAACAGTAGTTTTATTTCGTGTCACTTATTCCACTTTGACTGGTAATCCGTACTCACAGTATACGTGATATGTTGGAGTTGTGCTGCAACTATTGCGCGGGCTTCTTGATACAAAGTTTCATCATTCCAGCCGGGATTCAATTGTTGAAGTGTCGTTGCTAACTGGTTATGATGTCGCATAAATACCGTGTGCAATGTTTGTAAACCAAGCTGCAAATTGCAAAGAAAGGTCAAGTTATTCCAGTTCATGTAAAATGTTCAAGTTGTCCCACTTTCTAGTGCTGCCTGTGCCTAATTATTATGATGTGATCAATAATACGACTTATCTTAAATATATGGCGTTTTCTTGCTTATTCACTACTAGATAATTATTTTCACTATCTGAACTTCAAAATTCTTTTGACGACAATGACGACTTTAAAAATTATTTTGAGGATGCAATGGGCTGTATGCTTACCTGTACGTTGCATCTGTCATCACCTGAAACCGAGAAATCGTACAGCATCAAAAATAATCGACTAGCTCAAATTTAAACTTAATTAAATTTGTGAAAAGGCGCTAGTATTGTACTCGTATTGGTTGTTATTACAAAGGTGTGTTAGTTAAATGTATCCAGTTTTTATCATTGTTAAACATTTCTTAACGTGTTTTTTTCACTGCAAGCTTATTCTAAAAGTTTGCGTACCCGCTTTAAAACAGGGGCGTCCATTAGCGGCATCCACACAGGCCGAGTTTGACGGATCCGCCGGTAAAACCGTGTAATGTGGACTATTGGGAAACGGAGTCACGGATTTTAATTGACCTTTAAAAGTACCAAGTATTGGTTGTATAATGGTATAATGGTTGCGTATAATGATAGCTGCTTGCATCATGAAATCAGTTATACAAAGTACATACAGTAAATCCATTAAGAATAAAGCTGTGTATGCTTGAAATCACCAGTAATTATAATTATGACAACGTTTGATAGCTTATTGTGGTAGTCCTCCAGAGAATGACCTCCTGCATAGCTTACCTCCAGAAAATAACCTGATAGTATTGACAGTCGAATCCTTTGTTCCGTAAACTACAAAAGTAGAGCGTCAATTATAAAATATTATGTTACACATAAGAGTCAGCATACTTTGACTTCCGTCAATGAAAGCGCTGAGCTGATTTATCTACAACAGAAAACGTATTTGCCGAATAGGGAAAGCTAACATAAACTGAATATTTCTGCAGACCTGTTCACGCGGACCTAACCGGCATCCAGGTCTAATACCCGGTAAGCTTCGCACAAATTCCATGCATGTCTGTCCGAACCTATTCAAAATGTGCCGCAGCGTAAAATAATGGCTCTGTTTTCCTTAAGAGGAAAATTGTATTGGCTGTAATTCTGTCTTCACGTTAAGAAACCTCTTACTCACTGAGAATAAAACGGATCATTGTTGGGAATGGTAATGGCTGCAAGCAGAAATTAAATAAACACATAACCGGAAATGCTTGTTGATTCTTGGGAATATTGCTGTCGCCTTACGGAGACATTGCGGATGGGGATTGGCTGTGCCGCAGCATTGCGGTGCATCAGCACTTAACTGGGCACGTGGAGTTTGCTAAATAATGCAAATCAAACCGGTTCCATTAACAATGCACACGTGCCATAGAGAAAAAAGTCTTCCCACCGTCAAGTCATGGTCCTGAAAAAATTCAGTAAACCTGAATTCCAAGTTGCTCATATTATAGGACTTGTTGTGTTTTAGGAAAGCCAGGCTGTTTGACTTACCAAGAACTGGCCAAACTGCATAAACTGAAAAGACAAAAACACTTTTAATATTATTCAAGTTTAATTGTGGTACATTGATACAGTATTGTTATTCCAAGTTTCTCGGTTTAATTTTATTCCAGTTCACACTTTGCTGCACTTTACAGACACTTCCATTATAGACCATGTTGAAGATACAGTACGTACGTATTCAGTCATGACGCAGTTGAATTATGTACTTTCTATATGTATCATCATAATATTATTATTAAACCAACTATTGTCAGTTTAATATTATTATGGTACTATATAAAATTTATACGTAAATGTATATGTACTTTATGATAAAAATAGCTTTACAACTAATTAATAAAATATTTCGAATTATTATTATTAATTAATTTAGTGCTAACGTAAAGCATTGTACCATGTTTGTCCAGGTTGGCGCTAAATGCTGTGTGGACCCAATCAGCGATGAGCTGACGAATCTCGCACTTGGCAGAGGCTGATTGAGGGAATTTTTTCGTGGCTCCGAGATACCTTTTTGAATAGGAAAACATTTTAATTCTCATACTTAGGATTTCCGGCTTTAAGAAGAGTTTTAAAAATGTTTAACAATGAACGCAGGCTAGGGCAGTGTACGTACCGTCAGCATAATCTGGTGCCAGCAAACGAATAAAGACGGTTGATTCTTTGCCGCGACTTGGAAACGCGATATTGTTGCATTCTCCGGTGTGCGTGCGATATTTATTCCGAGCACAAGCAGGTTGGACGTTGGGATTTAAAAAGTCCTTTAAAGGAATAACCGGCCTAAAATAAAAATTCGATAGAAATGTTTTTAAAATTGCATTATACCTAAATATATCCTTTATATGCATATATCCGGTATTAGACATTTAGACGTGAACGAGAAAAAATTAAATTGTTTACTGTTCTTGGACGACACAATCCGGTACTTTAGAACTGCTTGGTAACGGTGTCGTTGTAGTAGTCTTTCGCACAATAACGAATTGTGGAGTTGTCGTAGTAAACACTTGAAATTGTGGCGCCTCCGACGGCTCCGTGGTTTCAGTGAAAGTGGTTGTTGGCCGTGTGCTGGGCGGACGCGAGCTCGGGAAAACAAAGCTTCCGGCTGGTGCCGGTACTGGTCGTTGTACTGCTGTAATTTCCGAGCTCGGAGGAGCCGGAGCCACAGTAACCAGCGGAAGGGCAACCGTAGCGGTGGATTTATTAAAATTCAACCTGGAACGCATTGTATGCGTTTATTACACAGAACTATATATATTAAAGACGCAATTGTGATTCGCCACTTCTTCACTATGAAATTAATTAAAATAAATAAAGCACAAAGTAAGTAGCGAGCTGCAACTAGGCTTACTGTTTGGCCACAGATTTTCCGAACTCTTCCAGTGTAAATGCATTTTTGGCGATATCCAAAGAACCCGGTTGCGTACCGGCAAACATATTGCTCATGCTCCCTGTTGATCCAAACGATAATTGGGGAAAGGAATTAGCAGTCATGCCTTGGCTTGGAAATGTTCCGAATTGCGTGTTGGACTTCATCGCTGCTTCGTTCATTTTATTTTGCACGAAATTCTGCGGAACAACCCAGGCATTCTTTTGGAACATTTCATTTATTTGATCCTGTAAATTTTGGTTAAATGTATTTGTATTCCAGTTAACAGAGGGGAAACTGATGGACATGGGAGCAGGCGCCGGAAACGTGGAAAACTTTGCCGGTGGCGAAGGTGATAAAGAAAAAACATTACTATTTGGCATTTCGATAGTTGGAAACGTTGGGAAATTCTGGCCAGTTACAGGTGCATTAGTTGTCAATTGTTTTGAGCCAAATTTTTTACCGGAGCCACTGGGCTGTGGACTAGGCATCGATGGAAACTGCATGGTTCCCATAGGAGTGAATGGTGGGAACGTCATTGCCTCCATACTGTTCGTACCGGCACTGGAAAAGGATGTCGCTGCTGCTGGAGCCGGCGAAAATGAAAAAGATGGTTTAAAAGAAAATGAGCCGAAGGGATTTTGAAACGACTGCCCAAAAGGCTGATTAAAAAATGGTTGACTAAATAAGTTAGTATTCGGCTGAAAAACAGGACTCGGTGAACTAAGGAAAGCATCATCGTTGCCACTGCGGCCGAAGAAACTGTCATGATCGTCGTCGTCATTGTCATCGAAAAATGTATCCTTTGCCGTAACGATATTATTAAAACACTGTACGCATATTATCACAGTAAAAAAGTACCAAAACTTTTTGTGGTGTATCATGGTCGACGTTGCTAATATTGCCATGTAAAACTCACAGACACGGCGGTTTCGAAAACGTCCCTAGCACACCTGACAAACAAAACCAGGTTGAACTTCGCTGCGGACAAAGCGTTACTGGTTTCATTATATAATATTTTGATGTTTTTATGCCATTGGGTAGAATACTCAGACGCTCTTCTTTAGTGGACAAAATAGAATCGTCTATCAATCATAAATTCTTTTATGTGGATTAGCTTTTTTCTGCCTTAGTCATGCTGCCCGGTGTGCATAGCATTACTGTGTCCGTACTTGCAGCGGCAACCTGTGCGGTATTTGTATGAATATGAATTAAACTTACACCGGGAGTGCGTAAAAACTAACCACAAGTCATAGGCTACTAGAAGTTTACAACGTCTGTCTGACGCTACACGTATAACATCGTATGCATGCACTCTTATTTATTTTAAACATCAGTACAAAAACCAGCGATACCGGAAGCAAGCGAAATCCTTAATGGTGTTGCCCGAAACTCATCCAGTCACTCGCCAGCAGTGTGGCAGTTTTATGAGAATAATGCTAGGAAACTTTGTACACTTATTCAACGGTCATCAGCACTAGCGTGTTATATACGGTTCTCAGACTGTCATGCTATTCCGTTAAATTCAGCAAAATTTAAATTACGTGCCTGTTCTGTAAATTCTGGCATCAGATCACCAGGTCATAATACATGCTGCTCTCTTTATAAGTTAAGTTGTTGTCCTCGTACAGAAATTAAATTAAAGTTGTAAATCAGTTTTTGTGCACACACTTACATATATTGGCTAAAAATTCCTAATAGCTATCCTTTGCCAAAAACTTACAAGGTCATCGAGTTCTTATGATATCTGCTTCTGTTCAGTCAAACACGTGGAATAAATGAGCCATTTTTTATATACAAACCGGTAGTGTTCGTAGAATGTTGTTCGGTGGGTTTTGCGAAACGCGTCCGATGTGCATACGAAATTATTATACCGATATCGCCCCTATACCGCAAAAAAATAATCCATTATGATAATGACTTAATTAATGACCACCCACCGGATATCTAGAAGCAAAACGTAGCCGGTGTGACTTTAACACTGCAGACTTTTAGACTTGGAAGGCATATAAAGACGAGAGTTGGCAGCAGATTAAATCGATACAGCAGCTTCAGTCCATCTTATCAGTTTGGGGCAAAACAAACCAAATACGTTACCTTTGTCTTAAAAATTTTTTCAACATTTTTTCATAATACGAAAATGTTCTTCCGCACGGTAGTCGTTGTACTCTGCTTAGTTGCACAAGCGTTTGCCTGGTACGGCAATAATTTCGGAGGATTTGGAGGTAAGCATTGCAACGGTTGTTGTTACAAGTTATAACACTGTACTTACCGTTAGTGCGCTTAATACCCGACGTAGATGCAATTTCTTTTGGCGCGAAGTCTTTCTGCATTCATGATACATCGACATTTTTCATAATTTATTATGGATTTAATAGGGTTCGGAGGTGGTTATTATGGTGGTAATTATGGCAACAACTGGGGAGGAAGCAACGCAAATGCGCTTGGTGGTGCTTCCGCGCTTTGGGGCAATGCCGCAACAAGAAATACGGCCTACACCAACTCAAATCCATGGGGTTCCAGTGGTTATGCAAATAACTGGTCTGGTGCGTCCGGATTAGGAGCCAATGCCTTTGGAGCAGCGATGAGCAATAGTAATTACGGGAACAACTATGGAAGATGGGGAGGCTATTACTATAGACGATAACTTATTTCTAGACACTTTATTAGAGTTAATCCAGTGTTTGTGTGCATATCTATATATGCATCCAAAAATTAGTGTACAACTGAGACACAATGAAACACAGCTCGCTTTTGTTTTGCAACGCTTATACTGACATCTTATGGGCGCGAATTATGAACGTACAATATGTTATTGTTTTTGTTTCTGTGGATTAAATATTAAAACTATCGGGCATTACGCAACGATGCTAACGTTGTGATTGACCAGTGTCCACTCGTACTTGTACAGTAGCTACCATTTTTATTACGTAAAGCTATGCCAGCGCCCGGCGGATTCAGTCAATACACCAAAAGCCATTTACAACGTTCGTTAGCCTGAAGATTTCAATCGGAGCGCGATTTACTTTTCTGTCGTTATTATGGGTTGTTGCAGTTACACTTTATTGGTGAGAAATAATCAAAATTTATCTATTGTATTGGGATTTATTTACGAGTCAACGTCAGCAGTCAGCACAATAGTGAGCACAGCGAGCCAAAAAGTTGATAAGTACGAGGTTATTGAAGTAGCCGCGCCCCAGTAAAGGTAGGCTACTGCACAACCAGCTGATCATGAGCCAGCTACCGCACTTCGAACTTCGAAGCAAACACGGCAAACTCAATGCGATCCAAACGAAATGCGAAATGCGATCCAAACTCTGGGGAAACTGGAAACTGAAATGTTACACGTGAAGAATCTGTCGTGCCTATTAATTTTTAAGTATTTCTCTACTCTTTTAATACAGACTACAGTTATTGCTAGTGTTAGCCGTTAATTATTTGTTCCTGGTTTTATTGCAGCACGTAGCGTGAAACGATGGTGCCAAAAGTGATTCTGTATATTGCGACCAGCAAAGATGGTTTCATAGCCGATAAGAATGGCGGAGTAGACTGGTTGCCTCCTCCCCCAGAAGATGGCGCAGCCGAGGATTTCGGTTACAAAGACTTCTACGCATCCGTGGATGCGCTGGTGATGGGCCGCACCACGTACGAACAAATCCTAACGTTCGGACCGTGGCCGTATCCCGGGAAAAAATCCTTCGTGCTCACACATCAGCGCGAACTTCCCAAGCCCACACAGTCGCCTGACGCCCATGTCGAGTTTACGTCGCTTCGCGCTCCCGATTTAATGACGCGCTTGGAAAAAGATGGTATGAGAACAGTCTGGCTGGTGGGTGGTGTAAAAGTGATTGAGGTTTTCTACGACCATGGACTGATTGACGAGTACGTTATTACTGTGATACCAAAAACACTTGGCGAAGGCATCGCACTACCTAAAGCGATACTGGATCAACAGGGACTGGTGGAGCTGGAATGTGTCGATATCGGCATGGGCATGAAACAAAAAAAATTGGTGAAAAAGAAGTGAAAGGATTTGTCATTTGATTGATAAGTTCTACTGCAGCTTCGTGAAGTTCAGATATGTGCGAGATTGTATTCGGATTCCGGTAATTTTTTTATAACTTGGTGGTTTGTCGATGGCTTGATGGATTTTACAGAGTAGTATTAATTAAATAAGAGCGAAGAATTCTGCCTTTTGTTTGAAGGGCTGTGGCGTTTGAGTTGTGGCGTTTTCTTTAAATGTTACTGCATCTTTGAATAGTGTTTTAAAAACGTGAGCTCGGATTTGGCGTTTCCCACCGGAACTGTGCATTGTAGCTGAGCAGGACGTGGTATTGACGTACTCGTATTCATGAACAACGAGTACGCGTATTAAAAAAAGGTGGTTTCTTTTATTCAAAATAGAATGAAATATTCTACGCTCTGCTCGCGAGTCGCGATACGAGTGTTTGAATTTAATACGGTATAACCCTGGAACCGATTGAGGTATTTCAGCGCATTTGGATAATCTAATAGGGTAAGTAACTTACCAGCTGGTTTTATTTACGCAGGACCCCGTAAAGGAGCGTAACGGAACCTTCGAACCACACAAAGTGTTCAAATAAAAATCCCAAAATAAATATTTTTATACTGCAACGCTGAGCGCTTCCTATTTGCACGCTTCCTATTAAATCACGTTAAAATTTTTTACTATGTAAAGTTTTACACATTAAACCATTTCGCAGTATCAAACTTCGAGCGAAACGTTTAAAACGCACGCATCAGATTTAATTCGATGTCGTACAGAGAATTATTCATTTGACAAGCCCGACAGTACAACAAGGTTAACGGTTACCGACGTGTCTCAGAACTGCAACAAAATACCGAAAAGCAAAGTAGTTTTTCATAATATTATTCTGATCATTATTAATAAGGATCACCAACCGGCGAATTGGTTATACCAATGAATCCGTTTCGTCACTCGCGTGTCTGTGACATTAGTATAACCACGACTAAAACCGTAACTGGCTGGTTTCCGGTTGCATATGTAATGACTGTCGCCACTTCTCACAATCGGCGTAAAATATTCAGTTTTACGCGAATGTCCGTAAATTTATTGACTTCCATTGCAGCGAAACACCTGATAGAGTGCATAATGTTATTAAGAAAGTTCCTTTTCCGACTTATTTACCCTCAGGCTAACAAGATCTCAGCGTTTGCAATTAGCGAAATCCATGCCGTGCGTATTCACTTTCTACAAAATATAAGAACGTTGACAAAAGTATTTACTTCGCATCTCGCATCAACATACGCACGCACAGCTTTTAAAAGCCTATTTAAGTGTTACAAGGTCCTTGATTACGGAGGTTCAAAAACCTACGAAACACGTCATTAGGAAGGCCATATACATATCTAGTCTATCGAGTAGTAATCGTAAAGTGACCTCTGGTTTGTTTGATCTGTGATCGGATATTGCAAATTTATTTTGCGCCATGCAGATAATCGCCGGCTTTTTCCTCCTTGCGATATCATCCTTATCATTCGCAGGTAAAAGCGGCAAGCAAAATCAGCTCTTATAATCTAAGCACATCTGCTACTGCTTACATTGAAAAATTATTTTAAGTTTCAGGAGTTAAGTTTTTGTCATTAATATAAGTTATTTTTGTATTTTGTCTGAATTTATATGTTTGCATATGAATGTACTGTAAGTGACACGGCGTACGCAAATATTATTATCCTAGAGGCTACGCTCAATAAAAATTATTTTGGGAAGACTATTAATTTACTTCTGTTAATTTAATAAACACTATTGTTTTTACTGGTAAAAGACTGCATGTACGATCGATCTCATAGTCGTCTTAACTTAAATTAAGAATTCGTTGCAGAAACTTCTTTACCGTCCTATGTATCCCGCTTTCGCCGTCAGAGGAATCGCCTACAGGCGTTAATTTCGCTGACGCCATTACCGGTTTTGGGGTTAATCAAGTAAATACCATTTCCAATTCCAATGCCTACGGAGGTGGTCGGTCCGACGGGAACGCGTTCGGTTCCGTCAACGGTGGATTTCCTACTGCTGTCGGTCACACCAACACCTGGGTACCGGGCGGCAATGGTCAAGTGTATACAAACAACGTCGGCTTCTCCGGCACTAGTGGGAGAGGATTTGGGTCCGGCTCAGCAATGGGTTTTGGAGGCAAATAGATTACTGAATAATGATTCGCAGTAATTGTTAATGTTCCTTCTACTTCCTGGTTTTGCGGATGTCTGGTTAATTTCTGTAATTCTGATACTCATTATGATCCGCGCCTTTATTTATAACTGTCGTAACATTTTATCGGTGTAAATTAATGAGCCAAGCACTTTAAACGCAAGACCAAAACAACGATCAGATTAAAAGAGCTACAGATGCACGTGTTCCAGTTGTTACACCAGCGTACAATAGTTCCATGTGTACTTCTCTAGCACTACGTACACAGTAATTGGAGGCATACTTAACATTTATGGTACTATAATAATTATTATGTACCCACAGCTAAACGTAATGAGAGTTGTATTTTGTGTGCACATTCAAAAATTCTACCTGACAACAACATTAAAAGTCCTTGCTTACTGCTTTTGATCTTGTATTTCGGCGCGAGAAAATCGATTCGTAGTTTTGCCATAATTCATTCATGCCAACTACAAAAATTAAAACAAATTTAGCAGATAAAACAATTTGAGCTGGTAAACCTTCAGTAATTCATATTTTTTTGCAGTAGATACCACCCATAAATCATGCAGGTGTGTACAATATAAACCACTAATACTCGTACTGATTTTGAACATACAAGTAGCTGAGTGAATCTGTAATGTGAGCACGCATACTACTTGTACTCTTGTAGGTATTTTTAATTTTTTAACCATACACAGATTAATGCCACTTCATTAGCGCGACGCGAAAAGGTCACAATTCACACTGTAACTTGCAGTGAAGTACCTACTGGTGTCACATCTTCGTTCGTGTATTTCTTGGAGGGTAGTTTAAAAGTTTTTAAAGTTTTTAAAAGTTTTGAAGTTTTAAAGTTTTTAAAGCTTTAAGATTAGGCCCACTTTGTACCTACAGTGATTTCTTGAGCTTAGACACAGTTGCAATTAATGTTTTTCTCATTTCTTGCGAAATGACGCAAAAAACAAGTGGCTAAATACGCATGGTTGGACTGGAGAGCCAGGAGATCATAATTACAAATTCACAGATGAGCGACTAGTTCACAAATGCACAATAAGGAGTGTTAACATCAACATAAACACGGAATCAAGGCTTCGTCGACTGAGGAGAAAGACTGCACCAGCGCTGGTTGGATCATTATACGGCTCTACGCAGAGCCAAATGCGAGGTTTGTGGTCGTTCATACGTTCCAGACACCACGGCAGTGGCGGAACCCGCCGTGGTTCAGCTACGAAACTGTACGTGTTGCGCTCCTCGATTCCGGTGATACTGATGTAAACCCCTGGCTTATCGATGGCAGACTGGATGAAGGTTGCCGCCGAGGTATCTCTCACCCGGCGCTGGACGTGGGACGGTTTAGGAGGAACAAATCCTCCGTTACCAGGAAGTTTTCCATCATGTACCGCTGCTGATGGGACTTCGAAATCGTAAGCATAATATACCACTACGCTTCCCTCAGAAGCATCAATAGCAATTTCCAAACCCGGCTCAGGCAGGTGTAAACTAAAAGAACAATACGGTAATTATGTAATTTTCGTTCATATCAAGAGCATTCTCAGACAACTCGGAAAACAAGAATTCAAATGCGGTCACAAATAGAATGTCAACTATATCATCAACGGCTAATAATTCTTGTTGTATCGTTGTATTGCTATTAATTAAGCGAGCCGAACCTATTTAAAAAAGCTGCCCGATAATTTTCAACTCATGGGCATTAATATCGGATGTTGAGCTTTATTCTTTACGAAGGAGCATTCGAAAAACCACAATGCAAGAATAATTTGTAGATAATCTAGTTGTAATTGTAACAGTGCTTGATTTACCCGATTATACGGCTCTGATCCTTTTCCACCGTGTCGGTAGTCCGTTTCCCAAAGGGCGGATTGAGCGGTATCATGCAAGTAGTTTGAGCCAGTTGTAATATTTTATCCCGTGCTAATCCTAGCGGACTGTTGACAGTGAGAATACGATCTTCCCTGTTGCCGGTCACTAATAACAGTTCGGTCATATTTATGTCGTTCCCGACGCCGATAGCAAAGGACGTAATGTTGGCCGCAAGGGCTGTCGCTGCGCTTTCGGCCAGACTGTTGTCGTATGGGCCATTCGATTGTCCATCAGTTAGCAAAAAATTAATCTTCGGGGTGCCGACAGCACTCTGGACAAAGGTTTCGAACTGGCCGATGCAATAATCGACAGCTAAAGAGGTATGTGTGCTGCCTTGCAGATATGGAGTTCGTAAGGGATTCATTACAGCTTCTGCAATATCCGAAATTCTGCTGTCAAAGGAAAGCACTGGCTGAACATAGCTGGAAAAAATCACTAAAGCCGTGTGCACCTAAAAATGTAGTAAAACATTAGATTTTTGAATTGAATCAATCAGTCCGTTTGTAAGTTTGAAATTAATTTACTAAACGTAAAATTAATTTGACCGCACTTGTTAGACATAAACGTACCATATCATTTGCCACCTCGTCAAGCATATCTTTAACAAATTGACGGGAACGCTGGAAATTCGACTCTTCGATACTTCCAGACGCATCCATCATAATGCACAGGTCCATGCGTGCTGGACAGTGCTTTACGCGGCATGATCGCATTGCTGTTTCTAACGCTTGGGAATCAGCAAACCTATTACAGTATTTTTTCCAATATTGGGCCTGCTCTCCATAGCTGTCGGGGATCTTTTCACCAGCGGCCTCTCCCAGAGAAAGAGCTAAACGTACCGCAAGTCCGGAAATGAGCGGCAAATCCAATTGGTCTTTAGTCATATCTGACCACTTTACATTAAGATGCCTTTGGATTTCTTTACTGTACTTTGTCATCCTTTTGGTAGCTTCAAACATCTCTTCCGATACCTGTATGGCCAGAGAATATATAACACTTTTTGGAAATACATGTGTACGATATATAATATTACTGTAATTGACTCACTAAGCGCAAACTATACAATAAGCATTTTCATATTAAAGGGTAATTTTATTGCCTTACTCTACATACAGCAGGTTTTTCAAATAAAGATTCCATAAAGTATTTTTACGTAGACTACATCATAATGATGTAGTGTCACAATGTATTTCAAAGTTAAATAACTGGTGCTCGTCCATACGCATTAATGCAGACTGAGCCAGTTATATTGTTCATCAACGCCGCCTGGAATAGGTTCGGACCATTCAGTACCAGTAGTAAGTAGTAAGAGTTATAGCATTCATAACGGGTCATAAGAACATCTTCAAGTTGAACTAGAACACTTGATCGTAACATTTATTACTTAATAACTTAGCTAACAGTTTAATGCCGTTTAATATAGCAGCTCATTACCTGCCATATTCCGCCTCTATCAGGAACAGCGCCGTACTGCGATAAAGCGCATGCCGTTCGACGTAGTGTATCCTTGTCGTCACCAAAAATTTTGAGGATTTTATGTACCACCGCTTTCACTACATTTTCACCGGATGCACCTCTCTGTAGCGTTAGATCGGTTACTGCAGCATTGGAGCAACTGCAGCACATATATAACAGAGTAAGAACCGTACAAAAATACGGGATGACAGCATTTTGTTTCATTTTAAAAAATTTGGTTTAAAACTAACAATAAATTAACGTTCACACTATAGTTGGAATAAACAACTGTCATCCACACATTTCAGGTAATGAACAAGCCGCTGAACACGGCGCTTGAGGTGATGCATTGTGATTCATAAATACTCGCTTTATCGGCCAGATATGAATGATAATAACAGTTTCAGACTTAGAATGAGATGACGTCCTTAACATCGACAATGAGTATTAATTGCATCACCGCCGAAATGCTACTACTGTACCTGTAGTCTAAATCTTATGAACCAATTTGATGTACATGTTAGCCAACCGCGATATGCAACTAAAAATACAAGACCCGCTATCCTATACGGTACAGACTGTATTGTACAGTACATGCGAATTTTAACAATGCAAATACGGTACTTGTATAGAATATTACGTATTCAAAAAACAATTAAGTCTAACTGTATCCCTTGTACGAATAAATTGTGCTACGTCGCAACGTATCTTTCAGAGTACAAAGAAATGAATTGACGACATTGACGACATGCCGCCAGCATTATCTGTAGACGGTTGTTAGCCATCAGAGGTGCGGCGCGACCTTGAGAAGTCGGCAAAGATAAAATTCTTTACTTTGTAGGAGCGGTCTGTATTACCTTTGTACTTGTGCTATAGTCTCGTATTTCATATTTCCTAACACACGATAGAGTACGATTTAAATCGTTTGATATACTTATACGTTTGTATATTGTACTTTGTACATAATAACTTAATTAGATTTGCAAAACTGCTCTTCTAATTAGGGTGAGACTAAAAATACCGGTGATAGTTGGACACCATGTAATTATAGCATGTTTCAGGATCTCCTTATGTTTAACAACGCACCGCAAAATTAAATGAGTCCGCATTAATAAAATACAAATAATTTCCCAATGACATGAACCGACAGATTGCTTTATAAGAAAGGAAGTCAGCAAGATTGGCAGAATATTATCGTTTTATTCATTATGAAATTTCTTCTCTCTTAATAAATTCCGTGCACTTCAAAAATTTTGTACACCGTCTTCACATCACGACCAGTTATCCGCTGTTTACATATTACGTATATTGCATCAGTTTTACACAGCGGAGTCGTACCTCATACTATCAGTTTTGATCTTATGATGTCAGCTGCCACCCACGTCATAAAGACAAAAATAATGTGATGAACCTGTTTTTGAAAATATTGTTGCAGAGATGACGTACCCGATGTACAGCTCCTGTCACTGCTAAAATAACAGACGGAAAGCCAAATACGTGCACGTCGAGATCTAGCTTGAAAAGTGTATGTGTTTTGTGCGGCCAAGCCAACAATACTGATAAAAACTCTTGATTCTTTCGACAAGTTGCTCTTTTCGTCTTCCTTAGTGTGTCGTGGCGTACGATGCTGTTTGTGTGGAATATATCCAACACCGTTTGAAATAATGCCGTCATAGACAGCGGGAGACGGTTCTTCGAAATCCCACGCCCAGTAGCCTTCTGTGGCGCCAATACCGGTGCTTATTGCGATTTCCATACCGGGCTCAGGAAAAATTAAACTAGAACAGATTAATCACAGGATTTCATGTCATGCACAAATGAAATGCGCGTACAAAAAGGCGCTTATTACATTGTCTCTGAAATCGCCTCGAGTGCGATGTTAAGGAACAAGGACAACAAATGTGTACATTTTCAAAGGACAATTAATAATACATACGCAGTAGCTCATTGTTAGCGTTACGTTACTGGTTGTAGAAGAGTGTACTGTAGCAGAATCTACATAATAAGCTGAATTACTAATAAGATAATGAGAATGAAATACCTAATAATTCGTTTTTGTCCTTTTAGAATGCTATCGGTTATAACCTCGCCCACCACTGCCTTTTGCACTGCATTACATGACGAATGCAATATTTGCTCGATTTTGTTATGAAGTTCTATGGCATTAAGCACGGAAAATGCTTTTCCGTGTTTTCCGGCAAGATCATCCAGCTCTTTCTCCTTGACATCTGGTCCAACTCCGATAACTAAGTTGGTTATATTGGCTTTTTGCGCTGCGCCGATCGCCGTGGTCAGGTGGACTGGGCAGAGTTTGCCACCACTGGAGTGGCCATCGGTCAGCACCAGGTTGTAATTTGGAACGCCGGTAGATGACTGAAGAAAGTTGTACGCCTGAAAAGCGTCCACACAGTGCATGATGGCATTTCCCGTGCATGTTATGCCTTCTCGCTTGGGATTCAGTGTTTTCAGGGGATCCATGACGGCCTTTTTGAAATCCTCCGTCCACAGGCTGTTTTAATGTATCTGCCGCACTTACGTGTCCGATTGTGAGTACATTAATCAAATCACGAACAAATAGACGAGAATGGTCATAATCGTTTTGATTAATACTTCCTGATCTGTCCATAACTATGCATAAATTCAACCGACTGGTGCAGTTTGGTTCACCGCAATTAATCGCTAGATGCTTTATTTCTTCTGGCAAAAGGTGGATGTTGTAAAATTTCTTCCAGTACAAGGCTTGTTTGTCGTACGAATCGTAAAGGTAATACTGTTCGCCGGATAATTCTAGTTCTAGCAGTATGCGAGCCGCAAGACCGGAGTAAAGTGGCAGATTGAGGTTTTCCACAGTTACGCTTCTCCAGTCGATTGGTGAAACTTCCGGCCCTAAAGACTCCTCATTGTTGGAAGTTTGAAGGTATACATTTTGCAGAATAGGAGATGCATGAGCGCCTTTAGTAACTTCAAGTAGCTTGCCCGAAATCTGCCCGAATATAGACCATTTTTCACATGTCGGTAGTAATATTTAAATAGCGACTTGCCGCTTCGCACAGCTAGATATATTGTGCATAAAAGATTACATACTTCTACAGATATCTGCTCATATACTGTAGTTCTGTTCAGTTTACTTTACCTGCCATATGTTTCCCTTGTTGAATTGTTGATTCCCGCGGTGGTGTGCCAACATGCATGCAGTGCGGCGAAGATAGTTTTTATCGTCTGAGAAAACTCGCGATATTCGACTGATGACAGCGTCAAGCACATCCGGTCCAGATTGCCCTTGCTGCAGTGTTTTGTCGATCTTTACCTGGGAAGACATTGTAATTAATGCTGTAAAACATAAAATCCATGCATCATTCCTGTTTGCCATAACTGGCTATTCGATAACTGGAATAGTGTCGGCAATTTCCAAAAAAATTGCTCAAGGTGTTGTGGTCAAGCAGTGTCGGGACAGGAAAAACTTAATGATATGAATAATATCGCGCACACGTTGGCATGTACAAATTGTAGGTGCAATCAACAATTATGTATACTCGTAGTATTGTACTATGCACCGAAAAATGATAACACCACTGCAGCACATGCATTCAGTACTAGGTTGCTACTATTAACTAAGTTAATTATAAGAAGGTGTTATCATCAATTATATGACCAATGCTGAATCAACACTGCCAAATGAAATATAATAATCATTTATAAAAAATTCACTTATGTGCAGATATTTGAATACATAATTATGCATAACTGATTTCTGCATTTATGCTAATCAGTAAGAGTCGCTACACTAGAGTGCAAATACGAATATAGGTATTAAAAACTTTCTTGTCATGAAAACCAGCGTCGTGTCAAAATGTCATTTTGTACTGTATATCTATAGCTCGAAAAATAAAAGCAAGTGCGCCTGCAGTAACAATTTTTGACACATGCATACTGTAGCTTATGTGACCGTGCAACTCACAAACCAACGATTACTCATTGTGCTGCAGCATGTACGGGTAGCTCGAAGGTATGCAGTACACTCGTATAGACATATTAAAATTAATACTATATTGATGATGGCACTGTGAAAAAACGTTTTCTCAACTGCGTAATATAGATATTCATTTTGAAGAGCATATATGTACAAGTACATGAGCGGTTCAATTACACGGGTTTAATAATGATGCTACTTTCCGTTATAAAATTGCGGTTTTCAATCTACACATACATACAGTACCTACATCTATATAAAAATTAAAGCAACTATCTGACTGTTTAAAATTAAATAGTAATTGTGGGCCACTGAAAGTACGTGTGTCTATGTATTTCCACTTTCATCAACATTACAGTACACTGACAAAATTAACGCGTGCTCTGTATCTCCAGTCACGCGATGCATTTGCTTGTTGCATTTAACGATGCGACCTGTTGCATTTGCAGGGATGGTATAATTTCTTGTTTCTGGCGCATTAGTACAGATACTTTTTCAAAGCTCCTTATAAGGATTTCGTCATTTTATTCCCTATTGTACCGGATATCCGTGGACAAATTACATCAGTCCACGAAGTGACGAAACATGCTTATGGGAACGGCTGGAGGGCATGTGTCAAGGTTAAAGTACGTCATACATACCGAGCACTTACAAGTAAAAAGACTGTGCGGTTATGCCCAACGCAGCTTTTATGGGACTACTTACAAATTAAAATAAGTAATAAAACAATAATTATTAATATAATAATTTGTTATCTTCAGGTTGCCTTCGTAGTGTAGTATTTGTATCAGCATTGTGACATTTTTTTCCGATCAAACTAAAAAAACCGTGATAAGACCGTAGTTTTAAAACCGTGATTTTCCGCAATTTAATACCCAACTTTCGCTCGTAAAATGTAGACCGTGCATTACAGCAGCGTACCTACATTGTATACAGAAAAAGAGAGGCGAAACCTCAAGACCTGTCAGCTGCAGTATTCCAAAGCAGTAAAACACCGATCATTTTATCAGCAATATTGCCGTATACGACTCGTTGGGTACATGATTTTACTACACTTATTTTTGAAAACAAAAAAATTAAGCGGTACGTACATATATGCGGTCTAACTGTTCTAAAAAGCGACTCAGCGTGCATGCCAAAGAGAAAGAATACTTCTGTCAGGCTTTACGGTTAGTTGACGTAAGTACTTGTACAACAACAGCGGCGTTCGATAAACTTCGGTTCATGGTCACAGAAAACGATGCTCCACCGTATTACAGGTACGATTTCATTCACTTGGTTAGGATATGAAATATTAAATGTTTAACAGGAAAGTTGATCGTTCAGGGAGAAAAGGGGATGATCTTCGTCATTTCGCGATGGGATAATTGCCCTGTACCGGCTAGGGCGGCAGTCGTACTGTAGATGGAGCAGTCGGCTCGAAACAGGTTTACTGATCCAAGAATTTCTCAAATTGTAAATCTCGCCCAGCCGAGGTCGTGAATGGAACAAAGTGGTGTTCCTGTTCATCCATTTCCGAAACCAGCAAAAGTCCTGTGTGCAGTGCAGTCGTTCCAGATAATGCTGATAGCCATCGACCGCTAGCGACCAATTCGCGGCATACGCCAGTGATATGGTTAGCAGCGCGGGTAAATCGGTAAACGTGTAAGGTTCCATTTGTCCTATGGTGGTGTTGGAAAAGGTCACCATTCTCAAATTATTAAAATTCCTGCCTGAGAAATCTTGTCGCATGATGATAATATTGTGGCAGTTTGCCAAGTGAAATCTCACAAGCCTTTGAAACTGCAGGTCACGCAGGACCTTTGTTCTATCGCGAGCTATGCAGTACCGCAAAAGAAAAATAACAACATGGGCGGAGATTTTCTGGAAGACCTTGAATTTAATGTTAACTAGGTCATCGTGCAGAAAGATGCCAATCGGCCTGATCGGTCGCTTGTGAAACAGTGATACCAACTTCGTTAACTGACTTTTTGTTACATTAGCATCGCAGCTAATAGCCAGCGCTCGTGCTTTCGACGCAGCATAAGCATCACTGGCAAGCACCGGAAACTGGCAGTACTTGCTCGCATTATGCAGGTTCCATTGCGCTTCGCTCATTTCCTCCACCGAAAATGGGTCTGGTTCAGAAGTGTAATGCGCTGACGAGCGTTTAACTGAAACAAAATAAGAAATTCTTCTCCAATACAGTGTTACAGTAAGTAAGATTTACTGGAAAAGTCGAAGATAAAAATCTTTCGCACAACGTTTGGCGCTTTTGTATTAGGTAAACGTACTAGCTATAGCATCCAGGCTTCTTCAAGATGATCCAAGGTGCTGCAGTTATACATTAGCAACACCCTTTTAACGTCTGTTTCGCTTAATTCTTCTCTTTGACCCATTTTAATTTTGTCTCCGTCGAAATAAGATCGAAGTGTCAAGCTTGGATTCATTGAGTTTTTTGCGCCGTTGAGCGGTCCATAATGCATAATGGATTCGACATCGTAAGGCAAATTGTGGGTATCCATATTGTGGTACTCTTCGAACTGATTGCTCACATTAGGAAAAATGTTCTGATAGTGAACACTTACAAAATCACTGCGATCAGGTCGGCTGTGTTCGTGGAACAAACCCAACTTGTGCAGCACTTCGTGCATGATAATTCCAATCTCAGAAAGACAGCTGCGGCTTAGCCATATAGGATTAGCGCCATTTCGTCGGCCGATATGGGTGTAACAATTTCTGTAACACCGTCACTTTAATCAAACTTGTAGCTACACGTAACTACCAAATTTCCGTTGCTGTTATTGCAGAATCCATACCGTATTGTTAATCTTACTTGTCATTTGCGAGCTTGAAGACAATGTACTCTCGAAGCGCATTTCGTTTAGTGCCGATTTCGTCCACTTGCTGAAACTGAACGCAAGAACCAGTCTGTTCCTGGATTGTTTCCAGTGCTGCCGTAATATTGGCCACTTGAGACCTCTCTGTAAAAAATGCGGATACGATATAATTTCCGCTGCGATCAATAAATTTTGCCGAATATGATAAGATGCAAAACAATAACCAATTAATAACCTGAAATGGAGCCTTGATAACAAGAAATAATGAAAATGAAATTAACTGCCTAAGCCATTAGTTGCCGCCGTTCACAAAATTACAAATACAAATGTGAGCAATACTAATGCTGTTTAATAATTAGCGAGTATAAAAAATACCTATAATAATTTTTGCTCATGCTACCCGAATAGTTGATGCTTAACATGAACATATGTATTTAGCTGCAATACAAAGGTCAGAACTAGCAATCCTTTCGACAGGTCTGTAATACCAACCAATTCTTTGGGGTACTGTATAATGAATAATGGTTTCCCTTCCTGACTTCGGCCACAAATATGATGGTGGTAGAATTCCCGTGACCTGTGGATCCTTTAAGTCTTCAGTGAAGTCGGGACGCGGCGCGTCAGCGGCTGACAGTGGGTTTCGTGCTTCCGTTGATTCACTACTCGTACTACCGGTGTCGCCATTTAGCGACTCGATGAAGGATGGAAGTGTCAAGACCGATTCGTGGAGCTGATCTCTCCAGCCTAAATTGAGTACAACATCTTGATTAGCAGGGTTCTCTCGCAATTACGAAGCCACTGAGCAAATCAGAATTTGACCTTCTGGTACCGGCACCGGTCTTCGGCGTGTACTTCTGGAGTGAACCAAGGTAACGGCGAACAACGCGCAAACAAGCCTAATTGTACAATCCATTTACAATGCGGTCAGCCCCTCTCATCACCAACCGGAACCTTCCATAACCTTAGAATTTTTAAACGTGTTTCTGATCTCCAAGAATCGTCAAGTGTCAGTGTTGCGAATTTTGCGATTAAAGTATAAGTACATAAAGTGATGACGAGAGTTGTAGGTGGTAACGGGTTCAACAGTACAAGTACACGACTACTGATTCTATCGCAATATGTTTCCGGGAGCGCCTCTCAAATCACAACAAAACAAATCACAAATCTAAACGACATTTAAACCATGCTATATATTTTCATCCACCCTTTTAACGCATCAAGAATGATCAAATGGCCAGTGCCAACAAGAACTGACGTAGCAGACTTTTTACATGACCCGAATTAATTATCTATGCTTGATCCGACAGGGAGATGCCCATATTCAGATTGTTATCTTTGTCAATTTTTTAACGCATACGAGTTTTCATTACAGCAATAAAGTGCAATATTGCTACTAGGTAAAGCCGTTCTAAGTAAATTTTCTAAAATAAAACAAGCATTCGCACCGGTCATCAGTATGGTTTATGCAAAAGCGCGACTTTTAAAGCAGCCATACAGGGAAGAAACGAGTTAAAGCGAACAAAATGTTAGATCGTACAGTAACGCATACGTTATACAGTAGCACGCAGTTTGCGCTCATATAGATATTTAAAATGAAGATTTCAGCATCCTGATACAAAAGCGCGTCGTAGATGTGCAGTGTACGACAAACGGTTTTCTTAATAGTAAAATCTAAAACATGTACTGCGTATGAGTACTCTCTTCATTTGATATCAATCAGTGAGTATTCAACAATTACGTCCACTGCTTCGTTCTCTTCAAGATAAACGTGAACTGGACGGGAAGCGGGATTGATAATGTCGCTTACATGGATCAGATCATTCTTTACGCAGATCGGTTGATAACTGGTTACCTGCAAATAAAACATACGTCTTCGGAGTGCTCTTAACATTGTGAAGTCATGCAGGAATTCATGCCGTTAAATTTAGTGTTAGTATTCGCGTTTGCAAGAAGGGTCACACTTAATAATTCTGTACTTATTAACTGATCTTCTAGTCAAACTGTCATGACTGAAATCATCAGGTAATGCAGGCTCGAACCCTCTAACTGGTAATTGTAAAATAACACATTATTTGCGTTGTTGGACCTTTTACAGATTCTCTATATGGGTTTGGTTTAGTTTGGTCACCATCGCGCTCAAGGAGTACAAGAGGACTGCGTGAACATCCCATCCTTTCTGTACTCATTCATTAAGCGCGATGTTATTGCACCTTACCTCGCTTATTCTAATGATTGCTTTTGTATCCCCTTCCTCATATCGAAGAGATTTCCGGTTGTTAAGGGAAGTCATGCGATGCAAGTATTGCAGGTCCTTAACAAATTTAAATCCGCTTATCGCCGACATTTCTATCATCATAGTGCCGTTTCGCGTGTTGTCGTTGTACCTGAGCAAGAAAAACAGAGCCCTTTTGAACGCCACTTAACATATTGTATAGGGTGCTGACTGCTGATATTGAAGTACGAGTACTGTTACTGCATGTAGTCGTAACACAAATACTTTATACTCATACACACTTAATGCAAACTTCCAAATCAAAATCTGCGCCCTGGTTTTTGGATTTCGTCAGCGATGCTTTGACTTCGATAATGTCGTTCTGTCGTGTTGGTCGGGACTGCTTGTTAAATTTGCACTCCACCTGGCAGCGTCCGACTCCGTAACCAGAACTGCGCAGTGTCACCTTGTTGGCTGCTGGTGGCAGTGGACAGTACTTCGGTTCGTCATCGTGAGGGGATATAATTTTAGTGTCCAATCGCATACCATCGGAAAATATCTCCACCGACAGCGACTGGTCCGAATTAAAGTACTCCGCAGCGGTATCGGTCAGAGCTTGCAGAATCATAATCCGATCCTGGAAAATAACGAAAAACAATCAAAATACGCTTTTCTAAACCGGTGCGTACAAATAATTATATAGCTGACATAGGCTGTAATTGCCTACTTGCGTAGGTTTGAAGACGCCCTTGTTCCTCCGTTGAGAAAGCAGCCAGCCTATGACCGGCGACAAATCGCCTCCGTAGCCGGCATCGTGTAATGCCAGCAGTGCGTATGCTGTGGTTTCCGCATCTAAGATCGCTTGCATACCGTCAGTGGATGTGGCAGTCCAGTATTTCTTCCCCGAAGAATACTTGGCCTGACTTTCCAACTGATTTTTGCAGTGCTGGGTGAAATTGCTTTTCAGCCGCTTCAAAGCGTAACATGAGATGGCCAGGCCGTACATATCCTTTGCGAAATTTCCTTGCACAGTGAATTCCAGTTGGATTTGAGCCCGTCGAACGGCAACATTGCGCGTGTTCGAATACTGTGGACCGGCTTCCGTGAATGTCAGCAAGACGAAACTCGTTAAGGACGTTTCTCCCACGGCTCCTCCACGATAAGGTCTGTCGGCGATTTCTCCATAGTCTTGAAAGTTGCCAGTGCTATTTTGCCTGGATTCCAAAAATTTCAGCGACTGTTGCCAAAGATTATCGTTCACAGGTATATATTTCTTTGCGAGGATCAACCCACGCGCAATGTATGCTGTCAACCAAGTGGAGCCGGCAGCCCTGGCTGACCCTTTTGTACTAAACAAATACATACTTCAGAACACACAATTTTGAAAATGTTACAAACATAAAAGACCAGCAGCAAAACACAATGATTAACCGACAAATACAAAAAGAAACTGAATTCCATACGACTATTTAGAGTGCGAAGAATTTTTATGCTTACTTGTACGATCCGTCATTGGAATTGCGGAAACAATTTAAATTTTTGTAATCTGCAAAACTCAAATAATCTTTATGATGATCTGTCTTCTATACATTAATTAGCGCACTGAGGCGCACTTCATAATATAATATTGTATATTTGCTATAGTACTTCAGTGCGCACGCAGTTGACAAAAGTTGAGGAAGTGGTTAGCTTTCCTTAACAGACGTACCAGCTTGTAAATTACGTATGAGCTCATCGATCTTTTTCTTGTGAGCAACCGTTTCGTTTGGTTTATTTCGAACTGTATTCGAAGGGCGAAATGTTTCCAAAATTTCATAAAAAGGACGTTTGCCATAAATCGAGAAATTACTGGTTCGGCCGAAGAATGGTAGAATTTGCTTGATGGTCCGGTTTTCTCTCCCACTGAAAAATCTTGTACGGGCATTCCAAACGGGTCAGCTGCCAAAAGAATAGCATTTCGGATGTCACAGCCAGTGTCACTTACGACTGGCGTAAATGACCTAATTCGAAAATTTATGTCATTTAGCTTGAAATAAAAACTATGAATCTACCGATAAAGTTGTTATTCAAAATCAAAATATTAATAAATACATGCGTATGAATCCAGTTGTAGCTTACCGTACAGATGGAGAAGACAAGAACTAGACTCTGGTACAACAGAACCTTCCCGTTCCACATCAAAATTATCAACCGGAATTTCGACTGTTCCGCGGGTCACGTTGATAACATCCGAATTTCGGTATTCCACCACGCCGCTGTGTATTACTTTTACAACTTTTTGTATTTGGTCGACTAGACCGTATTTAGCCCCGTCAAATAGGTAAAGAGAAGCTGTCACTTTCTGCACACTTTTCTTAAAAGGTCCCAGTGGAAAACGGAAGTGCTGGGCGCGCAGTGAGCTTCTTTCCAAATGTCTGTGAAACACGGCTGTTGCCCCGATTTCCACGTTGAAGCTCATAGCGACCGCTTGATCCCGGACGTAGAACAACGTAACATTGACATAACCGGATTCGTTCTCGATTAGACTAGCTGGAAGCTCCATGCTGATGTAGAAATCCTGACAGACTTTCAACTACAGAAGTATATATACCTTGTTCGAAAGATCAACGAAGTGTGTTCGCAGACTTCGCTTATATTTTTCATTGATTACCTCAACAGGCGCTTTTACCAAAGCCAAAGAGTAGTTGGTATTTGCAGCAAACGCAGTTATTGACCAGGTTGTTACGGAGTCGGGTACAGAGGTTCGAAAGGTCACAAATCCATTAGTGCTACAGATAGCGAATGCTGCTATTACACAGGAACTAGTAGTAAGGTAACTTTTGCCGTACAAGGAGTTATTTGCCAGCAATATATTGACACTCACTCTGTAAAATTTGTAATAAACAGGAAGCTGTCCCTGAAGTTCGTCCGCAATTGTACTGCTGCAACAGCAAACGGCCAAAGTTTAACTCCATCTTCACAAACCACATTCGAGTATTTAGCACAAATTTTAATTGACAATTGTGCTAAACTTAGATGACTGGAAAGTTGTATGTAAAAGCAGTTGAAAAACAGGCATTCGCAATGCCTCCCTTAATTTTAACGAAGCTGCTAGAGCCTAGAGGCAACAATGCCTCGAAAACCGACGACCAATTGGCAATCTGCTGCAAAAAGCGGCCATAATTTTCGTTTTACCTGGTACTCGCGCAAATTGAGAACTGTCCTCTGGACAATCGGCACGTAGGACGTGAACGGCGAGGTTTGATTTCTGTGGTAAAGATTTTGTTCGCATTACGATATGGGGAAGTCAGCCACTGTGGCATGCAAACACAGCGCTAGTGACTAGTGCTACCTACAGTATTTGTACATACAATATGAGGAACACTTACACTAAAATAAGCGGTTTGTTTTTCATCATAGCACTGTTGAATAGTTTGTTCGTCTTCGCATTTGGCTGAGTCAACTAACGCCGGCGCCGGACGCGACCAGGAACGATATTTCTCTGCAACCTGTAGAAAGCAAAATCAGCTTCGGGTTTTCATGTAGCTTTTGTACGATCCAAAATCTAAAAACCTCAAATGCAGTTATATCGTTGCCAGACCCGTGTTGTAGCTGCAGTACAGTTTTATCCAGAGCCAAAAATCCGACAAGGGAATTGGGAGGTGCACCGACTCGGATGCGTGCCATTTGACCTGGCAAGACGTGATCACGTGACCGATCCACCGGTGTAACGTGCAGATGAACCTGTAGCAGTTTCTTCCCTTGAGAATTCATTTCAACCAAAAATTTTATATTTGATCGATTTTACTGTAGCCAGTGTCGACGTCTCGTCCACAAGAAATACGCCTCCAGTGCTGTAAAGGTCAGCATCTTTTAAGTAATATGCCACAATTCTTGACGCCGGTGCCATATCGGACGTGACCATAAAGGTCAGCTCTCCACTATTTTCGTTTGTCATGGAGACGTTCTTTGTGAGCAAGATCCCTTTTCTTGAAACAACCTGTAAAGTTTTTGAACATCGGCTTACTCTTTTTTCGTTTTTCTATTTTTTATGCTATAAATGTTAATAAATTATGTTAAATATCTTGTAGCTATAGTAAATGCCATGATTATTACAAGATATTGACAAAATACTAATTAGTTTCCTGATCACTATTGTATCAGTGTCTCCCTGTACACTGTAGTCTGTTATAATTATCGTCTGACACCATAATGATAGAAAACCGACCAGCCGTACCGAATATTCCATATGTTTGCAGTTCTGGGTGCATTGCAAGGAGAACTTGACATCGTTTCCGACGCGGTATTTTCGCCCTGGCTCGTTCATATGTAGTTCCGCATGACCACCTCGAGCATAAAAAGTGATTTCTTCCCTGACCTCGCCAATGTTCACCGACAACGTCACCGATGTCGCAGCGGACGACGATTTGAATGGCACAACCACAGTGTCTTCATCCACTGCCACTATTTTCCCGATTACAAAATCACTGGATCTGTCGTCCTCGTGTTCAGTGTTATGCGTGACCTCTCTGCCAGCAAACTGTCCTTGAGTCCAAATGTTTCTGGCACGAAAATAAACCTTACTTCCGTCATGCTTCATAACTTTAACCGTTGCATTATTCCACGCGCCCGGTTGAAAAAACTCTTGCGGCATGACCGCGACCATCTTGAATGCGTTACAGTAGAAGGCCAAATCTTTCCTAACTTCCACGCTCTTTCTGGACTGTGTCTCAGTTGCAGTAATCGTTAGCGTCAGGAACGGTTTGGTGTTTTTCTTGATTTGGCAGTATTCCATTTCCAGCTGACTGAGATTCAACTCATAATCTTCGGTCGAACTTCCATCTATCTTCTAATTAGAAAAATTACCAACCATGCACCTTTACATAGAGAACTAATAATTTTAATTGCACAAGTAAAACTCACAGCGAAACCAAGTTGTTTCGGTTGCAAATTCAAGCTATCCGTTAGCGTGACTTTAACGGTTCCGGAAACCGGAATGCCGATATTATTTCTGAAATGATGACCCAGTAAAACTTGCAAAGGTGTGGTTACCTTGCTGTCAGTACATACATTATCTGAAAGGTCAGCCGTAAATTCGCTTGTTTTGCCACGACGAATGATTCGGGAGCAATTACATCCAACCGGAACAAAGGTAATTCTGCAACAAGGGGTGAAACGTGACTGCTAGCGTACTTCAAAAATTCTGAGTTTGAAAAATGCCTACGATATTCTTCCACCGACAAACTCTTCGTTGCAATGCCAATATGTTTTCCAGCGACTTCTACAGTCCATCGGCCAACATCGGGATCCAAATTCGGTAGGCCGAAAAATCCTTCAAAATATCCCGGATCTGTAAATGTACACTTATATATCCAAACAGGTAATTCGATACTATGTTTCTTGAACTGAATATGTGAATGAATTATTTGAAAGGTTAATAATGCAGCAAAGCAAGTGCTGGTGTTCATGTTCATGTAATATCAACGTGAATGCGAGCACGAAAACGACGCACAGAAATTATAAACTTACAAGCTTCGTATTTAGCTTTCTGATTCCGCTGAACATCGACTTCTTTCTCCGCGGGATTCTGACATGACAGATATTACTTACTGTAAGTGCGAGACTAGGTGAATACTGTGACAAAGGTTGAAAAAGGTCACGAGCTTGTGGCCAAGATTACCAAAAGCCGGACGTCCACCGTGTCGACAGTTTGGTCCAGTCGCAACTCCGCATTTAGAACCAGAACACGATAATTTATGATATCGGCAGGTCGATACACTGGTTTGTCCAGTTGAATCAGCACTAGCGACTCGTTCACTAACAAGTCCAGTTCGCTGGTTTTTGCTGTGTCGCATAGCGAATCGGCCAGTTCCAGACGGTAGCGATTGGTGACAGCAAGGTCATCGACCTACAGTTGACACAAGAAAGACTATCAACATGAAACCGACTGAAGCGCTACAAAACCGTCTGCGCCGATATGTATCCAACATTGACTCAAGACCGTGAACCACCTGTATTTTCAGGATTCTTCTTTCGCCAGGACTGATTGATAACTTTGCATCTCCGAAATCTCCATCCCCGCCTTTGATAATTGCCTGGACTTCCACATCCGTGGAGTATGATGACGATATCGTGATTTCAAAAATATTATTTGGACGGAGAAAACGAGAGTGGTAGACAATTACCGCACCCTGCTCCACTCCGTCAGCGAAAGCATATTTCGCACTGCATGCTACAAAAACCGACAAAGCTAATTGTAAGAACACAAGACTCTGCATATTTGCAAGCGCTACAGATGTTCGCTTTTTTTCTTCATAGAGCATTTGGTGCAAAAAGCTAAGCTTAACATATTTTGCTATTGCTTCTTTGATTGCTTCGCACTTATTCTACAATCGGCAGCAAACGATGCTGATATATTGATATATATCGGCATAATCTTACCCTTATAGATGGCCCTTGGATTAGGGATTAAAGTGCAGTGATCGCTTCCTGGCATCGATATGTCACAGTGAGCAAACTACTGACGACAACCCCATGTTACCGGTTCCGGCATTGTGGTCAGGGCTATCCTGGTAGCGTAACCCGTGGCCGGTATGACGACACATGGAAAGGGATGTTTGCTCACTTTGCAAGCATGTTTGCTCACTTTGGCTGATTTTAATGTCTAGTAGAAGCGCGCGTAAAACAAGAACTGACGATATTAAATTGCTGTAGACTGCGACAGCGATAGGATCTGACCGTGAGAAAATAACATGGTACGTGCAGCGTGTTACTGCTGCGTTCCATGGCCAGGTCCGAGCCCTTGCTCCCGGCGCACTGCTTGTTGAACCTCACGCTGCAGTTGGTTCAAGCATTTTGCCGAAGACGTACTAACGAATAAATTGATCTAATTTCGGCATTGCCGACTTTCGAAATCATTCACTTACTTATCCACTTCCTGAAATATGCGCTCTAGTGAATTACGTATATGTGCCCTTTTTGGTTAGTCGTTAAACGAAAGTGCAGTACTCTGTAGTTACACTGAATATCGCCGAAGTAAGCTCATGACCAATTTCATGTCGGGGGCATACATGCATTAACCCCCTTCGTGAAAGGATTTCCATGTAGCATTTTTTCATCTGAATTTCCATGCAGTATTTTTTCACCATGCAACGTTAACAGTTGTAGACTACTTTGTGAATAAAGTATGTACACGTAAATGAATTTCTTTACGCAAGACTGATGCGTATCATTTCCGCCAAAAGTATCATACGTCTCAGTTATCGAAAAATAAATTTAAAATAAATTACCATATAACATTTTCAAGACTACGTCTTCTGACATGAGATAAGACAAGCCAAGATGAGAATAATACATTGTTATCAACAGCGAAAAAACAAGATCTATCCATAACATTTCCATTTTTTTTCAAAGACAATAAAAATAGTTCAACCCGTCCAAATCACTTCTCAAACAGCACTACTAAGAAACAAAGCACTAAATAAGTTTGCAAATATCGGCTACCTTATCTGTTAATCACAAATAAAAAACAACCATCAATTTCCGAAAAGCGATCACGATAAAACGCGTTCATACCTCCGAAGCCGTATTAAGATTGACAAGCTGGGATTCGGCTTGTTGTCCCACAGTAACGCTAGTAATGGGCTGATACATCAGAAAATAACAATCTTCAAAGAATCTCGACATCGGTTCCGGCAAGCTCTGATGCTGCTCAAATTTCTCCATCAACCGCTTATGACCGAACTCCGGATCTAAATATTCACTCAATTCCGGACAAGGGCGCACTTCCGGAATATTTGAGCCGCGGTCACCCTCACCGCCCTCTCTGTCGGCCATGGAGTCCACAAAATACCACAGCTGATTGCCATCCTTGGCGAAAGTCACATAGTGGCTGGTTTTAATGCACACAACGGCAAATAATTCCATGCGCACTTGCTCTTCTGGCAACGGCGCCAAGGTCGTCTGGATCTCATAGGGTTTGTGCTTAGGATTGCGCTGATGGCGTTTAACGGAGCACTTCTTGCAGAACGCCATTGTGCTTAATCCCGAGCGAGTTTTGTCTTCCAAATTCATCCAGTTGTAACATTCCTTGCATTCAAACTCCGCTTGCTCCTCCTGACAGAACGAGCACTGCCGCGGATAACCGGCAATTGCGTCGGTAATATCCAGGACTGCACTGGGGAAAATATAACGATACATTTTGTACTGAGCTCCAGAACGCGGTGTTTGCAGCAGCAGACATTTGGGCACCTGCCAGAAAAATCAAACTTTATGCATTGGTCAGTGTTCCAATACAATCTGCCATACAGCAGATGTCGCGAATTGTGATCAAACGACAAATAACGAAAACATCCAAAACGGAACGAAGTGAGCTGAACCCGGCTCACAATAGACTGAACCACACAGATTCCATGTTACGATTTGGCCATCAGAGCTGGCCTTCCATTTTAAATTACTTTTACAAAAAGCACAAACCTCTTTAAAGCGAACGTCGGAAGCGACCAAAGACTCGTCGAACAATTGCTGCACAGCTGGGATAAGGTTCATCTGGTCCTTTTCAACAAAAAGTGTGTACCAGTTGCAATCGCCTGTTGTCAACTTCAACAAAGGATCAATTTTAAGGATTTGTTGGAACAAAGACGTCAAAAACTCCTCCGGATCACGTTCTTCATTGGTCAAACCGGTCACATTCCCAAATACATCCATCAATTCTCGCAGATGCATCACATCTACACACGGCACGTACATCGTGTTCCGAAGAGGGTGAACAATCGCTTCTCGAAGGGCGTGCTATAAAACGTTAAAGAAATAAAAGTATATGCTTAAAAAATTAAAATACTTGCTATCGTAATTCCCACTCCAAAAATAGTTCACCTGAACTTCTTCATAACCATGGATGTCGCGCTTTCTTCTAGGCCGAGTCAGAATCTCGTCGAAGACGTTAGTGAATGCAAACATGCTAAATAAGGTGGCGTCCAAATAGCAGGAATTTTTGTGGCCTTGGATACCACGTTTTCTACCGCTGCAGATCTTGTCATCAATGCGGCGCAAAGAAGCCGGGTGTAACTGCGGCACAGGCTGCGATGGTGTTAAGTTAGATCGAGAACTGAGTCGACCGCCAACTGGAGAATTTTCGGATTTCGGTTCCATCCCATAGTAAAATGACATAGGATTCTGCTGACCTTCGCCGATCACCGGCTTTGTCGGAAGAGACATTCGACTAACCGATGACGAAGGAACGGCTGAATTTTTCTGGTTTTGCGACAGAGAAGGGGAAACATTCTGCGCTGCTGGCACTGATCCAGAATGAACAGAATTGTAGGAATCCCGATAACTAGACGTCTCATGCTGTATGGGAATGTTGTGCTCTTTCACTGTTCCATCCACAGTACTGCTGTTTAATTTTTCAGAAGGCCAGTGTAAGTCAGAATCCTTCTTCGTACTGCTAAAACCACCAGCTGATTTCTTATCATCCGTCACCCATTTATGGATCTCCTGTTTTGACGCCTGCTGAACTTGCGGGACACGTTGTCGTTCTGGATGTTTGGAAGCAACGTATGCGGTACTGGCATGAGCGGGCTGAACATTTCTCCCCAAATTATTCGTCATAGCAGAAGTAGCGGCCGGTTTGACAGGATCGTTTGCCTGCAAATTAATTGCCAGTCTACTGGACCCAGACGACGGCTTTGGGGCATCCACATTTGATGAAGATAAAACGGCTGCGGGCTGTATCGCGCGCCTCGATGCATCGGCAGCATTCGCCAGCGAAGGTCCTCCCGCGGGAGAATTCTGTGGCGGTCTCTTAGCCATTTCACTGTAACTAGGTTTCTTCGTCATTTGCGGCTGCACCCGAACGGGGCCAGATTCTGTTCGGTGTGCCAAAGCTTGCTCACGGGCTTCCTCGTAAGGAAATAAGCATGTCGCAGGAACAAATGCGGCATGGTTCGGTTTGGTTACAAAGAGCTGGTCCCCGTTGAACTGTCCTGTTCCACTGCCGACTGGTTTATCCTAACAAATAAATCGGCTTATACGACGCAAAAATTTAGCTTGCTCAAATCAGCACGACTACCAGTATAGCTGAGCAAGAAGAAGAATAAGAAGTATCAAGAAGTCTGATTAAGAAGTCTCACTCACAAATTCAATGCCCACGTACAAGTCCTTGTTCGACTCTTTTAAAAGCCAGCCGATCCATCTGACTGTGGCAATTTGCGGGTCGCAATCATCCTCAAAGTAACAAACCCGGCCATTCAGCTTAAACGGCAGCTCATCCACCAGAGGATTCGCAGCCGCTGCTCCAGAGCTCTGGAATGCAGGAGGCGAAGGAGTGCTCGTCGAGGCTTTAGGCGCCAGATTAGAATTGACAAAAACCAAGCTCCTGGAAGATTCCGACCGGGGAGACTGGCTTCCTTTATGCAATCCGATCGCATTGGCTGCAACATTAAGAGCACCGTGCAGCAGGTTTCCTATGGTTTTCGACTCCGCGGGAGATTTTCCTCGTTTTCCAGGTGCACTTTCATGAGGAACGAGACCATTCATGTTGTAATCCTGCGAAGGATTTTTTGGATAATTCTGCGTAGAACGATCCTCCATCGCGGCATCATTAAAGCTGCTCTGTGATTCGTGCCGCAAAACCAAGTCGGCCACCGATACAAACACCGCACAATTCGGATTGCACGTAAAATACCGTTTTCCATTGACGGAGCCGTCAGAATCACCCTGGCCAGCATGATGAATCAACCAAACACCGAACCATATTCCGGGACCCTTGTCTGGTACTGGTCCCTGATAACACACCACGCCAGGATACGGCATAGTTTCAAAGGTAACAGTAACATTGTTTCCATGTTCCACCTGCATGAACTCCTCCAATCGCACATTTTGACGATGATCAGCCAGTAATCCAAGTCGTCTCGGCTGATCCACGGGCAACAGCAGTTCCGCCATATAATTGGAAATTTCTCGCACGGATCTTGTGTCGGTTTCCATTAACACATTGGCACGATCCAGTGACATAAGAATAAGTGCTTCTTGTCCAGGCTGAGTGTCATCGGTAGTGCACACCAAATGGAAAAGTTCTCCGGGAGGAACAACGAGCCGTGCTTCTTGTACGCTGGAATCGTCGCTGAGAACTCGGGCATGGTTCTTCTCAGTGCTAATGAACTTTCGAGGGATTTCCTTCGTTGCCTCATTAAATGCCATTGTAGGTGACAGGCGCGAAATCTATCAGGAAGAAGGCAGGTTCGTGGCCGTTCAACGCTGAAAATAGTCGCTCATTAGTGAGTCATTACCAACTTAAAAAATCAAATTCCGAACTCCAGGCAAAACATCTTCGTGGCTCGCAAGCCTACTTACACAGATTCACAATTTTATTTACATCTTCAAAGCCTTGAAGATTGACCGGCAGCGAAAGCGAACCATATAAAACTGCTAACGGAAAAAACTCACTATTCGATTTCCGAAACCTTTAGAAAAACGAGCGAAAATGCAAACGCGCTTGCCACGGTTTGTGTTTTGTCAACAATCGTTGTTCGGTATGGGTTACCGCCCAGGGGTGTGTTGGAGCTGCAGTTAAAACTGATGTTGGGTGAACTGATTTGGTGAAGAACTTATTTCAGCTATTCCTCTTTCTACCGAATCGTCCCACAATGGCTGGAAAAGATAATAATCGTAGGTTCTCGGTGACTTGAACTTTAAAGAATCTGTGTAAAGAATGTTTTCCTCAACATTTCGGAAGTCTGACTCTATTTGTTGTATCGAGAACCCTTAACAAAATGCGGCATTCAAAAAGTAAAACTACTTGATATACATAAAATGAAAATTTATCCCAGATCGCGTGAAATGGGGCAACAAATTTCGATTCTTATTAATGATAAGCAACTTCATTTACAGGAACAAAGATCTATAAAATACAAACAAAACTAAATACAAGTGCAGCTATAAAAGTGAAAGTCACATGCCAGTACTTCAGTTTAGAAGTTGCAGATCGAATCACGGTTTGGAATATGAACGAATCTGGCACATTGCAAATTAAATTTGATGCTCGTTCGTTAAAACTGCAACAAAAAATTTACAAAAATACTTGCTCATTTGCAAGACTATCCAGGAACGGCTTAACAACATTGCTGGTAGCGAAGTAAAAAATAACACCAAAAGTAATCGAGATCGGCAACGCTGGCAATGCCTTCCGGTACATGGCCAGCAGCAACAGCGTAAGACAGAGACCCTGCAAAATCATAGAGCGAATAACAGAAACGGAAAATGCTCACTCATCATAGCCGACTCACAATGAGAATGGATATAAAACAGGCCAGCGTAGTGTTCCAGTCTCCGTTAGAGGATGCTTTACCAACTAGAACACTGTAGAATATGAAGTCGCCCAAACCAAGACGAATCCCTCCTAAATAAGGTAAGGGTTTAACATATAGGCACATATTTGGCTAATTCAAATGGACTAATACAAATATGAAATAGCTTCGTATATAAACACTTACGCTCTTCTTCCACTTGCTCGCTCATGACGGGCTCACTTTGAGTGCGGCGTTGTAGAGGAACTATTGGAGCTCCACTTCCGGCGTGCCCTTCCTCAGCCGTTGTCGGTGCCGAAGCCGACGGATGTAGCGCATGTGCTACCTCATCATTATCCACTAAGGTTCGGGAATTTCGGCGACGATGTCTGGGCCGACCATCGTGCGGTGTTCCAGTTTCCGTATCCACATCCGCAACCATCACGTACGAATACAACACAGAAGCTAAAAAATAAGCACGATAAACTTAATGGCAGAGTCAGATTCAAAAAACCGCAGCGAGAATCAAAATGGCGCAAGATTTACATTACCTATAGGCTATGTACAGAGGTTAGGAGTGCAAGTTAACAATCATTAATCAGTCCACTTACAAGTGTATATAAGACCAGGAAGGATAGGTTCATTTCGTTCCTGCGCGGTTTCAACCAAAACCCGCAACGGTCCTTTCGGGCACAATACAGCAATGAGATCTAAATTGTGCAAAACCGTTTTAGGAAAATTTCGAAAACTTTTTCAAAAACTAACGTGTACCCCAGATGGATATTGCAACGAGAAGGGCCCATGTGGTCCAATCAGGGAGATACTTGATGAAAGTCAATGCCATCAGCGCACTAATCACAATCAAATACGCTTGCTGAAGGATTAGCGGGCCAATATAATGGATGCAGATCATGCCCACAATCCCGAAATTCCACATCAAAATGGCAAACGTAATATAATCCATGGGAATGTTATACGTCCGCAGTAGTTCGTTCATGTAAATGTACGTGAACATAAACAACAACATAAACGAGGACAAAATCAACCATCCGTGGATCACCTGGTAAATACATTTTGTAAATAACTAAATCCATTCCACTTTATTTAACACAGCGTCCCACCTTGTAGAAACGGTATTTATACAGCAGAATTAGAACAATCGTCATAACAATGATCACTCCCAACATGATGGCTGCATTGGCCAGAGCGTTCCACGATTTGGATGTGTAGCTGGCATCCTGCTCGTGGAATGGTGTATATGGCCTATCGGGAAAGATGAATAATTTCCCGATATTATAACGGCGAATGGCGTTATGTTTTGCGTTGTATTTCATGCTTACAGATAAACACCTTTCTCAGTGTAATAACTGAGAGACGCGACGGTGGCCACGACGACCGCCATGCATAGTGTGACAGGCACAAAGAGCTTGATCACATGCTCGGCGCCGTACTTCAACTCTTCTTCCTCCTGTTCATCAAGGGCGGCCGCGTCTTCAGCAGCAGCGCGTGCTTCGTCTGCGCGGCGACGCGCCGTGTTGGGTGTGCCACCTGTGGATGGAGGGCCATGCTGATGACGAGCGGCTCGATTAGCGCCCTGAAAACCATTCTAATTCTAGCATATGGTGGATCAACGATAAATTCTGCTTAATCTCAGCCATAAAATTAACGCCACAAAAACGAGTTTTCTATAGAAAAAATATTTATACAGTAATTCAATCGTTCTACTTTGCAGGCGCGTAGACCAACCATAATTACAATTTCTGCATAGATCTTTGTCTTCTGTTTCTTAAGGGTGATAGCAGAGAAATACGGAAAATTTGAACGATGTTAATTCTTACCCGATCACGAGGTGGTAACGGTGGAATGGCATCAGTGCTCGATTCGGGGAATGCGTGGGCATTCCTGGTGTCGGTTGGCAGCTGCGCAAGCGTTCTATCGTCCGCGTCGTCCTGATCGACCATAATGGGTTCGAGATCAGAAGACTCTCCTCCACCTAGAAAGCGTCTTCTAAAACGATTCCCTTGGACTGTTAGAGGGACGTTACTCCATGCGCTCCTGCTCTGGGCCTGTGTAAGCACAAACTGAGGGTATTCAGTACAGCGCAGTGCAGTGTGTGATGTGACCCAAGCGCGCTTATAGGTGTAATGGGAAGTGGAATTAATAGGTACCTCTCCGTCGTTTGAAGAGGTGCAACAATCTCTCTCACCCGTAAACAAAAATAATCAATACGATAGCTATCAAGTGAAACCGTAATAGGCGGTCTTGTGCTATAGAACTACAAATGACGGACAACACGAACTCAAAATCGCCAAAACATTATTGAAACAAATAAAATATTCAGCAATACAACAAAATATGCGAAAATAATGAAGAGTAGAGCAGGGAAGTGTTAGGTGGCGTTAGTGCACAATGCACATGCAACTGCATGTGGCTGGCGCTGGCACAAAATGACCGAAGCGAAGCCGGAAACTGCAGAATTATGCGAGTACATACTTATGGCTGGAGTTGTTGAAAGTTATTATTAGTAAATAATGTTTTAATCGTTAGTTAATACTAAATACTCGTATCAGCATAAATTAACAGTATAATTTTTGCAGCTGACTTTAATGGTTGAACCATCATCCATGTATGTATCTTTCACAATACAGTAGTATTCTGTGCGCTTGTACAATCGTATTACTGCAAATCTCGTTTAAATTGTCAGTAAACTGCACAAGTGCACATTTTCACGTAATACGAGAGCATGACGAGAGTATTGTACTCCCGCAGTCCTGTTGTTTTGGACTTACCGTTGATTGACTTTCACATAAAGGATCCGCAGCATCCATCGGCAGATAGTACAATAATCGACGACTGCCGAGGATAATTTTAATATAGATATAGCGTCTGCAGCGGTCTGCTGAAGAATTCCGGATACACCAGGAAGTGCAAAGATTTAAAATAATGAGGCAGTTAGTAATTTCTATGCACAAGACAAAATCTAAAGTCTGTTAAAACAAAATTTTATCCACAGTAAATAATAATTACTTAATAAGAGGGACTGTTAATATTACGCATGATCACAGTTTAAACATAATTATAGTTAACTAACAAGTCTTCAGTTCATTATTATTCTATGCAGTATGCTGCATGCATTGTCTATACCCCGCGATGTCAGTAATCTTGTAAACACAGTAATCTTCCAAATAGTAAACTTACTTAATTTCAACAGCAATTATACACAGGCTGCTCACATAAAATTGCAACCTGGTATGAGGTGTGTACTGCGTACAAACTTCAAACAAAAAAGGATATGCTGTTTTGCAAACAATCAAGTTGCAAAACCCGATGATTGTAGAGTAGCCGAGTTTGCAACTTTGCTATAACGTTTGCAACTATGCCATAAAGTTTTATGATCATGTGCATTGTGCAGCTGCACCGTTTTTCAGCCTGCAGTTATAAACCATGTTATGGCATTTCATCTTCTAGCGAAATTGATTAGTTTTGGCTAGCGATAAAAAAGATTTTCGCTTATTATTATGTGTTGTCGGTACCCACAATGAATTATCAGCTCGTCCTTACCGATTGCATTTCCTATTGGTAAACAGTGAAAACACTACATATGCAGTGGGGTTGGTCAAGGATTAGTCAGTCAGCCATTCGCAACAGTCCAGAATTTCCAGTTGCAAATTTGCCGGTGGCACGGGTTGCATGACTTGCATCTCCATGCATAAAAAACGAATATCGCGCAGATAAATACAGCATGCATTTGCTAACGAGTTGCTGACTATGCAACAAACTGTCAAACAGCATTAGATATACTTTTAGTCGAAAGTTAGTGATAACTAAAAGATACTTAATTATGCTACGGTAATTATGATAAAACGTTGGGTTATTAAGTATTGTACGTAAGTACAGTATTGTTTTCTGTGATGGGAATCTCTTTGCGTCGGCATGATTTGTCTGTACTCACTACTCACGAGTCAATACTCATACGCCTATACTCGCATGACTGCTCCCGTATTTAAAAATCCAGCTAACCATTTAATTCAAATATTTCGATCGGCATATTTTCTGGCTTGTAGCTTAGTTCATCAGGCATGAAATCTTGAGTTTTGCTTTCATTGGCTTTTAGCATTAAAAGATTTTTAGTTCCAATCGTCACTGCTGTACAGTTTAGAAAGTTTAGCAAATTTACCACAGAAGTGAACTGTGCTGCTTATGGATGTGGAAATTACAACTGGATCCAAAATATGCTGGACTATGTATGACATGTTACTGTTGAGGCACTGAACTGCCTAAGCAGTAAGCAGCTTCGATTTATTCATGGGTTCGTTCTGGTTGAACTGCTGACGTTCTTGCATTCGGTCTACAATCAGCCATGGAGAACTTGGCCGGTGTTATAAAGTTTGCGTCTGACAATCTCAGCGCCGATGAGGTTCGCAGTCTTTTTTGCTGTGTATCTGTACAACCGTACGATATCGTGAGAGATCTGATCATGCTGTTGTGTATCAGAATTTAATGGATTTTTTTGCAGCAAGAAAAGCCCTACATCCCAGTGTTCTGCGATGTATCCTTGAAAACACTGGCGGAATTCATGCTGGATCGATGGAAGATGAAAGTGCCCGATGTGATGATCAGCATTGTAACGGGAGTCTTCCACCACAAACACTGGCCGGATGATTATGTTATCGCGTTCCAGAACGGATTGACCAAGGTTTGGCTGAGGTGATTGTAGTGGCTGTTGCGCCGAAGATGGTCTGATACCATTTTCCTTGATTAGCTGATGAATACGTCGAATGCGTGGATTCTGACCCACGGATTTCATGCGGGGATTGTGAAGCTGCTGGGAGAAGCAGTGCGCGATGAGCAGGACAAACGGACGGTTTACAAGAGCAAAGCATTCCGCCGCTACAACAAAAGGGTCTCGCAGATCACTCTCATCGGGATTGTCACGGATAGTCTAGTCAATGAGCTGGAGGCCTTTCGCTCGGGTAGTGAAGGAGGAACAGGGGTTAGTGAAATTAGGTATTTTTCGGGCGGAGCTGTTTTGTGGGTGAATTTGTCGCTTTTAAGTATAAGTAGACTTGCCAGTTATTTACAGTATTTCTAACAGCTAAACACTTATAACTTCTGAATGCATTTGCTACTTTAATGATGTATTAGTCTGCTTCTTTCATTAATTTTAAACGGTTTTATCATTTTTGTCCATTTAAAATATTGTTAGATCGAAAATGGGAAAAGATATCACATTTTTGCTGTTACGCTAATTACGGCGAATGATTGATAGAGAGTTTGGATGTAATAATTATAGTACAGTGCTCGTTTTTCATTTGCAGGCAAAATTATGTCTTGTGTTTACACTTTACAGCGTCGACGAGTGGAACTGGAGCTGGGTATCGACAAACCCGCGCGCCAGAAGTACAACTTGGATCAGTTCCACACCCACTTTATTATGGTCAACGGTTCGAATAAGCACACGGTGACCACATTTCGCACAGATCTGGAAAGAGAGTTGCAGAGATTTTCTAGTGTGAGGAAGAATTTCGCCAGCGGGGATAAGGATAATTCCTCCGACGACGAAGACAATCACAGCGTTATGCCTGCCCGCAACACGGAAAGCACGGCATCGCGGATGGGTGTTCCACTGGTGGCTTTAATGATCCAAGGCGGGCCCGAAAGTATTCATCACATGTGGAATTATTTGAGGAATCGCACGCCGGTTGTCGTTGTGAAGGGTTCCGGATTAGCTGCTGATTTATTTGCCAATCTTTACGAAGAGGTTGCAAACAGGTATGTATTTGTTTCTAGGTTAATCAAAGGTATCACAGTTCCTCGGAGTTGCAGATTAGATGCTGTACTGTTTTACCTGTTGACTTTCTGACTTGCGCTTTATTTAATGTTTTCTATCGAAATTCGGGATTATGTGTATGTCCTGTGCGTTTTTCGGCTACAGGCACGCAGAGCCGTTTTTCTGGGCTAGTGATTGATGGTTCCTTCCATCATATTATCATCCATGGTTGAGACACAAACCCTTTTGGCTGTGCTCCTCGGATTTCAGTAGATCGAATCTGTAATCTATCGAAGTTTCGGGATTTCCTTGTTGTGTCGCTGCGTACTCACTTTGTGGGACTTGCACTGACATAAGTAATTTTTTAGTTCCGATCTGGAAAAGCATTTGCAGAAGCTGACACCAGAAGTTTTGAAGCGTTTGGAAGTACTTTTTCCCAGGGGGAAACAATGGGAACAAGACGAGAAAACGGAATGTTGCAATAAAATGATTGATTGTATGAGGATGGCATATCAGGATGATCTTAGCTACGTTACCATCCTGGATTTATCCCGTTCGTCGTCGGATTTGGCGGACATTGACTTGTACATACTGCGAGCTATTTTCTCTAGTCAGCAAGCACGAGGTATGTACACTTGTATCTATATACAGCTTCCTAATAGCATCGCAATTTGTGAAGAATTAGTTGCAGCACATTATTTACGTTTTAATCATGCTTGTCTCTTATTGTAACAATGCTTATTACCTTTTCTAGAGATGGACTGGAAAGAGCAGATCAAGCATGATTTACTGTTATGCCTGCAGTGGAATCGGCCTGATTTTGCTCGGGATGAAATAATGCAGCGTCTTGTTAAAATGAAAGTGCGTCGATGCTCGATACTGTGTTTTCATTTTATCGCTGTTTCATAATATTCCGTTCCTTTTTAGATCGATAAGGACGTATTCCAGCTTTCGTTATACTTGAAGAATCGTGAAGATTTTGTTGATCTAATCTTGCATCAAGGTTTCAAAACGCACAAGTTTCTGTCACATAAAGTGTTGATTGATCTGTTCCGGTATGCCGAAGACACACAATTCTTTTCCGTGAATGTTCTGGAGAACCTTTTGGGCTATCCGGCGGGTAAGTGATTTTGAAGCGGGGCAGATAATGGGAAAATCTCAATGTGTGCCACCTGAGCACATTGGGAAATGTTACAGTCCATCCACGTTAAAAGTTTTGTTTAAATTTTTTAGCACAAGTATGCTACAGAATGTTCACGTCACGCTTTTGTAGGCGCTATGATAGGGGAAAGGTTTTTATTGGAAGATCTGAACTGGATTGTTGCCACATTCACGCGAGTGGAAGGATTTGTGAACTCGTACGAACTTTCCACCAACTCGTGTGGGATTTACAGTACCGAGCCGAGTGTTGCAGAAAGAAAAGTAAATTTATTCTGGCATTTCTCCTGACCGGGCATTATTGTGGTTGCGGTATTGTAGGCTCTCAACGCTCTGATTGTGTGGTCGATTTTAATGGGCCGGCAAGAGCTGACTCGAGTTTTTTGGAAATATGTCGAAGATCCGATTCCGATGGCTATCTTTGTGAGCGCCATGTGGCATGGCCTGGCCTCTTTTTGTCGGGAGCCTGAGCTGGAAAACCAAGTTCGTACGTGGTATGATTGAAGTTTCCTTTTATATTTGTCAGCCAAGAATCGTGTCATGTGTGAAATCAATCGCTTTTCAGGGGACGTGATTTTGGCGTCATGGGCATGGGTGTTTTGGGAATGGCCTACAAGGAATCTCTGGATCGCACCTTTCAACTGCTGGATCGAGAATTTCCGGATTTTGGTCGGCGTACTCCTGTTCAGCTGGCATACGATGCGCGGAATAGGTGGGATACGAGTTTGATTAAACGATATTTTAGGTTTTGATAGTGCTAGAAATGAGCGTGCTCACATCGTATACGATCTGTGCTATTTTTTCGCTTTGTGGTGATGCTAATAAGGCTTGTATTTCGCTTTGCTGCATACCCTGCTATAAGAGAAAGCCTTTGTACACGGAAAGAGTTTAAGTTGTGACCTTTGGTTGTAGGTGGTTTCTGGCCCATCCATGTTGTCAAAAATGGATTAATCGACTCTACATGGGCCACATTCAGATTGCTTCTCCTCATCCTGGTTCTCCTCAAATTCCCAATTTCGTTAAAATACTCCTGTCTGCTTTTTTGATATTTCCAATGTTTTTTTGGATCCACTTTCCGTCCATTGACTCGGTTGATGCGCAGAAGAAACGGAAGCATTCCAGAACACAGGACCATAAGATCAGAATTTCCTGGGAAGAAGAAAATAGACTGCTTACTCTCTCTTCTTCTGGTAGCCAGCTAGAAGGATTAGGTATGTGATCGGTTTGTGCACATTGTCCGCGAATAATGCCAGGTTGTACAGAGTCCGCGTCCAATATGGGCTCGAACACGGCTATGGGCCGCAGCCAAGATGACCGTCGCACGTGGTTGATGACGTTACAAGATGATCAAGAGAGAGCAGTGAGAGGCGAAACACGACGCAAATTCTTGAGGCGATTGTTTTTTGGGAATTTAACCGGCAGCTCCGACCAGTTTTCCCTCGTGGAACGCATATATCTGCTGTGGACAGCGCCTATAACCAAATTTTGGACCTTTCAGGTCAGTTACCGAGGGCCATTTATAACTGTTTGAGATTTTTCTTGCATTCTTCAACTTACTTGAATTTTTTGTAATATCTAACATTATATGAAAGAATTTGATTCCGCTTTATCCGATTGAAAAATGCTATCGGTTTTGAAACGGACTACTGTTAAATGTTGTGGTTTTTGCAGTTTTTTTACTGGTTGTACCTGGGATTATTTAGCGTTGTGACTCTGATGCCTGTTTGTTCACATGAAGTTAAACGTCTTTTTGTCGCTCCTAAAAACCCGACCAACATTTCACTGGATCCAGAATATTTGGAGCGTGAGATGGAAGACTCACCGACAGTGTCGTTTATTGATGTGGTGTTATGGTGTTGGACGGCGCTGATCACCGCGGAAACGTTCTATCGCAATTATCGATTAATGAGCACCCGTCATTTTTTCCATTTTATGACCAAAATCATGGAAATGATCTTCATGGTCACGTTCCTGGTTGCTTACTTTACGGTGCGGGTCATTGGACAGCAGCCCAAATTGGTTACAGCATTTGCTGCTCGTTTATTGATGTGCGTCGGTAAGAGACGAACATGGACTGGACGGGAATTTTGCTGCACAGTTTGCTTACTTACGTTGTTTGATCACTTGCAGGTCTAATATATTTTTCTTATCGATTGATTGGGATTTTCTTCCCGATCTCGGATACCCTTGGCCCAATGTTAGTGCGGATTAAATTTATGATTGGGACGGATTTTGTGGATTATATGAAATTAATTGCACCTTTTCTAATCGCAGGAGGTGAGTTGTCCCTCAGTTGTCAGATATTTAGAGAAACAATTTTTTGCGTCATTTCGCTATAGTTGTTCAGTATTAATACTGTAAACACGCAGTACATTTTCTGGAATTTTAGGAGTTACTTGTCAAGCGATTCTTTTTCCGGATATGCCCTTATCACGAGAAGTCTTTCGGATAACTTTTCATCGTGCTTTCTTTAGTCAGTTCATGATCCAACCGATTTCTGAACTTGCTTTGTAAGGATCTATTTTTTTGTTTTGGTTTTTGCTCGATAATTCTTAATTTTGTTGTCTTGATAGTACCGAAACTTGCGAAGCCAAAAGGTTAAACCGAAATGAAGCGGCTTATTGTCATGCCGGTGATTATAAAGATCCCGCGTGTGCTACGGTGGGATTCTGGGGATATATGACCGTCATCCACTACATGGTCATCTTAAAACTGGTCTTGGCCACTCTTCTTTATGCTCTTTTTACGTACGTATGTGTGTTTGCTTTTTCTAGAGTTGAGAAAAAGAAATTTTAAAATTCTGTCTGGGGCATTTCGCTTAGTTGCTGTATTCCCGTAGTGCTACACAGCTGCGGTATGAATCGGAGGCCGATGCCATATGGAAATTTGAACGCTACAGTGTCGTAATGGAATTTGCAACACGTCCAGCTGTATCGCCACCCTTTAGCATCCTGTACTACATCTTCTACGCTGTTCGGAGACTGATTCGGTTCATAAGGCAGAAATGTGTCAGAAGCGATTCACCAAAGGTACAACCGTCCTCCAGTGGCAGTTGTGAAATAATGGTTGGCTGGCATTATCACAGCGTGTTCATTTGCTTTTTGTGCATATTAAGAGAATGAAATCCGTGCAAATGAAAGCTCGAAGAGCCGTTCGCCATGACGATTTTCATTACTGGAAGGGTCTGGTTAGAGAATACTTCCGGGAGGAAGAGAGAAATAAGCGGGAAGCCGCAGCACCACAACGGACACTTGATAAGTATGCAGGCAGTTTCCCACTGTTTTGTTTTGCTACTTTCACTTACAGCAAAAGCTGTCATTTTTTAATAATTTCAAAACCTTTGCAGGGTCGTGCAGATTTACGAAGCGCTGCACGCACATGCCGGTGATCTTAAACAGATGAAAGAGCGACTCGGCGATTTAGAAGCAATTGTTGGCAAATTTCAAAATGCCTCATACATCTCGCCGGGAAGTTCGGCTTGATACTGTACCTTACCGGATGCGAGATTGACTTGAAGTATACTTTTGTTTATTGTTGTCTACTGAGAACGTTTTAAAACCGTTTTGGACCCAGTGAAGGGTTATTTATTTTTCTTTTGTAATCATGACATTTGATGGCTGTTTTAATTGTGGCTGTTTTATCAGTTATCATATTTGTCATTGAATCTCATAATTTTCTTCGTTTTGATAAACGTTGGAACCGTGTATTTTATTACTGTAGTGTTTGTTAATGTTCTTGTTGCGGTATGAGCATACACAATGCTGTACAAAAAGGTGCGCCGCAGTACAAAGTATACTACTCGTGGCAAATAAACTTTGGTTAAACCTTTAGGTTGCTTTATTTGCCAGATATAAACGATGCATTGTTTGCTTAATATATTATTCGGAACACTTTGTATGCAAAGGCTGCACACCGGGAATAACGGAATAGGAAAACCGATACATAAAATTGCGAAGTTTACTTAAAATTTGAATTTCATTGTTGTCTGTGTGTCGCTACTCTGCCAGATTATACGAAAAATGATTAAATTTTACATTGTGGACTCATGGTAGGAATGGAAGCATTCTCATGAATTTTTCGAACAGACATGCGTCGATATCATAAAGGCTGCAAATTAATAAATGCGTTCAGTTTAAAACATGTTAATATTATTTTGGCGGAACCCAAAACGTCGATTTTTTCCTAATAGTAAGTCAAAATGTTAGATTGTGTGTAATTAACGGCCGAACCGGCACGCAATGCAACATTAATGGTTCATAGATATTGCATAGTACAGTGACTGCATAAACGATTTCCCGGATAAAGCCGGTGGGTAGTGCTGCTCATCGGAAATAGTCAATAGCGGCTGGTTAGTGTACCTGGCGTGTGGGACTGCCATGTTCTGGGTGGTGCAGTAATCGATCTATCAATCCCCTCCGCGGTCCCACTTGACATCACCATCGCCAGTTTACACCACACTGCCGCTACCAACATGTTGTCGCCATGATAGAGTTGTATTTTCATAGATGAATTACTTCGCCAGTTATACATTACTTTACGCAGATATATAAATATACGCACAATTTGCTTAGCGTCTACGTTGTATTAGGTATCCATATCTTTCTCGGGTCGTATCAGTGCTGTGCTTTGCCAAACCTGATTTGGCTCGTACGTGCGCCGGTAGCTGTACTTGTGGCAAACCCGTTCAGGTACGCCACTGACCGATACATAGGTACGTGTGCAGTTTTAACCGCTTTGTGCGTTGATGGATTCTCCTGGCTGCGTTTGTATACGATACATCTATCAACGTGGGTGATTCATTACGACAGAAATGCTATGAACGTCTGGATCTTCGCTTCGTTAATCCGATATCGCGTTCGATAGTGCAGTATTCCATTTTTTTGCCAAAGATGCTGGTGTAGATCTCTTTAGAATTGTCTGCGGAATTTGTACGAAACAATAATGTTTTGGACAATGCAGTGGCCGCTCTGCTCAGTTTTGGCTGTAATCGGTTGGCTTCCGTTCGGATATGCTCTCATACCAAATTCAGGTGGGTTCTGTGGGTGGCTGCATGTACTCGGAAACGAAGCAGAAAAATATCGATGGTTTAATTCACCATGAATTCGCGATTTTATTTTAATAATTCGTTCACATATGTACTTTAGTTGTTTTTAATACACCCACGATTCACGTTGTTGAATAAGCCGGTAAAATTTAGTTAAAATATTACTACTGTGCTGAGTTTTACCTTGAAAAAAATGGGAACGAAAATCATTTTACGGTAGACAGCCTTCGACGGTGTTAACGTAAGATGTTTTGTACTGTAACTGCGGTGACGCTTCATGCGTATGCCAGCGTCATTTACTGCGTGAGAAAATTAATATCATGATGTTGTAGGTTTCGCCGAATCTAGAAACTATGCAAAATTAGCATAAAGTAAGTAGGATATATGTAATCCCACAAGAAACAAATTATGATCCATAACGCAAATTACAAAGATATCAGTTTTGAAGTGAATATAAGATTTAGAAACGTACAGGCCAAGAGAAAACACATTTGTAATTATTTCTAGACAAGATGTCTACTCGTAGTAGAATCCTGACTATGGCATGATAATCCGGAGAGCAGCCAGCGGGAAGCGGCTTTCGTTAAATCTCCTTACTTTACGTGATTGCGCCATTATTCTTATCTGAAATTGGCGAAGTAACGGGAGCGCTGAGACGCTTGAGCCGGCGACAGGCGGAAGTTGGTCGATAGGAGTTTCAGTTTCGCACCCCGTACTTGAATGGCGCGATTCAAGTGCTTCTTTCACACTAAATCGATCATGTGTCTATTCAAAATTTTCCGGACATTTCTGGTTATTATGTTCCTCGGGCTTTTGTCAACACAGGAAATTTGGTGTAATATTTGTTTGATCAGGGATCCCATGTACTGCATACAGTACTTACGGTGCTCTTCTCTTTCCGGCGATACCGTGCACTAGCTGGTCACAGCAGTGCCGAAGCTCAGTCTTGTTATCGATTCCCGTTCGCCTACGTATAGTTTCTATGACATGTGTAATTAAATTTATGTTTTGGTTAAAAATATGGTAAAATTGATGAGCTGAACAAAAATATTTTGACAACTGTGCAGCACAGCAAGACTTGACTATGAGAACGGAACACTGCGTTGTAGGCTGTACAGTGTAGACATCTGTACAATTCGGAAGGCACCCAACTCAGCAAAATTAACAGAGAATATTAAACAGATCTGTTTTATAACATTTTTCTCGTCGTCGGTAATTTTCATTTGTATTTTAACAAAATGCATGAAATTATGGTCTGATAAGATAAGCAAGAAAATGTTAGACACTGCATTTATGATCGCTTTGATCGGTGGTCAGGAAATCAATCAGTAAAAGAGCGACTTGTGACACCCTGAGACTTCCCTAAGACTTACCATTAGTATATTTTATATAATGTTATAATAAGATTTAGTTCGTAAATATGAAGTTCGGCGCAATGCTGTGCCCGCTCCACTACAGTAAGCATCTTTTACTGCAAACCGGTTTGCTCTTGGTAGAAATTTACTTATCGTTCAGGCGTGGTAACCGCAAACCGAATGTACTCTGTGTGAAAGTCAAAATTTGTAGTTGTCTCGTTCGCTTAACGCACGCTTTGAGAAGCAGGTGCCATAACAAAAACACCATTATCAAGGGAAGTATAAGTAACAAATCTCTGATATCTGCTCGTATCTGTACTTGTAAACCAACAACGATGAATATCTAAAGAAATATATAAAATGTTGGAAATCGATAACTGCAAGTATTGTTTTATTACCGATCGAGTATCCAGACCTTTCCATATCTTGATATACATATTTTAATTTCTCCACTATCTTTCTTGCCTTCGTTTAACTAATAAACAGTGTTTACTTAAGATTATTTGTGACCTTCAATGCTTTTTTTAAACAGATGACAAACGAGCGCCAACAGTGGAATCCTTTTCTGGGTCATGGATGGCCGAATCTCAGTTGCCAAAGCGATCTCTTTCGAATGAAGAATCTCTGTTCCGGAGTTTGTTTCAAGAGTACAACAAAAATATTCGCGCCAATTACAATACGACGGAATCGTTAAAAGTCGAGCTTGGAATGACCATCAGACGCATTGAATATCTGGTAAGTTGACCTCTTGTCCATCTCATCAACCGTATGGATAATTAATCCGCTTAGTTTTCGTGTTCGCTGTATATTTATTGAGTGTATCAGCGGTTGCAGGTTAAAGTCGTTCAGTTAAACGTTTGAAGTGACCCTTATAAGCACACTTCCGGTGGTTTACGATTAGTGTCTTGCGCCTATATGTGGATACTCAGTTTGCCAAGTGATTGTAATTTCCATTGTTGACTTTTTTATGTTTACTGGAGAATATTGTTTTCATAGGACGAAAAGCGGCAGACACTTTTGTTTCATGCCACAACTCGTATGCGCTGGAAGGATCCCCGCTTGACGTGGGAACCGGCAAAATTTGACCAAGTCCAAAATGTCGCTTATTCATCGTTTGCGCTCTGGATTCCTGATATACAACTAAATAATGAGTATGTTTGGCAAACAAAGCATAAAATAATGCAGACTTCAGCCGATCATGTCATAAGAAGTGTAATATGTTCAACTGGATTATGTTGTCGTGCTTTATTAAATGTGGCAATGTATTCATTAATTATGACAAAGATAAATAATAATTAATCCTTATTGTAAAACTCGTGCGCATTATTCTTGAAGTAGCGATCTGCGTTCCATGACTGCTACAAGTTTAGTTGTTGCGTATCATATAATTATAAGAGCATTTTTATTATTTATAATAATTTTTTATAGAGCTGATGCATTTGGATCGAAAAATTTCGAGCACGTCTTGGCGCATATATACTACGATGGACAAGTGATGCTGTCATCGCCATCTGCATTCAAAATCTACTGTGGAATGGATTTCGGCAAGTGGCCGTATGACGAACAAATGTGCGTAATAGAATTTGAATCCTTCACCAATGACGGCACAATTGTGGATCTGCAAACGATGGGTGGAGATGATCGAGCTATCCAGGTGTCCAATTTCTCCTCTTGCAATGAATGGCGCATTGTGGCGGTCCGAGCGGACAAACAGATTAAATCCTACGAATGCTGTCAGGGGGTAAGTTAGTACAATGAGAATAAAAATTATTTTGCAAAGCACCACCGCCTGTAAATTTCACTGTATCTTGCTTCGAATCTGGTTTGAATTTTGATTAAGGATTGATTAAGGCTGTTGTTTGTGATTTTCAGGCATTTCACAGTGTGTACTTCAGCATCACACTGCAACGGAAAGAGAATTTGTATGGCACGCTGCTGCTTGGACCTCTGATAACCATGTTAATAGCTTCCTGGATCCTGTTCCTGCTGCCTTTTGAAAATTCTGGAAAATTTATTTTTGGCGGTCTGCAGCTGGTTTTTGTGGGTGTGTTTGCCATATTTCTAAAGCATATCTTGCCGCCATCCATCAATCAAGTTCCATATATCGGTAAATATCAAATAATGTGTTATATCTCCACTTATATTGTATACGTAGCACTATGCAAAAATATAATATTTGTGGATGCCTGTGGATACGGTGGAGTGCGCATGTGCAGCATGTATCGCTTTAATTATAATCGAATAGTTTGGTAATACAGATATTACCGTACACGAGCGAAACTGGTATGACTGTTATAAATTTGTAATACAGTATGTGTATGAACAAGTACCGCTTAAACTAATACACATCAAATGAATAAATCTATATGATTTTTCTGACTGATTGCTCACTTTCCGCCCCAGCGTCATTTTAGCTATTTATCAGCAACATGTTCTTCTTAAACGCATAACTGCAGCTAATGCATTGATAGTTATGGTTAGTTATGCCGGCTGTTTTATTTTTCTACTTCATGAAATACTGCATCCGTTTTGCAGCGACGCTGACCTTGAATACGATGGTCCTCATTCTGACGGCGATATTTCTGCAACTACTGCTACAGTGGATATCCCGTTTGAAGTCGCGCATGCCCTCGTCACTGCGCACCTTCCTCCTGGAAGGAATGGGCCGTGCCTGCTGCTTAGTGCCTCTTAGCGGCTACACTAAACCGCCGACCGTTCACGTGTCCACTAGTGAACAGGAAGTGGACCATTTTGAACTGGAAGATGCCAGTGCCTCGATACTATCCGATAAGAACCGACAGGAATGGTCGATTTTAGCCAAATTACTGAACCGTGTGACGTTCGTCATGTACGCTGTTATATCGCTGGTTATGCTGTATTGACATCTGTTTATATACCAAAAGACGCAACAAAGTAGTTATGTATTTAACTGAAGGTTTTTAAGAGAGTATTATATGTCATAGAGGAAAGAAGAAGCATTGTTGAACGACCTAGTCATTTTCTACTTCGGCCTTTGTATTAATTTTGTCAACAGTTTTAATTTTTTTGACAATCTTTGACAGTTTCAATGGGGTGATTGTTAATCAGCTTGTTAAAAAACCCAGCAATTCGGCCGATTTCCGAAGAGCAAAGCGCTTTTTTCACATTATTCCTGTGCAAGAAAATTTAATGGTAAGCACTGCATGTGCTGTAACGGTGACACTGGAATGATAATACTGTAATTTATACCATGGGGGCAATTTTTTTTACGTTAATACTGTATAAGTACTTATATAAACGTGATCATGCGAAGCAGCCCGTATTGCAACTTGGCTGAATAAGTGAATCTAGACTAGATTTTGTCCCACTGGTGCGGCATTGGTAGCAAAACAGAATATTGATATTACTATAATTAAAGATTTTATTGTTGCTTACAATCAGCTGCGATCACAGCTTATAAAATTGTTACACAATAAAAGCCGAAATATTTATAAGCGCTGTTGCGTATTCATCACTCATTTTCTACTCGGTTTTGCTGTGGCTTTCATCTTGTTAACGGTGAAAACAGTTAAAATAAGTTGAGTACTAGTCATGTAATGAGTTTACGGTATGGAATGGGGACATGATTTCGGCGGAGCATGGTTCACTAACACAGCAGCAACTTCCGGTGACCTTTGCGGTTCCGTTTGCTCCTCTTGCTGGATCCACGTCACCACTTCGCCGACCAACTGTTGCAAATGCGCCGCTCGTCGCTTACCGACCTGAAGTACTTCCTCGTGGTTGGGTCCGAATTCGGTGTCATCTTCCACGACTATCAAATTCGTTATCAGACTTATGCCCAGAACGCGCAGTCCACAGTGCCTGGCGACAATTGTTTCCGGGGCGGTTGACATTCCTATTCTCAAAAATAGCAGATTATGTTAATTAGACTGTTTTGCCTAATCAGATGCTAATTAACCGCCGCAGATTACATAGTGTTAATCGCACATCTTTGCCGGAAAAGATAGTAACATTACTTTATATTGTCAAATTAAGAAACATATCTGGACATCAGTATTTATTGTGATGTTGACAAAAAGCTATATCAGATGCTACTCATGATACAAAACCAAGTGAAACTTAGAAACTTGGTTACAGTTTTCGGTAACAGGTGTTAGTATCCTTGCAGTTGAAAATTAAGATGTTTTTTTTTATTTACCACAGCAATCGGCTCCGAGAACCCGCATCGCACGTGCCTGTATTAAAAAGAACAATATATGTAGGACAAATTTGAAGTTGAACTTCGAACGCAAATATTTGAGCCGACGGGCGCCGCGATAAAAGTCCAGCAGAACGTTTGCATAATTTTGCTATATAAACTGACCGCAGCAACAAGTGTACTGTTTGTTATCTGGATACTTACTTCAGCCGGAGTCTCGAAGGTTGGACCGCTCAGCATTGCATATACACCTTGATGAGTGTGGTCTCGTAATCCGATATTCGAAGCGATTTCTTTCACGACCTTTCTGAGTTTAGTGTCGTATGCGGTATTCAGTGGCTGAAATAATTAAAACCGCTATCAATCTTTCTCGTTGCGTGGTTATACTCTTTTTTTCTCTATATAGAGTCTTAATGACCACGTTATACAAATATCTGTCCATACCTGAAATCTTGCTCCCCATCTGTAAGACAAAACACAAAAAATATAGTGGTACAAGTTAAATGTTGAATCATAAATATTGTAGTATTATTTATCATTACAACTAAAGAACTGAAAAAGGATTTGGCAAAACCTTTTAAAGGCATGTAATTAAGCAGCTCAGAAAGTATTCAATATAACGCTGCGGTTGGACGTCTAATGCTTTTTAGAGTAAATATGATAAATCATCATTAGCACGCATGCAGATAATTACTGTCATTTTTCCGTCAATTTTCTTTATTCTCAGGGTTTTCGCCGAGTGCTTTTTTGGCTCACCTTTCGTCGTTCGGCCCCATCAAAGCATTGTTACCAGAAAGTCCCGGAAAATTTATGTGATCTTTTATTATCATCAAATCTCCCACTTTGTAGCTCGGGTTAACACTTCTGTAACATAAAAATCCCAGTAATCTAGACACGATTCATGAAATTTAAAGTTGGTTTTTTTAACATGGTTGAGAATTGCAATTTACCCGGCAGCATTTGTGACAATCAGAGTGTGCACGCCAAGGAGTTTAAATACTCTAACCGGCATTGTCACCTGCAACCAGTGGTCAACAGGATTAGTCTTGCAATACAATAAGATCGCTACAAATTCCTTATCAGTATATTGGCATAGTTCTCATTGTCAAATCACTAAAGTAAAACTTTCTCACCTCTCTCATCTTCCACCCTTCGTAGAAATGAAATCTGCCTTGCATGCACACAACCGCAACTCCGCTTAATTTGCCGAAAATTAGTCTTCCCACATGTCCCGGGACTACGAAGAGAGCATTGCTGTGACCTTCTGATTTACTGTATGTACACTTTATCAGTTTCGTCGGGGGTTGTTATTTATCCTTACCGGTACTAACAGGAAAGTAGGGAATATTTTCGTATTCCACCACATCCCTTTCTTCAATCAGGTCGCCCAGGCCACCCAATCCTGAGCCGCAGATGATAGCAATCCTCGGACGATGTCGTGTCTTCTCCCGCAAGGAGTTGGCAATGGTCTCGTATTCTTCGAAGATGTCTTTGAACCTGCTAACCAGTCTCTATTCATATCTGATTGTGATTTTCATTGCAGGATTGAAAAGAATATTTTTTAATAATAAACAAAAATATATTATGTTGTGTTGCACCAACCTGTTGTACTTACCCGCGTTGTACAAAGTACGGTGCAATACAGTGAATACACTATTGTGTACAGATATATAGCATATCTTTGGGTGTAGTGCACAATACAATAAGTATTATAGTAGACATATATAGTAGACATATATATAGTAGTAGACATATGTATAGTAGACATATATAGTAGACATATATATTATAGTAGACATATTATAGTAGACATATAGCCGGTAGCAAAGTAAAATTTTTGTTTACAGCAATATTAAGCAGTATTTAGATTTTGTAGGATATCAGCATTCCAAATTTTCTTTTTGATTCGTTATTAAATGCTACTGATTGTTATTAATTTATAAAATTTACTTTGCATTTTACAGGTCGTGCATGCATTATGGCTCTTAACACCGAAAAAGTTTAAAAAGACAGATATGTATTATGTATATATTGAGAACCACTTACGAGTCGGGTGACAAATCCTCCATCTTTTGAGCCATTATTGGTACGATTGTAACAAAGGGTTTAAAAAATTAAAAGGAAGCAATAATGGCAATTTGACACTTGCGCCCTTGCAGATTTCTGTAACCACGACGTTGTCCGAGTTGATTGCATAACCACACAAAAGAAGCCCTTCAATGCAGCTTTAAATCAAAATATCATTTCCAAACGTTCTTATGGGGTTTGATCCTGATAAGACTACCGCAGTGTGCCGTTATCAGCAGCGCTGTTGATGATATGATGCGCAATTATAAGATAAGGATATTGCATAGAAAGCTTCAGAGAAGTATAGCAGAGCCCGATAGCATTTGTACGAGTATCTTATCAGATAGCTGACTCGTGCGCGGTTTATTTATGGTCCGATTGGTGCCATTTGGAAATACAGTACCTTGAGTATTTGTGCTTAATGCATCTTTGTGCCTACGATGGCGTTAATACTAAAAATCTGTACATCTTAACATTTCGAAATACTTCTAATCTCTTAATTAGGCACAGAAAATAGTTTACTAAAGCTACTACCTAATCCTGAATTCACTGCCAAATTTTCTTGATGGCTTCACACTTGAAAGATATTTCAAGGTAGTTAATTTTGTTTTATCGAGTTACCACATTGAAATAGCACTGAAACAACAAAGCAACATATAAAAAGTATTTTATAAATAATAGCAATTACCTTGACAGGTGCAGCACAATCCAGTTCGCACTTTGTTTACACTTGCAATTTAAACTGACTAGTTACAGTAACTCAGACGAATTAATTAACGGCTAACAAACGAATTAATTAATGTACAATACATTATCCTAACTTTTAAAACTGGTGCGGAATTATGTAACGGAACTGCCTTCAATAATATTATAAAAATACTGAACCCAAATAACATCTTCTTAATACTTTTATAAGCCATAATCGGAGATGCAAGAACGATGTACGTATCCAGCTTTCGCGGGGAAGAATTCCAATAAGGAAAACCGCGAACTCTGCATACACAATCTCCCGCACAGTACCGAACATCACTATTCAATACTGATTCGAAATCACAATTGCATTAAGTAAACGAAAGGACACCTGACAAGTTTCTCATTGCCAGTAAACCTGGAAAACTAATGCGTCTTAATCGCTTTTTTCCGTTTTCAGAACCGCAACTGCCGGTTCGGCCAGCGATCGCCTTTTCTCCATTGGGATTTCTTTCTTATTTTTGGCGGCAAAAATCAGCGCCGCCACCCAGAACCATCCGGACAGTGCGTACAGTACTTCTCCCACGGTGACCGCCCGCTCCGAGAAGCCGAAATCCTTCCGCGCTAGTACCCAACAGATACCGCAGCGTGCAATTTCCGCCACCGGTATCCACCAGCGATCATCCAGCAGCGAGCCCAGATTGCCGGCCGTCACAAAGATACACGCACAGGCAATCCACACCGTAGGAATATCCCACTGCTCGTAATTCTGGGCGCAGTGGTCGAAGAAATACAGCAGCGCCAGCGTGTGGACAACACAGTAGGCGCTCTTCCATTTGGAGATCTTCACATCGTACACCATGGCCGGATGCTTGATGTCGGGCAGTGTAGCGGGGTCACCGAGACGCGGCGTACCCGGCATCCATCCCGGACCCATGAACAGTGACATCATTTTGTGCTTCAGTGTCTTGTAGTTCATGCATTTCATGATGTTTTCGGTGTAGTAGTTAATCTGCACCCACATGCCGTTGAAGTTGGCGATCGGCGTCAGAATGCCATACACGACCGGCTCATCGGGATGTTCCGGCTCGAAGGTGCCAAACATTTTATCCCTGAGAAAGGTATTTAGTTCTTTTCGCGTTATTAGTCATGTAATAGTGTCGCGTTAAACAAACACTTAATTACCTTTCGCGCAAGAAATTATGCTAATTTTTTCATATTATTTGTATTTGTATAATTTCTTAGACGCACCAGATAATTAAAGCTCCGGCATAGTTCTTGTCGATGCAGTAGCGGTTCCGCCCATGGTGGACACGATGATGGCTGGGTGTGTTGAGAATCAGTTCCAGTGGACCCATGCTCCTGTGAAAAGTGAAAACGTAAGTACAAATGCACCGGCGCATAATTTTTTCGTCAGCAGGCGCAACGTAGCTATGATGTCCAACTTACTTGATTACAGTTGTGTGGATGTAGAATTGATACCTGAGAATGAAATACGGTTTATAAAAACCATAGCGACAGCTGAGGAATAGCTGCCAGATACAATGTGTTAACTTGGATGTGAATCAGATGAGCAACAGGTGTGAAACCAAAGAATGCCATGGGAAGATACACAATCCATGCGTATATTGCTCCGAACGCGCTTTGTCGTAAGGCTGTCGTGAGATTGTACTCCTGTTTATGCAAAACGCACTCTTTTTTAGATGCCAAACGCATTCTTTAAACTGATTATTAGATGATCAAGGACTACGATATTTTCTGATACTGCAGTCGTGCTAATTATGTATTAATACGTAGAGCAGGCGTGTTATGTATCAATAAATTTTCATTAGGATGTCCATACCTCAGAGCTGTGGTGAGTCTGGTGACTTGCCCAAAGGATGCTAACCTCTGCAAAAATGTTGCACCTTTTAAGGGAACTCTAGAGTTATAATTAAATAAGCTCAAACTATGTTGATTAAATACACATCAGGTGTTATTAGTAAAACTAAAGCTAAACAAAATACCGTGGTTCAATCTGTGTAGCCAGTAATAAGCCAAATCGGCTGCCAAAGCCGCTAGAATCCAACCGGTCCAACTTTTCAGCGGGATCGTCCATAATCTCCAATTGTCGAAGATGTATACGTAAACGATCAGGTCCACTCCACGAAGAAGAAACCTTGACAAATTTTAACCGGCTTTAAGCAAGCTGCACTTGTACAACTACACAATAAAAATCACCTAATAAATAGTTTGCCAAAAAATCAATATCAGAGGCAAACGAATTGTATATATACTTACGATTAATAGAGTAGGTAAAACAAAAACACACACGCACAGCCGATAGACGTGCTGATGAATATGCTATCGTTTTTTCCCATCTTACTTGACGCTCTGGGAAACAATTCCGGCGGTCATCGAGACCTGCAATGAGCAAAAGATAAGTACGCGGTACAAACATGATAATCTATATTATCACTACTGCACCAAAAAATACCAGAAACAGATTAATACTTCACAAAAGCAACTGTGGTCAACGTTAACCATAATATATAGAGTAGTATTCAAAGACAAAGCTGCAGTGAGTGCAGGACTTACAATGCTGTCATTTATGCGAAATCCTTTTCCTGTGTAGTAGTACTTCACAGCCAGTTCGATCAAAATCATTCCCATGAATACGAAGATCACCTGAAAGAAAATGGGTACACAGGTATGTATTGATGTATCAAAACCACAAAACGTAAGCCTCATTTGATTACGGTATAGCACCTAACTACGTGTATAGATATTATATCTATATACTGACATACTGTCACTCTAGAAACAGCTACTCGTAGTTACTTGTACATGGTAACATCGCGTAGTGTTATATGGCCGGAAAAATTTTAATACGGTTTTCTGGCCAAAACACATACAGTATTTTTAGCATTTGTTGACAGTGTTATTTGGATAACTAATTTGCAATCGCAGAAACGTTCAGTTACCAATTTACCCTGTTGTATCAGATTTACCTGATTGGCATAATTTGGTATTTTTTCGACATCCTTAGGATCAAGATCGGGAATTTCACTAGGATGAATAAGATAGAACATTAGCCGCCAGTTAAAGAGCGGGAAAATCTCCGTCCCATTTCCGGTAGCATTCGCAATATTGTGAACGTCTGCAGTCATATTTGGATATTTGAATTAAGAATCCTATCCCCGTAAGAGGATCAAGCACTATCCACAGCAACTGACTGCCGAAATTTAATGATTGCACACAGCCAAATGCAGCTAGTACAGTGCCTATTTCGCGCTGGATTAAAAACGCAAAAACCAAAATGCAAACAGATTACCAGCTGTTGCGGTACGCCAGCCACATTAGTTTATCACAGTAGCAGCAGGTTGCAACCCTGATTGACATCATATGGTGGAAACAGGTTTTGTGGATAAAGTATGCAGCATGGCATGATTACACTTAACAAATGATCCATCGAAATGATAACAAAGAAGCAAGGTCCATACACAATTTGACAGATTGTCTTGATATCTTAACCTGCAAATATTTTCATTATTTTCGTAATGAGAGCATAATGAATCGCGTGGCGTGTTATCTAGCAGTATCACAAGCTTTGCCGATACTGCACTAAGACAAAAAAGACGACGTGATATCGCATAAACTACATCCTAATCATATTATTGCAGCAAGAAGATACAAACCGGAATCCGTACACAAATAAATGTAATACAAGTGAACACTAATATTGAGAATCGAACATATCTTAAAAATTGAATGCTTTACAAAGATAAACTAAAAAAATTACCCGCGCAGCTCAGGAATACATGAGGAAATACAAATGCCGCTACACGCGTGAAAAAATCAAAAGACTCAATAAATCAGTCATTATTAATGGAAAGGAACATGTCAGATTATTTCTTACAAGGAAAAACTTGAGGATTAAACAGTATTTAATTAAAAAACAACTTTATTTTGGCCGAAATAGATTTGCGGCAGACCGGGCAGTCATGCAGTGTTCGTGAGCAGTTGCTGCAGCTCAAATGTCCACATGACTGAAAGGCCACGTCAACATTTTTATCCAGGCAAATTTTACAGTGCCGCTCCTCGCACACCCGCCGATGCTCTTGCTGTAGTGCTAGAAGGAATAAAAAAATGCGATTTTCAGTAGGTGATATTAATTAATTGATTATTTGAGACAACAAACCTTGCAGTTTTCGTTCCAACTCCAGTACCTTATTATGCATTTTTGTTACATCGCTTGCCTGCAACGAAACAAAAGGAAATAATATTAACAATAACGAAATAATATTAAAGGCATAGTCAACCATTTCTTAAAAAGTGGGCCAGTAAGGGCACGGTAACGTACTTGTCCCTTTTCCGCATCCAGTCTACCGAGACCGATAGGCTGATACATGAAAATATAACAATCCTCGCATATAGTCCGCACAGATTCGGGGGGTTGAAGATGGCGTTCCAAATATTCCATTAACCGCTTATGGCCGAACTCCAGATCCAAGTATTCATTAAAGTCCGGGCAGGCACGAATCTCAGGAATATTAGAGCCACAAGCACCTTCCCCGCACTCTCGATCGGCCATGGAGTCCATGAGATACCACAAACTGTTGCCATCTTTGGCATAGGAAACGTAAATATTATTACTGGCCTTGATGCATACAACAGCAAACAATTCCATGCGCACTTGTTCTTGTGGCAGCAGTGCCAAAGTGGTCTGAATCTTATAAGGCTTGTGCTTGGGATAGCGCTGATGGCGTTTAGCGGAGCACTTCTTACAAAAAGCCATTGTGCTCAGTGCCGAACGAGTCTCGCCCTCCAAATGCATCCAGTTATAGCACTCCTTGCATTCGAATTCCGCTTCTTTTTCCTGACAGAACGAGCACTGTCGAGGATAGCCGGCAATCGCATCGGTGATATCCAAGACTGCGCTGGGATAAATGTAGCGGTACATTTTGTACTCTGTTCCCGAGCGCGGGGCCAGGAGCAGCAGACATTTAGGCACCTGTGTAAGCAAGAACGACAATGAGACCGGCACCGTTTCAGTTAGTAGTTTCCCCGTTCCCCGTCAGGAAACCAGTTTCCCCGCTTCGCATCTGGTGATACCGTGGAACATAAAATATAAGACTAAAACAGACAAACAAAAACACTGGACAGACCTCTTTAAAGCGAACGCTGGAAGTCACCAAAGATCCGTCGAATAGTTGCTGCACAGTGGGGATGAGGTGCATCTGGTCCTTTTCAACAAAAAGTGTGTACCAGTTACAATCGCCCGTTGTTAACTTTAACAAAGGGTCAATTTTAAGGATTTGCTGGAACAACGACGTCAAAAACTCCTCCGGATCACGCTCTTCATCGGTCAATCCGGTTACATTTCCGAACTCATCCATCAGTTCCCGCAGTCGCATTACATCTACACACGGCACATACATGGTGTTCCGAAGTGGACTGACAATTCCTTCACGGAGAGCGCACTATGAAGTATGCACAACAGACGCTAAAATACCAATGCAACAGGACCTTCTGCAACACCCGTCTGCAGCGTTCTGACTGTTCAGTGAGCCAAAATAGTTTACCTGGACTTCGTCATAACCATGGATGTCGCGCTTTCTTCTAGGCCGGTGCAAAATCTCGTCGAAGACATCAGTAAATGCAAACATACTGAATAAGGTGGCGTCCACATAGCAGGAATTTCTGTGGCCTTGGATACCACGTGCTCTACCACTGCAGATCCGGTCATCGATGCGACGCAAAGAAGCTGGGTGTAACTGCGGCACCGGATGCGATGGTTTTGAATTTAATCGAGGATTTGGTCCAGACGACGGCTTCGAGACATCCTGGCTTGATAAAGAAGAAACTGCAGCGGGCTGTACTGAGCGCTTAGATGCATCGGCCGCATTTTCCAACGAAGGCAATCCTGCGTGAGAATTTTGGGGTGGTCTATTTGCACATTCACTGTAAGAGGGTTTCTTCACTATCTGCGGCTGTACTCTTAAAGGGCAGGATTGTGCGTGAGCCCGCTCCTGGGCTTCCTCATAGGCTAACAAAGATATTACAGGAACAATAGCAGCATGGTTCGGTGGGGTTACAAAAATCTGATCTCCATTGAATTGTCCTGTTCCACTACCAACTGGTTTATCCTAGGAGATGCAAATACGTACTGAAATTTTATTTTCTCAAAATTGATAAAACTTAGCAAAGCATTAAGTCCAGTGCGCTACATTAAGACAACTCACGAACTGAATCCCTGCGTATAAATCGCTTCCAGGTTCTTTTGAAAGCCAGCCGATCCATCTGACTGTGGCAATTTCCGGGTCGCCCTTATCCTGCAGGAAACAAACCCGGTCATTCAACTTAAACGGCACACAATCAACCGAAGGATTCGCAGGCACCGCTCCGGAACTCTGGAATACAGGCGGCGAAGGGATACTTGTCGAGGCTTTAGGCGCCAGATTAGAATTAACGAAAACTTGGCTTCTGGAAAATTCCGAACGAGGAGACTGGCTTCCTTTATGGAATCCGATCGCATTGGCTGCAACATTAACGGCACCGTGCAACAGGTTTACGATACTTTTCGACTCCGTGGGAGACTGTCCTCGTTTTCCAGGCGAATTTCCACCGAGGGCGAGAGCATTGGTATTGCACTGCGGCGAAGGATTCTGTGGTGAACGCTCCCCTATCGCGAGACGAGTACCATCAGAGCTGCTGTTTGATTCGTTCCGCAGAACCACATCGGCCACCGTTACAAACACCGCACAATCTGGATTGCAAGTGAAATAACGTTTTCCGCTAACGGAACCGTCAGAATCGCCCTGGCCAGCATGATGAATCAACCAAACACCGAACCATATTCCCGGCCCCTTTTCTGGCACTAGCCCATGACAGTAAACGACGCCAGGAAATGGCATATTGTCAAAGGAGACAGTCACACCGGTCCCCGGTTCCACCTGCATGAACTCCTCCAGTCGCAGATTTTGACGATGTTCATTCAATAATCCAAGACGTCTCGGCCGATCCACGGGCAACAGCAGTTCCGCCATATAATTGGAAATTTCTCGCACGAATCTCGTATCGGTTTCCATTAACACACTGGCACGATCCAGTGACATAAGAAAAAGTGCTTCTTGTCCAGGCTGGTTGTCATCGGTAGTGCACACCAAATGGAAAAGTTCTCCGGGGAGAACAACTAGCCTGGCTTCCTGTACTGTAGCATCATCGCTGAGAACTCTGGCATGGTTCTTCTCCGTACTAATGAATTTTCGAGGGATTTCCTTGGTTGCCTCATTAAATGCCATTGTTGGTGACAGCTGCGAAATCTGTCTAATGCAGTCAAAATGAAGGCAGCTTAGTGGCCGTTTGACGGAAACCGAAGTTTGAAACAACGTTTGTCATAAAAACATTACTGCAAACCAAAACTTATCGACAAGTCTATAAAGCACGTACTTCCACAAAATTAATAATGATGTTTCATCACCTTCAAAGTTTTCTTGATTAACTGTACCACAGTACCAGTATAAACTCTGTTTAAAGTGTGTACAATAAGTACTTGAACACAAGTAAGTACTATTTGAGTAACTTTTTGCGCAAGCGGATGGTCATTGACCTGTTGACCACATCCAGCAATTTCCAGTGCCACTGGAAAATGGCGCTGGATTTGTGGGATTGGAACAACAAGTAAAGACTTTTCCAAATTCCAGGCGACAGATAAAGGACGACAATTTATTAATAATGTTCATAATTTTTATTAGCGATTCATACTGGAAAAAGTAACAAAAGACTATCAGTTAACGTTAACTACAAAAAAATTAATTGTTTTGTCGACATCGACGTACTAATCACCTTATGCAATTATCTGTATTGCAATTATCTGTATTGCGTGAGTGTAATACCGTATCTTACGCGCGCAATACAGCGGATTTATAACGAGCTTTGCCGGTTTGCCCGCAGTACTGAAACATCTACGATACTCCTAGAGACAGTAATTCATATTTTCTTAATAATGAATAACAAACAGTGACAATGGAATGATTGTTTGTTAGTGTAACATATGACTCGATATGAATCATCTGAGCCAGAAATGATTGATACATACAGCATGATACAGGCAACTGCATTATTTGTGTTTAACTGGGGAGACCGATTTCACAGCCTTTTCGATCATTTTCTTTTTTCTGAGCGCAGTCGATAACCTTTTGCCCATACCCAAGGAAACGACCACTGTAATCCAGTAAACGATCGAAGCAAAATACAGCACAATCGCCGTGTTGCGGACATCCTGAGAAACATCGAACGCTCTAAGAATTCCGAAACCAGCACCACACCGAACAATCTCCGCAGCCGGTATCCACCAGCGATCATCCAGCAGTGACCCCATATGGCCAACCGTGACGAAAACGCACAAACAGGCTAATGCCGCCGTTGCCATACTCCACTGCTCGTAATGCTGGGCACAATGATTGAAAAACCACATCACTGACACGGTGTGGATGACACAGTAGATTTTCTTTCCTGTAGATAGCTTCACGTCGTACACTGGCATCGGTGCTTTGATATCAGGCAACTTGGCGGGATCTCCCAGACGCTGACTTCCTGGTTTCCATCCCGGCCCCATAATCAGGGAACTAATTTTATCCCTAATGGTGTCGTAGTGGGACAATTTTCTAATGGACTCGACGACATAGCCGAATTGGATCCACATGACGTTGAAGGTGTTCACCGGCTGCAGGAGACCGTAGACGATTTGCTCGTTAGGATGTTCCGGCTCGAATGTCCCAAACATCTTATCCCTGTCAAGATGATAATTGATATACTTGTTCACCATCTGTAAGTTTTGCAGCTTATTTCGTATCTATGCACTATGCAGCGATACAATAATTTTGTAATGAGCAGTTTACTTATTATTTTGCATTTAAAACAGAACGGTGATGTTTAGTCTCGTACGGTACAAGTAGCACCCTACATTTAGTGCATCAAAAGTCGGCTTCTGCAGCTGTGGTGTTTTAAAGTTCACATATTTAACAAACTTACCAGATGATTAAAGCGCCCGCATAATTTTTATCGATGCAATATCGATTTCTGCCATGATGCACGCGATGATGACTGGGAGTATTGAGAAATAACTCCAGTGGCCCCATGTTTCTGTGATTCAGGAGCAAGTGACAGATTTGTCAAAATGCTTTAGAGAATACAGTACCGGTTTATGTTTAGCATTACATAATTCGCACTGTGCATTATGGTATTTCCAGCGAACTCACTTTATCATTGTCGTATGAATGAAAAACTGATACCTACAAAACAAAGGTGATTTCCACTGGAAGATTTTAATGTGCTGTAATGCTTACAACTGGTTAATCTGAAAGTGGATAATATGCGCAACAGGTGTGAAGCCGAACACTGCCATCGGAAGGTAGGCAATCCAAGCGTACAGTCCACCAAAGATGCTCTGGCGCTGCGATGTTGTCAAGTTGAACTCCTGCATAAATCAAGCATCTACCGTGGTCTACACAAGTACATAATGATTAATGATGCGATATTTGTTGCACTATTTTAATAACTCTGAGTCTCTAACTGTTAAAATTCTAGATCTACTGGCATCGAGAATACGTTTTTTCTGAAAAAGGTGATAATATTGTTCAGGCGGTCTTATTTTTAGTTTGACTAAACCAGTCTAATTCTTTTCTAAAATATCAATCTGAGCACTTTATTCCTTTTCATGAAATTTCAGAGCATTGAGTAGGTAAATCTCAAGCACCATTTAATGGTAATGCACAAATGTAGTATTTTGTAGAAATACAAATGTAGTATTTTGTAAAATAGTAGAATGTTAATGGCACCAAAAGGATTGTTGATCCATGTTGTACAGTACAGCTAACCTCCGAACTGTGATGCGTCTGATGAGTGGCCCACAAAATGCTGACCTCTGCAAGGCGTGTACAAAAACTAGCAATCAAAAACAAAACCCAGCCAACTGGATGTTAACGACTAACCATGGCTTATCCTGTGCAACCAATAAAAAGATAAATCCGCCAAAAGCGCCGCCGTAATCCAGCCTGACCAGCTACGCAGCGGAATCGTCCACAATCTCCAGTTATCAAATAAATACACATATAGCAATAAATCCGCTCCCCGCACGAGGAATCTGTATATAAAAAGTCAAACGGATCATGCTAGTGGAGGATTAAAAAGTCTTATTTTTCTCACCAATGTGTACCAATTGCTCTGAACACTAAGTTTAACACTTCACTGACAACTTGAACAATTTGTGAAAACTTTTAACGCACAGTGAACCTACTTCGTAGTCATCATGGTCAGTCCAGCAGTTATGGAAGTCTGTATGAGCACAGGAAAGGTCATAATTTTCTTGCCACCATGCACAAATAACGGGCTTTACACGACCGCAGTTATCTGTACGTACGATGCTATCGTTCAAACGGAAGCCCTTTCCCGTATACCAGTATTTTACGACCAGTTCAATTAACAGCATCGCGTAAAATATGGGGGTAGCCTGCAACCAGAACAATGAAAAAATAATAAGCGCGCGGCTAGAGAGATTTTGTATTGCACAGAGAATGAAAAAAGCAAAAACGACCAGCTTTGCGTATTCGCGTGCAATCCTTATATTAACTATACGTTCCATAATGCAAGTACGTGTGTCCAGTTCACGCACACAATCTTCGAAAACATAAAACACAATTACCCTAGATCAGTCTACAAATATTCAAAAACATGCTGTTTTTGTCGACGGCGCACCTGGGCAAAGTAGTTGGGTACACGGCCAAGGTCTTTCGCATCCAGATCCGGAACTTCATTGGGATGTACCAAGTAGAACATCATGCGCCAATTAAAAAGCGGCCCGACTGGATGAATACCATCTATCGGAGCGCTCATATTTGTAGCGTTTATGATAGCACTTGCCGGTCCTGACGGTACATTCAGCTCCATTTCCGCCATGCTAGTTTTTAACCCTTCCGTGTCTCTTTGTACACCACCCTTAATGCAGAAAAGTTCAACTGAATTATAAATTAAGGCATTTTCACTACGAGTAGCAAAAAGGCAGTCGTCACCGGAAAAGCAAGCTTTATATGTTGCCCACCGCGTTGCAAAAATGATGCAGCTGCTGTCAATTAGACTCAATACAAAGTATAAACATCGTTTTATACACATACAGATCTGTATGTGTCTTGAAGTGGTTGGTGTTGAATCGCTGATAAGTACCGGCGTGGACGCGTGATTAAGTATAATTTCACAGGTTTTAGCAATTAACAGCAAAAACGTGATAAGATTATTGTGGACCTGTGGTTACAACAAAGTTCGAGTTTGCACCAGACGGTCCAGACGTGTAATGTGTAATGAATGCCGACTATTCTGAGCCATTTGTATCTAGCAAATCATAAGCAAATTCTTCATTTTAAATATTAGCTAGACTCGAAAGGCACTTTAAATGCGTTCTGTACGATACAGAGCCGGAAGTTCTGTAATTTTTCGATCACACCCCCCTACCTCTGATTGGACGGCCGAGTTAAAGTGTTCTGTATCTAAACGGAACTCTCCTGGCTCCGTTACGATACAGAACTCGCATTCTTGCTAGGCCAAACTTATTTTTGATGTGGATGCACAGTCCGCTGTACGTCTAAGTCGGAGTAAGTCCTATTTTTAATTTTCAAGTTTTGAGGATGTAATTAACGGGAGTTTAATTTTTTCTATCGAATCAAGATTCCAGTTCTGCTTTGTTCACTGCCTCCGACTGTGCATGTTTCAATTTGTATCGTGGCAACAAGCAACTTCGCCATAGCCGTCAGCGCGAGGAATACCTCAGCGTACTTTACGTAATATGGCCTTTCTTTTCACCAGTCGTTTGATTTCTTAACTTAAGCAAAACTTCAGATCGCAGAAAAACAGAAAGGAAACTAGCACAAAATTGTTGTGAAAAATGAATAAATCGTTGACCAATTCAACTACGGTAACTGGGCGCTTTTAGAAACCGTGGTCTCGTTGCTCTGTAACGCTCTATAAGATTCAGCGCTGTACCATTGGTAGATTCACTTATACAGAACTCCCGGCTCTGTATCTTACAGAACACATTTAAAGTGCGTTTCGAGTAGTACTATTAATGGCTTTCCACAAAACACAGCGCGGTCGGATGCATCATCAACTTTTATGCATATGGACTTCTCCTGAGTACGTACGTACAAACTGCAGTAACAAGACAAAATTATAAAGCTATTTGAAAATATATTAATCCCGTCCTCGCGAAAAACATAAACCCTGTGGTGAACTCACAGAAAGATAAAACAAGCCCATAAAAACAATTCGTAAAACATTACGTATGAACTAAAAGTATCACGTACAGTCGGTACAGATAACAAAATAAATCTCAGAAAGTGAAAGAATGTCTAAAACCGAAGATCACACATCTGAAATGAACCGCGGAAACAGAAACAATTATAAAAGAACGGCACCATTAAAATCCAGTTTTAAAAAACAGCTTATTATAAACTATTCTTATTTGAAAATGGCACGGTCGCATCCTGTTACTTTTCACCGCGAGCCACTTCGTCCTGCTCCTCCAGCGTCTTCAACGTCTCCTCGCGCATTTCGGGCTGATCGTCCTGCTCCGTCGGTTGGGGATCCTTCTTCACTCCCCCCGTTTTGTAGTACTCCAGATTGTAGAAGACCCACACGGGAATGGATATCATACCGCAGCACATGAATGTCCCCAAGGCAATCTTTTCCACAAAGGGAATCTGCACTTTCGGAGGAAAAGGTATTACGTGGCCCCAACGCGGATGGATGTCGCGACGGAATAGGCGAAATCCACCTGCAAGGCGCAGTAGCGATGCACTGCGTCCAAGATGCGCCATGACGGGACCGTGGAGCGTGAACGAACCACAGGATCGGTTGGTATACTCAGTGCAAATAACTTTTTAACTGGGTACAGAGTAGGGCACGATCCGATTACAACATTTCTACTGTCAAACACTGCAACAGCCCGCGGTCATCCAACCACCGTACAGATATGATATTCTGAGATAACAGACACTGCTCGAAGCAAAAAAATACTTACAATCACAGACTACATACAGTACCCGCAATTTATTTTGACCTGCAAACAGCAAACCCTAAAAATTAAAAACACCATAAAGTGCTGTCAAACCATTTGGAAAGCCTGATATTCAGTCCAGGACTGCAAAACTTGTAACCGCCTCCCTGTACAGTATGATAGACATATACATTCGACAGAATGTGATATTTATATCTACTTACTCTACGTTTATGAAAAACAAAGTTTTTACGTTTTGTGTAATACGCAAACCAAAATTACCAAATAATTTTTGAAAAAGAGCTATATAGATCTCGCAGTCCGATAAGAAAATGTAAAATATGCAAAGGTTCTAAAGGTAAACGTATTGTCCCTATCAAATAAGATGGTCACGGCGAAGGAATTTTCTCTTCTCTGCTTCAAGGTATACATTTTGTCATTTTCATAATTCAACGAGTCAGTAATTCAATAAAATTTTATTCATTGCTTATGAATTAAAGTTTAAGATCTCGCAAACCTCGTTCGCTTTTTTGTTTGTAGGGTGTTTAATATTATGTCTTATGTCTTGTAACAAATTTAGCTGTTTTAATAAGTACAGTAAAACAGCAGAAGATTTGGACCATTCGGAGTAACGGAGCATAAGTAGTGCACAATACATCTTCTGCAGTGCTTGATCCTACAGCTGTAGAAGCGATGCGCGCCGCGAACGACCGCCAGCATCAAACATAAACGATCTTCCGCAGGATGCATAACGAATCAGACGGCGACCGCTAAACTTCAAATGTAAACAACGTTTTAACAAACATATGCGATCATGTGAAGACGTCATTAAATAATTAGTAGAATAAAGCATTGCGGTTTATAATGCGATTTGGACAACGGTACAACGGTCAGATAATATCGGCTTTCGTGTGTACCTTGTATCGCTCACACACACGCAAACGCATGTAGAAGGAGAGCCATTATTTATGTAGGAATTTATATCTTCGTATAAATGGTCTTTGCGGAATAGCTAACCACAGCAGTACTAGTACTTTCTGTTCAGTAAAATCTTGCTTTTGCGTTAATCGGATTACCCTAAAGGCAAGCAAATTCCATAATTCTGCCTATCGCGCGGCATAAAAATGATCCCGACTGGCATGACCTTGATGACCTGTGGATTTTGTATCTTCCTCTTAATCATCTTTGACTGTAAGTTGCTTTAATGATAACAGCATATGCAGTTGAAAAGCACATTTAAAGAAAATTTTATACATTGCTGCATTATATGTGATTCATTTTTACATCGGGAATTTCAGGAAAACGTTATCATTACAACAACTGGTGTTGTTTTTCGGCGTCAGTTATATTTTATGTTTTCATAAAATTCCAAGATTCATGTACGAAGGTAATTTACAGATTGCCATTCTCTACAATCCAAAGCAATTAATAACACGACGGACTCCGAGCGTCCTTACAAGGGCCGTTTGATAGGCAAACTGAAACAAATTAAAAAAGGAGAACTGCCAAACCAAGCGCCAGCATTCAGAATATCTGGGACATTGTATGCAGTCGACGAGCAGCTGCTTTACATCCATGATTTCGTATACGATGCGGGAATCCCAGGTATATAGATGTATTGGAGGATGTGTTAATTATTATTTGCTCGCAGTATTTCATGCATAAAAGTGATAATACATATTAGAAAGGTAAATTTTTTGGTAGGGTACCGGGTATTTAGAAGTTTTATAAATAACCTATGAATACTAATTATACTATGACTACAGTATTAAGAGATTTATTTACTGCAGCGTTACTGTTTACTGCAGGGATGTTTCTATGGGCCATTTCATACGAAGAGCGAACAAGAAAGGAAAACACCTACATTATTCCTTTCACCAAAGATTGGTAAGCAGTCATATTTTCGTCGACGTCGTCTACATGTATCCGTAAGAGCATAATGTAGTTTAAACATCCGCACAATGCAGTTTTAATCAGGAAAATGTAATAAATTACCTAGTTGTGTACATTCTGCCACGAATCTACAGATGTACCAATTGTTCATCATTAACACACCGCACGACCGTGTTGAATTAAACATCTCTGCATTTTAAGAAATTAAACATCTGAAGTGCAATATTTGGCGGATGACATTGTTTTGAACTTATAGCACCGGTCCCACTTGCACGGCAATACCAGCTGTTTGGGAGGAAAATGTGCTGGTCGCTCTTCCGCGTCAGATTACCTTTGACACAATAACCGAATTCGCTTTGGCCACGAGGAAAAACGATGTAATGGTAAACAATAACGCACACTTCTCCATTAAAAATCCTCGTTCGACAGAATTAGTTCGACAGATTAAGTTGAAAATTTCTGCGAACTTCAATTAAAAACTAGATTGTATTTCAGCTGAGAGCAGGGGATATCTCACTTTGTGTTAAAGTGTGGTAAAATTAACTTAGTAGTACGCCACAATCAAGGAGAAGTACGCATCCATACCGGTTCCGAGCGGTTTCAAATATCCGCGCCCGGTCATCATGCCGACGCGATTGGGTCATTCCGTCATATCCGGTGGAGTGTCATCCCGACAGATAATTGTGCAGGACTCCCGGCGCATTTTCATCGAACAAGTGACCTTTGATGGTTCGGCATCGGATGCGTTCTTCTGGGTGGATCACGGTTCTCTGCCCACGCCCGCCGGCTTCATGGTCCCACCAAATAATGACGAGTGCGTATATAAAAAGCCCTTATTCGTTTATGCAATGATCATTTCCAATGCTCTTTAGAACACCACCGGAACCGCTGCCTCGTCTACCCAAAGAGCCGCTGACAAAATACGACGCTTTGCTGGACTTACGACGGGCGCACCGACCTGGTAAAACCGGAAATGTGCACTCGCTAACGGTTTTCGATGTGAAATCGGTGGCAATCTACGATCGTACATACGGAACAGTATTCGGTGATGCTCCGTTGGATGGAGGTGTCTTACGGGGAAAGGTGCCGGCAGCTATGGATGACCTTACCGTGCATCGGATGTCCGAGAAAGCTGCATCGTTGCTGCGTGATGTACGGCGCTATCTTTTTTTAAAACTTTACCGCAAATTCTCGTGGAAAGCACACTTTTTACACCACGGTATATTTTACCAATGTTTGAGGTGATTAATTTTGCAGTCGCACACAGCAGGTGTTAGCGATGCGAATAACGGCAATAACAGAAAACCGTTTAATTTAGATCACATATATACCGATATATGGTTTAGGTTTATATGGTTTAGGTCACGGAACACTGACCAAAATATTATCCTTTCCGTAAGTTTATATTGCAAAATTATCGATTACCAGGGTGCTGTGAATTTTACAGCTCCATTATGAAATTAGCATTGACAATGGAATTCAGTCGTTAGCACTTCCACGCAACGGCATACCAAAACCAAAGATACAGTTGTCGGCATCCGATCCGACTTCCGGTGAACAGCTGATGTCCGATGATCCCAAAGCGGGCAAGGAGCCTCTGCCCCGTGACAACGTACTGGATGATCTAAGCAGAAATCACATCTGGAATTGCGAGATTCTGGACAACCTCCTGGAAGTGCAGTGGAAGGTTCAGAACGGTTACATCACCGTGACGCTTTCCGCGCCGTCATCTGTCTTACCCAATGCGGACAGTGCGTATTTGGCATTCGGACTGAGCGGCTCCAGCAAAACCGTGCAGATGGTCGGCAGCGATGTTACGCTGGGTTTCGTTGGACCGAAAGGACTGCAACTTCGAGATTTTATTTTAGGAGGAAAAGCAGTGGTACATGCAATTAATTAACAATCACGAATATAAATTTTTACTGCGGTGGTATAATCTTACTATTTTCATCAACATCTACGTGTAAATTTTAGTGCAATATAAGTGACCCCAGCGCAGACGCCGTTTGCCCACGCAATCTGATCGGTGGGAAACAGATATCGCGCCTCGTCGGAGGAGGTGGAAATGCCGATGGAATGTTCAAATTTAGCTATCGGAGACCATTACAAAGTACAGTGCTTTTTTACTCTTAAAACATTTATTTTCTTCGATGTTCTACAAACCGAAAATCCATGAGAATTCTCTATTTTACGTGCACACAATGTCATATTATTATTTTGCACGAGCAGCTACTGATGCCTTCGGAAAGGACATCCCACTGGATGTACCCGTGTATGTCGTATGGTCCATTGGACCGATGAATGTAGCAACGGAAATGCCGGACTACCACTCAGTGCACGCAACAGGTACTCGTACCAATCGCCTTAAAAAAGCGGCTGGCTTGCAGTAAGTAGGTAGTTGTACTTTTTTATGATACTAGTAAAATGGAATGAATTGATCATTGATTTTGGTTGTTTTTGTAATGTTTAAATTTTAACTAGCAAGTAGTGCACCGGCGCTTGCAATCATTGTTATTTTGGTGGCTACTGCCCATTGAAGAAATTTACTGATCATTTGACCTTTTCTCGGTGCACATCGCGAGGATACCGCTACCCAGCTAGCCATTGCAACTTAGAACTGTTCCCTAATATTAAAAATATCATAAAATTGTCTGCATTTTTAGGAAACTCGTTACTGCATTTTGGACGATCGCCGGAAAACAACTGTGTTGTGCTCAAGAAAAGAACTGATCTAGTCGAAGACGACATTCTTCCGCCAATTTTAGCAAATTCCACTTTTGTTAATCTGCCATAGACAAACCACTTTTTTGTGTTAACACAGTGTGTATACTGTACACAACCACAGATTCAGCGTTTTACTCAGTATTTTAAAATTTGCTACTCCAGATTTCTAATACAAACCACAATAAAACAATGTGAAAACAAACAGTAGCAAAAATACTCCACATAAAAAGCTTTGCGAAATAATGTGTCATTACTAGTTCTCCATACAATAAATATGCCATGCGGTAAGCGTGGAACGTATGTCCAGGGTTCCAGTAAATGCCAGAACCACAGTTTTGCGTCACCATCACACCGAGCCATGCATCATGCGATAATGTCAGGCTTTCTGGATCTCGTCCACTGTAAACCAAAATTATCTTCCGTAAATCAAATCATTCAAATTAGAATAACGATGCATAAATAAGCAAAAAAAGCGATTTCGAAATACACGCGTATTTATTTTAAAACTGTGCTTGTATAAAGGGCTGCACACTTGTTCGAATAATGATGGGATCAGGTGTAGTCTCCAGCGCTTCGTCCCGGCTCCGCACAGCACTCACATTTTTGGGTCGCGGTCGGTGACTACAAGAAAACATGCACATCAACATCAATAACAGACATTACTCGGCAAGTTGCACACGGCGAGCCAAGCGGAAGGGGAAGGAAGTGCGGGAACTGCAAGGTCGTGCAATTTATCCACATTATGTACACAGAATTGTTTTCCAGGAAATTCACACGAAGTACACATTAAACGCAACAATGAACCTCAAGATTCTCTCAAACTGTCCAACAACAACAGATCCCCACTTCCCCCCATCCACTGGCCCCCTCGGCTGACGTACGTGTCGACCGCTTCCACGTTTAAAGGAATCAAATCCATATCGCAGCCGTAGGCGCGCGGCGTCAGTTTGACCACCGTGTGCAGGGGCACGTTTTGGTAGGGCAATTGTTCGGCGGGCTGATTGAGGAAATAACCCAGTAAACAGCGCAATATGGCTTGGTGACCAATTACTAAAACATTATTCTGCCGCTCCAACTCAATAATCACAGGTTCCAAACGTGCGACTACGTCCTCATAAGATTCACCACCGGGATAACGATAATGAAATTTATCCGCGTCTCGATTGGCAAATTCCACCTAAAACCAAGTCAGCAGTTTTATGAATGTGAAAACCAGTAAAGCTTCAAAGTAGCATACCGGGTAAAGTTGCTGTATCTCCGCGTAAGTTAGTTCTTCGCAGATTCCTGTAAACCAACAAAATCTGAAAGTAGTCTTAATACCTACGTGACAACATTCACCCAATTTTTATTCCACATGCACCACTCGTAAAGCGGCAACATACTGTAAAACTTTTAAAATCAACGATGTAAGTATACCAGCATTTAAGTCAAAACTCAAAAGCTCAAACTGAAGTAGAAGAGTTCTGAATGTCACTCGTATGATAAAGGAAGAAAATTTAGTATTAAAAAAAACGCTCTTTTTTAACAAATTCGGTCTGTCAGAGCCCACACAAGATAGCTTCAACAATTTCAAAAAACGTACATTAAACTCCAAAAACTTATTGAATTCAGCAACTCACCAGCATGGATTTCATTCAAACACTTCCACTTCTCCTTGGGTGCATCGATAAACTGCGCCGTCTGTATTGTCCTTTTCAGTTGGCTGGTCCATACATGCAACCCCGGGATGTTCTCTTGCTTAACAAAATCTCCTAATTTCCTGGCGTACTCCATGCCGCGCTCGGATAAATCACTGTCGCCACCCAGCACTCCAATCAAGTTGTGCTCGCTTTCGCCATGGCGCGTCAGATAAATCGTACGATGGGTAATGTGGATATTCATGAGGAAGTAGACCACACGACTCTGAATGTGTCCTCCCGGCCGGTTAACCAAATATTTCTGCCCAGCGTTGTATATCCGAATAAATGATAACTCTGCAAATGCAATCAAAATAAGAATTTGCACGAGATGCCTAATGCGAAAAACTGCAACAAAACTCAATAAATGCAGGCGGATAAATTCTGTTAATGCAACGGGCGAGGGATCGCAACAAGTGAGTACTAAAACGATACAGCTTAGAAGATGAAAAGTAACAGGTAGTTTCGTCAGGCGTGAGAACTTTTGCACTAGCAAAAGCACACAATCGGCATTCTTTTATAGTTTTGTCAATCAAAAATTCACGTGAGCGGCAAAACACACCTCCATAAATTGCGGAGTAAGCGCAATTCTACGCCTAACAAACCCATCATAAATGTCGTCAGACGTTCATATTTCCCACTCAGCACAACCCTTACCACGGTCTATATTATCGTCCAATGGCTCGTACGCCGCTTCGTAATGCTTAATTCGCTGGATAAAATCTGTCAGAGCCATGTCATTCGGCGCCGAGAACGTCTTGTAGTCGGGTCCATTCAGTTTGACGTCTTGTATGTTGTTCTTGATGATTTCCGGATCGTTGCATACGCTCTCCACAAAGAAAACATTAACGCCACGCGGTAAACAGGATTCGCGAATGAAATTGCGGCGTCGGCGAGTTGTATTGGTGGCATCGTAAACTGTAATCCAAAGTGCGACTGGTTATACTTGCGAACACCAGAATCGTCTTTCTGCATTAGATAAATCTGCTTGAAAACTATCTTAACATGCTCTGGGTTTTACCAATTTACCTCCGCAAGAAAAAATTCGGATTCATCTAACCAGAGCTTAATAAATATATGCGGAGGCTACTACGTACTGGCAACATCGCCTCCCTCTTCGAACCACTTAAATGTGTCCTGCAAAGCGTCTTTCGCCACTTGCTCGCGGATTTTCATCGCTTCTTCGTTGTCCACCCTGAAAAAGTCATGGCTGCGATAGCCCTGAACGGCTTGGCGGCGGTATTCCCCTGCAGTCATGCAACACGGTGAAGGTAAGCGCAATAATGGTATTCAACTAATAAGCGTTCTAGTAAAATGTTTGCAGCAAGCTGCAAGCGTTCAAATGTCTATCCTAGTCCAACAATACCGGCCAGCTAAATATTACCGGGAAAATCGTTATCTGTTAAATCCTGGGACATTTTACTGAATAGATACAGGAACAGTTTCGCATAAAATGCAGTAAATGCACAGATCCATCAGATTTGAACTTCACACAATTCGCAAAATCGGGATTGCAGTATTTTAAGTATGTACGTGAAAAAATAAAAATCTATACATTTGGGCTGCAAAACTACAAATACAAATTTTTCATACCAACTAGGATTGTGATAAAAAAGTAGTTTTAAAAGCTGAAATGTTGCTTTAAATTATCTTTTTCGCTCATGTTTTTACATTTATTGGAAAATTAAGACGACGGCGATAACGAAATACTGCACAAACATTCTGCTGATTCCCAGTAAAGATAAAAATAAAACACAATGATAAATTCGAGATCTTCAAATACTGTGTTCAAGATTTCAATTTCTGTTTTTCCCTGCTAACAGTTCATCCACTGCTCAAGCGTTATTTACACGTTGCATCCGGTCTTAGGAACCCGGTTCCATACCGTCTGCCGCTCACCTAAATTGAAGGTGCGTGCCTTGATGCCAATCCAGTTCAGATAGCGCGTCAGTTTCTTGGAGATGTATGTTTTCCCGCGCGCTGGCAGTCCCACCATGACGATGACATTGGGACTGCAGACTTTGTCCCCCACATTATGCATGGAGCGTTCGTTGGGCGACGCGTACGGCCGCAGCGATTCTATTGTACTGCGGTTAGGCAGATCCAGCAAATCAGAGGAAGAGCGGTTTCTTCGCAATCCGCCACCAAGAAAACTGGCTGGCAGCGAAGTTCCCAAACAGTGCGACGAGCACGACGAGTTGCAGGACGATGGACGATTGATATCCATTTTCTGTTTGCGTGGCTTGAATAGGATCGATTTCGGCTGATTGTTGACAATACTGCCTCCAGCGATAACGAGCACTGCGGCGCCACAATAGTCCAAAAATCACCGGCTCGAAGGAAAATGAATTATCGACCAGCTGGTTGTTGATTAGGGAACTCGATAACGCGGTGCGCTACGGTGGTACGCTGTCGACGCCGTACAGAGTCTGCCTTCTACAGACATGGTTCAGCACATAAAAACAGTGGCCAAACTTTTGGCACGGTTTATGCGCGCCGATCAGCTGACAGCTCAAGGCCAAGATTGCAACGAGATTGACGCTACACGACTACTTCGACGTCATAAGAAACGTGCCACCAATTAAAGTCAAATCCAGTTAAAGTAACGCTTCGCTTTTACACAAAATAGGTATCTCAAAGAAATCATAAATTTTTTATTATTTACGCAACCGAAAATTATCTTCGGGATGTTTTGAAGAGACACGAGTAATAAAATTTGAGAGTACTAACGGTAAGTACCACAACAATCCTAACGGTAAGTAACACGGCTTTCCGGTCTCCATAATGCGGAGCGGAGGCAGCTCATTCTTACACCCATACCCATTCCCCTTTCTTTGATTATTGATGTCCCCGAAGGGACGGGCCGATCCCAGAAGTACTGCAATACTGGGCCAACCCAGGCAAGGATAGAGCAAGCTCCAGAGCCTCGCCACGCTCCAAAAATTCCAGTGACAATCGGACCCCCAATGGGGGTCGCGGTAGTTGTCACACTACCGAGAACAGATACTACACTTTGATCTTAGCCAAAAGGCCGAGAAGCGATACCGTATTACTGCGATTACACGATGTGGTGCATTGGCCCAACGGTTTATTCGCGACATCTTCGTATGTGATTTATGGCGTACTTGTCATCACAATTATGAAAAGAATTAAAAAAATTAAACATGTATTCTATAAAAAATGTTTTATTTGAAATTATCAAATCGTAGAAATAAGAATTTAAAAAAGTTTAGATTAGTTAAGCCATCAACATTCCGATGCGTTTATGCGCAACCTTAACCTTTATCTGCAGCCTGCACTCTGGGAGGCAGTGACGCTGCGCTTCGTTTTCTAGTTTCTTCCACCCACCACAAAAGCGTTCCGGAATAACAGTCGGCATACGGAAATTTGCTATCCTTGTGCCAACAGCAGCCATTTGCAATAATTTTTATAATAAAGTTACAGTTCGACTCGACGAAAAAGAAAAACCGCTGAACGACTACTATGAACGTACATATCCGTACTTCCTTGGCACTCTTAGTCAGGGCCATTCTAGAATTTGATCATAGAACAATTCTCTACGGAATACTCGTCGGAGTAACGGACATTACTAATAAGTGAAATTAACAAACAATCTGAACTTTTATTTAGACAACAATTCTTGTTCCAGAAATTAGAAACAATGCACTCATTTCAGCTGGCGCAGCAGTGCGAAGTGTTACCAAACCATTAAATAATACAGCCAGCTACATCAATTAAACTTCAATTTAAAAAATCTTCAAAGGTCCAACAAAGCAAATAAAACAATAACATGCTGAAAACTCATTGCGAAGTTGTGATCAAATCCCTGAGACAGCAGCTGTCAAATAAGCGCTATAAAAACTAGGCCTGTTGTAAAAGATCAAAAAATGTCCGGTATAAAATAACGAAATCCGGCCTCTTGGCTGCCTCATATTCCCAGCATGACCGCATAATAACGTAGATTTCATCGGGGCACAAAGCCGGTTGAGCGAGTCGCACGCCCTCCTTCAGTTTCTCACTTAAATTGGCTAAATCACAAAAGTAAGGCGGTGCGGCAAACGTGAACATTTCCCAGCAAAGAACTCCAAATGACCACGAATCGCTCTTGGACGAATATTTGTGATAATCTATCACTTCCGGGGCATACCATGCCAATGGGATACTCCGGCCAAAATTCTGTGTTAAATAATAACCACCGGTATCCATGAAGCGAGCCAAACCGAAATCACTAATTTTCCCACGTAGTTCCGCGGTAACCAAAATATTCCGCGCGGCAAGATCTCGATGCACAATATCTTTGCTCTGCAAAATTTGATTAATTAATTAAACAACAGCAACGGCACTTTATAACTCTCTATGCAATTCTTATATGTACTAGAGCTCCAATTTTATTAGCCGTCCGCCTTTCCAGTATTACCTGCAGATATGCCATGCCGCTGGCAACATCCGTTGCGAACTGTAGCAGATGGGTCGGAGATAAACCGCCCTGGTGATTACGCAGATATAAGCTCAGAGCTCCATTCTGAACGAATTCCATCACCAGCAAGGGCACTGGATCGAGCACCATTCCCACGGTTTCTACGATATTCTCATGCTGCAGCGATTTCATAATGTTCATCTCATCCCGCATTTCATCCATTATTCGGCTGAACGTTCGATCGCCTTTAATTTGTTTCAGCTGTTTTACCGCCACTACGCGTGGCTCATCATCGCTCAAGGGATCGGTGTACAGTGCCTAAAACAAACGACATGCTTATTAACATTAACGATAAATAGATGGATGAACAATACCAGTAGTACACTATATGGTTACATAAAACTCAGAGGATAGAAGTAAACAAACAGAAATACAGTACATAATAATTTTCCCAGAACGGAGAGAAATACTTCAACGTTATGTCATCATTACTACCATTCACCTTATTCACTTCTCCATAGCGTCCTTCTCCAAGTCTATCGACGACTTTCAACGCCGTTTCTTCTATAAGCCACGGATCATAGGGGCTGCCGTTTGTTTCTCTTTCTCCCAGGAAATTATTTAAATTTAGATCCGCTGTCTGCATTCTGTGTTTCAGACAATTTCCGGTGACCCGAAGCAGAAACTCCTGCTTGGATTCTTTTTTTATTCCGATTTCGATTGTTCCATCGGGGTAAAGCGGCTTGCTTTCGTCATATAACAGATGGAGTACTTTATTCATTTCACGTAAAATCACATCGACAGCCGGTCGCTGCAAGGGATCATTGTGCCAGCAGCGCTCCATTAGCCGGTAGACATCCTCTGGGCAAATTGAAGGCTTTTCCAGCCGATATCCATTCCTAATACGAAGAAAACACGGTTACTGAAGTTCACAAACTGGACAATCGGAGCATTTCAACGATATCAGACGGCAAATTTTACGACACTCCATGAAAACGGATAAAAAATCAAAATGGTCATAATAATATGCAAAGATTGCTCTAACCTGTACAAAGATTCGGCTTCTTCGTCACTTATTTCCAATAACGGCACCTGCCCAAAGGTAAACAATTCCCACAGAAATGTCCCGTAGCCCCAATTTCCCCGATCCGAATGAGACAAAGTCTCCCACGCATCATTGGCATCTCCCTTCGAATCCAAGCCCACCCAGTGTACAGATTCACTGCCCAACCCGATTGGTCCAACGACGACTTTCACGGATTCGCCTAGATAATCCGCAACGAAAACATTCTTCGCCCGAATCGGCCCGTATCCTGCTTTCTGTTCATCCAACCACCACAGTGTTTTAGCAATTTGTGTGGCAATGTCCAACAAATTCCGTAGGGATATCAAGGCTCTCTTCTGTTGGAGAAACTGCAGGACATTGCCTAGCGGGAAATATTCGGTTACGAAACTTAGCGGGTTCAACAGGATTCCATAGAAGCGGATCAACATGGCCGAGTTGGACAGGTGCATTAATGTCTGCACTCCAGCCAGCCATTTTTGTGCGGATTCCATAGAGACATTACTTGAAAGGGATTTCACTGCAACGTCCACGCTCTTCCTGTCAGAGATCTTTAAGCAGCCTCGTCGCACTTGGCTATGCTCCCCTATACAAAAAAAACTGAATAAAAATGCCAAATAACGGTTAAGCTATTTTCATTAGGGCACCGAAATAAACACAAACACAATAATACAGCCGGTGACTAATTTCACCCATGCGTTTCGTTTTAAGCAAGTACATATCGTGTGCTGTATCAATTCTACAGTATCAAGGAACTTCTTACATTAAAATAAATCACATCACTGTGTTTCAAACCACAGCTTCATTCAATCGACTAAAACGTGTTTAAAACCATGCTCTGCAGTCTGCGCCGAATAAATTTTTTTTTAATTTTGCAGTTACCGTCGTGCACATGTGAAGGCGACGGGTAAGTCAGCCCGGACGGCGGAATACACAGAGGAACGGAGAAGTTTCCCGTGTCATACATCCTCCCGGTATCCTTAGCGTTATCACACGAGCTTGGAAACAGCTTTAGTCCAATTAGCTCATTTTCGTGCGGCCTCAGGCATTCTTTCAGTAGAATTCCGTCATGGGGTGATTTATAATACGTCAACAACTCCGACAATGTGCGAAACTCCACTTTGGACTTGCGGACTCGATAATGGCCGTCGCAAGTCGTATCAATGACAAACGATCGGAAGGGCTGTTCCACATTACCAGCCACATCGATTCGAAACGTATTGTACATGTCCGTGGACTGGCTCAGAGCAAATGTTCCTTCGGGCTTTCCATGTAATTTCTCATACATCATATCTTTTTCCATAGGGCCATGGCATTTTTCGCTTCTTAGGACCTTCAAAATACCGACAAAGCGTTAAAAAACACAATGAAAGTTAAACAGTTAAACAATGCATCCTTCTGACTGCGAATTCGACATAAACCAGGCGAAGTTACCCATATAAAAATATAGTAATTATACAGAGTACTTAAAACTGCAGTCTCACATCACAAAAGCGTGATCCAGCACAAAACTGAAAATTATGGCAAAACAAAACCAAGAAAAAACGAGAAAAACAAATTTTAAGTTTATAACAATGTTAATATTTTATAAAATTAAATAAAAATTGTGTAAATCGAATTAAGGGACTGTAAACTGTTTTAAATCATAGGTAAGGGACTATGACTGTCATACCTGTAAACTGGGATTACAAAGAGCCCGGCAAACATCATAATAAAATTTATGCGTAAATCTGAAGTATCCATCCAACAAGGAAATGAAAGACTCCAGAGCGGCTGTGCTAGAGAACCGAAAACACAGCGGCTGACCGGAAATACGATTGATATGGCACGCTATCTTTTCCGGGATTAAATTAATATCACAGATGTCCGTTAAGCGACAATATGGTATCCATTTATCTCCTTCCCGACGCTCCAAAGTAATCAATTCATCCAAAATATTCAGACGCACTTTGTTAACGGGAAGGTTGGGATTCACTCCTAACTGACAGGAAAAATGCTCGCACACATAATGTCCCGAATGTTCCATCAGACCCCAAACAAACTGCTTCTTCAGCAGAAAAATCGACCTGCAAAAACAAAAGTTTTACGAACCTGCACAATATTCGATGAAAAAAGCCATTAATACTTTGGGCCGTTCTTGTATTCGTCAGCAAGTTTGTCAACAGCATCCTTTAAATGTTTCGTGGACATTTTAGAGGCTAAGGATGCTTTCAGCTTCTGCTGCACACCGTTCCGCTTCTGCAGATCTTGAGGGATAAATCGCTTCTGCCAGCTTTTGATTACTTGCTCCGAAGAAAGACCTTCTTCTTTGATCACTCGCACCATATCGAGCACAGCTAAACCTCTCGCTCTGGGCAGGCAGTCAACATCGCTCTGGTCGAAGAAATCCTCGATCTGTCCGTCGATGAAATCCTGACGATACTGCCAAAAAAAAATCCTTTACAAAAATCTGAACACATTAAAAATTAAGCTATTAATCAATTAATGCAGTAACAAGGAATGCCTGCTTGAATCTTTACGTACAAGTATAGTAAACCAGTTTTTATTTTAACGATAAATCAACTGAGCACACATAACGCAAATCACACATGGAAAAATATTTTCCGAAACCAGAAACCTGCAGAAAAATTGAATTAAAGTAAACTGACACGATATAATTTGGATTTTCAAGCGAAAGTGAACTATCATCATGATAAAACTCAGATTAAAAAAATTTGAGACTAAAAGACTAAAAAGAGACTTACCATATGCGCTACGATACGAAAACTTTTAAATAGTTCTCAAGTGACTACTAAATTCCTTTTCCATCAGAAATACAAAAATCCAATCCGTAGTTTTCTGTTTTCTACTGTACCTGTAGAAAGAGATATTCAAACGCCGCGGCATCCCTCTCCGCCAGGAGTTTATAATCACAGAAGAACCGTATCCGTAACTGTAGTGTGCGATCATTTTGACTATCCAGACGGATTTCGCGGCAAGGAGCCAGCCAAATACCATCACGGCAACTGTAGATCCCAAATAAATGCGCCGCCAGTGGCTCCACATTCAGCGCCCGTACCACCTCCCGGATAAGGTGCTCAACACAGATGCTTTTCCTATCGCGAGCATCCACATCGAGAGGCCTACCGTCGACGGCCTGTAATTTGAAGGCTGCTGTGTCCGACAGCGACGCCTGGGCACTGATCGTCGGACGGATATTCTTCCGGTAGATCGACGATCCCATCGAGCTGGCATCATAGCCCGCATTCTCGTGGGAATTCCACGGCCAAGATATGAGCGACGAGATAGAATCGGTAGAATGCAGCTTCTTACGACCACCACCTTCCATGGTCTGCCAAACTTCAACTGATCAAAGATTCAGCATGGAAAAGTCCGAAAGCTGTTTTCCACTTTTCCTCAAGAGACGCATTTTGGTACAAAACTGTCTTAAAGAAATAGCAGAGGGAAAAGAAGAAATCCGAAAGACAAAATGCATTCCCATAAGTGACGGGTAGGTTAGAAGTCCGCACACGCTAAGATCCCGAATATTAACGATGCCATCCAGGGATTGAGATCCTCGATCGCACTGCTGCACCGTGCACGTAAGCCTGTGGGCTATGGCCCTGTATCTGTAATAAGCTATGCTGCTGCCAGACGCAGGCCATAGGTAACAGGCGGCGTCTACGTTAACCGCACTAGAGCGCTCACAATCGGCATCCTTATCCGATCAATAACTGTGTGAAAAATTTAAGTTAATTAAAAATTATGTAATCCCGTAAAACAAAGCAGCTAGGAAGCAAAGATTCAGCATGGAAAAGTCCGAAAGCTGTTTTCCACTTTTCCTCAAGAGACGCATTTTGGTACAAAACTGCTAGGAAGCAGGGAAGCAGGGACTCTATAGCACTAAACTGCCATTACAGTAATCTGCAAATTAAACTGCACGCGGCAACTCAAACTGGTAAAAATCTGGCTTTATTCCTTCCGCTGCTTACCATAACAAAGCAATATGAAATGAACTATGGAATACTTCATAGGAAAATCCCGGTCACGCATTATTGCTAATCACCTTATATGTCAAATGCAATTTTATAGCCGTTTTGTTTGACAACGAGAATTCGTACTCGTATACATGCAGAGCACAACCGTATTGTTTCAGAAATGATGTTAAAAAATATTTTGCAATTTAAAAAAGTCAGTATAGATTCGTGTTAAAAAAATTCTCGATTTGATTTAACGAAATTAGTCAAATTACAGCCATGGTGCCATGATACCATCGTGAAGCGCAGTTGCCGCGCGTGGATCCGGTCGCCAAGGTCCACTCAATACCGCACTGGCATTGTACACTGCCAGTTTATCCAGCAACAGTTTTTCGATGTCCGGAAAATAGGAGACAATGTTATTATGTTCGCAAGGATCCGTTTCCACGTCAAACAAGCAGGGACTATCGCGGACATGGCATGGAATGTCAGAATCTCTGTGCGGGCAGTGCAGTCTACTGGGTGTGTCCCTTTCGAACGAGGCGTTAACTCCGCCCACCGGTGGATACCTGTTACCCAAAGTTCAGGGTTATTACCTATGTGCATAATAACAAATGGCTAAAAAATATTGACATTAATAACTGTGTGTATATAATTACGTACCACCCGTCTGGAATGCTTCCAGTTGCTGTCCAACCGCCTAGAATCAATTTGAACTGGTGCCACCTGTGTAAAAATAAAGTCACAAATAATTTACAGTTTTACAGTCTATCATTATAATGAAGCAGTTTTCATAAGTAAAAAACAAGGACGCCCATTAGTGTTTCAAAATATACAAGCATTATATTCATTTACCGGATGGCATATTCCTGATTCACACTATCAGCTTGTATTAAAACTTCCTGTCGTGGTGAAGGGTACCCATTGGCGATGGATGTCCAGATGTTGTGACCATCGATTTCACCTGGCGCCTGTCCTCCTGCAAGGGAGATAAGCGTAGGGAGCCAGTCGGAGATATGGAAGATTTCGTTGGATACGCGGCCGGGCCCTTTAATGAGATCGCTCCAGACGAATGCCGAAGTTCGCACACCTCCTTCCCACCTGTATTGCATCAGAGAACACAGTCGAAAAGGGCATCGGTATAAACTGCTTACAAATGCATAATAAACGTTTTTCCCTACAAAAGCAATTACTGTGTCATTTTGGTTCCACGCAGCGGCCAGTTAGTGCCGTATGTAAAAGGCGGCGTCGTGTGGATTAGTTTTTCTGGACCACTTGCACCGTTGTCAGCAGTAAAAACGATAATTGTATTGTGAAGGGCATTGCGCTCCTGCAAAGCATCCACGATCTGACCAAGTGAATCGTCCAGAGCCGCAATCATTCCTGTAAAAATAAGGAAGTACGAGTACGATACGATACGCTCGATATTCATAGCTGATGTCAGTTTATTAGTGTAACTGCGTCCAATAAGCGTTTATGATTTAAGTATTTTACGCGTACTAAGTTACTAACCATAAGCACATGGAGCGCTATAATAGAAATAACTAGTAATTTAATTTTAGAAATTTTAAGAAGCAATAATTCAATGGATATTAACGTAGTGCGTATGAACAGCCGCGTATATTCTCCTTAATATGCACTACGATATTAACAGTAAACTGCATGATGGATAGTGAATCCCTTTAAGGATCAGCTGCGTACCGGCAGTGGTTTTCCGACCGCTATGAGCAATATGGTCGAAACGATTGGTGTAGCGGTCTGGTGCTTGCATGGGATCTTCGGTATTGGCGAAATGGGCAGCTAGGTGAGCGATGTACATGAAAAGGGGCTACGGAAATAAAATTGCGGTTAAACCAAACCCAACAAAACATGTGCTACGGTTTTTCAAAAAAGGTTCAACCTATTCAAACCCGTATATAAGATGTGGTAAAACGGCACATGCTTACATTATCACTTATGTAATAACGCAACATAGTTATTGTCCGGCACACTTATCAGTTGTTCTTCGCATATACTCTGTACATACCTTTTTCTTTCTTACATGTTTTTATATATTTTGGTGTTTCTTATACATTTTCTTATATATTATATACTCGTATTTTTGGTTTTTATACATACCTTTGGTACGCATATACATAGCTCAGGTTGTACGCATATACATACCTTTTGGTTGAAATTATGGTTTTTTATGCGTTCATTTGCTTTCGCTGTCAACAGTTCGGTCAAATACTGCCCCGTGTAATTCCGTCCAACAAATTCCAAATTATCCCATAAATCTAGACCGCCGTATGCCGGATTAAAATCCTAGCGGAGTAAGCACATTACAGCAGCAATTACAAGTTACAACTACTACTCACTACTCACAAGGTTATCAAAGATAACGTAATTGCATATATATAATTTGGAGTGACAAATCACAGTAACCATACACCGCGTTACTACAAATGCTATTTCCATAAGATTTTATAAGCCTGATCTATTTTGTAAGCCTGATCTATTTTATAATTTTTTTATTTTATATTTTATCTATTTTATATTTTTTTGTTATTTTATTTTCTATTTTTTCTGTTTTTTTTATTTATTTTATATTTTGTTTCTGTTTTTATTTTTTATTTTTTTTATTTCTTTTTACTAACATTGATCTATTTTATAAGCTGAAGCACAACAAAAAGAGCATTTCATCATTTCATGAAACAAACTTTTGTTATGTCATATAAACTTACCCATATTAAATTGCTTGTGTAATAATCCACCCAGGCATTGAGATATCCGAAAAAGGAATCAAATCCTCGGCTAGCTGAAACCACCGTGAATATTGGCCCACATTAAAAAGTAGCAAAAAGTTAATTCCATTGTACTTAATCTACTCACTGGGAAGCATTCGATTTTCGGCGTAGCCAAGATGCCACTAAAATACATGAACATGAATATGACATGACTTGCTGCAACTGAAAATTTTTGTAAGTCTCTATGTATTAGTTAATCAATGATTCCTGCTTATTCGTAAAATCTGGACAACAGTAACGAAAGTACCCTACCACACAAACCTTGCCATACATGTGGGTAGAATAGCCTGCATCCCTTAAGTATTCTGGCAACAATTTCTCGTTCAATGGTAAACTTTGTGCGGTGCCCGGCGTGAGAACGCCGTTTTGCATTCCTGTACAGTAAGTTTCGCCCAAAACATCCGTGCAGAAAACTCGCATTCACGATGTTCAGTACCTAATCGGATCGGATATTTGCCAGTCATCAGTGAGGCTCGTGACGGAGAACCTTAAAGCAGAAAAAGGTTAACCAATTTTTTCAAGTTCTACATAACAACGTCAAGTTGCAAACAGAACATGGAAGTCACAAAAAGTCAACATTTGCAGACTGAATTATTAGTACTGTATTCGTAAAACAGATTTGTTCACAGCCGCCTCACAAAGAGCTTGCGCGTAATGGCTATTAAGGATGACCCCGCTCTGCGCCAACCGGTCAATATTTGGTGTTGGGATTTCATTGTAACCGTGGAAGCTGACATCATTCCATCCCTGTGAACACACAGATAGCATGCGCCACGTGAGAAATCGGTATTTTCATTTGTATTTTTCCAATGTTTAACCCTCTAATTCTTAAGAAGTAGGGCCCAGCTTGCTTTTTGTGAATCCGGTGATTACTGCCTGTCGAATTTATTTGATTTGAGTACGTATCTCTGCAGGCATCGCCATGCTGATTTTACAGAATATGTTGCTGTTAACAGCTGAATAAGGAACGCTCCGCTTAACCAAACACAAATACTCGGATCATAGTGCCAAAATATTAGATTTTATTAAGATATACAAAGCTCGCATATTATGCTTGCTTCCACTTGCCGGATCTGTATTTATTAGTTTTGTATTTACTTAACAGTTAGTATTTGTACTTAATAGTTAGTATTATTTAATAGTTAGTATTTGTACAAAATTATAAACTATATGGGAATTTTATTTTAGACCAGTACACAATACTTTAATTTCACCAAATGCCATTTGCGCGTTAAAGACACGTTGAAGTCCTTACCAAATCATCGGCCACGATAAAAATTATGTTTGGTCGCTCTTCTGCCCCGAAACCAGATGCAAATGCATGAAGGAAGATAACAGCACAAAAAATTGCCGGTAGTGCCATGTTTCCGAACTTTGGGAATGGTACTGATCGTGAGTAGTACTGTAGCGTATTACCGAGCCGAACTAGTAAGTACTTTATCTTACTAATGCGCTACCATTCCTTGAAACTGACAGCCTGTTACCTACACCGATATTACACGTTTTACATATAACGCCAGTCAGAATGCGGACTGTTTCTACAGAAATTGTTGAACTCACGCTTGCAGGTGCAATTTTTATAGTTTCGTGCAACAATCGTTATCAGCGTTTCTTCTAAAACCGTAGAAAGAACCTAGAACCATAATATCTGCGGTAGATACTGCGGTTTGTGCTGCCCGAGAATATAGACACGCAATTAAGGCTCCAACGGTACTGCACTTTTGCTAAAGTATGATTGAGTCAAAGGTCAACTAGACTACGCGACATTGTTCCTAAGTCTTAGCACGTTTATCAGTAAACCGGTTAACTTAAAATTCTGCACACAAGTCATCCAACAATGCATTTCTGGAAGAACGCGTAATAAACTAGTACTTCCGCCTTGTACTAAATGCAAGTACAATCGAGTAGGCAAAACCAGACCATTTTAAATCACAGCTTAAACAATGGCGGTGGCTCAACATACTGTGGAATACTATCAAACGATTTGCCAGGATGAAACTTTTGAAAGTGCATAAGAAGCATGCCGCGTCGCATAAAGCCCAGCGTACACTCCTCGCATTTATATGGAAGATCTTCATAGCGTATCCGGTCGCGCGGAGGAATATACTTTGCTCGCGGAGTATGTGACTGCTGGGTTAAGGATTGTCGACGTTTTTGTTTAGCCCGTCTCTGCGCTTCCGCGTGCTTCGGATCATGAGCAATTAAATGCGTACGGAGATTGTGAGGAGTCTGAAATCCTTTTGGACATAAGGAGCACTTGTATTGTAGTTCGTTGCTGTGAATTCTACCGTGATAGGTCAGCTGGCATTCCGTTCTGAACATCTGACCGCAAACCGAGCAAATGTGTTTTTTTGGCACGTGTGTAGTTCGCATATGTATCTGCAACTGTTTGAAAGTTGTATAATCCCTGGAACATATTCGGCACGGGTATTTTCCATCCACACAATGAATTACGGAGTGTTCCTTATAAAGCGGAATCGTGGAAAAAGTTTCCAAACAAACCGGGCAGTTGAAGACATTCATCCCCGAATGGGCGTGCTGTAAGAAAGACTATCAAATGACGTTACTGTAATTTCTCTTGAAATTGTGTAGCATTCTTGAAATCGGACCAAAATCGCCGTCGCAAGTAAAATAAATGCTTAAAATCTCCTACAAGTCAACAAAAACAGCAAATTCAAAATTTGTACACATGTATCAATCTGAAAATTAACAAAGCGGCAAGGCGATGCAGGTAACTGCTGGTAAACATGCCCTATAGGCTCTAACTCATAATCAGGCTAAGCTGCTTATGTTTATACTTCTGTAATACTGATACCTTCACATGCACGACGCAGCCAGCTTTTGTCATGAATCTTTCTTTGCAGTATTCACATTCAAAATCGCCTCCAAGGTCCGAATGTCTGTATTGACAATGAACGTCCAAGTTTTCCTGGCAGGAAAAAGATTTATTGCAGTCTTCACAGCGGTATTTTAACTCTGTGGGCGCCGTGCGCTGGGTACGATACGTCCAATATTCCGTATGTTGATCCACATGGTCAACCAGCTGAGCCAATGACAAAAGAGACAGACGGCATCCAGCTGGACAAATTAAAGCGATATTCGGCGGTGGAAAGTCCTCCGGTTGATGGCGAACTTGGTGGATCTTCAGAAGATAGGCAGTACGGAACCTTGCCTGGCAAACTTCACATTCGTGCGGGAAAGCTGATAAATTCTTTCGAGCGATGGAACGCAAAGCTGTACTGTTCTTGTAATTCGCTAAAGACTTTGGAGAAACACATTCAGCATTCTTGCTTCCGCTAGGGATAGTTGCCAGCAAGGCCGGAGGAATACTCCCTGATAGTCCAGGCATACCAGCATTACGCTTCATCACAACTGAGATGGTTGTTTCTTCGTTTACGCGTACGTCCACACATTTAAAATCATCGTACTGAACATTCTTGCTCAAATCGCATCCGAATACTCTGTTCGCAGCAAACATTCCCGTGCTGTTTTCGGCTTCGTCGACGTCAGTTTCATAACCAGCCATACCATCATCTAAAAATTAATCTGTAATGATAATGGGGAAATTAGTTGATGCTACATTTGAAACTGCTGTGTACTATGCATGTATGTGTCGTTCCACCTCACATTGTCACGCCGCTGTGATCGATACAACAATAAATGTATACGAATAATTACAAGCACACGATCTGCAACCCCACTAAGCCATACGTTTTTATTACAGTCTTTATGAATACGAAAACGATCAAAGTTGCTCAGAAATGTGTATAATTACCTGAATTAATTAGCGGCAGCAGTGCTCGATTCTGACACCGCATCTCTCCAGTGCCAAGCATATCTTTGCCAATCAACGCAGCATAACTCGTCGAGTACCATACTTTCAATTCCTCTCCAGGTTGTATTTTCCTTATCGCAGCAAAATACACTTCCCCATCAGCCCAATATGCTGCTAGATTCTGCTCCGCAACAGTATCAGCCATTCGTACAAATTTCATCCAGTTGGACGTATCATCGCATTCCAGGTTGAAGTACCACATTATTTCATTTCCATTGACATCACGCATTACGGTGGCGTATTTAAAATCCTTCTGTACTGCCTTCCTCCGCGGTGCATACAGTGGTCCGAAAATTGACTGCGGCTCAATATCGCCTTTTGCCACTATTCGTTTTGGCCCTGAAAGGAATGCAATTCATCTGTTGTTAGCAACAGCGCGAACAGAAACTTCCCATGCAACATCGCAACCGAAAATTTGTATTTCACGTCAAAATCGCTTTTATCAGTTACCTGTATCGTGTTTCCCGAGATCTAACCGTAAATTATGCGGTAGAGAAGCATACGCTCTGGGAATAAAGGGCGCATCTGCACACAGTACGCGGTGAATTAAGCAGGGCGTATCCAGCAAGACCAAGCATTCCGAACACCCTATCAAACAAAATGTCAAATCAGCATCCGCAAATTCTCGCAGCGAAACTAAAGCAAGATAATTTCTTAAACTACAAAACCTAGATCTTCCCGTACCAACAGGCTTCTAACAATATATTAAACACGCCACTTTATACGGTCACCAAAAATGATACAAAGGAAAACATCTAATGAAAGACAATTCCACATACAAAATTTTCCATAACGCCAATCCGTCGTAGTTCCGTCGGACGACGGTAGACCGTTCTCGCCCCCATACTCCTCGCTGTTTCCACACTGCATAACTTCCTCGCCTGTTTTTGCAAGCTTTGAAGAGCTACAAGGAGCCACTGCCCCGCTCTCCGACAAAATACTAACTGAATCTGCATCGTCGTCTGTGGACAGCTCGGTTCGCTTCCTCCGTCCGCCGTCGGTGTTGTCCGTAGTCGATGTGCGCGCGCGCGACAGCAGATACAGCTGCCGTGCAACTACTTCGGCGGGAGAGAAATCAGCGGTCAGTGGAGGATTCTCCAGATCAGCATTCCGTGCCTTTAGCAGCATCGTGTACTCCGCAATGCATCGGTTGGCTAAAATTTTGATCGCATCCCCACTGCTGACCAGCTGGTATTCAGTTTCCGCTAATTCAGCGGCTTTCTTCCAAGCGGCACCAGTTTCTTTGGACCCCCTGGGGAACTGAAACGGATTCACATCCAACACGATGCGCAGTTTCTCCAGGGTGCCCGGTTTGTGCTTGCGCCCGAATTTCGGTGTCTTATCGGCTTCGTCTACCGATTCACCATCCGATGCCTCCAGGAAGTCGGACAACGCACCGATGGAGTCCTCGTCATCCTCCGATGAGATGTTCTTTCGCTTTCTGTTGCCATCCGCAGTGTTGATGTCTGCATGCTTCTGTGATAGGAGATACAACTCGCGGGCAACCTCGTCCAGTATTAAATCGTCGGGTGAACAAAGCACATTGCCCTTCAGCCTACACTCGTACTCCGCAATGCAACGCCGTGTCAGTTGCCGAAGCGAATCTTCCCGACACACGATGTTGGAATTTTTGTACACCAGTTCCACGGCTCGCTTCCACGCTTCTGCTCGTTTTGTCGTGCATCCGGGATACTGGAAAGGATTAACTTCCAATACCGTACGCAGCTTCAGTACAGAGTCGGGATGCTGACCAACTTTGAACGGTGTCGGTGCAGACTGATTTTCCGCTGAAGTGGCGGTGTTGCTTGCCACACTGTCTATGGAAATATAAACAACTCATTAATATATTTCCCAAATCATAGCCAAAATACCGTATCCGCGCATTGAAAAAACACCACATTAAACAAACTACACACCCTAAAGAAAATTTATTTCTTTGTTGTTATTACTGTGTTGAACCATGATCTATGATTTTTTTTTCTATTTTGTTTAAAAAATTTTCAGTGGAAAGACAAGCGTCAGAGACTATGACGAAAATTTTCAAAAATTTTATTCTTGATCAGATCTCAGTTTTTGGCAGTTCGAAGAAAACTTAATTGCTACTTGCTACCACCTTATCTTTTGCTGACGCTAAGTCATTCAAAACACAAATCATAATTCACAAAACACAGACTGCATAACATAGAAATAGTTGCTGTTTGAGTGTTCCTCAAACCTTACAGTAACCAGCTCACCACTTACCAGCCTTCCTTTCATATTTTCGGGAGACTGCATCTCCGAAAAGGGTAGGAATACATCCTTGCTTTAAACTGTTTTTGGCAGTAGATGCACTAAAACAGTTAGCTTCAAAATGATCAGAACAAACGGCAGAATGAACGGAAGGCTGGAAATCCAGCCTGTTGATACTCCGCAACCAACGATCGCGAAGCAGAGTTACTTTTGGAAATTTGTGGAACGAATGGGGTCCCACAGTCGTGCAATCCTTTCTATCGCTGTTATTGTTGCAACCGACAATACAACAGCGAACCATGATGGATAATTAATATCGACCAGCGAATCCTTAGGATCCCGTACTGCTTGCTACTCGTACGGAAAATCACAACTTAGATCTTAGAAGTTAGAATCTGCAAAGCAAAAGCAGTGTTGCCATGCCATGCATACAGACTGATACAGTACAAAAAGCCCTTTGGCCTTTTGAAATGGGACCCAAATCACTACTGACGGGAATGCGAAAACAAGCTGCCGTTTGAGTGCAAATTTCAAGTTGCAGCGTTAATTCAGTATACGCCCAGCTTTTTCAAAGCAGCTTCAATTTTGTAGAAGCAGGCAATTCTACTTAAAACCCTGTGCGTATGACTGGTATGAGAAAATCCAAAGGAACCTGCACGGTAGTTGTAAATTCAAACGGCGATATTCGTAATTGCAAGACGGTAGTAGGTGAGCAATGACACAAACACAATCTGAATTTCGGACATGTTCGGCAACAACCCCAGCGTCCCCACACCCCAGAACGATGTTGCCAAAATTTTAAGTTTTTGGCAACATCACAAGCTGCTTGCCAGAGCCATGCTGCCGAGCAAGACATGATTCCAAACGGGACGAAAAAGGCTAGCCAATCACAATCGTTCAGTGACGTCATGAATTTTTAATTTCCGCCGGCAGCATCAAAAACATTTATCGCCAGCAGCACGCCCTGAGTTTTCGCATTCGCATCACTAATGAAAATCAGGGAATGGGATGAAAGCTAAATTTTATAAGTAGCAGCCATATCGTGGTGTTCGATAGTTTCTACCGCGTAAAAGAACAAGTCATTATTTAGCATTATTTCCTTATTGCGTACTTTCGCTTCCGGATTTATTCTGGAGTCAAACAAAACAGTTACTAGCGATTCCGAAGCGTTTAAATCAATAAAGTTTGGTCTTTTATAATAGTCCAAGTATTTATAAAATTAAAGCGAAGTTATGTCATTTCAGTTTCACTGCTTCGTCAAACTAAACTTATCGTCGGTTTTTTAAGGGCATTAGTGGGTTCATACAAAAATCTTTACAAAGTCTCGATCAGTGTTCAGTTTACTGCTATATATAGACAACTAACAGAAGATAAGGTTAGATAACTATCTTCTGCTTTTTTGCGGTGAATTAACATAAGCCCATTGCTCGTGTGATATATATATCATATATACTGCCACGACCTGCATAACACGACTGCATTTAATAATTCCCGAAATGCATATTTCTTTCAAACATCACAATTCCTAACAAATTATCCGAAAAAACAAACTTGCCAGCTTAACAGAAAAAAAAATATTATTCTTTCTTCGTAATCTTTTGCAGTATTGTACCGTATCTAGCAACCATCTTATCATAAATTTCTTTACAATTTTTGTTATATTTGACAGCCAGCGTGCTAGGAGGGAATCCGGTGGAGTTCTTGATCATCTGGTAAAAATTTCCTCCGCGTAATCCGTGGGCTGCCCGGTATGCCGCTCCATATGCAGCTGAATTGGTCATGGACTGAGTGTAAACGTCAGCCTGGAAAACGTTAGCGATCACTTGTAACAGCGTGCTGTTACGACTACCGCCACCAGTCACATAGATGCGAGTTTCCGGTGTAACTTTGAATCCAAAGGATTCTGCATGGTAACGCTTGGCGATCGACTGCCCCTCAATTAAGGCACGAATTTCTTGTTCCGATTCCAATCTGATTGATGACATCAATATCCATTCAGAAACAGGCTGTATATACAAGTATATTTATATGTTAAAATTGCTTTAATTTTGAGTTTGCGCAAGCGCGATCAAATTACCTTTCGTGAGCTTTAATTTGCAGCAGAGCTACTTACGTTAAATTTACCTACCTTTCCATGGGATTGTCGTCAACATCAAAATAAAATCGTCCCTGAACAGAAGGCACAATTTCCACTTGGTCATAATACAGCCCAATTACGCCGGCATTGCCGGCCGGCTGCTGCGAGAGCTTGTGCTCGAATTCCGCCCACGTTCCATTGGTATTTTCCCCCATAATTTTCTCCCGCATCAGCGATCCGTTTTTAAAACACAGCATGGCAATGTATTGGTCCTCCATCAGTGGGCTGCACAAAATGTGACCTTCTAGCGCCGGTTTCGGATTGGACACGATTGCCGATACCGTATCGGATGTTCCCAGACTAATCAAAATATCACCAGTGTGCAGTTCCATGCCGGCAACCGAGGCTGAAAATCAATAATTTGTTATGAAGATTGACAGCTTATTTAAATTCAGCTCCATGCCTAACCGAGCAATGAAATGTTTGCATAATTAAAATATGCAGCATGATAAGAAATAAAGCAAATAAAGGTAATTAGAAAAGAAAAAGTTTCTTATAAAAAATATATTATAAATTTTTTTTATATTTCCTGTATGGTCCAAACCGCCGAGAATCTGATGAGCATTGCGCACTCTTGATGCCTGCGATTCCAGAAATTAAAAGCAAAAACATTCAGCGGCATACAATTAAATTAATTTTTTAACAATGCATCTCTCTAATTTCTCGAATAACCATCCATTACGACATATGGCAGCTTTAACGCTAAACTAAATAAGCAAAAAAGACTGTGTATACTGTGTTGATTCATCACAACCAATTAAAGTTTCGCCGTACATGGGTTATCGCCAGTGCAAGCCACAATTTTGCAGCTACTTGCAAATCCATATCTCTGACAAAAATATTGCCCAATATTGCCCACGACGCTCCACGATGCAACAGGATTCTGTAGGCGCTTTTTCAGATCGGGTGCGCATGCTGCTAAACAGCTGGGATCCCAATGTTTACGCCGGATATCCATTAAGTTCATTCCGCTCCCATCCGCCCAGTCTATGGGGACATATTTACCAGCCAATAAACTAGCCAAAAAGCTGCTGACTAACGAAATACGCTCGGTATTTTCGTAGGCCGATGGATTCTCCTCATTGATTTTGGCAATTTGTGGACCGGTAAATCTCTCGTACGCCCGGCTTCCGGTGACATGCGCAAGCACTTCCGGCCCGCCCACCGAACTTTCCAGTCGCCGGCACTGGGTTGTGGTAGTGGAATCCATCCAAATTGGGGCATTGGGAACAGAGAATAAATTTGAGCATTGTTCATTTAGCGTCTTGAAAGGGTTGAATCTAGATAAAGTGCCTTCTGCTCCTGTCTGCCAGTATACGCTGCCATGCTGTTGACCACTGCCCGAGATGGCTAATATCTTATGCATCGGGAGTTCGGAACGTTGGAGCTTCTGTAGGAGCAGATCCAGCGCTTTTACCCAGAGCAGAACGGGAACGGTAACACGACTGGCACCACTGGCGTCGGTATTGACACATGCTCCACCTTGCGTTCTAAAAACGAATTTAACGTAAAAAGTTGTGTCAGTAAATACTAGATAGTAATATCATAAACATTTTGCCCAAACAATTTCTCATATTATACGAGCCGGCGCCGGACGATGTACCTAATTATTGAATTAACTCAATCCTGATTAAGTCGGGTATCGTCATAACGAAACCCATTTTATATTGTATAAATACCGTACAACAAACTATGCAACCATCCTAAAAAGTTGCGACAGATGCGGACAGATGCGTAGGTGTAAATTCGAAGTTTACAAGTAATAGTTCTATTTTATAAGATTTGCTAGTCCGACTCCCTCTTTGGTATTATTTTTAAAACTTTAAATTGCTCAGCTGCCTTGTTAGCGAAAATAATTCAGCGATTTTGATAATAAAAAACAACATCATGGAGTCTTTGGGACTTGGGAGTATATTGTACGGATAACACTGATCTGTTTACTGCACAACGCCAGTATGTCGACCAACGATCAGGTGTTGTAGATTTATTACAGCTGTAGCTGCAATAAAATCATGGCGTTGCGCGAATGGGTCGACGATTCCTACGGGCACCGTTTCAGAGATGATATTTCATACTGCCATTAAAATTTCCTATATCGGCAAATTTGAATTCCGTGCACTCGTCATTGTCAATAAATTTACAATAGGAACATGATAGCTCTGAACTATAAACTCTGGGGCTGCATGAATAAAATACGAAGTGTTGGAACTTTTCATGGAGCAAACGCCAGTAGAGAATAATAAAGATGTGCACCACATTTCGATTATCTGTACATATGTGAAAAACTTTTGCGCTGTTTTAGGACAACAAACTGCTACAACATGTACATACAAAAAATATTAATGACAAAAAATTTACTTCATAAACTACTATACCATTTCACTTGTCGGCAAATAAGACACATTAGAGTATTAGATCATCGCTTATGCATTCTTAGTGTAATTATTGTGATTACATGTTTACGTACATTAACATTTAGCTCATTACATGTATATATCAGGTTATATTCATCGGGCATTTGCGCGACTGCTTATATATAATAATGATCCGAATCTACGGTAGGTAAATATACTGTACATGTGTAACTAATTAATGCAACTTAATGCGAATATGTTCTGTAACTGCAGTAATAATGACGCTCGCAAAACTTGCATTGTCTTAACGGAAAAATTTATATAAGCAGCTTCGGTTACCTACAGTACTCTGCACTTTATTTTTCATTGCTTACGAACCCGAATTCCGGTAGCTCATTATCGAAATGCACGCTTTCCTCTTTGACCACTTCCAGTTGTTCGCCGATCAGCACACCTTTAAGCTGCTGTGTACTTAAATCCAAACCCAGAAACAACTCAGTCATTTTAATCCAACGCTCTGCGGAAGACATCCAGCAGCTTGTGTCAACTATCCAATACAACACAGCGCCGGTGCACGCAACTGGAAGCCGACTTCCGCACAATGTAATGCTTAATTAACGCTGATGGGAGTAATTGCTTTCAGCCGGAGGAAACCAGTATCAAAACACAAGCTGTCTTCACGGCGCGTACTTATACCATCTCGTGCACAAATTTCTTAAGGGGCAAGATCCAAAACGCGCCGGAAGGAAAATTTAACTGAATATTATCGTCGTTTGCAGCGGTTGACGAGCCGGATGCCGTTACCGTTGTAAAGAGCTTAATTGATGACGATGGGTAAGTTATAATTTTCCACGTTCCTTTTAAATGGAGAAGACCAGATTACGTATACGTTCCATGGTGCCTGAAACTATAACAAAATATTTTTTTCAAGGCGTTTGAATTGCCATATATGTAACTCCTTGCTGAAAATGACATCACTACCGTAGATTGTCATTGTAGTAACCGTAATTAATTATTGATCCCATTCAAGCTGACAGCTTAAACCATTAAAATAAGGACTAATATCTGTTCCCGGTGGCGGCCGGATGCATAGTACTGTCAGGATGCATAGAGCATAGGCATATCTACGAGTATACAGTATATGGTACTATATTGGGGTAGACATATTATACGTAAACGTCTACCAACTCTCACTAAAACATTCAATCATTTACATACAATACTATGGAAGGATAACAATGTGCAGCGCAGGGATGGATTAACAAGCATAATGACAATTATATTACACACACAAGATTTAAAAACCTAGCACTATATCATTGTACTTATAATCAAAGATTAGCTTGCCATACAATGCTTACTTTACCAGTTTACCTTAACAGTATATTTGATGTTCCACGAAAATTACAGAATGTAGAGCCGTCATATACAGTACGGTCTCTTAAATTTTAGACCCAACAGAATTAGGAGCGCACTCTATTTTCCTAAATTTCTCCTGCAGCTATGCAAACGCTCAAACCGCTTCCTCTTTCTCTACTGTATGCGTATGTCCTCTTACCGGCGGAAGTCTCTAAATGTTTGCACAAGTAGGGGAAATTTGGCCGTAGATAGGGAGGATTGTATTACGCAGGTGCAGCAACACGCCGTGGAATAACAGTGCAGCCACAACGTGAGCTGGTCCTTCGGAATTTGACGTGGCCGCATGAACAAACACTATTTAATCACAAGTATTGTATTATGTATAGCAAGTATTTACAGTTGGTCCGGGCAAGCGATCCTCTTCCAGCTTGTGTAAGACAGTGGCAAATACACCCGGTATCCCGTGAAACGAGGCATCATAACTTCGTAAACAATAATTCACTCCGCTACCGCTGAGTTAACAGATCGTCGCTGCCACTGCTAGTATTACACAATTGGAACTATTAAGTTAACGGTGTGTACGCAGTTTAATCTAGGCCACTTGCAGGTAAAAACACACGCACGTTGTCAATAAAAGATACATTAATAATATAAAGTTGCGTAATGTACTGCCGAAGCGAATGGCGTCCAGATCAGACACTTCTGTCTACCTCGTATGTGCAAAAGAATGTTGTTTTGCAGCTTACCTGCACAGATGTAACCGAGTCGAGAGATGGCAAGCGGCAGATCAGATCATCCAAATGATACTCAATGCAGCATCCTGCCGAATTCAATTACTGGGAACATTGCCGTACTCTTGGCGCATTAGCGGAAATTCATCATAGATTGACCGATTTGGCTCTGATGTGATGCTATTTTTATCCGGCACTCTTCCTACACCGTACTATTATCCAGGGAATATGGGACAAAATTAGAACTATTTTCCACCTCTTTCCTGAACCGTAAGCCGGGTGGAAATTACTCGTGCAGCCACTGCACAGTGATGCATCTCGGCCGGTGTAGGCTGTAGAGATTGTATTACAGGAACAGCTGCTTGCATGACAAACACTGTAACAATGTACCTATTTTATACAATCCATACATCATACAGTATGTTGCTATGTACCTGCAATAATTATAGAATAATATAGAATAAATTATATACACACAACGCATCTTTTTCGTTGTTTTCGAGTTTAAAGGTTTGTTGTGTGTTGCTCCCGCAGGCTCGCCAAGAAAGCCCTTAACGAAAAAATAAAATTATTAATTACGATACATTACACTGCCAAACGGTACTGTTAGAATTGCAATGTGTTAATGAAACCTATTATTTCGCTCAGCTGTCTGCTCTTTAAAAGCTGTTTGTCTATGAATAAGAATGAGACGATGCCAACAAATTTTAATACATCACATCACGAAGATCTACTTAGTGCGTAATGGACATAATAAAATTAATAAAAAAGAATAAAATTTAGAGTTTACAGTTTACTGCAACTTGGACGTGCGTAATTATGCTGTACTGTTAAATTAATAGTTTGTACGTTATCACAGGAAGCCCAATAATCATAAAGTTTATGTTACGTGTACTTAATACGTTCGAATATTTAAGCGATATACCTGGTATGCATATGTCACATGTTGATGCCTGTACGACTTATTATTCTTGAGGGTGGACAAGCTACAGATTAGACAATTTGGGCACTCTTCGACCGTAGCATTGGCCATAGCCATATCCTTTGGTCTTGGACCGATTGTCGGTCCGAATCGTCTTTAGCTACGGTTTCAAAGCTACGGCACGGTCAATGCAGAGCTGGCATTGACCGTAGAAAAGACAAACTACGGTCATCCTCTTTCTCCCTCTGCCTTCGCAGCTGAGTACAACTGCCTACGGGGAGCCAAAATCAGAAATGTTCAAAAAAGTATGCAGATTTTTCTGGGATGTTTAAGAATGTTAACAGTAATTGTTTTCTATTTTAAAATGACTTCAAAACGAACCATCAGAAGATCATGAAATTTCCATTTGTAGCGCATCAACTCAACTCCCTGTAAAAATCGCATCGTGCCTCGCTTCCGATCTGGCACGAATTTCAAAATTCAAAATACCCGCTTTTTATGTAATTCGACAAACTTCGACATAGATTTGCAAGATTACAGTCCGTGCTACACTTTTATTCTCCATTAAGGAAAGGATTTTTATTGTTAACAATAAAAATAACTTATCCTTATCCAGCAGTAAAAGACCCTGACTGGCGTAGAAGTTTCGCGTGTCTCCAGTTTGGCAGTTTGCATGGTGCAGATAGATTAATGCTGTGATGAATGCATTTAATAAAGTTGGTTAGAGAAGCAAAAGGATTCGAGACTAAGATGAAAATAAAGCTGCAACAATACTGAAATCACAGTTTTGAACCAGAGAGTTTTGAAGTTGTGGTTTTCAAGTTTCAGTTGACTTTTCTTCGGTTGACAAAGTAGACACTGGGCAGTTTTCGCTTTTGTACAGTGAATTTCGCTTTCTTTCCCTAAAATCAACTGCACGGGCGGTCGCACCTAGGAGACCCGAGATTTTGGGGTATTGCCCCCTGAGCGCTGGGGCATTGGAGTGACTTGGGGGAAATCCCCCACAATCTCAGGTGTCGTATGGCCGACCGCCCGTGCAGTTGATTTTAGGGGGAAAGCGAAATTCAAAAATCTTCCTCAACTATTTTGTTTAGAATTTTACGGTGAATCCAACGGTGTATTCAGAAAAATTCCTGATGGAAAGTGTGGGGGGAGTTCTTCGAAAATTCAACCGGGATCTCGCTACGGGCCTGCAGTGCCCTGCACAGTATTGATACCAGTATTGCTACTGCTTTCTCCAACGCCGGAGTTTGGGCAGCCAAGTAACCGGGCTGCAGTGCGTTTGGCCACAGCCGTGAGCACTGCTATTGCTAATGCTACTGTCAATGCTGGCGCTTGCCCAAATTCGCTAATACTACACAAAAGTAGGAAAAATAAAAACTCTTTGGCCACCAAAGTAAGCAACCGTACATTTTTCTACCATTCCGAAATTCCATAGGCGAAATCAAGAGGGACCAGGACGGTAAAGGGGGATGTAAGGAAAGTACTTTCAGAGTAATAGCTCGGCATTCTTTACTGACTTAAATTCCATCCACTGACTGGGCTTCTTTGTTAGTCTCCGCGGCGGCCTTAGCAGCTCGAGCTTTTTCAATAGCTTCCCGGATCTTGGATGAAGCCTGCACGTTCGCGGTTGGTTTCTTTGTTGCTCCATTCTGTTAAACCCATGGACGCCAAATCAATAAAAATCAACAAGCTACGATAGGTACTTATGTCATTCAACACAATAATTACAACATCCAGAATTTTATCAAAGCCTAAAGTGCTCCGCTTTCTTCGATGCTGGTACAACGTTCAATGCTATTTTACGCAATAAGCGTTGGTACTGACTGTGCTTACTTAACCAGCGTTAAGTTGTTCCGATGTGAACTAAGCCTGAGCCAAGGTCAAATAAATAATAATTTTTCCATGCTAGTAGATAACTGGAAACAACTGAAGATGAATTCAGTCTCAACTGTCAACATACCTTTTTCATTCCATTTGCCGAAGCTCCATCCACAGTAGATTTAGCCTTCTGAGGCGTCATCCAGCCATTGACAGCCAGCACGTCCAAATGTTCGAAGCGATCATGGATGTTCTTCACCTGCATGTAGATCATTTCCCAGAACCCCGCCAAATCCGTCGGGGTGGTCGTTGTATTCCCCATCTCGCACTCATCAATCAGACCGACGAACTGCTGCATTTTCTTGTCAAGAAAGAGCCGAGATTGTCCGATTGCCCCGCGGATCTGGTCAGCCCCTGCGAGCGAACGACAGTACGGTGTTTGCGCACATCATACACATGCTAATCAGCACAACGCACACACACGCGGACCAACTTACCATCCTCGGTGATGGTCGGGGACGAACTGCCAGGCCCGGACTCTTTCAATTTCTTCTGCCACTGCTCCACCAGGCTGTTTTCAAATGATACCTCCTCGGCTACAAGATCTCGGAAATACTTGATCTGCTCGTCTTTGGTTCCATCAGGCTTAAATCCAGCCATCCGTAGATTTTCGCTGCCTTGTGGCATATTGGAGTAGTTGATTTTTAGATCGTAGTTATTAAGTTATGTTTAAATCTCGCAATGTCCAATGGGAAGCGATGCTATACACAAACCGAAACGGCAACGCTTACGTGAATAAATATAAGTGATAATAAGTCTGTATAAAATCAAAAAAACAGAAACGGAGATTCTGACGCGAAGAGTTCAATAGATTAAATAACCTGTAACTTCTGTGACCGTTACCGATGAAACTCTAAAGACATCTAGATCGTTGGTGGATTATGATTGATCATTGATGTTAAAGTACTGATCCATTTCAAACGCTTCAGAGAGCGGAGGCCGCCGTTGTACGGTACTCGTACTGCACAGGCCACAGAAGCTTAAATGAACCAATAACGAACGCTCTTAACGGCTGGAGATCCTCCCCCATGGTCAAAGCACGCCTGTACCAGTACCAGCACTGAAGCGCTAAAATTATTTTCGCTTCTTTAATCAACTGACTTGTGAAGTCTAAACTTCCCGTCTTTTTTGTTGGTCATTTGTCATAATTCTAACGCGAAAGAGCGCATTCAAAATAACAACAATACCAGAAAGATATTTAGAGTGCTAACTAACACAGATATAATATTATCCAAATTTAAAAACTTCACAAGGACAGCTGCACCCGTTCTGGATCTGTGAGCATTCTATCACTTTTTCTAAAGCACTTCAACTTCTTGGAAAACTTTTGGCAAATGTTTCCGCCACAAGCAGAGGAAAAATAATTGATGCATCGGCACAAACCTACGAAATTCGTACAAGGTTTTCGTTGTTGTTTGGGAGCAAACAAAAAATGACTAACAAACCTTCACAGGCGTAGCATCAATCTTTATCTTTCCCCAGGAAACAGCCTCATCGGGTCGAGCACCGGAATCACTACCATCAAATTCGTGCGCAGTATTCACAAAAACCGAAAAGTCCGCTCCATTTCTCTGAAACGTCAGTTTCATAAAATTATTGTCATGTTCTCTTCAAACCAAACAAATGCAATCACACACCAATTACTGTGCAGCAATAACAACGGTAATTACATACTGTGCTTTAAATCTGTAAACAGAAAAGAATTTTCTTACCATGAGATTCGCGTTGCAAATGTGGTGTTTGATCAGACCTCCACCAAGGATAATCATGCCGGAATTAACCGCAGTCACAGCCAAAAGGTTTAAACTTCGCACGTCTGATGGTGAGCAACATACGAAAGAAAAATATACATTCGTATTTCAATGGCGTTCATCAATCTTACGTGAACAAACAACAACTTACCTTGAATGATGTCAAGAACTAATCCCGGATTTTTGTACGAATGAAAATACAGCATATCCCCGATTGCGCCATCCGTAATGGCCGGACTGTAAACAGGAATGTCATTCTATAAGAAAAAATAACGTATGTGTAAAAGGCGAAGCGAATGCAAGTATAATAATGAAGTATTCAAGATTTCAAAGCCTAATGTTTAAGACTGACCGAAAGCACAAAACGGAAACTCGACACTGACAGTCACGGGAGATATCATACATCGTAAAAGAAATACTGCTGCCCATAGTGACTCCATACCTTCCAAGCCCAATAGTAAACGCTATCCGGGTTATTAATTTCTTTTCCAAGTCGATGTATTAATTTGCTTGGCGTCCATAACATACCCTGCAAAAAGAAAAACTGTAAATATGAAACCGTAAGGTACTAATGTGCCATTTAGCGAGACAACCCGCAGGGCTTACAGTTAGGCAAGCAACAATAACAAATCTTAATGCAAGCAACAATAACAAAAGTTAACAAGTAAGACAAATATGCTTATTCCAATCAATCAGCATCCACTTTACTTACTTCCTTCTGTTGTTCGACTAACATCTGGTCCAAAATCGGCATAATCCAATCTTCTAACTGGCAATAATTTTTCGTAGGGATCAGTAAGTTTCCAATTCTGTTGATTTGGTTTTTCCTTAATTCAGCACCGGATATATCAAACCGGCCGACGTATGTCGGTAAAAAACACTTCATAAAATCTTCTTCTATCCCACCGGCTGTAGTAACGAGGCCGTCCACCTGTACGATACGAAAGTACTTTAGCTGGCATTTTTACACGCGATAAGATTTTTACGATTAATTATTATAACTATCAACCAACAATTCTAGAGATTTTTTATATGCAACTAAAACTAAAAAGCACCAATAAGTATAAGCGTCCTGCTTTTAAAAAATACGAAAATATTCAAGGATTGAGATATAACATGTCAACTGTGATGTATTCCATAAAATGCGGGTGCCCGGTTATTATGTTAAGAATAATCCTCAGTTTCCTGCGCAATAAAGCGAGAACGGAAAACTACCGTATCAGGCACACAATGAAACTGACAAAGAACAGGCGCACTCCACTGACAGGTTAGAAAAACTGCAGTTTTTCGATTTTCCTGTCTCAAATATTAGAGTAGCTTATTTGTAAAAGATTTCTTGCGATTCTGCGTTCCCGTTATCACTTTCGTTAAGTGGTTTTAAACTTTTCGCTATAGAGTCAGTCAGTTAGTCTCACACTGGCTTCGTGGCTTAGCCACTTATGGCTTACCATATTATGCTGCACCAGAAACTTAATCGTTTCGCGAACTCCACAAGAAATCATATTCGAGGTGTAGCCGAGGAATATGGTGCAATTTGTTTTTGCCAAACGGTCTTCAGGTTTGGGAGTAATCTTCGTCTTTATCTGCAACAAAAATTCATGCACAAAATACAAACAGGATAAGAAGCGAAAAGCACGCTGCGCTCACGTGGCGAACCTATCCCGGTTCTCCATAAAAGCGGTAAAGCCATTCGCAGTTTCGCACCATTCTGTTGATCTCATCAACTGCTAAACCAAAACAAGTGGCCTGAAAGCCCGTAGTTCGGAAAGCAGATAACAGTTTCGAATAATCCACCGAAGAATCGGAGAAATCGTAGCCCCGCACAGACTGGCCCAAATCATCACACTGCTGATCACTGTTTGCTCTGCACACATCTGTGTACCATTGTCCGCTGTTCTGGTCCATATTGCAAATGTGCGGAGTCAGCTACTTTAACAAAATTGAACCAAAAGAATGAAAAGATGGAAAAATGAATTTGCAAACGAAAACCATAAAGCCGCTCTAGCTGTAAGTGGTTAAAACAAAACTTAAAAGTTAAAGTCAAAACTTATCCCGCAAAGTCAGAATGACATTCGGACAGCGGAATAAAAACAGCGCGATTGTACTCGGAAACTTGCCGTAAGCTATCCGCACACTAGACGTGCCGCCGCGGGCGGTTCCATATATGTTTCTGTGGGAAGCAGTTTATGGATATTCCTGTTGGGACGATACGAATTTGCGGCTGTCGGCTTCGAAACTTTCGGTAGTTTTGGTACATCTGCCAAACGATTTGTTAACGAAATTGGGAAGAGGATTTCCCTACAAACTGGCGAGATTCGTAGTCTTGAGTTTTGAAACAGAACATCTCTAGCAATTCAACGTGGTAATGCTGCCTCCGTATTCGGTACCGTTGAGAATGTTGTTTCGTTTAACCGTAATTAGATCTTGATATTGTTATCACGCTATTGAAATAAAGTACACATTATTCCTTTATTCCTTTATACTAAAAGAATAAGAAGTGCTCAAAATTCAACTGCGGGGAGTCAGTCCCAGCCACACACAGGACCAAACTTCGATGTCTTGGTATCATTCGATAGCTCTTATCGTGTAGTAGAGCCATCAAAAGTCAGATCTGAGAAAAACAGTTCCAGTTTCATAAAACATTGAAAAAACTTAACATGCCGAGTCTACGGGAGAAGTGAAGAATCCACCACTGCAGAACCGACCACCTCACCATTGTCTCAAATAAACAGCCAAAAACCACCTTGCTGCCAAGCAGCCAATGGCCTCCAGAGCGTTTCACTGGAACGAAACTTGAATGTTTATAAATTATAGGGGAGCCTCGCGTTTTTATTTTTTCTCATCGAAACTCAGACTCCGAAAGAAAGGAGAGTCTGATGAAAAAAAGCAACGAAGATCTGGAGTCGAAGCGTATCGAACAGTTTCCACCATGATCATTAAGACAACTGCCCTCCGCAGGAGTCTGACCAGTTTTAAATTAAAGTAAGTAAGTAGCATACCAGCAACGCGTCCACGGGCAGCAGCTGGTGAGCAATGGAAGTAGGCACTTTTGGCACAGTGAGCGGGCTCGAGAGCAGTAAAAAAAGGTTTTCTAAAATTTCTGTTTTGTAAAATGTGTGGCAACCAGCAGAAGGCAAAGCAGCAAGGGAGAAAAATTTTAAAAAAAATCGTTGTAAGTCAACAGCCATGGCGCCACCCCTATTCTGCTCGGTGGAGTTAAATAAATACCGTACCGTATTGCGTATTGCAGATCGCTCATACTACAAAATACCATATAATAGTGGTAGCTGTTGGACTGAATTATCCTCAGAAGTCAGAACGGTATGTAGCCGATCTAAACCGCGCAATTTGCGCGGGGTCTATCATTCGATGGATTTTACTCCAAGTCAGTTACTCTGCAGAACCAGGAAAAATTAGATCTGAGAAGAGGTGGCTCCAGATGTCACGGAACATTATAAGTCTTTCCTTTGCGTCCTAAATTTTTGAAAATCTGATTTTTTCCTTTATGAGGAATAAGAACCGAAGGCGGAGCCGCAGGCGACGCCCGATGCCAAGCTGCGGCGCGAGCGGAACATCAGTGAGACATTAATCGTGGCAATATTTTTTGCCCGAGACTGCATTCCGCTTTCCCACCACTTCCTATACTTCGTACTGATACTTTCGGATTAAAGGGCAGGGGTCGAAAAAATATTTTTACGGGGGGGATAGACAGAAACCAGAAACACGAGCAATGTCTGCTCCTTAGTTCTGATGGTGAGTCATAGACTCATAGTGCTGTTTCCGGTATTAGACTTGGGGATTTACAATTGCTTCAACTTTGTGACGTTGCCACGAAAACATTATTCGCACAAACAATACAGTGCATGATAGTGCTGATGACACAAAAAAACCGTGATCTTCGTCACCAAAAGATAAATAATGATGATATCCTTCTGATTTTAAATCGTTCCTATTACGTAGCCGATATATTGCGCGCAGTTTGCGCGGGGTCTACTAGTGTATACTTAATCGCTCAACATTCTAATAACTACGTAACTAGTAGACCCCGCGCAAACTGCGCGGAATAAATCGGTGATAAATTGTTATTTAGGAAAACTACAAAGTACAAACCCCTGACTCCAAATTTAGTTTTATAGAGCGGAGCGTTTGATAATAGCTATAATAATAATAAAGTTTGATTAGTTTCATTGGCAGAGATAGACAGTATTTGCCAAATACCTATTTGGTTAACTGCTTATCGTAACTTATGTCGTAAATAATTATTATTCTTTATTTTGGCCATAGTTCACTGACAGATTAGTGGCAGTTAGAATGTATCACAGTTTACTAATTAGTAATTACATAAATGTGTAAGGCCGTTTTGACAAAACATTGTCGCGTTCCGCTGACTTCAGAGTTAACCTTAAATTAGACCCGAAAAATTTGAAAATTCCCAGGAATATGCCCTTTTTGTTTGCAACTACAAAAGAAAGGTTTTAAGCTTCTCCCAAATCAATCAGCAGCGTATGCCGGTCAGTTGTCAAGAACTACAAATAAGAAAAGCTCCATAATTACTGGAATTTTTGTAGCCGTATTACAGTACTTCTACAAAATACTGGTTCAGATATCATTCGGAGCTTCGTTAAATTTTAGTCAGTGCGTTGTGATCGACAAAACAACCCAGTGATACTCGTACGACGGTACGACCACCGATGTTAACCTTTAGACCACTTAGAGCAAAAATACTTTCCCGTGTCCAGTTTCCTCCTACTGTTTACACACAAAACAATTTAAACCTGATGAAGACTTTAAAATTTCGCTGTTCTTTGGTGAATTTTTTGCACCGAGCGCGAGCTGCTGCAATTAACTGATTGCGAAGAGCATAAATTTGTCTGACGCCCCGAAGAGCGTCACCGCTCACTTTTCCAATTCCACAAATCCAGTACTACTACTGTGTTGGCGCTCGCGCTCGTGCAATAATGTGGTTAACAACCAGCGCTAGTTTATTATTAATTAACGTCGATAACTTAAGCGCAGTGTCTTGCTTGCGACCCCCGCTGCAGATAGGCGTCGCCTACGCTTCCGCTTTCTGTTACGTGCTTATAAAATTTGTTTCAAGTTCGGCAAAAATCTATGCATTCGTGTAGTACAATCCCCAACGCATTGTCGCATCCCCAATATCCCCAACCCAACCCATTAAACGCATTGTCGCTTCGCGCTTACGTCCGCACAGATGGTTCATTAATGTAGCTCGCCGCACCCAGGCGCACCGTGGAGGGTATTCCCCTAATTTTTTTTGTTTTGACCTTTGATGGGAGATGACGGACTGCTTGATGACTGCTGCTTGATCTGACTGCTTGATGACTGCTGCTTGAGATGACTGCTGCTTGATCTGACGGACTGCTTGATAGCTGGCGGAAAGATAGATTCGAATGCGGATAAGTTTCGGTTTTTAAATCTTCTGTTTGTTTTTAATTTTTGAATGCTAAAAAATGCGGTTTTTGTTTTCATAAAACCGTTTTTGTCTACGTTCCTTAGCCTATCGGAAAAATATTTTAACCCCCCTCCCCCCCTGTGGAAGCAGTTTCAATAATAAGTCTAATCAACCCGTTGCGAAAGGCAACTACTTTATCTTTGGAATTTGGGTCGCTCCCACTTTCCAGGAGATTCTGCATGTTCAGTCTTTAAGAAACATCACTTTCAGAGCCTGCATATTTTAAAAACTAACTCTCAATAAAAATCTTATGAACTAAAGGCAGTCCGATAACTAACTGACACCAAAGTTCCATCAAGTGTAGATGTCTTTTCCTGTGTTGTTCGTGACAGTGGTGGCTTGGGTGGGTTTGCAGTGGTGGGTTCTGCACTTTTCCCGTAGACTTTGTATGTTAAGTTCTTTTAAGATTTTCTCTAAAACTTCACATACTTTCAAAAAACTGACTGGTTTCTGCAAATCTGCAAACTCCCGGCTATTGAATGACATATGGACATCAAAGTTTGGTTCAGTGGCTCGCTCAAAAAAGGGTGACAGAAATGGAATTCGCTAAGGCTTATTTTATTAATATAACTACTACGTAATATTAATAACAAGCCCAGCACGGATGAATAATGTCTTAAGATTTCGAGCATGTAAAAAGGTTAATTGCATATGTATTACATATGCAATTAACCTTTTTACATGCTCGAAATCTTAAGACTTAAATAATGGCACGATGATGTTTATTACATTAAGGAGGCACGAACAAAATAAACAGGCATGAGCAGAATCGGTTATTCTGCTTATTCGCGGTTCGCTAATTTCAATGACAATTCGATGTAATAACAATAATTGTAATAATATAATCTGAGGATTCACAAAGAGCCCATGTTAAGCTAATGGCCACCATGGTAACAAGCTTTTGAGTGACCACTGGACTGTGGGGATTGGGCTTTCCAGAAAATTGATGATGCAGGAACACTCTCGACACTGAGAGGATTCTGTAGCACTTTAGAGCGTGCACATTGGATGTGTAGAACGGGAGGACATTGAGTACAACGGCAAAGTGTCGAGGACCCTTGTTACTTAGTTAGTATTCATATAACCAGTTTACGGGATCTACATCCGTACACAAACTTTTGCGGCGCAAGTTTATTACGCAATGCACACTTCGCAACGGTTGATCGCATTGGTCCCAGCCGCTAAGAAAACTACGAAAAGTAAGAAAGAGAAAATCTATGAAAACTTGAGAAACCCTAAGAAAGCCTAAGAAAACTAAGAAACCAAAGAAATCTAAGAAACCTGTGAAACCTAAGAATACCTAGGAATACCTAAGAATACCTAAGAAACCTGAGAAACCTAAGAAACCTAAGAAAACTTAAGAAACCTAAGAAACCTAAGATATCTAAGAAATATCGTATATGAAAGAATACGAGGTATACCGATCACGCTGGTGGGATTGACTGCGATTAATTTTTGCACATGTTTCTTAAATTTTCAATACTTTGTAACGTGCCGATGCCGAAGGCCGCGGTCTGTCTCGGTTTTTCCGAACGGTCCGCAAACAGACAATGTATTTACCATGTATGTCTATGGG